AACCTAATAAGCGCTACACGGAAGGAGATAAATAGGTATGTTAATAAGCATTACTTCCTAAAATGCTCGTTAAACGATACTAAGTTTCTTACGAATTAGGCCTAAAATAAAGGACTCGGTAGCGCTTATCTCTTTAAAGACGGGGCTAAGGTAAGTTTAAGATCCTTTACATTACCGTCTAACTAACATAAGACGTTAGTCGAAGCGGTTCCTAGGCTATATGTTTATATAAGTTATATCTAGGGTATACTATAAGCGACGGAGTCTTACTAGCTTTACGCTAAGTTAGCATTACTAGATAGTAGTAACACCATATATAGTATTTGTCCTAGCTACGACAATGGAGCATGTCGTTAATATATAGAAACATAGTCCTATTAGTAGGGGCATCGACGGGGAACCCTAGTAGTATCTATTTAAGGCGAGAGCGGGCTAGGTAAAGTATAAGCGATATAAGGAAGTATAGGATGTAGAGAACGGCGCTGTTCGCTAGCAGAGACTGCTTGCTATACTAACTTAAACCGTACGTAAAGGGTTAAGTTACGGATTAGACGACTTTAACGAGCTTATAGTCCCTATACCGACAGGTGATTACGGCAACGACTTAACTAGGCTAGACCTAGACGAGGAGGATAGTAGGTCTGCTAATGTAGTATGTAATCGTTACTAACAAAGTTAGAAGTATACGACGAGGCCTACGAGGAAATTAATAACGACCTTCTAGACTAATCGCCGCCCTAGTCGCCTGTCTTTACTACTACCTAATGCTTAAGGATAGAGTTGACCCTAACTATGCCTTTAAGTATCGACGCTACTATGCCTATAGTTATCGCTCTACCGCTTAGACGCGTGCGCTCGTTACTACTAATAGATAACCGACTCGATAGCGGAATCGACATCTCTAAGCCGAGTTTAAAACGCCGACGCGTCAAATCGCCTAGCATATCGTATACCCTAAGTCGCGCTTCTATACTAGAAGCACTAAAAGAGAAGGAACCTATTAATATAAGTAGGGTCTTTTAGGCTAAGGTAAGGGCGTCGAGGAAGCGCTAGGTAGATGTTAAGACGAGGGTAAATAGCGTCATTAGAGAGGTAAAGGGCCTACATATATAGTACTATAACCTATTTATAGGTAATGATATAGAGACTACGAAGTAAATGACGAAATAGAATAGAAGATAGAAGGAAGATAAGCCGCTTAACGGAGACTCGTAGAGGACGCTTAAGGAGTCTTTTAATTCTAATGACATATAGGTAAAGGCGTAGCTTAACGAGCCTAGGAAAGAGCCTAAGTAGCGGTATACATACAACACATGAAATCTAACTGTTATACTAAACTTAGAATCGTAGCCGCTACTATAGTAAGCAAACTATACCTAGGTCGGGTCTACTAGACGGTCTACCTAATAGTTAGCTAGGCTATAAAGACCGAGTCTGTTATAATGCCTGCACTGTCTATCTAAGTATAAAGTGTACGAAGAACGCTATAGGAGGATCTAGCAGATAGTCTAGTAGACTAACGAAGATACTCGATTAGTGTCCTAAGCTATCGTCGTCTTAGCTACTAAAGGCCGAGCTACATAGTGTTATATATTAAGCAACGACGACTATATAAGGCGTGTAGCAAAGCGAAAGCGTAGCCTACGCTATTTGCGTAGCGGCGCATTAATGCGCGCATCTGTTCGTACGGCTTATAAGATCCCGTCCTATAGGGGCGCTTAAGTGCTAGGGGGCGCTTTAGTGCTATAAAGCGCCTAAGCGCCTAGTGTAATTTCGTAACGTTGCTTATAGGTTTAGAGTAGCTAATGTTTAGATGCTCTATAATCGCTTCGAGCTCTAATACCTCTACTTTACTAACCGATATAACGTTTCCTTAGAGCTCGCGCTATGTTTAACCCTAATACGCCTCGCCTTCCCTACTTAGATCTTTTAACTATAGGATCTCTTCGGTCTCGGTCACTTAACTATCTCTACTATAATTAATGACATAATCGAGTAGATTACTAGTCGCTATCGCCGTATGCTACGCTAGCACCTAGCACTAACGATCGAGAGGATAAGGCTCTATCGAGAAGCAATTTAAGAGCTTAGAGACACCGATTATATATAGGGATTTATCGACGGTACATTTAACCCCTTCTGTCGTCCTATAGAAGGTTAAAGAGACGTCTACTCTAGCTACAAGAAGCTCTATAGACTTAAATACTAAGGCATTATAACCCCTAATAGAATGATGCTCTCTATTAACGGCCCTTAGGAGGGCCGTATAAACGACCTTACTATGTGTTAAATCGGTCGTCTAGAGGACCGCCTTCGCTTAATATTTAAGGCTACTAGGGAGGTTATTTATCTATATAGTAATCTAGCATATAAGACACTTTGTTATGTCTTTAGACCGTACGCTAGCAAGTAGCATATACTTACAAAGTAAGAGCAGTCATTTAATAAGGCTCTATCGAGCGTAAGGATCACTATTAAGTAGCTCTTCGGCCGTACGTAGAACCTATAGTAGATTAACTCATTTAAATACGGCTTAAAGAGTAGTCTATAACCCGTCGCCCTATACTAGGAACTCGCTATTCTACTAACTAATATCTATACATCGCTCTATCTAATAAGCAGTACGGTGTACGGTCGATTTAACATAGCTCTATTAAGCATAGATGAATATCTCTCGCCGGAGGCGACTAACTAGTATACCATTATAGGCGAATCCCTACTAACATCTCTCGGCATATACAATAACGACGCCGCCTCTGTTTTTAAATCTAAAGACGTAGATGTATAGCAATTAAGTAGCTCTATAACTACATATAAAAAGTATTTAATTTAGTTATGGTTATGTTGCATAATAGGGGGTAAAAATAATGTTTAGATTTGCTAGAGATGTTTAAGGAGTAAATTGCGGGCAAATCGGCCTCTAATTAGTCGCTAGAGATCTCCGGCGACCTCTAGCGCTCTAAATTTAGGCTTAGATGTGCAAAGTTTAGGCGTTACATGACAATTTGCCTACTAAGCTAGGAAGTTTAGTATTTAACTCTTGTTTACTATTAACTTCCTATAGTTACCTAACTATATAGCAACCTTTTTATTTAATTCTAAGTACACCAAATTGTAGAGCATATCCGGTTTAGTTACTATATGAATTTGTATAACTTTTAATTAAGTGGTGTTATTACTATACACTAGTATTAAAAACTATCTCTAAAGCTTCCTCTATTAATACTCCTCGCTCGACTACTAACTGCCTAACATGCGCTATAATCTAACTTCTTTTACTAATCTCGAGGTTAGCTAACTTCTACGAGCAGCTAGACTTCTAAACTACCTCCTCTACTACATTATCTACTATTACTTCCTAGCGTAGAGGCGACGGCCGTATAACGATTAAGTTAACTATCTTATCTAGCTTCTCCTCGAGGCAGTTTAGCCGTATAGCTATTTCCTTCTGCTCCCTCGCTTATTCTATTACCTATACCGACTACTCCTCTAACCTCTTTACCTTTAACTCTACTAGACGGTCCTATACGCTTATTAATGCTATATTATCCTCTACGCGCCTTCTCTTCTTCCTATTCGATAAACTCGGCGCCGGCGATAGCGACGACGACATCTACGTAGGGCTCGATACCGAGTTCTTCTTCTTCTTTACCTTTAGAGTTATAAATATATGTTCTTTATCCTCTACGCGCACTACCTACTAATCTTCCTTAGTCTATCCTTCCTCTTCCTACTAGTTATCCTTATCGCGAGGATCGTCCCTATCGCTATTATCGCCGCTCCTATTATTACTCGATTCTATATCTCTATTACCTACTATACGCTTCTAGTTTAAGGTTAATAGCTATAGCGGCTACTTGTCCTAAAGGCGCGCCCTAAGGTTATTCCTTATTATCGTTAATTCTTATAACTCGTTCTAGTTCTTATGCGCGGCGGCCTATAGTTCCGCCTTCTCGCCCTCCTATACGTCCTTTAGAGCGATCTAGGCATCTATTAACTACGCCTAACTCGATGTATTACGCTCCTTACCGCTCTCCTCTTTCTTTACCTTAGTACGTCGTTCTATCTCGATTTAACCTATCCGGCGTATATAGCTATTTAGACTATATAGCTTTTTGCGCTCTAACTTAAAGGTAGTAGTAACGTTATTCTAGAACTCGCCTTGCTTGCTAGTTATTTTGTACTCTATAAAGCGCTCTACTGCGATCTAAGTAAGCATTTATTTGTCGTTCTTACTAATGCTATGTCTACCTTTTATACTACCCGACGCGACTAATTTCCGTGCCTCTCTAATCGGCTAAGTAGTAGAGACTGTCGAGGGGTCCCTTTATAGTTCGACTACTAGCGATACTAATGCTAATGTTAGAAGGTTTATTAAGGGGGCCTCTACGGTTAGATCTATTAGAGTCCTATAGGCCGGAGCGGCCGGTTGCTTTCGACGTGCTAGCATGGTGTTAAATTGCTATATATAAATCTTCTCTCTATCTACATGCTTACGACTAACGTTTAACTAGACCCCTCGGCTACTTCCGCGCTTAACCGCCTTACCCTTTTGAGCGGTCTTAGCACACTTAAGACGCGGTTCGAGCGGTTGAAACTAGCCCTTAACCTCTATTGCCGAAGGCCGCATTAGGCCATCAGTCAAATACCGACGACCGCTAAAGGACCGAAGTAGCGGCTAAGACCGCGGCTGAGACCGGTTGCAGACCCTCTCTAATAGTGTGGAGTTCGGATGTGAAGTTCCGTGACTACAGGTGGTACTCATCTGAGCAACCTCCTGAACCAAACTAGGGAAGTGGTATTCGCCATGGTCATTGCTATACTCGGCCGAGTTGAATGAACGAGTCTCGATCCCATTGAACCGAAAATGGTATGACTCGATAATTCAGGACTCCGAGTCATGGCAGGGTCCAAGAGGCACCTCATCTCGCGAGTTGCCAAACAGCCTTGGGAGGAAACGTAAGACAGTGGGGAACAAAAGGAAGTAGTTCGTCAAATATCTAATGTGCAGCTTCAGAGCTGACTTGAATCTCAACATCCTTGCGGATAATCGGTTCCTCACTACCACCACTGCTGTTGCTCTTGGTCCTCCTGGGCATGTTCTCTGGAAGATCGTTCAATCCAGGTCCATAGATTTGGGCCTTGTAGTTCGGTCTATCCGGTCGTAAAGGGTGTTTGTCGCAAGTCGTCTCTCTCTGCAAGCCAAAAACACCTTCCTCTTCATGACGAGATTTGTTCATCGTGCTGAGTTGGTAGGTGGAGTTTGCTGTGCGTGTGTTTGTATTGCGGATGTAGTAGGATGATTCCCAGCCCATGGCCTTCTCGTAGGCGCGGACGAAGGATCGTAGGGTAGGGATCGTGGCGGCCATAAGTGCATAACCGAGTTCGACTTGTTGCCAAAGGAGGGAGTAGACAGTTGCGATACCGGGGTCGGAAGAATCCGACCATTGTGAAACGTAGTAGACATGAATGATAGCGAACATGGCGACACTGTGATTGTTGTGTGAGCTTAAAAGAGATGAGGAATGGAGGTAAGGAAAACTTACATTAGACGGAATGAAAAGGCAAAGACGACTGAGAGCTTGATCTCTCTTGTCATTTGCAGCGGCACCACGAGAACGATGGAGAGAAGGAAAATTGCTATCTCAAACAGCGAGTCAAACGTTGCAACAAGACTCCACCGCGTAATCTGTATGGAGACGTTAGTTCTAATCCCAAGAGTGACATTCCGTTTGACTGACCTGTCCGCTGCATCGATCCTGGAGCGCGAACTTTGTAGATGGACCACAAGTAATGGTAAGAGCCAAGATGGAGGCCAGTGTCCAGACAGCGACCAAGCCGAGTAATGAGTTGCAAAGAATTCGAGCAGTTCTGTTGTCCGTAGAGAACAGTCGCTTCATGAAGAAGATGACTGAACATTTCGAGAGAGCATTGGCAATGATGAAGAGACAGATACTAGCGATAGCAGACTGATTCAAGGTTAGTTGACGCACTCGACAAGAAGAAGGAGAGGCATCATAGCATACCCTAGCTGCATTAAGCTGATCACTCTCTGACATGAGAGAGACGGCCTTTCCCAAAGCATAGTTGTCCAGCCCTACAAAGACAGCTGCATATTGACCTAAGCCGACAATCTGTGTCGATCAGTACATGAAGCTTGCGATCCCACAGACACGGTAACCACATACCGTAGCAGCGACAATGACCCAAAAGTCGAGTCCAAACGTACGTCTTTGAATGTGCCAACGGACAAGTAGTGTAATGACAGAGAAAAGAAGACTCAAGATCGTCGCGACATAAAGTATACCAGCACGGTCGTTGGCAGTTACTGGAGAAAAAGCGTAGAATCCATCAGAGTTGTAGCTTCCCATATCGCAAAGAGAGGCGCCCTTGCAAGGGCCCAAGATAAGCCTTGGGGAGGTCGAAGTCGAGTAAGATCGAGGATTGTCTCGTTCAGAAAAACTGCTAAAAAGTAGGGACTCAAAAAATCAGCTGGGGTAGGCACCTATATTCATGTCTCTGGAAGGAGAGTGGTGTTTGCAGATCCGCCCAGCGAAAGTTCGCTAGAACGAACCGTTTGGATATTCAGCCTCTTCCTGCCTATCACGAATCACGGCCCTAAGCAATAAAGACACTATGGCTGATGCTGCCGACGCCGGCAAGATGTGCTGCCAGGTTGATCCAACCTAAATACGTTTAAGAGCCGTCGACCGTTTCATATAACTGGGTGCTTGGGCTCCTTGATGATTTGCGAGGTCCTTGGGTTTCGGCTGAACACGTCAAGGGAGCGCTTACGAACGATTGGGGAAGGTTTTGTTGGACAGTGAGGTGGCACACCTTTACGCAAGCCTTTTCACGAGACCTCCCGCCCAACCGCAAACTCACTTTTTGCTTTTAATTTTCGATAGCCGAAGAAGTTGAACCCGCAGCAGCTCGTGCAGCTCCTTCCTTCGCAGTGTGGCTTGAAGGCTTGCATATCACGGAACAACCAGGGTCCCACAATCCGGTTCCTTCGTGCTGGCAGTTGTCGTGGGCATGTCCAAAAGAGGTGACCACAGATCTCAATTCAAGTCATGTTCCAGATCGATCATCATATAACGCACGTAGTGGCTTGTACTAGATTTCGGAGTGATTGCTGTTTTGGACAAGAAGACGAATCCACCGCATCCTTCGCGCAAGAATCTCGACTCAACCCGCAGCCAGCTTCAAGTCCAAGCGAAATTCAACAAAGTCTTGGCAGACAACCTCGGCAGATTGTACCAAGCACGAGATGACCAAGTGTGAGAGGTCGGTTTGATCAAAAGGAAGAACGACAGGGCTGAAGAAGGTGGAAATTGTTTCAAGTACACGGTAAAATAGATAATTGGTCGAGGGATGGATGTGAGGTCAGGCATCGTCAGGGTCTTCATCTACTCGAACCTACATCTGTGACACGGCCCTGCCCGGAACTGTGTACACGAGACTTGATCTCATTCAAATGAATGAGCTCGTGCGGCTCAAAGATACACGCAACATGGCATAAACAGAGATTTCGCAGACCGCCTTGCACATGAGAGATTTGCTTGACCAGATAAGATTGCTTGCTCCATCGGAGAGGAACCCATAAGATGGCTGATATATCCCGGGGAGGCCGAGCATCGAACACATAGAAGCGAACATGTTTCGCATTTTCGAATAATTCTTCCGCTCCCCATGTTGTGTCGACGGCCTGAGACCATGGATGTCGGGTCACCAAAGCCATGGCGGACCTGGAACTCTTGGTCTCCTGTTCGCGTGTGCTTTCGAAAAAAGGTTCTCAAAGTGCGCAGTGGATTCAGTTGTCTTTACCATCTAGAGTGGTGGGGCACTCATGCATTCGCGTTGAGTAACCAAAAGGACAGAAACAAAGTTTCATGTCTCCTGATAACCATATAAAAGGCTTTGACAGGGGAAAGACGCTCGGCTGCAAGTACAATTCTTATGCACCTACGCCTAAGTTGCTTCGTCTGCACTTCGAATACGAGCATCATCACGAGAGCGGCCAACCTGCTTACCTTTCTTTTGTTATAACGACCTCAGGCTGCAACCACAGCTTCAAGCACGAACTCGGAATCCTTTGGAAAGACGGGTATTTTATCAGAGTGTATTTCGAAGCATTTATCTCGGCGTTTTTGATATAGACAAGTCGGACTTATAGTGAGTGCCAGCCTCAGGTAGGCGTCGTGTAGTGGCGTTCGAAAGAAGATTTGGAATTGTGGTATCGTACAGATGTGAAAGGAGTTTAAGTCAAGGTCTTGTGGTGAGCGTAAGTTTGTCTCTTGCGCTCGTGAACGGGAAGCTCGTTTGCCGGGGTTCCAGGAATGGTCTTCTCCAACTTCTGCACACAGATTGCGGTTAGAAAGATAGATATACAGTCTTGAGGAGTGATTGCAACGCACCAAGTTGTCAAAGACACACTTGTTGAGAGGTCTTTCGTATCTTCTGCACTGCCACAGCTGCTGGTTGTTGTTGTCCAGGCATGACCAGTGTTTTCTGAACTCCTCAAGACAGTGCTTGTCAATGTCGCTCAGACTGTATGACGTTAGAAGATGCGCAGTAATAAATGGCAGGTATTCGACATACACGCTGGAAGCGCATCTGGTGACTTTGCGGCCCTCCTTCAAGCAGTCAAGCTCTCCCTTTCCATTGGCCTCGGCCTTGCACATCATGTAGTCGTCATTGTAGGTCTTGCATCTTGCGCCGATAAAGAACGAGGCCGAGAGAAGGGGAGCGGAACTGGCACCGACTTCTTGGACCTTGGGAATGTCGTCGGGCAGAGGTGTGGTGTCGATCAGCGTGTGCTGGTTGAATCTGCGCGGGTGTCAGGATTGAACAGAGGGCGAAGAATTGAGAGCGGACCTTGGTTGACGGGCCGACATGGTGGATAATGTGCAATTGACGTGAGGCTGGCTCTTGTCGCTGGTATGGGCGTGTGAAGCTGGAAGTCGTCGGTCAGCGCTCGGGAGCATCCGATTGGACCAAAAACGCCCAGCAACCCGCAACCCGCGACGCTGTGAAGCGCTCAAGGCTCCTCAGCCAGCAAACAGAAAGCGCGTCGTTCTTTGCTGGAAGCTCCAAGCTTCTTCTCCCTTGCATCAATCACGCGCCCGCTCGCAACAACCAGCCATGTCGTTATTCGGTAATCTGGGCAACAATGCTCAGCAGCAGTCCTCTGGTACTTCTCTTTTCGGCGGAGCTTCCAACTCCAACAACACCCAATCTTCACAACCCGCCCAGTCGACCTCTTTGTTTGGCCAACCTCAGCCTGCGCAATCGAACTCCACTCCCTCGCTCTTCGGTCAGCAGAACCAACAACCCCAGCAACAGTCATCGACTCCCTCCCTCTTCGGCGGTGCCGCCCAGCAGAACCAGCAACAATCTTCGACCCCATCCCTTTTCGGCGCATCCGCTCAGCAGCCTCAACAGCAGCAACAACAACAACAACAACAGCAGCAGCAGCAGCAGTCCGGCGGCATGTTCGGCTCCACCAACAATGCGCAAACACAGCAGCAGCATACCGGCCTCTTCGGCAAGCCTGTTCAGCAGACGAACAGCCTTTTCGCTCCGAATGCTACTGATCCCAACCAGCAACAGCAGCCTGGCATGTTCGGCGTGAACAATGCAAACTCTTTGGGCGCCTCTTTACTCAGTGCTTCTCTCTCTGCCTTGCCATCGGCTCTTACAAACAAGCCCACCACCATTGGCTTCAACCAACAAGCCATGGCACCTCCCCGCGACAAGACGATCCCTCAGCAAATGGACGCCATCTCCCAAAAGTGGAACCCTGAATCTGCCGAGTGTCTCATGCAACATTACTTCTACGTCGCCGTACCACCGGAAAAGGCCCCCTTTATTACCATGCCTGATAATGCCGACGAACGCGAGTGGGAAAAGGCCCTACGCAACAAGCCGACTGAGGGATCTGTTCCCGTCATCGCAAGAGGATTTTTGGATTTGGGCACGCGCTTGCAAATGCAGGTCGATGCAGTCAAGCAATTGCAAATGCGGCTCCATGAGATGAACAACAGTCTGGATGCCATGATGCAGAAGCATGAGTTGGTCTTGAGTGTCAGAGCAGCAGAAGCGAAGAGAAAGCATATTGGTCTGAGCCAAAGATGTCTCGCCTTGGCAATCCGTGCGCAAGTGCTCGCGAACAGAGGATTCGTTCTGGACGGCGCAGAGGAGGAGCTCAAGAAGAAGTTGGCGACGTTGGAAAAGGCAGTATTCGACCCAGCATTCTCAGGAAGAGAAGAGGAGATCTGGGCGCGCATGGTGGCCATTCGGGAACGAACCAGATGGCTGCAGGAAGAGAGCGAGAAGCTGGGCCGCCAGGTGTCTGGAGAGAACGGTGGTCTGGACGAGCAGGTGATTGCAAAGACAAAGAAGGTGGGTCCATTGAGACACGAATCACATTCGGCACCGAGCTAACATTTTTGACAGATTCTCCACGATTACGATACACAGATCCAGCATCTGCGCAAAGAGCTGGAACATGTCAAGAAGGAGTATGAGGAGTGGGAGGCCGCTAGCAAGCCTAGCAAATGAAAGGACATTCGCATTTCTCGGACATAAGATGACACATTTCGATACAAAGGCCCACGACGGGATGATGGCACTAGCGATGCAGCAGTTGCGTAGAGAGACTTTCGGAAGAATGGCCATGTGACGCGGTGTAGACCGAAGACGACAGCCAAAAGTACTGAGCCACATATTTGGAGAGCGCCGTTGATTGAGGGAACGAATATACGCGATGTTCAAGAGGTATCGTTTTTGTACAGTATGTTGTTACAAGTGTATCGTGACTAGTAGGAGAACGTATTTGATGCGGCTTTAAACAAGCTTCTGGATGTACTCGACGGCGAAGGGCGCTGCAGATGGATTAGATGACGGCGACAGCGAAATGTTGAGAGAAGATGCGTACAGAGGTAGAGAAGAACGCAGGTGGCAATAGCCTGCTTGACGGTGACAGATGCGGACTGCTCCTGGGCCTAATAGCCAAAGGTCAGTATGCGCTTGGTTGGATTGCGCGTGGTGACGATTGAATACCTCCATCTCGGCCTTGCTGGGGGGTTGCGGTGCTAGCGATGAGTCAGTACAGCGCTTGGAGGTTTGTCATGTCCTCATCACTCACCGAACATTTTATATGTGAAGTAACTTGATGTGTTCGTTGTGCCTGAAGTGGTTGGTCGCGAAAGTTCCTATGAGAGAGAGTCTGCGGTAAAATCCGGAGGAGGCACGACGTCAACTTCAAGGAAGGCGCGACCGGACAGCCCTGAACAAACCAACATCCACCTTCACCACATACTTTTCCACCCTCACTCAGTCATCAACATCCTGCAATTCTTCCAATATCACCACAACCGAATCGCATAACCGTCTAAACACAAACCGCAAATATGGAAGATCTTCCAGGCGCCGACTCTCCTCCTGTAAACGAGGTTGGCCATGAGCCTGCTGGAAACGACGACCCTCAGGATCCCTTACGCCCTGATGTTGAGGACGAAGATTCTGCTCGTACTCCACCAATTGCCGATCCTCACCAAGATACTGAGCTCGCCGAAGATGACCAGAACCCACAACTGTCAATTCCTGGAGACGCGGATAACGATGACAATGACGCCGATTCAGACGCTCTGAGTGATGTCGACGAAGCACAATTCCAGGATTTCGACCCGAACGCCATTGCTATTGAGGAGCGCCCGAGAGTTGTTGATGCTAGCGGTGTTGCCTTGTTGGGAAAGCACAAGCGCAAGCGTGACGATGCTGATGGAGAGGGCAAGAAGAAGCGCAGAGAGGGTCGCCGCGAAAAGCCCAAGCGTAGCAAGCGTGGAGGTGATGATGATGGACAGGACTACGATGCTTCCGAAGAGCAAGAGGGACGCAGGAGAAAGACAAAGGGCCCAGGCGAGAAGCGCAAGAAGAGAACACCCAGTCCCGAGGACGACTCCAACTTGTCACCAGAAGAGAGTGAGTAAACGCTTGGAATTCTGGCTGAAACACCTCATCTAACAAGCACACAGGACGCAAGAAGGAGTTTTCGCGCAAGCTGGATGAAGCACTCAAGAAGCCCAAGACAGCCAGCAGACGTAAGGCTGGTATTGATCTGGAACAGATGGCCGATACCGAGCTCGAGGAGATGCGTCGTCGTATGGCCGAGGCCGCCCAAGCCGACACCCAAGCCCGCGACGATGGAAAGCCTGCTATGCACAAGCTTAAGCTCCTCCCTGAGGTTGTCGCCCTTCTGAATCGTAACACTCTGCAGAACGCTCTCGTCGATCCTGACATCAACCTTTTGGAATCCGTTCGCTTCTTCCTCGAGCCCTTGAATGATGGTTCTCTGCCCGCCTACAACATTCAGCGCGAGCTGTTTGCCTGCTTAGCCAAACTCCCAATCTCAAAGGATGCTCTTGTCGCCTCAGGTATCGGCAAGGTCACCCACTTCTACACCCGCAGCACCAAGGCCGAACCTCTGATCAGACGTCAAGCCGAGAAGCTGGTTGGTGAATGGACGCGACCCATCTTGAAGCGCACCGACGACTTCCGCAAGCGCGAATTCGTCGAGGCAACCTACGACCCCAGCATAGTTCCCATGCGCAGCACACAACCCGTGGACAAGGCCGTTCGTGCAGCAGCAGCCAGAAAGGCCGCCCTGGCTTACCCCACCACCACCAACCGCGCTCGTGTGGAAGGCGGTCTTGGTACATACACCATCGTACCCAAGAGCGATCTGTCCAGAGCCGCACCCGGTGTGCGCCGCCCGGGCGCTGCTGGTGACGATCTCGCTCGCAAGCTTCAAGCACGCTCCAAGAACAACAGGAGATGAGCATAATATACGAGAAAGGGGGTTCTAAAATTAAAGGTCATGATATCAAATTGGGCGAGGGCGTTTTTTCACTTACTGTTCTCTTTCTCTGACACACGCATTTGGGATTGCATCTCATGTTGCCCTCCGTCTTTCCCACATGAGGGCGTATCACAATCAAAGCTGTTCTATTACTCCATTCTTCTCTACTCTAGCCCGAACTCAGTCATGATGAATATTCAAATTAGAAACCCAAAGACTGGATCAAGACGAAAGAAGGAGGAAGCATCTCATTACTGAACTTGTCGTTTACACGATGGCAAGTTACAGTAACCTCTAAGCTCACGTCCACAACACCACTTTACAAACAACAACCGAGGATCAAGAAACAAAGGCAAGAAACGATCAAAGTCCAATAAACGATGGCAAGTTCTATCCATCAACAAAAGAACCGAAAGAATGGGGTATTGTGTAGTGAAGAAGAAAGAATGAAAGAACCAATCCCATCGATCATCAACCCATCATTTCCAATCATTCCCAATGCTTCTTTCTATATTCTCTCTAGCAAATGAATGCCAAAAGAAAAACCACCACTTTATAATAAGAAAACGCCCAGAAAAACTTGGTATCAATCAATCCACATCCACAGGCCCAAATTCCTGGACCAAAAAACATAGGAAAAAAGAAAGAAATAATTGTATCAACAAAGGAAAAGGAAAAGTAAAAGGGAAAAGGATGTTTCCGCTGTCGTCGTCTTGGTGTCCCGGAAGCTCTGCGGTATCTTTGCACTGCTCCGACGATGAAGGTGTAGTAGTAATAGGCATCTAGCCCAAAGAAACAAATGCAGGATTATCACCCTGACGGACCAGAATTTCTCCTTGACCCAATTCCTCTCTAGCTCTGTCGTTCATGGCTCCAGAGTTTAAAAAGTCGTTGCCGCCAGAAGATCCATTGGAGCCGGGGTGATTGTTGTTGTTGGTGGGTTGATTGTTGTTCATGGCCGCTATCGCCGCAGCTCTCTTCTTTTCATCTTCCGCCCACATGGCAGCCGTACTTGCAAACTTGATCGATGCCAAAATCATCAACACACAAGCCAGTAATGCGAATCCGGCGCGCTTGGTTATTATCCAACGCACGCCCTCGACATCCGATCTCGAGTCCGAATTCAAGAGGACGGTGATTCTGTAATTGAGCTCTTGAATTTTCCTCTCGATATCGCGTTGTTCGTTTTGAACGCCCATTTTGCGATCGTCGAACATGCCTTTTAGTTCGTCCTTCATGTTTCCGCTGTCTTGGGTCATGCGTTGGCCTAGGATGTCGACTTCGTGTTCGAGACGTGTGCGTTCCGTCCTTGCTCTTTCGGCCTCTGCGCGGCGTTTTGTCATGATTTCTGTATGGAGTTCGGAGCAAGCGGCGCGGAAAAGGTAGGCTTCATTTTCGACATTGGATTTGCTGACGAGGGCGTTGCGAGCCAAGTCGATGTTCTCGGAGAGGGTTGTTCGTGTGGCTTTCATGATTGTGATTGCTTGGGCTTGACTCCATCCGCCATCTTCTAAGCGCTTGACTAGGCCGTATGTGTCGAAGTGGTGGACGTAGTCGGGGGCGTCAATGTGTGGCGGGCGAGGCCTTTTTGCGGCTTCCTCCTCGATCTGCTTGCGGATCTTTTGGAGATCGGTGAGTGGTTCTTGCTCTTGTTTCGGAGATGATGTTGAGCGTTGTGAGTCGCTGGAGGGCATGTTCAAGACTGTGTCCAGGGCATTGGTATGCGGCATGCGCGGAGCAGGTGAAGGAGGGCCTGGAGGTTGTGATTCCGAAGCATCTAGTACTGGCGACTCAGGTAGACGTGTGGAACGGAGAGGCCTCTCGCCAGGCGCAGGACTGGTATCCTTTGGTGTCGCAGTGTCTATGTCTTTCTTGGTCGGCTGTGGTAGCGCTTTGGCGTCTGAGGGAGCGACATCGCCAGGAAGCACTGCGGCGATGCCTTTGGCTCCTGCCAAATACGGCGGTGGTTCGTTCGCCTTGCCGTAGCGGATTGGTTTCGTAGCAGTCTGACTCCTCTTGGCGGCGGTGCGGAAGACCTGTCGCCCTGTCCGGGACACCTCACGTGAGAAGGGTGTTTTGCCCACGGATGTGAACAAGAATGGGTAAAGGAATGTAAGGCGCGGTGTCGACATGGTGGGCGGCGGCGAGTATCACGATGGGTGGAACTAAGGAGAGAAGGTTCAACATTCAAGAAGGGTACGTTTACGTCTATCGACAGGGCAGCCCAATGTTTTGGCGGGGGTTCGGAGTCGTTGCTGTCCGACCGGCGACCGTGCCGGTTACTGCAGTTTCATCAACCTCGTGCCTGAAGAAGGTCCCCGCGCTAGTCATTAGTCCCTGCAGTTTCACCAACTGCCGTTAAACCTGTCAAGATCCAGACACAGGGGAAATCTGTCAAAACTGCTTCTCTCTTTCCATTAATTATGGCTGGCTATTCTACTATACAGACAAACACACTAGGTATCATCATCCACCTGCCATCCACCGTGCTAGATTCCAGTTAAGCTTGTCAACTTTCTAGCTTGACAAGTGATCGATAGCCTGTGATACTTTGATTAGCAGCTGCATCATCTCAACACAACATCTGTGGTACGTACTCTGTCAATATCATAATCAAACTTTTCCAATGCGTCAAGAGCCTTTTCTCTTTGGTAGCCCATGCCTGTCAATCTCTTCAGGATAGGGTCGTCGTGCTCGGTTCCCGTGCTGATTGCGCGACCCAATGGAGGCATTGCTGTAGTCTGTGCCGCAGAGGCTTTGGGAGTCGCTGCTCCGTCGCCTAGTCTTGAGCCTGCAAAGCTAGGCTCTACTTGAGGTGCCGGTGTGTCAAGACCCGAGAAGATGGCGTCCCAGTCATGCGGTTGCTGTGCTTGAGGTGCGTGTGTCGATGCGAAAGGGCTGGCAATTGTCGTTTGTTGCTGCGACCCGCTTGTGTTGGTATCGAAATCAGAGAAGCCGTTGGGTGCGGTTCTCGTCACAGGTGTCTCTTGAGGCGAAGATACAGTGTGGATCGTCGATTGAGCGGGCGAGTCGAAGTTTGCATCAAACTCGTCAGTATTCTGATGGCCGGGGAAGCCAAAGTCGAAGCCTTCACCACTAGCTTCCTTGGCTTCAGCGAGGTCATCAAAGTTGTCGAAGTCGTCATCGAAGGCATCCTTGGTGGTCTCTTGAGGTGCAACGGGAGCAACATGCTGCGTAACATCGCCAACGTTGGCAAAAGAGGTGGCTCCCATGTCGGTGACATTGCTCATAGGACGAGAGTGAGCGTCGTGGAAGTGATCAGAGCCAGCCGTACTGGTCATTGGAGTCTGGGGTTGCTGAGGCTCCTGGGGTACGGAATGTGGCACAGGAGACTGTGTGGGGTCTTCGCGTGAAGGCAGCAGTCCGGTAAACTCGGGAGGGAAGTTGTTCGAGCCACTGCGGTGCTGACCTTCCTGAGCTGTTTCATAGGAAGGTGGGGACGTTTGTGCCGTGATGCTCGGGAGCTCGGACAAATTGGTTGCGGAATGTGTGCCCACAGCACTGGGACGACGTGAGTCGCCAACAACGAGTTCGCGATGCTCGCCAGAGGGAATCTCGGCTGCGGCAGCTGGGACATGAGACTCAGAAGCACCGAAGTCATCGCCGAAACCACGCTCGCTGTCACTGTCGTCATCACTGCTAGAATCCTCATGCTCCAGAGTCTGAATTGGGGGGAACTCGGAGTTGCCGTAGCTTGGAGGTGCAGCACTAACTTCTCTAGAGACGGGTGCAGCGTTGACCTCTCGGGAGACAGGTGCAGCATCGATTTCTCTAGATACCGGTGCAGGTGCGAAAGGATCATGAGTAGCCGAGTGATCACCGTTCTGTTGCTGTTGGCCATCTCCGAATCCGGCAAAGGCAGAATCGAAGTCGTGTGCAGGTGCTTGGGTAGACTGGCCAGTAGTTTGGGTCTCCATGGGAGTCTCGGGGAAAGCACCAGGAATCTCTTCTTCCAGTTGCTGAGGCACATCTCTGGACACGCTATCGTGGTTTCCGTCATGGTTCTGTGATTGAATAGCTGGACCAGACATCTGAGCAGGAGGAGTAGCAACATCCTCACCGCCCCATGGATTAGAGCTGAAAGTGTTGGTAGGTGGGTGATCCCACGGGGAAGTGACACCAGCATCTTGCTCGCCCATTCTGCTAGCAGGAGGTGCTGCACGGTTAGAGGAAGCAACGGACTGATCTCTAGTCAAAGGCTGGCGCATAGGCAAGATGTTGGGAGTAAATTGTCTCGACTCCGGGGGAGGCGGGGGAGGCTCGTCGTGAGCAGTGGCAGACAAAGTAGGAGAACCAGGAGTCAGACGGCCGTCAGAGGATACCGAGGGACCAGAAGGTTCAGATCTGAAGGACGTGACCGGAGGCGTGTGCGTTCCAGCTTGCTGTTGGGATGATGCCGAAGGTCCAAACAACGCATCGAAGGCACTAGGGCTAGGAGCACTTGACAAGAAACCACCAGGCGACAGAGTACCTTCTTCTCTAGGAGCAGTTGCCTTTCTGAAGAACGGGTTGGTGTTTGACGGAGCAGGGCTGACCACAGTGGATGGCGGTTGAGGCGAGACAACAGCTCTCGAACGCTCTTCCTGTGCGGCTACAGCTTGCTGTCTTTCTTGCAGCTCACGTTCCTCGGCAGCCTTCTTCAAGTCTCCCATCTCAGTTTGGATCTTCTCGTGCTCTCCCTCGTTCGTCGCGAGCTGCTTCTTGTTGATGGCGACCATGCCCTTCTGTTGGCGAGCGTCAGATCTCATCTTGTCGAGCTGCGGCTTGAGCTGAGTAATTTCGGCGTTCATCTGCGAGATGCGTTGTTTGAGGCTGGCATTTTCCTGTTGATCCGCAGTAAGAGCCTGAGAAACCTGCTGGTGCTGATTCTGCAAGTCTTGATAAGTGCCTTCAATCATAGCATACTCCTGTTGCAACTTCTTGGTCTCATTGCGCGAGTTAGCAAGCTGCTCCTCAAGCGACTTGACAGTTTTAACTTCGTTTTCGTACTGAGCACGGAACTGAGCCAGGCGCTGTTCGAGCTCACGTTTCTGAGCACTCGAAGCCGCAAGATCACGCTCATTGGTAGTCTTCTTAGTCTGAACGTCTTGCATCTGGTTTCTCAAATTGCCGAGCTGGTTAGACATGTTTGCAAGCTCGGTTGTATCTTCGGTGATGTTCCTGGTCTCTTCGTCGTTGGCGTCGCCGAGAAGGTCGTCCATGGCAGAAGGAGGTTGGGGACTTCTGGTAGCATTGCTTGGAGCGCTGCTTGGAGCGTTGCTTCCTCCAGTGTTTTGCGCTGCAAGAGTGGCACCAAAGGCTGAGGTAGGGATGAACGGCTTGAACAAAGACGAGGGGCCACCAGTTTGTTGAGGAGTGAAGTTTCTGGGAGAAGCATTGGGTGGAGGAGAAGAAGGCTTGCTACCTCCTGCAAATGGATCAGAACCGAATGCGTTTCCAGTGTTTTGTGTCGAGACAGGAACGGGGGCCGGCTGCTGAGCAGGGATTGGAGGCATGGGCTCATCTAGTCCGAAGAGGTCCTCAGTAGCCGACTTGGGAAGTTGCGAAGAGTTGTTGGCGTTGTCGAATGCAGGCGCAGTGGTCTGAGGGGTAGGATGCGCTTGGTTACGCATGGTTGGGGGAATCAGAGCCGGAGGTAAGAAGGCTGGGAGAGGAGCACCACTACGCTGCTGGCGAATCAAGTACATGGCAACGGCGAATTCATCGCGGTTGAGTTGACCCTCGGAGTTGATGTCTGCCAGGTCCCAAATGGAAGCCAGAGTCTCCTCAGGCAGACCGGAGTCACTAAAGAACTTGACGGCCTGTTCACCACTCAGAACACCATTGTTTGCCGTATCAATGCTCGAGAAGAATTGATCGTACTTGGCCTTTTCAGGAGGAGCAATCAACCAGGCAGGGCCTGTGGTTTGTGGGGCCATGGGTGGTGGTGCACCGAACGCAGCTCTTGCAAGAGGACTCTGGGCGCGAGCCTGAGGACCGGTGAATTGACGAGGCATAGCTGATGGGCCAGCGGGAGGCACCGACGAACGGCCTGTAGGGTTGGGACGACGAGCGGCGGCCTCGAAAAGTGCTGGAGGAAGGACATTCGGGAAGCCTGCCAATGCGCGACTCTTGTAACATGTTATGAGGTGCATGGCGATGCAGAACTCGGTCTTGTCGAGGGAGCCCTTTCCTTCACGGTCGGCCAATTGCCAGATGCGTCCGAGGGTCTCGTTGGGCAAGCCCGCTCTTTCGAAGATGGCCTTTGCTTGTTCGCCTAGAGATGTTCGGTAAGCGAATGCTTGAAGTGCGTATTACAACGCGTAACTCACCCGACAGGTAACCGCCTCCAGCCGATTGTTCATATAGATTTGCATATTGTGTCAACTTCTCAGGGTTGAGAGGGGGTATCCTGATACCAGTGCCTTGTGCTTGAATAGGGGCGGGGACAGGAGCTGCTGCGACGGGAGCAGGCGCAGGAGGAGGTGGAGGCATGCCATCGAACTTGGGTAGCGGGCCGGCTGTAACGAGCTTTAGTGAGGGAATCGAAACATCGGGTGTCTAGGAACGTACGGCGGAAAGCCAGCTCAGCAGTAGGTTCGCGACCAGCTTGGTAGTGGCCGATGAGACGAAGAGCTACGCTGAAGCCGGGCTTTGTGAGGAGACCGCGGTTCTCATGGTCGGCAATCTGCCAAATCTACCAGAGAGGGTCAGAAAAGAGGCTTCGCGTGGGACTCGAGTATAGACGTACTTCGCCTAGGACATTAGGAGCAACTTTTGTCTTTTCGAAGAAGCGCACAGCAATCTCGCCCGTGACGACACCCAATCGATCGGTATCAGCTTGCTGGAACAGCTGGCCATAGTATCGTTTCTCGTCAGCCGAGAGGTTGAGGTTGTTTTGGTCTGCTTGCGCGTCAGTTTCGTTTCTCCACAGCTCCAGACACAACGTACTGAAGTGGTCAGCCATTATGCCGTGGTTGGTGTCGGATCCCTCATGCGGTGATGCAAGTTGGTATTAGGGGTATGACGTGGGTCCAGACAGAGGTGGACTGTATGCAAAGAGAGCAGTAGTGGGCGATCCTGATGTACACGCGACTGGCAATGCAAGATGGAAAGATAGTACAGGACAAGGGTACAAGAGGTTGGCTGCTAGACAGAAGATGAGGACGGATACGGCGGAGTGGACGGCATGGCCATGTTCCAGCTGCACGGCGCGAGCTGGGGCCACAAGCCATGCGAGACGATGCCATCAGCGGGGACTCAAGTCTCTCGTTAGACTTTCCCAGAAGCAGTCCATCCTCATTTCGAGAACTTCGATTCAATCTATCCAAATCAGTCTAGAATTGCACAATATAAGAGTGAATAGGAGTAGTATGTTTACATAAACAACAGAAGTAGGTGCATATTTACATCAAGTCGAGTTGAGAAGTCTCCCCTGCGAAAGCAATGCAATCAAATGTGCCAGCCCAGCCACCAAACGCCGTTGGCTGTTCGCCTAGATACCCGTACCCAAAATGCTTCAATCCCAACTTAGTCTCTCTTGCGACGACCTTGGAACGCTCTTCTGATCTGACTGTTCTTGCACCACGCCAGGCTAGGGACGTGTTCTTCTCGATGTCCATTAACCTTTCCGAGCAGCCAGTCCGTCACGCTGACCACCCGATTGGTGCGCTCCGAGCCAGATCCTTGTTCTGCGTGTTCGATTGTGTGCTTGACAATACGACCTTCCTCGTCGAACTCGAAGATGAACAAGCCGCAGAATTCCTCATCGTCTCTCGCTTTACCTCCGAGGACGTCTGTTATTCTCTCCACCTGCTCATTGGCTCCAATACCGCGATAGATGCCAGCCGAATTCTTCTTCCTAGCCTTTCCGCATGTCTTCCACTTGACTATGAGCTTCTCGTCCCGGAAGGTTGAGCTCATATTGTTTCCGCCATGCTTGATCATGCGCTCGGATATGACGGTGAGTCTGACGTTACCCACCACAGGCACTCGTCCCCAAGCTACAGGTGCGGTCCATAGAGCAGCAAGGTAGGCGATGCGTCCAGACACTGTCGGAAGATGCGGGTGTGTAGAGGGAAAGAGGTGTAGTGATATTTGAGGTGAGAGTATTTCTTGTGGTAGGGGCGACGCTAGTAGGGTGGGTAGACGTTCGTGCAAGATGCGGACGGCTGTGACGTTGGAGTCAGTGTTTGTTCATGAGAACTAAGTCGAGGAGTGTGTACATACTTTTGCCTAGTTTCAGAGTGCGTTCGTCTGGTGGTTTGTGATCACCTTCGGGTCCACTGTCGGGAAGAGCGTATGGTGCCGAGCTGCTGAACCAGACATCGCCTAGGAAAGTCTTTGACGGTGTTAAGTTGACGGGGCCCGGGTAAGTGTCGAGCTGACGGAGTGCGGCCGCTGCTGGGGTTACCGTCGCGGCGGCGGCATTGCGAATGGGAGTGCGCACAAGACGAGTTGCTAGCGACGGGCGCATTGGCCAGACTGTCATGTATCTTCGAGAGCCTGCAACATGGGTTTGTTATAGGTTGTTGTGTAAAGTAGAGGAGGGATAATGCTATTTCCAAAAAGCAAGACGGCTTTCTGCGGGCTGATGATCTTCTGCCTCTCCCCACCTTCGACATGTGCCACCTCCAGAAAAGAAGCTTCGATCCCGAGCACGGCCTTCTCTCCCGCCTGTGACGTATTGTCCTCCGCGATCTTCACCTTTGCATTGTTCCACACCAGATGCCATTCAGCCTATTGCAGGTATTGTGAAGAGTATATAGTAGAGTTATCAGGCAGCCCAGGTAGGCCATTTTTCTTCCACTCACTCTTCTCATCACCTCGACATCAAGCAAAACCATCATGACTTCGGGCAAACGCATTGTATTTACTGGCGGTTCTGGAAAGGCTGGCAGACATGCTATCCCAGAGCTTATCAAAAAGGGTCACCAAGTGAGAGCTTTCACCGAATCTTCAAACATCGTCTTCTAAACTCAATACAGGTCTTGAACCTTGACTTGATCGACTTCCCTGGAACCGATCACAATATCTTCACCCTCAAGACCGATCTCACCGACAGCGGGCAGGTCTTCAATGCCCTCACCACCCATTTCGACTTTGCCGGCTACGACGACACCAAGGTCCCTCAACCTCCAGATGTTGTCATCCACTTTGCCGCCTACGCTCGCAACATGCTCGTCCCAGATAATGAGTGCTTCAGAGGCAACGTGACAGCAACTTACAACGTAATTGAAGCCGCCTGCAAACTCGGTGTCAAGAAGATCATCATCGCCAGCTCCGAGACCACTTACGGAGTTTGCTTTGCCCAGGGTGATGTTGATTACCACTCTTTCCCTTTGGAAGAAGAATACGATGTCGACCCTATGGATACCTACGCCCTGTCAAAAATCTGTGGTGAGCGTACCGCAAGAGCCTTTTCTCGCAGATTCAACCGCGATATCTACGTGTTGCGCATTGGCAATGTGATTGAACCTCACGAGTATGAGAGAGACTTCCCCACCATCGTCGGCAAGCCGGAGACCAGAAAGCGAAATGCATGGTCCTACATCGATGCCCGCGATCTTGGTCAGATCTGCGATTTATGTATCAAAAAGGATGGGTTGGGCTTCGAGATCTTCAATGCGACCAACGATACCATCACTACTACTACACCGACCGAGGAGTATCTGAAGAATGTGTGTCCTAACACGCCATTCACTCGCAAGATGGGCGAGTTCGAGGCACCTTTGAGCAACCGCAAGATCAAGGAGGTCTTGGGCTTCAAGGAGGAGCACAATTGGCGTCAGTACTACAAGCCCGAGTGATAGGGGATGTTTGTATTTACGAGACATGAAACCTTTCTTAATCTGTTTATGCGCTTTGATCTGTGTTTCACAGCCGTGTGAATGCACAATGACTTTCGGAACCTGAGCTAGATCCAAGGAGAGAACGTCAGATATCCCCTCTATGAACGAATGGTCCTGTTCAAATCGTCGTTAATCTCAAGGTATCGCTGTCGCTGCGGCGAGAGAGTTGATATGACAGAATATAGCACACAACGGGGGATGAATAATTATTCTGTTTGAATGATCATGCACTCATTGTGCGGTAAAAATTGTCTCCAACAGTCCATCGACAGCGAGTATGTAGGATAGTCATCGAAACCATCAGTCCTCGCTTACCGAGATCACAACGACAACGCAGGGTTGCTCAACAAAGCATCCCAAGACTCCCAAGCATCAAGACCTCCTGCTCTGTCAAAACTTCTCATAAGCTCATCGTCCCCATTGTTCTTGCTCGAGTATCTCGCCAGTTCTCACGTCCTCGAAGAATCGGTTTTCCTCTTCGCGCAGAACGGAATGGTCGTGCTCATATGCATGCAGATTCTTCTCCTCTTCCTCGGTGTCAAAGGTTTCAGCATCTGCAAGTAGAACTATTTCTTCCAGCACATCGGTGGCGACCTCCTCCCAGCCATGTAGTCGGTCGAGTTCGGCGTACGGGTCAGGACCCTCGTCGTCTGGGGTTGTACCGGCGGTGTTTTCATCCTGCCCAGGCATGTGAGCCATCCATGTAGTGTGTAGAGGATCGTGGTCTTCCTCACCTATCATCGCATCTTCATCTTCCCAATCATCGTCATCGTCATCCAAAGAGGGTGCATAAGGGGCTCGGGGAGCAGCGTTCTCGCCCTCTTCGTCAGATCTCAACATCTCCATATCTCCTTCGTCGTCATTCAATCCCATCATATCGGCCAACTCTTGTCGTTCACGCATCTCTTCCTCTTGCTCAAAAGCGGCGTATTCTTCCCATTCTCGTCTTTCGTCTTCTTCGATTTCCATCTCCAATCGTTCGCGTGTGTCTTCGTCAATTTCTTCTTCTTCTTCGTCCTCTTCCTCGTCATCGTCTCCTTCGTTGCCGGTGAGGAGAGCCATTAGTTGGAGTATTCCTGCCTGTTGCGCTAGTCCCCGCGTTGCAGGTGTGTTACGGGGTGCTTGATTTGTGACACTGCTGCGCGGCGAGTTGTCATGAACCTCCATACCTTCGAGATATGAGAGTTCTTTTCCTGGACGAGCAAGATTCGGTGCAAGAGACAGGATCCGGATGGCCTTTGTGGGGAAAGCACGAGAGCGTTCGTTGGGTGCATGATCACCGTTAGATCCACGTCTGGGGCGTAGACTGCGGAAGCCGAGAGTGGTGTAGGTGTGCATAATACAATCATCGTAAATTCCCATGAAACTGACTGGCACGGCCAGTTGAGGTGCCGAGCTGATCGGTGTAGCCCAGATAGGTCTCTGTGCTTCTCCAGTCTCTGGGATCTTGCCAAAGTCGGGCATAGTGAAAATGTAGATGCTGTCGATGATCTCAAAGATGGCCCGGCCATTCTTGATACTGAGCCATCCGCCAAGTTCGAAAGTCGAGCCATCGCCTTCGGTTTGTAAGATCGCTGTCGTTTCTCTGAAGCGTGCAGGATCGGCCAGGGCACCCAAGAAATCCGTACAGATGAAAATACGACCTGCGCGTGATACACCAGCCATGTAGTTACCGGAGATGATACCTGAGCCCCACTCGTCGTTCTCGATTGCCAGCGGACTTCTAGGTACCGGATGGGCGCCGTTATAAAGTTTGAGAGGTCTTAGGCGGTCCTTGCGTGGATGTTCGGGGGGACAGACTCGTGCTGTGGGACCGTGATTTGCTGCGCCCATAGTGGTATGAGATTGAGGAGGTGGATGGGCGATGTGGAAGATGTTCGGACAGTCCTTGGGTTCGAGCTTGCCCATGATTTCGCCGGTCGTCTTGGAGCAGACATGATAGCCGCGCGGACCCATGCTATACATGACTGTACCCTCGCCTTGATCGAGGTGACCGACGGCTTCATTCTCAATATCCAGAACTTTACGTTGTTGGGGTGGATGCACGGAAAGGTCCCAGACAAATCCTTTGCCTTCGGAAGAGACGATGCATAGTGTTTCCTTGTCATTGAAGCGCGAGAGCTGGAATCCTCTGGTCTCGCAATTGTGATTGAGGATAGCTACGCGATGGAACGTACCACGCTCCACCTCGTCGGCCTTCCACACCTCAACGGCATTGCCGAAACGATCCCAGCACGCAGTGCCACTGTCTTGGTCATACTCCAGATGCGCACACATACGCACATCTTCTCTCCTCAATCTCCATAACATGCGTCCATTGTCCATGTCCGTGACGCAGACACCTCCGGCTTGAGATGTTGAGACGATAAATCGGCGCTTGAAGTCGGGCTTGAAGCGCCACACTGGATCATAGCCAACTTGGACTATGCTCTCTCTGACCACTGGACGGTTGCTGTTCCAGTTCCTTTGCAACAGTGCCAATCGTTTGCAAAAGTCCTTCCAGCTCTCCACACCGCGGAAATATTGGACGAAACTCCTGTCTTGCTTGGCTTCTCCAAAAACTCTGTAATCGCGACTCAACTGTGTGACTTCGCGATCACTTCTGGGATGCTTGTTGTACAATTGATGGGCTTGTTGTGAGTAGATAGCATCTTGATGTGCCGTTTCCAAGAAACTATGCCATGCTTTGGTGGTTGAGCTAAGCGCCGCAACGCCAGATAGAGGTGTGAACTCAATACAACGAAGTATAATTTCCGCTGGAAGGATTTGCAATGGGTCTGGCATGATGGTCTCGATGTTTGAATTCAAGAGTGTTTGCGAGAAAAAGATTGGGTGATCTTCGCGACAAGTGTTTCCACTGTTTTGTCGAACATGGACGTCATATGCCGGGGTAAACAAGCCCTCGGTCTCACCAGCACCCACTCTGTTGTTGAATCACTGTCTATTTATTGTACAGCACAATGTGCAGGCTCGAAGCAGGAACGTTTAGAATCACATGATTATTGTGAAGGATAGCAATCAATCGAAAAATCAGAGAATCGCATAATGAGACGCTGCCCACGATCTCAAGATGGGTAGGCCTCAGATTGCTCACATTACCGGGTGTCCATACCAATCGAATTTATCTACATAATATGGTTTCCTTGCAGGAGTTCTGATATCTTTGAAACGGCACAGACAACAGCGACCAACACAAGAATGATAAGGAGAAGTGCCTTCCTGCTTCTGATATCATTGAGAGATCTGAGTATTTGCTGTCATCGGCCAGCAGAGGTGCCACGATCACGATTGTTGAAAGTGCCATAGTTTGCTCCCACACTCTCACGAACCGGTGGCCGAGGAAACGGTATCGTTTATGAACGAATTCAGGGGTCTGTCTATCTTGGGGCTGCTCCAACCTGAGATGCTCCCACACTGGGTCTCTGCTTTCACTCTCAAATTCGATACACGATCCGCTTACATAATCATTTGTTTCAGTAGCAAACATGCTTAGTAAGCAGACACAGCGGCGGTGACCTATAAAAGAAACCTCTCCCCGTCCCCTCTTCCTCGACCAGTCTTCTTGCGCACGTCACCCCTCCTCTAACTGCATGGCACTTTTGCTAACGATATTCACAGCTTCTGGCTTAGATCAAGTGTAGTATCTGGTATGTTCTCTCACTCATCTTTCTCATCCATTCACATGCTAACAATCACCAGTTCTTCATAGTCTAAACGCTATGACATGGCCACGGCCATTCTAATGTTTATTCATCTTTTTGGAACTCGCTGGAAGACCTCTGGGCTTGCTCATGTCTTCTGGCACAGTGTCGCTTGTATTGCACTACATCAAGCCGACGCGAATCCTCTTTTTTTCATTGAGCTTTCTGGCCTTCATTGGCTGGGACTTGAAGAAGAATCGACTCTGCTTTCACTGGACTGCGCATGAATTTGAGACTGTCACGATGAGCTCGTGTTTGTTGTGATACGGAGAGCTTGGCCATGCGCGACAGCGTCATCTCGAACGCGTTCGCTGTTTGCGAAGAAGACTCAGCCTACCACCTCTCTGAAGATGTGGTCTCAAACATATGGATGTCATCTGACTGACCAGTCGCGTGGATGCACAATTCGGTCTGAACCGAGTTGGCTATCCGCCGAAAGCATCAGAAAAGCAACCTCCGGAGCACACTCCAGACTTTGCTGCGTCATTGCTTGATTTGACTTCACATCTCAGCAACAATGAATCCCCTGACATGGTCCGATGGAACCTTGTATCGCTCAAGATATGTCCGTACGGCTTGAAAAGACTTCCATGATCATGCCGTCCGACAGGCTCCGTGACGGCCGCTGCTGTACAACCACTTTTCGGCCGAAGCGTCATACCAGAGCATGCCGGCCCACATTGGACCTTAGATAGGTACTTAATGGGCCTCCAGTGTGCTCAGCAAGATACTCAATCACATCATACTGTCTTCGTCTTTCCACCATATCCATCAGCCATGTTCGAATCACCACCAAAGCCCACCAACCCCCTGGCCTACCACCGCATCCTTTCATTGAGTGCTGCCGTCAAGGTATCACCTCTTTGCCTGGGCGGCATCAGTATCGGCGAATCTTGGAGTGGCCACTTTGGCAGGAACGAAGATGCTTTCACTTTACTTGATACATTCTTTGAGCTCGGCGGAAACTTCATCGACACCTCCAACGTCTACAACAGCGGCGAATCTGAGACACTAATCGGCGATTGGATGCAGAAGCGCGATACTAGAGATCAAATGGTCATTGCAACAAAGTACAGCGCCGGATATATGGGCCACATGAGAGAGCAGAAACCAATGCAAGCAAACTATACTGGAAACAGTGCCAAGTCGATGTATGTCTCTGTTCGCGACAGCTTAGCTAAGCTGAAGACTGAGTACATTGAAATCCTCTATGTACACTGGGTAGGTTTTTTCCGCCGCCTGATCCTTGTAACAAGCAGCTGACATGATGCAGTGGGACTTTGGAACCTCTGTCGAAGAAGTGATGCGCCATCTCCACACCCTGGTCATGGCAAGACAAGTCCTCTACCTCGGCATCTTGGATACTCCAGCTTGGATTGTGGTGAAGGCAAACGCCTTCGCTCGTCAGCATGGTCTCACACCGTTCTCTGTGTACCAAGGCAAATGGCATGCCGGCATGCGAGACATGGAGGCCGAGCTCATCCCCATGTGCGAAGATGAGGGATTGGCAATTGTGCCCTGGGCAGCGCTGGGACAAGGCCAGCTCTTGACGGAAGCGCAGAGGAAAGAAAGAGCCAACGATCCGGACGCTCGTCAAGGATATCGCGGCAACGAACAAACCATCAAGGTCTCAGCAGCATGCGAGGAAATTGCAAAGCTGAAGAATACGACCCTACAAGCAGTGGTAAGCTCAGTCCACCTTCCGCGAAACGAACATATTTTGACTTCTCAACAGGCTCTAGCATACCTATTTGCCCAGTCAACATACGTCTTCCCCATTGTTGGCGTCCAAACAGTCGAACACGTCAAAGCCATGCCCGATGCCCTTCGCATCACACTTACTCCGGAAGAAATCGCCAAAATCCAAGATGCTGCTCCTTTCGATCCTCTATTCCCTATGAGCTTTCTGTACAACTATGATGGCAAGCAGAGATATACTACAAAGCTGACACCAGCACACAACAAGCAGTACCAGATGGCTGCTTGGATCAATGCACCACCAAAACAAGGGGGCTTTGACCCGATTATATAGGGGTCCTTGATGTAGTTTGTTTGTATGAATACCTATGCAGAGTATCTCCTTTTTTCAACCTCCTAGTGTGCTTCGTCGAGCTGTGCTTTGACATCTTTCGTACGTGTGATCTGAGAGCTGGGTGGCGGCAGTCGAATCCTCCAGCTTAGTATCTGTATCACCAATCGTGTTGGAATGGCCAGGTGCGGCACCTCGAGGGGGTCTGGGTCACGGAATGAAGTGAAATGGCTCGCCGGTGGTGTGAAGCGCTACTGTTTGGTGTCTTCGCGGTCGGACAGACATGGTACTAGATCCGATTTCTGGCTACCACTCGGGGTTTCAGCGGTATATAAGGTCGACAGCGATGCTCTAAGTCTGAATGATTAGTCCAGTTAACTGTAGGGAGGTAGTTGCGGAGGTTGTTTTCGTCCCACCTTGATGATTGACGCAACGGAGAAACCTCGGTTCTTCAACCGCTCCTTCTGGACAACATCCAACTTCCTTTCTTGGCATACCTCCCATTGAACAACAAATCACAAAGAAATGGCCACAAATCAGGCTCCCAATCCTAGGGAGTTCAAATCCTGGGAGGATGCCTTCCAGTATCCAGTTCCGGTGGTACGCCGGCTTGAACAGCAACTTCGGTCAAATATCAATGAGAACAGCGACAAACTGCGTTCCCTGGTCGGCAACAGTTATCGCGACTTGTTGGGCACAGCCGAACGCATAGTCGAAATGGATCATCAGATACACTCCGTCGAGTCTCGTCTCGGAGACATCGGCTTGAAGTGTAGCGCGCGGACTATCGAGAGAACTGCTGCAAATCAACAGAGGACTGCCATGGCTCAAAGGGATCGCAATTCTGGTCGCAACTCTCTTGCTTCAAACATTGCTCTTCTTCAACGATGCATGAGCCAGGCCGTCAATCTCATCAAGAGGGGTGATTCTGCATTACGTGCCGCTAAACTGCTCGTCATCGCCAGATTGTTGTACACCAGCGCCTCCAAATCTCCGGACCCGCCAGCTCTGCTTGATAGCCTGAAATCGAAATTGGCGTCTCTACGCCGCAGACTACTAAGCCATGTCGACAAGCGATTGGCTTCTGCCAAACTTGAGAAGTCTACCTTGGTTGATACTTTAGCTGCCTTCTCTCTTGCAACCACATCCACTCCGACCGATGTTCTCAACCACTTCCTACATGTGCGTGCCTCGACTCTCGGCGACTTGGTTGAGTCTCCTACGCAGACTGATCTTCACAATGCTTTGGATCTACTTATCTCGACCATCAAGGAAGTTCAGGCAGTCTTCCCAAAACAACTTTCTGTGCTTCTTGGTAAGCTACAAGACGAGCCTCTCCTGCAGGACTCAGCCATTCGCAACCTTCCGGAGCTCAATCTTGATATCTACGAAAGATGGATTGCCGATGATGTGCGCAACTTCACACCTTGGCTTAGACACGATCAGTTGCAGGGTTCGGCCGCCTCCATTGTGCTCAAGAAGTGGGTTGCACAAGCAAAGTCGACGCTTGTGCAAGGACTCAATTCACTGCTTGATGGAACTCACGATATACCAGTCATAATCACATTGCGAAAAGAGTTTGTAGCCCGTTCTCTATCATCCGACAGAAAGCTACCAGGCCTCGACCCAGCCAGCTTCTTCGAAGAGCTGCGAGCTTGTTTCAATCGCCGCCTGCAAGATTTTGTCATCTCGTCTTCCAGTGGCGTCGATCATATTGTCGGGGGTTACTTGCGAGGCGAACACGTTCAGTCTATTGTTAGCCCCGAGCCTGCCGCCAGCCTATGGAATTCAGAGAATCTTGAGATCGACCCCGGAAAGGGCTCTATCAATTTCAGAAATTTGATACACAATGCTTCGCAAGGGAAAGATGGCTCTTTGCAAAGTGTGGTCCAATCTCTCGGTATATGGTCGTCACAATTGGCCACCCTGTCAAGCACGATCAAGTCGATGCGCGAGGACAGATGGAACGATGACCTTGATCTCGATATCGAAGATGATTTTGAGATCGACTCTCCTCAAGACCTGCTGGCTAGAGAAGACCCTGATGAGTTGCAGAAACTTCTAGCATCAGAGAAAGACAAAGCCCTCAAGGGTGTATACGAGAAAGTCCAACGGTCGACTGAAGGTGAGGGCCGCGCAGTCCGTTTGTTGAGACTCTTGAGAGAGATTGGCCATCACGCCACATCCAGTGAGGCTCAGGCTCCCACCACCAGGCCACCTCCCTCGCTCTTCCGTACATTGCACGAGATGCTCGCGGAACAGGTATCAAGCAAATATTCGGACCAGCAGAAGGTGTCAAAACTCTTTGTCCGCTCAGCACCGACTGCTCTGTGGGAGGGCTCGCCACCATTGCCAGTTCAGCCATCACCCGCATGTTTCAGGTATCTTCATGAGACGTGCAGGACAATGAAAAATGTTGGAAGCGATCTTTGGTCTCCTCCAGCTGTATCAATACTCAAAAATCGATTGAGAAAGACTGTTCTCGATGCGCTTGACGATTTCATATCTGTCCAAGGCCAGACGAACGGTTCGACAGCAACGTCAGCTCAAGAATTTTCCAACGAAGATGCCGACGGCTCTGCAGAATCAGCAGCCAAAGACGACCCCGAAACAAATGGATCAACAAGAATCGAGACTCCAACCCGAAGCGCTGCTCAGAATACCAAGCTCATCCAAGCGATCTTCAACTTGCTTTACTTGGACAAAATGCTCTCAATTTCCACCAACACTCTCGACATCGTCACTTTCGACGATGCAATCACAGACATGAAGAAAAAGGTGGAATTGGAAGACAATGCCATTGAACGTTTGAGGAAGAGCTCTTTTGATTACTACAAGAGAACATACCTGCTGTTTGGACTTCTAGCTGTGGGATGAGTGTGGTAAATAGAACAATTCCTTCAACTTTCTATGTCCTGTCTCATTATAAGCTTGAATTTCAATATTCATCTCTGTCATGTTTGAGGACACGATTTTGCGAAGCACCTATAGAGATCATGGTGATACCTGCGGGAATGCACAACTTTCAACCCGACTACGTTTGTGGCTTGGGAGACTCGCAATGTCCGCTGGTGTCTTGCTCACTCTCTCGGTACAGTACAGGTGATGCGTACTCATCAATACTCCTGCCTTTGAAGTGATGGACTAGATTTGATCGAAAGCACAATCTCAACTCAATGTTGCTGTCACCCATCCGAAGATCACATTGTGCATGAATTGCGTGTTTACTCTCTTTATTCTCTTCTCGCATTCGAGAATTATCTACTATTATAACCACTATCGTATATATGAGCCCCCAAAAAAGCTTGACCATCATGCGGTAAGCTTGCATTACTGTAGATTCATCTCAGATTGTTCTCCTGCGTTGGCTTGTCCAACTGCATGCCTTTATCAGAGGTATCGTCATGCTTCTGACGCTTTGAACTCCCACCGTAGGAGAAATATTCTTCGTGGAGTGCTCTTTTGACGCCTGCTTTGATGCTGCGGATTAGGGAAGTATCGCGAGATCTGTGGGTTGCCGGGGGAGATGGTGAAGCGTTTTCTGAATTGAATGATGTGTTGTACGGTTCATGTTGACGCTGAGAACCGAGCGATCTTTGGCGTTCCGAGGTTGATATTTCGCTCATGGCGTCCTCGGTCGACTCATGACTGTCCGAGGCCGAGCATTCGCTCATGACATCTTCTGCTGTCTCATTGGCGATTGCCAATAACTCAGCTTGGGTCTCATCGTCTATCGTGGGACCAACTGGACTTGTCATGGCGGAGCTGTTTCGTGTTGTGCCTTCAGCTTCGGGGGTATGCTCAGACTTGACCGTTACAACGGAACCTTCTCTTATGGCCTCTTCGGCTTCGGGGGAATGTGTGCTCACAATATGAGATAGCCAGGTGCCGGGGAGCTCTCGCATCTCAAAGCAGTCTTCATCTTTCAAATCGAGCTAGAAAAGGTTAGCAACATGATGGATGTGTAAAACGTGTTTATCATACCTTATCAGGAGTATCGTCCCAACGGACAAATCGGCCCGGAAGCATGAACACATGATTTCTCAGGGCTTCATCAGACTGCACAGCAGCGATAAACAGTTCACTCAAAGGTGCACTGCGAGACGTTCTGATCCAGATCGGAAGTTGATTAGGCCCTCTCATGACGCCGAGGTTCACGAAGCGGAGTCGTGGAACGATAGGGAACTGGGAGATCGAGATTTCCCTTTGTTCAAGCCTCTCCAAAAAGCCATCTGGATCAGAGTCCGTCTCAACCTTCGACTTAGGTCTCGCAGGCCTTGAGCCGCGGACACTTTTGAGTGTGCTTTTTTGCTTGATATACTCGACGGGACTCGTGCTCTTCGAACATGGCTCTTTCTTCGGACTCCAGGAGTCCTGGAGAATAGTATCCTTCTTGGGTCTACCACGGCGAGCTGTGCTGCATGAGCTCGTGATCGACTGGGACGACCCGCCAAATCCATCTGCACATTTATCTTGCTTGACATGTTCATCGCTATCGTCCCGATATCCAGTGTCTTGCTGCAAGATAGATTGACATGTTTGACAAGTACGACCCCCATGGAAGATTCCGGTTTCGCGGACCGAAAATGAAAACTCACGTGGTGTTTTCAACAAACCGCAGCTGGAACAGATCATTTTCTCGACGAGCGGAACACGAGATCTTGTAAGAGGCTGCCCAAAGCTCATTTCATGTCGTTCAAATATTCTGCGATACTCTTCATCGTGGTCAGGGCCGTAGACCTTGCGTGGCCATCCCTCTGGCGAAAATCGACCATTCAAAGTATCAGTGGATGGAAATACAGCGGGAGCTGCTGAGCCCAGTATCCTGGCGTAGTCGGGATCAACTGGGCGTTCTGGAATATTGTCGAAAGTATGTCTCCAGTTGACGAGCTCATCTCGTGCATGTCTGCGATCTAGAGCACGAGCTTCAACATCATCAGGTTCGTAACCTCTCCGCCAGGCGCTCAGAAGATCGTCCACATTCTCACCGTCTCCTTGGAAACCGAGTTTTCTCTCTTCCTCTGGAAACATTTCTGGGTCTGCGGTGACCGACTGACGTCCAGTACTTGAGTTTAGAATCCTTGCATAATCTGGATTCAGGAAAATCCCTGTCTCTCGGTCATCGGAGAGTCGGTCAATTCTTCTCTGCTTCAAGGCACGAGAACTTTCTGACTTGACCGGGACCTCTTCGAGGAGAGTGCTGCTGCCGTCTTCGTAGATTGGGAAGTTGTGGATTTCGTCGAGCTCAGTGGTCGCATGATTGAAATTTGAACCGGCAGCTGTTACCTCTTGGGTGACGACTGGAGCTAGACCATGTCGCTCTGGCACATTATAGGGAGAGCTCCTCTCATTTGATGGCTGGTGGGTGACGTCGTCTTCGCTTTCCGTGTCTCCGCGTGGATTTTGATCGTCCATTACGATGTTCATATCGGCATTGCTCTCGGTGCTCTCGTCGGAGCTACCGAGAGTTGTCACAGCCAATCTCGAAAGTCGGTTCATCTCGGCCTGATCGTGCGTATCGCTTATGGATAGATCGCCAGTAGCGTGAGCATCTGGTGCTGTAGCGTCTAACGCGATTGAGCGAGATTCCAGTGCCTCTAGGCTGTTTCCATGTTCTGGATCCTTCACTTCTGGCGAGGTTTCGTCGTAGTCTTCGTCGTCGGACTCTTCTTCGAATACGGTTCTGAGAGCAGCTGTCTTGCATCGAGCCCCCATGATCGGTGTTGCGAAACTCATTGTTGAGGTTGTTCCGTGTGCGTGTAGGATTCAAAGAAGGGGCTCTTGAACTAAGGAAAGACTTTTTGTGTTGGCCAGGTCGATAACCAGGATACTCGACGCGGTAAGTGTTGTGGTGGTTTCGAATTGAGGTGCGAGGATGATAGGAGCGAACGGGGCTGGAAGGTTGTGAATATAAGCGAGCCTCTCAAAGCTGTCGATTGAGTCGACGAGCGGTAGTGACGCGCGACATGGGTGAGCGACAGGGGCGAGCGAAAGGTCTGAGCGATGCGAGCGACGATTATGGAGGTGCACATCGAACGGAGAGTTAGGAAAGCGATAGGGACGAGCGAAGGGTATAAGCGATAGGGACGAGTGAAGGGTGTAAGCGATGCGAGCGACAATTATATAGGTGCACGTCGAATGGAGAGTAATGTTCGTGTGTAGGGTATGAATGACAGTGATAGAGGACAGTGCTCGAGGGGTGATACGACTTTCACAGACCTTGATGTCGATTAGACAATTGACGTGTGAGATTATGACATGTGTGTGAGCGCTTTCGGGGACGTCGTCGATCTATAACGCCCTGGTGTATAGTGAGACTTGGAGGTCTGGTCGATCTTATAGTGATGACTTGTAACACATGTCTCGGACTCAATGGAGGAGCTTTGATTAAACTTGATCGTCACTGAATTCAAGCATATTGAGCAGAAGTCTTCTCACACCACTCCCAGAGTTTCTCATCACCCCCATTCTCCATCGCTTCCGCGACATCAGAACGGACAGGTCCGAATCGACCCCAGGGAATGATGAACTTGCCAGCATTCTCCGGACGTCCGGCTTCTTCTCCCCAGCCGGCGAAGAGTTCGGTATAAGCGCCATTCACAACTGGGTATACAATCATGTTGACAAACATGGCTTGCACACTTGGCATATGTCTCTGGAGCTCCGACTTCAGGTTTCCAGGGTTCCATGCATTTGAGATGACGCCAGACTTCTCGACACGACGACGAAGAGCGCTGGCTAGAAGAGCGTTGCCAGCCTTGGATTGACCATAGTTGGTCTCCTGAGATCCATGAAGAGTAGGCTCATTATCTGTCCAGGCTACACCACCAGTGGGCGACATCAAATCGACGGCGAGAGAGCCGGCGAAGGTCACTCTCACCGAGCCTGCCGGTGAAGAGGCAGCGGTCTTCTCGATAATAGGAAGCAAAAGCTTGGTGAGAAGGAAAGAGCCAAGTACGTTTGTGCCAAATTGCAGTTCAAAGTCTTGGGCAGTTTTGGAGCCTTTGGGTGGTGTCATAACCTTCATCGTTTGTCAGCATGCGCAGATAAGGGTTGGACACAGCAGAAACGTACACCAGCGTTGTTGGTCAAGACATCCAGACGAGACTCTTGAGCAAGGAACTTCTCAACTCCAGGCTTGATTGTAGTCAAGTCGGCCAAATCGATATGCATGAACTCCAGCTTGCCCTTGGAGTCGGGCACAGCTTCGCGGATCGATGAGATTGCCTTGTTTCCCTTCTCAGCAGAACGTCCAGCAACATAGACAGTGCCATTGTGGTGGTAAAGAATCTTGCTGAGCTCATAGCCGATGCCGGCATAGCCGCCAGTGACGATGAAAACACGACCAGCTTGGCTGGGTAGATTCTTTTCGGTCAACTCAGGTGTGGGGATCCAGGTTGACTGCCTGAAGAAGGATTGGATTGCTGCTGCCATTGTTGAGGATCAAGATAATATTCAGACAGGAAGATGAGGTCAGTTCGTCGAGATTGACAGAGGATTGGAGGAGTCACGGCGATAAGAATGGTGAGTTCTCTATACACTTCGAGCTCCGGAGATTGCAGAATAAGTATGTCCGGCAACGGGTGCGAGTCGTCGTACTCCAAAACTGGTGCCTGCAAGGTTTTAAGCACGGTTTTGCTGAGAATTGGTCTATTTGCAGATGATGCTCGTTCTGTACAGAGTTGTGGGAGCTATTCAAGAGAAGGGAAGGAAGGTGCGTCGCGGAAAGCAGGTCAAGCTCATGCACGTCACCGCCAAGCATTCTTTGTGAAGGTTGTTTGATTGTTCTCTTTCCACTTTGCCACCATTCAAAAGGTCATGTATTCTTATTGAGACAGCAATCATGGGAAGTACTTGTTTTTAGATGGTCTCGAAGGCTGATGTGAAGAAAAACACAAGTTGTAGCTTTGTTGCGAAAGACATCGATGACATCGTAGACAGGGTAGCCCCAGCAACACGCTTTTATCTTTTTGGCAGCATGATGATTCTTGCAACAGCTGGACATACTTGGACAGGCTATTGTAGAGCAAGCAAATTCTGGCGGCACCCTGGCAGTCGATGCTGTTTGGCTCGAACAGGCGAGTGGCGATTCCGCAACCTGAATCTCGGTTCTTTGAATGCGTTGGCTGAAGCGCAGCATTGCCAGCGGTTCACCAGCAATCAACAGACTCTTTGGAGCAGCTTGCCTTTGAACCGCGTGCTTGGAATGCACATTAAGCTTGAATTTGTACGACTTCATCGTCAAGGGGAACGTATATAGTACGCTTCCTTCTTTTGCAAAATAGCATCAACAAAATCCAAATATCTTGACTTCTCACAAGCAAATGCCGAAGAGAGCTCGCTCACTACCAAGCATGTCTGCTTACCAAACTACCATCAGCAAGGAGCTCGACTGCGACATCAGCCGCCACAACATTCTCAGTATGAGCATCCATCCCTCCATCAATGTGTCGCTTTTACTAACATCCATCAGACCACTGTCTGGTGATCTGGCCCAACAGAGAGTGCAGCGTGACCGTCAACATCTGCCCCAGCTGCCGCGTTCGAGGTCACCAGCAATTCCAGGCCAAGATCATGGCTGCGAATCAGGTCGTCATCAAGGGCGGCTGTGAGAATACGGAGGAAGAGGCGCTGGACAAGCTGTATCTGTGGGTTCAGAACTATTGGGCCTACAGACCAGATATGTCACATCCTTAAGAGAGACAGCAGATCCAGGCGGGAGGGAAGCAGAGAACGAGTAATGTTGGAACAGGGGTTGATCTCCACTTGCCAGCCGGGGTTGAGGCATAGCCTTCGAGAGGCACGATGTAATTCATGATGATATGACTGTCCGGAGAGAGCATGGAAATCGTCATTACCAGTACTCAGAGACTCAATATCAGAAGAATTCATGCTTTCTGATAGCCAGTCCAACAAGCCCTTCGGCAGGTTAAAAGCTTGGTTTGATGTCGATTCATGTCCTCAAATGCCCGTGGCATCATCTGTTCAATAGCGTCGACGCTGATTTTTCATAGCAAGAACAATTCTTCGGAGGAGCGAGAACATTGATCCTAGTCGTTAGGAGACCTACAACTGTGGCATCCAAAATTCAGTTTGCTCCGACTGATCACCGACTCGCATTTTCAGCGTAAATGGCGGTGATGCTGATATAGTGCAGTGGACAATAAGTCGTTGACAAGTGCGAATCAATTGCCACTCGTTGATAGAAACCCGAGTGTCATTGTTGGAGTACTCGGCTAGCGGTCCAGATAGAGATGCGATTGACCGGAATAGGCAATGTTATTCACGTGGTTCATGCTGGCTAGTTGTTCGTCATGCAAGAGTGATGTTTTGTTCCAGAAGAAAAACCGAATGCGCAGAGCCAGACTGCCCAGTATCTCCATGAAGTTGAACGCGTACTTCACTTATAGAATCCGTAAGTGAAAACGACAAAAATTATCAAGTATCGTCACTTGGATGCTGCGCCGATACTTCGCGTTCAACTCTGGCGCCTGTATCAGTCCAATCCAATTCTTCCCACCATCAGACAACACCAACACCGTCGGATCGCGACCTTCGGAACATCGGAGAAAAATGACCGGCCCCAACAGAACCGTGATCAAGAGACGCCTTGGTCATGTGTTTGCCCTCTTCAGACGCAAGGGTTTCCTAATGGTAGTAGACAAGGCAGAAGGACCTAGTGCATGGAGACAATGCCGCGGCATCCACCGTGAGTACTCACTCCTTTGTGCTTGTACCGTCCACTGACAACATACCTGCTGCAGCCGCCGTCCACAAGCATCTTCCCGAATACGGCTTAGACTTTCAAATCCACATTCAGACACCCTTCAAGAAGCTGAATATCTACACCGCCACCTTGAGCATCCCCGGCGACCCTGAGCCTCTCTTTCTCACAAAGTCCTGTCCTACACCCACAGAGGCTCTTGAGACCCTTCGCGTCATGATCATGGTTTCTGAGGATCCTCTGACAAAGGAAAAGCTTGCCAACTTGCAGTGGGAGGCAATGGTTGCTCATCACAACAACCAGATGATGCGTTACTCGCCTAAAGGTCTGTCTGAACAAGACTCAGATTGGTCGTAGGAAAAATGAGTTGGATATTCTGAGCGCGTCGATCGCAGGTTGAACGGTGGTCGGTGGCCAATCTACCGCCAGAAAAAGCTTGATGAAAGCGAGCGATACAGACCGCACTGAGACGTAGGCTAGTCATACTGAATCAACAATGTTCTGCTGCCAACAACTGGAAGTGGTTTAACGTGAAGTTAGCGTGAAAGTCGAGGCACATATTGATGGAATTCTCCCAGTCACAAATACAATCTTCCGCATGATACGCAATGTTGGAACGCATTTTGACAAAAGAGAGGCCGACACTTAGATCTCATGACTTTATGATTTTGGTGTAACACACCGCATCTTGCAATAAAACCTTCTGTGTCAGCATGGAGGGGTGGAAATGAGCAGATGCAGGTTCCCGAGAAATGGTAACAAAGGACAACCTATGGAGTGTTGTACGGCCACGTCATGATAACTTGACTCCGGACTGCCGATTCTTCAGTTCTACCAAGGAAGTGACTTGTGCTTACCATGCTGTGTCTGTTATCTTTCGAGGCCCTTCCCAGTCATCTCTCAAGTCAGCATTTTGCATTCCTAAATCACCATGCTGTCCAACAAAGCCCATTCGCCAGGCATGAAAGTTTCGGCTTTTCTTCGAGACGAGAAGAAGTCTTGCAAACTGATGCAGAAGAAGATACTGAGTAGGCATGACCTGTCCGAGTGAGGTGGCACATAAGCTGACGGGTTCTCCAGAAGACATGCCAGCCGCAATGCCTCAGGGCAAGAGCTTCGCCATCGTAGCAGAAGACATCAGAGCAAAGACGGGAGATCCATCAGTCGTCACCAAGGTGATCTGGAAAGAGAAGAGGAGTGGAGCCGACTTCCAAGGACACATCGCTGGGCCTCCGGCTCACAGCCTGCTGCTGGCGTTGACAGCCTTGAGAGACAAAGCTCATGAGATGGCAAGAGCTCAAAAATGACAATCTCGGGACCAGGAACATGTAACGGCGAGGGATGATGGAGTAGCGGAAATGGACAAGCATGGTGCTCGAGAGGCCTCTCGGGAAGAGATGTTCATGTTGCCTGGATTGTCGTTTTCAGGGTTCTCTATTCCGCTTCGTGACAGACGTTGGAGTATTGATCGAACTTAATGTTCAAGTTATGTTCACAATGCTGTACTCGCGTGTACCGGGTTGATCTCTCTGCAGGTTGAGGCTTCGGCGTTGAGAGAAGTGGCTGTCTTGACCTCGCGTCGTCCACCATGCTATAACACCATCGCGATCAATTACGGTCCAGCTCGGAACGCATTCATGATGTAAACTGTACGAGTTGTCTAGTAGCTTGCGCGTCCTCAAGTTTCAGCACCAGGAAGGCCCTCGTCTTATCGGGGCTTATCGCATCCTCCAATGACGTAGACGGCCTCCGTCGCGCGGAAGTAACGGCCAACCACCAGCAACAGAAGGAAGGCAGTCACGTCATGTGGATTACGATTGACACGATTGACCATCCTCCAGGAACCCCCACCATCTCTCCTCCTTCTCCTCCAGATCAATCTATTCCAAACTCACCTGTATCCTAAACTACCTACCAAAGTACGTTCAAAGGCAGCTCTCTCGAGTCCAACAACTACTAAGCCAGCCTCAACAGCCATCTAACCACATCCAAACCGCAATAATGGCCGACGAAACCTTCTACCGTGACCAGATCCTCTGTATGTACAGCACCTAGAGTGTCTACCACGACCACCAGCTAATTCATCTCTCTTCTCATAGCTAACGCCGCTGTCCTCTTCCCCGACACCTTCCGCATCGTCCTCCGTGCCAAGAAGAACGAGGGCAGACAGACCTACGAAGCCGTCCTCGTCGACGGCTCCTCCCACCGCATCCTCCTTGCCGGTGGCCCCGGTCTTCACTCCATCCAAGAGGCCCTTTTCAACCTGCTCATCGCAACTAGCAACCAGATGACCGACCACCTGCAAGGTTTGGCCGACAAGGAGGCCAACGGTCGTGAACACCATGCTACTACCGCTCCGAGCCATGGTGTGACCGGTACTCCTGGGCACCCTACCCGATAGAGGGTGATGAGTGTATGATTTTATGATCAATGGCTATATGTAGCTGCACAGGCATGAGTTCAGAAGTGGACATATCGCAAAGATATATACTTTATAACGAATCAATCGCCATTCTCAAGTCAATTACATAGTGCATAACCTTTCAATGGTGCCCAAAGGGTTGTTGGACTGATCGATCCGGTCAGCAGACGTGACTGGATTTGGTGTTCAATATTGACGTACATATACGAGCATAGAAGTTAACTTAACCTAGAACACTGTTTAGCATGCAAAGATTCCCAGGTGGTTAGGGCGCAAGGAAGAAGTAACGAGAGAGAGATGATGTTGTACTCATATATGACCTAAACACCGAAAGACGCTCGCTGACCCATCCAAAAGACAACCATAACAATCGTCGAGCTAAACATCTAGAAATTCCACTGCTTGCACCAATTTACCATCAAATCACGGTTCACAGGGCCCAACTCCCTCAACGTAACACTGGCCTCAGCAGTGTGCTCAGTAGCCAATCTAGGCAAGCTACCCTCCTCAACAGCCAGACCTTCATAAAAGTCCAACAACTTCAGTCCAGGCACCTTGCTCACAACCTCTTCAGTCATGTCCAATTTCTTCATCTCATCAAGCCAGTCCTTGAATTCGACGATCTTAATCTCAGTGCCTTGGGAGGCGTAGAAGTCGACGACGCTAGGTACGAGGTTTTTCCATTGTACGGTGGAGGGGTTGACGAGGTGGAAGGTGTCCAGCTTCTGAGACTCTTGAGTGCGCAGGCGTGTGCGTGTGAGATCGATAAGGATCTTAGCTGCTGCATCCGTGGGTACCCAATCGACGATATCTTCGTTGCCCAAGGTGCGAGGGATCTTGCCAATAGCCTTGGACGATGCAACGATAGAAGGCAACCACTCCTGACGGTTCCAAAGACCCTTTTCGGCGGTGGGACCGGCGAGCTGACCTACGCGAACGACAGTAGAGGGAATGTGCGACTTTTCGGCTGCAATGGCGAGCATGGCTCCCGCGACATGCTTGCTTTCTCCGTATCCTTGAGGGAAGGGAAGACTGTTATCTTGCATGAACACCTCAGGAACAAAACCAGAGTGTCCGCTGCCGAGCCAGTTGCCAGTGCTAGCGATGGAGGAAATGAAGATTATGTGGGGGTGGTATTGAGCAGAAGCACTGAAATCAATGACACGACGCGTGCCCATCAGATGGGTCTCTTCGAAGGACTCAAGACCCATGTTAAAGTCGACAGCCCAGGCGTTATGGATGAAGACGTCAACGTCACGTTGAAGCTCGTGATATACTGCGTCAGGCAGACCGAAGTTCTCCTTGCCAAATGAAGCTTGCAAGAAGACGACCTTGGAGAAGTCGGGTACAGCTCCGCGCTCTTCGAAGCTGCGCTTCTGTCGGCTTTGGGCATCCGAGCGGTTGAGACAGTAAATCTTTGCGACGGCAGGGTTTGCAATCATGCCTTCCAGCAGGTAGTTACCTAGAGAGCCAGTGCTCCCCGTGAGAGCAATAGCATGCTTCTGCTGGCGAGGATTGTACTCGATAGGCGAAGGTAGGTTTTGTGTATACTTCTTGATGACCTCATCCATGTTTTGCTCACGAGACTTGGTAGGAGCTCCATTGGCGGCCTCGCCGTGGAGAATGTTACGGACTGCCTTGGTCAAGGCATCGATGGTTGGGTTGCCATAGACCATCCGAGGCTTGAATGTTGCATCACGCGAGCCCTCCTTCTTCGGAAGAGCGTGGCCGATAGTGTTGGCTAAAGCAAGCACTTGAAGTGAGTCGATGCCAAAGGAGAAGAGGTCGGCCTCGTAGCCTTCGTCATCAAGGTTCTCAGGGACTTGGGGCAAGGCAAGAAGAATGGCCTGCTTTACAAAGCTGCGGATAGAGGCCAGGTCAGCATTGGCGTCCAGCTGTCCAAGTGACTCGGCCGAACTCTCGTTGGAATACAGCGCATCGATCTCAGCTTTGTAAAGCTCATTGGTCTTGCGGCGCATGATGCTACCCTTGGGAGCTCGCTGGAAGGGCTTCTGGGGGTTGGCAATGGCAATCTTTGACTTCCAGACTCTGCCATGAGCGGCCATTTTCTCGTTGGCTCGCTCAACTGCAGGCCAGATCTGCTCGAGGAATGTCTCGGGATCAGTCTTAGTGTTGGTCTCGAGGATGAGACCAGCCTGGAAGCGACCTTGACCAACAACAAGAGCGCCCTTTACTGCTGGATGGCCTTCGACGTCCTTCTCGAACATGACAGGATTGAACTTCTCGCCGTTGCTGAGAACGATCACATCGTCGTTGCGACCCTTGTACTTCCAGAGACCTTTTTTGGTGGGGTGCTCCTCGTACAGATCTTTGGTGCGGTACTCGTCAAGCTCAGGGAAACTCCAGAATGCACCCTGAACGGGATTACCGGGCATGCGCTTGATGACCATCTCGTGGAGCTCGCCAGAGGGCTCCATAACAGCACCTGTATGCTCACACCACTCGAACCAACCCCAGTCGGAACGGTCTTCGGTGATGTAGCTATCCCAGAATGTACCCTCGGTAGAACCGATGATGGTCTGGATTTGGGTGGTCTCAGCAATACGGTCACCTACCTCTTGTGCAAGAGGAGCTCCTGCAAAGAAGACGAAATCAAGCTTTGCGAGAGTGTCGATGCCACCAGGAGCATCGACGATGTCTTCAAGGATGGCAGGCGGGAAGAAGCCAGTCGCTGGTTTAGCGACTTGAAGCACCTCAAGCGTGAGATCGGCGTTGGGCGAGCGGCCTACAGGAGGCAGAATAAGAGGGCCTTGGGCGTAGATCGATCTTAGTGCCATGAAAAAGCCCATTGCGTGGAACCATGGCAGACTGCAGAAAGCCCGGTCCGTACCAACGAACTTCTGGGCTCTCGAGAGACGGCCACCAGCAATTGGGAGCTGACGGATACGATCGAGGCAGGCGAGGTAGCCATTGCGGAGGTAGATCGGCTTCGGGATGCCGGTCGAACCAGAAGTATGGATGATGGCGACAATATCATTGGGGTCTGTACTGACAACGCCCTCGTAGTGTTCCACTTTATCGTCATTGAAAAAGTAGTCCATAGGAGGAACCTCATAGGCCTCGATGGGTGTCTTTTCGTCTTGCAATGCGAGGATCTCTTTCCTCATGCCCTGGCCGTGCAGGAATTTCTTGCTTTGTGTACGTTGGAGGATGGCACGTTGGCCTTCTTCGCTGTTACGTGTCGAGGCAAGGAGAGCCTTGTAACCAGTCTTCATAGATGCAATGATGGCAAAGATATATCTGATGTCGTTTTGGCGGTCCATGTAAGTGATGGTTTCTCTTGACGTGCTGGTTCCGATGGTCTGCTCGATCCAACGGGCCATTTTGCTGACAGCTTGTGATAATTGACCGAAAGTCAGGGTCTTATAACCATCTTGAAGGTTACTGTTGTTGCGAGGTACTTCTACCCATTTCGTGTTGGGAGCAGTTCTTGCGATTTCGTCAACGATGTGAGGGACAACGCGAAGAGGGAGGTTGTCGTAGGTGGAACTCATGGTGGAGGCAGAGGATGATTCGATGATTTGAGTATTGGTAGAGTTGCTCGGAGGGACGATTGTGGTTGATGCTTGATGATAGTCTGCTGGCGGGAGAGTCTGATAGAAGTGATAGGATATCGCTGTCAGGGACCAGCGACATGTTTATATATCAGACCTCTGCGGATACGGCAACAAAGGTCCGACATCGTGAACCCTAACATACTTGCGTGTTGTCTGTGATAGACACGTACCCTTGAGCACTGCATAGCGATACGGAGAGGTCATCTTTCGGCCGCCGGACGGTGCGGCAAGATCGCAGTATGAGGGACTAAACAGCGATACAGCGCAATCTTGTCATCGAAACGGAGGGAGATTGATTAGAGTCCAGTGAGTGCAGCTTCCGGAGTGGCTCGCATAGAAAGCGAGCAGTCGGGCAGTGTTACGGTGACGTCGGAAAGGCGTGCCGATATGTGGAGTCCCTGTCAACAGACATCACTGCTTCAGATTTGCCTGAGGATCGCCATAACATCAGCATTTGTGATCACAGAAATTACGCAGACTTGTCGTGGGCGACACATATGATGGAGACACAGGAACGTCAAGCTCATTTCGAGAACAGCTCTAGAATGCGTCAAAGATAGATCGTCTCGTAAGCTGCGTGTTCATGGTATTGATTTGCAAGCAAGATCGATGTCGTCTTCTTTGATGGAGGGGTTCGTCCGTAACACGACTGATAACGTTGGGCGGCCCGGCCCTGCCGCGCAGTACCAATCACTTTACCAGCCTGCTACGTAGGCAATTAGGGTTCGATCTGTTTCGAAACACAAGGCACGAAAGTGTGACGGGCTGCGCGATGCCACAGCGGTGAGGTGGTTGGGAAAGAGCTTCTCGAAGTTTGGCAGAGATGAGAATGGTCGGATGACGGCAAGGGTCGTGACATCCGAGACTTCTCCGCCCACGAAACAGAGGGCATCGGGCAACAACGACAACAACAATGTTCGCTCAATTCTCGAAGAATGACCGAGTCGTTCAACAGCTGTCGTTCCAGTCTTCCCGAACACTCCCCAGATGTAACTTGGAAGGCGTGAATATTCTGGTTGGACCGCGAACTCGGCATTGCTTGTGTAAATGCTTGGCCAGCATCACTGACGGAGGCTCGGATTCCGAGAAAGCACAGACATTTTCGAAGGGCTCGTTTTCTTTGCGAGAGTAGCATCAACTTTCTCAGACTCGTTTGACGTGAGAAGGAGCAGTAACAACAGCCCTGTCGCTCAGCTATGCCTCGTCTGCACCCTCGTGTTTTGCACCAAGCGCACAAGAGTGACACGTTGCTGCCGTTGGTGCTGCGAGCCACTCGAGATCTTACATCGGCGAAGAACGAACTACGGTGGCTGAGGGACTTCGTTGCCGAGCCACAGCGCAACACTGGGAACATCCTCGACAACTGGGCTGCACGACGAAAACTCCGACAGCTATGCGTTGAAAGGGCTAAGGGCAAGCCTTTACAATATATCATGGGGACCGAGTATTTCGGTGATCTAGAAATTGCCTGTAAGCCAGGCGTTCTGATACCAAGGTAGGCATTGTAAGTGATTTCTTTTGCATCACTGTTCTGTTTACGCAAGAGGTAGGCAAGAGACAGCTGCTTCTGTAACACACCTGATGGAGCGACTACAAAAGAGCAAACTACTCCCTGAGCATGTGAAGCTCTTGGATCTATGCACCGGTACTGGATGTATACCGCTGCTGGCGAGCTACGAGCTCGTGCAGAAGTATTCTAGAAAGGGGCGGCTCGAAGCGGTTGGTGTTGATATCTCTTCCCGCGCTTTGAGCCTCGCCGAAAGAAATCTTAGACGACTAAGCCAAGATGGAACAATACGGATAGAGCCTCCAAGCTCATCATTGAGTTTCATCCGAGCAGACATACTCGCTGAGGCCGACCACAACCCGAGCGACTGTGTATCATTGATGACCGCGCTACAGCTGTACGAGGAAACCCAACAAAGCAATGACCCAACAGCAGATCGCAAAGGTGGCTGGGATATTCTCATCTCAAACCCGCCATATATCTCGCCTAGTGCTTTCAATCGCACTACAACTCGATCGGTAAAGAGATACGAGCCGAAGCTCGCTCTTGTTCCCAAGGACGCAGATGCATCGCAATATCCGGGCATCGACCCTGGAGATATCTTCTACCCTCGACTGCTAGAGATCGCCAAACAAGTGGACGCTCGGGTTGTACTCTTCGAAGTAGCAGATCTCGAGCAAGCGGGTAGGGTCGCTGCCATGGCACAGCAACAAAACATCTGGACTGTGATTGAGGTATGGCGGGATAACCCATCTCAAGCTGACGATTATGGCGGCTCAGAACAGACGTCAGTTGCTACTGGAATCAAGGTGCTAGGCAGAGGAAACGGACGCTCTGTCTTTGCCTACCGAGGTGGTGCGAAAGCATGATTTAATCACATCAACGTCTGAGGAGTCGTGCGTGTGCTCTCAAGATGCTCTGTATACTCTCTCGTTGAATTCGAATTATTTTACCAGAGGCTCAGACGTTCCTGTTACATTACCATCTCAGACAGGGTCGCCAAAGTATACACAGATTACGCCTCGAACGCCACAAAAGTCTAAATCTGGCATGAACTGCAGGACCGTTAAGCGAACTTTCGTATCTTGAACTTCATGGTTGGCCGCGAGATATTCTCCTTTGGACGCACCATCGCTCACGCCACATCCCACAATGGGATTGTTCTCGTCTCAGAAAGTAGGCAGTGATACGATTGAGAGAGCCGAATACATTGCTCTGCCATCGATTGAAGGGTCACTGCCTACACAGCGACCAACGGCTCATAATGTCAAGAAACAGTCGTTCTTCTGGGTCAAATGTTACTTGTTCGTCACGATAGGTGGTGTTTTCGTATGGATGGCGTATGCCATGGTTTTGAGTCTACCATCTCGTGCTGAGTGCCCTGTTGCTACACAAGAGAAAGCTACTTCTGAGACGACAGCACCGACCACCGCCATAACCGTCACGGCTACGGTCACATCGATGCTCACACAGGCACCGTCATCTGCAGAGACGAACACATCTGAAACTACGGCATCAACTCTCAAACTCGATGCTCCCATCTTAGGACCCATGGACAACCCTCTCCTTCTATACTATCCGGCACTCCCAGAATCCGGCACTAGATCCAGAATACAACCTCCATACATTAACAAACCACCGAACTCTCGCCCTCGAGTTCCACTCTTCATCTCCTTCGCCCGCAACAACGCCATGCTACTTCAGACCCTGCACTCCTACATCTCTTCCGGCTGGCCCGCTTCCGACATCATCATAATAGACAACAGCGGCACCATGGACGCAAACCCTTTATCCTTACTTTCTACCTCTAACCCCTTCTACCTCGACTACAAAACCTTGAGAGAAGCATATGGAGTGTCGATATTGCAAACACCGACGTTACTCTCCTTTTCCCAGTTACAGAACTTCTACATCAGAACAGCGATCACTATGGACTGGCAATACTTCTTCTGGTCACATATGGACATCGTCGTCCTTCCCACCTCTACCCAACCATATAAATCCTTCTACGCCCAAGTCCTACAAGTCCTCAGCAATGTCACTACACTCTCAGAGACAGGACAACCATGGGCCCTCCGCTTCTTCAACTACGATTTTCTAACTCTGGTCAACGTGGAAGCTATGAAAGCTATAGGCCACTGGGATACATTTATCCCTTACTACGCCTCCGATTGCGATTTCTACTCTCGTGTTTACGCCTCCAACTATGATACTCCCGAAAGTGTAAAAGTCACAGCGGGCAAGATCTATGATATGCCATCGCTGGTTCCTGATTTTGCTGCCAAGTTATCAGCCATTTATACCTCCAGTGGCGTGAATGAAAAGGCATATCCGGCATTAACCTGGGAACTGGAAAAGGCGCAGAGATTCAAGGATGCAGATCAAGGTGCTCATAGGAATAGTTGGCAAGGACAGCAAAAAGGGGGACAAGGGGAAATGTGGACGTATGATGCGGAAGGGTTTGGGAGAGCATGGTGGATGATTTCACGAGCAGGGGAAAAGGTGTATAGGGAGAAATGGGGGAGGGGGGATTGTGAGTTGTGGAAAAAGGATGGATGGTCGACCAGTAAGGCGTGGAAGAATCATGGTGTTTAGACGTCCACTCTCAGACTTCTACAAAGATTGGAAGTTGATGGAATGTTTGGATCATGATGGTAATCTTGATAGGGTAATTCATCCCTGAGACACGGAAAGTGTTACGACGTATTCTGCAAACTCAATACGCTCTTTCCCTTCTTATGATATAACACATCTTCGTTTTCGCGTATGCCATTTCTTCATAACTTTGGAGCTTGGCTCAGGTTTAGAAGCTTGCTCGGCAACACGCCCATGTTTAGACTTCCCAGGCAGCGCACCGATACCTCTACTCCTTGTCGCCTGGCCCTTGACTCGTTGGTCTGGGTTAACCACCTTCTAAGCTGAAGGCGACCCAGAGCTTGCTCCAACCCTCCAGCCAACTCTGACCAAAGTCTCACAGACATCCTTTGTCGAGTTGTTAACCAGATCGTCATCAAGCTGTACATCGCCTTCTTGGTAGAGGTTGATGACCGTACTGCCACCGTATTGGAAGGCACCTAGACATTCTCCCCGTCTGATTTCTCTGCCGACTTCAATGCCGGGGTTGTATCTGATGCTGCCGACCAACATGGCACCGACGGCGATGATGGCGACTTTTGTTCCCGTCTCTTTGCGTCTGACGATCATGACACTGCGTCTGTTTTCGCAGAAGACGTCGAGGGTGCCTTCTTCGTTGATGGCTTGAGGGTTCACTGTATAGTATGCGCCGGGGATCTCGGTGACGGACTCGATAGTGCCGGAGACGGGCGAGTGCCAACGGTGGTAGTCTTGAGGTGCGAGACGGGCGATTACGATGCTGCCATTGTTGAAATCTGAAGCGAGGGACTCGGAGGCTAGAAGTTTAGAGACAGTAAACCCGAAGCCTTTGATCCAGTACTTTGTCGCGAGATCGACGGTAGGGAAAGCGGTAAGACGGCAGTCTGCTGGCGAGGATACGACGAGGTCCTGAAAATGATCAGCACACACTCAAATGGCAAGAAGGGGTAGAGGTACATACGTTGCCAGGTTCGTCAATTGGTCGAGCGTCCTCGCGAATTTCTCTTGAGAAGAAGTCGTTGAAGTTCTTGTACTTGGAAGGATTGGGCTCCTTCATCTCAGACATGCTCTCTTGCAGCTCAAAGCTCTCGATGAATGGAACAATGTGGTCAACACTCTTCGGGTCATCGTATTGCTTGCCCATCTTCTCGCTCTGATCTTTCAACAGCTTGACAGTGCGCTTCCAGTGGAGGGCTTTTTCTTGCTCGGACCCATAGTACAGAGCATGCATACCCACACGCACATAGATGCTCATAGGCTCGAAGGTCTTTTCGCCAGTCTTGCGATCCATTACGTAGTTGCCCATGTGGAAGGCAGATTCCATTGCCTCGAGACTATCGTAGGGGAAGATGCGCTTGAGCCACTTGTGAGATCTTTCATGGTTGGAGGGAGTGTGGAGTGCTTCTTTGGGATCTTCGGGATGGTTGGCGGCTTGGTCGGTGATTTTATCGAGAGCTGCTGCCGTGGCATCGAAGTGGGCGTCGCTGAGCTTTTCCGTCATTGTGATATATGTCTTAGGGACGAATAAAAGATATGGGAGGAAGAATTGGGGGTCCTAGGGATGTGATTGATACGAGATATGTGATTGAAGGGAAAGTCCATGTTCAATTGCATCAACGGCGCTGGATTGCGTGTCCCTGAACGATGTCATTTCCCCATGAAACTTGGCACCTTCGAGCAAGCTTCCCAAGCTTTGATCTGCGTCATGCTGGAAAAGAGCCTCATATTGTTTTCGTTTGCAGTCTTCTGATAATGGCATGTGTATCATGTAGATACTTCAGATTGCGCGCGTATGAGAGAGACCCTGGTGGATAGAGGTCAGAGAGGCTCTTGGATGCAAGAATGGGCTTGGATTCGACGAGGCAATGCAGACTACCCGTGTGGTTTCGAGCTGCCCAAGTCCTTTACCCTCGTATAACTTTCGTGGAGGAGACCGCGTTATAGCTGTCGCTTAGTCGTAACGTCTGCGCCGCTCGCCATCTCTGTCTCTCTTTCCGCTCGGCGATCGACTCCTGTGCCTTCTGCGTTCGACCGATCTTGACCTTGTGCGCTCACGACGGCTGTGGCGGTGTCTGCGTTCACGCTCATCATCTGCAGGACCATGTCTGCGATCGCGGTCGTCCCGTCTCGGCCGGTGTCGTCTGTCTTTGTCTCCATCTCTTGAACGCGATCTTCTCTTGTGTCTTCTCTCACGACTCCTGCTGCGATCCTCACGCCGTCTGTGCCTTCTCTCTCGACTCCTGCTCCTACTGCGTTCGCGCTTCTCGGGCTCTGCAGCAGGCGCAGCTTGTGCTGCCATACCTGGACGCAAAGCGACAGGTTCGAGATTTGCATTGTCCCTGTCTGGCACTGGCAGACCCATAGCTCGTAGCATTTCATCCTCCTCTTGTTGCTTGATCTTCCTCATCTCCTCCCGACGTTGTGCAGCTTCGTCCAACTCTTCGCCGTCCTCACCGCGAGCATACCAGTTCAAGTCCTTTCCTTTTTGCCAGCGACCGACGGGTGCCATCAACGAGTGTCCGAGGTAGTTTTGGCGGTGAGGGTCGTTTTGTACATCTTGCCAGGAGAATTCGTTGCGCCCTCCTCGTGAGCCTTCTTTGCGAACTGTTTGGAGGAGATCCATTATGATGTGCTGATTTTGGCGATGGGACAGTGACCACTGTGATTCGTACTATGCTTTGGAAGATGGTGCCCGTATTGCAGGTGTGAGGGTTGCTCGAATCTGGAAGTTGCGATTGCCGTTCAGTTTTGTCTTGGCGTCACTTCTCATCACTTTACAATCCGCTGTTCTACACCTCGCTTGGGCTGGGCAGATTCTACATTCTAGATGGATTCAATTACTAATGAGGATCCCTATCTTTACTGGGCTCGTGAATTGCGGAAGTAGGTGTGCGCCCTCCTTCACGACCACGGGAAGGCTATTCGTGGAAGTCACAGTCCCCAGGTCTATCCTAACAAGATTCAACTATGTGCCAATTGTGGACTCAAGACATAACATTGGCATAAGCTAGTTTGGTGAAGGAACTCTGAGGGCAAGCTTTTCTGCATTTCCTGGCTTATCAAACACTGGACGAATTTATCCCCCGTCGGTTGCGAGAACCATGTCTTTGGCTCCACAAGCGTAATCCAAACCCACCAAAGATCAGCCTGGAAGATGTCGTGGCCTAAACACGGTTGTATGGCCAGGAAGGTTCGAACTGATCAGTGAGACGAATGTCTATCCTGACAGACTCAGCAAGCTCGGCCATCGATGATCTTGACGACAGACTTCGAGTGCCCACACCACAATATCCTCCGGCTGTGGTCTATCCATTACAGCGAGTAGTCCTCTCAAGATATGCTGAGCCTCTTCCTTCGAGTCAAGGTCCGAGATGCCGTTCCGGAACCTCCTCATCAACTCGTCTCGTTCCATCATCATCCCCAAGGAAGCAGAACCCTTATCTCTCAAGATGTTTGCCAGCCGCTGATCATCCTCGGTCAGACCTGCGTCTGCTGACTGGAGCCGTGCTTGGTCAGCTGTGACATATGAAGGTCCAAACGCTTCAGCAGCTGGCACACATTGAGCGAATTGCCAGTCTATTATCCCAGTCACTCTCCCTGTCTCGTCCAGCAGGATATGATCGCCTTTGTCGTCGACATGCTTCAGGAAGAATTCTTGAGCCTCGGTGCCATTGAAAACTTGTTCAACATGAGTTGCAAAAATCGAATAGAAGGCAAAAGCTTCTTGGGGCCACCTTGGGCAGATCTGGCCATCAGCGATCAGATCAAGATATTGTTGACAAACGTCGAGGAGGCACTCCTTATCGGTCGCATAAGGTCCATGAGCATCTAGGTGTACATATCTGTTGCTCGCCATCTTCGATATGCAAATGTCTCCTTGCTCTATCACCAACGAGCCGGCCTGGGCGAATGGATATTTCGACAGCTCAATCAGAATATCCGCCACCGATTCTAGAACGCTTTGTTTGTCCTTATCCCCATAGTCCCATGGACGTCCGGCTATCCGCTCCATGAGGATATAGTCGACGCCGATGCGTTTGTCCTTGTCAGAAGCTAGTCCAAAGTCATAGGCTTTCGGTGCCGGAACCTGAGTGTTTTCCAGGAATTTCAAAGTCGCAAACTCGCTCGCAATTACATGTTCGATCAGCTGGCGAGGGTATTCATTGAATCCTTTGCGAGGGATACGGATGAGCCACTCAGTCTGGTCATCGAAAATGATCCGCCCGTGGAAGTTAGCGCAGCCCACGATGAAACCAGTAGTATCCGAGTCTCTCGATTCGTAGCGACACTTCTGACCGCCATTCAGGGTCGATGCTCGCTTGAGCACTTCGGCTACATTCAATCGTTGGTGAAGCTCGGATACCTCGTTCTCTCCGAGCTGTTGGTATTCCTCTTCACTGATCTGCAAGAAGACGAAGAACTTCAGATAATGCTATGAATGTTTTGGCCACGCAAACGTACCTCGGACAGCGATGGACAGGTATGAAACTCTTTCCTGTCGTGTACACAACAGAATGGTCTGTCGCAGATTTGGCATGCACCACCACGTACGCTTGGTCGATGGCATTGAGATATCGAGCAGTTTGCGAATCGATTGGTAGCCGACATCATCACTATGACTGCTGCAATAAGATAGGAAGTGATGCAAGGCTGCTGCTGCTGCTTTGTTGATTGCGCACGTGATAAGACTTAGCCGCCGTATAACCAAAACAAAGACCTCACTGTATCCCTTTCAACCATATCGACTTGGCGCTTAAATGACTATCACCCCTCTTCTATTACATGTGTGCAGTCCTTAGAGATTCAAGATACTTTCCAGTCGGTGCAGTCGTGCACATACAGAGATATGTCGACGGGCTCTCACCGAATACTGTTATAACGCGTAAACATAATACACTTGTATGTATGAGCTCGACTTGAAATGATTGATCGAGATGAATCCGTGTGTGGTGATAGAAGTTGAAGATTGGCGAAAGGTCACTCCGGCGTTAACAACGGAGAAAAGCAGGCGAAGCTCGCCCCGCAAAAATGGGCAGGCGCGTCAAGACATGACGATCAGGGACGCTGGGAAACGTGTTGCTTTCGAGGATCCTTTGACCGAGACTTTGACAAGTCAATCCGAGGTCGCAAACATGGCTCCTTGGTTACTATCAGCGGCTGTGGCATTGTTGCAGCTTCTGCCTGAAACGGCAGTCGCTCAAGATGTTGCATCGCCATTCACAAAGGCTTCCAATGATTCGCTTCTTTGGGGCCCTTACCGTCCGAATTTGTACTTTGGCGTGAGACCGAGGCTACCTAAGAGTGTGCTTACTGGTTTGCTCTGGGCCAAGGTGGAAGACTTTGCTTCTGTTCAGAACAGTGCGCAATATGTCCCGTGAGGGTGTCGATGACAATGGCTGATTAAAGCTTCTAGACTTCCGATACACATGCGAGCAACATGAAGGCATGGCCGGCTACGGCTGGGACGCATACGACCCGAGAACTGGTGGATCGCAAACCATCCACGATGCCGGCAACCAGATCGATGTCACAACCGACTTTGTCAAGTTCCCCGAGCACGGCTCCAATGGAGGATCATGGGGCGCAAGAATCAGGGGTGTACCAAGAGAAGACGCTTCCGAGGATCTCAAGACAACTATGGTTTTCAACATTGGTGTCGAAGGACTGGGCAGTCTGGTAGTCGACAACGCTGAGGAGGGCGAGAACTCTGAAGTCGGCTTTGACGGAGATGTCGTGATTGCTGGAGAGACTCCTGAACTGGGCACTTTCACCGTCACGGTTGTTGACCGTAAAGGCAACAGACCCAGCCATATCCACCCTTCGTTCCAGGACAAGCCCATCGACAGGACTCTGGTGCACAGTGTGCAGATCCCCGAGGCCGCTCTGTGGCAGGCCAAGCGTATGTTGATCATGTTGTGAGCGTGTTCTGATGCTAACATTGAAACAGCCGTCATGTTCTCCGCCATGAAGACATCTCTCGACAAGTACATTGAAGACTACACGGCCGAGAAGATGCCTCCTCCGATGCAGGCCTTCACCATTCCCAACCTCCCAGGCGCTGGCAACATGCACTTCGTGCAAAAGGTCTTCGAAGGAGCATTCGAGTTTGATGTTATCTTCTCGTCTGGTTCCGGTTCCGAGCCCATCAAGTCGGCAGACGTGTCAGAGAAGATTGAAACCACCATCAAGTCCTTCTCCGAGCGCTTCATCGAGTCTTTCAAGCCGCAAAAGCCTTTCAACGACAAGAAATACACCGGCCTGGCCAAGTCGCTTTTCTCAAACTTGATCGGTGGCATCGGATACTTCCATGGAGATGCAGTCGTTGACCGCTCGTACGCCGCTGAGTACGAGGAGGAGAATGAAGGATTCTGGCAGGAGACTGCAGAAGCAAGAGCAAGAAACCAACAAAAGCTTGAGGGTCCACATGAACTCTTCACCGGTACTCCTTCCAGACCTTTCTTCCCTCGTGGTTTCCTCTGGGACGAAGGTTTCCATCTGCTTCCCATCATTGACTGGGACGTTGATCTCACTCTGCAAATTATCAAGAGTTGGTTCAACCTGATGGATGATGATGGCTGGATTGGCCGTGAGCAGATTCTTGGACCCGAGGCTCGCAGCAAGGTGCCTCAAGAGTTCCAGACTCAGTACCCCCACTACGCCAACCCCCCTACTCTTTTCTTCGTCATTCACTCTTTCCTTGACAAGATTGCCGCTGCCAAATCGGGCCAACAGGTTCTTGGTTCTGAGAATGCTAATGGTGTTCTTGCCAACCCTGATGCAGCCCTTCAATACCTCCGTGACCTCTTCCCTCTTCTGAAGAAGCACTATGAATGGTTCCGCAAAACTCAAGCTGGTGATCTCAAGTCTTATGATCGTCCCGCATTTTCCAAGAAGGAAGGTTACCGCTGGAGAGGAAGCACCAAGACTCACTTGCTCACTTCTGGTCTTGATGACTACCCTCGTCCTCAGCCTCCTCATCCTGGTGAGCTTCACGTTGATCTCATGTCTTGGATGGGCATGATGACCCGTGCCATGAAGCGCATCGCAACCACTCTTTCCGAATCAGATGACGTAGCTGCTTACTCTAAGATCGAGACTGCCATCATCCGCAATCTCGACGACCTGCACTGGGATGCAGACGAGAAGGCATATTGCGATGCTACTATTGATGAATACGAAGAGCATGCTCTCGTCTGCCACAAGGGTTACATTTCTCTCTCGCCCTTCTTCACAGGACTCATGGCACCTGACCACCCCCATCTCGGTGAGGTCCTCGACCTCATCGGCTCTCCTGAACACCTCTGGTCACCCCATGGTATCCGCTCCTTGTCCCCTCAAGACGAGTTGTACGGCACTGAGGAGAACTACTGGCGTTCACCCGTCTGGATGCCCATCAACTACCTCGTCGTCAAGGAACTCCTCAATACTGCTTCCGCATCTGGTCCTCACCAAAAGCAAGCTGCTAAGCTTTACACCGACCTCAGAAAGAATCTTGTGGATACTGTGTACAAGTCTTGGGAATCTACTGGCTTTGCTTGGGAGCAATACAACCCCGAGACTGGAGAGGGACAGCGTACACAGCACTTCACTGGATGGACTAGCTTGGTTGTGAAGATCCTCGCCATGCCTGAAGTCCCTGTTGTAGGAAGCACTGGTCACGATGAGTTGTAGATGACATAAAAGCGAGCAAGTGTAGATAAGAGTGTGAAATAGATTCGACGTTTTCAACAACTTTGTTGTCATGTGGGAGCCCTTCACTACTTGACTGGCCAAGGCTATAAGTCTGAGGCAAGTTGACCACTCTGCAAGAAGATCGGAGCTCTAGCCCAATTGGGTAAACACTCATCAACTTCTGATAAACCTCTCCAAATCTGAGCATAAATAGAATCCAAGGGTGGTGTGTTCGAACCTCACCCTGGTTGGTCGCGTTGAAGATTTGGTCAAAAGATGTTTCCCAAGTTAAGTCCTGGTTTTTTTGCTTGTTCACGTTTTGCGCACCTCACGTCGAACGTTGCTTCTTGGTCATTTGCTCGATGGGTTAGAAACAACTCTGTCACCAACCAAGTTGCTTCCGATGGTTGACCGATCGACAGCGCCTGAAGCACATTACAAAGACTGCTTCGTACAAGGACTGTGAACAATGGTATGCACGAGAAACAATGCGACTCTTTGAAAGGTGTTGTCTTTGCGATGCCATTTCTTTCATTCTTTGAACTACATTGTCAAAATACAATCGTTGTGAGGAAAGTTCAACAAAGAAGCATTGTCCAGTGTTGTCCTTCGACTTTTTTTCTACCATAACACTCTCACAGCTATATATAGACCCTTAGCATTCTATTTTCTTCCATCAGATTCAAACACAAACACAACAACACAACAATGTCTTACTACCAGTCATCCTCCAACAACAGCTCCAGGTACGCCAGCCCTGCAAACTATGCTCGCGCTTCTCCTCAACAACAACAGTATGGCTCTCAAACAGTCGGTCGTCGTGGCGGCATCCCTCACTCTCGCCCAGTCCACTACAGCGATAGTGAAGAATACTCCTCCGACTCCGATTCCGACTCTGATTCCGACTCTGACGACGAAGACGAGGCCCCCAGCTATCAACGCCGTGTTGCTGTCCACCACCGCCCTTCCACTTCAAGTTACTCTTCCTCCTCTTCCTCTAGACAACCCTCCCACCACCCTGCCTCTTCTGCCTATCATGCCTCTTACCAACATCAACCCCAATACACATCTCAACATCAATCCGCTCCTGTCCAACGCAGCAGTAGCCCCAGAGGCTACATGATGCAATCAAACACCACCGCTCGCATGGGTCTGAATATGCTAACTCAACCCCCCAGTTCCCAAGACCCTGTCGCGTCCTTCTCCGAAGACCGTAGAAGACCTTTACCTATTTCGTCTCAATATGCTTCTTCTGGCTCTAGACATGGCAGTAACGCTAGTGCTGCTACTTCTGGTGGTTGGGGTAGTGTTTCTGGTTCTGTTTCTTCTGCTTCTTCTGGGAGGAGTGCGAGTCGGGGTGGTCAGTATGTGGAGTTTCGGCCTGCTGTTTATCCTGGTGGTAGGGTTGGTGAGAGGGGGTCTTCTGGCAGCGGGTCTTCGAGAAGATCGCGTCGTTGAGAAGGGGTGGAGAGTAAACTGAGGTATGTTCGCCATCTCCTGGTTCGCTAATCTTGATCGTTGGTTTGTTACGTGCTGCTTCTGGTGAGTTCTCCTCTCCTGCTTTAGTAAGTTTGCTTTTGCTCTTTTTTTTTACGTCGTTGCTATTCCTTGTGTTTGTTTTCACTTACACTCAATCAATCTGATAATTCTTTTCCAACTTGAAAACCAATATGTTTCCATTTTTGCTTTCCGCTTTGTATGCGAACACGTCCTCCTGGCCTCGTCAAGATCAAGAAGTTATCAGAAGATGCAGCTCTGTGCACAAAGACTGCCACATCTTGAAAGCTCTCTACGAACAAAGCGCTTCCTCAGAATTCCCTTGTGCATTCTGATACATGCTAAAAGCGCAGTACCAGGTATATGAGGGCCAAACGCATGCTAATTGGTATTAAAAATGTCATTTCCTCTATAAACGTAAAACTTTTCCAAGTATCTTGATCAGAACGAATTCTTCTATTGCTGCTGAGCGAACTCTTCGAGCCACTGTGCGAGCTTCTCGACCTTCTCCACGCTGACGGCGTTGTAGTTGCTGATTCTGCAACCACCAACGCTACGGTGACCCTTGCATCCGAGGAGTAGTCTCTCGTTTGCACCAGCGAGGAACTTCTTCTCCTTGTCATCTCTGTCTTGCTCGCTACCGATGCGGAAGCAGATGTTCATCTTGCTGCGAACGGACTTGTCGGGCACGACGTGGAAGACGGGGTATTTGTCAAGGATGCCGTAAAGCAATGAAGCCTTCTTTTCTGACTCTGCTTGTTGAGTGGCGATCTTGGGGCCATCTGTGGAAGCCTTGGTGATCAGGGACTGCATTACTTGGCCAGCGATCCAGACGTCGAAGATGGGAAGGGTGTTGTAGAGGGAGTTGTTCTTTGCGATTGTGGGCCAATCCAGGACGACGGGGCCAACAGGAAGGTTCAACTTGCGCAGCAGATCGGGCTTGGCGAGTTGAGTGAGGAGAGAGTTCTTGATGATGGCGATGGTGATTCCTGTGGTGCCGACGTTCTTCTGTGCACCACCGAAGATGGCGGAATATCTCTTGACATCAACCTTGCGGCTGAGGAAGTTGGAGGACATGTCGGCGATGACCTGGTACTTGGAGGAGTCGACATCGGGGAAGGCAGGGAACTCGACACCATCGACAGTCTCGTTGTCGCAGTAGTAGAGCATACCGCTGTGGGCGGGGTTGGGGGTCAAAGACCATTCTGACTCCTTGGGAATGGTGCCGAATTTGCCGTTGTTCTCCTTGCGACTGTCGACAGCAACGTTGACATGGCTTGCGCCAATGAGTCTGGCGGCCTCTTGACTGGCCTTCAATGACCAACTTCCAGTGACCAGGTAGTCGAGCTTGAACTCGTCATCCACGGCCTTTCTCAGAGCATCAAACACCTTGGTCTCGTCTTCTGTACCAAGCTCTTTCACGATTTGTTGTCTTCTCTTCTCAACCCAGAGGGCGGTCATGTGGTAAACGGAAGCACTGAATTCGCCAGAACCACCACCCTGCAGGAAAATGATCTGGTAGCCATCGGGGCCTTCTTGAGCAGGAATGTCGAGGAGTTGTGCCAATGCAGACTTGGTGCTTTCGAGGATCTTTTCAGCATCGCCCGAGCGATGCGAGATTTCCGTGATTCCAATTCCAGAGTCGTTGTAGTTGAGGAGGACTTGGGATGCCTTTTCCAGAACAGCTGTGGGCAGAGGGGCGGGGCCAGCGCCGAAATAGGCGGTGGCTTCACGGGAGGGCATTGTCGTAGGTTGGTATATGAAGGTGTATAGATGGTTGGAGAACAAGAGAGAAACGAATATGATCAAACAAGCAATTGAGTCACCGGGCAATAAAATGTAATGGAATGACGAATTTCGGGGGAGACATCAGCTCGCCGCAACGCTTGTTCCATGACACAAGTTGTGCATAGCGATGTCGGAGATGGCATAAAACCTGTACCTATGACTGGGTGGTGATTGGTCTGCATCCCCAAAAATTGTCCCCGGTCGTAGTTGCCTCTTGCACCTGTCAATCGATTGGAGTGAGGATTGGTTTGTGTTGCTTGACTTGTTGTTTCAGAGATACCCCTTGTGTTTTGATCGTTTCCCTTTGAGAATGCCTATTCTCCGCTTGAATGCGGCTTCTGGCGCGAGGTTGCGTCTGGTAGGTGAAATCCGAGCATGCACGCGTTTATAAGAGTGACTAATGGTATAGCAGGCCACTGCCAGACTGAGCACTCGTCGTCCTGCTCTTAGAGCCACCGTCGCTGCTTCCCAGAAAATCCTCCGTCCCCGTCTTTACACAACTTCGACACCCCTACGAAATGCCTCCTCCCCCGATGTCTTCCCCTCGCTGCTCGAACAGCCCGGTATCTCCGACTACCTCAATGCTCAAGAACCTGTCGCTGTTCCCCAAACCTTGACCGAGAAGATTGTTCAGCGCTACAGTCTGGGTCTCGCCGAAGACAAGTTCGTCCAGTCTGGCGACTATGTCACCCTCTCTCCTCAACAATGCATGACCCACGATAACTCATGGCCCGTCGCAACAAAGTTCATGTCCATTGGAGCCACCAAGATCCACGACCCCAAGCAGATTGTCATGACCCTCGATCACGATGTCCAGAACAAGACGGAAAAGAACCTACAAAAGTACCGCCAGATTGAGAACTTCGCAAAGGATCAGGGTGTTGACTTCTACCCTGCTGGCCGTGGTATCGGTCATCAGATCATGGTCGAGGAGGGCTACGCCTGGCCTGGCACTCTCTGCGTTGCTTCCGACTCGCACACCAACATGTACGGTGGTATCGGCTGTCTTGGAACTCCCGTCGTCCGCACTGATGCTGCCTCTATCTGGGCCACCGGTCGTACTTGGTGGCAGATCCCCCCAATTGCCAAGGTCACTCTCAAGGGTATGCTCCCTCCTGGTGTTACTGGTAAGGATGTCATTGTCGCTCTGGCTGGTCTCTTCAACAATGATGAGGTCCTGAACCACGCCATTGAGTTCACTGGTTCTGCCGATACCATGCACTCTCTCCCTGTCGATGACCGTCTTGCCATTGCCAACATGACTACCGAGTGGGGTGCTCTTTCTGGTCTCTTCCCCATCGATGGTGTTCTCCAGGGATGGTTGCGTGCAAAGGCTACCGAGGCTTCTCTTTACGAGGACGCTGCCCTGACTTCCTCCAAGACTTCCACCCGCTTCAACCACCAAAGACTCGATGAGCTGTTCGAGAAGCCCCTGACTGCTGACAAGAACGCCAAGTACGCAAAAGAGCTCTTCCTCGACCTGGAGTCTCTTTGCCCTTACGTCTCCGGCCCCAACAGTGTCAAGGTTGCCACTCCCTTGAACGAGCTCAACGCACAAGACATCAAGGTCAACAAGGCCTACCTCGTCTCTTGCACTAACAGTCGTCGTTCTGATATTGCTGCTGCTGCCAAGGTCTTCAAGGATGCTGCCGAGGCCAACAACGGTGTCATTCCCAAGATTCCTTCCCACGTCAACTTCTACATTGCTGCCGCCTCCCTGCCCGAACAGCGTGCTGCCGAGGAGCAGGGTGACTGGCAGACTCTCCTCGATGCTGGTGCACAGGCTCTGCCCTCTGGATGTGGCCCTTGTATCGGTCTTGGTACGGGTCTTCTTGAGCCAGGTGAGGTCGGTATCAGTGCCTCCAACCGTAACTTCAAGGGTCGTATGGGTAGCACAGACGCAAAGGCCTACCTCGCCAGTCCCGAAGTCGTCGCTGCCTCTGCTCTTCAAGGTAAGATCGCTGGTCCCGGCACATACCAGAAGCCCGAAGGCTGGAACGGTGTCATCCGTGGTGAAGGCGATGGTATCCCTGAAGAGCAACGCATGATCAGCATCGAAGACGCTCTAGACATGCTTGTCCGTCAAGCCGAAGAAGCCGTCGAGTCTGGCGAAAAGGCTCTCGGTGCAACCGATGACGCCGCTCCTTCCGCTGACGAGAAGCTCACCGACATTCTCCCCGGCTTCCCCGAAAAGGTCACTGGTGAGATCGTCTGGTGCAACGGCGACAACATCAATACGGATGGTATCTATCCCGGAAAATACACATACGACGATGCCTTCTCATCGTCGCCCGACCGCATGGCCACCGTCGTCATGGAGAACTACGACACCGAGTTCGCTTCCATCGCAAAACAAGGCGATATCCTCGTTGCAGGCTTCAACTTTGGCTGTGGCTCTTCCCGCGAGCAGGCCGCTACTGCAATCCTCGCCAAGAAGATCCCCATGGTCGTCGCCGGCAGTTTCGGAAACATCTTCTCCAGAAACTCTATCAACAACGCTTTGATGGGTGTTGAAGTCCCCAGACTTATTCAACGTCTTCGCGAGACATTCGACACACCCCAGGCTGTTGAGGGTGTCAAGCCTATCACCGAGCCCAGCAACAACGCACAATCCCTCGATACACCACCGCCGGCACCCACCTCTGTCCCTAGCCAAGAAAAGAAGCTTACAAGGAGGACGGGCTGGACCTTCACTTGGGACGTTAGACGTAGCCAAGTCATTGTCCAAGAGGGACCCAACGGCAAGAGCTGGAGCCAAAAGGTCGGAGAGTTGCCGCCCAACGTACAGGACATCATTGCCAGAGGTGGCCTTGAGAAGTGGGTTGGTAAGGAACTGGCTGCTTCTTCCAAGATCTAGAGTAATGCTACAAATGGCCGAGTTGTATCGAGTGATGTAAAGGGTGTATAAGATGGGTCATATGGCGTTTCTAGGTTTGCCAGATATATGAGAACGTTTACATGATTGTTGAATTACAAACCATCCCAATCTTCTTTCGGCTGATCGTGTCTCTTGTGAAAGTAGCCTCATAATAGATCGCTGGTTCTACCTCCTACTTCCTGCCTAGTCCAGCGGAGATGGTGATGTAAGAGAACGCGTCGATTCTGCCACACACCGCCTTCCTGCAATAACGACGCGTCCTCCCACTCGCGTCGATCAGGCAATTCTTGTCCAGAATACATACCGTTCAAGAAACTAGTCTGTTCATGTTATAGAAGCCATGACTGTCAACTTGCTTAAGCTACCACAAGAACTTCTGGAGACGATCGTGGAATGGGCCGATTACGAGGATGAGGACCAGCTCTATCCGAGCGAAACCCTTGCGAGCATACGAGGCACCTGCAAGATCCTAGAACGCGCTTCTCACAGACGCTTTCTGCGTTACTTTGACGAAAAATTTGTCGATCCCGAGGATGAAGGTGACATGCTGATCTTGAAGGCTATATCCACAAGTCCCGTTTATGCGGCCGCCGTCAAGATGATCAATTTCATCTACAAAGGCAACAACATAAACCTTCTTAAAACACCACCCGCGCTTCACGAGATCTTCACGAATTTTGTCTCCATCAATCACAAGCTCAGCATTGCATTCGATCCTTTCGGAAATATCGAGATGAGCGAGAAGATCTTCACGAGACATGTCACGGAGTTCATGGACAGGATTCTGGTCGTGGCTGCAGTGTCCAAGTTGGATATCAGTAGCATCCTGGTACAAGCGAGGCCTAGAGACTGGGATATAAGTTACGAATCGCTTCACGACCCTCGCACGTTCGTCAATGATACTCATCCAGAGTTTCCTTGGATCGCCTATGATGAGATATTCGTAAACCTCCACAACATGCTGAAACGAAACGAAGGCGGAGATCTTAGTTCAGCCATCGCCCCAGAACTGATTGCCAGTTACCCGACAATTGGAGAACTTTCCTTCAACTATCTCGAAAGCAGCCTGAAAATGACCGGTATGGACACATATCACTGGAACGAACTGATAAACTGGATAAATCTACTCTCTCCCGAAAAGATCGAAATCTTCGAATGCGGTTTCGACCCTCATGACTTGCGACAGATTCTCGAGCGTACGCAACAAGAGAATCGTCCTTTACGCTCGTTATCCATCTCGACATCCGAGTTGTTCCAAGGACGGACCTTTGATAATGCAACGCCATCTCATATCCATTGTCTTCTCCACTCTCTCAACACTTTCGCACGGGAACTTGAGTACTGTCATCTCGAAAGCATATATGGTGCCAGGACAACTTTGGAATCTCCGGCTTTTGATGATACCAGTCAATCCAGGATCGAATTCACGGGCAAAAACAAGATTCGTTCGCTCTTGACTCAATTGGGTGCTGTGTTTCCGGGGGAGGACGAATGGGAGGATGAAAACGAAGATGAAGATGATGAGGATGAAGATGACGATGACGAGGGGGATGAAGGAACACATGCTCAGGGACAGTCTAGGCAGTACGATCTAGGCCCCCTCTTCGAAGCGCTCATGGCAGGTGGTCGAAACATCACCTTTATGGACCTGTAATGCTGCTTTATAAATTCTTGCGTCTGGATGTTGTCGCGTTCGGCAGGCACAATAAACAGTCATGTACGGGCGATCTATTCAATGGCAAGAAGCATGCTTGATGACAAGGCTACATTACACAGCACGGTTGGCTCGAGTTTCAGAGCTTAGCCTGACGCTTTGCGCGCAAGACCGTGCTGTCTGTTCGCACGCCCTCGTCATCCTGCTCCTCAACCGTCAGATCTGGAAATTTGATCGGCATTATCCTCCTCGGACTGGATCCAGGCACCAGACTGTACTTGCTGAAATCGGTCACGCCTTTGTAGTCCCTGAGAAAGTCTTCATCGGTAGCAAGTAGTCCAGTTACCTCAGCCGGTTTCGAGTTGAGCATGCCTAAGATAGCATCGGAAAAGACTGTTGCTTTTCTGAGGTCGTTTCTCTTGTCCATGTCTGCCGCAACGGCTTCTCCAGTCGCAGCGCTCTCGATTGCTACAGCCGGCCAGATACCGGTGATCGCCATATCTGGCTTTTCTTCTCGAATCCAATCCATGGACAGTCCCTTGACCAGCACACTCATTCCTACCTTACCCACAGCGTATGCAGTTTTGCCTCGGAAAAATCGACTGTATATTGGCGGGCAGACAACAATGACCCGACCCTTCCAGCCACCCTTTTCGAACAGTGGAAGTGATGCTTCGATACTGGCGTACAAGCCTTCAATGTTGACTTCCTGCATCAGCTTGAAACGTTTCATTGGTGTCTTTGCTACCGAGGACCACCAGATGGCTCCAGAGTTGTAGACGAGAACATCTAGACGACCAAGCTCAGATGACACTGTTGCGAACAGCTTGTTGACTGACTCAGGCGAGCGTGTGTCTACTGGTACAGGAATAGCTATTCCTCCAAGCAAAGTGATCTCCTTCGCAACAGTGTTGATTGTGCTCTGGGATGATTTTGGATCTGGTGGAAACGAAGCCAACTTCTCGGGATCCGAGGTTGTCTTTGCAGCAACGACAACTTGTTCCTGTTAATATGCTTCCTGAGACAGAAACAGTTGCAATGCTTACTCACCTGTGTATCCTTCTTGTGAGAGACCGATCGCAATCTGTCTGCCCATACCACGAGAAGCACCAACCACTACTGCTACAGGTTTTGTATTGGCCATTGTGTTCGAGAAATATTCTTATGTTCGATGGACACTTTGCGATACTGCTTCTTACATCAACTTATTAGAGTCGAGATCGGATGGCATGTGCTGTTGTTGACTGTCCCGGACCGAGGCATGACGCATGCGGGGTTGCGAGCAACTCACCAAACTCCCTTCTTTTCCTAGGGCAGTCATCAAATGTTGACTCAACAGCCGAGTCGTTGTTGACCAAACACTCCACCGAGAACCTCGCACCAACTTGGACAATGTGGAGTTACAGGTGTTGATCCGCTTGATTTGAACCATCGGTACTTCAAGTGTGCTTTTCACGAATCAAATCTTCAATCAGAGCCAGAGCTGGCTGATTGTTTGCTGAGAGCTGTCCTGAGATCTGCCGCAGTATCGCTTCTGCAACGCCTGTCAGAAACCAACAGCCAAGTTGTTGGGCTCGTGTGACTAGCAAGATTGTCCAGTAGGCCACGACTACTAAGGCAACAGGATCGGAGCGCACGGTCATCTGTTCGAAATGCTGAGATATCTTGAGCAACCAACCTGCCATGCTCTGCCACGACACCTTCATATCATCTTGACCAAAGCTCAATTCGCAAGACTCGAACAGGTTAGCGATGGCTGTCATGGAAGCAACAACATCTTGAGGGTCATCCGGTCGATTGGCACATCCCGCAAGACGAAATGGAAGCGTGCGAAGAGCATTTGCCATTGCAGTAGGCATACCGCTATTTTGTGGTGTTCGTTTCTCGTCACAGTCTGATGCTGGAGACATCAAAGAGTCGTTTGTACTTCTCACAACGCAGTTCCGGATGGATGATATCAGCGACTGAAACTCTGAAGAAATCGCCAACGGTTCAGTTGCCCACGGGCAAGGACCAGGTAATGCCTGTTTGGCACAGGCCAATAAGCACCTCACCTGCTCACCCATTTCTAGCAGGGTATTGCCTGCCTCGGAAGCGCTGGCTTTGCCCAATCCTGACTCTTTCTCCAGTCCAGGATAGAAATCATACAAAAAATGTGCGGCTATCCGGCGATGGGTCTGCTTCGCGGCGGCGTCGTCCGTGAGGCAAGACAAGTGAGAAGCCGCAAGAGCTAGGACACCATACATCAACCATCGATGACTCAGGGCCTGAGCGACAACATCGACCTGCCAATATGTGTCTACGACATCCATGTCTTCCATGCTTGGCAGAGTGAGACAAGTGGCGGTGGTGAAGTGATGGAAGTATCTCAGTATCTCCATATCTGATCCGAGTCCGTCGGGCATTCTCGATTCGAACATTGGAACAGAGACGGGTGTTGGTGGTGTAGTAATCTCGGCTAGGTGAAGACCAGTTGCCTCATCTCCATCCTGACTGCCGTCATGGTCACTCATTGAAACATCTTTATCGGTGCCGTCTTCATGGCTTTCGGCAGATGGAGATGTCAATGGAGTGACTTCAAAGTATTTGACTTTGGTACCACGAAAAAAGATCTGTAACGAAACCGCGACCGCGAAGGTAGACAATTTGGGTATGGTCTTGTCAGAGCCATGGGTCTCGCTCCAATGTCGTTTCATACGCTTCTCACTAACAGTGAGATGTTGACAATCAGGTAATGTGCATCGGTAGCCGGCAAGGATTGAGATGCCTTCGACAGGCGGTGAGTCGGCAGTCGGCGAGAGCACATCGTCTGGTTCGAGTATGGTAAGTTGAGAGACTGAGGCTATAAGGCGTTGCCTCTCGCTGCGATAGATTTTGTGTCGCAGCAAATGGCTCTCCAGTGCGTTCTTTTGGATTGCATATTGACATTCGCGACAGATCAACACGTTGTGTTTCGAATTGTACTCGAGGAGGTCTCGATGCCCAGCTTTGGTGGTAGGCATGATCGGCAGCTGACGGATCGTCAATTTTCCACACCTCTTCGTTTGGCATGCACAAAGAAGAGAATCATAGAAAGGTAAGAGCGGAACAATATATGTGATTCCAACGACCAGTGTTATTCAAGCGCCGGAATGCGGGGCGCGTGAGAACGCGATATCCCGTTCCCACCCCAGCCAATCGCGAGTCTATACCAATCCTTTGTTTCTCATATCGCGTTCCTTCCACTTTCTCTCCTTTTTGTCATCACAGATGTTGATTATCAATATCCAAGTTATTTGAAACTGCACTGAATAGCCAACATATCGCAATGGAGCCTCGTATAAAGGGCAAGTCATTTCCAGCAAGAGCAGGTGATATCTCGTTCATCACAACAGCTATTCCCGCAAATCTTCCGAATATCAAGCCATGTCTACTCCTCAAAACCAAGCCGCGTGGTTGAACAAGGCCGACTCTCCCTTGGAAGTCCGAGACGCTCCTCTACCTACAGCCGGACCCGGAGAGATCGTTGTAATGAATGCTGCCATTGCGATCAATCCCGTTGACTGGCACATGCAAGACCATGGCATCTTTGTCCAACAATGGCCCACTATCCTCGGCTGTGATGTTGCTGGAGAAGTTTTTGAAGTCGGGTCTGGCGTCGACCGCTTCCAGAAGGGAGACCGTGTCATTGGGTAAGCAGTGCCATGTATCTTTACCCAAGCATATATTGATCAGTTTCGTTAGGCACAGTACTCCATTCCCCAACGGAAGACCCTCAGATGGTGCTTTTGCTTTGTACACCATCGTCTCGGCCGACAAGGCGTCCATCCTCCCGAACCATATCTCCTTCACCGATGCAGTTGTTGTGCCTTTCGCCGTGGAGTCGGCTGTTTGCGCTTTGTCTGTCAAGGAGCCTGGTCCATGCATGCCTGGTGTATTCACTCCAGCTCTCGGCCTTCCTCTTCCAAGTCTGGAAGGCCATATATCCTCCATCAAGAAGACTCTGGTTGTCTACGGTGCTTCTGCTTCCACTGGCGCTATGGTAACCCAGCTGGCCACAGCAGCTGGCATCACGGTCATCGCCATCTCAGGTAGCCACAACTTCGATCTGGCCAAACAATGCGGTGCAGCTCAAGTCTTCGATCACAAGGACGCCTCGCTGGTCGAGAAAATCGTAGCCGCTGTCAAGAACCTTAATGCAGACTTCGTGGGCATTTTCGACGCCATCTCAATCCCAGAGACCTTCGAACGCGATCTCGAAATTCTCAAAGCTCTCGGTGGTGGCCATCTCGCAGGCACTCACCCTCCACCCACAGAAAACCTGCCTTCAAACATCCATGTCGGCATGATTTTTGCCTATAGCGACATCACAGCCCCCGTTTACAGAGATTTCGTGACTGGTGCTCTGCAGAGTGGAAAGCTCAAGTGTCTGCCTCCTCCTACAATGGTTGGAAAGGGGCTTGAGTATATCGACGAGGCTTTGAAGATGTGCAAGGCTGGTGTCAGTGCAACGAAGCTGGTTGTTGAGTTGTGATCGCTTGGTCATGATAAGCAAGTGGGATGAAAGGGCTGAGAAGCAGGTTCAGTCATGGACATTACATATAGTACGACGAAGTTACGTCCGTTTTTTGCTTTCCTAGGTAGTTCATAGGACCGAATTGAGACAACATTGCCGGCATAAATGTCCAAAGTGCTTCATAAAAGATTATCTAAACTTAGACTTCAGTACGAGGCTGTACTGGCTTTTGAGTAGGGGGAGCGTCAATTCTGGCCGCTAGTCCTGTGAGCTTGACGTCCGCTGCAGTGTTGTTCGTGACGTCCCACTTGTCGGCGAACAAGAAAGTGTGCGGGAATCCTGGATCGAAGGGTGCCGCTCCCTCAATCTCTTTGATGTCCTCTTGCGTAAGTCTAATGCTCAATGCGTCAATGTTGGCCTTGAGATGTTCGACCTTGCGCTGTCCGACAATAGGGAAGACGTTCGGAGTCTTGTGCATGACGTATGCAAGAGCAACTCCGTGCATGGTCGCGTTGTGCTTGTCCGCGACCTTCTCAAGGGCCTCTGATACAGCGATCTCCTGCTCATTGGATTGAGATGCACGAGCAGAGCCTTCGTGCTCCTTGCTGCGGGCCTCCTTGGTCTTGAACTTGCCCTGGCCAAGAGGACCCCAGGGTGCAAGTGCCATACCTTGGTCCTGACACATGGGGATGATTTCTCTCTCCATGTCTCTGTAAGAGGCGTTCCACTTGCCCTGATAGACCGAAAAGGGACGCAGGCCGTGAGCGCGAGCGTAGTCATTGGCCTTGACCACGACCCAGGCAGGAGTATCAGAAACTCCGAGGTAGAGCACCTTCCCAGCGGTGATCAAGGCATTGAGTCCATGCATGACTTCCTCCACACTGGTAGAGAAATCCCACCAATGTACGTAGAGTAAATCGATGTAGTCCGAGCGAAGCTTCTTCAAAGAGCGGTTTACGGAGATGTGCATGGACTTGAAGGAATTGCCTACGAAGTTTGACTGCAAAGGCTCGGCATCACGAGCGTGACCTCTGTATCCAGTGGTATACTTGGTCGCGATACTATGATGTTGATTAGTATCTGACCAGCTCATTTGGATGATAAAGACACATACACCATCTGGTCGCGGTTCTTCTTCTTTTCCATCCACTCTCCAAGCCATTCCTCAGACTCCTCGCATTGATAGGCATTGGCAGTGTCGATGAAGTTACCGCCTAGATCGAAGAAGGCGTCGAGTACAGCGAAACTGGTGTCCTTGTCGCACTCGCCCATGAAGTCCTTCCTGCAGAGAGTAAGTCAAAACGTCCTGGATATTATATCCTGGGCATCTTACCATCCAGTGCCAAAGTTCATTGCTCCAAGGCATAGTGGTGAGCATTTGATGCCTGCGGTAGGTGCAAGCACTCTATGGTAGCCAAGCAGGCTCTTAGGCTTAGGAGCAGGATCGAAGAAAGACATGGTGTTTGATGAATCTTTACTCTGTAGTATGAGTAGATAAAGAATTGGAATCGGCTATGCTCTCAATGTGGGAAACATATCTTATTTGTACCTTCCTCACTGGTCGATAAATGCCATGACGTGTGCAAGCAGTCCGGAGTTTAAGGGGCGGGGTTAAGCTTCAAGCAGGAGCGACCGGAGTTAAACGTTCAACTCCTGAACCTTCTCGGTAGCAAGCAGAAGCATAATGAAAAAGTGTATAATCGTTGACCACTTGGTCTTTGCTTCTGAGTAGTAATATGTACAAGAAGAAAATATGGTATGGGAACTTGTTATTGGAAGCTGATCCATGTGAATTACTGCTCGTTTGTAGGCCGGTTCAGATCTTTCAAAGGGACCTGTGACTCGTACGAGTTTCGATCGCTCTTGTTCTGGTCCTTGCCCTGCTCAATACTGTCGGTTCGGAAGTCGCTGTCTGAATCTCCGACATAGACTTGGACTTCGGTCTGGCGATTGATGCCTTTGATGTCTTCTCGTTGTATGTGATCGAGTTGCGAGTGGCCAATGACCGCAGTGTTCTTGGGACCGATGTTCATCCCGTCGTCACCATGTAGGGTATGCTGATGATACGATCGTTCTGGGAATGGCGTTTGAGAGGACGATTTTGGTCTGACGTCGTTTTCCGATGTGCGAGCGACTTTGACAATCATATCTGCCATCTAAAGGAAATCAGTATAATCCTCTGAGAAGCTTGGCTGATGTACGTACACTCATCTCGATATTCAGCTTAACCATATATGCAACCGGGTGAAATTGGACGAAAAGCGTATGGTTTCTCAAGGACATGAGTCCAATAAGCATAACCTGGACAGGTGTCAGCAAGGCTGTCTCCATACTTGAACATTCATGTGAGAGATCATACATCCATAGCGACCGATACCAGGCCTAAGCGAGTATAGTATGCAACAAGAGGCTTGTATTTCCGTAGACCATGGTATTTGACCAGACGAGCTCGGACGACGTAGACGAAGTACCAGTTCAAGAAAGCATCGACCAGCATGATCAAGACTTTGGATAGTCGGTCCCAATAACGGTTGATGTGGACGTAGGTTTGGTTGACCGGAGGCATCAAATGGCTCGGAATGAAGATGCAGAATACGGCGATGTTGATACATGATATTAATACGGCAGTTACGATCTTGAGTTTCGTTGCGGTAGGTCTGCGTTCGGCGATGACGGCGATTCGGTTGATGATAATTTGCATAAGGAGCTGAACCTCCAGCGCGTAAAAGACCAGGATGAAGAAGAGGAGGACCGGCCTGGATAATCAGTCAGTAACACTTCCATAGCCTTTGTCCGGACAAAACATGAGAGTCTGCCTCCATCGATTCAAGTGTTGCGACAGCTGTAGGCCTGGCTGGAAAATTGCACGTGGGCATTTGCTGTAGATCGGAGCTTTCTTCGGCGACTGACTTCTGATACATAGATGATCTGCCATTATGCTTTTATGTCGAGCAAGCATGTATAGTGTTGCATGCCAGATAACGTTCGCGCTTTGTGTCGAAGCACATCCTGCCGGCTGAAGTCTATTCCGCTCCAGGTCCAATACAGCAGGCGCAAGACTCTCATGCTTATCTCCATACGTCCAACTTACGTGGTCTTCACAACGTCCTTCAGATACAACCAGGTCAAAATGCCGAGGACGAGGTTTGACAGGATCTCCCCCCAGAGCATGTAAATGTAGGTACTCCGGGCAGGAGCCCTATTCGCCCTCGTCTGCTTGTAGGCGCGAACCACAGTCAGCCATCCGAATCCGAGGGAAAATCCTGCAGCGGCCGCCGCAAGTTGTAGGTCTCCAGATGTCGTCGCGTTCGCCATGATGGGGGATGAAGAAAACCGGACAACGAGGGTTGATTCAAGAAAGAACCATCCTTACTCTCGGCAACACCCAAGGGTGCAAAGGGTCATTATATCAAGCCTAGGTTAGGGCGTGCACTGTGCGCATACTAGATGTTGTTCCGCATCATCGCCGCTTGCTTGGTCCAAGCACGGTGTCTCGATCTGAGAAAATTGTGGGAGTAGGTAGGCAGCGTGTCTCCGAAGTAGATATGACGATCCGGCATGTATGAAATCTCTTGAAGTTGGAATGGCATCATGCGTTGTTCTCAAGGCAGCGCTGGTTCTGGTACCAAGATCAGCATCCAGGATCACGCGTCACCAACCTGGTGGAGCTCTGTATTGTAGTATGAAGAATTCTCTACCGAGGTTCACGTGTAGAAGATCTGGGGGCCTGACTTGTTTACAGTGGGCCTAATATATGTGAGCGTGGCTATGACCAAAAATTATGGCTTCGAATCTCGTTTCCGGGCTCTGGAAGGTATCACCACGGTGTCGAGACGTCGCACCTATCCCGAAAGCTTCATCCAGCCCTATGGCGCTAAATCAAGTCTTGGTCAGAATTCATCTATAATGGCTTGGCACATATAAGGTGTCACCCTGTCCCCGTTACTTTCTCAAACGAGCAAGAGTTGGTCCCATGGGTTCTCCAGCTCTCAACGCAGCCATGGTCTTCTCATCAATCTCAAATCGTTCCTCACAGATCTTCAAGCACTTCTCGGCATGCTCAATAGGCAGGACTACCACTCCGTCCAAGTCGGCGAGAATCAAATCACCAGGATTGATGGTTAGTGGCCGATGCTGGGTAGGAGACGTGAATTGAACGGGGACATTGAGAGCGGAAGCTCTGGTGAAAGTATTGGAACCAAGCGCGGAGGTTCCTTGAGCAAACACCTGCGTTGGTCAGTATTGTGACTCAGGCTTATAGCTTTGTTAGCAAAACTGACTGGGAAGTCCATCTCTCTGTGCTCATTCAGATCTCTGAAATTTCCATCGATCACCACACCCTGCGCGCCCAGATGTTTAGCTCTAGTAGACATCAAGCCACCCCAGCATGCCGAGTACAGGTTTCTCGGCTGTGAGATGAAGACGACCGAATCTTTTGTTACGCCATCGACGAAGTGTTGCGATGGCTTGGGAGAGGTTGTGTCATTTGCATCTACCATCTGGACAGTATAGGCAGGACCAAAGATTTTCTTGTCTCCGGCTTGCTGCAGGGGCGAAAACATCTTGATACCGTGTAGGTAGCCGCCGTATTTGACATTCAGCTTGACCAGAGCATCGCCGACCTGATCGTGTTTAGCCGAGTGAGATTTGGATGATGGATAGCCGACACACATCACAGGAGGTGAAGCGCTTCAGCGCGTTGAATACATGAGCGGGGACTGAAGTAGACATTGTTCCCACGGCCGTACTAAAGGCTCGTTTTGATAGCGAGAAACAGATATACAACGATGATGAATGGGAGACAAGCAGAAGGTTGGGTCGTCGGGAGTCGGTCCGGCCGTCGTGACTTCTCCGCACAGAAGGCTCCTTCACTTTCCGACGACAATCCTCGCTCATGAACCTTCCTGAATATATCAATGATCAATGATTCCACAACAACATACAGAGAAAACAGTCCAACACCTGGAAGATGTAGCAGATCTTGGATCGCTTGATGCGAAGCTTTGACATGTGATGGCTTCTTCGGCGCCCAGCTGAGAAGCCAGCGCGACGATGAAAAAATTGTTAGTCGACTCCCAGAAGGAATTGACTGAAAGGTTCCAAAGAATGCGTCGACGTCCACCGGAAGAGAAGTCACGAACTCTTGACCGGCTCACATTCGGATTCCAACAATGCAAGCATTGAAAGCACCCGGTCGACATGTGATCCTCACCCATAAAGGACGAGGAGAACTGTTTGACAAAACTACCATGGCATTGCGCGGGTGTTTCCCCATTCGAGAACAGCCATTACAGCTTTCCCACCGTGGGTTCACGTTGCGTTCTGTCTTCTCTCCCCACTGTGCTGCCGCTTCCAATGTGCAGAGGACCCCCGGGAAGCCTTCGCGTGGTCGACTCCCGGTTAACATAAGGCAAGCCTTGTAGCTCCGCACACGAGTTGCGACAATCTGGTTGCCACTACCCGGATCTAACTCTCCGCAGGCGGTGAACCGCAAAAGGCGTCGGATCCAGGTTTGCGACTGGTCTGAAAGTCAAGGTTTGACATGCGTCTGTACGAGCAGAGGATTATGAACAATCGACCCAGGTCGAACAGGCCAGAAGCACTGCCGCCGTCCGGGAATACAACACTCCGTGAGAATGAGGGTAACGAAGGATGAAGGGTGCGCGGCGCCATGACCACCTGTACACAGAGGGCGTGAAGCGGCAAGCCATGGGCGAATTAGGAAAGAAAGATGGGGTAGGGCGCCATCAAGGCGCAAACGATGAAGAAGATGACAAGGTGTAACAGACGTGACCTGGGCAAGACGCGGAGGATGAAACGCAAATAAAGAAGATCGTCGACAACGGGACTGGAACGAGAAAGAAGACGGGCAACGCCAAACGAGGTTGGGGACGAACTGGGACAACAGTTCTAGAAGCGGATAAAAAGCAGACGGCCCAGGTTGGCGATGATGTTGGTAATTTTGAGGAGAAGATATGTCGAAAGAATGATGAGAGAGAGAGGGGAGGAAGAGAAGGGATTGGTTTGTTATGATGAGTCGCGGCGGCGCGAGAACAACGCCAAGACTTTTATTTTGCTGTCATCAACTCTCACTGAGTCACTTCTCGCAGTCACATGCTCGGTTTGGATCCATCGAAATCTCAAATGCTTTCTCTACTGGTGTGTTGCGAGTTTTGGGGTTGATCTGACACCTAGTACGACCCCATACACCACCGAAAGTCATGGAATGTTGGCGTCCCATTCAACAATATCGCCTGTAAGTTTCATGGGCTCAAGCTACAGTCTTGTAATGCAGAACCATTCGAACAAGAATTTGCGGTTGGTACAAAGGCCTGTATAGAGCTACAAGGCAACACAATTATATCATCACTGTTGACACTCATGTCTTCTCCCTTATGTTTCCTCCTCCGATTCCTGACGCTTTGCGATTTCCGATCGAGCTGCCTCGAGAAGTCGAACCACCCGAGCTTCGTAGCTGTCGTCCTTCAAAGCATCAAGAATAGCATCGTACTGTCTCTGGAAGTCAGACACATCATCTGTATAAACTGGAGACTCTTCATCCGAATAGTAATCGGAATCGTCTTCATCGTCCTCGAATTCGTCCTCGGCTTTTTCCTCTTGTTCGCCTTCGTTCAGTGGTGCGGCTTCAAGTTTGGCTTTGGCTTCTGCGGCATGCTGACGTGCGGTCTCTTGGAAAGACTTGAACCAAACGGGTGTCTTTTGCCGTTTGAGAGCGATCAGTTTTCCTGCGAGATTGTTGTCCGACCCTGGTGCCGCTTCAATATCGAGACTCTTGAAAGCTTGTTGTGCCAACTCGATATCTCCGTTTAGTCGATTGATCCTTTCGAGCTCTTTCTCAAGCCGAATCACATTTCTGAACGGCTCTTTCTTCTCCCAGTCTTCGTCCAAATCTTCGCATTGTCCCATGCAATGCGATATAGTGGCGTTTTCATCCTCGAATTTAGAGACGTCGAAAGCGTACGGCCACCCGCATCTTCTGTACAAGCTGTTATACTCATAGAACTGGGAAGCTTTAGTCTTTGCGCAAGGACGACACATGGCATAAACTGCTTACCTCCCAGTCATTGGGGTTATCTATTCCGCCTGGAATGTACCTCAGAGTCTCATGTCTGCTCTTCATGTCCTGGAAGAATTTGACAGCAGGCCGATTGGGGTATTGACTCAGATCCCACCATGCTGAACCTCGAAAGTCATCCCATTTGCATCGAAATGCAGGATCTTGTACCTCACCATCTTGATCAACTGCCCAAAGCTGGTCTTTGGTCGTTAGTCAGCAGCTCAAAAACTTCCCAGTCGCATGAAGGCATCTGAAACTTACAGGTTTTTGTGTCGACAACAATGATGGTATTGTGGTTGCCGCATTTACTCAAGACAGCATAGTGTGGTTTGATATAACCACCATTGCCATCGTCCCAGCCTGGTCGCTCCCCTTCACCCAAGTAACAAGTGATAAAAGGTAAATCAGAAGCGGGAAGCACACAGCTGTCTAGCCAATTAACATCACCACCTCGCAGATCGAGAAATACGCCTCCGAACAGATAGTATGCTCCTCCATCCCAGTGGCCAAATCTGGTTTTGACGTCCTCTTGTACGTATGGTAGAAGCTGATAGAGGTCGACTACCTGCTTGGAGATGCCCAATCGTGCTGCTTCTTTGATGTTGATCGGTTTGGAAGTGTGAGGAGCAAAGTGGACCTGGTCCTCGGGCAGCCACCGCATGCCTATCCATAATCTGAAGAGATCTTCTACTGAGCGTGCGATCTCCACCAGCTTAGGGTCTGCATTGTCCGGGTAGATTGGACTGTAGATGCTTGGATCCAATGGTGGGACTCGATAAACCGGGTAGTCGTCCTCGGAGTCTGACATGGTCATAGGATCAGTTGTGATCAGACAGGAATGGAATGCTAGTTTTTAAAAGGTTCAGACGGTGTACTTGTTACATCTGTCTGGAAATAGTGGCCTTTATGTTTGTTTCGTATATTCCGAAATCGGGGCCAGAATGTCGCCTATTTGAACCACTGCTCGTGACTATGATACACAGCCACATGCCGAGTGTCCCCTACTGCCCCTATTGCTTCCATGAAGGTGTCTTGTCCAAGCTATTACCCCACGAGAGGGAACGAATTCGACTTGGCAATGTGTCAAAAAGAGGATTTAACTTTTTCGACAGCGACTAGTCTACAGTCGATCTCGTGTATCATACTGGCTGCCTAAACGCGAGATGATCTATATAGCGAGTCTTGGTAGCAGACACGAGGTAGATCGAACATTGTGCCAGTAACAGTCTTCAATTCTGTTATCGTGATTCGTGACTATGACCTCCGCTCCTGTTGTATAACCATGCAGTACCCACATCATAGCTTGACAGGGAATCTGTTTCTGATACGCTCTCCATACCAGTAGAACACGACAGGAATGGGTAGAAGTGCAAGAGCAACGAAACCGAGCAGGCTGTTACCCCATCCGAGACCCAGTGCATCGTACATATCGAGACCGGCAAGTGGCAGCAACCCTCCGAGAATCGAACGAAGCAGAGTATTGGCAGCCATGGCAGAGGCTGCGTGCATGGTGAATGCATCGATCAAATATGTCTGTATGCAAATCAAGCATGAGATTACACCAATGCCAAAAAAGAGCGTGCCAAGCATGGGAACACTCCATTGCACATGGTTCTGTGCTGTCCATCCATAAATGAAAAGACCGATAGGCATGGTGATACCAAGGAAAATGAGAGGAGGCAGACGAAACTCGGGCTTCATCTCGCCATTGTTGCGTGCGGAGAGGAGCTTGAGAATGCGATCCGAACTGGCGCCAGTCAATACGAGACCGACAAACATGCCAATACCGCTGGCAATATAGCTGAGTCCCACATTGGAGCTGGAGAAGTGGTAGTGTTCCTCAAAGACGAAGGTGAAGGTTGTGAACAGCAGGTATAAGATCCCGTACACAACAGCGACGTAGAAGCTGGACAGGAAGACGATGGGCGAGAAGCATAGCATCTTGAATGGTCGCACCAAAGCGCGAGACATTCGCTCACGGTCGGAGAGCCCATCATCTAGCTTCGAGCGAAGATCGGCATTGTCCGTTTCTTTCTGTAATCTCTTGGTCTTGCTTCGTAGTAGGGCGGGTGCGTAAGTCTCTTTGCAAACGATTGCGTGTATGATAGTCGCAACTCCGTAAGCAATTGTAATCAACCAGAAGACCCTGTGACGGAAAGTGTCAATGGTATGTAAGTCATGACCTAAACTCGTATTGCACATACCATCGCCAGCCCTCAGCAGTCGCCAGGTAGGCACCAGCTACGGGTCCGATAACGGGCCCGAGCAAGGGACCGACGGCATAAAAACTCATCGCGGCGCCTCTCTTTTCCTGTGCAACCATATCTGCAATAGACGCTCCTCCGAGAGTGACAGGAGCAACACCGAAGCAACCAGCCAGGAACCGGAAGACGATGAGCTGGGACATGGAAGATGCAACTGCACAGGCGACGGTGAAAACGATGAAGCCTACATTGCAGACCATGTAGACAGGACGACGACCGTAGATCTCACTCAGAGGAGATATGAGCAGCGGACCAACAGCGAATCCCAGTAGGTAGACCGACACGACGAAGGCAGCAAGTGTGACTGAGGTCTCATGGAATTCTCGCAGGACATCAGGAACACCAGGGGCGAACATGGACGATGCAAGTGGTGTCAGTAGAGTGAGAAAGATGATAGTACTGCAGTTGATAATTTTGGCTTTGCCAGTCCAGTTCATCGGATTTCGAGGGTCCTCGGGTCCATCCCAGTCGACGACATTCGGGTCGGTCGTGTTGGTTGATTGCAAGGAGTTCCCGTGTTGCTTCTCGATGTCCGTGTCAAGATGTCCTGTTGTTGTCCTTTCAAGGTCTGAAGATGACTTCGAGCCGGCGTACACATTTGGGTCTTTCTGTTCGACCATCTTGAATGTGAAAAGGAGTGAAAAGTAAAGGCAGAAGATAGAAAGATGCACACTGGTGTCGCAGCGTGACCCTCCTCTGCTATATAGGACCTACCATATCGATGGCTTGTGCATATACCATCACGGATGAGCGGTTTCCGCGTATAACTCAATCCTCGAGTTGACAAACAAGGGAGAGTGAGGGGAAGGAGTAAAGCTGCACGGAAGCGCATCTTTCCTTGTGATATTTATGCAACTTGATCGGCGTTATGCATGCTTCGGTCACCAAGCTCGGGACCGCCTCTTGCCGTTGTGCACACTTTCCGAGTGTGGCGCTTGGCCGTCACCTTTGTACTTGACTAGCAGTGCGACCAGAACATTATTGAATTAAGAAGATGAGATCGAGAGTGGTTGTCGTCAATGTTTTGTCGCAATACATGGAAGCTTTGTTTCCACGCATTCTATACGATCTGGTCGATCGGCATGATTATGTGACATACAAGCGTTCTCATCGAGTCCCATATACATTCTGTAGCAGCTTTTATCTACACCATCAAGTAACATACAACAAACTTGTTGACACAGGCGGTCGTGTCGGGTATTCAATTACAACAAGTGCGCTCTCAACGAGGATCAAACTCACTTCAACTCATCCATGCCGAACATAGACTGACTCTGGTTCAGGGCATGTCCATGACCTTGATGATGCTTTGTCTTGTCGCGCATCTCTTGGTACTTGAAAGCAAAGTTCAGGATAAGAGCGACGAAAAGGCCGACACAGACAACTACAGGGCCAGTCAGAGCGTCGAAGTCTTTGCCACTTCTTTGTTCGATAAGGCGACTTCTCCATTGGTAAACACCCCAGCCCCAGACTCCACTGAAGACTGCCGCAAGAGTGTAGACGAGCGCCAGTGCACGAGCGATGTTGTTTTCTTCGCCAGCAGCGTTGAAAAGACCCAGACTCAAAGAAGCGAGGAGAACAGTGATATGCTGCCACTTGATGAAAGTACGCTGGTTGGCAAGCCAGACCTTGGCTTCGACCTTGACGGGGCCCTGATCCTTGATCCAATACTCAGGCTTCTGGACACCAGGAGGCAGAGGCATGTCGCGGTCACGGCGGTTCCGAGCGTACTTGGAAGTCGAGAAGGATGGGAACAAGGTCTGCAGTCCAGACTGCGTCGTTGCTTGGACCTCGGTACCATGAGCTTGGCGACCATCATCGTCAGAGTCTGGCTCATCTGCGACGGCAGCCATACCGGTAGGTTGAGAGCGGGCAACACTTCCAAGAGATTGACCGCCAATCTGCATCTGACTTTGACGAGATGCACGACGGTCAAGGTAGCTGCCCTTGTCAGTGGGTGAACCGACGGGAGACATCTTGCCAGGCTTGTATGATGAGTGGCTCTTGCTCTTCATCAGACTTCCAACAGCAAGCTCATCTTCCTGTTGCTTTTGCTTCTTGGCCTGCTCCTTCTCAAAGGCCTCTTCAGGATCTTGACGAATATCCTCCTCCAGCGTTGAGAGCCAGAAGGGGAAAGTGTTGACATTGTCCTCGAAGAGAGAAGCGACACCATGCACGAATTTAGAGAACTTGGGTGCCTCCTTGACAAGATGCGAATTCATCAGATCATCAATCCATTCGTAATTCTTGTCGTTTTTGACCTTGATCTCGAGGATGGCATGAGGGAAGGTGGCAAGTTCACCCTTACGGATAGACTTGAAGGGCCACTCCATCTCACCATCGTCGATGTCTCTGCGGTGCCAGTCTTCCGGGTCGCGACACGGACGCTCAGAGTCGATGGCATCTTCTCTGATGAAGGCAAGGTTGGTGTCGATAGAGATTCTAACTTTGTCGTCACCAGGGATCTGGAAGGCAGTACGAGTGTAGTTGGCACGGAGAACTGGTTGCAGCTCGTTATCCTTGATGAACGACTGGATATCGTTGATGCCCTTCTTGAACGACTCCAGAGCGTCCTCAGAGACTTGGCGAGAAGAGCGCTTCTCGATTGCCTTTTCCATGTGGTAGTCACCCTTGATGAAGGGCTGGATATACTTGTCCTTGATAGGGAAGCGCTCGTCGGCGCTGGTGTTTTCGGTCTTGACAGTCTTCTTCTCAAACATGATCTCGGGCTTCTGCGATAGCTTGCCATACCATCTCAGGCGGAGGTTGGAAGCGTCGGTCTTGTGCTCGACCTTTGCCGAATACAGGTTGAAGTCGGGGTTGTCGAAGTAGATGGAAGTGATGGAAGGGTCTTGCTGGGTGCCCTCGGCGATCTTTTCGGTCTGAGGGTTGTAGACCAGGACAGGCAGACGACGAAGGATGACGGTCTTTACTTCGAGCAGGTTGTCCATGTGCACCCAGAATTTGTGCGAGGTGTAGCTTTCCTCGCCAGCGATGGACTCTACGAGCGATACAGGACGGTCCTTGCCCTCGAGGTTCTGACGTGCGAAAGAGTACATGGCCGACAGGCGGTAGAGGAGAGGTGAGTAGTCCTCGTTGTTGAAGGGAACATCGGCCATTCTAGACTTGACCAAAGGGCGGATACTCGAGACTCTGCCACCTCTCTTGCGGTCGTGCTTCTTTGCAATCTTGAGGAAGCCGGTGTAGTTGATGCGGCTGTACTTCTCCAGCTCGTTGATGTCCTTGGTGATGCGGTCCAGCTCTTCAATGACCTCCTTCAGGATACGCTTTCTCTCGCCATCCGAGGGCAGGGGCTTCTTGGTCGACTCGTCGGAGGCATTCTGAACGGCTTTGGCGACGGGGTCCAGCTTGGACTCGCATTTGGCGGTGCGGTCGCGCAGCTTCTGGTATGTCGACTTGTGGAAGTTGGTGACCTTCTCCAATTGGTTGTTGACCAGCTCGCCGTAGAAGGCTTGCGCATCCTCGTCGGTCCAGGTGTCGTCCTTTCCCTTTCTGCTCGGCTCGTCCTCCCTCAACAACTTCTTGAGCTTGGTGTAGTCGACGTACGACTCCCTCCACGGCTCGTACACGGCATTGCGCAGCGTCGTTCCGAACTTCATCTTGCTCGTCTCTTGCAATTGTGTAAATCACCTTCTGTCGACCTGCAAAAGGAAGAGTTTTTGAGCCCAAATCAATTGGTAGGTCGTCGAAATCGGAAGGAGCCAATCACCGTCGCCGGCTTTAGCACGCCCAAAAACTTCAACTCTTCCACGGTGCTTCAATAGATTTTGATTAATTCAACATTTGATTTTTCTATTTTCAGTCGTCATGTCCAGCTCGATGAATAGTCCGTCTGGCGACTCTCGCATTGATGCCATAAATCACCTCCGAAAAACACTCAGTTGGCTGAAGAACAACCCGTATCCGTATGTGGCTGGTCCGGAGACGCTCAAGAAACGTGCATCTGTGGCCTTGATCGTGCGCATACAGCCATCATACGCCCATCGACCGGATAGTACCGCTCCATCCGCTCGCGACTTGGACTCTTTCTTTGCCCAGGAGTGGGTCAAACATGGAGAGGCTGAGGTGCTTTTCATAAAACGTGCTGCCCGTAAGGGTGATCGTTGGACTTCTCATGTTGCCCTACCCGGTGGTAGACGAGATCCCGAAGATGCAGATGATGAGCAAGCTGCAGTTCGTGAAGCCGCTGAGGAAGTGGGCATTGACCTGTCCGAGAACACATCAATCGCTGTTGGCAATCTTCCCCAAAGAGTTGTTACAACCAGCTGGGGACGCGTACCGTTGATGGTCCTATGTCCATATGTCTTTCTTGTTACGCGTCACGACCTCCCTCAGCTCCGTCTGCAGCCTACCGAAGTTGCTTCAACGCATTGGGTGCCCATACGCTCACTTCTGGATCCAAAGCAACGGACTGTATCCTTGGAAGATGTTTCAAACAGGCTGGCGAACCAGGAGACCGGCAACAAAAGATGGGCATTGGCTGGTATGCTTGGTAAAATGGAGTTCAGTGCTATCCAATTGCTTCCTACAGAGAGCCTATATTGCCATGAGTCGCCGTCCGACGACTCGACCCAACACAATCCTGCACCTCCAAGAAACGCATTTAAGAGATTCTTGAGCTTGAGCCATTCACAAATGTTACCTCCTCCACCGCAAAATCAACCTTTAATTCTGTGGGGCTTGACGCTTGGTGTGGTGGCTGATTTCCTTGACTTACTACCACCACACAATGCGTTGGAGCTGTGGACTTATCCTACCTTTACAATGCCGGACATCAGACTAGTGATATGGCTCACTACTTACAAGTTTAGGGAAAGTAAAAGACTGCAACTGGAAGCAGGCAATACCTCCGGTCCGCCTACCGCAGCTGTCGAGGAAGGGTTGGATGCCGTCTCTATGCCAAACGACGAGCGCTTTAACGATGTAGGAATGGGAGGTCTGGGTTCTGGACGCAGCTTGAAGGGTCGCTCTTTCGAGAGCGCAGTAGGGACTATGCTTGAGGGTTATTATGCTTGTATGAGAAAAGGCGTGACTTATGCTTTGATATGCCGAGCGGTCGGTATTGCTACGGTCACGGCTTGGCTATGGTCGAAGAGATGGGCTTTCGGAAATGTGTTTGCTCGATAGAGCACACACAAATAGTGCTCGGAGTACGAGCGACTATACATTACATTTGGTTCGATTATAAAGCATACTCCGTGAGGATAAACAAGAAGATGCTGACCATTGAATGACTTCGGACGGGGCTACCCCATATACAACTTCGGGATATTTGTGTCCGAACGAGAAAGGTAAAACCACTCCCCGCGCGGAGATGATGGCCGAATGTGCTCGGCTTTTGACCCTTGTCGGTCGGCAATAGAGCGACAGAAGGATGGCGACTGTCCACCTCTTATCCTCTCTGTCTCCCTCTGAGAGCAGAAGTTTCAGTACAGCGGTCTTTCTTTCTCTCAACTGGCCATATCTTTAACAGCCGCCATCATGAGCAAAGTGTACACTTATGACGAAGGTAGGCGCACAAGACTCCGAGTCGTTCACCCCACAAAGACTGATTGCCGCCCCAAGTCTCTCAACACCGAAGCGCAGACAGCTGCTGGGTTGTTCTGTACGGCAATGTCTACGATGTGACCAAATTCGTTCCCGAGCACCCCGGTGGTGCAAAGATCATCTTACAACTGGCCGGACAAGATGCAACCGAAGAATACGACCCGATTCACCCACCAGGCATCCTCGAGGAGTCACTTGCACCGGAATGCAAATTGGGATCGTTCGACGCCAGCACGCTGCCCTCGGTGGAGAAATCGCCCGTCGACGAGAACAAGGTCGATGAGGAAGCAATTATGCCACTCGACCATTGCCTGAACATGGACGATATCGAAGCAGTTGCTACAAAGAAGATGAGCAAGAAGGCATGGGCATACTATTTCTCAGCAGCCGATGACCTCAGATCGAAGGCTTTGAACAACACCGTCTACAACGACATCCTTCTCCGACCACGAGTCTTTGTGGATATCACCAAATGCGACACGAGCTCAACTATGCTGGGAAACAAGGTCAACATTCCTCTGTTCGTTTCACCTGCCGCTATGGCACGTTTGGGCCACCCAGACGGTGAGCAAGGTATCGCAAAGGCCTGCTCGACATTTGGTGCCTGCCAGATCATCTCAAACAATGCTTCTCAGACACCAGAGCAGATACTTGAAGGCTCTCCCGAGGACCAAGTCTTCGGATGGCAACTCTATGTGCAAAACGATCGCAAGAAGAGCGAGGACATGCTCGTCCGCATCAACAATCTCAAGAAGATCAAGTTCATAGTCTTGACGCTCGATGCACCTGTTCCTGGAAAGCGCGAGCACGATGAGCGAGAGGGAAAGAATGTCGGCGCCAACCTGCCTATTCGTAGTGCACACCAAGAAGGAAGTGCCAGCACTACATCACCTGATCCCAAGGCCGCAAGCTCATCACCAAAGAGTGGCGGTAGTGTGGCTTCGGCCATGTTCGCCGGTACTGCTGGTGACCTGACATGGAAGACTACGTTGCCCTGGTTGGCCAAGCATACCAAGCTGCCCATTGTACTCAAGGGACTGCAAACACATGAAGATGCCTATTTGGCTTCTTTGTATGCACCTCAAGTACAGGGCATCATCCTGTCCAACCACGGTGGCAGAGCTGCCGACACCGCGCCCCCTTCAATCCACACACTGATCGAAATCCGCAAGTATTGTCCAGAAGTCTTGGATAAGATTGAGGTCTGGGTGGACGGAGGCATCAAGCGTGGCACCGATGTGGTCAAGGCTCTCTGTCTGGGAGCAAAAGCAGTGGGTATGGGTCGCAATGCACTCTTTGGACTCGGTGCAGCGGGCACAGCAGGTGTCGAGCGTGTGTACGAGATTCTCAAGGCCGAGATCGAGACGACAATGCGACTGCTCGCCGTCGAGAGGATTGAAGAGCTTGGACCCCAGCACGTAAGTACTTCTTCTGACAAAACAAGATACATCAACAGTAGTCTGACATACATCACAGATCAACGCCAGAGCGGTGGAGAGAGATATTTACGACGGCCCAGCAGGTCTCGAGAAGCTCAGCATGTGGATCAAGGCCAAACTGTAGATACAAAACTTTATTCAACGATTCACATTTCGCGCATGGCCTTGAATCTCGAAGGGCCTCTCAATCAAAGCAACGTAGAAGGCGTCGCACAATCTGTACGGGACAAAAAGGACAAAAAGAATGACTCTCCATCGGGGAATCGAACCCCGGTCTCCCGCGCTTGACAAGAGTAAACTCTCATGACAAGCGGAAATCATGACCACTAGACCAATGAAGATGAGGCCAGCTGAGCTGGAATTGGTTTCTCGTGTGGAAACGAATCCGATCTAGTGGGTACATACACTCGCAATTGACAAGATCTCTCTTGCCACAGATGTCAGACGCTGAGGGATGCAATGAAAATCGTGATACGATAACGGGATTCATAAAGCTAAAGATTGGATGATTAGCAGGGAAGTGCGTCTGTAATTAATGTGGAAGAAAGAGAAGAGGATGGCAGGAGCATAGGAGGATGGATGAGAGTGATGCATGGCGGCAGTCGGCAGTGGTCGGATGGTGTCCGGAGGAGACGGGCCTTGGCAGGTTACGTCGTGGTGGAGGTGCGAGGCAGCATTGGATGCTCCAACAACAACCCAGACACACACAAGATACAAGACCAAGATGGACGAAGATTCGCCATGGGGTGGTGAGCAGATTCACACACAATGCTTGTTGGGATATTCTGACTCAGGCCATGGCAGACGTTCCGTCACGATCGCACTCGAACAGCAACCTGGCCGCCCAAGCTACCGAAGACGAGCCAACCACGACGACATCGACGACTGAGACAGACACTCCTGCCGTGACCGAGAGCACTCCAGCCAAGGTCAAGAGCCCGCCGTCCAAGACGCGCCCATCGCGCCGATTTGGAACTCAATCCACCACACTCGAAGCACTCGACGATTCGCTAGGCCCTCTTGGTCCATTGGGCGATGTACCTGCTGAAGCCGCTCCTGTCGAGGAACGTCCTGCACCACCGCGAAAAGAGCAGGCTGCTCGCAATGCCCCTCCGACTGCCTTGATGGAGAGTACCACTCTCGACGACGATGGCACGTCAACCATCTCTGGACGCGCCCCTCCCCCTGTTCAACCTGCGCCTGTCGCCGATGCTCCCAGGCGCCAGATGCAGCCCAGTGTTAGCATTGAGCAGGCTGCCAAACCTTCCTTCGACATCAGCGTTGGCGACCCACACAAGGTCGGCGACCTGACCAGCTCGCACACCGTCTACCAAGTGCGAACAAAGACAAGCAGCAAGGCCTACCGAACTCCCGAATTCACTGTTTCACGCCGCTACCGTGACTTCCTATGGCTGTACAACCAGCTGCACAATAACAACCCCGGTGTCGTTGTGCCGCCACCACCGGAGAAGCAGGCCATGAACCGCTTCGACCTGAACTTTGTCGAGAGCCGTCGCGCCGCCTTGGAACGTATGCTGAACAAGGCTGCTGCTCATCCCGTCCTGCAGCATGACGGCGATCTTAAGATCTTCCTTGAAAGCGAAACCTTCAACGTCGACATCAAGCACAAGGAGCGCAAGGACGTCGGCCTGCCCGAGACAAAATCGGGCGGCGGCATGCTGGGCGCAATTGGCCTGTCGGTCGGGTCCAGCACTAAGTTTGTCGAACACGACGACGTAAGTGCCGCTTATTCCTCTTATATTGAATCTCTCCCTCCATCTCCCGCCCTACCCGAACCCGTGGTGCCCAGTTACCAGACTTACACGATGATGTCGCAGTGGTTCCATGACCGTAGAATTTATCTTGACGCCCTCGAAACTCAACTCAAAGCCCTTCTCAAATCTACCGATACCGTTGTTGCCCAGCGCAAGTCGTTGGCCGAAAGCTGCCAGGACTTCTCCGCTTCCTTGCACCAACTTGCTTCGGTCGAATTGTCACCAGATCTCTCCGCCCCTCTCGATGCTCTTTCCGACATTCAGATGCGCATTCGCGATCTCAACGACCGCCAGGCCCAGCAGGACGTCTTGACTCTTGGTATCGTCATTGACGAGTATATCCGCCTGATAGGCAGTATCAAGACTGCCTTCCAGCAACGCCAAAAGGCCTACCACAACTGGCATACAGCCGAGGCCGCTCTTCAGAAATTGAAAAACACGCACGACAAGCTGTTGCGTGCTGGGCGTACTCAGCAGGACCGTCTTTCACAGATGCAAGCGGATGTCGCAGATGCTGAGCGACGTGTCCATCAGGCACGTCTGCTATTCGAGGACATGGGTCGTCTGATGCGCAGCGAACTGGACCGCTTCGAGCGCGAAAAGGTTGACGACTTCAAGAGCGGTGTCGAGACCTTCCTCGAGTCGGCCATTGAAGCACAAAAGGAACTCATCGAGCTCTGGGAAACATACTTGCTGCAATTGGACGCTGATGACGATGAGTCCGCACCATATTTCGCTGCTGGTGTCAATGCCAGCGAGCGCAACCCAGACCAGGACGCTTCAAGTCGAGATGCCGCTGAGGGCGGAGAGGCACCTGCTGCTGAAGCTAGTGAGGAGACAGGAAACACAGAGGAACAGCAATCTAGTCTTGCACCTGCCGCTGCTGCCGAGGTCGAGAGCGAAGCATAGACGTACTTGAAGATATCATGTAGCGAAAAAGGATTCCATAATGCATACACCGCCCTTGTTTAGCCTTACGTATGTATCTCTCTATCACCCTCCTCGTTCTTCTCATGTAAAATCGCCGCTTGATATGTATGCTGTCGATGGTCCTCCATGATTTGCTGGAAGTTTTTTCCGTCATGCTGAACGGGACACCCTGGTCATGGCAAGGCATCACATATTCTCAGTCTTGTACACGTCAATCTACCTCACTCCATGGTGTATATAGTGACTGTAGGATCAAATGTACTCATGATCGGGCTTGACTGTCAATATTTGTCAATCCGGTGGTATTATCGCCATTTGTCATTTAACATCTCAAAGCTTTGTCAATGTCGACCACAACCACCACATGACGACCACGACGCTCTGAATATCACTGAGAAACACAACAAGCGGCGATATAAGTTCGAACGGAAAGACTTACGCCAGCGGTCGGAGTAGGGTAGCGCTCGATCTGGAAGTCAGTTCACCCTTGCGTTCACTTCTCATGCAAAGATGGAAGAAGCAAGGATGCATAATGGAAAGCAAGGGTGCCATGGGTCGAGAGACACATGCTGATCAACACGTGCAATTAGCTCTGATGAGAATGGATATGGATGATGATGATGATGATATTCGATCCGCATCCTCCGCCCTCCGTGAAAGTACCACGAACCTGCATCGCTAATGACCGGTGTTCCTCTGAGAAAGCACTCCGCCATTTCCACTGTTAAAAACGCCGATGCTGCCCGAATCCCCTAATGCTCCATGACCAATGCTTGCCAGCTTGCCATACCCCCAAAAAAGAAAAATCGTCCTGTTGTTGCCATGTTGGATTTCCCTCCGCTTCATCTCGTGTTCGTTGATATCGTTAATGTTGTTAGACAGTAAAGGAAATGAAGAGACAAGAGGAAAAAGACCCCCTCCGAAGATGAAACAAAAATGTTCTCCCAAAGCGAGACGGTAGAAAATCACTACCGAATCACGTTCCACTCCTTGACAAGACTTCCCTTGCCAGTGACACTGTTTTCATTCCTGTTGGCTTTTCCAACGCCGCCAAAAGCGTCCCAGAAGCGAAGTGTCTCGTCTCCAGCTCCGGTGACAATTACACTGCCGTCGGGACTCATGCTGAGATAGAGTACACGGTATGTGTGACCAGTCAGACTGACTACTTGCGACATGGATGGGTATTTCCAGATGTTGATGGCATGTTGGGAGAAACCGTGCGTCGAGACGAGCTCAGACGTCAAGGTTGAGAAGAGGAGATTGCAGACCTGTGAGCCAGTGTCATGGCTGCGCAAGAGGTGGGGGTTTTGAGGTGTCGAGGTCATGGGATCAGGAGAGGCGTGATGCGGCAAGGCCGAAAGAGAAGCAGATGTGAGATCCAAATGTGCGTGAGTAGAGTTTGCGCTCGTCAAGGCGGCGTTTGCAGAATGCTGAGCAGTTGAAATGGTGTTCCAGAATTTGATGCAGCGGTCTGCAGTACCACCTCCAGAAGCCAGCAAGCCACGTTGATGCGGTGACCATGCAATAGCCTTTACAGCAGCCTTGTGACCGCCCTCCTGTTCGCCCCAACGATGCAACCAGCGATCGTCAAGACCATCCCAGATGAAGATCTTGTTGTCGTTGCCGCCAGATGCCAGCTGGTTTGTGTCACTGTTCCAGCGCAAGCCACAGACCTCCTGCTTATGGCCGACGAGCTTCGATAGATATTGCTGCGGTGAACGTACGTCACGATGGAGGATTGTTCGATCGCGACTGCCTGTCGAGAGGATGTGAGCGTTCCACGCCAACGAAGAAACTCGAGCCGAGTGGCCAATCATTGTTCTCAATCTCCGTTGTGTGACCGTGTCAAAGATGAGGACATGGCCCCTGCCTGTGCCAACTGCCAGATGCGAGCCCTACGGAAGTCAGTTTCAGTTTCTGTAGGAGCTCAAACACAATACGGACCCTTTGTATCCAACCAACACTGGTGACGGTGTCTGCCGTCAATTTACACAGCTGCTCTACCTTTCCAGATTCGCTGTTCCATAGGTAAACACTGTCACCCAGACCGACAGCTAAGACACCGCTCGAACCCCAATCGACAAGGTTGAGGTAGAAGTCGTCTGCCAACTCAGGAGCGTCAAGAACCTTGTAGGGGACCTTGCTGACAGCTCTGGGCGTCTTGCGCGGTGATAGCAACATAGACTGTGACGAGTACTTGACTGGTGACAAGCTATAGATATCGGAGCGAGCATTGATGTTTGGCCCTCGCTCCGTGCGTGAATGCGAGCGTGGAGTCAAGGAGGGCGTCGGATGCGTGGATTTGTATGAGAACAGATTCTTGTGTGGCGTTGAAGGAGTAAGGTTGAAGTTGCCAGGAGGTGTAAGAGACTTGTCATGCTGAGGGATGGTTTGAGGGATCTCATCGTTGAACATCTCAGAGCGGAGGATGGACGAATATGTGCGGTTAGCCTCGTCTGTCTTTTGTACATTAAGCTCATTGACCGGAGGTTTCTTGATGGAGCGATGGGGAGTGGCGGGCGAGCCTTGGTCGTGTAGCAAGTTGTAGCTGGCATGTAGGTCCTGTCCAGCTCGGTTGGGTATGAATCGGTCCGTGTAGACGCGCTGCCTCTTGCGCTTGGGGCTCTCGCCTGGTGTGTGTTCTCTGTTTCGGCCAGCTTCTTCAAACTGCTGCAATGCTTTGCTCAGAGCATCTGGGTCAACAGCTTCCGATGTCTTGCGCGAGGTGGTTGACTGGGCATCTTTCTGGTTGTTGATGTTGTTGTCACTATGCTTTGAACGGGTCTGCGGCACGGTAGGCGGCGTCTTTGTTCCTGGAGGTGATGGGAGCTTCGGTGTGTGTACGTCTTCAGATTTTGCGCCAAACTTGGCTTCCAAACGAGCGGAGCGCATTGTTATCGCTGGGTCGAGAGTGGTAGAGGCGGCGCCTCGGACGGAGATGACGGAACAAGCCCACTGGCGACACTATGGAGAGCTGGGAGACGGATAGAGCAATGGACGATGTAGCGATAGTGGCGGCGACGTAATGCGACAGAGGAATACGGATAGTCGATGACAAGCGATGGCGGCGGTATGTTTGGATTGACTGTTGGAAACGGGCCAGGGCCAGGGTGCCAGGATGCTCTCCGACTTGCAAGTCGATCGCTCCTTCCTTGGTCCGTGCGTCAATTGTTGATTGACCTATTGTTGTGCCTTCTTGCTGTTGCAAAGACAATAGTTCGAATTCCAAGCGAATCGAGGGCAAGCTGACGTCTGAACAATCGCTAGCTTCTAGTTACGCATGAGAACAATACCTTGCAAGAGATCCAATGACTTTTGCTTCGGCAGAAAAGCAAAACCCTACCAACCTTAGCACCGTCGTTGTCCGAGTGAATCGTCAAGGGTCTCTCGCACGCCCCTTCACTTCTCCAGCCCCTCCGCACATCATCCAAGCCACCTGCATTCTTGAATCAGCAACTTTCATGTGACACCAATGCTCATTTTGCTTGAATTTATGCAATTTACGAATCTTGAACCTCCACCATCATCCACAACCGAGCCAAGTTGTTATCTGCTATCTCACATATCGTATCTAATCGACAAACACCTTGTTCTCCAACTCCCCGTAGTGCTCAAAGAAACTCTCAAACAGATTAATCGCGTACTCGACATCGTAGGCTCCACCAGTCTCACGAATACTGTGCATCGAAAGCTGTGCGTTTCCAAGATCCAGCGTTCTCACTCCTGTGTTGGCCGAGAGCATAGGTCCTATTGTGCTTCCACAGGGCATGTCGTTACGAACAACAAACATCTGCAGCGGCACTCCCTGACCGCTCGGGCGAACATCGCCGCTGCTCTTCTTTGCTCTCTTTGCAAGCTCTTGCAATAGCACAATACCAGGCGAGTTGGTCGCGTAACGCACGTTGGCATTGATCTTGATGACGGTACCCTTGTTCATCTGAGGCTTGTGTTCGCTCTCGTACTTGCCACTGTAATTGGGGTTGACACTGTGGGCCATGTCCGCACTAATGAGGAAACTGCTCGACAGAGATTGCTCGAATGCAGTGCTCGTGTCGGCATCTTTGTGAGTGGGGTGATCAGTGCGGTCGTAAGAGCTGTCGCTCTCGGTTTCTTGAGAAGAAGGAAGGACCGACAGGCGACGAAGTACCGATGGCAATATGTTGCTATCAGCGCCTTGTGCTGATGTGCTACCAATTTCCTCATGGTCGAAGCATGCAATAAGACGAATCGTGTTCTCGTCGGTCAGAGGTTTGCCTTGAGATGATGTGGAGTTGATCAAACCCTGAACGGCGCAATAGGTCATCATGAGGTTGTCCAGGCGAGCGGAGAAGATAAGCTCGTTGTTGAGACCTCCAAGGCATGACTTCTGAGTATCATAGAGAACGACCTCGAAGTCCAGGATATCTTCGGGCTTGACACCTGCCTCTTCGGCAAGGATCTCGATGACATAGGGGTGGTGTCTTTCAGTCGGGGCCTTCAGAGGGTTGAAATCGGCGTTGTCTGAGTCTTGGTCCTTCTCTTTTTTGGCATCTTCAGGCGTCTTGCCCTGTCTGTTCAGCTCGGCCTCGACCAGTCCTGCGATAGGAAAGAGCTGATTCTCCTTGTTGAACTCAAAAGGGACCGAGCCACCGAAGTGGACAGCCAAGTTGGGGATGCGACAAATGGGACGGTCGACCTTGACCAGCTTTTGTTCCATTCCACCATCAGCACGCTTGCACATGACGCGACCGGCAAATGAGAGATCGCGGTCAAACCAAGTAGCCCAATGACCACCTCCATATGCTTCAACACCAATCTGAATGAAGCCCTCGGACTGACGCTTCGAAACGGGCTTGAGTCGGAGACAGCATGAATCGGTATGAGCACCAACCATGGCGATGGGGTTTCCAGGCTTCCATTTGTTACCGACAGCGAAGGCGATGATGGTGGACGAGTTGCGGGTGAGGTAGTATTTTCCACCAGGAACGAGAGTGGAAGCCCAAGGATCACGCTCCTTGATCTGCTTGTAGCCAGCGGCCTCAAGACGTTGCTTGGCCGTGTGTACAGCGTGGAAGGCTATGTACGTATGTCAGTCTACAGATTGATGTTCACCGTCCGGACTAACATACGCGTTGGAGAGGCGTTGACGAACTCGATAAAGTCCTCGGCCGGCTTGAGGGACGCTTTGTTGGCCATATTTTGTATACCTCTGCGGAAGATTGTGGAGGTCGGACGTGCTAGAATTGTAAAGATTTGCCGTCTTGCGAAGGACATGGGTGGAATCTCCGATAGCAATCAACTTCATGAGCTCCTTCCTCGAATGGAAGCTCAAAGCTCAGACCATCAGGACCCTGAGCCTCGGCCCTTGACACAGGTTGACCGTCGACAGGGTCTAAGAACAGCATCACTCGCTTTGAAAAAAGTGAATTGTCAATTGATCATTAAAGTGTGCTCTCTTTCTTCGTGTAAATGCCATGAATGTTTCCTCCAGATGCCCAACCCATGGTATATGCTTTTCGACAAAAATGTCAGAAATCAAAAACTCCGCTTCGTCTCATCAAATTTACATGACGATGCACTCCTTTTCCTTGCTGCCACCGAGCTCTTTTGTCTTGGCCTTACCCTTGGCCATAGGTATGCCAGAATCGCCAGAAGCTGCCGCTCTAATAATGTCGAGTCGTTGTTTAGCCGTCTCGTTGCCCTTGTCGGCAGCCTTGACGTACCACACATTCGCTTCGAGAGGGTCACGACGGCATCCGATGCCCATTTCGGTAAAGTATCCGACGGCGTACTCGGCCTTTGCGAGCCCTGTTGGATTCGATTAGCGTATAGTTTCACGAGGGTTGTAGGTGTAGTGGACTTACCAAGTTCGGCAGCCCTCTTGGACCATTCATACGCTTCGACTTCATCCTTCTCAAGCACCGGCTCGGCTCCAACCATATACCAAGCACATAATGCCATCATAGCTTCAGGCAAACCTTTCGAAGCCGCGCCATTGTAGAAATGAACGCTCAGAGCAGCATCCTTTGGACATCCAAATGTTCCATTTTCATAAGCTTGACCCATTCGATAGTTTGCCTCTGCGTGGCCAAGCTCGGCTGACTTTGTCATGAGCTGTGCAGCATATGCTTCATCTTTGAAAATGTCCTCGCCAAATCCTGTGATATGTAGGAGTCCAAGCTCATAAGGTCCGCTGTTGTACTGGTAATCTGCAGAGTCTGTCGCACGCTTCAGCCATTTGACACCCTCTCGGTATCGGTTAACGAGCCCCATATCGCCAGTGAGACAAGCCTTGCCCAATCTGATTGCGGCTCCAGGATGACCCTTTGATGCAGCAGCACGGAAAAACTGCACTGCCTTTGGATAATTCTTGGTGCAGCCCCATCCAAACTCGTAGCATAACGCAGCACGGTATCCTGATTCTGCATGGCCATGCTTACTTGCCGCAACGAAGAGAGGCAAAGCCTTGTCGTAATCCGGCTTATCCTTGTTAAAAAGTCCGGAGAAATAACCATCGGCGAGGTAATACTGCGCGAAAGGATACGCGCGATCAGAGAGACGTTGAAGTATGCCACGGGCTTCTTTGATCAGCTCTGCAGCCGATTCGGTATCTTCGGCATGGTCTCTAGCTGCGTTGATCATAAAGATGGCAAATTCGTATTGAATGCTGGGATCGTTGGTCTTCTTGACGTTTGCGCGGTACATGTCAAGTGTCTTTTTGTTGTCGAGCAAGGAAGCATTGTTTCCGACGGCAGACTGAAGGCTAATGTTGTTCATCATGGGAGCAGGCGCCACCTGCTGGGAGTAAGGGAGGTCGTTTAGTAAATCAATGTAAGACATTGGTCTGGTGTCCGGCGAACGTCGATTGCCAGCCTGGTTGCGTGCATAGACTCGAGGCGATCCAGAGACAGACAGATTATCGTCTGCAGACATCGGGGAATACGTGCTTGCTCGTAGATCAGCACCCAATGAGTATTGTGAGGCGACACGAGGGCCTGATGTTCTCGGCGGCCTCAGACCTCCTCCGCCACTGGAGGAGGAGCCAATGCTGTTCACAGTTGCCTGAGAAATGCGATTGGGGTTATTCTTTTTCACTGGAGATTCGTCTGGGCCTTTATGATGGTATTGCAACATTGGCAGTGGCTCAATGTCTTCTTCAGCTCCAGCGGTCGGATCGTCATGCAACGAAAGTCCTGTCATAGAATCGAGATGCCTGATAGACGAGTGCTGAGAAGGAGATCTAGAGTGGGCAGACGAGTAGCGGTCCACCTGGGCAGACGAAGATCTGGACACGCCTTGTCGCGGAGAAGTCGAGTGGCATGGGCTTGACGGTGCCTCTTGCATACGAATCGTCGGTTGTGCCATGCTGCTCTTTCTAGGCGAGAATGATGCTCGTCTCTGATCTTGCGCGCCATCGAAGCTTCTATGCGAAGATGGCGTTTGGTTTCTGTGTACCTCGGCCATGGTGGTATGATAATATTTGCGCCTGAACACGCGATGATTATATTCTCTGATCCAGAATCAAACAGCGCAGGCGAGTTGTGTGTATTACAGTGGAAGCAGTGATGGGGGCACAGGGGATAGTCGTGAAGTAAGAATATTCGGATCGACCGGTGACGCGGATAATATTTGTAATGAAGGTGGGTTCGATCTATGTGGTATGAGGACGGCGATCTCGGAGAAGAGCAGGTTCGCACAGAATCATACCTGATTAATACATGTACAAGTAAGATGAAGGTGACTAGACCTAAATGAATGGATGTAAGAGAGTAGAAATGAAACCGTGGAGGGGCTGAAGACAGGGACAACAAGAACTCAATCTGCACCTTGCCGGCCCGGGCTCCTTCGTTTCCGCTGCGCGTGCGTAAGTTTATTGGCCACCGGCATCACCGTTTCCTACAAGAGTCGTGCAATGTGGAGGCAACCTTTTGCTTCGAGCCAGCCCATTCGTTACAAACATGCTATGCTGCAATTCCACGTGTTCTTGGTCGACTAGTCTAAACGTGAGAGGGCCACCTTGAGATGCACCTCGTGCGAAAGTACGTGTAGAGCCTCAAGCAAACCTACCATAAATGCGCCCCATCACTGGAGCCTATGCAGAGGCTACAACCTTAACTCTGCAGCTGTCAAATTATTCTTAGAACGCACTCTTTGCACCCTTCGATTGTTGGCTAGTACAGGCGCTCATCAACATTCTTACACCACGCACCATACATCTTTGTTATATCGCCATCGTGTTCGTAAGTCAAAATGCGACCTGAATCAAACCTCGGTTTCAAAAGGCGCCATAGCGTAGGGCTTGGTGCCGAGGAGTGTCTTTGAACCAGAGTTGCTGCCACATGATCAATCAGACCAGTGAGGGTCTTTGAAGAATGTCTCCAGGACCCTTGGCCAAGGTTATTAAAAGAACACAAATAGTGGCGGCAACACTCGAGTACGAGCTCGGCAACTGTTGATTGTTATTGTGGGATATCCAACGGCCGCTGCTCTGGCTACCATACTCTATCCTGTATGTCGAGAGTAACGGCCAGACGAGTGTGTTGATCAGCAGGGATCAAACGTTTGAGCAGCACCAGAATGATGCATACATAGGGTGTGAGGGGTGCTGTATCAGAATGCTTGATCTTTGGTCTATGGCCAAGGAGGGCATGGTCCTCTCCTGTTACGCGGGGATATTCAGATGTGGCTATGAATCATGAGACAAGGGGAAACGGCACCCACATCCGCTCTTCCTTGCAGAAGGATCGAGCAAAGGCTTGCGCTGTTCTTCAATCGGGGATCCAAAGATTTCCGCATTAGTAGGTAAGAATGATTGACGACAGAGAGATACAAGTAGACAGACGAAGTGGAAGGTTATTTTTGGCAGTGGTGAAAAGTCAACGAGGCAAGAACGGATGGATCTGCGATGCAGGTGGCATAGGCTCAAAGTTGCTCCACAATTTCTTTCTCGGAATCTCAGCCCTCCAGGGGCCGGCGAAGCGTACAAGCCGCCCACATGACAACACAACTCTCAGAGTTGTTCCTGAAGCCTGAGGGTTGACTTTTTGCCTCCTGCATTGAGGGCTCAATTCGCCGTGTCACACTCTCTTTAAACACTCATCCTGTCCTATACATCCGACAACAGGCCTTCACCACACGTCTCGATCGATTCAGAGACATAATCTGTTTGGTCAAAGCAGTCGCTACGCCGCCACAAGCCTTCGTTCCTCGCCCGGCCACGGCACCTCAGGCAACCCACATACATACCCACTCTGCCCTGAGAAGCGGCACGAGCTATTGACTTCTGTACACCTCACGGAATTCGACAAAATGTCGTCCAATCACCCCACGTCGCCTAGGCGTCGGGACTCACGATCAAGAGCGCATCGGCGACATCACTCTGATCTCGAGTCTCCTCGTCCCATGCACCACAGAAGAACTAGTAGTCACACCAAACACGAGCCGGAGCCATATGTATCTCGAATCACATCGCCCATTCCCAGGATCACATCGCCCGCAGACCAGGAGCCCATGATGGGCGCCTCAGATCTAGGACGCAAGAAGAGTCTGATTCGACCTGAACGCACAAAGGTCGATAGAGACCACCCGCAATACCACTACCGCAAGCACGCCCAGAATATGGCAGTCATGCCTTCTACTACTGGCCACGACCCAATGCTTGAAGAAGCAGAGCACGAGGCTGCTACCGTCAGCTCCGACGACATTGAATTGAAACAGCTCGATCAGAAGGGTCACCCTGCGGGCATGGCGAGAAGTGGAAGTCGCAAACTACATCGCAAGACTACACTCGAGGTTGCCGAAGAGAAGAAAAAGAGACAAAAGCAGGCAGGGGCCAGTCCACCAACACTTTGGAGCACTTACTGCCACCTGATCACTTTCTGGTGTCCCAACCCCATCCTTAAATGTTTCGGAATGCCCGAAAAGGCCCAACAACAAGCGTGGAGGGAGAAGATGGGCTTGATCAGTATCATTCTCATGATCGCTGCCTTTGTCGGTTTCATTACCTTCGGTTTCACTGCCACCGTCTGCCCTGCGGGCTCCTCTTCACGATTCCGCGTAAACAAGGTCGATTCTGGATACATGATCTTCCATGGCAAGGCCTATGACTTGACAAGGTCGCAGCATCCCCAGGCTAGAGGTATCTTGAGAAACCAGAACGTGTTATGGGATCTTGATGTGCCTTATGGAGGCAAAGACGGCAGTTTCATGTTCCAGAACGTCAATGGTGCATGCAAGGGTCTCATCACTGCCGCCGCGGGTTCTGATGTCAAGACTGATAGCGATGGCAATTTGGCTTGGTATTTCCCATGCAACGCTTTCAATCAGGACGGATCGAGTGAGCCCAACAAAACCATCCCTTACTACCTTGGATATTCTTGCCACACCTCGAAGCTTGCCCGAACCAACTTCTACGACCTCAAGTCTGGAGGAGATGTGTACTTCACATGGGACGACATCAAGAATTCGAGCCGCAATCTTATGGTTTACGGTGGCGATGTCCTCGATCTCAACCTGCTCAACTGGTTCAACACTACTCAGGTTTCGTACCCTTCGAGATTTGACGATATTCGCGAGAACGCCAACGTCAGGGGCACTGACATGAGTCTTGCCTTTTCGTCAGGTCAAGATAAGAAGATCGCAAAGTGTTTCCAGGAAATTATCAAGGTGGGATCGATCGACACCGAAACTGTTGGATGTATCGCCTCCAAGATCGTGCTATATGTTGCCCTCGTCTTCATCTTGTCAATTGTCGTCGCCAAATTCGTTCTAGCTCTGGCGTTCCAGTGGTTCCTTAGCCGCAAGTATGCTGCGGATAGGACTGCCTTCAGCGGCGACGAGAAGAAGAGAAAGCAGCAGATCGAGGAGTGGGCCGATGATATCTACCGTCCAGCTCCCAAAATCGCTGATCCCGTCTCTCACGCTAGCGACCGTGCAAACAAACGCGGTAGCTTCCTTCCGACCACCTCGAGGTTTACCAGCCCTTACGCTATCGAACGATCCATGGCCCGTTCTCGTCCCGCATACACCACAATGGCTAGCCAAAGCTCGACTGCGCGCTTGATTCCTGGCGCAAGTGTTTATGGGCAAGGCAACCGCAGTGAAAACACTCTGCAAGAAAGTCGCGCAAGTCTTATGGTTCCCAATAGCAGTGAGCAAAGATACTCTACCGCCATGGAGTCTGATGGTCCTGGTCCTCATGGCTTTATTCACGAAGCTGTCGTACCCCAGCCTCCTCCGGAATGGCAACCATTTGGATTTCCGCTCGCGCATGCCATTTGTCTTGTCACTGCCTACTCCGAGGGTCCCGAAGGAATGCGTACAACTCTTGATTCTGTTGCCACAACTGAGTACCCCAACAGCCACAAACTCATCCTCGTCATTTGCGACGGTATCATCAAGGGACATGGTGAGACTATGACTACCCCCGAAGTTGCCTTGAGCATGATGAAGGAGCATACTATCCTACCCGATGAGGTCAAGCCTTACTCCTACGTCGCCGTGGCTAGTGGATCCAAACGACACAACATGGCCAAGATCTACTCTGGCTTTTACGACTATGGAGAGGATTCCATCATTCCTATCGAGAAGCAGGAACGCGTGCCCATGGTGATCATCATGAAGTGCGGCACCCCTGAGGAATCAACCCAGTCCAAGCCTGGTAATCGCGGTAAACGTGATAGTCAGATCATTCTCATGTCTTTCTTGCAAAAGGTCATGTTCGATGAGCGCATGACTGAACTCGAATACGAATTCTTCAATGGTATCTGGAAGATTACCGGCATCTCACCCGACTTCTATGAGATTGTTCTCATGGTCGACGCCGATACCAAGGTCTTCCCCGACAGTTTAACCCATATGATTAGTGCAATGGTCAAGGATCCTGAAATCATGGGCTTGTGTGGTGAAACCAAGATCGCCAATAAGAGAGCCAGTTGGGTTTCGATGATCCAAGTCTTCGAGTGAGTTGAAACATCGTTTGGGAAATACAAGTCTTACTAACGGGTCCCAGATATTTCATCTCACATCATCAGTCCAAATCCTTCGAATCCGTTTTTGGTGGTGTCACCTGTCTTCCTGGGTGTTTCTGCATGTACAGAATCAAGGCACCTAAGGGCGATCAAAATTACTGGGTACCGATCCTGGCCAATCCCGACATTGTGGAGCATTATTCCGAAAATGTCGTCGACACATTGCACAAGAAAAACTTGCTCCTCCTTGGTGAAGATCGTTATCTCTCCACTCTGATGCTGAGGACTTTCCCCAAACGAAAGCAAGTTTTCGTTCCGCAAGCTGTCTGCAAAACTACTGTGCCCGACGAGTTCAAGGTTCTCCTTTCCCAAAGAAGAAGATGGATCAACAGTACCGTCCACAATCTTATGGAGCTGGTTCTGGTTCGTGATCTCTGCGGAACCTTCTGCTTTAGCATGCAATTCGTTGTCTTTGTCGAGCTAGTCGGTACTCTTGTGCTTCCAGCTGCCATTGCTTTTACCTTCTATGTTGGTAAGTACCATCTTTCATTCTCATCGTTATCCGAAACTAACCATGTTACAGTCGCTATTGCTATCAAGGCCGCCATTGAACACACAACCATTCCAGTCATGTCACTGGTCTTGTTGGCACTTATTCTTGGTCTGCCCGGTGTTCTCATCATCTTGACTGCTCATCGCATCTCATACGTCGCATGGATGCTTATCTACCTCCTTTCTCTTCCAGTCTGGAACTTCATTCTTCCAACCTACGCGTACTGGAAATTCGACGACTTCTCTTGGGGTGACACTCGCAAGACGGCTGGTGAACAGACCAAGGGCGGCCACGACGCAGTGGAGGGTGAATTTGACAGCAGCAAGATCACCATGAAGAGATGGGCTGATTTCGAACACGAGCGACGCATGAAGACCGGAGGAACCAATTACAATTCCTCGTCAGGGCAGGGATCATATCCCTATGAATCTGGCTACGACTACTAAACCAGAAAAGGCGGTCAAATCCTTTGTAAGAATAGAAGGGGCTCGGGAGGTATTGTTGATTTACGAAAGGGGGAAAAGTAATGATGGCCAGTCTGGACTGCGTGAATTGCATGGTTACTATTGGCGCCGGAGTATGATGATAATCGAGGAGCGTGCCAAGCTATTTAATGAATAAATGCAGTATCACAGCAGAAATCTTTGTGATTGGCTTGGTTCGGCTGGGAGGCGCAGGTGACAGATGCGGATTCATGCACTTTTTGACGGAATAGGGCAAATGCAGACGCTGGCTGGGGCCTCGGGATATACATCTTCAAGGCGCAAGCGATGTTGCACTGCAGTAGACGATGAGACGACGTGACAACCACGCGAAAAAGGCCTTGACCTCCTGTCAATTCTCTCTTAACCTGTCGCACGAGACTCGCTCGCTTCCGGAGCTGTCATTTTACGATTAGCAAGTCAACGGCCCGCAGCGCGCCTGTTTTCTCTTCCTCCAAAGTGCTCCACTTCCTGATACCGTCTTCGTTCGAGGAGCGGGTGCTGTCGTGGGAATTGCGGCGACTGCGGGTGGCAGATCTGTCCATTGCCACCATATCCCTTTCCCTCATTTGACCTATTGTTACCATCGCGCTACGTACCTACTCTACCTGTCTCCTGCGCTGGGCGCGTGAGTGCCAATAGTGTAGTTACCTTGTCATCACCCGCCGTCACATCGAAACAAGAACAAGATCACTGGCTGCTTCCCACTGCCGAGCTTGGCGTCCGTGATTCCTGTCTAAAATACCGATTGGCCTGCCCACCTCTTGCACCATGTCGGATCCTGACACTCGCAATCATCCTTCATATTCAGGCCACTCGCTGCGGCGTGGCTCAACGGTGCAGGGTCTTCGTTTTGACAGCAGAATGATCAGGTCAAGACGAGGATCTGCTATATCGTCTCTGGGTCAGACACCATACCCTTGCGACCATCTACCCGGCCATCTAGAGGACCCTGATCATGGCGGCGTCTCCTTGACATGGACCTCCACCGACGCCTTCCTGGACACTGGCCATCATGGTCGACGGCTCCATTTTTCTGGAGAGACGACGGAAGCCTCTTGGGATGCTACTGAAGGCGGTGTTGGTATAACAACCCAGGCCGACTTCTATGAGAGCCGTCTTCACTCACACTCAAACACCCACGGCAGACCACCAGGTCATTTCATCAATAATGAATTCATGACTACACGATACCAGCAGGTGGCCACGGATTCTCAAGTATCGCATATCGGACACACATTAACAAACTCGGCTATCGAGTTACCTCCAGCTCACCTCGCGACGACGCCCACTGTATTCCCTTCGTCTCCTGTAGAAGCTCCAAGCACACGTTGGCCAGCGAATGACACAACACTCACCATCCCCTCAGCCCAACCCCCTCAGGAGCTCCATCATGACGCCTCCGCCTGGGTCGATTACGATGTCGGTGAATTCCTTGACCACTGGGATATCCAATATCACATGGGGGAAGCCGGCCTCATGCATATAGACGATCAACGTAAAGCGCAATGGAAGCTCCAGGGTCAAATTCCTTTCAAGAACTACGACCTCCAAGGATTGGACTGGGCAGCACTCAACACAACCAGGAGCCAAGCCCGACTGGCCAGGAAAATGCTCTACCCTCTTCGTTACACTTGGACTCCACCAGCGACCTACGACGAACATTCAGTATGCCGGCAACAACGCATGTATGCGTCCAAGGACTTCTACCCTCACCACAAGGCTAGCCACTCGCATGGTCAACTCCGAAATGTGCTCGCAGCAAGGAGTAGGAACGATGTGTTTTATGCATCGAAGAGCAAGGTTATGCACACAGCCTTGAGCTGTCCTGCATATACCAATGTGGTCGTCAATTTCAGCGGCGCCTCTACGAATCCGAACCAAGCTGGAGATACCCACATCACTACAATCGCCGTCTCACCTGCCACGGATTTTGATGGCTATTACTCAGATGCCGTCTTGGTCACCGGCGGACTGGAAGGCGAATACTCTGTACTCAACCTCAACTCGACTCTTGGCGATCGACCCATTGAAGGATTCGTGACTGTCGCCGAGCAGAAAGAAACCACACATGTCCATGTTCTTAGTCATCGCCGTACAGGCGCTTTAGGAGCTGCCTTTTGCTCCAACGACAGCAAAGTCAGACTACTTGATATCGACACCAACTCGTGGTCTGGCGTGTTCGAATATGAGAACCAGATCAACTGTGCTGCAACATCACCTGATGGCCGCTTGAGAATGATTGTTGGCGACACCTGTGAGACTCTCATAACAGATGCTGAAAGGGGAGATGTGCTGTTCCGTACACGGCAACATACTGGATATGGATTCGCGTGTGCATGGGCTGCCGATGGTTGGCATGTGGCAACAGGCAGCGAGGATGGAAAAGTGGTGGTTTGTGATGCCAGGAGATGGGACAATCCGTTGGCGGCACTTGCATGCGAGATGAGCTGTGCTCGTTCACTACACTTTACCACATCCAACCGTGGAGGAGCATCACTGGTAGTGGCCGAGTCGGACGACATTGTCAGCGTGTACGATGCGATGAATTGGCATGACAAGCAGACGATCGACTTCTTCGGATCGGTGGTTGGAGCGGTCTCGGTGGACGACGGACAAGAATTGATCATCGCCAATGGCGATGAGACGGTGGGTGGATTGATGGTGTTTGAAAGGAGACATCACATACCGGATGAGCAGGATGATTTTGACCATCAACACTTTGATGGCAGAGAAGACCACCATTCCAGACGACGAGGAATAGGTTTCGACGACTTGATGCTGTAAGGTACAAGAGGATGGGACATGATAGTTACGAAGAAATGTATCACGCAACGACAATCTACTTTTCGAGAACCAGGAATCTGTGTAGCCTTTGCTTCTCTATGATCTACGTACCTCTCATCTCTTCTCCATGCTTCTCCTCCCTTCATCCTTTTTACCAAAATTTCCGAAACTGCTAACGTCACGACGGAAGAATTTGCCAATGTTCTTGAGGTTCTCATTGATGCTGGCGTGCGCACTCTCGGCGTTCAGCCCAAGGGCACCCATCGGTGGCGGGCTGGTCGCTCTACTGGCGCTTGTGGCCGACGCGGTACCACCTAGGGCTGGCGAACCAAACCGGTCGACGCCATCACGAGCGGCGTTCATCAGAGCGGAGCCGAATGTGGAGGGGTCGAAACGGGCAGCGGTTCCTGCCAACGCTGGCGCAGAATGTGAGGCTGCACTATCCTTGAGAGCTGCAATGCCTGGTGCGGCTGCACCTGCTGCTTGGAGGGACATGTTGGTGATCAGTGGGTTGGATGCCTGTAGGCTTTCATTTGCTGGGGATGCCTTGTGTGCGTTGAACAGCTCAATCAGGTGAGCCTGCTCTTGTTTGCGTGTGATCCCTTTCAATCCGAGTATCTTGCGGAAGTTTGGCTCTGAGCGATCTTGCATGTGTATGAGGTATGCTTGAACCAGACCTTCCGGTGGTGAGGCGCGCACTTGTAATGTCTTGAGCAACGGGTCTAGCTTTGCCATACTTTGATTGACGCGCTTGATGAAATTCGGGTTCGGTGTCGTGCCCGCCTCTGCATTGACAGTAGACAGCTCGGTAAATGCTTTCTTCAAGACATAAGAGTCAAGCAACATTTGCTCAGCACCTGTTTCTGATATAGGCCGGCAGACAACCAAATTGGTCAGTAGAGAGCTAGCGAGAGCGTCGACCAGATTGTCGCAGAAGGCACGCGCATAATGTTGCTTTTGCAGGTGGTTGAGTACTTCTGATGTCTTCTCTTTGACTTGCTGCACCAAAGGAGCGACATATGGACTTTGATCACCGACATTGTCCATCTTGCTCCAGGGTACATTGCGCATTTCTCTCCAAGGCGCATCGCAGTCGATCTCAACTCTCCTCACCAGAGATTTGACAGATGCTGAGGCAATACCCATGAAGGAATCGGCCTGGGATTGGAGGTCGACCTGAGCACGAAAGTCGGCGTCTATTCGTGATTTTATACGCTCTTCTAGCTGATTAGTAGTTTGGTAACAATAGTCTGCGGTGTTGAGAACAGTGACTGTGTCTTCGATCGAAGTTGACCGTTCAGACAAAGCGTGAAATAGGACCTGTTGACAATAAACGTCGAGGTACTTTGCAAAGGTTTTCGAGAGATCAAGAAGCCGAGAACCTGTCGAAAGCTTTGCACATTGAGCAAAGGTGATGCGGTAAGAATGGAAGAGCTCTGTAGACGAAGGCATGACGGTATGAGCATGGAATTCGTCTTCTTCGTTGCGAATAGGTTGTTGTCGGTATTTTGGGATGAGAAGAGCTAGTTGCCTGTCTTGAGATTCAACCCATATGCTGAGATATGGTTCAAAGGCTTCAGAAATAGCTTGGCTGAAAGCGCGAGGCTTCTCGTCGAGCGTATCCAGGGATGAGCGTGATTCTGTAGAAGAGAAGCGTCGCTCGAGAGAATGCTCAAAATCCAATGTTTCTTGCAAGCACGATAATAGAAGGTTGACATCCGGAGGCTGGCCGTCTGCACGGCGCATGGAGCGTTGCAGGATCTGCTTGTAGTCTTCTCGCGTAGTTTCGCAAAAGGCATTCGCCAACATTTCATCAAGACGCCAAAAAGAAGGGAACAGGGAAGCGTGATCGGCGTCATGTGTTTTGAGCATGCGGTTGAACCATGAATAACGGCGTGATATGTTATCAAGCGAGGCAGCTTCGTCAGAGGAGCGGAAGACTTGACGATACTCGCGCAGCATTGTGTTGCAATACCAGGTGGTCAAACGAGCACGGGCATGGTCTCCAAGGGCGTCCATGACATGACAGGCGTCAGCTAGCATATTGCGAGCAGAAGCGACAGATTCTCGGGCGAAAGCGAGTTCGAAGTCTTCGCAGATCTGATCGAGCAACAGACGCTGCAAGTCAGCGACATTCTTGCTGAGTTGAGCAATCTGATCTATGCTGCGATATGTCTTGAAGTGGGCCATGAGCTGGACGACGGCAGAGACCAGGTGCGAACAGTCGCGGTATTGACGGGTCGATGCAAGGACACGCAACTGCTCATAAGCGGTTGTCAACATCTGCAAGCGCTTGAGGGCCGTCATTGACAAAGTCAGGTTCCGCTTGGTCTGGTCGAGACGCTTGATGTCTGCCGTCATGTCGGTGATGGCTCTCTCGGTGTCCAAGGCCCTGGCGCGTACCTTGTCGATACGGCCAAACAGTTCTCCCAGCTCTTTCTTTGCTTGTGTTATACGCCGAACACTGTCCGCATCGCTCTCTGTCTGTCGCGCGACCATGCGGCCCATGTGTTGGTCGAGTTCATCTTGATGTTTGTGTACCTGCTGTGAGACGGCGCCTGCTTGGTCGAGCGTCGATGGGTGCCCGAAGAGGGCATTAAGGTGTGTGATGGGATCGTAGTCGACTTGGGGGTGTAGTCAGCAGTCGCCCTCCCACGTGTCAGGAGTGCTACATACTGGCATCCATGTTGAAACTTGTTGTCTCTCAGGAGTGGAGACAAGCACGATTTCAGAAGGCAATGACAACCGTCCTAACGACAGATCCGTGCATGTCGTCAATACCAAGCTCCTGGATTGCTCGTTGCTTGAGATTCCACCTCAGCGTTTGCCGACATCAAAGATTATATCGGTAGAGCCTCCGTGACTGCTTCCCCACCTGGTGCACCTTCAACCTTTGTGGAGAGCTGCCCCTTCGGGTGTCGGCCCGAGTGCCGCCTCGCTGGCCGGTGTCGCCCTAAACTCCCCATAGTTATACCACACCTGGCCTACTCTGCCCATTACTCTTTCTCTCGTCACATCTGATCACCTAACAGCCACTTCGACATGGCTTCTCCTGCTCTCCGTAACGTTGCTTCGCAATGCCGTAAAGTACGTCGATTCTACCGAGCCGCACATCTCCCAGATTTCTTATCTCCTAAGCTGTGACTCAAATCAGTATTATGACCGGACGTGCTGACAAGTAATCGAAAGATCATGTGCATTGGCAGAAACTACATGGTAAGAAATGTGCAATCTGATTGACGATCGGCAAACACTTCGGTCGACTACGAGACTGAGCTAATAGTCAAAAGGACCACATCACCGAGCTGGGCAACAAGAAGCCAGCAAACCCTTTCTTCTTCTTGAAGCCACCGTCATCTATCCTCCTCAAGGGTGACGGTCCCGTGTTGCGTCCCAGAGGTGTCAATGTCCATTACGAAGTTGAGCTGGGTCTTGTCATGGGTCGTAAGGTCAGAGACCTTGACCCCAACGATACTCAAGGTGCTCTGGACTCCATCGAAAGTTACCTTCTCACTATTGACATGACTGGCCGTAACGTCCAGGAGGAGGCCAAGAAGAAGGGTCTTCCATGGAGCATTGCAAAGGGGTTTGACACCTTCCTCCCAATCGCTGGTCCCATCGCAAAGTCCAAGATCGCCGACCCTCATAACATTGAGCTGTTTTTGAGCGTCAACGGCGAGATGAAGCAGAACGACAACACTAATCTCATGCTCTTCCAAATTCCTAGACAGCTGGCCGATATCAGCAGAGTCATGACACTTGAAAAAGGAGACATCATTTTGACTGGCACTCCCAAGGGTGTCGGCGCTGTAAAGACTGGCGACGTCATTAGAGCCGGCATGCGTGTGGACGGAAAGGAGATTGAAGAGGCCAACATTGAGGTCGAGGTCAAGGACCGTGAGGGTCCTTATGAGTTTGCTGAGACATGAAAAGCTACATCCCTGTACATATCCTTCCCATGATCGATTCATAACGCCGCAAAAGCTAGACCATCTTGTGTCCATTGATTCTCCCTCCATCGCTGCTCGCTTTTCACCGAGGCTTACCACCCCAAATCCGGCGGAGTTGGTCGAAAAGGCATTCTTTCTCTTCCAAGACGTCTTATCTGCTGGACAAGAACAGAGGGTCTCTCGTTCGACTGACACTCACTCTCTGACTCTTGGGTTGCTATGTCCTTTGCTTGCCCTCCTCTGGACTGGTCGCCTGCAGCCACTCCTGGCACGCTCAAGTCGGCTTCTGGTACTGATTCGATAGCTCTCTCCCCAGCCCCCTGTTGGACAGAGCCGACGGAACGCCCGGCAGTGTTAGTCATACCCCTCTCCAACTCATCCATTCTCAGCTTCAGTTGTTGCATGTACTGGTCGGAGGCAGTGGTCTGGTTGTTTTCAATGGTGTCAAGTCTTTGTTCGAGTGTCTGCCATTGACTCGTGGTGCCTGTAGCGACAGGTTGACTGTCGTTGGCCCTTCGAAGTGCTTGGACTGAATCCTCGAGCTCGCTGATTCGCTTTAGAATGTCCTTTTCCTGCTCAAAGTCTTCTCTCCTACGCTCCGTGGCCGTGACTTGCTTTGCCTCGAGCTCCGAAAGGATCTGTTGTGCTTGCTCTGCTTGTCTTTGATTGATCGACAACTGGCTGCTGATATTGACCATGTCTGCTTGCTGTTTGTTGATACGCTCGAGGATGTGGCGGTTTTCTCTTTGGATTTGATGATACCACAGTAGCTCGCGAGGTGCGCCGGGAATAGGAGCCATGGCGAGGAAAGCGGAGGAGCGTGGAGCGAATGGGAGTTCTATGTTTCGAGGAGGATTCGAGGATGGATATGCAATGTGCCGAGTGGTTCGAAATTAGAGAAATATTCAGTAGTCGGCGAGTTGACGGCGCGCAAACTACTTGAAGGGCATGCCAGCAGTGACGATGGAGGGGAAAGAATTCAGCGCCTCGAAGAAATGGAGCAAGTGCGGATGGTGCGCACATGTGCCTCCCCTTTGGAAGAATCAATAGTGCCACGAGGCAGGCGCGAGGGCACATTCACATGCAAGGCTAGGACGTCTTCAGTTGGAAAGGATAACATTCTTTTGAAAGAGAAACAAGAAACTCGCCCCGACCTAGCATCTAGAAAAGGGCATGTGTTCGCGTTTTGAAAAGCTTCAACCATAAAGACAAACGCCCAAATGCATGAGAAGTGGGATCCGTCCCAGCCATGGTATCACATTCTAGTAAGACCAGCCGTAGATCCCTCGTTAAACATTGGCCTGCCGCAGACATGCACTGCTGCAGCCCTCTTCTTGTTTTTGAATAGAAATTCGTTTAGATGAGATCTGCGAGTTGGATTAGTCAATCGTTCAAGTAGGATCAATATCACTCCACTTACCAGCAACGTTCATGGGCATCTCCTCGATTTGAGTGCTGTAGAACTGCTCAATCTCTCTCATCATGCGCACATCGTCAGCGGTGACGAAGTTGATGGCAACACCCTTACGACCGAAACGACCACCACGACCGATACGGTGGATGTAGTTCTCGCGGTTGGCAGGCAAGTCGTAGTTGATGACCAACGAAACCTGCTGGACATCGATACCACGGGCCAAAAGGTCAGTGGCGATCAGGACACGAGAAGAACCGGAACGGAACTCCTTCATGATAACATCACGCTGGGCCTGGTCCATGTCACCGTGCATGGCAGAGACGGTAAAGTCACGGGCAGTGAGCTTGTCGGTGAGCCAGTCGACCTTTCTGCGGGTGTTGCAGAAGATGACAGCTTGGGTGATAGTGACGGTCTCGTAGAGATCGGAGAGGGTGTCGAGCTTCCACTCCTCCTTCTCAACGGCAATGTAGAACTGCTTGATACCTTCGAGGGTAAGCTCGTCCTTCTTGACGAGAATACGGACGGGGTCACGCATGAACTTGGTGGTGACCTCGAGGACGTCCTGGGGCATGGTGGCGGAAAGGAGAACAACCTGGGTAGACTGGGGGAGGAGCTGGAAGATGTCGTAGATCTGCTCGGTGAAACCGCGAGACAGCATCTCATCGGCCTCGTCGAGAACGAACATCTTCATGGAGTCGGTCTTGAGGACGCGGCGCTGGATCATGTCGTGGACACGGCCGGGGGTACCGACAACGACCTGGGGACCGTCCTGGAGAGCCTTCATGTCGTCACGGACGCTGGTACCACCGATACAGGCGTGGCACTCGACGTTCATGAAGTCACCGATGGCGACAACGACCTTCTGGATCTGCTGGGCGAGCTCACGGGTGGGAGCGAGGATAAGAGCCTGGCAAGCCTTGACGTTGGGGTCGAGCTTCTGGAGAACTGAGATGGAGAAAGTGGCGGTCTTGCCAGTACCGGACTGGGCCTGGGCAATGACATCGTGGCCTGGAGGATTGTGTGTGAGCGGTGTGAAAGAGCAAACTGAAAGCTCAGAAAAGCTTACCCTTGATGACGGGCATGATGGCGCGCTGCTGGATAGCAGAGGGGCGCTCGAAACCGTAGGCGTAGACACCACGGAGGAGCTCGGCCTTGAGGTTCATGGCGTCGAATGAGTCGGTGGTCTCATCGTAGTTAGACTCGATCTGTCCTGCAGCGCAAAAGTTCAGTCAGCGCAGTTCGTCTCAAGGCGGATAAGGCGGTGGTTGTCGACGGCGCAAGCGCAGTGGTCGCACTGGCAGGACGCGCAGTGAAGAACAAGACAGGACGTACCCTCGGGGACCTCTTCAAGACCAGAAGCCATGATTGCGGTTGACAGTAGTTTGTGAAAGGGTTTTGGGAGAAGCTGGGTTGGTGGGCGAACGGGCGCCGCTGGGTATTTGTATGAGGACTAGAAACCAAAAACTCTCGTGTATGAGAGTCTGCAGGGATATCTAGTTTGTTGAGAGCGATGAAAATGGCTGGAGGAAAAGAGGGGCGCGAACGAATATAATGCCCGTGTGAGAGCGCAATGATTTTTCGCCTGGTCCGTGCCCGCACCCGCCTTTCGCCTGCATCCAACCATCTTCGCCGTCACCCGTTGTGTCGAGCTGCGAAGTCAGTCATATTCCTGCTCTGCCCACTCACATTCACTCGCCTGTGTGCCATCGTTGGAGGAAACAGTCATATACTCTCACATCTGGAAAATCATTGGATATTGACCTCTTTCCGATATGACTCCTCCAGCTGCTCTGTTAGACCAAGAGTTCGAGCATCCGAGCAGGCCACTCAAGAAACAGAAACTTGATGCCGACTCCGACCACACCACTAATCCCGAGGAATCTGCAACCATCTGGAGTCACCCTCTTGGAATTCGTCCGTCTGGAAACGTCTTTACCGCTACTGCCAATCTGAAGGCAGCAATTGGAACATTTGCCTTGCTCCCGGACGAACTTCTGGCCCAGTTCTTGGACTATCTTGACGCACAAGATTTACTCCGATTGGGTGGCACGTGTCGGGCTCTGCATGCATTCAGTAGATCTGAGGAGCTTTGGAAAGCACTTTTCATAGAGTACGTCTTCAAAATTTACATCTTGACTCACACCTATCTAATATCATGTAAGATCGCAACCAGAAAACTTCAACTGGCGTGGCACATGGCGGTCAACTGTTTTGTCACAACCGCGCTCTCAGGAGCCTGATGTGGATTGCAGCAACCTCTTCTCAGATGCTCTTCATCGACCATATTTCTGTGCTCATGTTTCCCTGGATCCCTATGTGACCAATATTCCAGCCCGCAACCAGATCCATCGGCTCACATCATTGACTTTCGAGGAGTTCACTGAATCGTTTACCAACAAACCCTTCATCATCTCTGAACCTACAAAACGTTGGCCTGTATTCGGATCTTGGTCGGTCAAGTCACTACTCAAACGATATTCTCAGGTCAAGTTTAGAGCTGAGGCTGTAGATTGGCCCTTTGATGTATATGTTGACTACATGAAGGATAACCATGACGAGAGTCCTCTATACCTCTTTGACCGCTCCTTCGCAGAGAAGATGAATATTCAAGTAGCTGACAGTGCTACTGCACATCTGTACGATGGCACTTCTCCAGATCTATCGGCCACACAAGACGGGCGCAAAGTGGCATACTGGGCACCGTCGTTCTTCGGACCTGATCTGTTCAGCGTTCTGGGATCTCAAAGACCTGATCACCGCTGGTTGATCATTGGACCGTCTCGCAGTGGGTCAACTTTCCACAAGGACCCCAACGCGACCTGCGCTTGGAACGCTGTTTTGACTGGGCGCAAATACTGGATCATGTTCCCATCTTCGTCCTCCCTACCGCCGCCGCCAGGCGTCTTCGTATCAGCTGATCAGAGCGAGGTCACTTCTCCTTTGAGTATCGCCGAATGGTTCCTCGGATTTCACGCCGAGGCACGCCGCACTGAAGGATGTATTGAAGGCATCTGCGAGGCTGGTGAGTTGCTATATGTACCAGCTGGTTGGTATCATCTGGTCGTCAACCTAGAAGACTCGATTGCATTGACTCAGAACTTTGTTCCTCGTCAAAGACTCGCGTCGGTTTTGCACTTCCTCAGGGACAAATCTGATCAAGTCAGTGGTTTTTCGAAAGATGTGCAAAACCCCTATGAACTCTTTTTGCAAAAGCTCAGCGAGCAGGAGCCAGAGGCCCTAGAAGAGGCTCTGCCCAAGCTTGAAAAGATGAGCAAAGGTCCAAAAGGCAAGTGGGCAGAACTAACAAAGACCACCGAGGACGCAAGCACCGAGGGTGGCTTCTCCTTCGGCTTTGGTGGGGATGATGATGAGGAGGTACCATAGTCAATCTTAAGTCCAGCGATGCGTGCACTGATTCTCTTGTACCTTTTTCATGTTCGATCACCAGCCCATCTGCCGTCACGTTTAAAAATCCTATTGGCAAGAGTGAGTTCAGTCTGGTCACCCGCTCTTGGAAGGCGCTAAGCATATTTTGATAGTTGTCATGGCTATGAAAGGGTGTCACTTGAGAGCTTCGCCACGAGATTCTGTGAAGTGGATATAAGGGCATAAAGTTCGCACCAGAACCGAGCTTTCAAGCTGGCAAGGGGCCTTACAAACCAGTGGGCAAAAGACACAGTGTTATTGATTCTGGCACGGTTCCAAAGAGATCAAGGAGAGCACCAACTCCAATGACCATGTACCCGATTATCAAGAGTATCCTGCCGGTTTACAGTCAGGAAAGAGGGAGTTCGGTGACGGGTCAATCTCTCTGCAGCTACCGAAGTTACTCCCTCCCCCATCGCCCGATCTCTTTCACTCACAGCGTTGCCAGAACGGGCCAGTTGCTTGACGAAAAAATAGGTGACTTTGAAAGTTGGCTCGCAGGTATATAGATGTATAATCACGGCCAGAATCTTGCCGGGATGCAGATCTGGGGTGCAGATCTGATGTATTCATCTATACAGGATAAGTTGTTCTATGGGTTTAGAGCTGCTCAGTACTGCTCATCGGGACAGTCAAACGCTAGATGGCCATCCTTTTCGCATAGTGCGCACCACTTGTCTGTATCAGCCTCTGCTACATGTGCAGTTGGGGTCTCAGTGGGCTTCTCGGTGACATCGTTGTAGCTAGTGTTGCTCAGTGTCTTCCTCAGAGAAAGTGGTGCAGGAGCTTCTAGCTTGTCGTTGTATCTGTCTCTGCTGGAGGTCGAAACGTCCAAGCCTCGCATACGTCGCGACAGCTCATCCTCTGATTCGGGGTGCTCTGCATGCGCTTCGTGACTACCATTGGTTTGCTGGCCATCGTCTTCTCGTGAAGATCTGTATCTGGTAGGAGATCTAACAGCTTCGGGGGATCTTGTCAAGTGGTGGCGCGGCATCTCTTCTGCGGCAGCTTCGGTGTTCATGATGCTGTCTCTTTCTTGCTCAGCTGCCCGTCTCAATTGCTCGACAGCACGTTCCAGTTCCTCCTCTCTGTATGCTTTTCTGTCGATCAATCCTTGGAGTTCCGACTTTTCACGCTCAAGTTGCTGGACTGTTGCTTGCGTTTTCTTCAGCTCTTCGGGATCGGCAAATCGACCAGATGCTGGGCTCTGGCGTGCCATGGGACTTGACTCTGGACCAGAGCTGAGAGAGTGTATAATGGCTTTGAGACCTCTAATCTCATCATCCTTCAACTCAACGTCCTTGTCTCGAGATCCGGAGCCTTCTGCTTCTTTAGCTCCTTGAAGTGCTTTGGCAGCCTTCTCCCTTTCACGCCTCAGCTCGCTACGCCCTCTTTCGACTTCTCCTCTCAAGAACTCTACCTCCCCTCGAGCTTCTGCTTCTCCACGTCTTGCGTCTTCCAGGCCCTCCTCAAGTTCTGCAACAAGCTCTTCCAACCCCTTAAGTTGGCGAGCAACATTCTCGACATCTTCACGGCTGTGACCAAGCTCGCGCAACTCCTGAATTTCGGCAAGCAGGTCGGCAATCTTCGCCTCATACACACGCTCCGTCTCGGCAGAAGCAAGCTCTAGTGTATCTATTGTGCTGCGGAAGTCTGCACGATGGGCGTCAAACTCATCAATCAGCGACTGAATCTTGTCTTCCCTATCATGCACAGCTTGACGCAACTCAAAGACATCAGAAGTGTCCTCATCGTCACCAGGTATCAGCTCTTGGATCTCTTTCAGACTGGCTTCCATCTCTACCAGTGATCCGGCCTGTTCTTGCAGCTGTCTGTCTTTTTCCTCGAGTTGGGCGAGCAGCCTTTGTACCTCGCCATCTTGATCGACAGTGACTTGACGGGACGGAGAGCGTCTAGCAATGGAAGCGGCAGAACTGGTCGAAGGACGATTGCCAACGCGAGAGCCAGTGCGCGAATAGGGACGCGAAGGCGCAGCGGATCGGCTAGCAGCACGAGGGGTGGTTGACAGAGGTGGTGCGGGACTCGAGGTGAAGCGTGGAGGAACAGCGGACCTTTGGCTCATGGAGAAGTTACGAGCAGGGGTCGGAACCAGGTTGGGCTGTTTGCGGAAGGGAGATTCGGGGCGTGGTAGCGATGGTCGACGAGACTTGAGTTTAGATAGAGGGCTCGGAGGACGGGCACCAGGACCCATGGATTGCGAGAACTTGGGCATAGCAGCTGTCGGAGGGGTGTAGGAGTCGAGACGATATTGCGACGGTGTACTGGGAGTGCCAGGGTAGGCCGGACGCGAGCGCGCAGGCGATTGGCGCTTCTCTGCGCGGTGCACAGGCAAGAAGATACCAGCTCCAGGGACGTCCGTGTCGAAGTAGCGGATGCCGTCGACATCGCCGTCATTCTTTCCTCTGGCAGCAAACTCGCCGGCCAGCTCGACACCAATGAATTTGCCCTGCTTGCCCCTGACAGGCCCGACGAACTTGACTGTGCCGTACATGTCGCCAGGAACATTGACCATGTCGCCCAAGGCGACAGACGAGTCGGCCATTGTTGATGAGAGTCCAGGTGATGAAGTCGTGTTTCCTGTCAAGGCGTTGAGAGAAGCTTCACGGGCTTTGCGGTGAGCATCGTTGTTGTGCATGGGCGAGTTTGACGGCCGCACACGCTGCCGCGGTGTTGACATTGCTTTGCTGAGAATACCGGTTCCTGTTTATCTTGAAAGACGAGATCAGAGGATAATAAACCAATCTTTACCGCTGCCGCTACGAAATCAAAGACAAGATCCAAGACAAAAACAAAGACACGTCAGGCTCCATCATTACTCGATTACCCATGCAACCAACCACATGGCTCTTGCGACCTACCGACTTAGTTGCCCGCCAAAATGCTGCCCAATCATCCCAACCCATTACTTGCAAAAAGGTGCAACGACAGGTGAAGGACTTTGCACACTTCTTAGCAGCTCCGAGGGACGACCTGGTCTCATGCTAAGCTATTCTGTTCCTGTTGTTTACTTCCAAACATCTAACCGTATCAGCATGACTCGGCAACATGATGGCATCAATTTAGGACTTGCACCTTGATAACCAGCGCATGGCCTTTTCTTATTCGGCGTGTCCATGTCTCTGCCTAGGCATCCCGGGGAGCGGAGACATGACTGAAAAGTTCACAAGAACAAACCGTAAATCCCGGTCCTGAACAGAGACTTGGTCTAGAAAATGATTCGGTAACCTCGTCTTCATTCGCAAGGCTAATCTAAGAGCTGGTCTTGTGTTTTGGAGGCAGGCTTCCACTGAAGCTCGGTCTGCGCTGGACGTTAAAGCTCATCCGTTCGGTATCAACTCCCGCATCAACCTGTGACTTAGTCGTACCGAGGTTGTTCGGTCCCCGAACCCCACGCTTTCATATACTCCTCTGGGAATGCATTCATCTACTACTGTCCTGTTCGCATGAGCCTTGGACTGAGAGTGTCAATTGTTCTTCTCACCTTATCAAGTTTCGTTCAATATGGCAGGTCCGATTCGGCAGCTCATAGACATCACGTCGCTCGAAAACTACTTGCACAAACATGTACCGGAGATCAAGACACCTCTTGACGTCAAACAGGTAATATTTCCAAGCCTCAAGGTGTTTCATATCATTGAATTAGAATCACAGTTTGGTTATGGCCAATCAAATCCCACCTATCTCTTGACGTCCTCTGATAAACAGCAATATGTGCTACGCAAAAAGCCCCCAGGAAAGCTGCTATCCAAAACCGCTCACAAAGTCGAACGCGAATACAGAATCTTGCATGCTCTTGAGACAACCGATGTCCCAGTCCCAAAGACATATTGCTTGTGTGAGGACGATACAGTCATTGGTACGGCTTTTTACATCATGGAATTTCTGGATGGCAGGATCATTGAGGATCCATGTCTACCGGATGTCAGCCCTGAGCACAGAAAGGAGATGTGGCGGTCTGCAGTAACGACACTGGCAAAGTTTCATCGTGTAGCTCCGGCTTCCGTGAATCTCGCATCCTATGGAAAGGCAGATGGTTTCTACGACCGTCAACTTGCGACATTCAATACCATCCAGGACGCTCAGGCAAAGGCTGTCGACATTGAGTCAAACGAGCCTGTGGGAAAGATTCCTCATTTCGATGACATGGTCGCCTTCTTCGGCAACAAAGCTACCCAGCCTCAGGATCGCAGTACCTTTGTTCACGGCGACTACAAAATCGATAACGTGGTCTTCCACAAGACAGAGCCAAAGGTTATAGGAATATTGGAGTAAGTCGAGAAAGCATCCGTTGTGAAGCGAGGCTGATGTTTCTAGCTGGGAAATGTCAACGATAGGGCACCCCCTTTCCGACCTCAGTAACTTACTCACCCCCTTCACCACTGCAGACTCCCCTGTCGCTAGATCGATCGGACGAGGAAGTGAAACCTTCCTCCCCGGTAACACGCCAGGTCTCCCGACCAAGCAACAGTGCATCGAGTGGTACCGGAAAGTGGCTGGATGGGACCCGCGACCAGACATGACCTGGGGCGAGGCGTTTGGAATATATCGTGGCAGCATAATCATGCAAGGGATCGCGGCGAGATATGCTCTCAGACAGGCAAGCAGTGCTCGCGCGCAAGAATACGCAGTACAGATGCGGCCCTTTGCCACAGTCGGGTGGGATCTTGTCCAACAATGCCAGAAGGAACGAGCAAAACAGGGTAGCAAGGCCAAGCTGTAATGCAAATCAAAGGGTTTGACCAGCGGGTTAGATGTTAGTTATCACGAGTCCCGTCATGAACCTCAATCTGTATACTGAGTCGTAAAATTCACACGCAAACATGATGATCGAACGGACCAGGCGGCCAAATACTCCTTCGGCCATGGTCAAGGATCAAAGTTCGCTAGCACGACGCAAAGAGATCCACGGAGACAAGTCTTGTCCCGGTTTAGAGGCAGGGGCAGTAGATAACTCACGTATACCAAAGACAAGGTCGAGATAAGACGTGGGAGAGAAAGGGACAGAGAGTGATTTTCGATTCGTGGAATCAAGGCGTCGCTTTATGGAACGCTCTTGAGAAAGGTCATAATAAATCCCTAAGATGGATGCGACCTGCTTTCTCGGGTCTGTGGAAGTGTCTTGTCCATGTTCCTGACTGTCGGACGCATTTGATGTCGACTCATGCGACGGAGGGCTGCGATGTGATGGCGGACGGAGGTGAATGTCGAGTCACTGTCGGTGGCTGCGGTCGGGTATAAGAGGAATTCGCTCATCGTCGGTCGTGTTCGTCCATGCGTTCCAGGGCTTCTAGCATAACAACAGAGTTGCCACGGATGACCTAGACAGAATCAGCATCGGCTGGGCGCATGATGGACGGGGTAGATGAGCGTACGACTTGGCCGATTCTGACCTTCTCGCCGTTGGCCTTCTCCTCGACAGCATCATCCAAGACGATGTTCAGGAAGACCTGTAATGAATTAGGAGACGGATGCGATGGTTGTCAGGGAGCAGGAGCGTACATCGTAGCCGCGCAGGACGCCGATGACCTTGCGGCTGCCATTGAGCTGGATGAACAGACGGCGGTCGAGGTACTGAGTAGTGGTTAGTCACGGCGCATGGATCGGGGCAGCAATGGTCACCTTCTTCAACTCTGGCTGTGCTTGAGGCATGATTGCGATTGGGATGGCAGAAGATGATGTGCAGCTACTCGCGCGAGATGGGCGTCTGTTCGAGGAAAGTCGCGAGCGCTCAAGACTCAACTTGTGCACGGCCAACCGCCAACCGCCAACCGCCAACTGGAGAAAGTGAGCGACCCCCGCGCGTCATTCCCGAATTTCCCTTTCTACTCTGCACACACACTCAGTTCACCTCAACTCAACTCAACCCGACAACCCTTGCTCGCTCTTAGCATGAAGAAGTCATTCGCTTCTCGTCGCGTGCCGCGGAAGATTGGCCAGGATGACCAAGATGCCCTATCCGATGTGTCAAGCAACAATGGTTAGTCTCTGCTCCTTCCCTCAATGTCTTTCGCAGCTCTAACGAAGCTCATCGTGGCAGCTGGCTGATGGCCCATGAACAGACTCTTCCGCTCCCACTTTTGTCAAACGTCCTGGTCCGAAAAGTCGCAAATCTTCTGCCCTGCGCCCTGCCTTCGCTTCTACCGACGACGACAACGACGACAATTCCACCCTGCTGACCCCCAAACGCTCAAACATCTCTCGCCTGGCCATCCAACGTAATGCCGAAAACCACTCCGACATATCCTTTCGTCCACGTCTCGAGTCCACATCCAACCGTCCAAGCTATAGCAGAGACTACCTTGACGAGCTGAAACAGAGTACGCCCGCCACTCCAAAGGACGTCGCATCCGTATCTACCACCGATACCGAGAATGCCGCCTCTGTTCGCAACAACCCCGTTGACGTGAAATCAAAATTTGGCTCCGACCTCTCAAGATATCAGCCTCCTACAGCTATACCCACAGCTGCGGAAATTCAAGAGAAGAAGACTCGTCGCGCACGCTTGGCCAAGGAAAACGATTTCATATCACTGGAAGATGACGGAGATGATGAAGACGACGACGACGCAGTCACACGGGACGAACAGGGACGTTTAATCCTCAAGCCCAAGGAGAAATACCCAGAGACCCGCCTTGTACACGACGACGAAGACATGCTGGAAGGATTCGATGACTTCACTACTGAAGGCAAGATGACATTTGGTCGCAAGGCACAGAAAGAGGAGGACCGAAAACGCAGAGCCGAAATGGCTTCTATGATTGCCGATGCAGAAGGTCAAAGTGTGGACGAAGATGAAGAGGATGAGAGCGAAGCTGAAAGGAACGCCGCTTTCGAGGTTGCACAAACCCGCCACGGTACCTATGCTGCACGCGAACAGGAACCCGACTCGACAAGACCTCAGACGCCGCCGAGGGTCGTCCCCCTTCCGACAATGGACAGCGTGATTGAGAGGCTTCGGAAGCGACTGGAAGAGATGGAGATGGTTCGCGCTAACAAGGCAAATGAGATGCAAAGTCTTGTAGAAGAGAAGTCAAGGATCGGGGAAGAAGAAATCAGAGTTCAAGCTGCTTTGAAAGAAACGGGCGAGAAATATCAAAAGTTGCGGCAGGACATGGGCTTGCGGGTTGAGGATGATGACAAACAGGTCGCCATGGCCGATGATGAGGTCCGCGAGCCTGTGAACGACCTTCCGGAAGACAGCGAGGCTAGCGACGAGGGTGATGAGGACGATAACGAAGGGAGACCAGGCCTCGGAACGAGCGGTCTGGGTAGCGGAATGCGACGAGACATGTCCGATTGGGGTATGTAGTCTTGCCATGGTCGCTTCTTGCTTGATGATGAATTCAGAGTTGAGATGTCCTTTTATGACCAATCCTCCATAACGCCGAGCGCCTCGCTGTGTAATTTCATTGAACAATCATGTCGAGTCGTGTCCGGCTCATGAGTTGGCGTCGATTTCGGCCCATACGGATTCGATCTTTGCTCGCTTCTCCTTGGCCACTTCGCGATTCTGACGGGTACGTTCGAGGCGCTCGGCACGCAGGCACATGTTGACTTGATGCTTTGCCTTGGTACACATGCCCATGGATTTCCAGAGGAAGCCGCGCGCATGGCATTCTTCGAGCGCATTCATGACCTCCTCGCAGTCTGGTATCTGTTAGAAGGGCCGAAGCTAAAAGGTGCGTATGTCGGGCAACACACTCTTGTTGTCTTTGGTATGGAGATGAGGATGCATGATGGCTGAGCGCGTGTCTTGCTACTCAATTGTTTCTCTGATGTGATTGATTCGAGTCTCGATGCGATTGTTGTACAGACTCCAGAGGCAAATCAGCAGTCGAGCAACACTAGCGTGTCTTGGCTTCCCCGAACGCCGCTCCAACAACCAGCTGCCTCTGTTGTGCTTCGATCAGCGTCAAGTTTTGAAGGCTTATATTTGTCAAATGTCGCAACAAGTCTCTGCTAAGAAGCAGCAGGGTGGGTGACCGTGATTGATTCTCCTTTTTCGTTGCTAACATGGATGTTTAGAGCTGCAGGCGCAGTACTCCGGTTACAAAGAAACCCTTCAAGCCATTGCACAGAAGATTGGCGATGTTGAGACTGAAGCCGAAGAGCACAAGTACGTGTGGCATGATCTTATCTGGTCTTCTTCTCTGATCTGGCAACTTTTTGAGAACCGGCTCGACAGCACTCATAGCAGCAATCAACTGACTTTGAAAAAGGCTTGTGCTAGAGACACTCGAACCACTGCCCGGTGATCGCAAGTGCTTCCGTATGATTAACGGAGTTCTTGTGGAACGCACTGTGCAAGACGTGTTGCCGCAGCTCAAGACCAACGCAGATGGCCTCAAGAAGGTTCTCGAAGATCTGCTAAAACAGTACACTACAAAGCAAGAAGAACTTGAGAAGTGGAAGGTTTGTCAATCAAGCTGTACTAAACATACATTACAGTCCACTAAAATCACCACAGCGTCAAAACAAGATCCAAGTCGTCACACAATGAGCCCGCTATCACAATCAAATGCACAGCTGCTCACAACGGCGTGACATATCTGTCGGATCTTTTGCTTATTCGCCTACCAAAGCAGCAACTGAGCTCAACAATGAAACTTCTCTCGGAGTCATGTTGTATGTAGCCGTATCACTCGAAGATCAGGTGTGATTACGAGGCTTGGTCTAGTTGACCCCTTGGCCAACGCGAGATCTAGCGCCTTACGGCAATGGTTGCAGGCCCAGGTACCACAAACTTGCTACTGGCTCGCTCGACGTCGTTGCTTGGAAGTTCCAGGCAGGGAACAGCTCGAAGGGCACTGATGCTGTTTCTCCGGTTCAGTCAATCATTCCTGCTCTGTATCTTGGACGATACTAGCAATCAAAATGTTCGCAATCTAAACGAAAGTCCATATCGCCAAGCATGGCTATCCTAAGCGGGGATAAGTCATGATTGCAAGCCCCCATCTGTCAGGCTCAATTGCATAGTGACTTGTGACAACACTTTTGATTGATACATACGGGCAAACAAGGCTTCTCAATATAGTGGCGCGCTTCGGAGAGATCAATACATGCCTAATTGTCCGATCCGGCATGATGGCTTGTAGTTGGAAGTAAAGTCGGCTGAGAGGCTCTGGTGTAGCAACAGAAGTTGGAATATTCAAGCAGGGGCCACCTTCTCCAACCCCCACCATCGCCTTTCATGGAACGCGAACCAGTTCGTTTCTCTTTCATCTACGAGCCTATCACATCCTCCGCTTGTCGCGATTTAAATAGACATCGGATCTACGCGCCAGACATCAACAAGCGAACCCATAAGGTCTGGTGTTCTATTGCTCGTCCCGCTCCGTCGTCCGACTTCAACTCCAAGCAACGTCACGTTGCGATCCTGTGTGCATCCAGCCGACATCTCCAGGACTTCCTCGGTCCATTGGGCTTCAAGGCACTTTGTTGAGTTCCAAACATCTACATTCACGTACCCACGCATCACCCGAGGGGTAATCGCAGCCGCCGCCCTCTGAAAGTGTGAGTTTATCCAATATGTCCCGCAACTGTCGCGATCCGGCCGCCAGCGGTATTTGATCAAAACACGTGAAAGCGGGTCACTCCCTGCTATCAAAAATGTGCGACTAATACCTCCCTCAGACTTTACTTTGTTGGCATCTGACTGGCTACGGAGGATTCTTGTAAAGTGGCACCGATTGCTCTGTGACACCAAGTTATTGTTCAGTGCCTTGCATCAACACCCGGTTCCCGGCTTTCGTAACACAACGCGAAGCATAGCGTCTTGGGCTGCAGACATCTTGGATCCAACAAACCGTGACGTATCGCGACAGCGAATCAATTTGCCAGCGCAACAGACGTCAGAGTGAACACGTGTGGGGCCCTTTCTGCAAGTCGCCGAATACAATATGTCACAAAGCCCTCGAACGACGGATGTCGAAGGCCAGCCGGCATCGAATCCAGCAGTATTGCAAGCAGACGCAAACCAGCCGTCGCCTGACGAGCATGAACAGCAAGACATGAGCAGAGGCCCTGATGATCCTGGTGATCACGGTATGGGTGGTTATGACTTTGAGGTCAAGGAGCAAGATCGGTGGTTACCCATTGCAAACGGTATGTTTTGAATGTTTTTCCTTTAATTCTGGTCGGACAGGGTGCAACCGACAAGGGAGCTTGCTGGGTCTGTACTCCCTTTGCACCACCACCTGTACATTGACCAATGCCGTCGACGGTGCTGCCCTTCCCATCCCCCATATACAGCCCAATCGCGCGTTTCGACATTTTGACCGTCGAATCAGAGCTGCTTCTGCCAGCCCAGATCTGCAGCTTTGACTTTTGACAGCGCGCGGATTGCCGAACAGTCATGTCTTCTGCATCCCGACTACCGACTCGATCACAGCCACTGCGTCCCCGGAACACTAAGAACGATGTTGCTTCCGATGCTAACATACGCAATTTTGCACCAGTCGCCCGAATTATGAAGGGTGCACTTCCAGACAATGCCAAAATCGCCAAAGAAGCCAAGGAATGTATGCAAGAATGCGTCAGCGAGTTCATCTCCTTCATCACTAGCGAAGGTACGTTCATTGCTCTACAAGAGTACTCCTCTATCTGAGATGGTGGACAGCCAGCTAACATTTTACAGCCTCCGAGAAGTGCCAGCAAGAGAAGCGTAAGACAGTCAACGGAGAAGACATCCTCTTCGCCATGACCTCTTTAGGCTTCGAAAACTATGCCGAGGCCCTCAAGATCTATCTGGCTAGATATCGCGAGGTAAGTTTCTTCCTTCTGTCATAAATTTGTATCCTTCCTCAGCAACTGACACATGATGACATGATGACAGACGCTTGTCGCCAGAGGCGAACACCAGAGACCGATGACCAGCGGAGGCAACGCCCTCAGTTCCGCTGGCGGAGCCCAAGCAACATCACCCTACGACGGCAGCAATCACGGAGGCGCTGTCATGGGCAACCCCATGGAGCCGACCGAGAGTTCTAGCAACGACTATGCTTATGGAGTCGGACAAGGAGCCTCAGGAGATTACTAAATGGTTATTGCAAATGCCGATACGTCAACGGCGGTCGGAGAGGAAATGATTTCTTCTGATACCCAGGGGCTTGCAAGTGCTGCAAGTATGTGGACGGCGTCAGGAGTTGCGGTATTTCGATGGGTGTTCCTTTCTTTACATTGAGAAGGGTCCGCGAAGTGCGTGCATGTTGTATTGCTGGTTGCAGGCTGGTCGTGGGACAAGGACAATTCTTTAATCCAACGGATAGGTAGCGTGGCTACCGCAGTCTAATCATCTCACTCAATCAAACATCACGTACTCTTCAATTGGTCTGCCTTCCTTGTATCAGTGACGCACCCAAAATCGGCATACGTCTACATCCATTCTCGACCACTCTTCTCTACCTCGGTAATCGTGCTCAAGTCTCATCACCATAACGATGACTGAGCATCCCATAGTCCCTGCATACCCACAGTCTCTACGACTCCAGACCTTCCTGTCGCCCACAACATCGATATTTGCCAAGACGCTACCCTGACCCGCGCAACAAAGGCTCAAAAGCAACCGGACTATCTCAACAGCCAGTAGATCAGCTGATGGTACTCTCAAGAGTTGGACATCATGTCAAGAAGAAGCGAGCATGAGAAAGAGGATCACAGTGATCATGTACACGATCCCAGGGAACGAAATCATAGCCAACCTCGACGAAGCACGAGCGAACGGCTGGGTCACCTGCCGGACAGCCGAGCTAGCCTTTTCGAGCCAGATGCCATGCAACGAGAGGCACACAAAGCAGCGAACGAAAATGGCAAGAGTGTTCTTGATTCGTCGAAATAACAATTTCGCTTCGAGATTAATCCGAGCCACACATGATCACAACTACCCTTGGACATGGCTGGCAAGCGTTTTGAGGCTCCAGAAGACATGTATTGTCGTAGTATGATGACAAGGAAACGTCAAATATGTCAAAAGAGCATAACTTCATAATTTCATTCTTTTCCTTGGAAGGGATGGACGGCTACTATTATTCCTCCCTTCGTAGGATACGGACCTTTGTGTCTTCAGCACTGCTACTCAGGAAACCTACTCCACTATCGGCCTCAGACCCAGGTCCGCCCTCTTGCATTCGTTTCGCACACTCCTTGTCGTAGCTGCTTGGGTCAATACCGAGGATACCGCCAACGTTATTGCGGTCACCGGGGACACTAAACTCGCGGAACGCATAACGCCATTCGTTCAAAAACTGGCGGACTGCTTTGCCGACTTTGTCTTTGCCATTTTTGGAGTGGTGACCGGTGCCGCAGATCGCATAGATTGGTCTGCTGGATGAGCTATGGTCGAGCAGGCAGGAGGTCAGGTATTGTACTGCTTCTTCGGGATGTAGACCTGTGGTTGAAATCAGCAAGAGTTCAGTGATAGGGCAACACGAGACCGAGGCTTACCATGCAAGTCAACAAACAGTTCCTTGCCGTCGCCAGAATTCTTATTACGCTCCTCATATAAGCATCGAGCAGCCTCGCGGTGGGCCTCCTTCATGGCCAGGTTCTCGTTATGACCTCTGAGACTGAGAGCTTTGGCGCCGCGAGCATCGTTTCTGTTCCATGCTTGAGCTGCACTTTGTAGGAATTTGTTCCTTAGGCCTCCGTGCTTGAAGGCCTCGGCACGTGCTTTGAGATATGCCTTGTTTGCGTAGTCTCCGGTTTCCAGCCAAGGGATGTGCTCAGGCGCTGCTATCGCCATCGCGGCTGTGCTGTTTTCACGAGAGCCGGTGCTTGACTTTGTGGGCCGCAATCCTCGCCGGGATTGAACCTGTGGTGAAGGAGATGGAGTCATGCGTACTACGTCCGCCAATGACGATGGGGTAGGGACTGGGCTCTCCTTGTTAGCAGCATGGCCATGGCCTCTCTTCCCGTGACGACGAGATGACCGTGAGGCGGCGGCAGACCCCAAGGTAGGGAAGGCTTCGTCGTCGTTCACAGCCAAGGCCGAAGGAGTTGCAGTACGGGACTGATGGCGGCTCGTGGGTCGCGACGAAGAGCGGACGCTTGCATTGCTTGATGGGACAAACATGGCGAATGGATTCAGTGTAGAGACAGCAGAGGGCTGTGATTGGAGAGAATTAAGCAGAGAAGGGTCATAAGATTGGTCATACGGGTTTGAGTTGGTAGGCTGCAGAGCAGGGAAGGAATCGTAGTCTTGCAGCTGGAAGTTTGGCTGGAGAGCCTGCGTGGGTGGTGTAGCGTTCTCATCCATGGTCAATCGAGTCATCAAAGCAGAAGGGTCGTGAGAGAAGATGCAGGAGTCGCCAGCGAGACAAGTTCCTGCTAGCCAGTACCTAGACGAGTGTTAAGAGAGGAACTGGGAGAGATTCACGGCGGGACACGGTAAACATACTTGCAGAGATGGTTACTAAGATCATGGCTGAATCGACAGTCAGCCCTTGCACAGTGTCCTGAAGAAAGCCAGTATTTGCACACGATGCCGCTCTTGGCCTGTGTAGAGGGGGTGAGGGGCCTCGAGGTAGGACTCATTGACTTTCCAACGAGGTATGTCCTGCTCTGAGCCTCTGTTGCGCTCAGAGCTTGCGGGTCGGTCAAAGCCATGATCGTCTGGCTGAAGTCGTAGCCGTTCAGCTGGAGGACATGTTCAAGCTCTTCATCAGACTTGTCGTCACGCAAGACGGAACGCAGCATATCATACGTCGACATCTCGACCATGGAAGGCTGAACCCACTCGGACGAATACGAGTCGCCAAACGAAGCAGTGCTGCTGGCATCGTCGTTGACTAGCCAGTCAACATTGTCGCTCCCGTAGTCCCCATATTGCTCTGTTGCTGAAGTGGGCTCGCTGAACTGGTAGGCACTCAGGCTGGGACTGTGGGGAATCTGGGGAGTCGCAAAGGCTAGGCGCGGAGAGGGGCGTGGAGAGGAAAAGGGCGAGGCGGTCGAGGACTTTGCGCGGTTGAACTGAGGAGGAGCAGGGCCAAAGCCAGGCGGAGGATGAATGGTGGCGCTCTGGGATCGCGGCGAGTTTGTGGCAGAGACAGAGCGGGCTTGCCATGGAGCGGGCGATGCACGGCGGATCACAGTGGCGCGTAAGGGCGGCGGCGAGGTCGAGCCCTCGGTATGATCGCGACGGCGCCACAGCACACCCAAGACGGCATCCTCGAGAGCCTTGCCCGTCAGGCGGGCCTCTTGGCGTAGGACATGCTCGACGCGGTCGGCCTTTTCGTCATCGGGTACGGTGGGGTCCTGCAGCACAGGCAGGCATATCTCGTATACCGTGTCCGACACCATGGTCGTGTTATGCGTGGTGCATCGGGGATGGTGCGAAGAGTTGAAGAGGGTCACGACCGAGAGCGGGCACGGCCAAGGCGAGAGCGAGCTTCGGGTCCGGAGAGGTAGCCCGGCTGACGTATTGCTATTGGTCCGTTCGTCAAGCCCCGTAACCCTGTCGCTACCGCTGCCTCCACATTCGTGATTCGTGAACGTCTTGCATGTGAAGCTCGGTCGGAAGCTTGATCTTTTGATCGTCGTGCTCCTTCCTGAAGTCACTTGCAACTACACTTGTCTTCACTCGCAATGGCGTCCGCCATCTCCAGTCATATCCTCAACCCGGCAAGCGCGCCTGTCCCCGACTTGTCCTTCCTGCAGTATCTCAAGAGCGCATTCCCTCCCTTCGGCTTCCCGAACAAACACAACCGTCCGACATGCTCTGCCTACAAGAACGGCCATTGTCCGCTTGGTCCAGCTTGTCCTGACCGCCACTATACTCCGCCAAACGAGCGCTCTGGAATTGGTCATCTCATTTGCAAACATTACCAACGCGGCCTCTGCAAGAAAGGCGACCAGTGCGAGTTTGCCCACACCTTCGACTTGCGCGGTGAGAGAGAGTGCAAAGAGTTCAGCCGCTTTGGCCTCTGCCCTCAGGGTGACGAATGTGCGTCAAGATCAATTTCTCCTTAGTTCCTACTTGACTGACCGCGACAAAGGCACCTACCTCCATATAGCTCCTACTTCTCCTCTACGCATTGCGCCGTGCCCTCACTTTGCCCGTGGCTTTTGTCCTTTGGGTCTCTATTGTAGTCTACGACACATCAAACACGCCGCCATCTGCCGTTTCTATCTTGCTGGCTTCTGTCCCAACGGTCGCGCCGGCCCGCCTGACAGAGACAACGTCGTATCGTGCGAGCATGGTGCCCACCCTAAATGGATTGATGGAGACAACCTGAAAAAGCCGGAGCCTCGTCGCGTCAAGCCTGAAGAAGAGCTTCGCAGAGAGCAAGAAGAGCGCGAGGAAGAATTCTTCGCCGAGGAGGAAAAGCGTCGCGAACGCTTTGAACGTGGAGAGAGTGGCGGTGGCCGCGGCTGGGGGAAACGTAGAGGCAGAGGAAGGGGTGGTTGGAGAGGACGAGGTGGTTGATCGGCACCCTGACACCATGCGCAATACTACAACATGGCACTGCACCTGCTCGACAGCCCAAAGATGGTCGGCGACCTTGATCGCTACCAGAGGCCGCCTTTCTCACCAAGGTGCACTCCAGCACACGGCTGCTAGCGCCTTTCGGATGTTCGAAGTCCAATCGCGACACATCAGGACTATTCATGGCAAAAGAGCAGGAACTCGTCAGTCTGCCTCCGACAGTGTATCAACCGAGCTACTTCAAGCACTATATCCTCTGCTTAAAGTGTAGCATATTTTGGGGTGTATAGAACAAAGCGATGACATTCGCAAGAAGGCTACATAAGCCTATCAGAGCAGTGTGCATCGATAGAACAACAGTATCACTGAGAACGAGATTATGATTAATGTTTTCATCAATCTCACCACTGCTCCTTTGCATTTTCTAATGATTCGAAGATTTTGTTTTCCATCAAAGTCATGAGTTGTCAACGGCTGAGTGGACTTTCTTGAAACCGTACCAAACCACAAACATCGTTATTTTGACCTTCTGATAAACCTGCGAAACAATCCGACCATGCTCAAAGTTGCCGACATCTTGTCCGATCTGACCTCTCTCCGCGTCGGTGTATGTTGGCCACACGCGGAAATGGTGATTATACGGCAGCTGACACAGGCTCGCAGGATCCTGTTGCGGCAATGGACCTCGTCTTGGCTCGATCGCCCATTACACCTGCGGGCATATCAACTCAACAGCTGAAAAGGGCGCAGAATACGACTGACTCTGATGTTGATCTTGCTCGCGCCCAGGACTTGCTCGACCTCCATGCCAACGTCAAGCTCGCTCATCGCGGTGGTCTTGATCGATCTCTGCTCCAAGCCCGTCAACAGGTCAATACGGCCTTGAGAAATGTCTAGAGTGTTTCCATCGCTCGCTGGCCAGGTGTCTCTCTTCAGTCGTGTTTGCGCCAGGCCGAAATGATAGCTCTATAATCTTGTAATGTCAAGCTTGCCTACGGTGGGATCTTGATACATCTCAGCAATAATCCTGTCTGAACGATCAAACAATAACACGGTCACATTGTGGTTGCATCTCTCAGGGGATATCATCGATTAGGATTGTTATGGTAGGGTATATCAATATCTTGAAATCACAGCACTTGTAACGTTGCTTGCTTGTTTTCCCAGAAAAAAGCGTAGGATGTGTGCACCACCGAGCTTGGTAACGAAGAACTTCCTGACTTTGTCTCTCCAGTGTCTTGGTTCCTGGGTATCATCCACAGGGTTAAGGACCACAACGTGGGTGTCACGTCTGACGATCACGTCTGGAGGTGCCGACCGCGTGCTCATCTGCGATGGCCTGGCTTGTATCTCATGTGCCTCGTTTGTCCCTGGCTGTGCTATCTCAGGGGCTGATCTTGTTGAGATGAGGACGGGGACCCTGTCAGTGCTTCTCAATGGCTCGTAGGTAGCCGTATCACTGCGTTGAATGGTCGGAGCCGGGAATGTCTGTGTGACCAGTAGCGGTACAACAGGAGCAGGTGTCGCACTTGAGGAGGAGGTAACGACGACGACGGGCGATGCAGGAGGTGGAGAGTCTTGCCTGACCGCCTCAATAACGACTGCGGAAGGAGCATCAGGGGAGGGAGGAGCTGATGTCTCTTTGGCTGTTCCAACGACCGTGGACGGTGCAGGTGGCACTTCGGGGATTTGGGTTTCCTTCTTAGTCGTCTCGATGGTCGTCGTGATGGGTGAAGGCGGAGTTTGAACGGCGGATACCTGAGCGGGGACAGGCTCTACTTGCTGGATGATTGGAGTCGGTGAAATGACAGGAGAAGTCGGAGGTGGAATGACAGGAGAAGTCGGCGGTGGAACAGGCTCAGGAGCAACAACGACAAGTGGAGGTGCAGGAGGTGGCGATGGGGGTTGAGAATCAGAAGCGGGTGGTGTCACAGCCTTTTCGAGTGTTGGTTCTGCTGCCGGGACCGCAACGACAGAGCCCTCATGACTGGTGACGACAATCTCTGTTGCAGGGTCAACGACTGCGAGGCTATCGTGAAATTGGCACTTGGTTCTTACGCTCTGCTGGAGGGGGAGATGATGGCTTGGGGGAGTCTGGTGATGGAGGTAGAGGATCAATCGAGACCTTGGGCATTGGCTCAGGAGGGTTGTCCATTACGATGATGGTGTTGATAACGTTTCGGCAACAGAAAACAAACGAAAGGCTGGACAAAGAAGAGTAAAATGATGGCGTAAAGAAGCCGACCTGATGATGATAGTGTGGTTGTAAAGATGAAGGACGAGACACAAGTAAGATTGGGTCAGTCGAGGAATCTGGCAGCAGTTGCTGTCTGCAGCACTTTCCATCCGGCAGACATGACGAAGCTGTTGGTCACTCTCGTCACTCTCATTGTCCGCCGAAGATGGAAGCAGCTGTGCACTTGGCGACTTCCATGCTTGCATAAATCTGGCCAGGTGTGGCCCTCGGTCAATTGCCAGAAACATATCGAACCAGACGGAGAAGGTCTGCTTCAGATTCGTATGTAGTCGCGACGATGTGTCCGGACTGAAGTCGCTTGGAGGAATACGGTTTGATGAGTGCAACATGCAGTTGCTTCTATCATGCTTAAGACTGCGTACAGTTAAGAGATTTAGACGATCAACGTTCAATCCAAGGACGAATTTGATGCGAAAAGTTTCTTGCTCGCATAGCAAATCCAGTGCACACTGCGTGAGAAGCTGATTCATCACTTACTTGTACTCACAACTGATCTTAAATTGGTTTGCGGATCCTAACTTCAGATGCCATCTGTCCACATTTTCAAGCTGACTGGTATGGAAGCCTTGAGAGAAGTGGAAGGAGAAGTGAGCAAACAGCGAGGGAGCTTGCGGTCTGTGCGTCGCTTCAGACAAACTCTCCCGTCGCTGTCAACAAGATCTCCATTTAATTGCTTCAATCATCGCCATCCAGTGCCAATCATTCAACTCACCATTCTGTCAGCTCCGATTTAGCACAACCCCGGCCACGGCACAATGAATCGTATCACCACGAATGTGGATCAGAAACTGCTGCGCACCACAAAATTTCCACCAGAGTTCAACCAAAAAGTCGACACAACCAAGATCAACATCCCGGTCATCAAAAAGTAAGTACATGGGGCTGAGGCCGTCGTCTGATTGGACCTTGCGCCTTTTCTGCTTCAATGGTTGCACATGCTGATGGTGTTCGTAGCTGGGCCGCGGGTGAGGTGTCAAGAATCCTAGGCTACGATGATGATGTCGTTATCAATCTCCTTTTCGATCTTTTGGAAGGCTCCAAGAATGTAAGGTTACTGTATTTTACAGACAGCAGAACACTGGACTAATATCAACAGCCCGATATCAAATCGCTGCAAATCCAACTAACAGGATTTCTCGAGAAAGACGCAGCTCTCTTCTGCAAAGAACTCTGGAATCTTTGTTTGAGTGCTCAGAAGAGTGATACAGGAATACCACAACAGCTCGTTGAGGCGAAGAAGTTGGAGCTTATTCAAGAAAAGGTAAGATTATCAAAGTCCAGCACTGCAGTGTTCTAACTATGGACTAGGTCGAACAAGAAAGAGCTATTGAAGCTGCGCGACAGCGCAGAGATGATGAGAGAGCTCGCGAGAGAGACGTGGAGAGTATTCGTAATCGCGACCGCGACCGCGACCGCAGAGATCGGGGTGGTCGGGGACGAGGCCGCGGTGGAGGCCGCGATCTTGATCGTCGACCTCCCAGGGACTATTCCAGGTCGCAGTCACCACCTTCCAGACAATCTCATGGCTCTGGGGATTTTCGTCGTAACAGACCTTCGGCTAGAGAAACGGATTCGTACGTGCCAGCAGGAGATGCCAGTGGCCGTAGGGGTGAGAGACGCCAGCGATCGCCTTCTATCGCACGTCGTAGTCCTGGCTCATCGTCGCCTCGCCGTGCATCTCCGCCCAGATCACGAAGGACGGTACGACGCAACACCTCAAGCGAGCGCAGTCGCAGTCGTTCCACAGAACATCGGCATTCGAAGAGGCCGGCCGATTCGCAACGAGGAGAGCGCCGGCGCCGAGATGTATCGCCCTATTCACGAAGACGTTCACCGCCTCCAAAGCGTAGAAGAGGCTCGAGTTCTTCCCCCAGACCGAGGCGTCATCGATCTCGTACGCCTTCTAGATCTCGCATGAGTCGCAACGCCAGGAACGGCAACGAGAGCGTGTCTCCACCGCATCGTCGACGTTCCCCTTCATTCTCCGAAGATATGCAGGACAGACGTGCTAATGTTGTAAAGGACCGACATTCGGGCACGACTCGCGGATCTCGTCGCAGTCAGAGCAGACAGCGTTCTCGAAGCCGTTCTCGCGATGCTCGTAGACGTTCGACATCTTCGAGCAAGCCACATGAGGGGAGACGGTACACACCCGAAGCCAACGAGACCACGACAAAGATGAGTGACGAGAATCAAGGAAACAGCAGCGCTGGAGCAGCAGAGGAGGTGGGTATTACTTCTTAAATGTCATGAGACCGATTCGATTCGAGCACATGATTCTTCTTACTCTGCGCTCATAGGTTACAAGTGGGATTGAGTGTATCAATAGTTGTTATACCATATATTTATGATGACCATCTCGCCGCGACATGCAGCTCTGCTCGTTTTGCACCAGGATAGATGCTAATGATGGCAGACCAAGCACAGGTTATTGAGCCCTTCGGCAGCCCTCGCACTACACGGCGATAAGAGGCCCACGGCAAGTGAGCTAAGAGAAAGACTCCTCAAGAGCAAGATTATTGCTATGCGCAAGATAGGCAAAGGGGGGTAGTCGACTATGTCGAGAGTAGAGCCTCAGAGTTCAAAGTTGAGAGTGAGAGTGAGAGTGAAGAAGTGAGGTGAAAGTGATCCAAGGCATTGAACCGGAGAAATGTGGGGTCGGATCGGCGCGCGACACGGACACAGCGCGGGCGGGCGACACCAACACGGATATATTCTCTAAACCATTCGTTCACAAACCATTGCTTCACCTGATCAATTTCGCTGCCTGCGCAACACAATGGCTGATAATGCGCCGGCCAGCGCAACCGCAACGGACCAGCCAGGCCGTCCCTACTACGAGAGCCTCCGGAACACGCTCAAGAGCACCCTGGCCAAGAAGCGACAGCTCGACGAACAATTACAGGCGCTCGAGGACAACATCTACAAGATGGAGAGTAGCTATCTCGAGGAAACCAACGGTGCTGGCAACATAGTGCGCGGATTTGACGGCTGGGTCAAGGGTGTCGTGGTAGGAGGAGACAAGAAGTCCGTCGACGATCGCAAGGCCAGAGTCAGAGTTCGCGACGAAGACCGCATCTTTTCACGAAGCTCCATGTCGTGGATCAGAGTATGCTCAATACCATGTAACGCTCTCGTTCTCGACCAGACCACTAACGCATCATCTAGGCACAAGACTCGGATCTCCCAACATCGGCCACCAACACCCCTTCACACGTACCAACACCTGCCTCATCAGTAGCTCCCCAGCTGGCTTCGAGAGAAAGCAACCATCCCACTCCTGGTAGCACTGTTTCCAAGGCAAATAGCAAAAAGAAGAAGGCTGCCGACAAGGACGATGATGAAGACAACAAGCCTGCGAAGAGGTTGAAGATCACCTACGGGCGCGAATGATATAATGTACACTTTTTCGGTTTGCTGCGTTCGAGCGGGAGTTGGGATATGGGCATGCATGGGTCAAGCATGAAGACGGGCGTTTGGGCTGCAGGTCGTTTTCGGACCTCTTTGCCATGACTATCATGAACACTTTTAGATATTGCTCCTATCACAAAAGACATACCTCATTCGTATTGGTGATAATGGCTGACCTTGCTGTTGTCTCATATCTAATCCCACCTGAAAGTGCTCTCCATGTTCGTTTTCTGTTTGCTTTTGTTTGCTTGACTGGACAGAGTTCCGCCTCCACCGGACATTTCTAGCACTTCTTACCGAGTCGGATACTCTTATACGCAGTTATATCTAATTACAATCATGGCTTCAGAGATGGTTGAAGACCTTTGGCTTTTTGGATATGGGTAAAAGGTATGTTTGCCATGAGTCGACCGCTGGTTTTCTATGCCATCACACCTTCCAGTACCTACTGTGTGACGAACCATACTAACTGTACTCGTTACATTAGATGAGCGATTCCTGCAGTATAGTGCGAGCGTTTCCTTACATGTATATTCATCACAGGAGTCTGATTTGGAAACCACCGCCGCACTTTGGTACTCGTTTTCTTGGTCTCTTCATGCTACATACGTCAACTGACCGAGGGAAGATCTCAGGGTTCCTGGTTATGTCGAAGGCTACGTACGGCGCTTCTGGCAGGCAAGGTAAGCGTTCAATGTTGATCTAGAACTGGTCTGATGCCTGTGATATAGTGAGGATCACCGTGGAACTCCAGAGGCCCCTGGCCGGGTTGTCACACTGATCGATAGATCACACTGGGAGACCTTGACGGACCAGGTATTTTAGGACGCCTTTGCACAAAAGCTGCTGTCTAATACTGCTATCCAGCATTCTGATGCTCCACCAACAACCTGGGGTGCTGCGTACAGGGTATGTCGATACAGCGACCCTCGAAGGATTCGAGGAACGCGAGTTAACTTTGTTCTAGATACCTGCAAGGCATGTAGCAGAAGTCAGAGAGTACCTCGACATTCGTGAGATCAACGGATATAGTATTCAGTATACGCCCTTTCACGTGTCGAAGACGTACGCCGCTTCGCACGAGCTACCGGCACCTATTGACTGCTTGGTCTACGTCGGACTCCCGGACAATCCGCAATTCATGGGTCCACAAGACCTTCAAGGGTTAGCAGAACATATCGTCAAGAGCAGAGGGCCCAGTGGTGAGAACAAAGATTATCTTTACGGACTCGATCAAGCTTTGATAGAGCTTGGGGAAGGCAGCGAAGACGAGCATGTTCACGACTTGGCGAGGCGCTGCCGGGAGGTCGAGTCCAGAGCGTGTGGGAATATTGGCAAACAAGCAGATTCCCACGGCCCTGGATCTAGGTTGCAGAGAGTGGGAAGTACAGACGAGCAGGAAGAGATTGAGAAGTAGATGTTCGTGTATGACCAGTCAGGTACAAGGCAAACGCACGGTCAGCATACTCTAGATGTACAGTACTGCACGCTGTCGAAGCACTGAACCAGGCGCATGGGAGGTTTGCAGATCTGCAGGTGGTGGCTGCGGGACGAACCGAAGCTTCGTGTACAGTCTAACGGTGCGTGCGGAGGTAGAGGATACGAATCTCATAACGTGTTTAGGTGCAAGAATAAGGGGAAACGCTCTCCTCCGTCCAATGTTGTCGTCCTGAGTATACGCGCGCATCTGTCGACATGCGAGACGACACTGCGGCCACATGGAGCGACATACCGACTTCTGTGCTGCGAGCCGAACTGCTCCGCCGCCAGAGCAATGACGACCGCCCTGCCTGCGGCACCGCCAGCAACACCAAAGACTACAACATGCCGCTGCATGTCTTTGCGCTGTTCCTGATCCTCGTGCTCAGCACGCTGGGTTTGTCTTGTCATTGTCTTGTGCCTCGACTGCCTTGCTGACGGTGCCATGTGCATAGCTTGCTCGTTTCCACTCCTTGTTCGAAGGGTCCCGCGCATGCCTGTGCCTCGCCTGTTCCTCTTCCTCTCAAGGCACTTCGGTACCGGCGTCCTGATCGCGACCGCTTTTGTGCATCTCTTACCTACTGCCTTCACCTCCCTGACCGACCCTTGTCTGCCACCCTTCTGGAACCAGGGATACCCAGCCATGGCTGGCTTCATAGCCATGATATCCGTCATGCTAGTAGTGGGTATAGAGATGTTCTTCGCGACGAAAGGTGCCGGTCATTCCCACTCTAGCGAGTACGTGACCCCTGGAGAACCTGGAGAACAACACGAAGATATGACTCCTCTGAGAAGAGGTAGTCGCGACGCCTTCTCCCGCCCATCACACCGCCGGAGTGACAGTTATAGGCCCTTCAGTCAAGCCCAGATAGGCTCTGAGGAAGATGCTGCTGAGGCCATGGCTTTGCAAGATGCTTCGCAATGGCAAGAGAATGGAAACTACAACGACACAGAACCCCTGGCGCCGAAAGGTCGTCTCAGTACAGACACGGGGAGTGGTAATTCGGATCTTGATTTGGATGAGCTGGATCCGCACATGGACGGGAATGGGGAGCTATCCAATGGTCATGCGCATGCGGTCGAACCAAGTTTGGAACGAACCGGCTCGCCTTCAGACCACCAGCAGCAACAGAAGATGTTGTTGCAGTGCCTACTCCTTGAGGCAGGCATCCTATTCCACAGTGTCTTCATAGGCATGGCGGTTTCTGTGGCCACAGGAACCTCCTTCATCGTCTTGCTTGTAGCCATCTCATTCCACCAAACATTTGAAGGACTAGCGCTCGGGTCCCGTATTGCGGCCATCACCATCTTCCCCAAGCGCTCTCCTCGGCCGTGGTTAATGGCCCTAGCCTACGGGACGACTACACCTGTGGGACAAGCCATCGGACTGCTGGTTCACAACCTCTACGACCCGTTCAGTCAGACTGGATTGCTCATGGTAGGCATTATGAATGCTATTAGCAGCGGTTTGCTGTTGTTTGCGGGGTTGGTTGAGTTGCTAGCAGAGGACTTCTTGAGCGATGAGAGCTACGAGGTTCTCCGGGGCAAGAAACGATTGCAAGCGTGTGGTGCTGTGGTTGCTGGAGGTCTATTGATGGCCCTAGTTGGTGCATGGGCATAGATACTGGAATACATTTGAGAAACAAGGCGTTGGAACATGTCTCAGGAGAAACAACTTGTACAAAGTATATGAGTGTAAAGATATTAGGCCAAATGGCGGGTTAGTCCGTACAATGCGCGTGTAATTGAGTGGTGAATCGGTTGAGCACCTGGGGGGATACTCCAAAGATATAGAATGACCAAAAAAAAGCCCCGATTCATGAATAGCACAGCGAATGGCAACTAGGCTCGGGAGGATGCATGATGGCGACAAGTCGAGGATCGGCATAGATGAGGAGTCAAAGCGACGGCCGCTAAGTCGTTTCCCTCTTGCTTGTCGCATCTTGCATGCTGCGACAATAACAACTTATTGGCACTCCAACACCAGGCGTGCCGACTCGTTTCGCAATAAGTTATTGACGTCTGTACGCTGTGTTCCTCGCTGCTCACCCGGCCTTTCACGAGATAGCTTTGTAACGAGAGCAGAAATCGACCTTGGACTCGCGGGCGTCATTTCGGAAGCGAGCCGTTTCCTACCGTACTCCAACGTTGGCTGGCTATCGACGACTCGGTCTCTTGTTTCTGCGCCACTCCACTCGTCCTGCTAATAACCAAGCAACCTCGACTGTCGGCTTGCTCGCGTCCGTCAATTGCTTGTGGTATGCGGGTCTAATCGAACACACAAAATGTCTGCCACGACGACGACTGCACCGAGCGCAGCCGCCTCGCTCTCTGCCTCGCCTACCAGCACCGGCTCTTCGGGCGGCGGCAGCGGTCCCACCAGCTCACCTCTTCTGTTCTTCGTCGCCTTGGGTTTCGGCGTTGTCTTCACAAACTTATGGTAGCCATGCATGCCTCGTCCGCCCTGGCGCGCTCCTTTGCTGACCCACTACCTCAGGATCATTGTCGGCGTCAAGTATTGTTTCCGCTACAATCAACGCAACCGCCAGCGCGCTCTCGGAGAGGATGGCAATCCCATCGATCTCATGGCCATGCCCCGTCCGCATAGACGCCGTAGAGAGAAGAAACTCATGACCATGGACGACGTCAACGAGCGCTTCCCACTCACAAAGTACAAGATCTGGAGAGCCTCGCGCGAAGCCCACGGTCTGTCCACTGCCGGCGGTGTCAGTGCCGCCCCGAGTCGTGCTCCCAGCATCAGGCATGACCACCTCCCGGACCTCCCCGAAGACCCTCAGACCCCCCTGACCACTCTTGAAATGGCTCAACATCACCATGCCACTGCCATTACCGCTGCCTCTTCGACTGCTCCCGTCACCAATTATGACAAGGTTCCCTTGGAAAAGACCGAGACTGTTGCCTCGTCCATCCATGACCACGAGTCTGATGACGAAGATGACCCCATTCGTACTGCCGCACCGCCTGAGATGGCCGCTCCCCCTGGAGACACTTGCGCCATCTGTCTGGATAACCTCGAAGACGATGATGATGTTCGTGGTCTCAGCTGCGGTCACGCATTCCACGCAGCCTGTCTGGACCCATGGCTAACTTCCCGCCGTGCGTGCTGCCCTCTCTGCAAGGCCGATTACTACGTTCCAAAGCCTCGTGCTGCCGATAATGCCGACGACACCGGACGCAGGGAACGCGGTATGCGTATGCCCCAGAGCCCCGCTTCTGCTTGGATTGGTGCTCGTAGATCAGGCAATTCGGGCAGGAGACGCATGATGCTTGCCGGTCCAAGATTCTTGGTGGTTGAGCCTCACACCGACCAGCATGGTTTCCCTCAAGTCGTGCACACAGGTCCTGGTCCAGGTGTTCGACCCGAGTCTGAAGGTGGATGGCTCAGCAGGTTGCCTCGTTTCGCAAACCCCCTTCGACGAGGAAACGCCTCGGGTACGGCGCAGACCAACGCCACAAACACTACGCCAGGCGATCTTGAAGCTGGAACTTCAAGATAGTCTTTGAATACCCATTTGATTTTGGTTTCTTCTGGCAGCGGGATATCTATGGCTTTCTCCGGAACAACAGTAACGGTCCTATTTGGGGTTTGGTGTTTTCGTCGGGTATTAGGGTTAGCGACAGGGTCAGACATCTCGTGGGAGATCAAGGCGCTGGTTTTTGGAGTGGTTTCATTTTGCTTCAAATCTTATGCTTGCATTATCACAGTGAATTGTGCCATTGATCTTGACTTTCTCTATCGCTATATTTGTGACTTCTCATCTGCCCCAGACCAAGCTCGAGCAATGCTCGGATCTACATCTCTCCGCACTGGGAAATGGCTACATCCTGGATTGGCTTGTCGGTCACGTTGGTCCTGACGTTCTCAATCTTCCGCACGACGTCCATGCCATCGACAATCTTTCCGAAGACAACATGCTTGTTGTTGAGATGAGGCAATGGGACCGTGGTGATGAAAAACTGGCATCCGTTCGTGTTTGGACCAGAATTCTACAATGATCATGTTAGCCATCTTGGACGGTTGTGCATTGAATTAATGTTGATAGACACCTACCGCCATGGACAGTAGGCCAGCGACATCGTGTCGCAGGTTGAAGTTCTCGTCAGCAAAGGCTTTTGTGCCGTAGATAGAAGCCGAGCCAGTTCCATCGCCATTCAGGAAGTCACCGCCTTGGATCATGAAATTCGGGATCTTGTCGCGTCATGTCAGTGTCGTCCAAGACTGCGTCGAAGGTGTTGCAGAACTCACGACTCGGTGGAACTTGCATCCTTTGTAACCTTGCGGGTGTCCTAGATGGTTCTTGGTCTCGCCCGTACAGTATTGACGGAAGTTCTCGGCGGTCTTGGGCACGACATCATGGAAGAGTTCCATCTTGATGCGGCCCAAAGGCTCGCCGCCTACGGTAATGTCGAAGAAGACCACTGGATTGGGTGACGCTGATTCTGCCATGTTTTCGAGCAGCGTATGCGCTGTAATGGAGAATTTGGCGGAAGTCGACGCAGTAGCAGTCTATTGGCGAACAAAGATCGCAAAATGTTTGGTTGCAATGTGCTAAAACGAAGGAGACGCGATATATCGAGTGATGTTGTTGTGGGCGAAGTTTCAATCAGACAGTAACAAATGCTTGTTGGCGAAATTCGTCAGCTGTCACTACTAGATAGGAGTTGTGACCTTGACCGAAGTAACATGTAACTCAACAGCGTCATGATAATTCACATACAAGTCAAAAAGTTCAGTCCGACATACAGGAATCAGAGGACGATAATAGACAGAGAGTGAATGAGTCAGACAGGGTGATACTGCCGACGTGCTGGTGTTGGGCGCCGGAGCTGAGAGCTTATGCCCCGCTATTGACATCATAATACATGCGTGCTGAACATGCGTGCTGATCAAGTTCATGAGGATCTGATCACATCAACTTCTTCCATTTTCACCCTCCCAATACTTCACTTATCTACGTACGTCCAATCAGGAAAGCACATCAAGTACACAAAGTATGTCCCATCTCCTGATCGCGAGTGAGACGCGAAAGGACCCTAACTGACTTCGCAACGTACAGCACCTCGATCATGTCATACGGAAACGAGCGCTACGATGGTGGTGATGGTGGCAACTACGGCGGCGATGAGTACGGCAATAACGATAATAGACGCGGACATGGCGGACAAGGTGGCCGCCAGGAGTACGGAAACTCTCAGAGTGAATTCGGTGGACAAGGATACGGCTCCCAAGGCGGAGGCGGTTACGGTCAAGGCAATTCCGAATACGGTGGCCAGTCTGGCTACGATGAGCGCAGAGATGAGCTGAGACAGCACGGCCAATCAGGCTATGGGTTGGTGTTCAGCTCCAAAAGCAATACATACCTCGCTAACTGCTTGCTGTAGTTCTGTGGCTGGTCCTGGTGGTTACGGAAGAGGCCAGGAAGGCTATGGTGGCCCTGGAGACAGAGTAAAGTCCAACAACCCTGAGACAAGATACGGCTCTGGCTACGGCGAGGCTGATCGCTACAATGGGGGCAACAACAACAACAGCAACGACGGAGGTTATGGAGGTGGCTACAACGGCGGTAACAATGGTGGAAATGGCGGCTACGGTCATTCGAGCGGCACTTCATACGGTGGTGTTCCCGGTGGTTCCGATGACTACTCGTCTGCAGCCCACACTGCAGCCCAGCATGCTGGTAGTTCGGGAGACTCGAACCTGTTCAGCGCCGCTCTCGGCATGCTCTCAGGTCACAAGGCAAAGCAGGAAGACGTCGACGAGGACGACGCAGTCAAGCAGCACCAGCAGTACTACGGTGGAGGTGGTCAGCCTCAGCAGGCCAGTTCCAGTAGCATGGGCTCAGCTGCCGCTATGCAGGCCCTCAAGATGTTCAACCAGGGAGGCAGCTCTTCGGGTCATGGAAAGAGCCAGAACGACTTCATCGGTCTTGCCATGTCTCAAGCCGCCAAGCTCTTCGGTATGTGTTCGAACTGTGACATCTCAAATGGTACTTCGACTGACAATTCTACAGATCAGCAGAGCTCTCAAGGCAATGTGCACCAGCAAGCCAACAAGCAAGACGCCGTTGCATCTGCAGCACAGATGGCATTGAAGATGTTCATGAAGAGCCAGGGCGGTGGTACTGGCAGCAGCAGCGGCGGTGGTCTCATGGGCCTCATGAGCAAGTTCATGTAAACCCAACATCAATGAGAAACGATAAAATGGACGGTGTCTCACACAGCTTCAAAAAGAAAGATCTCCTCATTTTCAGAGGCCCTAGGCTACTACGCTCTATCTCAATAATATTCGGAATGTGTGGTCATGAGGAATATAGTGTATATCAGGTTCGCAGTGTAGCTGTAAGATTTGACCAAGACTGGTTCTTGTGCCTATCATCTAAAAATGGATGTGCTGCGCTTCTTCATCTCGAGCTCACATTGCAGCTTGTCTCTGCACGATGAACCGAGAGCCGTGCAGAGAACAATCCCTGGCTGCCTTGGTCCCGCTGATCACCTGCTCACATTCTGTCTACTCTACGACTCTTTAACTTTAGGTAGCCTTTGTTGCCGTCATCTCCTGCGACGTCTTCAGACTCAACAACTCGCCTCGATGAAGACGAAGTGATCGAAGCCGCCGGACGAGAAGCTCTGGAACCACCCACAAGTACCGCCTGCTCGTCATCCCGTTCGTAGTCAAAGTCGTCCCCGGAGATGACCTCCCATTCTGCTCCTGACATATCATGGAAGAGAATTTGCTTAATTTTGTCAAGGAAGCGTGCAAAAGAGGCGGTCCGCCAGTTGCGCATCACATCGCCACCTTCAACCAAAGAAGAAGTCTGGGGGACACCCGCATGAGAGAACAGACCGAAAGGCTGGCCAGTACTTGTGGGCTGGTCAGGGTTGGTTGGCTGAGGGGTTGAGCTTCCACTGGTATGTTTGCGGAGTAGAGTGTACAGATTGAGACCCACAGGACAAACGACTTGACATGCGCTAGAAAGATTAAGTCCTTGGGAGGTGCAGAGCCATGCGACGTCCCAGGCAAGCAGGGCGACTCCTTCGACGAACAAGTTGTACTTAGCAGGGTCCTCTTTTGCCAAAGCAACCAGAGGACGGTCTAGATGGAGGAGCCGTGGTTTGGGTAGAGAGCGATGATCCAGAGTACGCGAGGAAGACGGAGTAGATGTAGAGCCTGGGAAGGGAAGCTGAAAGCCCTGATATGAAGATTGCAGAGAGAATATGGTAGGATGAGGATAGCTTGCATGAGGTGTAGTAATCTCAGCAGGGAGACGAACAGATAGATAGTGGCAACATGTGACCAACAGACGGCATATGTTGGCGAGTGAAGCATTGATGAGTTGAGGCTGTGCAGAGTTGAGTTGGCGCAGGTCGATGATGGAGATGCCACCAATGGTATAGTCGTGTACGATGCTACCGTCAGGCAGGCGTCGCCTCTTTTGCTGTAATCCCGCCAATCTCGCCGTCTCCTGACACAACTTGGTGCGACCCTCGAGCGTACGTGCGTGTACTTTGTCTAGCCGCCGTTGACTTCGACGGATAGTTGCGTGAAGTGGTTCGAGCAACTGAGGTACACGGCTAGTCATCTCGGTCCTCTCACGTTTCATGTCGGTATGCCGCTGTTTGATCTCAAGCTTGCGTGAGATGTTCTCTTGACGGGCTTGCTCGATCTTCTGTCTGAGCTGGTTGAGCTGGTCGTTGATGATAGAGCAGCGCACGCGGATGGCCTGACTTTCCCGCAAGACCTGCGCATGAGCATGCTTCCCTGCACACTCGGTAATGTCTACCAGCTCCGGGCCAGAAGAGAGCGAGGACGATTGGAGGTCTTGGGGCGGAGAGATTATATGCTTAACCTGCCTGCGGAGTGTCTCGTTGCTGAGCAAATCTGCCAATCTGTCTAATCGAGCCTGATAAACCAGAGCCCGAGCACACGAGGCGCATGTTGGTTGCCCATGGGACGGAAACGCAGTAGAGCATATCGTGCATTCCATCGTTCGGCTGATACCCAGGTTCGGGTCCAGTATCTCTGTGTAATGGTTACTTGCGCATTGATTGATCTTCTTTATGACTTTTTGAAGTGCTCGCGAATGACCAGCGTCTGGGATGGCTACTGCGCCAAAACACTCTCGATTAGTCTAGGCATGTACGAGACTCTCCTTGTCTGAAGTGTGACCGTCTGGCACCCGATTGTCGAGTCACAAGTGAAGGTGAAATGTTCGAGTTGTTGAGCACACCAGTCACGCTTCTAAATGCACGTCACAATAAGTAACGTGACCCCCCCTCTGAGTTGCATATCCTGCAACAACGTGTTGGTCTAAATCTAGCTGCTGAATGGTACAGATCTCGCTCGAGTCTAGCAACTATTCAGAGAGAGAAAAATCAATTGTCGGTCTCTTTGAAGGTCTTCCATCTTTGCAGTGTTGAACCAATCAAGAGGGGGTGTGAACAATCAAACGCGTCGCGTCACCCGGGTCCGTGACTGCCTATTAGTTTCAGCACCTTGATAAATCATGTCGTGAACGTCTGTAACATTCCCGGAAACAACACCATGGCCTCTGAGAATACCACCCCTATCAAGCAAACCAATCACCCACCTGACGACAGTGATCATGAGGATTCTTTTGATCCAAAGGATGAAATAAACCCCTTCGACTGGCAAGACTTAGAAGCCAGATACTTGAGTGCCATGGCAGAGTGCAAGGCTAAAGAGGATGTGCATCTTGAAGAATTCGAATCTCTGTCACAATACTTCGGATTCTGGGCAGAGACCATCTCAGATCACGAACAGAAGCGAAGCCACCAGCGGTATGCCTTATCACGGAGGACACTAAACTCTCTTCTAACACCTTTTTTTTCAGTTTGAAGACCCAGAGCGCTCTGGTTGAAAGACAGGAAACCGAGCTTGAAGAAAGAAGAACGCATTGTAAGGTCAAACCTCTGGAACCGCCTTCTCAATACATCGCTAATGAATCTGAACATAGACATCAAGGTTGTCGAAGCATTTCAGAATGCTCTTAACATGCTCAACAACCTATCTGCTCCGCAACATCAGCATCACGCCTAGAAACATGCATATGGCTACGTTCATCTCGAAGGTCGTGCTGCGCATAATGGTGAAACCCCTGGCAGTTATCTGCACCTTCGCATCACATTGAAGGAGTTGCTCGAGTCCGTCTGACGCTTTTTGTTATCGGTTTATTGCTTCTGTGTCTCCAATTTGCTCTATACCCACTCTTCAGAGTATGCCAATCACGAAAGATTATGACAAGATGTCCTTTTTCTTGAGGCCTTATCTTTATACAAACTGAACCAGGTCGCCGAAGAATCAAAGTCTATTTCTATACAATTGCCACATGTCGCGCGAGTTTGGACATATCCAAACTACAACAGGGGGTTTTGCTTGTACTCAGGGGCATCACTATCGGTCTGGCTCTTCTTGACCTCTTGGTCCTCGATACCCTTCTCTACACCAGTGTCGTGTTCAGCGAGGAATTTCTCGGCCTCAAGAGCAGCGATACAGCCAGAACCTGGTTTAATTGTCAGCACGTGTTGAATGAATAACCTCAAGGATCCGGCAATACATACCTGCACTGGTGATGGCTTGACGGTACTTCTTGTCCTGAACGTCTCCTGCAGCAAAAACACCCTCGATGTTGGTGTGAGTGGTACCGGCCTCGGTGACCAAGTAGCCGTCCTCGTCCATTTCCAGCTGTCCCTTAAAGAGAGAGGTGGCCGGCTCGTGACCAACAGCGTAGAAAAGACCATTGGCAGCAATATCCTCTTCCTTTCCAGACTTGATATCCTTGATGGTAAGACCGGTCATAAGACCACGAGGCTTGTCCTCGCCGGTGATCTTGGTAGCAACGGTGTTGTACTTGATCTCAACCTTGGGGTTGGTGCTCAATCTACGGGCGTTTGCCTTGCTGGCACGGAGCTGGTCCTTACGAACAAGCACAGTGACCTTGGAAGCCTTCTTGGTAAGGTAAATGGCCTCCTCGACGGCCGAGTCACCACCTCCAATGACGACAAGAGGCTTCTGTCTGAAGATTGGTAGCGAACCATCGCATACGGCGCATGCGCTGACACCGTTACCCCAGTATTGTTCCTCACCAGGCAGATCCAATCTTCTTGCCTTGGCACCGGTTGCGATGATGATACTGTCGGCTGTGTGTGTCTCTTCCTCGAGGTTCTCGTCGTCGCCCAATGGGTGGAGCCAGAACTTGAAAGGTCTCTGTGAGAAGTCGACCTTGCCAACAGTCTGAGTGATGATCTGGGTACCGCAGGCCTCGGATTGTGCGCGCATGTTGTCCTGAAGTGGGTCAGAGTCTGATGTGGTGCGCACCAACCGAATTGTCACTCACCATCAATGTTGCGCCCTGGATCTTGGTGAAACCAGGGAAGTTCTCAACCTCATCGGTGGTGGTCAACTGACCGCCGGCAGCGATTCCCAGAGCGAGGAAACCCTCGTACAGAACAGGCTGGAGGTCTGCACGTGCAGCATAGATGGCAGCGGTGTGGCCTGCAGGGCCCGAGCCGATGATGACGACCTTGGAGTGCATGTTGCGGGCTGGTGGAGGAGCAAGGGCGCTGGCTTCTCGTGCTACGAATGGAAGAGATGCGAATGGGAGAGCGAGAGAGGCGCGGAAAGGAGTAATGCCTACACGGCGGAGAGTCGAGGCGAACAGTTTGACGGTGATTGGTAGATAGTTTTTAGGGGCAGAGCAGAGCGACGTCTGTATATAAGATGGCCAATGTTGCTTAGCAATACTCTAATCAGACCATTCGGGTACGGCTGGTTCCGTCTATGTGATGATATTATGTTTCTTCAAGGCGTTTGGATATTCGTAATCGCAGCCGTAACGAGCGCCGCTCTTTTTCTTTCGGCTTCGTTCCAAATCGCAACTTTGACCACGGACCGACCGAGGGACTGTTTTGGTTTGGCTTTGTCTGCCGAAGACCCTGCGATCTCGGGCCACGTGCATCACTGCGTCTTTCTGGACAAAGCATTCGATGCCTGCACACACACTGTAGAGACTACAAGCACGCTGGGGACAGATGACACTGTTAGAAGAGTCATTTGATTGTCCCTAACGGATAGGTACTCCCAATACTAGTCGAAGGTTGTGTATCGGCATAGCTAGACCCTGATCATTTGCACTTTTGCAGGTGGCATGCGCCGAATAGATCTAGAAACCTCACCCCCGCGACGCCTGCATCGGACATCTTCTCCTGCGATGACCCCGAAGCTTATGTCAAAACGGATCTAATCTGATGCAATCGCATGACTTTGATCGTCTGATTTATGCGGCGTCTTGTGGTTCATCAATATCGTCCTGTGTTTCATCGACAGCCCCATCCTTTGCCTGTACTTCATCCGGCGCGCCTCGTTTCCTCAAATTCTCGATTCCGTATAGGAGATTCTCAAGTTGCTTCCGCTCTGGCATAGGCACCACAAGTCCATTGGCGGCATTCAGCTTCGTGTTGAAATCCTCATCGAGCTCGAATCTGATCCGGGATTCGGCGTTGCGTATTCTGTAAGCCTGTAGACGCGGGAATGACGCCTTTGTGCTGTTAGCTTGCCGTGCCTTCTAAGAAACCAAGAGACAACATACTTCAGTGACATCCATCGAGACAACGACAACATCTCCAACTACAGTAACATCCAAGGGAACACCGGGCAGACGAATTCCATCCATGCGGAAGGGATCGATTGAGGTTGAGCCCTGTGTCGATACCAGAAGGCACGGTAACTTCTCACAAGCGACGAGGATTGCAGTTTCCTTATCTTGTGTGGGTACAACCCAAAGCCCCGACACTGCGATTGGGCTCTCTGCTCCGAATGAGGGGTCCTCAGATCGAGAGAAGAGAGCCACGAGACCAGATCTCATATCACGCTTTTCTGTGAGGCTGCCAGCCCGCCAATCCCAGAGACCCAACCAGTCGTCTCCACCACCGCTCACCAGAAGCTTAGTCCTAGATAGGAGGCAGACCTTGCTGATGAATTCCTTGTGCCCGAGACAGAAACGCTCAACGATGTGTGCTTGTGGAGGACCACGAGAGACTCTGATGTGTTCGTCCCTATCAGCCGTGATGATGTAGCCGCGAGTCTTGCCCTCGACCTCCTCAGTCGCGAATTGGACATCCGTCAGCATTGAAACGTGTCCAAGGAGAAGTTGGTATTCGAATTTGGGCCCCTCTTTGGCTTTGGCTTGCAGATCCTTCTGCTTCATCTGATTTTCTAAAGCCTTTCGATTGCGACCAGAGTGGACGGTCAACGTCGTTGCTGCAGGGACGTATTTCTTGGGCCCGACGTCCTCCTTGGTTTCAATCTTAGGAGACTCTCCGACCTGCTCGGCCTTCTCTGCGGGGAACAGAGGCAGGGAATACACATCTCCAAATTTATCACCACACAAGATAGTCTTGTTGTCAGGAGTCACCAAGACCGCACAAGGACGTTTAGGCATAACTCTTGATAAAGATCAGTTACGCAGTGGAGAATGTGAAGAGCATCAGTCCTTACCTTTCACTCAACTCATTCAGCTTACCATTCTCGGTTACTTCCAAGACTCTGACCGCCTTGTCATCGGTCACAGCGACTACATGTTGGTTGTCGGCGGAAAGCGTAATCTTGATGACATTGGGAGTAGCTGCTGCTTCTGGCTCAAGTTTGCGCTTTTTGCCCGGAGGGCCTTCTGAAGCCGTTTCTTCCTATTAGCTGGTTTAGTAGGCGTTCATCGAGCTGGAGTCGACTAGGGGTCTCCAATCAGTCACATTACTGTATGAGACCCCAAGTCGATGACACTCACAGGACCGTTGTTCTTTTGCTCAGGCCATTGCGATACAATTGAGCCGTCTGCAACCTTTACAGAAACAATTCGACTGCCGCATGCTGCCAACAAAAGACCATGAGGCGCAAAACTCTGAACATTGCAAAGAGTTGCAATCTGATACGGGTGACTCATGTCACCTCAGAGCGACGATGAAGAAGTGAGGAATAGAAAAGAGAGGAAGTGAAAACAAACGCTCACTCGGCCATACGCTTGAAGCAGCCAGCGTCCAGAATGTCGGGCTCAAAAAAAGGTATGGTCGAAGCTTTTCCGAATCGGTAGTCGCCGGCGCCAAGGCCAACACCCACGAAGCAAATTCGCTCCGCTGCGGTCTGGCAAAAGCTGTGAATTGAGAAGACCTTGATCCTCTACAACAACCACTTACGGGACATTTTCCAGACTTCGCCTGAAACATCCCTAACTCATCGCAAGATAGCAGAAATGGGGGGCAAGTCAGCAACCAAGGCCGCTTACTTCGATAAGCTGAAGACTCTTCTTGAGACTTACAAGTCCATCTTCATCGTCACCGTCGACAATGTCTCTTCTCAGCAGATGCACGAGATCAGACAGGCTCTCCGTGGTGATTCCGTTGTCCTGATGGGCAAGAACACCATGGTCCGCCGCGCTCTCAAGGGCCTCATCAGCGAGGCTCCCGAGTACGAGCGTCTCCTTCCTCACGTCAAGGGTGAGTGAATGCGCCTGGCGCTTTTGCGCATACACGAGGCGCCCAACTGACCTGTCTTCTTCCAGGTAACGTCGGTTTCATCTTCACCAACTCCGACCTCAAGGACACCCGTGAGAAGATTCTCTCCAACCGCGTCGCCGCCCCCGCCCGTGCCGGTGCCGTTGCCCCCGCCGATGTTTTCATCCCCGCTGGTAACACTGGTATGGAGCCCGGAAAGACCTCTTTCTTCCAGGCTCTCGGTGTCCCCACCAAGATTGCCCGTGGTACCATTGAAATTACCTCGGACCTGAAGCTCGTTGAGGCCGGCAGCAAGGTCGGTGCCTCCGAGGCCACCCTTCTCAACATGCTGAACATCTCTCCCTTCACCTACGGTATGGGTATTGCTCAGATCTACGACCAGGGCCAGACCTTCGATGCCAGCGTCCTCGACATCGAGGAGAGCCAGCTCCTCAAGGCCTTCACCAGCGCCATCACCACCATCGCCACCATCTCCCTGGCCATCAACTACCCCACCCTGCCTTCGGTCATGCACTCCCTTGTCAACTCCTACAAGAACGCCATCTCGGTCGCCATCGAGATCGACTACGAGTGGGAGGCCATCCACGAGCTCAAGGACCGCATCGCCAACCCCGACGCTTACGCCTCTGCTGCTCCCGCCGCCGGCTCTGCTCCCGCTGCTGGTGACGCTCCTGCTGCCGCCAAGGAGGAGGAGAAGGAGGGTAAGAACAATTCGTTTGGAGTACTACTTCAGATCAAGAAGCTAATTATTTTATTACAGAGTCCGAGGAGGACGACGACATGGGCTTCGGTCTGTTCGACTAAGCGTGTCGCCTACCATAGATTTTCTAGAAAAAGAAAACAAATCCCCGTCACCAAAATGGCCGTCAGGTTTCCCAGTGACACTTACTCACAGCCAGCGCCTACTTCTCAAATGGTCAGTATCATCTTTTCACTTTCCAACGCTCCTTCGCGGATGATTATACATTTTTAACCCCGAGATCTTCAATGAAGATTAAACCGCAACAACAACACTCTAATTTTTTCATGACGCACATTACCATCACATTCTTGCTCTACAACGTTTATCTGTTGAACTAGACTGACTGAGATGACAGATACATGTAACGTGAAATGTTCCTCATCCACCGGTCTATTCGGTTTATGCTTGACTTACGTCTACTCGTATCCAAAACACATGAAAATACCAATTTCCTCCCAAACTCTTGCATACACCTTGGCTTGAACTGTTGTCTGTCGCTACGTCCGCGTGAGCATATCTCTCCTCGTCACTAGGGTTGTGCTGCCAATATGCCCCCATGTGGTCCGAAAAGAGCTTGAGGCTTAGGCTTTTGGCAAGTCCGAGTCCTCTGTAGTCCTTCTCAACATGCAGTGTTGTCAGTGAAGCATCTACTCCCAGGAAGCCCCAGGCAATGGGCGTAGATGCAGTTGATCCCCCTTGTTCATGGTATATCGCAACGCTAGGCAACTTGCGTAGAGTTCTATCCTGACGAGGAATCTGTGTGCGTGATTTGACCAACCCATAGTCTTTCGGATCCACTTTGCCATATACAAAGCCAGGAGGTAGACTGCGAGGAACCACACTGTACCTGCGTGAGCCGTGTTGTTGCTGAAGATGCTGTGTTTCAATCACTTACTCGTTTCTAAGATCAAAGATGTACTTCTGATAGGGTATGTCTGAACCAACAAAGCTCGAGTCGAGAAGGCCGAGTCTCTTCAATATGGCGACTGTAGAGCTATGGACAGCTCCAAGCAAGACAACCTTTTCATTCATCAAGTGCTTTTCATACTGATCCCGGTCAACGCTCCCATAGCCATTGGTATCTGCAGGGAGACTTGTAGACTTGTCCGAGCCCGTGATGGGACTCGATGCTTGGGGAATGATTTCAGCCTTGCTGATCTCCTTCAATAAAGATCTGACAAGGTCGTCTGCTTGTGGAAGCCATGAATCGTCTGCTGGTGTATCGTGTTCCCAACTGGCAGCAATCCAGACCTCAGTTTCTGGTCTGCAAGTACGATCAACGAAGGCCACTATCCATGGGCTGCTTGGAACCTTTCCGTGAGTCAAGATGGTAAAATCGACGGAGCTGAATAACCGCGAGCCTGGTGTGAAGTGTCCAAATTGGAGTCGTCGGTATAGAGCAATGCATGTTGGCAAGCATGGATTGAGCCATTGGATCAGAGCTTGCTTCGAATCAAGTGGTAGCGCGAACATGCCGACGTGAGGTGTCGTTGTCATAGATCTTGAACAGTTGTCACAGAATAGGTGGAATTTGAGCAGAGGGCGGAGGAAACAAGAGATTAATATATAACCACGATCCCGTGCTTTGAATGACTAACTTCAGCCTGCCGTGTTTCCCGGTGTCTTCAGCGCCCAACGCCTTCTTGTTGGATGGAAAGAGAACCCACCGCACGATAAGTGCAGGAAGACGATGTAATGGACTTGGAAAACGAGAAACCTCGTGCTGTTCTATAGAATGCCGCAAACGCTACCCACAAGCATAGAAAAAAAGGAATTGTAAAGGAGCATGAGTTGCCCAAGATGGGCCATTGATAAGCACCAATCCGGGCTCCTCTTATTTCATGTCATAACGTCGTTTACTGCGAGGCGCATTGTACTCTCTCCCCACCTGCGTGCATCTCCTCATCGTCGTCCTCGCCCATGGCGGCGCGTTGTGCGCGGGCCGATTCACGGCTGGGATCAACCTTGTCGAGCGTGAAGTCTTCGGTCATGGCGTCTTGTGGAGGAACATTCTGGGGCGAGCGAGGGGGCAGAACGCTCTCAAGAGCGGCCTTCTGCTCGTCGGTCATGGCGCCGCCATCGGGACCGGGCAGGACCTCGGGGAACTTGACGTCGAACTGGATGTAGAGGTTGCCGAAGTCGTGATGTCTGTATGAGGGCATACCTTGACCTCTGATAACCTTGATTTCGCCTGTTCGTGTGGTCAGCATGCTGAATTCGACTTGCGATATTTAGGAAACGTACCAGGAGAGATGACCTCGCCAGGCTTGATCTCAACAGTGAGCCACCTCTCGTCAAGGTGCTCGATGTAAATGGCACCACCAGCGAGAGCAGTCAAAAGATCGATCTCAGCCTGATAGAAAAGGTCGTCGCCCTTGCGCTGGAAGCGAGCGTGGGGCTTCTGCTCGATCTCGAATTGAACATCACCGGGCTCGACACCAGGCATCTGGTCACCTTCTCCACGGAAGTCGATCTTGGTACCACTCTGAACACCCTTGTCAACGTGAACGTGGAGGACCTTGCGCTCAACAGTGGTCTTCTTTCCGTGACACTGCTTGCAGCGGTCCTTCTCGCGGATGATCTCGCCTTCTCCATTGCAGTCGGGGCAGACGGTTTGGAAGCGCTGGATCATGGGGCCCATCTGGCGCATCATCATCTTCATACCCTGACCGTTACAGCCTGTGCAGGTCTTGACAGCGCCCTCCTTGCCGCCGCGACCGTCACACTTAGGGCACATGACGGACTTTTGCAAGGCGAGCTTGGAAATCTTGCCCTTGTACATGTCCTCAAGAGAGACCTTGTGGACGTGATGGATGGTGCGAGCCTTCTTGGGGCCGGTTTCACGCATGCCGCCGCCGAACATGCCACCAAAGCCGCCGCCGCCGCCGAAGAATTGCGAGAAGAGGTCTTCTGCGTTCATGCCACCGCCCATGCCGCCTTGCTCAAGTCCCTCTTCACCATATTGATCGTAAAGTTGGCGCTTTTCTGAGTCGGCAAGGATTTCGTATGCGTGTGAGAGTTCCTTGAACTTTTCGGCGGCTTCTGGTGAGGGGTTCTTGTCTGGGAGAGAGTCAGTCTCGGCCACTTGAATGGTCCGATGAACACATACCAGGGTGGTACTTGAGAGCGCCCTTGCGGTATGCCGACTTGAGCTGGGACTCTGATGCATCGGGAGCAACGCCCAGAGTCTCGTAGAATTTCGTGTCCTTGACCATGGCGCCGGTGGGTTGATGGATGGGAGAGTGTGATAGACGCGCGGACAGAAGCGAATGTAGAAAAAAACTGGAAGGGGTATCAAATCAACAGATAAAAAGCCAAGGTCTGGAGTTGAAGAGTAGTAAGCGCAGGCTCTGAGAGGGTTCAGAGGATCAAGAGGGCTTGGGAAGGCGATTGATTTGACTCCGATAGGCTTTCTAGAGCCTTCGATGATTTTCTCCCGACTGGCCCCTACCAACGCCAAGCCTCTCACTTCTATGCTCCGAAACTCACTCGCCTGCTCTCAATGAGACTCGTGAGACAAACATCAAGCTGCTGAAGCGAACACAGCATGGGACTAGCTAGACATCGATCAATCAACCCATGCTTGATTTTCCTGTTCTGCCTGCAGATTGGCTTGTACGTGTACTCACTCAGCTAGTGTAGTTATGCAGCCCATGTCTAGCAAGAATACAAAAACAGAGCACCTTCTACATAAACATCAGTCAGTCAAATCTACGCTTCCCAGATTCTGTCTGCAGTCATGTTTGTAGAAACATCCTGTTGGCCTTAAGACAGCCCATTTACCGTGATTTTACTACCGGCTTCGGAACTGCCAGACTCGAGCTAGCCAAACCAAAACTCTGTTCGTCTGGGGTTCTACCTCTAACCATCCATCAACACACGTTCACCAGGTCAAACATGGAAAGCGATATTGGTTTCCAGGCTGCTCTTGAAGAGGCAAGAAAAGGCGCTGCCGAAGGTGGTGTGCCAATTGGTGCTTGCCTCGTTGGTGCAGACGGCAAGATTCTGGTAGGTGCGACAGAGGTCGTCATGGGCTCGGGCTTAATTGATGTATGAATTCAAGGGCCGTGGTCACAATTTGAGAATGCAAAATGGTTCTCCTACCATTCACGTAGGTGCTTGAGATACACTGAAGACATTGCACGATGCTAAGAAACACAAGGCCGAAATTGGTGCTCTTGAGAATGCTGGACGACTTCCCGCTACTGCCTATCAAGGAGCCACTATGTACACGACTCTCTCACCCTGCGACATGTGCACTGGAGCTTGCATTCTCTACAAGGTCAAGCGCGTCGTTCTCGGTGAGAACAAGACCTTTGTCGGTGGCGAAGACTACCTCAAGCAGAGAGGTATCGAGGTTGTCAACGTCAATTCGGCCGAATGTGAAGATTTGATGAAGAAGTTTATCAACGAACACCCCGAGGAGTGGTGAGTGTCTCAGTCCGCCAGCAGCCATATCATTATTGACATATATCGATGCAGGAACGAGGACATTGGTGAGCAGTAGATTCCGGAGATCCGCTTCACCAATCGCTGGTCATCATGTTTCGGTCGTGCATCTTTTGCTCTGCGGCATGTAGAGCAGAAGTTTTGGTTGTTGTATCTTGGAGCCCTAAAGCATCATTCGCAACGGTATATAATTGGAATGGCCAGATCTTCATCTACCTGAAAGCTCGTGAATCTGTTCAAAGAAAAATTTGAGGTCATCGGGATTGACGAAAGGAGTGATTCCTAAGGATGTTAGTATCGGGATATGTAGAAAAGAGGATGGTGCTTACCATGGCCAAGGTTGGCGATCCAGCCCTGCTTGCCACCACCGAAACCCTCTACCATCTCCTTGACGACAGCTGTAATGGCTTCTCTGCCACCGTAGAGAACACCAGGGTCAGCGTTTCCTTGGAGGACCTTGCCTTTCTTCTGAGCAATGGCGTAGGCCTCCTTAGGCGAGTGTAGCCAGTCAAGACCGATGACGTTGTAGGCAGTATCGCAGAGGTCATCAAGAGCGTACCAGGCACCCTTCGCGAAGACAGTCATTGGGACGACTTCCTGGTTGAGCTCTCGGAGGCGGTTAGGCAGGTGGTCGGCAATGTAGGTCAAGTAGGGCAGAGAAAACTCCTTGAAAGAGGTGGGGGACAGCTCGCCAGCCCATGAGTCAAAGACCTGGACAATCTGCAGAGAGGGGTCAGCAAGAGGTGAGGTGTAGAGTTAGACATGACGAACCTGAGCACCGGCAACGACTTGCAGGGCAAGGTATTCGACACAAAGCTCGGCGATCTTTTGCAGCAGCTTCTTGCTCTCTTGCGGGTACTTGAAGATCCAAGTCTTGACCTGCTTGAACATCTTGGTACCACCACCTTCGACCATGTAGCTGAGCAGAGTCCAGGGAGCACCGCAGAAGCCGTAGAGCGGTACGCGACCGTCGAGCTTTTGTCTGGTCAAGGTGATGGCCTTGTATACGTAGTCCAGAGTCTCCTTGACATCGACGTCTCTTTCCATGATTTCCTGGTACTGCTTGTCGTCGGGGGACATCAAGGGGTCAGGGAAATGGGGACCCTTCTTGTCGACCATGATGACTTCCATACCCATGGCCTGAGGGATGACGAGGATGTCCGAGAAGATGATGGCGCCATCAATGAGTCCAGCAAAGCGATCGATAGGCTGGAGAGTCAGGGTAGAGGCGATTTCGGGCGAGCGACAGCACTCGAAGAAGTCGTGAGAGCCTTTGGCCTCGTGGTATTCGGGGAGGTAGCGACCAGCCTGGCGCATGACCCACATGGGCGGACGCTCGACCTTCTCACCACGCGCTGTGCGCAGGAGAAGGTCGTTCTTCATGGGTGCAAATTCGGGCATGTTGGCGCTTGTTCCTGCTGAGATACGTCTTGACAACGTCTTGACATGGGCTGCACTTTTGTTCGATCCAAGGCCAGACGACGCGAGCTTCGCTGCTCCGCCCCGCCTCCATCGACATCATGGACCAGCACGAACCTTTTTTTTTTGTTCCTACCCTCGGCTGCTTAACCAAGCGCCGCAAATGACTTGACTGGGTCATCGACAATGTTCAGACGGGCTCGTCTGCCCTTCGCTCTCTTCGGACGCACCCTTCCAAGGAAGTCGCTACTTGCTCCTTCCCATACCACTCGCGGAGCCAAAACTAAGAGCACCATCAAATTCCATCATCTACCACAAGGCGCTCTTGCCCCTCTTCCACTCCCATCGCTCGAAGACGATGCCGAGTCTCAAGTCCAGGTCTATCCGCGTGTCATACAGCAGCACTTGAACAATGTCAACAAGTTCTCCGACTGTGTTGTACTTACCCGTATAGGCAACTTCTACGAGCTGTATGGCGAGCAAGCCGAACAGTATGCTCCTCTCCTCAATCTCAAAGTCGCCCAAAGAAAAACTGGTCTTGGTCCTGTTACCATGGCCGGTTTCCAGTTTACTCAATTGGACCGTTTCCTAAAGTCTCTCGTGCAGGGCTTGAACAAGCATGTTGCCATCAGCGAAGAGGTTAAAAATTCTCCTGCCGACCAGGTCAAGAATGGTGGTCTTCTCTACAACCGAAAGGTATCACGCATCGTCACCGCCGGTACCTTGGTCGATGAAACCTTTATGGATCCTTTCGAAAACAACTTTCTACTGAGTATTCATGCCAATCTGCACACGACCGACACAGCCTCCTTTCATGGAGGTACAGATGTCGGTCTCACATGGGTAGACCTCTCGAGCGGTGACTTTTTCACTCAGCGCACAGACATAGCCTCGCTCGGCTCTGTCGTTGCTCGTATAGGAGCTCGTGAGATTGTTCTAGATGCTAGCTTTGAACAGGTCGATCGGAACCAGCTCGATCGTCTTTTGGGTCATGGAGGCCATGCTGTAACATACCACATCGCAAACCCAGAGTTTTGTACCATCAAACAATGGGCTCCGATGCTAGAAAAACCTGTCTCTCAAGTTGAATGCCGTTCCTTCTCAGAACAGGAGGTACTGGCAGGCTCATTGCTGTTAGATTATGTCAAAGGCAGGTTGCTTGAGCTGAACGTTTCTCTGAGATGTCCCATCCGCCGCAATCAGGGTGATTATATGAGTATTGACAAGCAGACCCTGAAAGCCTTGGAGATTCGATCCACTCTCCGAGACGGCCTCTTCCAGGGCAGCCTGCTGCATGCAATTCGAAGAACGACTACTAAAAGTGGCGCACGACTGTTAAACCAGAGACTAGGTATCATGCGTTCTCTGTCATTTGTATTGCACTAGCACTAATCATATGGTCTTGACAGTGTCACCGTCGATGTCACTTCCTGTAATCAACGCCCGTTTAGATCTAGTATCCGAACTGCGAGAAGAGGATCAACTGCGAGAAGAGACAATGTCTGCGCTGCGGAGGACAACGGATGTTCTGCGACTGTTACAGCGATTCTCTATTGGCAAGGGTGATGCCGACGATCTTCTGGCTCTAGCCAAAACAATTCAAATCATCAGTCAGATTGTGGATATGACGACTGGCCCTTTGTCCGTCCAAACGAATTCTTCCTCGACAATCTCTTCGCTGAGAGCATTAATTGGTCGTCTTGATCTGGCAGGCCCCTTGAAGTTAGCGGACCGTATCTTGGAAGCCATTGATGAGGATGGTCTTTCTCAACAGCACTTGGCAGAAGAAGCAGAAGCTGTCGGTGTTGCAGAACTCGCAGAACAGATCGCCGAAGCAGAGGAGCCCCAAACCAGGTCAACCAAGCGTGGCAAATCAAGCACAAAGAAGCCCGCAGTGGTTACAGACCTCAACGCTGGAGAATACTGGATTATGCGAAAAAGGCAGGTTCATCACGAGGCTAGATGACTCGGCGCATTTCTGACTCTTCCCAGTGCAAGTACAACTTTAAAACTAGGACATCAAAATCTCGATGATATTCTGGATGAGAAGGCACAACTTTTCGAGCGCTTGCGAGCAGATATAGGTATTCATGCCAACTGATGTTCATGTGCCGGACTAATAGAAGCAGGCAACACGATAGTCCTCAAATGGACTCCACAGCTGGGACATTTCTGTCAAGTCAGAGGCAAGGACGTTCGGGCAGACATTCCAGACGCCAGAAATGTCAGCTCCACTAAAAACACCAGAGCGTTTTATCTTCCGGACTGGTCACACTTGGGATCACGATTGGAAGACGCAAAGATGCGCATCCGCACCGAAGAGCAGCGAGTGCTGAACGATCTTCGAAAACGGGTAGGCTTTGAGGGCTCTGAATTTCTTTATATCTGCTAACGAGAAGTTCAGGTGATTGAAAACCTAGTCAAGCTCAGACGTAATGCTAGTATACTCGACGAGTTAGACGTCGGCTGCTCTTCTGCAGTTATGGCAAACGAGAGGAATCTTGTGAGGCCAATCTTGAACTCTGGGTAAGAGCCATCGGTTTCATCGGTCGCATCTGTACTGATCTTGGTCTAGTGTCTCCCATAAAATAATCGGTGGTCGCCATCCGATGGTAGATGTAGGACTACAAGAACAAGGTCGACTGTTTACCGCAAATGACTGCACCGTTGGAGGGGATGAAAGCATTCTTCTGATTACTGGGTAACTTTTCTGTTTTTCTTGATCGACAAATAGGCTGATGCTCCTCTCAGGCCCAATATGGCTGGAAAGAGTACTTATCTTAGGCAGAACGCCCTGATGACAATCCTAGCCCAGACTGGTTGCTTCGTTCCTGCTGACTACGCAGAGATAGGGTTGGTGGACAAGATTTTCAGTAGGGTAAGTTGATAGCGAGGATAAGTGCGACTTGGTGGCAATGCTGACAGTTTACAGGTGGGCTCAGCAGATAATCTGTACAACCATCAGTCGACTTTCATGGTGGAGATGCTTGAGGTAGCCGATATCCTCAATCAAGCCACTCCACGTTCATTCGTACGTACATGGACACACGCGAGATAGGCTAGCTGCTAACTGGTTGAATCAGATCATCATGGATGAAGTTGGCCGTGGAACGACCCCAGAAGATGGTGTTGCTGTAGGGTATGCCTGTCTACATCACCTGCACTACACTACTCCGTGCCGTACCCTCTTCGCCACCCATTTCCACTCCTTGGTCGGCATGACAAAGACTTTTGATCACTTGGGCTGCTATTGTACAGATGTTGCCGAAGAGGAGGATGGCTCGTGGGTCTATGTGCACAAGCTTCGGAAAGGAGTAAATAGAGAGTCGCATGCGCTCAAGGTCGCTAAGCTTGCTGGTATGTTTGGAATTGCTCACGACATACTACCATTGCTGACGTTATCAGGCTTGCCAGACTCGGCGATCGCTGTGGCCAAAGGCGTCTTGGAATGCTTCGAACTTGAGAGGAATTCCGCTGGAGCACCTTGATGTTTTCCAAGGCTGCTAGCTACTTTGCCACGATCGTATCATCTGCACATACCATGCAAGCTCACTCAGTGTCTTCACAATTTCCAGATCACAAGGTCACGCATGAATCGAAGCTCGTAAAACCTCCCGGTTGCTGATATTTGTACGACCCAGGCAAGGGGTATCTCTAATTATTTCATGCCTCGTCGTATCCCCAAACCCTCATATACTCAAAGCGAGTGACTGTCTATTCCTTCTTGCCGAAAAGGTGCTTGACTTTGTCACCCAGGGTTTCCTTCTCGCCCTGCTTCTCCTTTTCCTTATCCTGAGGGTTGCTGTGACCTCCGTACTTTTCCTTATAGACGTTTCCCTCACCCCCACGCTGATTCAAAGGTTAGTGAAATTCGCATAGAAGGATTCAACTGACGTACGCCGGTGTGGAAGTTGTCGTAGCCTGCAGAGTTACGCATGGCAGGTTCGGGGATCACATCCTCAGAGGCAGAAGTCTTGTCGCCCACTGGCTTCACTCTGGGTGAGTCAACAATATTGCCAGCACCTTTGGAGTTATTAGCATTCTGGTCCGATGATTAGAGCAACAACTACGTGCCTCCACGACCAGATGAATATTCGGGTTTCGAGGACTCGCCGACGAAGCCTTCACGCACGATGCTACCATCAGTGTAACTGCAACGTTTCAGTCAGTTGTGGACTAGTCGGTGTTTCCAATACATGTCTCTCACATGGTATCGTCGCGACCAATGTTGCCAGCGCCTGTCATCACCCGGTTAGCTCTGTTGGCGCTTGACAAGGTGTGCTAAACAACATACCGCCGCGGCCAGTTGAGTGGATTCCATCTGCCATTTCTAGTCTATGTTTTTAATCCGAGGTCTTTGGGTTGGGATAGATGCTGAATAACAAGACGAACTTGTATCTTGAAGAGGAATGCGCGACTATTTGTTGACCTCGCTCATGTGAAAGCGATGACGTCTGCTCACAAGGAAATGCCAAGGTCTATCGCGATTTACAACCGTGATGGCTTCATTCACTCCCACTCCTATGAAACAATGAAAATTGGTCACGGCCACCAGTCACTACTTTGTTTCGCTGTCTTGCTTGTGAACGAACCGATGTGGCGCATGGGTGCCCGGCAAGGACGGTTTAAAGTTCAGTGGCTATCATCAAGGACATCATCTTGAATTTCCTGCTGATAAGGATGGTACGGTTGGTGATGGTATTTACGTATGCGGGTACAATTCTCACCAGCGGCTGCCATGATTTGTTCCAACCGAGAAAATAATCCATATATCATAAATGAGCGGTGTCAAAGATAATAGAAGTCATTGACTGTCCCAGAGATCTTGTTTCCTTCCACGAACCGAGTTGGCATGTGAGATAAGTCGGAAGTGAGGTCCGAAATATCATGTCCGAATAACAGCTCCTCCACGAAGGCTTTTTGAACGCTTGTCAGATCAATGAGATAAGCAGCACTCTTCAGAAGGCACAATTCCACATGTTCGAGGAGGGGAAACAAGCTAACAAGACAACGCTGAGCAGAAGGGCGACAAGAGCGATTTCTGACAGGGTCGCAGGCGTCACAAGCTCGCTTGGCATGACAGCAAAGGAAGAACTCTGAGCGTGCAACCTCTATTGTTTACTGTTCAGTATACTGATCGCAATGTCGGACACACAATCATACAAGCAGCTTTTGGCCAAATGGGCCGACAAGTATCGAGGAGTATGTTGTCCTCAACTAGTGACGGCTCAGCTTGGATCCTGACATGTGGTATATAGGCAACTGTCGAGGACCTCGACCCACCACCTGCTCTGTCAACCTCGCCCGCCTCGCCCATCTCAAGCGCTCTCATGGCAGCCTACGAAAGAGAATATACCCATTTGACGGTCGTTGAGCCGGAGACACGCGCGCTTGTTGGTTACCTGTCTATGCCCAATCTGAAGGACTTGCTCAAGGCAGGCACTGTCCGCGACACCGACACGGTAGACAAGGCGATGACCAAGTTCAAGAGAAAGGGCACAAAATATCATGTCATTACCATGGACACCCCTTTGGAAGAACTCGAGGCTTTCTATGAAGGTGTGACAGAGGACGGCCAGATGCCAGCGCAGGAGTTTGCTGTTGTCACAGACGCTGGCCGCAAATTCGTTCTGGGTGTTTCGACAAAACAGGACCTTCAGGAATTTGTCAAGAGAAGACCCGTCTATTGATCGAATATCTCCGCCTCTTCTTCCTCAAACGCGAACGTTCCTACAGAAGCGCAACGTTTCCAAGCTGGTCAAGCACGCGCACGTCCAGACGTCCAGGGTAACGTTCTATCAGACCTGAAGGTCGACCCTAGGCTGTCGCGTCCGAAAATCTGTTCCTTGCAGACAGTGCAGAAAGCAAAGACTCTGTCACCACACGTTGTTGTTTGCCGATTTCTGGGTGGAGTGCTGGAATATTGGATGATGCAGCACAGACTTCAGCTTGTGATACTTAACCTATTGCTGAGCCTCCGATGAATGACGTTGCATCCTTGCTGCGGAAAGACCAGACAGAAGGAAGGTCGTAGGTTGCAGCTTAGTCTCTGAATGGTAGTCGAATTCATCTGCCTCTTCGTTTCTTGCAAACGGCCGCGACAACACTAATGTCGTCGAGTTTGCCTCCTTCTATCGAAAGGCCTTCTTCGATTGCACGTTCCATGTACGGACTCTCTGCGAAGGGGTCTTGTGCGATTGTGCGAGCTGCCTTGACGAGCTCCTGTGCGACGAACTGCATGCCACCTGCGTATGTACTCTGGTCGTCTGAGCGCATCACTTGAGGGACATCCCCTGATCGCCATTTTTCCATGCTTTCGAGGACATTGTCAACAACTTCGTGTTCCCAGAGATTATCCACGACGCCATCTGACATGGCAAGGATGATGTCGTCTTCTTCGATTGTCACCTTGTCCATGACGGCATTCTTAATGGGCTCGTCGGGACTGTTGGTACCAAGCTGGCGCGGACAATCAAACCAGTGCCATTGTTCAGTGGTTTTGTAAATGACTTCGCGATGTTCTGGCCTTATGACTAGTATCTGGGAATCACCAAGTTGAGTCACGTATAAAACAGGATGAGGCGGAGTGTTGGAGTTGGTATGCAAGAAGGCACCGCAGGCAGTCGTCGTACCGAACCATTCGTTGGGATTGCTGGTAGCGTCCTTGGTCTGTTGGTAGGCCTTTTGAAGATATTGGACAGGGTCTGGTTCTGAGCTGTCTCCGTAGACATCCCGTTCAGCTTCTAGGGCCCAGAAATGCAATATGAGACGTGACCATAATCTGTGAGAGGGAGGTATTAACAAGAAAGCCGTGTATCAAGGCAGACGCGATCTTACGCAGCATGTCCTCTTTCACGACCGGCCCAGGCTCCTACGCCGTCGTTCGCGCCAATGAAGTTGTCGCTGACCAAGACGGCATCGTCGCCGTTGGTCATGCCGCGAATCATGTCGCCATTGACCGACGGACGGCGATCACGACTTCGGTCATGGGTACTCAGAGGATCGGAGAATGAGCCCGACGGAGGAGACAGAAATGGCGGTGGGAAGGGTCGGGATGGTCGCTTGGCGAAGAGGCCATATCCGGCCTCGAAGTAGTATGCTGATTTGGACACGACGACTGAAGCTTCGTCCGGTACGGGGGTCGTGGTGCCGCCTCGTGGCTCTTCNGTGAACCGTGAACCGTGAACCGTGAACCGTGAACCGTGAACCGTGAACCGTGAACCGTGAACCGTGAACCGTGAACCGTGAACCGTGAACCGTGAACCATGAGCAAAATCATACCTACTGATGCTTTTGCATCCACTTGTTCGGATCTATGTCGAGAGGAGTGAAACATAACTAGTCATCAGGCCTTGCTTGGCCTGTCCGAAACAGAACGCCTTTAAATGGTGCATGCAAAATCCGCGCCAACCAAAACCCTCAAATGCAGTTGTATAATGATATAATCAAGCCTTCTTCTCCTCAGCCTTCACCTCCTTTTCCGACACTTGCTGACTTCCACTCGATGAAGCGGACACGTCTGCCTGAGTTTGTACTTCGGCTTCGTGTTCACGTCTCAGCGCATCTTCCTGTCGTCCTTCATCCTCCTTCTCGTCAATGTTCTCGAGATCGTTGACACGAGCAGACTTGCCGCCCTCGTTCTGCTTCTCGCTCTGTTCGTTCTCGTCTTCGATCAACTCCTGCTGTTCGCGGAGGACCTCGAGACGTTGCTTGTTGGTTGCAGCTCCCTCGGCAGTGTGAACTTCCAACTCAATCTCGTGGAAGAGCTCCTCAGGAATACTGGACAAGACAGCCTGCAGGGCATCTATCTGTGAGTCGAACTCGACATCCTTGCCCTGGGTGTACATGAAAGCGTTGGATAGGACCAGAAGAGTGCTTGGGACACCATACTTCAGGCGCAACTCGAGCCACAGGTTCAAATCGTCGCGAAGTCTAGCGGGAGAGACACCGTGAGTGCGCAGACCACGCGAAGCACAGGCAGTCTGGAGCTCAGGAACAGACAAAGACTCGACACCCTCGAACGAGATAGCTCTGTCGTCACGCTTGATCTGGCGCATACGATGTCTGACCTGGTAGCGAAGCATAGTGTCGGTACCAAATGTGGTCAGAGACATGTACCGGCAGATACCGACAAGTTGTGGACGTGAAAGGTTATCAAGAGTCAAGTCGTCCTTGAAAATCTTGCAGACACGGATGACATCGGCTTTTGTTGGCGATTCGCCAGTGGTGCGGATCTTGAATATGTTAGCAAGATGCTTGCCACGAAGAGAACATGAGAATTGGATACCTTGCGGAAGAACTCGGTGAACTCTTCCTTCTGCGCGTTGGCGGCGCTTACAGGCAGACCGGTCTCTTGCAGAGTCTGACGGAGGAAACTGCTGACTTCCTTGCGAGTGCCACGAAGGCTGGTGGCCTTTGCTTCTCTTGACTTTTGGCCCTCGTATGTGCTAGGTAGCATGTTGGGGAAAAGCTTCAGTGCGACCGGAAGCAGTAGCTCGGCGAATGGCACAATGACAAAGACTGAGAAGGGAACAAGACGGCCAAGATCCTGGACAGTACGATGTAGCTAGACGAAGGTCAGTTGAGGGTTGAATGACAGCGTTTGGTGCACTCACCTGTCTGTGCTCTCTGCGGGTAAGCTCGTAACCAGCGGCCATCTTCAAGGCAAGCTTTGAACTGATCTTGACTTCTGCGGCGAGCAGCTTAGTACCGTCCCAGTAGTGGTGAACCTCCTTCATGATCTTTTGGCGAAGAGTGAGCTTCTTGTCTTCTTCCTTCTTCTTCTCAATCTTTCTCTCTTCGGCCTTGTCGGCGGCAGCCTTCTGGCTAGCAAGCTCATTGAGGGCGTGTTGTTCCGAGGCCTTTGTGGGAGCATGCTCTGAAGGCTTATGCAGGGGAATGCTGACATCAGGTGTTGAGGAAGACTGCTTCGACTTGTCGTCTTGCGATGTAAGGGGCTTCTTGGCCTGGTCGGCATTGAATCCTGGCGGCGGGTAGTTGGACTGGTTGTTGTTGTTGGAGGTCGATGTCTCGCCAGAGGCGAAGCGATTCGGGATCAGAATGGCGACAGCGGGTAGTTGCCTAGGGAGGCGCAGAGAACGAGACAGGGCAGTCCTGGTGCTGTTCCTGAGCAGCAGAGGAGCCATTTGGGAGGCAGTACGGTTGAAAGACATGGCGGGCAAGGCGCCTTGGACGAAGACAGGAAGTTCGAATGGTGGTCGACGATGGCTAAGTAGAGGTTCGGCAGAGCAGAAAGATGGAATGGGCGAGGAATCAGCGGGAGCTGCTGTCGTCAGGAAAGTTCGAGAGGCTTGCTCCGGACTTCACAACTTTTGGCCGTTAATTCCGTCGCCTCGTGGTCGTGCAGCTTGTCCTGCATAACTCGTGCACAATTCCTGGCACAGAACGTTCAGCCGATGGCCGATGGCCGAGCCTCGGGGTTCGTCCCTTGTCCTTTGTCGGACACCCCGCAATCAACCTGACCAAGTCCGAACAATTATTACCTGTCGTCAACTCCCGGACCTTCTGCTTCTTTCACCCCTTCCGACTCGTGTCATTCCTATCTACACTCTCTGCTACGCAAGCCCGCGATCCGCCGTAACCTAACAATCTTGTCATACCTCGTCAGAACGCAGTACGGCTTGACTCCGCATCAGGGTCGTACACGTCGCCGAGTCGTCTTGTCCGACCAAACCTAACACCCACTTCTGCCCGCTCTCTTCGCAGTCTTTACGTCCTCTGACCCACCATGCAGCTCCGCAAGGCTGCCCGTATCATTCTTGTCGGCGCTCCTGGTGTTGGCAAGGGAACTCAGTCGGAGCGTATGCTCAAGCGATTCCCCCAACTGGCCTCTATCAGCTCTGGAGATCTGCTGAGAGACAACGTACGCAGACGGACTCCTCTCGGTACCGTGCGCCTATCTGTTGTTACTACTCCAGGTACTGACCCCAGCTTCTCTAGGTATACAAGCCGAATCTCTCATGAAAGCCGGCTCACTTGTTCCTGATTCGACCATCTTGCGCCTAATCACAAACGAATTGACCACACGTGGTTGGCTCACACCATCGACGACGCAAAAGCCTTTGACTGTCAATTCTGTGGCTTCTTCTCTCAATCCCCTCAACGCTTTCGCACCTGCTCAAGACGAGTACATCACTCCCACATCGTCTTACCAAGGGTCTTACGACTTCAGCGACCAGCCCAGTGCCTCCTTTATCCTTGACGGCTTCCCTCGTACCGTGGACCAAGCTATCCAGCTCGACAGATTGGTCCCGATCAACCTTGTTGTTCAGCTCAACACACCTACCTCGGTCATTCTTGATCGCATCTGCAACCGCTGGATTCACGCCGCATCTGGTCGTGTATACAACACCACTTTCAACGCACCGAAGGTGGATGGCAAGGATGACATCACCGGTGAGGCTCTGATTCAAAGAGACGATGATAAACCAGAGACTTGGATGGCTCGTCTGAAGAAGTTTGAGGAAACCAGCCTACCTCTACTTGAACACTACGACAAACTAGGTGTTTTGTGGAAAGTCGATGGCAACAGCAGTGACGAGATCAGTCCCAAGCTGTTTGACGAGTTCAACAAAAGATTTGGATTGGCATGATTCGGCATCTTAAATGATTTCCTCGGCTTCCCGAGCACGACAAGAAATCACGAACCAGAGAGACGAGATACCCCAATCCATGTCCGATATGCATCATGAAAGATCTCGGCATCTGAGTCCTTCATTTACCGATTTTCGCTTTGGCAACCACCCACTGGCACATCCACAAGGGGATCTTCAAAGACTTCATGATAGTTTGACAGACGATATGGTAGCTCATCGGCTCTCGCGCCCAATGCAGACCCACAGCGACGACGGGTGAGAAGCCACATAACTGGACCTTTCGCAACGAAGAAATGTGCCTAGACAAATTATGGGCAGGCAGCAAGACTTGCGTGGAGGCCTAGCATAAGATCGCGCAAGGCCATGCTCATTAACGATCTTGAGGCCATCGCTAGGAATATGCATGGATGCTCCTAGCGAAGTCGATTGCACTCCAACCTTAAGTCGAGATTTGACATGATAACATGCTACATATTAACATTTTACCTTCATAATCCATGCATTCCCTTCTTCCACAATGCTCATCCCAAAAGGCGTTCGAAAAGCACATAAACTCGTCCTAGACGTGAAGCGAGCGGCTGCAACATTCTTCAGGGGTCTTTGTATCGGAAGCCACTCGGGTGGGTGCCGACGTCGTATCGGGGCGGATCGAGGCTATCGATATGCTGCGATGCCGGAGATGCTCGGCCCAAAAGTTCTTGTAGATAGAAGGGCGCTGGGCGCAAGGCGCCATTATGAGTCAAATAGACCTAGTTACGTCTTTGGCATAAAACCGCTGTGTCTACATCATATAGCTGTTGCTGTACTTCCACATCCCCTATCGTTATCCAAAAGATCCACCAAAATGTCGCCTCCAAGCGCTATCGATGTCGATGTACAGGCAATTGACGACACTACTGCCGTTACCATCCCGAATCCCCTCACACTCGAAAGTGTTGCTACAAGACGTGCGGCTACTGGAAAGCTTATCGCCGGAGTCGCTGCTGTAGCCAATGTGGACTCATTCAAGGGAGAGAAGCAGCACCTTCACAAGCCCAGGGCCAAGAGATGGGACCGTAGGTGCTAGACAGAAGATGGATTCTGGTCAATGCTAATCGCCAATAGACCGTCTGAACGCCGAGTCCACATCACGCAAGGGCAACTCGCTCAAGGCCGCTGCCAAGTACCTCAAGAAGCCCGGCATCATCTCGCTCGGTGGAGGTCTCCCTTCAGCTGAATACTTCCCCTTCGACGAACTGTCCATCAAGGTGCCAGAGGTTGGCCACTTCTCGGAGAAAGAGACACGCGAACAAGGGCCTGTACTTACAGCCGGGAAGTCTGACCTTGCGGACGACAAGTCGTTGTTCGACATCACAACCGCCTTCAACTATGGCCAAGGTACTGGATCTGCACAGCTGCTGCGCTACCTGGTCGAGCACACGGAGATCGTACACGACCCTCCTTACCAAGACTGGTACTGTAACATGACCATTGGCTCCACTTCTGGTCTGGATGTTGCCCTCAGAATGTTCGTGGAGCGTGGTGATGTTGTTTTGACCGAGGACTACACATTTGCGACTGCTGTCGAGACGGCTGCACCAATGGGTGTACGCATGGTCGGAGTTGGCCTGGATGACGAGGGTCTCCTTCCAGAGTCTCTCGACGATATTTTGAGCAATTGGGACGAGGCCGCACGTGGTGCTAGAAAGCCGTTCCTGCTCTATACCGTACCAACAGGTCAGAACCCGACCGGAGCCACCCAGAGCGAACAGAGACGCAGAGACGTGTACAAGGTTGCGCAGAAGCATGACCTCTACATTCTAGAAGACGAGCCATACTACTTCTTGCAGATGCAGCCATACACAGGACCCAATGCGCCTGATGTGCCACCGCCCAAGACTCATGCCGACTTCTTGAAGTCGCTTGTACCTTCGTTCCTGTCAATGGATGTTGACGGTCGCGTAATGCGTTTGGATTCATTCTCCAAAGTTGTCGCACCCGGATCACGAGTCGGTTGGATCACGGCATCGCAGCAAATTGTTGACAGATTTGTTAAGCACATTGATGTTAGCACTCAAGGTCCTAGTGGTATCAGCCAGCTGGTCTTGTTCAAGTTGCTGGAAGAACACTGGGGTCACGCAGGTTTCTTGGATTGGCTTGTTCACATCAGAATGGAGTACACACAGAGAAGAGATGTCATGCTCTCGGCTTGTGAAAAGTACTTGCCGAGGGAGGTGATTAGCTGGAAGCCGCCGATGGCTGGCATGTTCGTAAGTGATTGGTGTTGGTATCGTTGATCGAATGAAGCTAACAAGATGACAGCACTGGCTCCAAATCGAATATGAAAAGCACCCTGACCACCAGACCATGTCTGTCGCAGAACTTGAAGAGAAGATCTTCCAGACGATTGTCGATCACGGTGCTCTGGTCATGAAGGGCTCGTGGTTCTATGCGGACAGCCAGGCCAAGCACGATACTATGTTCTTCAGAACAACATATGCTGCTGCGCCATTTGACAAGATTAACGAGGCCATCAAGCGCCTTGGAGATGCTGTTAGGGAGGAGTTCAAGCTAGAGAGCCAGTAGATATTCTAAAGCTGGATACACTTGGGAATTTGGGCATTCTGGAATGGGAATACATGGTGTTGGAGGGGATAGACAGAAGACTCGAACGAAACTTTTATGAGTAGCCTCACTCAGTTGATGAAGTTGACGCAGAAGAAGTGCAGAATCAGACTACCAAAGACGTAATCTGCAAAAGCTCTGTGATAGGATTAGGCAACAGTTCGTGTAGAAAGCAATTGGTGTGTTGTTCATACCTTTCGTGTGATATGGAGCCGAAATCTGCCTTGTTCTGAGGATTGGTTTGGATTCTCAAGCTGGCGGTCAGGACGAATTGGCCGACAGTGGCAGAGAAGCCGGATAGGAAAGCGTTGAAGGGCTAGAGAGAGAGGTCAGTCGGACGTCTTGGATGCGACGAGAGAGATCGAGCGTACGTAGTTTCCGCCAATGACACAGTAGAGAAATTGGAGAGCGCCGACGAAGATGAGGAAGGTCATGAAGACGTCGATCAGCTTGACGCGCTGGGGAGTGTCCTGAACATAGCGGTCCCACACGGCCAGAGCGATCTCTTGAGCGTCTGTCGAGTTGCGGACGGTAGACTTGGTGGAGGTGGCTTTGGCAGATGCGGCAATAGGCTTGGTGGGTTGAGACGAGGCAGAAGTTTGTCCGTGAGAGGGTTTGGCCGTCGACGCAGGGATTTGAGATGGCGCAGGAGCAGCGGCGTTCTTCTTGGGTGCCATGCTGGTAGAGCGAGGTGCTGAGTTCGGATCAGGTGTCGATTGGATGAAGTATGATTGACCAGATGGAGCTTGGCCGAACAGGATCAGGCTATGGATCAAAGTTATCGACTAGGCAAGAGGTTTATAAATGTCGAGGTCGAATTTGTATGCTCTTCCGTTAAATGCTGAAGAGTAGCAGCAACAATCGAGGCCAGCTTGCTCAAGCTCGCCGACTGTCATGCACGGACCGAGATGCCGCGTCACTGAACTCCGAAGCTCCCTCCGCTTATTCGACCTCGGTCTTGACGTCTATATCCCTCCAACCCAACAGCACTTCATACCCATCAAAGTAATACCAAACTCTTCAACCAAAATGGTAAGAATCTCCGTTTCCTGAATTGCTGTTCATTGATGCTAATTTCAAGTAGTCTCTCGAGTGAGTTAGATCCAAGGACTACACTCGATATACCTGTCTAATGACCATAATCAGCACTGTTGCATACATCCTCGCCTCTTTGACCGCTGGCGGAGGCTCTCTCGGTTACATCAGAACAGGCTCCGTTCCCTCGATTGCAGCCGGTGTCTCTGTAGGCGCTCTTTACGCTCTGGGTGGTTACCGCATGTCCAACCGCCAACCTTACGGTGTTGAGCTTGCTCTCTTGGCCAGCATTGTTCTTGCAGGAAGCAGCGTCCCCAGAGCTATCAAGTCTGGCAAGCCCCTACCTATCGGCCTCAGTCTTCTTGCCGCCTATGGTCTCTACAGTTTCGGCTCCGCTTGGTCTTCCAGAGTCCGCTGATATCATCTAACCTAATTCAATCAATTCTTCTACCTCCATGTTGCAACGTTGTTGCTCTCCTCTTTCCCCCAAGCAGGTTCTCCTCACGACAAACCTACAGCAGCCATGAGGCATTGATGCATGATCCCGACTCACAGAGAGATACTGGTTTCGCTCGGAGGGTAAGTTGATCGAACGAATAAACAGCGTGTCACTGCGGCCAGCCAAAGATCATCGATTGAGTCTGGTGCCTTGGATTCTAGTACAGAGAAAATGAGCATATCTCGCCTCGAACGCGGGATTCTTGTTTTGAGTGTCCTTATCGAGTCTCAGCTCCTCGCTGTCACTATCCGAGTCATGCTGGGATGCATCCCGTTCCATTCTAGTACCGCAGGCTCTCTCCAAACGTGTTGCTGGTTTTCTTCGGCTTTCTGTATCTTCGCCCAACCGAGACAGGTCACTGTAGTTTCTCATAGCTTGTCAGAATATACGGTCTCACGACCGCCTCCCTTGTTCAATCATATCGATGATAGAGCTGTCATCTGCACTAGATTTGATTCAGAAATAGCTAGCGACAAAGTGATACTGCCATAGACTTGTGGTACGTTCTTGCTAGTCTGAGCCCATGAGCAGCTACCTCATCGTCGCTTATTACAGCGTTATTCAATGATAGTCCAGACGTATCGCTCAATGCCTGACACAGTTGTTCAAAAGCTAGTAGATGCCTCTCGACACTTCTTTGGAGACCAGGCAATACAGTGCCATCCATTGAGGCCAGATCAATCTACCCTTTCGAAGTCACTTGCAACCTCTGAGGGCTACGAATTGCTGCTTCAGGAGCCAAAGAAGAAGGTTTCAATAATGATGGGATGAGGATCTGATGTCTTCAACTCACCAGCCTGAGTAGTTCGACACCTTCGCGTGCAAGATCAAAAACCTTGTGAAATACGCATTCGAAGCATGGGTGAAACCAGGACAACTATTGGATGCCCCAAATGAATTGTGAGGGTTTTAGGTTGACAAAGCTGTATGACCGTGATACCGGGTATGTATTACATCGAGAGCTTGTAACGGCACGAGCGAGGCTCTCGCTCTGCAGTTGGGTTGCAGCCCGAAAAGGCTAGATGAACGTCACGCGTCGTGATTTATGCACGTGCATAGCATGTATAAAATTGAATCCGTTTAGCAGCGGCCGTGCTTGTATTGTAGCACCATGATAATCTGCATATCTTGAGCTGCTCTAGCCCTGTATGGAACCACGAGCGAACGGAGACCAAGAGCAGATGGCCTGGGGCTGTCAATCGGGGACGCTGAAAAAGCATGAACACGAGCCGTACGTCAACACAGACCAGACCTCAGGAATGAATAGCTCGACATCGATACGTGGACTGATTGAACCACAAAGGCCTTGCTAGAAACAGTACTTGGACTGGATCGCTTCAGCACTTCGACATGACTGTCTTGAGTCGAACTACTGTACAATATGAAGCCGAGCGCAGCATGGATAGAGGAACGTCGGGAAACCCTTGAAACCATTCTCAACTTATTTTGTGCTTGGTATTGATCAGACAATCGTATTGCTAAATAAAAAAATAGAAGCAATCTGGTCCTTTTCTGCTCGACCGACTCCTGGCTCCAGCTAGCCGCGCTTTCTGTCCCACTCCAAGATGAGCAAAATATGGGGATCAGAAGAATATCATCGGGAAAAAATATGATGTTGCAGAGACAGCATCGAAGAAGGCCATCTCAGAAAGTTGAAAGGTAGCCGAGGCTTGCTGGAACGCGAAAGGCAGCCAGCGAGAAGCCAAGTGAGTAGTGTGTTGCGGAATAATGTTGACACAGCAACGAGAAGAAGTGAAGGCATTGAGTGACACAAAGTCGATCAGGAGAACTTCCATCTGTTGCCGCAGACGGTACACTCACAGAAGGTGGTCATAGGTTCATCGGCAGATCTCGTCTGAGCCTGACTGTAACTGACCTTCTTCTGACCGCACTTGCCGCAGGTCAGACTGGCGCTGATACTCCTCTCAGCCTGGGCTACCATGGCCTTGTCCATGTTTTCCTTTTGCAGTTTCTCATCCTCTGCGCGTTGCTTGTCACTCTTCAACTCCTCGTGTGTCATGCGCACAAAGCGATCAGGCTTGATGAAGCCTGAAAGGACCTGACTACGGAGCTTTGGGTTGGACTTGTTTTTGAGATTTTGATAGAGGGATCGTATGCGCTGACGGTATTCGGGGCTGCCCTCGGGCTGGTAGGCGTTGTAAGCAGCGAGCTCTACAGAGCGAGCGACTTTCAAGATTTCTGGCGCAGCTGTCGAGACATGTCAGTTGGGAAGGCTCTCTTGAAGGAAGGTCTGGCTAGCGCATACCATCAGGCGACATGAAGGCCAAGCCATCGTACATCAGCTTGATGCATGCGTCGCGAGTCTGGTTGCCGGTAACGGCGGTATCGATCTTATCTGACAGACTGTTGCGCTTCTCAAGGTCGCCCTGCGGCTCGGCCTTTAGCTTGCTGGCAGCGGCAGGCGCGGGCGAGGACTTGTTCGGAGCAGGAGAGTTTGTGCCGCTGGAGGCAGCTGTCGCAGGAGCTTTCTTGACGTCGCCCTTCCATTTGTTGACGAGGGTAGTGGCGGTTCGCGCGACTTGGGTGTCGGGGTTCTGGCGCAACTTGTTGACGTGCACACCGATCTTGGTCTGGCGCAACAGCTTTTCCGTGGCCGTCCATCCCTTGAGTCCGTCCAGAAGCGCGAGCAAAGTTGCTGGAGGGTCGCCGCCCACTGCAGCTTTGGCCAGTTGTTTACCGCGCTCTTCAATGTCCTTTGCTTCCATGCTCGCCATGATGCCGCTGCGCAACCGCTTGCTCCGAGTGATGGATCGTCCAGCTGCTGTCGCAAGTGCCTCGGACGTTATGTGCGTGACTTGATTGAGGGTGATGGGGAATGGCGGAACCGAGCTTCGAAGACGAGAGTTTGGAGGAAGATGATAATTGAGCAATGCGACAAAGGTGCGCGTGTCGTGGAGCTGAAAGTTCGAAGGACGCGGGGTCACTGAAACTCGGTATAATTATGACTGTGTTTGCTTCGAGGCCAACACTCGTTCGACATGCCTCACCAATGCCACTCTGACCTTTCGCTCAGCTTCCGGCCTGGTCGCTGTTCAACTGCCGTCATTCTTGTGTCTAGTTGATTAGGCGTGTATGACAAATGACCTGCCCCACCTTCTCTCTTCACCATCTCGTCACTGAACAATTGCTTGCTTCTCAACTTTAGCATTCTCACTTCTCTCACTTCTCAACAACCACAATCATGTTGGCCATCATCGGGGCTTCTGGCAAGCTTGGCGGTGCCACGCTAGATGCCCTTCTCTCTCACAATCTTCTCCCCAAGGACCAGATACTATGCTGTACTTCATCCCAGCCTGGCAGTAGCACCTGGTCCTCACTAGAACACAAGGGCGTTCAAGTTCGCCATGCCTCTTTCGACGATAAAGCCTCTCTCGAAAGGGCCCTGGCTGGTTGTGACAAGTTCTTCCTTGTCTCCACTCCGAAGATCGACATGGACTATAACGATGCTCCGCTGGGTTCGGGTCGCGAGAAACATCACTTCACCGCCATAGATGCTGCCCGATCTGCTGGCGTGAAGCACATCTACTACAGCTCATTGGCTTTCCAAAACCCTTCCAAGTCTCGCGTCATGCAGGCTCACATCCGCACCGAGGCCTACCTTGCAAAACTACAAGACATCAAGTACACTGTCATGAGAGAGGGCCTTTATAACGAAAGCTGGCCACTTTATGCAAGTTACTACCATCTCAAGGACGACCGAAGATCCGAAGTGCCTGTCGGCGGCGATTCTCCCATCAGCTGGACCGCCATTTCCGATCTCGGGCTTGCCAGTGCCTTGGTCATTGTTGCACCTTCGTCTGAATATGCTTCCAAGACCTTTTACCTGTCCACCACTCAGGGAGCAAAGACCATCAGTCAAGTCCTTGAGAAGGTTTCTGAAGTCAGATCAAAGAAAATCACCACCAAGATAGTGACTCGAGAGGAGCTTGAGGACTACTACGTTCAAGACCTTGAGCAGTCCGAACCTGCTGCCAAGTGGTGGGCGGCGAGTTACGATGCTCTGAGAGACCAGGAGTGTCTGATTAACGACCCAACCTTGGAAAACTTGCTGGCCAGCAAGAGCCAGAAGCCAAAGCCTGTGGAGAAAACGATAGAGGAGATGCTTCGTGCTTGAGGGTTTGACACAGGTATGCACTAGATCAATAAGCTAGATCTGCATCTTCGTCCTTTTCCACGACCCAGTCATAGACCAACCTAAGCTTGTGCTCCTCCTTGCCCTTCTTGACAATGATCCGTCTAGTGTGACGCTTAGACCCATCTACTACTTCAAAGCCCCAAACTTGTTCAGCGGTCCAATTGGGCTTCTTCCCTAAACTCTCCACAAAGATTTGGAGGACCTGATGACCCTCTTGAACGAGGAACTGCTCATCCCAGCCCTGCCTGAGGTATTCGTCCTCGACCTCATCCAGTTGGACATAACGTGAGCGTCCGTTGACCTTTCCAAAGATTCTGTCGTCCTTTTCACGCCATTGGAAGTCAATTATGCGGTCCTCGAGGTTACGGATATTCCCTGTCGTGATTTGCTCGCTGTCTATGTGCATGAGGTTGTCTTCACCAACGAACTGTGGTTTCATTAGAACTGTCCCATGCCCCAAGGGGTTCGATGTATATTGTACCTGCTTGACATGGAGGGTGACATTCGAGTACTTTACAGCTTGACGGACCAGCCAGCCGATGCCTTGCTGTCAATGAATGAGTAAATGGCCCCAAGTGTAGATCATGAAGACTTACCATCTGCAAGGCCGCATCGGTCGAATCTGACAGTTGTTTATTCTATCAAGTTCAGTATTTGCGAACAGGTACCACTACGTACTGCATATCGTCGACATGATGGAAGTCACTCACTAGATTGTATGTACCAGAGAGATTACGCAAATTCACAGAGCCAGGCACAGCCATATTTGGAATATTAATTGTGGTGTTATGGATTCCGGCGTCTCCGAGTTGCATCAGGGTATCTGTCTTTTGCTCAGGGAACCAGCTGCTATTTAGCATTGCTGCATACAATGCGGGGTGGTCCGGGCTGCGTGACTTGGCGTGATGATTTGGCGCGCTTGTTGCGCCTTTAATTACATATCGTCCTTGTACCTCAATCAAGACCTAGCACAAATGAACATTGGGTAACGCCTTTTGCTAACACCCATTCGTAGAATCGTTGATCTGCCGTCATAACAGTTAGCACCTCGGTCCAGTAGAAGGGTTTGTAAGAAGAATTTGAGAACAGTGTAGCAATCAGAGAGAAGATTAAGGTCCCCAGCGACTTCGTGGTGGTCAGAACAGTGGTTGCGTTCCTGAAAACTCAACACAGAGTCGACCTTGGCTTTACCCACGTAGCCATCGGTCTAAGGATGATGTCTCATCAGAGCAAATGAAAGTAAGAAAGGATAGACCACTTACAAGCTCTATACTCGTCAGACGCCTCACTCACCGGATCGATTGATGCTCGGCTTGGTCATGATGCAGCGCTTCAACTGTTCATGCTGGTCGATGTCTCCAAGGTCGGCCAGAGAAATTGGCGATTGTGGATTTGTTCCGAGAGTGGTTGTGCTGGTTGTGTTGGCTGTACCTCATCTGCGTCATTGTAGGCAATATGCTTTCGACTGCTCGACACAGTAGTGCTGACTTTGGGACGCTTGGTGGATACCGAGACCGCTGGCTCTTCATCGCCATAGGCCAAATCAACCGAGCTTGTTTGTTGCCCGTCCAATTCACGGGCAATCCTGCGGTGAGTCAAGTGCTCTGGGTTGGTTTCAGAGACGTCGATAAACCTTTGCCACTTCCTTTTGCCTGTGCTTTGGGAGTCTGAGGTGCTTGTGGAGCGCTGTCTGACGATGTCTTCGGCAGTGTCTAGCTTGTCACGACCTACCGACTGAGCCATCCCAGTAGGTATACCGGAGCCGGGCTCGCTGTCTGAATTCTCGCGCCTTCTTCTGCGTTCTCTTAGAAGAGCTTGAATTTCACTGTGTCTGAACATGGCAATTTGGTCGTCGGTAAGTGTGCGCTTGACACCATCAGGATAGTAACCAAGACCATCATCATCGATTTCCACTTCGGCACTCAATATAGCGCCATGGTGCCTGTTGGAGGAGCCCAGCGAAGCAAAGTGCTTGTTATAGAAACGGCGCAGATCATCCTGTGAATGGTCAGCCAGGGAACCAGTGAGAGCCGCTACAATCTTTGCTTACTTCCGTTACTGATGGCACTTTTATTTGATGATTTGCCATGACACCAGACGCATGATGTGTGTTAGGTCCGTAAAACTCGAGAATCAGTCACGCGCCTTGAGCTTTGCGCTGAGAAGGTGCCAAGAGTAGTCCGGGGCATCGTGTGGAGTGCAGCGACCACCTTGATTTCCCTCACTACTCGTATCTTTACCGACTTATCCTGCGTACATCATGAAGACTCGTACAACCTTTGCCGCATCACTTGTAGCAGCTTTCTTTATATCCACAACTTCTGCAAAGCTATTTCCTGCACACCCCCCAGAAGCACAAGCAAAGATCGCCCTCCCAATCCCTCACGACGTCATGCCAGGCAGCGGTGTTACCATTTCCGATGTCATCGGCAGAGAACGCAGTATCAACATTTTTGCAGGCTTTACTCGTGACATTGAATCTGTTTCGAAGCGACTGGAAGGATCACAGAACACCACGTTGCTCGCACCTCACAATACAGCCATCACCAGACTGCCTAGGAAGCCTTGGGAGGATCCTCAAGACTACGCTGCTTTGGGTCAGAACGCGTACGACGGTCAAAGTGGTGAAGACCGAGCACACAGAAACTTGAGACGTTTCGTCGAGGCGCATGTTGTCCCCGAGTCGCCTTGGGCTGAAAACCAAAAGATCCAAACCCTCGGAGGCGACACTGTATGGTGGGAACACAAGGACGGGAAGAAACTGGTAAGCGTCGAAATGTGCTACGTAAACCATTGACTAATAACCGTTCTAGATCCAACCCGGTGGTATCGAGGTCTCGAGTGTCCCTAACAAGGTCGCCAATGGAGAGGTCTGGATCTTAGAAGGTGCTCGCAACTATGCCTAAAAACACTTTCTGTCTAGCACTTCATGTTTTGCAAAGATTGGTCAATTCTAACTGAAATTGGAGATATTTATCAATAATCAATGCTGATCTTTAGAAGTTTATCCTTGATGCAACTTTTTGACACGCTGTACACCTTCATACAACGCTCTGTCAATGGCAGCCGCTACAGTGAGCGTGCCACCGATAACAGCGCAAACACCAACGAGAAAACCGGAAAAGCTCTTGCTTCGAGCTTCACGGTTGATGACTTTCATGGGTGAGATATCCTGCAACAAAGGTTAGTTTATGAACGGACAGAAGGTTAGACGATGACATACATAAGAGAAGAAGACACCGGGAATGCCGCCTCTAGCGTGTAGTCTCTCCTTGTGACCTTCCTGGCGATCGTCGCCGCCTGCAAGGCTTCTCTTGTGGCTGGTCACACTGTACTGGTGTGTCTCAATGCTGCCGGCTTCGCCATGACCATAACTTCCCAACTCGATGAGCTCGTGGGGCAGGTCAAGAATAGAGTTCTTCTTCTCCCAGCCCAGGGGCAGGTACGCAGTCGAAACTACCTTGACAAAGTACATGAAGTTATAAGCCTTCTCTTCTGTCTTATGCTCTGTATCATCAAGTGGGTTGAGATGATGGTTAGTCCAAGCCATGCCCTTCTTGCCAATGCTAGTAACAATATCATCAGGCAGCTGAGGACCAAAGCGAAGATGATGGATATTGTGGGAGAAAGTATGTTCGATGTTGTTGCCGCCAGCCCAGTAGTTCTCGAGATCGTGAACGTGCATGTTGCCGTTGCTGAACGACTTGCCAGGTGCAAAGTGGAAATTGCCAACAACCTTGTTGACACGAATTCCACCTTCAATACGGCAGCCTTCTCTACGTTGTTCGTCTAGATGCTCGGAGTAGTGCTCGCGCGTGCATTGCTCGACATTTTCTCCTCTTCCAAATGACCAGGAGACACTCGCATAGGCGTCGCGAACCTCAGCACAGGTGTTGCAGCAGCCGGGTTTCTTTGCATTTGCGGGAGATGGTGCGCCATAGCATTCTCCGCAGTAGTCCGGGTCCAGATGAGTGGCAGGATCATCGCTATGGCTGTGAAGAGATCAGCCAATGGTCAAACAGGAGAATTAGACGGATAGTAGTACAGTTCAAGTGCTTTGGACTCGATGGCATGGCCACCATCAGACTCGGGGGCAAGTCTGACTTTGTTAACACCGTGCATAACACCGGTCTGAATTTCTCCAGACACATCCATAACATCGAGGGTGAGGAGCTCGCATGGGATTCTGGGGAATGATATGTTCATGTGGATCTCCATCTTTTCTCCTCTTCCCTTGTCTACAACGAGCTCGGGGTGTACGACGACTCTTCGGTAATCCGCATATTCTCCCCAGACGAGCCACAGGATCAACAGCAGAGACGAGAGGGTGACGATTCCACCAGAGGTCGTGCGCACCCGTGCATCTTCGACCGTCTTGGTAAAGGCGTCCAGACGCGTGAACCGAGACTTGACTGGCATCGTGGAGAAAGCTGAGGGTTGGCCGCAGATGGGATGGTGAGGTCAAGGACGGATAAGAAGGAATGTAGAGGTCGGGTCCGGTCAGCACAGCATCCAAGCAATTGTCAAGCCCGCAGGCTTTGGTAAGTGTCGTGAAGAAGTCGAGGACTTAGAGGACGAGTATATTAAGAAGCCACCTTTCCACCTTTCGCTGCTGATGCACATGGACCCTCGGGGTTTGCGCGCACGTCCCTCGGTTCGGCTTTCTCACCATCTGCTCAAGCTGAGATGGTCGGTCGAGCTGCTCTTGCACTTGTCTGCCTGCATGATTGCGCAAGAACATGGGGGTATCATTATCGTATATAAAAGAATCAGGTCGAGTTCCAGACCGCTATGCAATTTTCCTTCCGACGTTGCCCACTCCCCGTCCCACAATGCTGACAACCACATCTCCTTGGTTGCTACCGTCTCTCAGGCCCCAACCACTCATGCCAAACACTCGAAGATCTCGCGCCAGTTGCACCACTTCCTCGGTACCCAGCACTTCCTTGCCCAAAACCAGTCTTCCGACGTCTTCACTGCCCATGGCCATCAGCGTCAACATGGTAGGCGCTGCCACAATTGAGGCACATCCTGCTTGCGAGATGCTTTCCAGTAGTTGATATGCGCAAGCTTTGCCAATGTCTTCGGGTGCCTCACCGCCTGCTGCTGAGCTAGCCACATCCGCCGAGTACAAGGTACCCGTGCTGGACTCGGCAACCAGACTCAGACCGAATCCGACTCCAATCTTCTTCTTTGCGGCCGCATTGTTTCGTTCCGGAGCAGGGATCAGAGGTGCTGAAGAAACGTCCGAGAAGATGTATGTGTCTGCAACGAACTGATTGAGCACTCCACGTGCCGTGTCGATCATTCTGGCATTGTTTGCACCGGCCACTCCGGTTGCATACGCCACACCGCGTATCCTCTTGACTCTGCCAGGGTTCATGATGTGTATCGTTTTGGGGAGTCGGACCTGGTGACCAAACACTAGCTGTACCTCTCCACCGCCTCCTCTTCCACTCGGTCCAGGATTCGATCTCTTCAATACACGAAGCTCAATGTTGTTCTGAATGCCGAAGTTTTTGTAAAGAGGGAGAATGGCCGTTCGGACAGTATCCACACTGACATCGCCTTTGTCTGTTGCGCTCGTGATTACACCAGAGCCGGTAAAGATGACGTTGACCTGTGCTTTTGAGAATGCCGCCAACATGCATAGAGGTATGAGAAACCAGCTGACGCCTCTGGCACAGTCTCTGGGCAGCTCGTGCTTTACTACGCCACCGCTTGCGCCATAGCCCGCAGCACTACCCACAATGAGACCGGGCTTATAGACCAGAGTAGTACCAGTCATGGAGAACTCGATGGCAGAACCGTTTGTGATGGCATCCAGCAGTCGGAGGAAAGAGACTTCGTGCGGCGCAAGACCGGGGTTTGTGTGAGATGATGCGCGGATCTGTGAGATACGGACAGGTCGGCCGGTGAGAGTCGCAAGGACAAGACGTGTTGTGAGGTGACCGGCGCCATTGAATTTGAGCGGCGTCGAGGGTTGCGTAGTCGCCATCTTGGTGTATCCGAGAGCTGTTCAGGTTTGGTGATCCGAATCCAGAAAGAAATCTTGGCCAGGCTTTTTTGAGATTTTCTTATCCGGCGTTTTGATGCGCCAAAGTCCGTTGCGGAGAGAGCTCGGAGGTGCCCCACAGTCAGGTCCCTTTCTTTGCACTTTCACCCTGGAGACCCTGTCGATTCTGCCAAAGTCAATTCCACCGCATACCATGGCAGGGCCTTGATGATGCCTTCAACCCGTCATATGTGCATGAATACCACGGACTCCAAGCTTGGTCATTCCGTCGGCTTTCAGCCTCAGCGGATCTGCATTTTGGCGATCGTCGTTCATCGAAGAGAATCTTCATTTGCGAGAAGTCAAGATGCTTTCTCATCATGTCAGACGAGTTGGTTTGTTGAGCTCACGAACGAAAGCACAGAATATGTTTGGAACAGATCAAGGTAGGTGGAAATCAAAGAGGAGTGGCATTCTATAGAGATGACTGAATTCTGAGGGCAGACGTCAGAGAACTGGACTATATGCCGTGAGATGCTCCGCTGGCTTGGGCAATTCGCAATGACCCAGATTGGGGTCTTCATGTTCATATCGTTTTGATGATCCGTCGTGTGTGGTCCGTTTCCTGGATGGAACGCTTACTGGGCGTAACCATCGCCGCCGTTGTTTTGGTAGCCACCGCCGTAGCCACCCTGGCTTCCGCCGCGCCAGTTGGAACCACCGCCGCCGTAGCCGCCGCCCTGCTGCTGGTTGTCGTAGCCACCACGGCCGCCGCCTATAGATGTGTCAGTCGGAGTCATTGAATGGTATTGAAAGGGGCAAAAGCTTACCGTAGCTGTTGCCGCCGCCGTAGCCACGGTCACCGCCGCCGTAGCTGCCGCCGCCACCACCGTAGGAGCCGCCGCGACCACCGCCACCGTATCCGCCACGGCTCTGGAAGCCACCGCCGCCGCTGCCACGCTCAGAGGCCTTGTCCACGCGGATGGTACGACCGTCGAATCTGTAATGTTTAGCACCTCGTGTTCAATGCGGCGTATGGAAAGCCGAAACACATGCGCGTTTCGTATGTGCGCGGAGTGAAAGGGTCCGTCGATGGTTGTTTTGTGACTCACTCGATCTCGTTCATGCCCTTGATAGCGGCATCAGCCTCATCCTCGTTCGAGAAGCGCACGAAGCCGAAGCCACGGCTGCGTCCGGTGTCACGATCCTTGACGACAACCTGGAGTTTGATGTCAGTATTGGTGGGAATTCTGTAGTTTTGAATGCGCGAAAGTCTTACAGCTTCCTCGACGGCGCCGAACTCCTCGAACTTTGAGCGCAGAGCAACGTCGTCAGTGTGCCAGGCAAGGCCGCTGTTGATATGAATTAGCTCAGAGCTGCTGGCGCATGTTGCGACAATTGTTACCCAATGAAAAGCTTCGACATGATGATTGATGGTTATTGAAGAAGGTCTGAAGGATGGATTGTTAGAACTCTGCAAGAGGTGGTTGAGGATGACGAAGCGGGAGGAGCAGGCGACACGTCGGTTGATGAGAAACTCACCTGGAACTTGGGGAATTTGAAGCGGGGGAGAGGGGCACTTGGACTGAAAGCGTGGAAGACAGCTTCGTCAGATAAAGTGTCAATGTTGTGAAGCGCAAACAACTCACAGTGAAAACAAGGTCCGGGTGTGAAGGGTTCGGTTTTGGAGGAAAGTGCTTGCCGCCAAATTGATCTGGAGGAAAAGTGAGGAATGAAAGAGAAAAGGTGACAGGATAGGTGAGAGCACGTGGAATGTCTCCTCTGCAGCCCAAAACCCAAGCTAAATACTGCCGGTAAAGGTTGATTCGTGATCCGCGAGAAGATAGCGCGCGCGGGCGTGTTCCTTCAGGGTCAGGATGGTGGGGTCACTGAAGGGCAGCTCATGACATGACACGACACGATTTTGCAGACACAGCGGCAACTGGTTGGGGACACGACTCTGCAGTCCTAATAACTCTTGCATCCAACACCAATCGATGTTGATTGTTATAATGCTCCGACAGCGGCTGGATCGATTGCCCCGTCAGCCACAAGCTCGCATGCATGAACAGCCGATCTGTCAATCTGCGGCCATCCTTGAAGAGCGGTTGAACACGCCCACTGGTGTGCCATATGTCTGCTTAAGCGATTTCCATGAGCCTTTCTCTTTCGTCTCTTGTGTGCTGCTTGTATGGACAACAGGCGAGCTCAGGACCCGACCAAGAGCAATTAAACATGACATGTGGCATTACTTGGTACATACTTCTCTAGCACGTCTTCTAACCATGTCTCCTGTATTCAACAGATTGGCCCCATACCAAGCTGCATGTTGCTGCAAACACGAACGGGCAGGTTCCAATCAATGAGTGCAGCGACAGACGAAGTTCTAATATCTTGGGAAATGTTTCCCGCCGGCTCCTGGCTGTGCTACTTCAATATCGCTCAACAACTGCGATGGCGGTGAATAGTGCATGAACGCGATATTCATTATGGCCTTGCAAATGTCTGGGCGGTTCCGAGACGCACTTGCCTACTGGTGATGACCAAGCTCTTTCCTGAACAAGACTTCTTTTGACGCTCAATGTTGGCGTCTGCAGGTGGGCGACTTGCTTTTCTTATACCCAATCTGACAAGCCTCAACGAAATATGAATATCAGCCAATGGATCGATGATCTGGAACAAGCGAATCAACCTAGCGAATCCCCTGCATTCATCAACCAACACCGTGCAACTCGGAAACATGGACAGGGCTCCGGAAAAGGCTCTTTACTAGAGCCCTTCGTTGATCGTGTTCGACATACCAGAAGGACCCATCCTCCCGAGTCTCCACGTGCGTCAAACTCAGCTACAAGCAGTGTTACTCGTCCATCGTCGTCTTCTTCTTCCTCTTCGTCTTCGTCTACGCCTTCGTCCTCATCTAGTAAAAGGTATCAGAGAAAACCGCGACATCATACCAAAGCAGACAAATATCACCCAAAGAGAAAGCGACGGTCGCACTCCAAAGAGAAGGCGAAGAAGCAGAGCAAGAAGAAAGAAAAGAACGCAAAGCGGCCCCATCGCAGAAAGCACAACAGTGAGGTGATCACAGGCGTGGTTCAGAGCTTCCATGCCAAGAATGTTCCCAAGAATCGACTCACGGTAATTTCAGTCCTGCTCGTGATACCGAAGTCGATCGCTGAAGATAGAATCTATAGCTCAAGCCTAGCAGCAAGGTTGGTCTGTATACAAAAGGTCGCTCATCGGGTCCTACCAGGGGCAAAGGCTGTAAGTCATGTACCAATCATGTTCCGGTTTGTACAATGCTTATTCAAATAGTGCCAGATCTGGTCTTCTCCGAGATGCGATTTCTGCAAAACCCTGAGCCCATAGGGAAAGAGAAGCCTGAACGCAAGTCCAAGAAAAAGCACAAGAAACGACATGAGTTGTCCGAGAAGGAGATATCGAGGTACTTCGATTCTAGCAAGACACAGCCTGAATATAATGACCGTAGCCGAGAGAGGCATACAACACCGCTTGATGCAACAGCACCAGCAGCAGAAGCTGTGAAACTTACGCATACCACATCACCGGTGGTACTGAATCTTTCAGACAAGCCGTTCTTGGGATTTGGAAGCAGAGGCACGCATCCGCCCACCACAAGCTATTACAGCTGGTCAGATTCCGGAAGAGCAAGCTCATCGCTGGCGAAGCAGATTGTTCCGACCTTTCAACCACTAGCAGTTGGCGAGCTTCAGCGCGACTGGTCTCAAAGTCAAACACAAGCTGTTCCTGTTGAACAGAATGCAACTCAACATCTTCCTGTAAGACAAACGGCTGATACACGAGACGGCGGAAGCCACGATCGGACGCCCGAACCGGTTCCAGACACGAATCAAGCCATTATACAGCCAGCCAAAGCTCGGTTACACTCTGTGGACGACGAGAGACCAGTCTCAGAGACTGTTTCTAAGAAGAGAAAGAGCGAAATGCGTGTGCCTATGCATATCGTCGAGCCCGAATCAAATCACAACCACGCCAACGCAAACATGATTGGCAGAGCTCCTTCGATGCAAGAAAACGATAGACTTGAGGGCCCACTTTCAACACGTTCGAAGGTTCCCGCAAAAGCCGACTCTAAACAGTATTCGGAACCATGGGAAGAGCTGCTTCAAGATTGCGAGGTTGCAGCTCGGGCCCCCATATCAGCTTGGTATGAGGGCTCGCTACCGCAACACATCCGGTATGTTTCTCATGAGTATGCCAATCTGCAATTGTGGAGGCCTAGCGGGGGTAACCTCTGGGAATATGATTATGGAGACAACTTTGTAGGCGAGCTTGTGTGCCCGGATCAGCCAGAGGTCGTCGGTGACGGAGAAGGAGATGATCTCTCATATGGAGATATAGTAGAGTCTCTACTGGAAGAGTCGCAGCGAGGTTATGACATGCCAGCTGGAGATGAAGCATATTGGGAGGAAGGCAATGCAAGTCGACACGACGGGGTGCAAGGCTATCAAATCGAGGACGCCGAGCCTGTGGATGAGTTTGCTACGTTCTGGCAGCCGAACATTCTATATTGAACTGCTCCGAGGGCGAAAGACCGAGCAAAGACTTGCATAGCAGCACATGTAAAGACAAGTCGAAGTTGGATGGCAGAGGACGAGTGGGGAAAGGCCAGTGCTTGGGGCAGACAAAGTCAGACCGAGGTCGGAAAGGCAAGCAGCAGACCGAGCAGTCACACTCAACAACCGAATCGATAAACAGTTTCCACTACAAGCAAGACTACTGCATGTTTGCGAGCAGAAGCCAGGCAGTCTGCAGACGTCAATTGACTCTGAAAGCTCCGCAAGCCAGGCCATTTGTTGGGCACCTGGCAGTTTCCACGCTGGCTCACCGCATCAGCCGCAGTGCTGACCCCACCACGGCCAAAGCCGCCGACGCTGTCGTTTTCAAATCTCGCACTGCTCAAGTCGCTCGTCACTTGTCCGCAACGACACGTTCATCACACAACATGTCTTCCCCCAAGTACTCCGTCCGCTCTGTCGGCGCTCCCCACACCCTTGAGCACCGCATCTTCATCGAGAAGGATGGCCAGCCCGTCTCCCCCTTCCACGACATCCCCCTCTATGCCAACGAGCAGCAGACCATTCTGAACATGGTCGTTGAGATTCCTCGCTGGACCAACGCCAAGCAGGAGGTATGCTGCAGCCGCTCCCAATGCCTTGAATTGCCACCCTGACACGCCTGCAGATCTCCAAGGATGAGACCCTCAACCCCATCAAGCAGGACACCAAGAAGGGCAAGCTGCGTTTCGTCCGCAACTGCTTCCCCCACAAGGGTTACCTCTGGAACTACGGTGCCTTCCCCCAGGTATGTCTTGTTTGGAGGTTCAATTGACCCATTGGAGCTCGACTGACGGCCTCTTTAGACCTGGGAGGACCCCAACGTCACCCATCCCGAGACCAAGGCTCAGGGTGACAACGACCCGCTCGACGTCTGCGAGATTGGTGAGCTCGTCGCCAAGCCCGGTGAGGTCAAGCAGGTCAAGGTCCTCGGTGTCATGGCTCTGCTCGACGAGGGCGAGACTGACTGGAAGATCATCGTCATCGATGTCAACGACCCTCTCGCCCCCAAGCTCAACGACATTGAGGATGTCGAGAGACACCTGCCTGGCCTTCTCCGCGCCACCAATGAGTGGTTCCGCATCTACAAAATCCCCGATGGCAAGCCCGAGAACCAGTTCGCCTTCAGCGGCGAGTGCAAGAACAAGAAGTACGCCATGGACGTCGTCAGAGAGTGTGCCGAGGCCTGGGAGAAGCTCATCACTGGCAAGACCAACAAGGGTGACATTGACCTGTGAGTTTTGATGCACAGAAGCCGCAGTAACGAGAGACTGATGAAATGAACAGCACCAACACCACCGTGTCGCACTCCAACGACCGCACCGACCCCAGCAAGCTCAACATCCCTGAGGCCGACAACAAGGCTCCTGCCCCCATTGACCCTAGCATTGACAAGTGGTTCTTCATTTCCGGTGCTGCCGTCTAAATGGATGGACATTACAAAATGGGTTAGATATACACATCTACATGCAACGAAAAAGGAATTGCACATATTTTGGTTGAGTGTTGTGTTGAATGTCGTCTGTGCATGTCGCAGCTTGGTAGCAAATGCAAGCATATAGACATGATTCGAGCTTTGTGAATGTACAGGGTCGAATCGAAAGCCCAGTGACCAGCATGTAGCCGTGATAACCATAAAACGCCTCGCTCCTCCCAATGCAAAGTGAAATTGAACAAGACGAAGGGAATCTAACCAGCAAGCTCTTCTTTTCTGCCGAGCATGCGCGAGTGTCTGTCCACTTCGGTCATGATGTCCTTGATCTTCAAGGTGTCCAAATCGAGGTTCATTTCTTTGCCATCCTCTGTGACATTGTGTAAGCAGATGGCGCATGACCAAGGAGTGTTCTCGGGCATTACTGAATTTGAGAGCAAGCAGACCGGGCTTGTAGGCGTCGGCTCTGGACAGTTGCTTGACATCGATCTTCATTGTGCTGCGGGCGTTTGGCGGGAGAAGGGCGAGGAAGTTGCGGGCCGTCTTGCCAGACTTGGGGTTGAAGGGAGAGAAAGCGGTCGAAACCGAGGTCAGGAAGCGAGTGATCATTCTGGCGGCACGGCGAGGTGGTAGCGTCTCTGAGGGGGTGGGTAGATGGCGGATAGTCGACCTTGTCGCAAAGCAACAAAAAAGGCGTCGCGGTATGAGGCTCTGAGGCATGTCGGAGAGCGGCAACAGCCGGTCGAGCAGGAGTGTGGGGAAGTGGCATGTTTAGCCAGCGGCATAACTGGCAAGACCGGCGCCGTGGGCAGGTCATGGACTCTTTTGGCGCGAGCAATGAAGAACCAAAGTGTGCTTGACGCCTTGTCCCAGCTGTCGGACTCGATCAAGCTCACCTTCCAGCTCATCAGTCGCCTCTCCAAGCTCTCGTTCCAGCCCGGCTCCACGCCGCTCCAAGGAGACGGTGACGTCCGTATCGAGCTCTCGCACGACATTCGCGACGCTCTCAAACACCACGACGATACCTTGGACTCTCTTCGCCAGGAAATCGAAGACGTTGTCGAGTTCGGCACCCACTCTCAACGTCGCCGTGACAGTCTTAAGGATAGAGAAAGAGCTCGCATTGCTGCCCAGCTCGCTCGCTTGGATGAGGATTTGAAGCAGTACGTCCACAATGACCCATCTCTACACGACTATTTTACTGACAAGCCATACAGCGCTCGAAGTCAGTTCCGCGCCGCTCAGCTCTCATCAAAACGTGCTTCCGAGGCTGCAAAACAAAAAGAGCGAGAGATCCTCTTTGCATCTCTCCAACAACCCACCGAGACCGACTCTACTTCGTCCACTCCCGACCCCCTCGCTGCCCGTCGCCCTCAGCCTAAGCAACTGACCCAAGACGAGCTGCTCATCAACGCTTCAACCGACGTGACCTCAGCTCTTCGTCGCACACATAACCTGCTTACCTCTGAGCTTTCACGCTCACGTTTCGCTCAGGAGACTCTCGATCAGTCCACAGCAGCTCTCGCTGACCTAGGTGAGCGTTACACCGATCTTGATTCTCTCCTCAGTAATAGTAAAAATCTACTTGGAACCCTTGTGAGAAGTCAAAAGAGCGATACTTGGTATCTTGAGACCGCCTTCTACATTCTCGTCACCACCATCTGTTGGCTGGTCTTCAGAAGACTAATATACGGTCCTGCCTGGTGGTTTCTTTGGCTGCCATTCAAGTTCCTACTACTCAAGCCATTCTATCTTCTTCTTGCCGTTTTTGGCATCACGGGTGGCTCTTCGGCTGCCGTTACCGCTGTCTCGTCATTATCATCGACCATCTCCACACAACCAACTATACGTCTTCAACCTAGCGCCTCAGGTGATCGACCTACTTTCCGCAGAGGTATGGATCAACGCCCGGCAAACGCCGTACCAGTCGGCGGAGGTGGTGCGAAGGCTGGAAAGGATGGTCAACCTCAAGATCCTAGTCCCGCAGGCAGCATGTCGCAAAGCCTTGGACAAATGGCAGAAGCCAGTCGTGAGCAAACACAGCCGCAAGGGGAGGAATCAAACGAGGCGAAAGGGCACAAGGAGCCCCAAAGAAGAGGAGACGGCACAATCTTGCAAGAACGAGGTGACATCCCTCGTAACCCCAAGAAGAAAATGTGGGAAGAGGATGTTGAAGCACCGAAACATCAGATGAGAAAGAGAGATGAGCTGTAGCAGCCTTGCTTGTGTTGGGTGCTAAATTACGCAGTAGATTAATGACTAAACTTTACCTATTCTTCTCGCGGGTCAACATATTTGCTCATTGGTCCTTGTTATAGTAGGTCCAGCTGTAGATATCATCGTGCTTTAGATATCTTGGGCACAAGCAAACCACATGTCTATTTTCGTATTCACTTGAAAAAGACGATATGGCTAGGGTCTGTCTATCTCACCCCCTCCTTCGAGATCCCCACAAGCAGCACAGTGTCAAAAAGAGCCTATCAAGATGTACAAACATTTTGAGTGTCAGTCAATTGTCCATCTAGATAGCCGCAATTCGAGCCTCTCATTGGACATTTCAGCCACTGCTAAAATCATTGTGCGTTTTCACAACCATCTTGTAAGGATGTCTTGATCCAGCAGTGCTCAACAGATGCGAGTGCGTCCATCGCAAGGCCCGGCTCTTTGGAGAGATTGTCCTGTGACAGAAGTGCCTTCTTCCACTCGATTTGAAGTCCCATACTGTCCAGCCACTTTGTAGCGACAGAGAAAGATCCAACTTTGGACGAGAGTCTGATTCTTGTGACAGGAATGCCGGCGAGGCGTGCTGTCGTTTTTCTTCCAATATCTCAGCGATAACTATTTCGACATATACCGGCGAGCCCGAAAGTTGCATTGCCCACTCCCGTCTCGCACGGGGACTTTGTGAAATGCCAGAGAACGATCGAGGATCCGTCTGATGTATCTTAGGATACTCACGCCTTTGTTGCTGTCCAGAACGGACCTCACTGCGTCGTCGTCCAGCAGTGTTTGAGTTATCGGGGGTGTAATGACAGTAATCAGAGAGTCTACAAAGACCCAAGGAAACATCTCGAGATTGATATATTTGGGTACGCGTTGAAGTTGGAAAGATTCGCCATCGAGAAAGACAGCTGTGGTATCGATGAATCTGGACTCGACGTTTAACACTTCTACCACGACGACTGCTCTGATACTGGGAAGCGGTCGCAGAGGCTAGATGTTCCCTGCAAGATGGTGAATCACAAATCTGTAAACGCCTCATGATTCTCGATTTGAGGGCGAGTCTGTGATCCAATGGGGTTGCCTTTCGATAATCTCATCCCAGTTGAGTGTACCAGCCAGATAGAACGTCGTTATCGAGTCGAGCCTGAAGCATCCATTACACAAGAGGCTGTGCAGTGTTCTGCCATCTTGCGCCATTTTAGCGTTGGTTGTGCGTGCGAAAGATACTTAAGCTGGCAGAGAGCTGCAGATGGAAATGTTGGAAAACTGCAATTGAATCTGGATAAATCATGTCAGCTCCCTCAAGGCTTTGTGCTCCACTTGTGATTCTTTGTCGAGAACGCATGCTTCTACGGCAAGAGAACATATTCGACTTCAGGCTTTTCGAATATCTGATAATTAGCGACATGGTGAACGATAGATACCAGACTCAAAGCCATGGAGCGAACGGGTGAGTTCTTCGCGGAGCTACACATCAATTACAAGTGGACGCTTTCTCCATCGATCACCACAAGTTCATTCGAAGGAACAACATGTTTTGCAGCCTCCATCTCTTTCTCTAGGAACATCTGATCGTACCTGCCTCGTTCCAATCGTCGGTCATTTTCGTTGGAAAAGGAGTGATGTTTGGCCGTCCCATGCACCAGGTTTGGTCGCAGTGTGATGGATCTCTGCGGCTCTCCCCAGACGGAGCGAGTCGTGAACAAGCTAAACAGCCTGACCGGACCCTGGATGCTGACATGTGACAGGATCTTCTGGCTTTGCTTTTGGCTCCACGCGTGGGTGGCTTCGCCTCGGAATTCACGGCTTCTACTCGAGTACTCCATTGATACAGTACACTACGCAGTAACGCAGGGCTTAAAGATCAGGAGCATCAGTGACGAAGCGTTTGACGAAGCAACGAAACACTATTGAGGCTATACGCACGCCAAGGGGGGGAGTGACATTCCTCGACGTTGCTTCTGACAGAGCCAGGGTTCAAGATGTGAGATGCTATTACACACGGTTTGCAGATTCGAGACGCATGAAGCGTGTCGGAGCAAAACGGCGCAAAATCCAGGAAGGCTCTCATTGGCTCCAAAACTGCTTATCTCTCGAACCTTAAGTTGCTATCTCTGGGCCTGAACGACAACTGCACGCTATGCCTGGTGCGGTTTCTGTATGGTAATCTGTTACCTAAAAATCATCTTCGTCCTCCGCGTTTAGGAAAGGATTCAGCGCTGCGGTTGTCTCAACCTTTCATCCGGGCATTGGCATATCAAATGACTATCGCCGCTCTCGACCATCTTATTTTGCTTGCAATGCTCTGTGGTTCGCCCGATTCCGCTGCTTGATTGATTGTTCAAACCATTCTCTGGTCTCCCAACACCCTTTCCTGAGCTGCTTGAATCATTCAGCTACATAGGCCTATCTTGCGATAAGCCCTTTACTATAATAGCTATTATCGAACTTGTGCCCCGCGGCCTCTTGCGCATTATCTATCAGTTCCCGCTGCCAATTGATTGCCCGAGGTCGGGACTTCAGGTTCAACAAACAAGTACGATAGTGATCCATCATGGCCGCCGCCGTAGCTATACAACCGCTGGCCCCTCGCTCTGGACCAATGGCTTTCAACCAACAACAACCAAGGACTAGTAAGGCCGTCTTTTTACATGGCCCTGTGCTATTCGCTAAACGATTGTCCCTTCATAGTTACCAGCTCACGTGGTCGCAGAGAAAGACCTTGTATGTATTTTATCTATACCATTGCATGCCAAGCTTTGATGCTGACCAACTGCCAGGTGACGGTTGTCGCAGACGTAAGAGCAAGTGTGTACTACAAGACTCATTACCTTGCGTTCTCTGTGAGTTCCATAAGCAAGACTGCACCTTTGTCGAGGCTGCCCAGCCACGCAAGCGGAAGGTAGACGACTCTGCTGGATTGAAGGATACGCCAAACGCCAAACGGTGAGTCTCGTGTGTTCATCCGAGATATTGTTCCTCTAGCTAATTCAAGGCAGTCCAAAGGATTCAAAGAGCCCTGGCCAAACACCCCCACCGCAACAACATACTATCGCACCTGTAATTCACGTGGAGAAGCCACAGCATGCCCCTCAGCCCGTACGCGGCGTGGTTCTGGGAGACACTCTAAGTTTACAACGAGAACAGCATTGCAGACTTATCGGACGTACTTCGGCCTTGGACATCTCCCTTCTTGGATTCTCGGACTTTGGTAGCCGCCACGAGACTAACACTGGATTTGGCAAGATTAGGAGGGTAGCAACCAGTGATTTCTTCAGCATGCATACCGATGCCGCCTTTTCGACATATGAAGATGAGCTACAGACACTGGTTGCCGTCGAGCAGACCGTGGCACCTTATGGCCCTGCCCTTATCGACCTGTACTTCCGCAACGTACATCCCAGCTTCCCGATCTTGCAGAAACATACGTTCATGGACCGACATCGTAACGGGGATCGTCAATTTCACTCGGGCTTGTTAGCTGGCATGTACTTGCTTGCTCTTCGCTGGTGGAACCGAGACCCCGTACTCTCTCAGCATCCCAAACCATCGGTATACAGACTCGAAGAGCTCGCTGCACGATCACTGAGTATGGCAATGCAACATCCCAAACTATCCGCTCTCCAGGCTGGCTTGCTGTTGCTGCAAAGACGGCAAGCGACCGACTGGGGCCTCACTGTACAGCTGGTTGCTTTGGGACAAGACCTCGGTCTGCATATCGACTGCACAAACTGGGACATACCAATTTGGGAGCGTCGCTTGCGCAAGAGATTGGCTTGGGCACTTTATATGCAGGACAAGTGGACTGCCCTGGTGCACGGACGACCATCTCATATCCAGGCCTCAGACTGGGCGGTTTCGGCTCTATCTCTGGATGACTTCAACGAGGAATTCGAAAACGCTGACCAGCAAATGATCGCAGACGACGAGAATGAGGAGGAAGAAAAGAGCAGGGTCATATTTATTCAGATGATCGAATTGACGAGTATCATGGCGGAAGTGATTGATGTTTTCTACACACAAAGAGCGAATGCCGAGTTTGAAAGAGGCGGGCGAAACGCAACACGGTTAATCCTGGAGCGAGCGAAGCCAGTTCAACTCAAGCTGAAGGAGTGGTTCTCAAAATTGCCATCGGTTGCTAGAATGGATGCATATACACCGGGAAAGCTATCATCAAATGGTAAGAGACGAGACGCCTGAATAGACTTCCAGAAGGTTTGCTCACATTTCCAACAGGCTACCTGCATCTTGCATACTTTGCGACCGAGATTTCGATTCACCGACGCATTGTGCAGTCGCTGCAGCCTTCGACGACAGACCCATATGTTCTGTATATATGCCGGTCGGCGGCAAAGACAAGGTTGATCTCGGCGATGGACTTTGTCAACCGTCTCAAGCCCGAGCACCTCGACTCATTTTGGTACTTTGCATCAGCAACGAATTTTGCTTTGATCAATACCTTCGGCAATTTGCTTCGAGCAACAGCGCCAGGAGAGGAGGAGGCAGGGTTCTACTCGTGTCGTCTAAAGGAGTATAGATGGGCGTTGGGTGCCAGCTGCCGGAGAGCGGAGTGGCTCGAAGGGGCTGTCCGAATGCTGGATGCAACAGACAATCTAGTCGATGGCCTTGGTGACAGACAACGAAACACTCAGCAGCATACGATCAACGAGGAAATGGACGAGGACGAGGACGAGGGAGATTACTGAAGCAGGACTTGACCGACTGGATTTTGACGACTTTGATTGCATTACTTACGATACCCATTTGATGATTGGCAGAGATTAGAAGGGAAGCATATAGAAGAAGAGCCAAGGCATAGAGCATTAGGACGATAATGAAGACCATGTTTAACGTCACGTCAGAGAAGGGAAGGTGCAAGGCGAAAAAGACCGTGATGGGCAATCTCGGGGCCAGTCTCGAAAAGGATGAGAGTGGCTTGGCATCGCGTCCCGTAAACGCGTCATGTCAGTCGCGGTACTCCGTACATCGAGTTCGTGGAAACAGACGCCGGGCACTGATTGATCAATGTTGCGCCAACGGGGTGAGAATGCCGGCTCTTAGTAGAACTACGGCTTCACTGCTTCGTACTGTCGCCGGGAAACCACACGCCACGACCGAAGATCATGAACACGATGGAAAGGCGCCTGCCACGACCAAACCCCATCTGGACCATGGGAAGCATGCCCTGGACTCGAGCGACGACGATGACGACAACGACACCTCCGCCCTCGGGGGCCGTGTCGAGAAGAAAGCAACCATCCGTGTGCCGAAACGATTGAACACAACAACAAACAACCCGCGTCCCCCGGCGAAAAGAGAAGCAGAGTCGGAAGATGAATTGAGCAGAGGGCCATTTTCACAATCCTCTCAACCCAGAAAACCCATCAAGACTTTCAGCAAGAAGTATGGTTCGCAGAACAAAGTAGCTCTCCAAGTAGAGAACAAGCGTGAGGCATTCAATCCCCGTCAATCCTGCTTCGTTCTTTTCTGATTCCCACTAGCTGCTTCCTTCCAGGTGCGAGATAGTCTGCCGACGCAGACCAAACCACCTGAAGCGCCAAAGAGAGGTTTTCGCCCAGCAAGAGCACCCGAGCCATCGTCTTCGCAACCAGAAGCTCCGCCACCCGTATCTGCTCCCATTTTCCGCCATCCTGCGCCCATCTCCAACTTTACCACCGACAGCACCGATCCTTCTGCCCAGTCACAGCCCATAACCCTCGATTCATCACAACTCTCACCGCCGCCTTCCTCACCGTTCACTAGTTTGCCCGATGCAGATCCTGAACAGATCCCCGATGATCCTGCACCCGACCCGAACCCGCCTTGTCCTATCTGCGGAGAGAAGATTGAAAAGGACTTTTGGGATAAGTTTCAAGATGACATCTGCCATAGACGTATGAATCTACGCCTCCAGGAGAAGTTCTGTCAAGCACACAAAGCCCGCAATGCCGACGACGTTTGGAACGACAGAGGCTACCCCAAGATTGACTGGTCCGCACTACAAGATCGACTCAAGGCACATCGCCATCATATACGCGCCATTCTGGATAACGACAAGGCGAGAGAGAGTCCTTATTACAAACAGCATGCAAAGATGATCAAGTCAGCAAAAGGCCATACTGCCACAGCGGCCGGCGGCCGTTTTACTGGCTTACGCGCTGGGTACTACGGATCAAAAGGCGAGAAGATCATGTATGTTTTGTTTCCATCTGACATTTCCTTCCTACGAGACTAACCCCAACCAAGTGCTGAAAACATCGTCCGTACATTCTCAGACAAATTACGCGAGCTTTCCGAGACCGATCCAATCATAGCTTCTGGTGGTGCATCCGGAGGCATGTCGGGCTTCGTGCACGCCATCCTGGTGCCTGAAATGGTTGTCGAACTGATCATGGAGGACATGAATTGTGAGAGAGATAAAGCTAGACTCGTTCTATCAGAGAGTGTGGACATGGGCGAAATCTTCAATGAGGAAGAGGATGAGAAGGCACGGCGGGTCGAAGTCGATCTACTAGATACCAGCATCCTGGACGACGACAACGACGACAACAGTCACCAAAGCATCTTGACAGAGAAACCCCGCAAGAAATTCCGATTAGCTTAAGGGGGTGAGACTTGCTGGAACTCGCCGCGCGCTCAAGCATCATCTGGTTACTGCGAGTCACATCGTCCTTTCTTTCTCCTTTTTTTCTTTGTGGCATAATACGGCATGACTTTACGACGAACAGCTCCTTCCTGGGACGGGATATGCATAGCGGTGACTTTGATGTACATACATAGCATTTGAAGAGCAGACACATGAACATATGCTTCTCACATCTCGTTTGCTTCCGCTTCGTTGAGATTGGTTAATTTTGATGATGAGAATAACATGTCACATGCTTTTGACAGGCATATCTTCCTGGCTCAGGCTGGTGGAATTAACGTGTGTTTCGACAGGCGACATGATCATTTTGTGGGGCTACGAAAGCACTACAGTAGGGCAGAAACATCTAGTTGTCCAGCTTGAGCTTCTCGAACTGAGCGATACTCTCCTCGTAGTTCTTTTGCTCAGCCATCAAGTCCTGCAACTTGGTCTTCTCGGCCTCGAGGACAGAGTGTGACACCTTCTCGGCGAAGCCCTCGGCGTCGAGGATCTTACGCTGCTTGGTGGCGCCATCGGCGGCCTTGCGAAGCTTCTGCTGGGCGCGGGTGATCTCGGCATCGATATCAACACGGCCAGCGACTTCAAGGAAGACAGCGGCGGACGAGGACACGGCGAAGACGGCACAACCGGTGGGGGTGGCGTCGTTGGGGCCGTTGATGGCGAGGTTGGTGAGGGCCTTGCCGGAGAGAGACTTGATTGATGCCTGCTCGTCGGCGGCGGTCTTGTAGGTCTTCTCATCGTAGCACTGGACAAAGGCTGCGAGGTGGTCAGTAATTGATATAAATGTCTTGTGCTGTTGCGACTTACCCTTGGCGTCCTCCTTGATCAAGTACTCGGACATCAAACTTCTGACACCCTTGGAGCATCCAAGGAGCAGCTCGTAGGCAGCCTCGCTCTCAAAGTCCTCAAGTGCAGCATCATACTCGGGGTATGCGGCAACAACGATACTCTTGGTCTTGTCTTCGGGACGACGAGGCAGACGCTGCCACAGCTCCTCGGTCAAGAAAGGCATGAAGGGATGGATCAGACACAAGGCACCCTCAAGGACGGTGTAGAGGGTGTCAACGGCACTGCGCTTCTCCTCTTCAGTACCGTCGCGGATGATGGCCTTGCTGTTCTCAATGTAGACATCGCACAGGTTCTCGTACCAGTACTGGTAGGCGAGCGAGGTCGAACGCGAGAACTCACGAGCGGCAAGAGCGTCGTTGATCTCCTTGGCGGCAATGGTGAACTTGTGCAGAATCCAGCGCTCGGGCAATGACTCTTTGCCGGTCTTACCGCCCTTGGCTTGAGGAACAAAGCCCTCGGGCAGGTTGCCGAGAACGTACTTGGTGGCCTGGTAGATCTTGTTACAGAAGCGACGGTAACCGGCCATGACCTTGACGTCAAAGGCAATATCACCACCACCAGTGGTGTACTGGATGAGTGAGAAACGGAGAGCGTCAGCACCGCACTCGGGGATGCCCTGAGGGAACGAGTCCTTCTGGTACTTGGTGGCGTTCTTGACCTCCTTGGGATCAAGGTTGCCTTCAAGCAGCTTATCGTGGAGCTCTTGGAGGGTGATGCCCTCCATGATGTCGACAGGGTCAATGACGTTTCCAAGAGACTTGGACATCTTTCTGCCGTCAGAGTCACGAATGAGAGAGTGGCAGTAGACCTCAGTGAAGGGGACCTTGCCGGTAAGCTTGAGACCAAACATAATCATTCTGGCAACCCAGAAGAAGAGAATGTCCCATCCGGTTTCCAAGACAGAGGTAGGGTAGAGCTTCTCGAAGTCGGGAGTCTTGTTGGGCCAGCCAAGGGTAGAGAATGGCCAAAGACCGGACGAGAACCAGGTGTCCAGACAGTCAGGATCACGGACAAGTTCGAACTTCTTACCAGGGAACTTCTTCTCGGCCTTCTGCTTGGCCTCCTCCTCGGTTCTGCCAGCAACCCAGAATTCGTCCTGCTTCTCATCGCTGTTCTCGCCTTCAAGCTTGACAAAGTAGGCAGGAACCTGATGGCCCCACCACAGCTGACGTGACAAACACCAGTCGTTGATGTTGCGCATCCAATGATAGTAGTTACGCTCGGCACCTTCAGGCTTGATCTTGATGTCACCGTTCTGAACCGCATCGATACTAGCGTCTGCAAGCTCACGCATGCGCATCCACCACTGAGGCTTCATCAAGGGTTCGATGACGTCCTTTGACTTCGAGCACAGGGGGACCTTCATGGGGTTGTCCTCCTTCTTGACGAACAGACCAAGCTTGGTGAGCTCCTCAACAACAGTGTATCGAGTATCGAAGCGCTTCTGTCCCTCGAACTGTCCAGCGTTGCTGTTCAAGGTACCGTTGTCGTTCAGAATATTGATGAATGGAAGCTTGTGCTTGGTACCGAGGTTGAAATCGTTAGGGTCGTGAGCAGGAGTGATCTTGACGGCACCAGTACCAAACTCCGGGTCAACGTAGTCGTCGGCGAAGATCGGGAGGAGGCGGTCAACGAAGGGGTGTTTTGCCTTCTTGCCAATTAAGTGCTTGTAGCGTTCGTCTGAGGGATGAACGGCAATACCAGTGTCACCAAGCATGGTCTCAGGACGAGTTGTGGCAACCTCGATCATCTCATCAGAGCCTTCGATGGGGTACTTGAAGTGTGTGATGACACCAAACTCGACCTTGCGTTCGTAACCAGGAACGTCCAGCAGAGTGCGTCCCTCGAGCTCCTTGTTATCAACTTCAAGGTTGGAGAGAGCGGTGTTGAGCTGAGTGCACCAATTGACCAAGCGGTCCGAGCGACGCGATGGAGGTTAGTATGCATGTTGATGTTGGGTGCAAAGAAAACTTACTAGATATAACCCTCCTCATGCATTCGGACGAAGGTTTCGGTGACAGCAGCTGACAGGTTGGCGTCCATGGTGAAGGCCTCACGGGTCCAGTCAAAGGAGCCACCCATTCTCTTGAGTACAGTGTTGATCTTCTTGTGGTACTCTTCCTTCCACTCCCAAACAGTGTCGACGAACTTTTCACGTCCGAGATCGTGTCTGGTCTTCTGCTGCTTGCGCCAAAGCATCTTCTCGACAACGCTCTGGGTCGAGATACCGGCGTGGTCGCATCCGGGCAGGTACAGTGTAGTGTAACCTCTCATTCTGTTCCAGCGGATCAAAGTGTCCTGGAGAGATGTGGCGAGGGCGTGGCCGCAATGCAGAGCACCAGTGACGTTCGGTGGGGGCTCAGAGATAACGAAGTAACCGCGGGGCTTGACGTTTCCATCAGGTCCAAACTCGGGCTCGTGGAAACCCTCCTTCTCCCACCAGTCATACCATGCTGACTCGACGACCGAGGGAATGTAGGCCTTGTGGTACTCGTCGTCCAGAGGCTTGAGGACTGCGCCTTGTCAATACATGGCTTCTGCTTGTTCGACTCGCGGTTCTCGGCTCTTACTCTTCTTCTCTCCCTTGGGCGTCTCTTCGACGTACTTGGGCAGAGCCTCCTCCTTCGCCTTGGGCTTCTTCTCCTTGACCTTGCCTGAAGGAGCAGCAGCAGTGGCTTGCTTGGCTTGCTTCTCAGCAAACTTGCGTGCCTTGTCGGCCTTGGCTCGTTCCTTTGCGACTGCTTTGTGTCAGACCTCTGGTCGTTCTGGTTGTTCTCTTGACATGATTGCGTACGCTCTTTCTCGGTCTTTTGCTTCTTGGGTGCTTCGGCGTCTCCACCGTCGCGGCCGGGGGCATTGTGGCCCTGAGGGTCCTTCTGGGATGACGAGACGAGAGCCTCGGTAGCCTCGGTCGACAATGATGGTGGCTGGCCGCTCACGGGTCCGGTCTTCTCGCCCGCTATCGCCACACGTCAATTATACGCTCTATGTCAGCCGTGGAGAAAAAGAAGCTCACGAATGTTGTGTGATGCTGCGTTGAGAGCCATCTTTGCGAAACCTCTTGTGCGATTTACAAAAACAGGCCGTACGACCGAAGCGCTTCTGTATAGCGCTCTCGAAAGTATCTTGATGGTCTGTTCGAAGCTGCGTACAATCGCGACAAAGTGAATGATACAAAATGCTTGACTCACTGGAGATCATCGCGGAGTTAATCCAAAGCTCGTTTCCTGACTCACGCGAGTGTGCCAAGACAACTTGCGGCGCTGGTGACCCTGTCCGCCCATCTCGACCCCTCCCTACTCTCTTCCTTTTGGACCAAACTTGCCCGTCAGTTGTTGTTTTCAGTACACGATGCTTTCTAGTATGACAGGTATCACCGAGGATCAGAGTTTCTATCACAGCATCCTTCTGAGACACCATTTGCTGCTTGGAGCTCGTGTTTTGCTTTCCTGTGATTTAACCATCACTTTGATATATACAATCAAGCCTGACCTAGCGTGAGAGCGGACAGATTGATGAGAGAAAGTGCATTAAACAGAACTTCATGGGATATCTACAGCCCTTGGCCTCTTAGTTCGTGCCGTCCGTTCCTACGGCAGCAACAATACGATCGAATAAAACCTCAACCCAGTGCCTCCTGCGCCCTCGCTTGCCGGCCCTATCGCTATGCCAATTTTCCGCGCCAGTGCATCGCTCTTCTGGCCACGCCTGATATGCAACCAGTTGAGTGGCATGCCGGACTTGCCTGATATGCATTTGATTGATCCACGGAAGATGATCCTAGTTTGGTCTCGCGTGATTAATGATAGTTTGAGTTACTCCAGTCTGTCCAGATTTACCGCCCGAACAGCTGTCAAACTATCGTCATCAAGAATGTGTAGCATCCGAGTTCTGCTGTGCTGCTTGACGGACTGGGCTGAAGTAGGCATGCTGCATAGCCTCCTTGGCGGTCAATCGTTCCTGCGAATGGTTAGTCGCTGCGTTTGCCATTGGTGACTGGTGCACTTGCCTGATGGTCGTATCTGAGGAGCTTGTCCAAGAAGTCAATGGCATCGTTACTGACAAAGCGTTGGTTATCAGCGTTGACGAAACTATGCCAGTTCTTCTTGGGGAATCTGCCCAGAATGTCGTCGTACTGAGCATCGAGCTCGATATCGTACTTGTCAAGGTAGTCGAACAGGTCTTCGGTACCGAGAACCTTGGCGATCTTGACGAGCTGGTCAGAATTGCTGTTTCCGTGGAAGAACGGCTCTTTGCGGAAGATCATGGAAGCAAACATGGCACCCAGAGACCACATGTCGAGCGAGTAGTCGTACTCCTGGAAGTCGACGAGCAGCTCAGGACCCTTGAAGTAACGCGAAGCGACGCGGACGTTGTATTCGGTGCCGGCGTGGTAGAACTCAGCAAGACCCCAATCGATCAGGCGTAGCTTTCTCTTTTCATGGTCAATCATAACATTGTGAGGCTTGACATCGCGGTGCATGATGCCCTTGCTGTGACAGAAATCGAGCGCCTGGCCCTAGAGTTAGTGAATGGATAGGTGGGGATCGGGCTGTAGTCAATCACCTTGAGCAGCTCAAAGATGTAGTAGCGGACATCGTAGTCCACGAATTTCGGATAGAGGCTCCTGAAGTCGGTGTTGTTGACGTACTCGAAGATGAGGGAAGGGGTTTTGCTCTGCAATGACAAAGTTAGGCAGGACGGAGAATGGCAAGTGGATCAAGCTCACCTGGCTGTCTCGCACAACGTCAAGAAGACCAACGATGTTGGGGCCTCCACTCAGGTTCTGGAGGATCTTGATTTCACGCTTGATCTTCTTCTTCTTGACAGGCTTGAGGACCTTGATGACGCATTTCTGGTAGTTGACGACGTTGATGCCTTCAAAAACTTCCGAGTACTTTCCGCGGCCTGGCCAGTCAAGGTTAGCTTGGGGAGTACAGCAACCGGACAGGCACGCGCACCAATCTTGCGAACGACTTCGTAGTTTTCCAGGACGCCCCAGGAGATGTTGACGCTGTCGTAGTCCCAGTATGCGCGAGGCATGTGCTGATTAACGTCGGCGTAGACACGAGCCATGCTGGGCAGCAATGGCTTTTGACTGATGTGGCAGGCGCGACAGGTGGTTAGAAGCAGTGCGCAACGCAGTGAGAGGTCGAGGAGGTTGCGCGAACGACGAAGGCGTGTGAAAGACGACGAAGACGACGACGACGAGGGGTAAAATGTGGATGTTGTGGTGATCGCGGAGCACAGCCAGAGCAAAGCCGCTGCTGCTGCTGCGTCAAACCATGACATGTCGCGACTTCCGCTTTCCGCTCGCAAAAGCCCTGGATTCCTCGCTGACTCAAGACAAGAACCTTTCAACCCTTGTTTCTTCCCTCGTCGTTCGACCAGAGAGAGATGGATCTGTCCATCACATTACAGGCCACCTGTGGAGGACCTATAAGCATACTGTCTGTTTCCATCTGTTCAATTCTCTCAATTGACGCCTCGTAAAAGGCCTCATCCCACCCGCATTAAATTGCAGCGAGTCATGAAAATCATCTCAAGCCTCGAATTCGAGAATCTCTCAACTTTGACATGTGAATATCCCCGACGCAATCAACATGGACTGAAAAATCATGACCAGCCATGTTTTACGACCTAAATGTCGACTACAATCCGTCGACCAAGGACGCTGACTTGTCCAGGACACTGGCCTTTCTCAGTGAATGTGAGCGCCTTCATCGCTAGCCATCCCGCTGCACCGTCGCTGATGTATACCAGTAGGATACAATGTCATCGCCTTGAACCATACCATCTCTGGCAGGCTACCGTCGGATCTCGTCAGTATCTCTCAATAAACACATGAGTCAACGTACTAACTTCAGCAGTCCTGCGCAATCCCTGATCCCTTGCCGTTCAAGACTCCCGCTTCCCTGACCATCCTCCGTCGCTGCACTTTGATCTTATCCGAATCAGCTACCAACAACCGTCTGGGTGCCTTGGCGAACAACTACGACATTCTCGCTTTGCGACCTGTCGACGAGAAGACTTTCCAACATGCCTGTGGTACCGCTGACTGCGACCTGATCTCCCTCGACCTCACTCAACGCCTGGGCTATCACTTCAAATTCAAAACCGTCTCTGAAGCCGTGAAGCGTGGCGTTCGCTTCGAAATCGCGTACAGTCAACCTTTGTTGGCTGATCCTGCCGCCAAGCGAAACCTTATCGGCAATGCGACTGGCCTGATTCGAGCAACCAGAGGCGGTCGTGGTATTATCATCAGCAGCGAGGCTACCAAGGCCGTAGGCTGTCGCGCACCGTGGGACGTCGTCAATCTGGCTGCTATCTGGGGACTTGCTCAAGACCGTGGTTATGAAGCCGTCAGCAAAGAGGCAAGGAGTGTCGTCGTCAGTGCCAAATTGAAGAGGACAAGCTTCAGAGGTGTCGTCGATGTCGTGTATGGAGGCGAAAAGCCTGCTGTCAAAGAGCAACCCGAAAAACAAGGACAGAAAGACAAGACCAAGGTGGCCGCTCTCAAGGAGGACAACACGAAGAAAAGGAAGTCGGAAGAGGTCGACGACACTACAACAGATGGTTCAGAAAAGCCCATCTCGAAGCGAGAGCAGAAGAGAAGAGCGCACAAGGCTAGGTTGGAAAGCTTAGGTCAACCCAGTACTGCTGCGCCATGAACAGACGCCGACAAGACTAGATGAAGAGTAAAAAATCGAGAAACACATTCTATACACTTTTCTGATAACGTTCGTGGATGTATTCATATCAAACAGTGCTTGCAGTCCTTGCTTTCTCCTGGAATTCCAAATCAAGACGCCGACCCAATGCATGCCTGTGATCATGTCCCATGCGCCTCGCCAGACCTATGGCTTGGACTTCCTTGCCCAGAAACACCTGCGTCGTCTCGATATGACGCGTGCTCATGTTCATGTTCGTGTTCTTCGTCGTCCCCTACACTGAACACGTCTTCATCGCTGTCCTCGGCGAATGCATCATAAAGTTCACCTGCCCTGCGCTTACCCTTTGCTTTTGCACTCATCCCGTTGGCTCCATTGGCTCCTCTGTTTCCTTCATCGTCAATGTCTTCTTCGTTCAACATTTCAAACTCGTACTCGTCGCGTGCATTGCGCTGTCTCCTCCGCTTGGTAAGGATGTACCAGACACCAAGGGATGTGCAGAATACTGCGATGAGCGCAAATGCTCCGTAAATCCAGACCTGGGTGCGTTTAGATGCACCGAACGTAGGGAAAGGTGAGGGAAGGAAGTTGGACTCTGGTTTCTCGCTGGCTTGGTCTTCTTCCGCATCGGGCTTGGATGTTGGCTCGGCAGTCGGCTGTGCAGTTGGTTCTGGAGTTGCTTCTGTTGTGGGATATGAGGTGGTTGAGACCTTGCTGTTGACAGGTCTGTCGATGTGGTCTGTAGGATTGCCTTGAGGCTCGCCTGTCACTACAGGGTGATTGACGCTCGTAGTAGCTCCACCAACACTGGTAGTCTCGATATCATGGTTATCATCATCATGCTCGTCAGGCAATGGCAGCAGTTCTTGTTTTTCGCCATCGATTGACTCGCCGAACAGCTTCAGATGCCAGTCAATAAATTTGCCGGTATGACCATTTTTTGTTGAGTCTTTGACGATCACAGTCCATTTCCCTATACCACTCTCACCCCAGTGAGCAACCGACATGAACGTCCAATCGTCATAACCGGCATTCGCTTCATCTCTGCGACGAGAGGTTGCAATGTGAGATACTATGCCCTGAGGGGAGCGCAACTCAACGCTGAGATCACCACGACGGGTATGTTCCACATTCATGGTCACTGTGACATGTTCAATACGTTCAAGATTGGCGTCTTTGACCATCTGTTCGGTGATCTCGAAGCTGGAAGCTATACCCTTCTCGCCTTCAGGAATTTCATGCCTGACGTGCATCCATGGTGAGAAGAACCACGCCTGAGGCTTGACGTTGGTCCAGTTCTTGGCTGCTTCTACGATAGCGTAGGCGTCAATTTTGCCGTAGCCAGACGCGTGACTGAATCGACGACCAAGAGGAGTATCTTGCCAATCATCCTCAGGCTGGTCGATGGGAATAGCAGTAAGGACAGTAAGCCATTGAATATCTCGCCAGGTCAAATCAGGTCTTGCCTCTAGGACAAGGGCGTATATACCGGCCACTAGAGGGCCAGCGGCTGATGTTCCACCATGGCTGACATAGCATTGGTTCGCTCCGACGTCAGTAGTGTGAATAGCATCACCAGAACCCGAGCTGTATGTGACGACCAACTGTGCTGAGCATTTCTCACTGTAGTATGGGTGCAGCCCCTTGCGATCTATGCCACCGACTGACACGCTGTAAATACTGTTGGTATAGCCGTCGAAGTTGCAATTGTCGTCATTGGCTGCGCCATTGCCGATGGCAAAGACGAAAATACTACCGAGACCCTGGCGACCGTCCTGCACACCAGCAACCATGGCTCTTTTGATTATGATACCAGGTGCCTCCATGCTTTGGCCATCATCCGGAGGACCCCATGAGCATGAGTAGATCTGGTTCTCCTGATAGGCGTAATTCAGGGCCAGAGCTTCGTCGAGTTCGGTGAGAGCGCCGGACAGAATGCGCACACCAGCGACTTTGGAGTCGTAGGCGACACCTACACCGCAGACGTCGTTTCTTACTGCGGCCACCTCACCTGCACAGCGAGTACCATGATGGTCGTCGGACAACCTCGGTTTAGGCTCATCAACATGGTCGTTGAAATCGTGGGAACCAGCAGCAAAATAGTTGTCTCGGAGATCATCACTGTCCATATCCAAGCCATCGTCCACGATGCAGACGGTGGTGTTCTTTCCGGTAATGCCCTGAAGCCAGACTCCTGTGACGTTGATGTCATGTCCAGCCTGGCTAGGGTTGAACAGATGCCACTGGTCCGGGAAAATGGGGTCCTCAATATTCAAGCTCTTCGCAATATCCAATCCCTTTTGTACCTTCGAGTCGACCAGCTGCTTGTCTGCGCGCAAGCTCAATGCATTGGGTAGCGGCGGTGGCACTCGCTTAAACAGACGCTGCCTTCGCTCCTGCTTTCGGTTGATGAGGACATTATCCAGAGCATGAGGGCGATCCCATCCAAGCTGTCTCTTCCTCCTTAGACGCTTCAAGTCCTGCTTGGCCTCGTGTATGACGTCCTGAGCTGCCTTTGGTGCTCTGAATACGTAATGGTCCTTGAGCGAGTGGATGGCACTGTCGAGGTCGAGGCCGAGGTGGGCAGCTACGGAGTCGGGCGAGGCATGGGGAGATAAATGTACAGCATAATAATCATACTTGTCGTAATCGGGCCTCGTCAGGGCGAAACTGGTCGCGGCCAGCTGCAGAAGGAGGAATAGTGGGAGGCGCATGATCAGCTGGAGTATTTGCAAGTTGGACCAAATTATGCTAGATGCATGGTAATTGAGACATGAAAATTTGACAAACAAAGGATCGGAAAGGGGGCTCAATACGCATGAGAAGTTGGAGTCGCAAGCTTCAAAGGCTCCCTACTGTCGACTCATTCAGCTGTAGCCTGTGAGAGAAGACGGCCCCGTGGCAGGCTTGGCGTTGTTGCGCAACGGCCGAATTGCACCCTGACCGTGCCTGCCCTGGGTATAATCCATCATTACATGATTACACAGATTGCATCAAAATCAAGTTTTGGTTGTACACGTTCAGTCGCAATCTACATTCTTTGATCATCTGGGATGCGATTCGCTGCTCCTCGTGCCTTGGCCATGGTTCCTTCCTCAAGCCCGCCCCGTGCTCCGGAACCACCAGCCACCGAGCTGCAAGCGCTGTGCTTTCGCCATGGTATCGTGTCTGCAATCACCAACTTTTCATCTATTTCCCGCCCTGTCTTCACTCCAACCTGCCTGTATATAGTCAACTCGAATCACCGCCTCTTCTTTCCTCCACCACACCTCTCGCCATCTCGTGACGCCTTCCTACTGTGCCTCAGTCTTCGCTGCGTGCTGATATGTCAAGGGACTGCTGATCGATACCTACCAGGCCATCAATTCGCAGCATACTATGGACGCTCGACGGAACAGTGCCTCTTACTCTAGACCGGCTGGCCACTTTGCGCAGAATGACACTCAACCAACCGTCCATGTACCAAAATCCCGCAGGCCAGACGTAAATCATGCTCAAAATCGCCTTGAACCACTTCCCCAACTTGACACTCGAGGCACAACATCCAACCACCATCTCACTGCTGACATGTCTCCTATCTCGCCGGACTACTCAACTCGTCAGCGTTCGAAGCATGGCACCGTATCAGACAGATCACCTCTCCAGAAGCTGGAGGGCAAGCTCGGCGGCATAAGTAAAGAAGAAAAGCGAGCCCGAACCGAGGACGCTGAGTACCGCGCCCGTCAAACATCAGTGGCCAACCAGTCTCGACGGGTCGATGCTGGTGGCCAGCAACCTTTACCTTACAGGCCAGCTACAGGATATCGTCGCCAGGACCAAAGGTATCCGTCCGCGCCAGTGTCAGGGACCGAACGCGACGAGAAGCCGCAACAGAGACGATACTCGGGAGACTATGCTAGAAATCCTTCTGAGGTCGCCGATCCAAACGCCCTGAATGCTGGTCAAAGGTTCAGGCGTGCGTCTGACGCACTGAGGATGCAAGGTCAGTCACAAGCCACAGACGACACCATCAATCCGTCTGGTAACCCGGGAGGTGTTGATGGCCAAAGACAAGTCGAACGGTCCAATTCGAAGGGATATCGCCATCGAGCTCGGGATGCTGGGTTTGCTGGAGCCGTGGCTGCCGCTGCCACACCCTCGACTACCAACGCTCATGGGTACGATGGCGTTCGTAGTCAGGAGTACCCTCGTCGTTCTTCCGATCAACACAACCGGGCACAGTTCGCTAGCCGTGACAGCAAGCGCAATGCGAGCCAGAATTCTGACTCCCAGGGCCACTCCTCAGGCAATAATCATCCGTCACATTTACCTGCTACTCAACAACCTTTACACACTGCCCGCATCGGAGCTAGTGGAGACACCAAAGCTGTAAGACGACATCAGGAGCCGGACCCCATTCCGCCTCAATCGGTTAGAACTGGTCACACACATGGACCAGCCTATAGTATCCCTCCCCAGACCGCAGGCGCGCAGGGTGCAAGAGATCATGTAGGCTTCACCAGAGCAAAACCAGTAGCTCCCCCAGCAAATGACCATGCTGAAGGACGACATCACCACGGCATTAGCAATTTATTCCATCGACATCATCAAAAGGACGGCATCTATCGCAAGACACCCGAGCTTGAAGAATGGCGTCAAGGGAGTATAGTGAGATTGACGGCAGATGATCTTGATCTAGAAGATCCGGAACAAGCCAGTGCTGGCAGAAATACTCATTGGTGGGAAGGAAAAAGATCACGACAGACCAATGAATCTCACAATGGTTCTGGAATCTACGACGGCGCCTACGACGAGCCAGCAAAGGCCTTCCGCCCTCCTCTGTTTCTGAAATGCGGCCCATTGTTACGCTATACTGGGATGCGCCGGGAGAGGCTATCACAGACAAGTCGTACTGGTCTGACTGAGCGAGAGATCTGGAGAGGTAGCGTGATGATTGTGACTCAGGATGAACATTCTTCGTATGCAGACATTCCGACGCTTCGATTGTTCGCACAACCAATGGAACTATTGCCACCTGTGTCAACAGAGCACGAGCAAGATCCGCCACCTGAATACCTGGATCCGATCGCCGGCCAGATAAAAGTCTCCAGGATCGGACAACCACTCTACGTGAGATCTGTAGATAGACTTGAGGATGGCGTTGATATTTCTTGCGTGGAGAACGAGTCTGGACTATTTGAGTTGACGAAAAGAGCTGCCTCGGAACCTCAAAGAGATAACCAATCCGAAGGCGAAGCCTACCCAACGACCACCACGCATGATGGACCCAGAGTCCGAACTCGTGACGGCGAGAAGATTGGCAAGTATCGTGAAGTCAAGGCAGCTCGCTTGCACCAAGAGCGTGGCGTCACATTCTGGAGATTCAACCTAGAGATCGAGCTTGGCTCTTTCCAAGCCCGAGTTGCATACCGAATCAATCGAGGCCCCGCCATCGGATTCTGGGTCCCCGCAAGAGGCGAGAGCATGAACATCATGTTCCATTCTTGCAACGGATTCAGTTTGTCAGTGAATTCGAACGAATTCACCGGTCCAGATCCTCTGTGGCGCGATGTTTTGAACAAGCATTTGTCGAGACCTTTCCATGTCATGCTAGGCGGTGGAGATCAGATCTACAATGATGCGGCCATGCGAGATACAACACACTTTAAGGAGTGGCTGCAGACCAAGAACCCGGAGCACAAGCACAGAGCTGAGTTCTCAGAGGATATGCAAGACGAGCTCGAGACGTTCTACCTTGATCGCTACAGTATGTGGTTTTCGCAGGGCTTGTTTGGAATGGCAAACAGTCAGATTCCGATGGTCAACATTTGGGATGACCATGACATTATTGACGTGAGCTCCACGATGATAGCCATATGAATACCTTCGCTAACCATTTCATAGGGCTACGGATCTTATCCCCACCACTTTATGAGCACCAGAGTGTTTACCGGCTTAGGTGCGGTCGCCTTTAAATACTACATGCTTTTCCAGCACCAGAGTGTGGTATCAGAAACGCAGCGTGATGAGCCCTCATGGGTACTGGGTGCATCTCCAGGGCCATATATCAACGAGCTCAGTCGCAGTGTGTTCATGTTCCTTGGCCGCAAGGTCGCATTCCTTGGTTTGGATTGCCGAACTGAAAGAATGAGGGATGAGGTTCTGAGCCAACAGAGCTATGATATCATATTCGACCGATGTCGATCAGAGATTATCAAGGGAGACACCAAGCATCTCATCGTACTGCTAGGTGTACCAATCGCTTACCCTAGACTCAACTTTTTAGAGAACATCTTGACTTCTCGAGTCATGGACCCTATCAAAGCCATCGGACGGACGGGTCTCTTAGGAGGATTCATCAACAAGTTTGATGGTGGTGTCGAGATTTTGGATGATTTGGACGACCATTGGACTGCCAAGCATCACAAGCCAGAGAGAAACTGGTTCATCCAAGAATTACAAGAACTTGCAGCCAGCAAATCTGTACGTATCACCATTCTCGGAGGCGATGTACACCTAGGCGCAGTCGGACAATTCTACACGAAGAAGAAGCTGGGAGTCCCTAAAGACAGAGATCATCGGTACATGCCCAACGTTGTCTCCTCCGCCATCGTCAACACTCCTCCGCCGAATATCATGGGCGATGTGCTTAATAAGCGCAACAAGATTCATCACCTGGATGCTGAGACCGACGAGGATATGATTCCCATGTTCGAACATGATGTTAACGGTAAGGCTCGAAACAATCTTCATCTATTGCCCAGAAGGAACTTCTGCAGTATCAGAGAGTATGTCCCCGGCTTCACTCCGCCTCCATCTCCAAGTCCGGAGCGTCAATCCACACGCATCCAGGACAACTTGACAGATAGTCATTTGTACCCTCCGGGCTCAATGGCTAGGTCCAGCTCTACCACCAGAGGAGGTCTCCGCCCTGGCAATCTCGCACGCAGACTTTCTGGCTCCTCAGCGAAGGAACGTCAACCTACCGTGGCAAGAGGCGAGGTGCACGCGATGGAGGCGTATGGTCCAAACGAAGCAGCACATGGCGGTTCTTACTTTCCATCTACACGCTCGAGACCGACAGATGCTTTTCGCCGGAGACCTACAGATCTATCTGAGAAAGCTGCATTAAAGGCAAGTACGAAAGGTGGATCTAACGGAGAAGACATCGGACACATCAACCTTGAGTATGGATTGGACATCTGTCTCAATATGGAAGTCGACCAAAAAGACCCCGCAGGAGTTACCAAACCTTACAGGTTGTTAGTCCCTGCTTTGTGGTATGAAGGAGCTGCTGATATCAACACCGCGAGGTTCAAATCAAGAGGCGCTTCGATGATGGATCGTCTGAGGGGGAAATCCGCTCATAGATCACCCAGTCTCGACGAGCATTCTCTCAGGAGCGAGGACAGTCGCAGCAGCTCAGAAAGTCTCGAAGACCACACAGCCGGTAGACTGGATGACAGGGCACTCAACTCAAGGCTTCAGGCGAGCGGACGTGAGCCAGCTGCACAGTTCAGAAGTAAAGGTCATCCTCACGGCTACGATGGCCCTCCAGACTCCGCAGAATTCAACAAGGACGTCGGACCGCCTCCTTCTCGTCACAGACATCCTGCATTGGCTGGTACAAGTTACGAAAAGGCTTCTGAAGCTGCAGTCCAGCCTCCAACCCAGCCACATCCTTCGGTACCGGTGGATAACAATCGCGAGAAGCGGTCATGGAATCTGTTTGGACGTCGACGTCACCATGAGATAAGCACAGCAGACGACGGAAGGCCCAATGATGAATACACAGGATCAGAAGGAAGCTTTACCGAGTCAGAACCGGATAATGAAGACTACCGACAACAGCCCCGTGAGCGAAGACCAAGCATTGCCGACAGGGTCTTTGGCAGAAATGGTGTGCAAAGAAACGAAGGTGGAATGCAGATTGAAGAGGAGCCCATCGGACAGCAAGAGGCTCCGAAAAAACCAGGATGGAAGATTTGGAAATAAGACGCCTTGGAGGCGTGAACAAGATTCTTTGACGGCCGCATAGATACTGGTAGCATTATAATATACCCATTCAAGTTTCCGCCCACATTGGTATCTGATCCGGCCGTTCAAAAGAAATGTCATTCACAAGTGTTTGCAACCTCATCGTCGTTGTCACTCTTCACTCCATCATCTGACTGCTTCGCACTTCTTCCCGAACCATGTATACTGTACTGCAGATCCGTGTCGAGAGAATGCGGGGTCGAACAGATATCATGAGTATACATCAAGTGCAATTGGGTGAAGCTAGATGATCGAATGAGTAAGTGCACAAGATCAGCAAGGACTAGTAAACATATGTAAAGCAAGTCCCAGCAGTCGACGAGCCTTTGAAACCCTCATAATTCTTTCTTGTCGAATATCTCAAAATGCGATCCCTTTTGAATTCGCAACAAGTCGATGACATCTCTCAAAATGAGCTTTATCAGAGAGGCAGTCTCGATTGCAAAGATGGACCCAAGTACGATGTAGAGCATCGAGAGAACATTGATGCTTTATATGATGATACGACAGAACAGAAGAAAGCCACCTTGAAAGAGGATGGTGACGTTGCTCAGAGACTGTTTGCTTCCCAGAATCATGAACCTATTGATTCGGCGGAAGAGGCCAGAGTCGTGAGGAAAATCGACTTCATGATACTACCATACCTGGCTGTCTGTTACGCCTTTTTCTACATTGACAAAACAACTCTCAGTTATGCGGCAATTTTTGGCATCCGCGAGGACCTGAAGATCCATGGTCAACAATACAGCTGGTTATCTTCGATCTTCTACTTTGGATTTCTGGCCTGGGCGCTACCTACCAATTTTTTGATGCAGCGGTTTCCTATCGGAAAATACCTTGGAGCCAACATCTTTATGTGGGGAGCTCTTCTAATGTGTCAGGCGGCTGCGACTAACTTCACCACTCTGGCTGTCCTCAGAGCTCTTTCAGGAGCGGCGGAAGCATGTTCTGATCCAGCGTTCATGATCATTACCTCGATGTGGTACTCGAGACGTCAGCAACCTATCAGAATGTAAGCTTTCGGAAGGTGTGAACACATCTCTTTGTACTAACAACTCTTCTTAGGGGCCTCTGGTAAAAGCACGACTATAGAAGGTTGAAGGAGGGTTACTAATGTATAATAGGTATACTGCCAATGGTTTCGGTATTGCTCTGGGAGGTCTGCTGGGCTATGGGTAGATGTCTCGAACCTGCTATAATATGCGGAGAAGCTGATATGTTGCAGAATTGGTCATATCAAAGCCGGTCTACCCTCTTGGAAGTTCGAATTCCTTATAATCGGCGCCTTGTGTTCGATTTGGGGTATCGTGATGATGATTTTTCTCCCAGATAGTCCGGTGACTGCCAAAGGCCTTGACGAAAGAGAGAAAAGGATAGCCGTGGAACGCCTAAGAGACAACCAAACCGGCATTGAGAACAAGCACTTGAAGTGGTACCAGGTCCGTGAAGCCTTCACAGAGTAAGTATCTTCTGGTTTCGGACACTGCAGAGCCCACTCTCTGGGAAGTTCGTACCATTCCCAGTCCAAACTTGCTAACATCATAATGACTGCAGTTACAAGACATACCTCTTCTTCGTACTAGGATTTTTTGGGAATGTACCCAAGTAGGTCGAACTGAAGGGCATCAATACTCATGATGACTGACGACTTGTAGTGGCGGAATCTCCAATTTCGGGACTATAATTATCAAAGGCTTCGGTTTCAGTACCTTGGTTACAACTTTGATGCAGGTACCTTATGGTGAGCATAAGTCATGAATCAAGATTTTCTCTCTGACCTTTCTAGGCATCTTGATCGCTATTAGCATCCTTGTATGCGTATTCTTGAATGACAAATTCGCCGCAAACGGTCGTCAGACGAGATGTTACTTCATCCTACTCTTTCTGCTGCCAAACATCAGCGGCTCTTTTGGACTCGGTAAGAATTTGTACAGATAGACGAGTCGTCTGTGCTGACGCATACGTAGCCTTCTTGAATGCCGACAATAAAGCTGGAAGATTGATGTGTTACTACCTCACCGGGTAAGAAGAATGCACGTTTTTTGAAAAGCCATGCTGATGTCTGGAACAGTCCTTACAACGCAGCATTCGTAATGGTTCTCTCCTTGACCACGGCCAACGTTGTAAGCCTCCATGAGATACTCAGAAAGTTGGTGGTGTTCATACTCACATCGGCAGGCCGGGCATTCGAAAAAGGTCGTGACGAACGCTGTGCTTTTCCTCGGGGTCAGTCAATTCGCTTCGAATGTGTCGTTTCGTCGCTAACAATTTACGCCTTGAATAGTATTGCGCTGGCAACATAGCAGGGCCGTTCTTCTACAAGACATCACAAAGTCCACGCTATCAACTTGGAATCTGGAGTATGATTGTCAGTCACTTGGCTGAAGTTTGTATCATTCTCCTGTTGCGCATGCTACTCAGCAGGGAGAACAACCGCCGAGACAGAATTCAGAGTGCTTTGCCTGGTGGACTCGAGGGCAGAGATCTCAATGCGACTGCATTTACGGATCTGACAGATCGGTGAGTCGGCCCACGGACCAGAGTTGATGTGACTACTAAGCATTGCTAGGGAAAATGAGAACTTCAGGTATATCTACTGATGCGCTGCAAGATCCTGAGGGAGTGTGACATTTTTTCCCCCCTGAGAAGCAGCAAATAAAGGACATATGGGTTTTCATTGTCAAGACTCAAGCTTACTCTGAATGCAAGACTGCAGTTTCAATCGCATATAATCGCAACAATGCAACCGACGTAGTGGTGTTTGGTACCTGGGACCGATTGCGGAAGGCGACTGGCCGGCGTGATATTATACCCGATCCTTTGAATATCAATCGGACCCTTGTTTTCACCTCCGAGTTAAATACGAGTCACGCCTGCAGGCATGCGTGCTCGATTTCTTTTCTTTACCCAAAAAATCTGCATCCGCTTTTGTGAGCTGGAACAAGTTTCACAGGTTCATAACATATCGTCAATGTGTCATCAAGAGGCTATGTGAGGAGCGTGCCAGCACAACGTGAAGTTCGAGCTGAGGTCGAGAAAAAGTGGAGGTCGGGCGGTTTGGAAAATCATCTGCCCCAGTCAGTTTCAAGCCACAAACATCAGCCTGCATATGATTGGCTCGGCTATCTGCAGGCTGCTGTGTATCTGGGCGCAACGACAACCTGACCCTCCAAAGGAATGCTTCGAATTACAAACGATGGACTTTACCAAGAATTCGCCGGGACCAAAGCCTTAACACTATGATCCGAGTTGCCACTGGCAGGTATTAGCAGAAAGAAGCATGTCGTGATGTGCAGTGCACATGGCCAGACTACGTGTCAAGATCAAGGCACGGCCGCGACGTCGATTATGTAGCCAATTACGACGATACAAAGAGACGAAGTTGAAAGTGATCAAGGCGTTCAAGAGAAGATCACATTGGTTGTTTACTTCAGTATGTGATATCTGACGGTTTTCGGAAAGAAGTCGTGGTCTTTCAGCCCTCGGCCAGGTCGCAGAAGGTTACCGTTAGACCCGGAAAAAAATGTCATCAACTGTGTGCCATGCTGCATACGAGGAACCATCTGGAACGAGTGGATAATCGACTGCGAGATTGCGATGCAAAGTGTTGAATGGTCATATGGGACGATATTCGATATCTGTAGTCTTTTGATGTTGTCAAAATCCACCGGCAAGGCGGAAAGCACTGTGCTAGTCTTGGCATAGAGTACCATCAATGAAGAGAGAACGTTCGGATCCAGGTAGTGACAATAAACCTAGGCGACGATTACCAGAGACGGACAGGGGGGTTCGGCGGGCCACACATCATCGATGGTTCACTTGTCTTTCTTTCTACCACACTCGTTGTCAACCTTCTGATCACACTTTCCCAATTTCCTTTGCAACTCGACCCTGCTCCGACGTTCTCGCCCTCGCTTGGATTGCCGGTACAGTCAACGCGCGCGCAAATACCCGTGCTCTCCGACACGCATGTTGTCTCTCCTACTTTCTTGACTCTCACCCATACTTCCTCATACTCATTCCTTTCCTTTCCCATCCGCTTTGATCAGCCTTGTGTGGTACCCGCCTGATACTCCCACGCTGGTATACCAACCACTTTCCTGATTAATCTCATCAACCTCGCCCGTGGAGCAGTCCGCCAGCACCTCGACGTTCTGGCCGGCGTCGCTGGCTTCACGACATGGATTCTCGCGCGTCCAGCGCCATGAACGATGCTGGTTCTCGCTCGCCTGTTGGGCCATCAGGACTCAGCACTATGAAACCTGAAAACGCAGATAACACTCCACGTGAAATTATGAGTGCTTCTCACACCCCAGCTCCTGCTAATACCGATCCACCCACGGAGCCAAATTCACGACAATCATCATCGCGGCCAACGGATCCGCCATCGGCACAGGACTTCTCAGATGTTGCAATGGGTGACGCCATGCCTTATGGTACACGCTCACGCAATCGTCCTCGACCGAATTACGCAGAGGATCAAGACATGGATTTCGAAGTCCCCCCGCCACCAGCCAAGCCTGCATCTGCCAGAAACGCCACGGTTGTTGATTCGAAGCGCAACCAGCAAGTTGTAACAGAAACCAAAAAGGTCGCCGCGGACCCTTCAATTGTCCGAGTCAATGGTGCAGATCACGATGAGAGATCCCCATCCGTTTCTGGCAAGGAGACGATCCCAGGAACTTCGTCTTTTCCTACTGCCCCGCCTAAGAAGCGCAAGGCAGCCGGTGCCGCCAATACGGCCATTGCTGCATCGGGATCTGGTAGCACCACTGCAAATGTCGCCGCGCAACCTCTTACGAAACAGCCGGCAACTTCAATTCCTCTAGCAAACATGTCCCGTGAATCCAACATGATGACTTTTGAGAAATCGAAGGCATTTCTGAAGAAAGGCGGGCTTGTGGCAGATGATGGCACGACCTTATACGTTGACGGCAAGCAACCAAGAATTCATCAACTACTTTCTCACGACTAATCGATTGACTCCAGATCATGTATATCTCATTTGTGAACCACCCGGTGATCCTTACTACCTCTGCAGAATTATGGAGTTTTTGCACACCAAATCCGACGACCCGAAATCCCCCGTGGATTCGATCCGGGTGAATTGGTTCTATCGCCCACGCGATGTACAACGCGCCAGTAGCGATAGTCGCATTGTCTATGGTACTATGCATTCTGATGTCTGTCCTCTTACCTCTTTACGCGGAAAGTGCCAGATCCTTCATCGTTCCGAAATCGACAATCTCGACGAGTACCGCAAAGGCAAGAATTGCTTTTGGTTCAATCAAATTTTCGACCGCTTCATTCGAAGATTCTACGAGGTGGTCCCAACTTGGCAGATTATCAACGTACCAGACAAGGTCAAACAAGCTCTAGATGAGAGATGGAAGTTCATCGCTGTCGAAATTAACAGAGTCAAAGAACTCACGGCTGAAGTCAAGCTCTGTAAGAGATGCACTCAATACTGTGCAAGGTACGAATGATGCTAGTGACTGGCTATGACCATTTCTGACATATTTCTTTCTAGCAACGACTCCGTTGACTGCGCAATCTGCGGCAACTGCTACCACATGAATTGTGTCCGGCCTCCACTGCCCAAGAAGCCTACACGTGGTTTCGCTTGGGCTTGCGGTCCATGCAACCGCGTTACGGAAAGAAGATTGGAGAACGGCACTTCTTCTGTTGGGGTCGAAGAAGAAGAAGAGGTTTTCGAAGAAGAGGAAGAAGACCCGGCATTGGCTGCAAGCACTCGAGCACCAAGCCCCAGCGGTCCCGATGTTGCTACTGATCAACATCCCGGAACGCAGGCTGAAATAGCCATGGCCAAGATGTGGCCTTTCCGTTACTTGGGAATTCACTGCAGGGTCGAAGACGCGCTCCAGTATGACGATCGTGCCATCTATCCGAGAGCCAGCTCACGCTTGGGACCACGCCATCAGGCAAATGTCAACGTGTGGCATGGCAGACCTGTGGAGCTTGTAAAGCCCGCCGACATTAAAAAGCGCTTCGTTAAGGGTGGAGGTCAGAAAAAGGACACCAAGCTTACGAAAGAGACCATTGCAGCGATTGAGGCTGATCGGAAGGAACGAGAGAAGAGGCCTAAGTGGATACAAGACGAACCTACAGGCTACGTCCACAGAGGAGAGGATTACGACAACGATGACCCCAGAAACACAGCCAAACTCATGTTCAAGATGCCAGAAAATGACGAACATGCTCCTGAATCGAGCGAGGCGTTCATCGACAACTTCATGGAACGTGCAAAGGGTACTGCAAAATCGCTTAAGGTCACAACCTGCGGCTCCAACCTTCTGGATAAAGCACTCGAGCTTTTGATCCAAAACAAGTACAACGCGAACAAGGCAATTGAACAACTATCCAAGGTCGATCGCGTCAAGGATCTCAAGGAGCCCATACTCACACCAGACGAGTTGAAGAAATTCGAGGAAGGCGTGATAAAGTACGGCTCGGAGCATCGTTTGGTCCGGCTTCACATGAAGACACAACTGCCAACCTCTACTATCGTACGCTTTTACTACCTCTGGAAGAAGACACCCCGCGGCCGACAAATATGGGACAACTATGGAGGACGCAAAGGACGAAAGCGTCAGAACATGGACGCTGCGAGCAAGCTTCAAGCCGAAGTTGCCGACGATCTAGACGACTCTGCTTTCGACGCCGAAAAAGCTATCACCCAGAAGAGAGGATTCCAGTGTAAGCACTGCTCTACAAGACATTCCCGCCAATGGCGCAGAGCTCCCGGAATCACACCTGGTCAAACAGTGCCTTCTGGTGAGGGGAAAGGAAGCAAAGACAAGAGTAATCGTTTGCTTCTGGCACTTTGTGGTCGCTGTGCTGGACTTTGGAGAAGGTATGCGATCGTATGGGAAGACATCGACGAAGCCACCAAAAAGGCCGTCCAAGCCGGTGGACGTGCATGGAAGCGCAAATTTGACGAAGAAGTCGTTCGCGAGATATTGGCCTCCAATGAGTCCGCAGCAGTCGACCCGGGATTCATCATCCAGTCAGTCGAAGGGGCAGAGCCGCCGAAGAAGAAGGCCAAGATGGGACTCGATAGCACCGACAAGAAGAAGGCTCCGAAGCTCCCGACTCCGCCGCCCCCTCCCATCGTGCCCGAGCAACCCAGATGGAGAGACCTCCCTTGTTTTGTCTGCAATGTTCTTGACTCTGCAGGCGAACGACCTATAGTGTGTTCACACTGCAAACTTAGCGTACACAAGAGGTGCTATGGTCTCTCGATTCAAGCTGTACCAGCAAAGTGGGTCTGCGATCAATGTACCAACGATAGGACGCCAACAGTGTCCACTGAGTACATGTGTACCTTGTGCCCCATCGAAGAAACCATTCAAGAGATGCTCGAAGCACCAAGGGTTACTCACAAGAAAAAGTCAGACCGCGAGCGCGAAAAGGAGAGATTGGAGAAAGAGCTCATGGACAGTGTACAGCTGGAGTACAACAAGAAGCAAGCTAGTCTGAATCGTCCCAGTAACCCCAGAGAGCCACTGAAACGCACTGATGGCAACAATTGGGTCCACGTCCAGTGCGCGATATGGACGCCCGAGATTCGATTCAGCGAAGCCAGCCTTTTGGAAAGAGCTGAGGGATTCAGCGCTATCCCGTTAGAGCGCTACGAGGCAACATGCAAGATCTGCAAGAAGAACAATCATGGAGCTTGTGTGTCGTGTTTGCAATGTCGTGCCAACTTCCATGTCGGCTGCGCTATCCAGGCAGAATACACACTGGGCTTCGATGTGACACCGGTCAAGGGGTCGCGCAAAGATCAAGTCATAACGGCGACGCTTGGCGAGGAAACCGGTTCACTTACAGCTGCCATCTGGTGTAAGGAACACGCCGTCAAGACTCCCGTCCACCCCATCAGCGAGGCTACAGATGACAAAGGTCAAAACGCCTTACAAGTGTTCGTCGAGAACTACAAACAAGCAGACCCGACGCTTACTGGAACCGCCCGTAAGGCTAACTTGCTGAGTCAGTCAACGAAGCTAGCTTCACAAGCGACTCATACGATTTCAACGACGAATCGCCGGGTCTCTACAGCAAGCAACGTTGTACGATCCGCGCGCGACTCGCCAGCAGGAGCTTCCAGAGCCGAACAAGCGGATGGCGCGGGCTCTCCTGAAGATGAGCTTATCAAGACATGTCTCAAGTGTCAGACCGACACCAGCCCGAGATGGTGGACGACTGAAGAGACCATGAAGAGATTACAGGCTCAGCCGTTAGCCACAACGCGCAAAGAGGATGCTTTCAAAGGCTACAGGTGCAACAAGTGTCATTTCAAACGGATTAATGCTCCGCAAGAAGCTTCGCCATCGCCGCCCTCTGCACGAAAGAGGGTATCATTGTCACCTCCTAAACAATTTCCTCTCCAGATCGGATGGGTCACAGGAATCGCAAACCAAACCCCACAGCAGCAGCAACAGTCTCAAGCACCCATGCAGATAGCACCGTCCCAGCCACAGCCGCAAGCTCCAATCGAAGCCGTGGGACAAATGCAACCTCCAGCTCCTCAGGCATACCCTGGACAATACCAATCATCGCATTCGCAAGTAAACGGATATGCATCTAGTGGTGTACCAACCTATGGTCATGGCACATCGCCTGCCTTCGTACAGCCTAATGGTCAGCCTCAAGGTCAGCACCATCATGTACCAATGAGCAATGGAATACATGGAGTGCACCACCAACATCCTCAGACGCTGCCACCGATCGCAAATGGTCAGCAAAGTTCTAACGGCAGCCTCGGACACGGCACTCCACCTGCAGGGTTCCCTCGAGCTGCCACGCCACGTGACGGATCAGTAGACATGAGAAACAATGGGGCAAGCGCGAGTCCAAGTCTGAGAAATTTGTTGCACTAGAACTTCTCGGACTGCAGATGAGGGAGTCGAGATAGTGATAATGGTAGTAATCCTGTTATGGTTCATTGATGGAAGACCAAAGTGGTCGATAGCTTATTGCTAGTAATGCATACAATTGCATCGAACCAAATGTTATTAATATTCCCAACTTAATTTTGAGACACTGCTGTTACCTTGGATCAATACGTGACGATCTCACAATACAGTCACATCCGAAGCAAGACGAGGTGTGGGCCGTGGTGAGGACGGTGAGGCTGTCCACTCGGGAGACGGTCACGTGGATCGGGAAAAAAGAGGGCAATAAGGCCGAGCCCATGCTTTTTGTCACTTTGAACGACAGTCAGTGACAGAGACATTGGCATTGCTGTCATAAGGATGGGTGCGTATCCATGGCCAGGCCTCGGCACTAGGCAGCGTGCTGATGGAACAATACAGGCAAAGCATACCCCGAAGAGGCGCGCAGCCAAGTCAAGCAGCTACTGCAGCAAGGCGTCGCCGAAGATGAGATAGAGAAGCAGACGGGCGTGTCCGACAGGACCATACGCCGCTGGAAGGCAAGTCGTCGACGCTCGTGATACAGCATCGAGCACGACCTAACGTCATGACAACAGCTTGAGCTTGAGCGCTATGGACGCATTGGAAAGCCGCCGGAGAGCAGGACCGGACGACACCGCGTCATGAACAAGGATGTCGAGCAGGCCCTCTTCGATCGCGTCGCGCAAAAGCCAGACATGTCTGTCGATGACATGCTCTGGTGGTTGTACGACACGTATAAGCTCGTCGTCGGTACGCGCACTATCCGAAGAGCTTTCGAGCGCCGCAACACTTCGCACAAGAAGTTCCGCACCGATGCGCGCAAGCACTTCACCATCGACATGGGTGTTGACATGGACCTGGATACCGACGTTGATGTCCATGTCAACACTCAACCCCATGATGACCATGACTCGATGCACAATGTCGTCCAAGATCCCACGCCCGTGTCCGCTCCTCAAGCCCATATGGCCGTGTCGCAACCAGACACGACATATCAGAGCCCGTACGCCCCGCTCATGGCCATGGCCGATGCCACTGATGACAGTGCCCAGCCACCACCGCCAGACATCAGCCCAGAGTTGGCCCGCGCACTGGGAGGCTTGACCGAGTCCACCGCCATGCACCAAGATCTAATGCCTGAACACCTTGACCCTCTGTCTGAGGACGAGGAGACATTGCAGTTACAGCTCCAGCAGATCATGCTGCAGAAGAAAGAGGTCGAACTCAAACTCAAGATGCGTCGCTTGATGCGCCAACGACGCGAGTCACACACGCCAAACGACGATTCGTTGTTTGATCACCTTGATGTAGACACTACCACTGCCTCGCACATGCATCCAGACTCGACCGCAAACAACGATCCCTTTGCTCCACAGTCTGCCACCACAGGCACTACTCCAACTACACCCAAGCTTCGGGATTCCCGTAGCAAGAGTAAGGTTCAAGAAGCCCGCAAACGTACTGAGGAACGTCAAGAACGCATGCTGAAGGATCTTGAACGCCGCAGTCGCCGTCGCGAACATCTAACTGCCGAGTGGGTACAGAGCAGAGATGTCTGGGCAAAGGGTCCTGAGAAGCTGTTGGTTCAGCTAATGCACAAACACTCGACCTATGCCTACAACCAAAACTCGCTCGAAACCTTCGAGGCCATATTCGCAGAACTGTATCACCTCGTTGACCACACTGAGTGGTATGCTCCGGTCCATGATGATCTTCTTCGCGAACGCACTCGCCGCAAGATGAGTCAACTTCGCAGCAAGATGGTGAAGAGTGGTGAGATCATTAGCCGTGGTGAAGGTTATGGCGGTTGGACCAAGCCTGACGATCATGATACTATGGGTGGTGCATCTGATCTGACTGGGACGACAAACGATGATACTAGTCTTGATTTGTCCCAGCACCACCATCACATGAACGGTTTATCTATGGATCTTCATAGTCACGATCCTAACCACGATACGCTCATGGCACGCGACGCAATGATGCAGCATGATCACAACATACTGGAGCATCTTCAAGGCAACACTGCCGATTTGCATCACGCAGACTTTGACCACGATCAGCTTTCACGTCACCAGAACGAGCTACTTGCGCAGCGTGGCATCGCACATCAGGAGCACATGTCTAACCAGCGTGCCATTGAAGAAACCATGGCTGCTGGTCTAGCCTCGGTTTGAGATATACAGGCTCGTTCTCGATAGCTTTCCGGCAGTGATCCGTGTGTAGAAATGGCTCCGTTGCTGCTAATGCTTGTACGATTATTCATGACTTCAGTGTCTTTCACTAGTTCGATGCTGCGCATCGTTCTTGCTTCAATTACAACTCTTCTCTGTCCTGACTTACTTGCTGCCACTTGTAAACGTCTCTGTGATGCACCTTGACTCCCTCTCCCTCTCTCTCTCTCTTTCTCGCAATTGTGATTGTCGAGGAATAAATATGCTTAATAATTGCATTGCGTCAGTCTCGGACCCTCCTTGTGCTTCGGGGTTCACAGCTTCCTTCCCCGCGTCTCCCACTCTTTAACTTCCATATTCTACAAGACAGTCGCAACGCTCTAAACACACGACTCGAGACATTCTGAACAAAGACTCATTTGATTGCTGTCTCCTATATTCACACGCATCTGTCACAGCTCCAAACCGACAAACACACCATGGCCGACGCCACACCAGCGGCGCCAGTCGTCTTCAAAAAGCGAGCCGGACGAGCCAATCTCAAAAAGCGCGCCGCCACTCCTCCTTCCGCCTCGGACTCGGAATACAGCAGCGAAGACGAGAGTGGCGCACGCGTAAAACGCCGTCGCAAAGGCGGCATCACCACTTCCACCTCGGCCATCACGAAACCAACCCGCGATCTAGGCAAAAGTACACAGTTCGCCGGCGACCGAAGTGCTGCTATCACAAACATGGACGATGCGACGAGGACAAGCAATTGGGTGCACGTGGATGAAGCTGCGAGTGGTGGGCAACAACAAGATGGGGATGTTGAGAAGGATGGAATATACAAGGGTGCCAAAGGCTACGGCAACTTCATCCAGAAGAACCCCGATAAGCTAGGCAAGAGCGTTGGACCCGTCAAGGCACCGACGAATATGCGCATGATCACACTTGTGGACTTCGCGCCGGATGTGTGCAAAGATTACAAGCAAACTGGTTTCTGCGGTTTCGGCGACAGTTGTAAATTCCTCCACGCAAGAGAAGACTACAAACAAGGCTGGCAACTCGACAAGGAGTGGGAAAAGGCCGGCAAGAGCAAAGCACCCCAAAAAGGCACCACTGTCGCCTCAGCGAACCGCTCCGGCAACGATCAAGCAGACGACTCCGATAACGACGAGGAAGCAAAAGAGTTGGAGAAGATTCCTTTCGCATGTATCATCTGCAAGGAACCGTACAAGAGCCCTGTGGTGACGAAATGCGGTCATTACTTCTGCGAAGCTTGTGCGTTGAAGAGGCATAAGAGTAAGGGTGGAAAGCAGTGTGCGAACTGTGGCGCGGATACTGGTGGCACATTCAATGTGGCCAAGAACTTGAGAAAGTTGCTGGACAAGAAGCGAGATAGGATTCGCAAGAGGAAGGAGAAAGCGAGGGAGAATGGAGAGGAGGTTAGCGATGAGGAGGAGTGATTTATGTGGGATTTGCTAAGACTGGCTCCCTGTTCGTCCTTCCAGATCATGAGAAAGAACGACTAGCTCGAGGAAGCAATTGTTGTTCAAGAGGGAGATGATGTCTACAACATTTACTCTTTGATCATGACAGTCGAAGTCTAATTGGATTATAGACCCACAATACTCATAAAACAAGAGCCACATATCAAGAACCACTTGTAATCATTGCATTTTGCGTGTGTCTGGTGTAGGCAGTGGACTTAAAGTGTCTTCTATTCGCCTGCCTCAACGCAACGATTGTCATTTTCGTCCACAGCGACTTCGCATCTCCAAACATCCACAATTTATATTGAAGCAAGGTGTTAAAACGTTGATTCCTAGTGCTACGTGCAAGACAACTGGGATTCCAGTACGTAGGAATGCTGACTGAGAGATGGTGAGCAACAAATCGACAGGGTCACCCCTCTAGCATCTCGGATATCATAATTCTAGAATGACAACAGAGCAAGAACAGAGCAGCTGGCTTATAAAGTATTGCGAGCAAAAACAAGATTGTCAAAAGCTGCGATGGTCACTTGGTATGCCAATGCCCGGATAAAAGGCTGAGATGACCGCAGCGCTGTATCCTTTCACAAATTAGAAAGCAGTCCACCCAGATGTAAAGACAGCAAGTTAATGTTCGAAAGACAAGCAGTTTTAAAGTCAATAAGAGCCTTCCCGAGAGACAACAAAAGAACAAGTCAGCAGCAGAATTGAACATGACAAAACAATCAAATTGGTATATATCTACATGAGGTTTGCGACAAGGGTTGAATGAGATGATGGGTTGGATGTGAGGTGTAAGAGACTACACTCTACTTTCTGACAGGGCCAGAGACACCTGCGCCAATGACACTGGGGAGTTCTTGGCTACCCATGGTGTAGAGGAGACCAACACCCCAGCTGACGAGGAAGACCAAGAAGACGGAGAAGGAGCTGATGAGCCAGAAAGGCATGACGATATCCTTCTTCTGGCAAGCGGGGCCGCCCCAGCGAGTGGTCTTCTTGCCGCCGTTGGCGTTTGTGCGGACGTCATCCTGGCAGGCGCAAGAGTAGCACTTGCCACCGAGGTCGCCGGCATCTCTGTCGGTGTGCTTCAGGACGCACGAGCCGTGACCAGTGCAATTACGGGTCATGGACTGACAGGTGGACAATGAAGGGAAGCAGCCAGGAAGAATGCCTCTGAGAGGGCCGGTCTGGTTGTAGGTCTTGTTCGAGGAAGCGTCAGGAGTCAAGGTGGCCTTGAGGTGAGAAGCAGTCTTTGTGGCTTCAGTGATCAAGGGGGCCTCCTTGAACTGGCGCTTTTGGTGCGACTTAACGTCAGCATCGTATGAACCGTAGGTGTTCTTGCTAGTATCCTTGGGAACGTTGAGCACAAGGACGGTATGGTACTGGCTGGTCAAGACTTTGAAGGCAGATGCGAGTGCCTGATTCAGTTAGCAACATGTGTAGAGTGGGACCGAAGGAGATGTGATAGTACCTCAGAGTCCGCGGCGATTCTAAAGGCGGGACCGGTGTAAGAGGAGACGGTGGATTGTTGGACGTGGTCCAAGTTGTCAATGCCAGACTGTTGTGCAAGATGCTTGAATAGCTTCTCAGAGGACTGGAAATCAGGAGAGTCCTTGATCTGGATAGTCTGCACGTGGGCAGAGTCGGAGAGGGAGAAGGGGACGTCTTCTTGGCCAACGGTCGACAGAATCAAGGCGACGGACAGATCCTGGGATGAGAGGAAAGAGGAGCTTCCAGCGAGGCGATCGATTGTTTGCAGAGACTTGTCGTCCTGTCCCTGGAGCGAGTGGTATTGGTCGAGACCCAGTCGCGAGGCGATAACCAGACGGGCGGCGTCGGCCTTGAGGCTGAGGACGGGCTGGCCGCCGCTCACCTGCTCGTTGTGGATATAGAGGTTTCCCAGAGAAGCCTTTGCAGCAGCGACTGCAGCAGGCAGCAAGACACACGGAGCCAGTCTCATGCTTGCGGTGGGCGATGAATTATATTGTCTTGGAGTTATGCTCTATGGACGTGTTCGATGAATGGTGGAACGTCAGTCGGCGCCTTGGCAGCATTCTTCCGTCCCCCGTCACCCGTCACCTCCGCGTCCCAGTCCAACCAAGGCCGTAACGCTCTCCGCCATCATCAAGTGTTTCATTCATCTGTCGCAACTCACCATCTGCGCCTTCGCGGCAGTCGCTTCTGCTCGCATCATCTCCCAGGTCCATCGTCCATCGTCCTCGTCCATCTGTCCAAATGTTTCGCGCCGCCCCAAAGTTCAGATCATTAGCCCGTCCGTCAACTCTCTACCGCCGCCCGCTCACCACCACCGCCCATCTCCGCCGCCTCGTACAGCCGGGCGAGCCTGTCAGGTCACATACCGTTCGCTTCCAGCCTCCGCCGTTATTCACTCCTCTCCGTATCGCTTCCTTCTTTCTCTACTCATCATGCCTCGTCGCATATGTCTGGTACTTCTTCCCGGACATCGAGATTGAGATCCAGGAGGGTGAAGAAGCCGAAGAGCCTCGCATATCCGATTCCGAGTTTGCAGATGAGGACTCCTATTTCGTTCCCTTGACGTGGGCTAAGAAACTGCCTCGGTCCTTCTACAAGGGCTCGGATCCGGAGTGGCAAGAATTCGTCAAGGTCTCAAAGGACAAGGCTCGCCACAAGAAGATTCAATGTATGACACTTCTAACATATCATACCTTGTTCATCTGCTAATATTCCCCTAGCCGAACTGGTCAAGATCGTCTTCGACACCGCTCAAAAGCACCCCGCCTTCGTCAAGCAGCTTGGTCGCGACACCAAGGTTGGCCAGTGTTGGCTCGACATCATCTTCCCGGACGGCCCTCCTCAGGAGTATGCTCGCGCAGGTATTGAGGTTGGCGACGACTTCGTTGCCTATTCCCTCCAGCGCATCGACGCCCAACAGCAACACCGCATCACCCGTACTCTCTGGCCAACTGCTGCCTTCAATGGCCTCTACAACAGCACAAAGGTCCTCGCAGGTTTCCAATACCATCGCTTGAAACAGTTGCTTGGCTGGGAGATTGACACCAAACCCGGCAGTCAAGACGCCAAATATCAACAATTACTGCAATTGCTCGAGGCCCAACAGGCCCAACAACAGGCAGCACAGGCCAAGACACAAGCAGGAGCCGGCGCACCAGAATCAGCAAATGTAGACAAGGAACAGAGCAGTGCCTCGTCGCTCTTCCCATGGGCCAAAGTGCCGCAACCACCCTCGAGCATAGAGATGCCCATAGCCCAACACATCTTCCACGCCACACTTGCCCAGGGAAAGATGCCCAAGAAGATGGAGCCGCCAAGGGGAAGCTTTGTCGTCCAAGGATTGATCCAACTTAAGGGCAGCAGATCTATTCTAACTCTGGATGTGCAAGCTTTCTATGATCCCAAGGCTAGCCATTTCTCTGTGGTGAATGCGACACCTAGGACTATCAAGCAGCGCAAGCAGTCGCCCAAGGGCGGGAACTGATGAACTTATACGATTTTAGAAAAAAGCATGGCGTGGTGTTTGAAGATTTTGGACATGGGGGTTTGGAACAGCAGGGCGCTCGGAGTCAGTCTTACACAGAACATGGGGTTTCGCATTGTACATTGATATCCGCGCCGTCGTAAAGACGTAGCATGCATTTGATTCTTCTCTCCTTCACCCGCTCTTTCTCTTAGACCCTATGAACTCGTTTAGGCTCCTAGGATCTGCATAGCGTTTCGTCCTCCGACTCTTTTATGAATCGGAAAGCTTCTCAGACAGGAAAAATGGATATCTCTTGAAATTTCATCTCAAACCAGCACAAAAGTGGACGTGTCAGTTTATTTCTTGCCCTTCTTCTTCGCACTGCCCGGTGTCTCGACCAAGACGGCATCCTCATCACTGTTGATCTTCTGGCCAGCGACAGAAACCACAGAGCCTTTTCTGCTGTTCGAAGCCGAGGTGACTGAACCCTTTCTGCTGCCAGCAGCTTCATCGTCGAGCTCCTTCATGAACTGAGTCTGGATTCCTTGCTTTCTCTTGTCCCACCACTCCTTCTCTTCGGGCAGCTTGGATTGGATGTCCTCCATGCGTTGCTTGGCCAGCTGGTTGTTGGCGATTTCGTTGGCTGACTGGAAGATGATCTGACCCCAGTTTGGTACGAGAGCGTTGGCCTAAAGCACAAGTTAGTCTTGATGCCAAAAAGGAGGCGTCGGTCCTTGAAGCGTACCTCAGAGACAACATCCTTGACCTCCTCCTCGATCTCTTGCTCGGCTCTTAAGAAGCGCTGCCATAACTCATCACCAACGCTACCTCTCTGCAGTAGTGTTTGAAGGGCGGGCTTTGCGTTACGGATCTGGATGATGCGGTGGATGTCCTCGACGGCGCGGCGCAACAGGGCAGCACGGATGATGCCGTCGGGAATCTGACTTAATGACTTCTCAGAGCCTTCGGGGGTAGATGAGGGGTCCTGAGGGTCGAGGTGTAGGAGCGAGAGGTAAATGTTACGTTGCAGGTGGGGTGGGAACCATGGCGCAAGGTTGGCGGCTTTTTGGGCCTTGCGACGACGGTATAGGGAGCTGAAAGTGGCGAGAGAACCTATGAGGATGGACAAGTATGCCAGGGGGACCAGGAGACCGACCCAGTCGACCATTGTTGCGAAGGTGTATGTGGATGGGATTTCTTGATAGTTCAAGAATGCGCCTGCCACTTTCAAGACTGCGACGTGTCTGGCAGGATAGGGCTGACGGGAGCTAAATTAACTCCGTCCCGGATCCCGGAGCAGCAGTGTTCACATCTCACGTCATGTAAGGAAGCTGCAACCGCTAGATTCACAATACAGTACACAACTGAGGGCGAGCACCTTCCACAACTCACCCGATCCCCGACTGCTTTCACCTGCTGTCTCGTCCCGAGCTACTGCTTAACATTCGACTCTCGCCCTCCTTCCTTTTTTTTCTTGCACACCTAAACCCGTTTCTAACAAGCAACTCGCACCATGATCTTGCGCTTCACCAGTCGTATTGGCCAGTTCCGCCTGAACGTCGAGCCTTCGACTGATCTTTCGACTTTACTTCCCCAAATTGTGGATAAGCTCACTCCAGAGACGGTTCCTTCATCAGTTGCCATAAGTCCACAGCGTGGCGGCCAGTCGCGATCTCTTGAGAGTCTCAAGGGCGTCACTGTTCAGAAACTCGGCCTTGCGTAAGTCTGTCCACCGCTGTGACACTAAACAGTACTAATCATAGCAGAAATGGCGCCCAGATCTTCATCGAATTCAGCGAAGGTCAAGCTCCGACCAGCGACCAACCTCCCGCTCCTTCCAACGCCTACAGACTGAACGGCAAGGAAGTCACTGCCCAGGATACCGCCACCATCGCCATTCCCAACCTGACTGCTCAGACACGTGTCGACAACCCTTGGGACACTGTCAAGCAGTTGCCGATCGACGATGCTTTGGACAAAGAGAATGGCAAGATCAAGAGACCTCGCGACACAAGAATGTGCAGACACGGCCCCAACGGCATGTGCGACCACTGCCAGCCCATCGAGCCATACGATGCCGGCTATCTGGCCGAGAAGAAGATCAAACACCTCTCATACCATGCATACCTCCGCAAAGTGAACCAAGGAAAGAACAAGTACGAGTCTGGAAGTTCTTGGATGCCTCCCCTCACTGAGCCATACTATCGCGTCAACCCAAACTGCCCTTCAGGTCACAAGCCTTTCCCTGCAGGTATCTGCACAAAATGCCAGCCTAGTGCCATCACTCTACAGCCTCAACCTTACCGCATGGTCGACCACGTCGAGTTTTCTTCTCCCGCGATTATCAACAAGATCCTCGACTTCTGGAGAAACTCGGGTGCTCAAAGAATCGGTTTCATGTACGGCCGCTACGAGCCCTACGCCGAGATCCCTCTTGGTACGAAAGCTGTCATCGAAGCTATCTATGAGCCTCCTCAGGTAGATGAACTGGACGGCGTCACACTCAACGACTGGGCAAACGAGAACGAGATCGACAAAGTCGCTTCACTTTGCGGTCTTCAGCGGGTCGGTGTCATCTTCACCGACCTGATCGACTCGGGCAAGAATGACGGTACTGTCGTATGCAAACGTCATGCCGACTCATACTTCATGTCGTCGCTCGAGATCATGTTCGCTTCGAGGTTCCAAGCAAAGTACCCGCGTCCCTCGAGATGGAGTGAGACAGGCTCGTTTGGCTCCAACTTTGTGACCTGCATCATCACTGGTGACGACGAGGACCAGATCGCTGTTCAAGCTTATCAAGCATCCGACTCTGCTGTTGAAATGACACGGGCTGACATTATTGAGCCATCCGCCGATCCGACAGTCATGCTAGTACAGGAAGAAGACCAGGACTCGGAGTTGGGTCGCACGCGATACATCCCAGAAGTCTTTTACCGCCGCATCAACGAATATGGAGCAAACGTGCAAGAAAATGCCAAACCATCTTTCCCTGTCGATTACTTACTGGTCACGCTCACCCACGGTTTCCCCTTGCAAGCCAAGCCCTTGTTCACAAGTGAGGAAGGCTTCGTTGTTGAGAACAGAGAAATGCTTGGTCAATCTCAAGAGCACAGAGCTTTGAAGACGTTCTTGAGTAGAGTCGCCAGACTTGATACCGCCGATGGAGTTCAGAAGATGTCAGACTTCCACGTCCTATGTTTCGTGCATACTATGGGCGTTTTGAGCGAGGTATGCTGCAATGACTGTCTATTTGTACAAGAAGTGAGCTAACGTTTCCTAGGATGAGTTCCGTCTCCTTTGTCAAGTGGCAACGCAGAAGGACACGAGCCTCGGTGCAGCGTTGCAGCAAACACCAGGTTGGGCCACACTCCAAACGATCCTTGACATGTAGTGTTTTGGATACGTATTTGCTTTTTTGAAGAGGAAGATTTTGGCTGACGTTTGGGTGTGTGCAACTTGTAAATAGGCTGGAAATCCCTGCTGACCATCGTTGAGCTGAGCGGCGACCGCCGACCAAAGAGACCAATTGACAGCGGACCATCGGGCTACGGCAGTGATGGGGAACAGCTCGCCAAGAGAGTTAAGAACATCGGACTCAATGGTTCGCGATGAGGAAACGACGGAACAAAAGGGGCAAGCCAAGAGAGGGGATTCTGAATGAGGAAGAACATAGCACAACGGAGTGGAGACGGGGATTGAGGCCACGTTGACGGAAAATATGCATGATCTGCTTTACAGGAAGCAAGACACGAGCGGTAGAGCGAGGCATGGGAGAGCTTCCGCAGATGATGATGATTGTCATTCAAGGCATATGACTTGCTCACGAAGAGCAAAGAAACAGCGATATACCCGCCGAGCAATTGCTATATAAGGAAAAGAATGATGAAAACGGATCCGATCACCTCTATCGTCTCCTCCTAGCAGTGTCAGAAGCAACCACATTCGCAATCGAGACGTGTGAAATGCCATGTACGACTAAAAGCGGCAGGTAACGAAGGTCGATAGAGATGTGATCAAACTGGATATTGGTTGACAGATCCTACTCATGCTTATCATCATAATACATCTTCCCATCACCAAGCCATTTTCTCCCAATCCTTTCCGCCTCCTCAACACTCAACCCCAATTCATCCCTATTGTCATCCGTGATCCTGCCATATTCGAGCAACAGCCTAAACATGTATATTTCCATATCTTCCTTTCTCAACACCTTGTTCGTCCATTCGCGTCCAGCTTCGGCGATGTATTTGCCTTGCTTGTCATGACCGGGTAACATGATATGCTTTCCTTGGACTTTGCCTTCGAGACCCATGAAATAGACGAGAGTGGCCCAAAAACCGTGGCCGCGGAGGTCGAGAGGCACAAAGTGGAGCCAGGGTGTCAATCTGTCGTCCCACCACTCACGGAACAAGGCTGCTTTGAACGGCAGACTGTGTGATTGCAAGAATGGGATGAAGCGACCGGAGAAGGCGGCGCCGTCGAGATCGAGTAAATAGCGGTATGACCAGTGAGCCTGGAAGTCTGTTGGTGGGACCATGGGGTCGAAATGCGTTGCTTGATCGTCGCAGTCTGGGCCGCCGCAGCGGATGATCTGATCTACGAGCTTGACGTCCACGGGGACGTGCTTGGTGAGCTCTGAGGTAGGCACATCCACATAGGCCAGCTGCTTGCGCTTCTTGGCAAAGGGGTAAGGTAGGAGTATTGATTGTAATGGCACAGTGGAGGCGATGTTGTTGGCCAGGTTCATGAAACGCTGGCGACTCATGCCTCTCCATACACCCGTGAAAGATGAGACACCTTCGGAAGTGCTTCCCCGCCAGAAAAGTGTGCGTGTTTTGTCGTCCCAAGAAGGGTCAGGATGATCGTCGTTTGGGTCGTATCTGACTTTGTCCATGTAGTTCCATGCGGATGGGTACAGAATGTCGTTGTAGCCATGAACTTTGGATTGTGAGAAGACAGGATACAGCTCGTGAGTTGCCTTGAAAGCTGCTGGAGAAAGATAGAAGCCGTGCAGATTGGCTATGTCAGGTTGATGGCAGATGTCTGCACTTTTCGTCCAGTTGGAGAGGTATGCACCTAGCGAATGAGGAGCCACACAAGATGTGCACAGATGACTAGTAGACCAATGCAGTGTACTTTGCACTGCAGAGCCTGGTGGGCAGCCAGCTTTTCCAAACTCGTTGAATGTCCTTTGCCACGACATCTCCCTAAAAGGCGCAATCCCGCTGGATTCCTCTGGTACTGGCTTCCAGGCATCCGCCCGCTTTCCGCTGAAGGCATTTTTTGCATCATTGTATGAGTCGATCTTCCGCTTAGCAGCCTTTCTTCTCGCCTGTATATCTTCATATGGGACTGCTACACGGCATTCATCGTTCAAGTTGAAGCCTAAGTCCATATCTGGCAGAAACTCGCTGAAGCGACTGATCATATCAACAATACCGTCGAGCATCCATCTATGCGTCGGCATGACATTTGGACTGATCTCAGCCTTGCCGTTACGAATGCTGATTCCAGCGACATCGTTCCAAGGATTGGATATAGTTTGCCATGTTCGCTCTCGAATGTCCGACGGATCAAGAGTCCAGAATGGTAGCAAGTCTTGATGAATCTTATCGAATTCATCGATGACCAAGGAGTCACGCCCAATTGCATACCTATACCATTCGTGGAAATTAGGCGGGGGATTTCTGCCATGGCGATACTGATACTCAACCACAGCAGCTGTCAAGTTAGCACTCGAGTATGCTCGTCCGGTATAAACATTATGAAGATTGTTCGCTTCATGTATCAAGAGATCGATAGGATGATATGCGACATGCGTGATGTGGCCAAGCCAGATTAGGAAACGGACACAGAAAAGGAATATCAGAAGCCCAATGAGAGTGATTGGCGTGTCAGAGAAGATAGCGTACTTTTTGCGGCGGTGGTCTTCCGAAACGACCTGGGTATGTATGAGTGCGACAAAAGCAATCACAAGGCCGCAGAAGGAAAGCAAAGCCGATGTGTCAGCATCCGGAGGAAATGCTGGCAAAGTGTGCCAGGACCAATTAAGAGTTATCGAGCACGATGCGACAAAAATGAGAACAGAAGTAATCGACATGGCACCCGAGTAGAAAATCTAAAAGTGTTAGTACATATACATGACCAAATCGAGGACGACGAAGGCCTACCGTAATGCAAGAGGATAGTGCTGCTATGCAACACAAAGCGGCGAACTTTATCAAACGCCAAATGAAGCCTTGAGGTATCTCGAGCACCCAAAATCTATCCTCGGGGACAGCGAAGAACCAGATGACGCCCCAAATACCGATAGCAGAAGCAGAGAGAAGACAGGCCCACCCGATGATGCTTAAGGATTTGGCAGGAGAAGATCTGCCAGAGGTGGAATATGAACGTACAAGAGCGTCCAGGCAGAAAGAAATGCAAAAGTCGAGAACTAAAGCAATGCGTTGAATCGTAATCATTTTATCGTGAATTGCGGGCGTGCAGATGTACGTGGAAGAAGGGCTATCGCTCTGGTGTAAAATGCCTGCGCTTGACAGGCCAAAGAGAGCGGTAATGATAACATAACGGAAGCGGTTGGTGGCCCAAAACTCTTCGAGAAGTTCATAAACACTCAGATTGGAGTTGTCCTCAGCGGCAGAGACTTTGTGTCTTTGGTGTATGCAGAAGTCGATGATGGCAAGGCCAAATGGTATCAGCTCGACGTAAGAAGGTCCGACACATTGGACATCTCTGACGAGACGTCTTGTAGCTTCAGCGCGAGCGCATATGGCGACCACCAGAAGTACGAAGAATAGTCGCAAGACGCGAAGACTAGTCTGAAGAACCTGAGCATGGCTGAGGCTGGGCGATACTGGCGAGCGCGGTGATGGTGGGGAGATGTCGGAGTTGGTCTCCTCGAGAGGAAGCTCGGTATAGGAAGTCGTGGAGGGCCTATTGAGGTAGCGCGACAAGGCCAGGAGGGAGGCGCCAATGGATGCGAGAATCAGGCCAAGAACGTGCAAGGTACGTCCTACAAGTGTCAGTGGAATGGCCAGACGTAAGGGCAGGCATAGAAGTACCATATGCAAAGACATCGGCCGAGTTCAGGGCCAACAGACAGGAAGCAAACGTCAAAGCGACCAAGGCATAGTGTCTCAAAGAGTCCATTGCGGACCAAAGATTGGCGGTAGTGCTGCTATCGATGTTCGAGGTGATGTAGCAGAGCGGTAGGCCGGCACAAACACATCATGAGATATGTCAGATACAAAGATGGGTTACGCGACACGAATAAAGCAGTTAGGAGCGCGGTATCGACCTGTTTGGTGGATTGCCAGTTGGCGACAAACTCGGGGGATAGAAAGCGGCTCGACCTTGAATTGCGCCGCAGGCGATGCCCCAAGCCTCCACCGCCTCCGTCACCAAGGAAAACAGGCGGGCACGGGCCACACCCGTCAATCTCTGGGGTCGGAAAGCTTAATCCCGAGATTTTGACTGCAACTTTTTGGCCTTTCTTTAAGCTCCGCCACTTTTTTACCAACAGCTATCCAGCTTGTATTTGATTCGGCGACCCAAGTCGCAGCTTCAAAATGGGCAAGAAGGCCATGTATGTCTATTCTGTCTTCTCTCGCTGCCTCCTCCTCCGTACTGACCACCTGCAGTGATTCGCGCATTCCGGCCCTCATCCGCAATGCCGCTCAAGAACACAAGCGCGGTTTCTTCGTTGTCGTCGGCGATCGCCAGAAGGATGTCATTGTCAACTTGCACTACATCCTCCAGACTGCCAACCTCAAGGCCAACAAATCTGTCCTTTGGGCCTACAAGAACAAGCTGCTAGGCTTCACCAGTCACCGCAAGAAGAGAGAACAGAAGATCAAGAAGGAAATCAAGCGTGGTATCCGTGATGTCGACAACGAGGACCCCTTCGAGCTGTTCGTCTCGACCCAGAACATCCGCTATGTCTACTACAAGGAGACGGAGAAGATTCTCGGAAACACTTACGGCATGTGCATCCTGCAGGACTTCGAGGCCATCACCCCCAACCTCCTCGCCCGCACCATCGAAACCGTTGAAGGAGGAGGCCTTGTTGTCATGCTCTTGAAGGGCATGAGCAGTTTGAAGCAGCTCTATACTCTTTCCATGGACATTCACTCGCGCTACCGTACCGAGGCCCACGGCGATGTTGTCGCCCGCTTCAACGAGCGCTTCATTCTGTCTCTCGGCAGCTGTGACTCGTGCTTGGTCATCGACGATGAGATGAACGTTTTGCCCATCTCTGGAGGAAAAACCATTCAGCAGCTACCTCCCCCTGACCCAGAGGCCCAGGGCAAGACCCCTGCTGCTAGGGAACTCGAGACCATCAAGGAGAGCCTTGCCGATACTCAGCCCGTTGGATCCCTCGTTACTTTGGCCCGTACTGTCGACCAAGCAAAAGCCTTGCTTACTTTCGTAGACGCTATTGCCGAGAAGACTTTGCAAAGCACAGTCACTCTGACCGCTGCTCGTGGTCGTGGTAAGTCTGCAGCACTCGGTGTTGCTATCGCCGCTGCCGTCGCCCACGGTTACAGCAACATCTTTATCACTTCGCCCAGCCCCGAGAACTTGAAGACTCTGTTCGAGTTCGTCTTCAAAGGTTTCGATGCTTTGGGCTACCTCGACCACGTTGACTACACCATTATTCAATCTACCAACCCCGACTTCAACAAGGCTATTGTCAGAGTCAACATTCACCGTCAACACAAGCAGACCATCCAATACATCCAGCCCCAGGATGCTTACACTCTCGGTCAAGCTGAACTCCTGGTCATCGATGAAGCTGCCGCGATTCCCCTCCCTCTGGTCAGAAAATTGATGGGTCCTTACCTGGTCTTTATGGCCTCGACCATCAACGGTTATGAGGGTACTGGTCGTTCCTTGTCCCTCAAGCTGATTCAGCAGCTTCGTGAACAGTCTCGAGGAGGCTCCAAATCTACTGACGAGCAGGTCGCCGATCGCTCCACTGGAAGATCTGCCAAGGACGATAACCAGGTCGCTATCGCTGGTCGCTCTCTTCGTGAGATTACCCTCTCCGAGCCAATCCGTTACGCACAAGGAGATTCGGTCGAGAAATGGATGAACCGCCTTCTTTGTCTGGACGCCACTCTTCCTCGCGCATCAACAACCCGTGGCTGCCCTCACCCCGATCAGTGCCAGCTTCTCTCCGTCAACAGAGATACTCTTTTCTCCTTCCACCCCGTTTCCGAAAAGTTCCTCCAGCAGATGATGGCACTTTACGTTGCATCGCATTACAAGAACACTCCCAACGACTTGCAGCTCATGTCTGATGCTCCCGCTCATCAATTGTACGTACTCGTACCTCCAGTTGAGGAGGGTAGCAACCGTCTTCCTGAACCCCTGTGTGTCATTCAGCTTGCCCTGGAAGGACAGATCAGCAGAGAAAGTGTCATCAACAGCCTGAGCCGTGGTCAAAGAGCAGGAGGTGATCTGATCCCTTGGCTGGTCAGTCAACAATTCCAAGATGAAGACTTCGCCGGGCTCTCTGGAGCGCGTGTTGTCCGTATTGCCACTCACCCAGACTACATGAACATGGGCTACGGTAAGAAGGCTCTCGAGCTTCTCACAGACTTCTTCGAGGGCAAGTTTACCTCTCTGTCCGAGGACGATGGACAAGCCGAGGCTGGAAGCGAGGGCATGGTACGTGTCACAGATGCCGAGTTGGAGAATGCCAGTCTACTGCAGGACAACGTCAAGGTTCGCGACATTTCGACCATGCCTCCGCTCTTCGCTCGTCTATCAGAGCGCAGACCTACCCGTCTGGACTACATGGGTGTCTCATATGGTCTGACTTCGCCGCTGCACAAGTTCTGGAAGCGCACAAACTTCGTGCCTGTCTACCTTCGTCAAACTGCAAACGATCTCACTGGAGAACACACCTGTGTCATGTTGAGAACACTTGACAGCGCTACTTCCTCGGACCCTGCCTGGCTTGGAGCATACGCCAAGGACTTCCACCGCAGATTCCTTAGTCTCTCGTCTTACCAATTCAGAAAGTTCACTAGCGTCCAGGCTTTGAGTCTCGATGAGTCTGCTAATGCCGGTATTAAGCTCGACAGCAGCGTGCCGCCGAGAGCGCTGACCAAGAGCGAGTTGGACGAACTGTTCAGCCCCTTCGATTTGAAGCGTCTGGATAGCTACGCAAACAACATGCTGGATTACCACGTCATTCTTGATTTGCTGCCCAAGATCGCCGAGCTCTTTTTCACTGGCCGTATCAAGGGAGAAGAAGCCGTTAAGCTCAGTGGTGTGCAACAAGCCTTGCTTTATGCCATCGGTCTACAGCGCAAGACGCTTGAAGACCTCGAGAAGGAACTTGGACTTGGAAGCAGTCAATTGCTCGCCATGTTCGTCAAGGTGATGCGTAAGATGTCGATGCATTTCCGTGGTCTTGTTGAGGGCGCTGTCGCAGAGACCATGCCCAAGGGTATCGGCGGCGGTGATGCCGAAGCCAACAAGCTTGATGGTGAGGACGAGCAGCGATTTGCACCTCTTCAACAGACTCTGGAAGACGATCTCGCCGAAGCTGGTGACGAGTACATGGCTGCCGAGAAGGAGCGTGCCCGTGCTATGATTGACGCCTTGCCTCTGGACAAGTACGCTATTGCAAATGGCGAGGCCAATTGGGACGAGGCAGAACGCCAGATCCAAAAGGCAGGAGGTCGTAGCGGAAAGAGCACAACCGTCAGCGTCAAGTCGAAGAATGCTTCAAGCAAACGCAAGGCTGGTGAGGCTCTCGAGGAGGTCCAGAAGGAGGCTGCCAACATTGACGGCAAGAAGAGCAAGAAGGGCAAGAAGTCAAGGTAAAGGATTAAATGAATTGCATAGAGGACGGAGTTAGCGGTGTACAAAAGGGTGTATTGCGAAGGGATCTTGAAAGGGAAATATCCAATCTGTATTTGACGTATTCTACAAATCCGAGCAGAATTACAAGAGGTCTTGTTTACGAGTTTCGTCGCGGACGCAATTGCCAAAGAGACGGGCATGCGATTGGTGGTTGCCCGCTTTCGGCCTTTTGAAAGCGCATCTCCGTTCTTGCGAGCCGCATCGTTCGCTCAACACTGACGTCTCGCTCGCAAACAAACCCATTCTGCAAAGCACCAGCTCGAACCTCGCTCCTTATCTGTGACGCGTTTGCGAGCCTACCTGCTAAACTCTCAAAAACACAACAATGGCCGAACCACGGTATGGAGCTCTCACGCCTTCAGCACACACAACAAACGCAGACTGACAGCAAAACGAACAGTGGAGCCTGGGCACGACCTCGTCCTTCTGCATCCCGCACACCACAATCACGATCTTCAAACGCATCACCAGCACCGGCGGCTTCTGCTGCACCTTCCAAGCCCGGTGTCTCGCCCGCTCCAACTTCCGCACCCCCGGTCAACGTGTGGGCCACCAGAGCGGCAGCACAGAAGGCCACACCTGCTCCGGCTCCTGCCACTGGAAAGAAGGAGGAGAGCGCCCCGGCGGCGGCCGCTGGAGGGCAAGAGAAGCATGTGCCTTTGAACGGCTTCAACCATGTCGAGGTCAAACAGTTTTTGAGCAGAGAAAAGGGCTCGGTGTACAAGACCGACAAGAGTGGAAATGCATCAGGCGGAAAGCGTGAGTAGTACCTATTGCTATTCAGAGCAAATTGCTAACAGCCGCAACAGCAGGCAGCATGGCCAACGGACAGTCTTTCTTCAACCTACTGAACAAGCAAGTCACGGCGCTCCAAGCAAAGTAGATGCTTCGCTCGACAAGCACATCATCACAAGACGGACAGCTAGAAAGAGAGCTGGATGAACAGGCCTAAACAAGACTTATACATTCAACCATCCCTCCACGCCCAAGATACCACCATCGCTAGCACTTGGATCCATGGACCACGTCTTGATCGGCCGTACCGACAGTTGCGACCTCCAACCTGCCTCCCACATCTCTATACCCGCCCAACCTATCATGGCCGCATTATCTGTACACAGCTCAATAGGCGGAAAGCACAACCGTATATGATCATAACCCCTGACATCCAGGAAGGCGCGCATTACATGGCGAAGGAAGGAGTTTGCAGCCACACCACCAGAAACAACTACAGAATCGACTTTTGCAGCCGCTCTGGGCGGAAGAGAGGCTAGATGTAGCATAACGCGAGATGCGAGATGTTCGAAAGCTACACGCATGACTTCTCTGGCCATCTCGCGGCGCTCATCATCAGATAGATGGCCAGGCTGGCGTAAGCGCTTGGATATGGTGGAGGCTTGGTGGTCAAATTCATATTTCACAAAGCGCTCGATGCTGCTCAATAGACCGGAGAAGGAATAGACCATTTTGCGACTGCTACTGCCGTTCTTGCTTTCGGCCAGGGGTGCGCCTAGTCCCCAGCCCCATTTTGTGATTCTGCGAGCGAGTTCGACGTCGCGTTTTGCTGGTGCTGTGTAGTGGTAGTCAGAAGCGCCAGCAGGAAAGGCAAATTGTTCCAGTGCTCGTCCGTATGGAGGTGCTACTAGATGCGATGGGAGAATGGCACGAGCAGCTTTATCCAGACAATCACCCAGAGCAATGTCGCCGGTTGTGGCTAGGATCTTGTGATGGGTCAAACTAGTAGACTCGATCAACATGGAGTGACCTCCAGATACCAAGGCACTCAGGAAGGGAAAGTTCGGTCCAGTGACTGAACGAGACTCGAGTGCAGACACCAGGCGCGGAGTCAGGGCATGTGCCTGCATGTGATGGACACCAATGACGGGAACGTCCCAGGCTACAGCTAATGCTTTGCCAGCATCCAGACCGACCGACAGATTAGAACGCATACCAGGACCTCTTGTGGCCGAGATGAAGTCTGGCTTGACGCGGACAGTGTCTCGATGGTGTAACGCGCGACGAGGATCAGAGCTCGACTCCGCAGGTGGCAGATGGCTCAAAGCCTGTTGTATCAAGGGTGCAAGAGACGACTGATGCGACTCTAATGCGACGACTGGATGTATTCCATTGTAGGCTGCGGTGTTGGCCGTGACCTTTTGGTGGAAGTGTAGTGTTGCTGATGCATCCTTGTGTTTCTCGACGATGGCAACGGAAGTGTCGTCGCAAGACGTCTCGATGGCTAGTGTCAACAGGGTTCGGCGGTGGAGCGCGACTCCATGAGGCCTGAGAGAGAGGCGACTGCGTGTGAGAAGACGCAAAGGTGACAGCATCAACGTGTGTTGTGTGTTTGGAGATGGCGGTCAAAAGATAAGCAAGATCCGAGATTAAAGATGCTGCGTCTGGACCCTGAAGATAGAGCGATCGGCAGGTTTAAGCGCGGCTGTCATCCCGCATCGTGCAGCGGCATGACGCGATGAGAAGCGCCTTCCACGCGGCTTCCTTGTTTCTGGCACGCACGCGGGGACCTTCATGCTACGCCGTTTCCTGCCCCTCGCAGCGATAGTCATACTGCATGGCTTGATATACAAATGTACCCTGCAAACCTCCGCCCGTCCCTCACATGTCTTATGAGCTGCCGTCCAAGGAGAAGCTACGTGAGATAGCCGCCCGACAAGATGCAAAGGAAAAGGAAATCAAAGAGGCTCGCCAGAGACGCTTGTCGACATGCGACCAGCCGCTCGACGAGCAAGAGGCTGCCGCTGAAATCATCCAAGTCGGTGCCGATCAAACCTCGAATTCGTCAAGATCTGATGCTGAGACCGACCAGCGCAACTATCGTGGCTACCGCCAACGCAGAGAGATGCGTGGTCTAGGCTTGTCTGCTTCTACGAGATGGTTTGATGTAAGTCGTTGTCCCCGAGTACGAGTAGTCCATGTCTAACGTCTGTCAGGCTGTCAAAGAAGGTACATGATTGCCCGTTTATTCTTTGTTTCCCACTGCTCATACAGGGTAGCTCGTTTCCAAAACACCACCCAGCCCATGTCTCGCGACGAACGCGCCCGACACGCCTCGACCCATATCTCCTCTCCTGGCAACCAGATCGCTCGCGAAAAGTGGAAGCGTGCCGGACAAATCGCTAAACGGGCAGAGAATGATGACACCAGCTCAGACGAAGACTTCGGGGACATGGAGCCAGACGAACGTGAGAAATACCTGCAAAGGAAGAGAGAGGCCAAGGCCGAGAGAGAAAAGATGGCAAGGACTATGGGCATTGAATACTTTCTCGAGATGGTGAGAACATTTTTGCTGGCTTGTATTGTGCTTCGGCTTACATGCCTATAGGTCGATCAAAAACACCGATATGGGTCTTCGCTTCGAAAGTACCACAAGGTCTGGCAAGACAGCGATACAAAGGAAAACTTCTTCTACTGGCTGGATTTTGGACAAGGCAAAGATGTCGACCTTCCGGAACGTCCGAGGACACGACTGGACGAAGAAAGAGTACGGTATCTGTCACGCGAAGAGCGCCAGAAATATTTGGTCAAGATCGACGACGAAGGCCTATTGTGCTGGGCAAAGAACGGCGAACGCATATCCACATCTCCCGAATGGAAGGACAGCATGGAAGGAATCGTCCCAATCGATGACGATACTACACCGACATGGCGCAACACTAGCGGCCGTCAGGAACTCGCGGCATCATCGAGTGACTCAGACAGCGACTCCGACATCAGCGTAGGCAGTGGCGAAGATGCATCCCGCTATGTGAATCAAGAACTGCATGACGCGAAAGGCCTCAGCAAGCTTAAGCATCTCTCGGCCAATACCATCATGAATGATCTACTCCGGTAAGTGGTCTTCGGATCCAACGTCGTTCAGTCTTCTGATCGTAACGGACGCACTAGTCCACGCTTTTCGATTGCTAACAGCTCCTCTAGCAAAACTACAAAGAAGAATACCTGGATCTTTGTGGCAGATACCTCATTCCGTCTCTACATTGGCATAAAACAGTCTGGAGCGTTTCAACACTCTTCATTCCTCAAAGGAGCTCGGATCTTGTCAGCAGGATTAATTCGCATCAAACGAGGGCAATTGCGAAGGCTGAGCCCCTTGTCAGGACACTACGCGCCTCCAGCTAAAAGCTTCCGGGGCTTTGTGCATAGCCTCAAGGATGCTGGAGCCGACATGTCTCGCGTCAGTATATCGAGATCATATGCTGTACTCGTCGGTCTAGAAGGATATCTCGGTGCCAAACGCAACGTCAAGAAAGGCGAGCAGCGCATAAAGGACATGATACACCCTGAAGAAGCCCGCCAACGCGAAGAAGCGGAAAAAGACAAAAGCAAGAGTGCACAGAAAGAGCGAGAAATACTCGAGGCACAGGCGAAAAAAGAAGAAGAGGCCAGGCGGCAGAGCAGTATCACAGATCGCTTGAAGAATAAGCTGCATCTAGGCAGCGATGGATCTCGGGATGGCTAAGGCGTTTTTCTTTCTTGCTAGCATTATACCCTTACGCTCCCTTACGATTAATGATGTTAATGCATGTAATGCCTTTGACGATTCATAACCAGTCTTGTATCGTTAGTTTCTAGTGTGTGTGTGTGTCTATACTGCGAGGACTTGCTCAGTGGTCACCGATCCAGGGGCCTCTGATCGTGAAACATCCAGCGGCATGTTGAGCTCAGCATCATCTGCTTGACGCTTGGCATCAGGGGGTGGACTGAGTTCGGCATCGTCTGCTTTACGCTTCAACGACTGCTTGTCCTCTGCCTCCTTTGCTTCCTGTTTCTTCCCTTTCTTGGTTTGATTGGCTCTTTGCTTTCTCTCAGATCTTGTCTCTTTCTTGCCGAAACTGATCTCGAGTTTCTCGTCCACCTCGCGGGTCAGAGTGACAAATTCTTCCTCATATCCCATGATCTCGACGATGTCGGTGTAGCTCTTTGCTTGGTTCATGGGGCGATATTGCTTTGCTCTGCCGGGGATCATCTGGCCGAGGAGATATTTCGTGTTGCCCCATCTGTTTTCGACCTCGAGAGCAGTTCTGATGTATTCCTTGACAACTTGGTCCCAGGGTGCCAGACCACCGTCCTTCTCAGCACGGAAGCATGAGGGGTTCGCCTCGGCAGCTGTTGCGATCATAGCACCGTCGACACCGTATTCCTCTGCCAACTTTAGTGCTTCGTCTCTGCTTGTCACGTCGCCGTTCATCAAGCATGCAACACCGGCTTCGTGGCAGATTTCACCGACCATGCGCAATTGATCGCGAATGGCGCTTTCGCGTGGTCGCATGGGTGTTGTGCGACAATGTACTGTCAGACCAGTAATTCCAGTAGCGACCAATCTGCGCACCAGAGCAGCCGTATCCTCAGGGTTCTCCAAGATGCGGATCTTCACACTAATACCAATCTCGAACGGGGTTCCGACTTCTTTGACCAGCGCTTCAAGGATCGCGACCAACTTGTCGGGTGTCTTGAGCAGAGCAGCTCCCATGCCTCCAAGTGTGCTGAATGGTTTGGGACATCCTGCGTTGACATCGATGCCTGCTACGTCCGGGGCGATCAGTTTCGAGGCCGCGACCGCTCTTTCTGGATCCGAAGTGCCGATCTGGTGGATGAGTTGACGGCCTTCACGGGAAGGGTATAGGCGGTAGATGATGCTTTCGCGTTGCGAGGGGTTCACGTCTGGGTTCTTCGAGCCGTTAGAGGAGATGCGGGTGAAGTCTATGGTATTCGTGACGGTGTTGACGCGGCGAGTGGTGCCAATAAGCGCCTTGTCGATGGTCTCGGGACCTGAATGTCGCAATAAGTATACCGTGCTCCTGTTCAAGTGAAATGGCATGGCCATACCCCATACAAGATCAGCGCCATATTTCAGCGCCATCAGTCGCGACGGACATTCGCCGCTGCGTACCATGGGTGCGAGGACCACCTTGCCTCTGTAGTCGACTCCATTCTTAGGGATGGGCACTCTCTTGGCCATATTGCCTGTCATGAATTGTGTAAATGTTCGTAACATCCCATAACTTGGGTGGTTTCAAAGAAGGTCATCAACCCGGCCGGCAGGTGCGACCGAAAAAAGTACTCGGAGGGTCGAGACTCTTAACGCCGGTGGGGTCACTTCTGATTGGTTCGGCGTGTAAAAGCTTAATTCTGTCACTTCCGGAGCTGCTTCCTCTTTCTCTTGAGGATCTTTAAAGCCGCTGCAGCCATGATTCCGAGATTTGTGCTTTCTATCAATTGTCTATCATGCGTTCTATACACCTCTGGGTCGTCCCATACTGTGTCTAATCCATCTTCTGCTTCCTTCTATCGATACCCTCACTCATCAGAGTAGCCATATCTTCGACGGTCTTTCCTCTGTTCCTCTCACCGGTCTTTTCCTTTCCCAAATCTGTTCCATGGGCAACCAAGTCGTATGTTCTTGCAATTCCTCCAAAGATTGCTTCATTCTCCTCGAAGCCGCCATCTTCCGCAAGTGTCGCACCGATCTCCTCCATTTCTCTGACCCAGCGATATGCTTTGGGAGGCATCACAGGCACTGAAGCGTTGGCCATCTCGTAAGTTTTCGGCATGTACGTTTGCAGATGCTGCTGCAGTTCTGGGAGGACACCAAGTCGAGAGGCTGTGGTGAATGACTGGATGGCAAGCGCGGTGAAACCTTTCGTCACAGCTGCAAAACTCATCTTTAGTCCTGATGCTGAGCCTATCTGTTCGGAGATGTGTTGAGAATTAAGTACGTTGGCAAGATGAGCACCACTTCGCTCTGCATCTGCGAGTACATGCGGTCCAGACATGGGTATGCTAGGTCTCTTCCAGGCTTCCACAGTGTTCGGGTCAGTATGATCGTCCTTCAGACTTGGTGGACTGCCGATGATGGCTCCATCGAGGAAACGAATATTGTTGCCAGCCGGCTTGAAGAGCTCGGCTATACCTCTGACTGATTTTGGGGCGACAGCATTGAGGTCTAGGAAGTATAACGGAATTTCTCGTTTGGCGAAAGAGGCACTCGTGCTGACTTTCATGATACGTTCTGCCGTTGCTATAGCATCTCGTGGAGGCACGATAGAGAGGATGTAATCCGAGGTCGATGCTAGTTCTTCATCCGACGATACCAGGTCGAGCGATGCTGATTCCGCTCGAGCATGTGTGGCTTGACTGTGTTTTCATGTCAGATTGAATTGTCAGCCTGAACGCGTGAAGGAGAACATGCCTCCGATCACTAATGTTGGTGACAACGCGATAGCCATTTGCTTTGAGTAGTTTGGCTATTCCCAGACCCATCTCTCCGATCGAGATGACCCCTAGGGTCGCTAGTGGAGTAGCCATCTTCTAATCCGTTATGCTTTTGTGATATTCTACAGATGAATACACATGCTCTTCAAGTTGAGTCTTTGTATCAATCGCGTCCAGGCAGCCATGTTCAGACGCCGAAGGTGAGCGGGGTGTTCTTGCCGAATGGATGCGACGTCATGCCCGATCTGGGTATGATAGCCGATGACAGCTCCTTCCATCTGTGTTCAATTGGCAAACATCAGTGTTGTCGAGAACCTGAAAGAACCCAGAAAACAGTTGCTATGTTCCACAAGCTTCTTACATCTCGTGCACCCTGCTCCCCTCTCCGCTCTTGCCCTTCCGTCATCCGCAGCATGGCCACCGTTCGTTCATCTCTAAGCCATGAAGAACGTACCGCTCAAGAGCCACGAGAGGCACGTCTGGAACCCGTGACTGTATCTCGAATCGATGCTGTTAACGACACAATTCGTCTGATCCGATTGAGCGCAATGAAGCCTGGTCACGCTCTGAAGGTAGGTCCACTTTCTTGATCCATTCTCGATGCAAGTTGATGAATAATTCGACTGACGACATATATCAAGTAAAGTTCCAACCAGGACAGTGGCTAGATGTCTTCATACCCTCTCTCTCCAAAGCGGGTGGCTTTACCATAACATCTACACCTACGGACCAAGGCCAGCCCACACCTCAACGACAAGCCTACTTCGAACTTGCAATCCAGAAATCTACCAACCCTCCAGCGCAATGGCTCTGGAAGCCTGAGTCTGAGATCATCAATGAGCAAATCATTGTGCGTACTGGAGGTAGCTTTGTATGGCCACCACCAGGTATAGACGTCGATGGTATCGAGCAAGTTGTCTTGATAGCAGGCGGTGTAGGCATCAACCCGTTGATCTCGATTTTCGCACACTTGATGAGTCTACCACAAAGACCAAAGAAGATCAGGTTCGTGTATGGAAGCAAGGTCGAGAAGGGTCCGATCGAAGCTTCACGTATTCTGTTCCTAACAAGAATAATGGACTTGATCAAGAAGCAAGCGGATACCAACATAGAGCTGGACTTGTTCCTCACATCAGCGTCGCGATCGGACATCGACCATGCTAAAGGGTTGCCTGAACATGTCAAATTGGGAAGGATAGAAAAGGATGACTTGGAGGCAGCGATCGGAGAAGACCGAAGTGTCAGACAGAACACTGTTGCCTACATCTGCGGCCCGCCTGCCATGACCGACCAGTTTGTCGAGTACTTGAGCACAAGAGAAGGTGTGGACAAGCGAAAAGTGCTCTGTGAGAAGTGGTGGTAAATTCTCAATACACATCGCAACAATTCCACAACCCACCCACCTTCTCCTATTCTCCAAATCTTCTTTAACCTCTACCACTCTTCTTCAAACTTCGGTCACAAAAGAAACCAAGCGATCAACGAAAAGCCACCGCTTCTTGCATCGTAATTTTGTTCCAAAAATTCCCTATCTTCCTTCTCGCGAAGGCCGATAGAAGCAGTCAAAAATTTAATTTTCAACTAGCAATAATCTGGTCTCGGACTGGGTCCTCACTGATGCAGATAAAGCCCTTGCACTGGGATGGAAGAAAAAGAAATCAGTTATTGGAGATGGGGAGATGGGTTTATGTAGGTGGGACGATTGTGGGCGTGGGGAAATTCTAGGCAGCAGAGCGGATTGTGTGACTGGAGTAGGCAGCAGTGCGGTTAAGTAACTTCCGGATGATGATGGAACCTAATCGATATTGATGGATCAACTCATATTGGTCGACTTTTTGACTTGAGGTTGCCCGAGAGATGTGCTAATGGGATGACCCTGGTCTCGACACAACACGAGCCTAGACTTGAACAGCGTTCGGCCAGTCGCTTCGCAGCCACGTGGTATCTCATGTAAGTATACTTATGAGGATGAAACTGTGTAATGCAACCAATCAGGGGATCATCGATGCTATTTGACATGGAGAATTGCACATTTGCATTAAACAGAAATCATACCAAAGAGAGTTCCTACATACCCAAGCTATCTCGCTATCATCGTCCAAGAACAATACCTCATGGTACTGCTCCCGGCATTGGTGCCAGAGGGCCGGAGCCCATACCATGCTTGTCAAACACGCTTCTTCTTTTCGCCAACTTCCTCCCATGCATACCATTGAGGTAGTTCGTGGCGTACGTCCTACAGGTGAAAGATGAACTGCTCTTCGTTGGTTGCGCATAGCTCGTGACCACTTGCGTAACAGTGATGTAGTTACCACCTCCTGCTGTGATGGTAACCACACCACCATTTCCTCCACCTCCCGTGCCTCCACCTACTGAGACAGTTTCACCTGGAGCGGTGCTGACTATCGTGCGCTCGGAGACCGAAACCGAGATGGAGATACTGGTCGTGGTCACTGTTTGAGTAGTGGGCTGATAAACCACGCTGATGGCTGTGCTGACGCCGTATGTCGAAACGACAGTCTGTCCGTTCGAAACAAACGTCGATACAGCAGTCGAAACCCCGTAAACAGTAGACCCCGGCCCCGTTCCTGGACCCGTTCCTGGACCCGTTCCTGGGCCTGTTCCTGGGCCTGTTCCTAGGCCTGTTCCTGGGCCTGTTCCTAGGCCTGTTCCTGGGCCTGTTCCTAGGCCTGTTCCTGGGCCTGTTCCTGGACCAGTGCCCGGTAACGTGTTTGGCTGGGTTCCTGGTAAAGTGTTCGGTCCATTTCCAGAACCATTTCCAGTGCCTCCAGAACCACCAGACCCACCAGAGCCTGTTCCACCTGATCCACTTCCAGAGCCATTTCCGGTTCCTCCAGAACCATTTCCAGCCCCAGAGCCGGCGGGGCTGGTAGCTGTCGCTGTGAAGGTGCCAACTGCCGATCCAGAGCCATAGTCGCCATTGCCTCCAGATCCGCCGGTACCTGATGTGCCGTTGCCCGAGCCAACAGATCTCGAGAGGAGGCGTGCAGAATCAACTCCAGGTGTAGTCACGTTAGTGAAACCATTCTTCAGCTCGCAGTTATCCATACTGAGGGTCGTGAAGAATGAAACACCTAGACAGGAGCTGGGGGCGTTGAAACTCATGAGATTGTACATGTCGCAGGCATCAATGCATGACGCGAGGGAGCTCACATTCGTTGTCGACACTGTCTGGTCGGTGACATATCTTTCACACCCGATCTCATAGACTTGACCCAGGCTGTCAGTGAAAAGCTTACCGTTTGAGCCAGGACAAATCGGAGTTGCTGAAGCCCCACCACTTGGTACAGCGCTAGACGGGCCGAATTTTGTGGTAGAAGGAGGAATGCTTGATCCCGCGCTTGCGACAGGTCCTATACTTCCACTTATGGAGGTGAAAGAACTCGAGACAAAAGAGCTTTGAGGAGCGACACTGAAACTGCTGAAGTTGGAACCAAACAATGTACCGTACCAGCCGAAGCCTTCTGGCGGACACATGCCTGGAGTGGGGCAAGCAGTGACTGTTTCCGTGGTGAAGACCGTTGTGGTTCCAACGGAGCCAGATGCTGGGGCAGAGCATACACTCCCACGGCCAGTACCGGTCTTTACTGGAGGAGACTCCAAGCTGCCACCACCCGTTATCACAGTAGGCGTCAAGAAACAAGTGAAACACAAAGAGCCCGATCCTGTGCTTTCGCTGCCAGTTGCAATACTGCCGCTGGGAGGAACTCCAGTCGTAATGTATGTACTGAAAACAGTGACAGTTGCACTTGCAGAGTAAGCTGGAAGACAGTCAGTAAGAACGAGAGAGCTTGCAAATAAGTTCGATAACTCACAGGTCGTGATTGTAACAGGAGCAGTGCTACTGGCGATGATACTCGAGGAACTAAGAACCGATGTTGTGGAAGAGCTTGTTGCACCTGATAAGGACGAAATACCAGGATCAGTCGCGCCTGCCCGTACCGCGATGATGAAGTTTGCATTGGGTACCCGAGTGCCGCTGAAGGTTGACTTCAACTGACACAAGGACGATGACGTGTCGTAGGCCACACCAATACAGCCGGCCGTAATATCGCAACTTGGTAAGCAGTCTAAGACAGAGACAGCACGGAACGGACTAGCAAGATCGCCTCCCTGAACGCTGAAGCCACAAGCTATGGTATAATTTGTTCCGTTCGAATCTGTTGCATTCTGCCCAGCAGATGCAGGACACGTCAGGCTAGAAGCAGACGGAATCGCTGTGGACGAAGTGCTAGACGTCACGCTTGAGGAAGTCACAGACATCGATGGCAGTGATGCGGAGGCAGAGCTGGAAGTTGGAAGAGCAGAGGCAGTCGGTGTCGATGTAGCAGCTTCCGTCGAAGTGACTGGTACTGGCGGTAAGAGTGTGGCGGCGATGTTTTCTGGGTCAGAGATAGTGCCAGTGATTTGACTGAACAGAGTACACTCATCACCTTTGTAGTTGACTCCCACACACCCATCCGTGTCGTCACAAAGATCAAGACAATCTGTGTACGAAGGCTCGGTAACACGCTTCATGATGCGGAATCTGTTAATCCCATTGTTGCTGTCGATCGTCGTTCCAGTGTAGGAGTTTCCGCATCCAACATTGAAATTTGCCCCTCGAGCGTTCGAACACGTCGTTGGTGTATCGGAGTTGCAGATGTTGTCTGCGGTCGAAGGACACGGTGGGGCGACATAGTAGACGATTTGAGGAATCGCGGAAGAAGTCGTCCACTGCGAGCTGGATGCTGATGATGGAATTGATGAAGAGGTCAAGGATGTCAGAGACGCCGACGACTGCAAGGTAGAAGACGAAGATGTCAAAGACTCCAGTGGCCGTGAAGACGAGGCCCGTATTGAAGAGGATGCAAATGACCGCGAAGAAGACAGTGATGTTGCCAGAGACGATGACGGAGATGACGAAACACTCGTCGTGCTAGCAAGGAGACTCGAGCTGACAAGCGAGCTTCCGACAGACAATACACTACTGCGTGTTGAAATGGAGATCGTGCTGCTATAAGGAGAGGGAACGGATGCAACACTCGAAAGAACCACCGATGAAGTTTTAGGAGCCAAGGATGAGCTACCTGAAGTTTGACCCTGAGCGAGAAAAGCGACAACGAAGTTGGAAGGAGCCGACAAAGTTCCACCGAATTGGTTCTTGAAATAACAAGTGCCCGATGACGCACCGACAAAGGTGAATCCGACACAATCCGGCGTAACATCGCAAATGGTGAAGCAAGCCGTGAAACCGCCGCCATGGATATCGGTAGAATTGAAGGAGCCAATTTCAGTATCTGCAGAGCAATACACGTTGTAGTTGATGACATTCTCGTCGACGTACACGGCGTTATTGGCTTCTGGGCAAGTCGATGGCTGAGCAGTAGGGCGAAGTGTGGCAGTCTTGGGTGGTGTGGATGGTATAGAGCCTGTCGACGTCGTAGACAATGTTGTCGAGGAGCCGCTGGATCTGCCTGAGATCGCCACCGCAGCAAAAGTATGACCATCGTAGACAAGATCGCCGGTGCCTGTCTTCAGTACACAAGTTCCAGCTCCATTGCCTCCAAGATGGGAGACTCCACTGCAACCATCAACTCCATCACAAAGCTCGATACAAGCTTCAAAGCTGTCAACTGTCTGCCCGTCCTGGTTCAGACTTTGGGCAGTGAAGTCAGATCCGCAGCTGATAGTATATGATACTCCTTTATAGTCCGTCCAAGGTCTGTTGCCGTACAATGGGCATATGATTGGGGTAGCCGAGGCAGTGGCCGAGGACGAGCTTGTAGAAGAAGCAGAAGAAAGTGGTCCGCTGTAGGGTACAGAAAGAGGTAGAGAAGATGTGGATTGACCCATGCCAGGATTGATGATACTATTACTGGCACTGATAGGCGAAGAGGATGTCAGTGGCGCCGTGCTGGTACGAACAGTAGACGAATCCACGTTGACCGGTAGCTGATAGACTTTGAGCGAATTAATTTCCCAATAGGCGTCCAAGAAAGCCTGTGGGTTATTGCCAACATAGTCGACACAAGAATCATAGCCATTCAAGCCAGTCGTCAATGGACATTCTTTGTAGTTCGAATACGTGAACCCGGCCCAAGCACCACAGAAATCAGTATTGATGATGATGCTGTGATTGGCGAAATGGGAATCAATGTTGCAAGAGCCTTGGAAATTTGCCATGGGTAATCCGAATTGAGTAATGTTAGGAGAACCGCTTGTGACACTTGAAGGTATATTGTTGCGAGGGAAGAACCAAACACGAACATATGCTGAAGTCCATTCGGTAATGTAAACACCGCCGTTATTGTCACTAAGTGCTTTACCATAGTTGTTAGGAGTAGCAGTGTTGTTTGCCACACTCCCACATCCAGAGTTGTCGTTCGCCGCATGATCGCAGTTGGAGCTTGTGAACAACCCGGTCTGTCCTGACCCAGCGATTGTACAATTCGAGTCTGTGTGCATGGATATGGTGTTCGTAGTACTGGTGTGTACACCCTCAATGATATCTAACGATACTTAGCCGGGATTCAAGAGGGCTCAGAGAATCACACTCACCTATTTCACCATTGCGTGGCCAGTCCGGTCCAAGAAGCCAGAAAGCTGGCCATGTTCCACAACCAAAGGGCATATGATTGAGGTCCAGAATGAAGAGGCCATGAGTGTAGGTGTTGTCACTGATGAGTCTAACGGCGGGTCTTCCAGGGCCACCTCTCGGCCATTTGTTCGTGGTGTCGACGCTGATCGTGATGCTGTCGTCATCTGTTGTCGTGTAGCCATTTCTGTTGGCGACGGTCTCATTTACGTATCTGGAGATACGAATTAGACACTACTTTGTAGATGGATGGTGGTAGAACTTACTGGACATGACCATAGGTAGGATCGTAAGACTACGAAAGATGAGCATTGATCTTCGCTGTGATCTTAGAGGTAACCCACATTGTAATAATTGAATTTGCTGAAAAACACACTGGGCTGGTAGTCATCAACCAGCTGGTATGCTCCAGAGCCAGGGACACCACCACCAGTGAAGTAGCTTGCACCTGGTATACTCTGAGCTAGAGCGGAGGAGAAGAGAGCAAAGAGAGGCAGAACCCCCATTCTGGATCGTGATGCCGTAGGCGGCATTTTCGCCATGCGTCTTCACGTAAATACAGACGTGGGAAAGGAGAAGAAAGACTTGCCTGGTTACATCAAAGAGTCTACACATGATAGAGCCTGGCATGTTGTTGTGGCGGACGAGAAACATTCCTTCTGCACAGGAGGCCATTGACCACATTCCATAGCACCTCGCAAGGGCAAAGCCCAAGCATTCGCCAATTACTCCAGCATTCCCGAAATATCGGTTTGCTATCTACAAGAGCATTACACGTTGTGTCATTCAATGAATGGAAACGCCGAAACGAACGCGACAGAGATCAAGGTCCACTGGGATCGCGCTGGTCTTGGCAATTTCAGATCGCACATGCAGGAGAATTCAATGAAAGGACAATATTGCATTTCCAACGGCACAGATCTGTCAGGCACTCCACGAATAAACTATTACAAAAGCTTTCCTAAAAATCAACACGGTGGTTCCCTCAAGGATACTCGAAAATCGCCACTGTGTCCGCAAAGCCGTTCGCATTCGAAATGGCAGGCACGAGATCTACCTGATCGACCGTAACCAGATTCGATGAGCCCACCGTGTTGACTGCGTATAGGTAGATACCTTGGCTTTGTTCAACGCTGACCATCTTCTGCTGGCAATTCGTAGTAGCCAAACAACCAGAGTCGTAGTTGTTGAAGAAAGAGTACATTCCAGCACCGTAAGCAAAGATGTATGTGCTATTAAAGATGCGTAGGCCCCAGGTCTTAGGGCAATTGACAGTGAAACAATCGGAGAACGTTGGGTCGTTCCAATTTGACAGCGGAGGGTATGGCGAGATCGCATTAGGATTGTTTTGCATGTACCTTGTGGCTTGTTAGCAAGTGCAATGATTTGAAAGACAGCTGAACCTACGCAGTCTCTGACTGAATGGCACTGATGTAAATCTCCTTCGCTGAAGCGATCTGGTAATTGTACAACATGCTGTGCTCGAAAGAAGTGCCCAACATCCACACGGGACCCTGGCTTTCGACCAAAACTCCACGACCATTGTAGAGGTTGATTTGGTCATGATCGGCCTGGTTCAACTGTCAGCTCGTGCAATTATCGGATCTCGAGTCCAGAGTCCTACCAAATCCATTTCGTGATCGCTGACCCAGCCCCAGTTGTTAGCCATGTACATAGACGAGGATCTTGTAAGATGAAGAAGGAGGAAGGCGCCATAACATTCAGCTTTTGGGGAGGTGGGGACGTTGGGTGTCTTGCGACAATTGTAGGATTGCAGTTTCGTGCCATTTGTGCCACCGACACGCCAGTGAACATCGAACATTGCTACACACACGATAGTCAGTAGAGCATAACCAGCGGAACGAATCCAAGGACTTACCGGCAGATCCTGGAGATGATTGCGCAAGGTTCCATTCCATCAGAATTGCACCTGGTGCAGCGCCCAAAGTTTGGAACATAATCTCAACAAGTTCAATGTCACCGACTTGACCAGGCTGTCCCACACGGAATGCGACTTGGGGGTTGTTCTGATCGCTGAACTTTGGCGCGCTGCCATCCACCATGAAGTAAGGCCATAACTCACCCTGGACCTTAATCGGAATGGGAAAGTTGATAGTGTCTCTGATCACATACGCGCCGTAGTCAATATAGGCGATCTGGTCCGTTCGAATTGAGTTTAAGAAGCTCTGAACGCATGCAGTATCATCGGTGACACCATCGCCAGCACAACCATAGGTTTTGATGGATATGAAGTTTTCGACCGGAACGCCTTCGTACTGTGGTCTTGAACGCGTGTAGAACGAACCATCTGGGGTCAGCAAAGATGGTGATTTCGGAGGGGGCTCAACAAGTTGTTGTACTCGATCGAATTTGGCTGCAGGCCCGTAGCAGGTCAAGTTGTTCTCCTCGTAGGAAGACTCGTAAGCAGTGTAAACTCTGCCCTGAGCCCAGGATGCGATCTTTTGGTTTCCTTCAAGAATTGTAGCATTGCTGGGAGAAAGCTGAACAGCGACAGGTGTATTGACGAAGTTGACGTTATCTAAGAGAAGCGTTCCAGCCGAGGCAGGGGTTGAGTTGCCAGAGAAGGTGGTAAGAACACCAATCTCGACATTATTCATGGTCGCGTCTTGCAAGCTGATCGAGCCGGTAGTGATGACATCCCCACCTTGGGTCATATCTATACCGATTTTGGCATTATTGATGACGATGTCTTTGTAGGCGAACAACCAGTTCCAGTTTTGGTAGATGGCGGTCTGACAATTGTTGAAGGTTAGATTTCGACAAGTGAACTGCTGATTTCCGGAAAAGAAGCCAACACCGCCACCGTTGAAGATGAGATCTTCCAGGTATAGTGCCGATCCGTTATCCATGAAGATACCCTACAGGAGGTCAGTGACATGGATCAGTATGAGTAGGGTCGAACTGACCATTTGCTTGTTGTTGTCACCGCCCTCGGTCATTTCAAAAACAATGTTCTGCAATGACGTCCCCTGAGCCACTTGCCAATGCAAACAGTGCGCCGTGCCTTTGGGGATTTGTCGGATGTCCAAGACGAAATTACGGACCTGACGCCACATGTTGTTCTGTAACTCTCCGTCAGTGAATGGATTGGGGTGGAGATGCAATGACAAAACCTACCTGGTTGGCATACCAACTGAGCCCATATGGCAGATATGGGTCGGAGTCAAGTAGTGCGATGCCGTAGAAGTTGGGTAGACCTAGAATTACAGGCAAGCTGTTTGCATCACCAATGAATTGGGTGTAGTAAAGCATGACCAGCGGGCGGCTGATGGCATATGTACCGGGGGGGAAGTACACGATAGCTGGGGCAGTTGTCTGTGACTCGCAAGGATATTGGCATCTGCCCCCAGCAAATGTCGCATTATTGATAGCATCAGTGTCGTCGGTTACGCCATCACCTAAGTCACATCAGATCCGCGAGTCGTGATACGATCGATTTGAGCTGACCTTTAGCACCATAGTCCTTGACGTTTCTCCATACAGGATATGAAGAGTTTGTGCCGTAAACCACTTTGCCTTGTCTGGGAATTTGGGACATCCAGTAAGGAGCCCCTGAGCCGTAACGCTTTACATGATTTGTTGTGTGGAGTGGACCCTCGGTGTCTGATTGAGCATGAACCTAGAAAGTGACATAAGCGGAAGTCACAGTGCCGTAAGAAGCGCTACTCACCGAACAAGAAGGAAAAAAGCACAATAAAAGAGCGACGGACGCCAACAGCGTGAGTAATCGCAATCCCGCCATAGCTTTCGGTCGGTGAGAGAAGCAGAAGGTCTCTCGAGAGCGAAAGAGCAAGACCAGGTTTGACATGCCCCAAACGAAAAAGTAAGTGGAATGGGCAACAGCCGTATGTTTACACCATGCGTGCAAAGGAATGAAGATTCCACAAGTCCAGAGAGCCGTTCAAGCAAGGAGAACCCCTCAGCCAAGCAATTCCGCACGACTATGTCGGAAATGAAGGTTGAAAAGAGAGAGAAGGTGGCTAGTTTCTTGAGAGGCCGAGTCTCTGTTCTTTAGTCCTTGTATCTTTTCGAGGGCCTAGAGCAGGATCAAAAAGGGAATTGCCAAAAGGGTCCAGATTTCCACGCTGCTGTTTGTTCCTCTCCTGGTCCTTTTGGAGCTTATGAGCATCGTAAGCAGTGATATCGTCCTGGACAAGAGTAATCTTGGTGGGTTGTCTACGTAGCATGATGGCGGTGTTTTGGTGTTGATGGGGTGATGCAAAGGGAATGGTATGAGTTGACAATCGAGAGGATGGGAACAAGGTCGAAATAGACAGTCAGATGGGACGGGGTCACGATGAGAGATGCACGGAGGCGAAAGGGAGATGCGAGCAGATGTGCGAGACGAATGACGGTGTTGATGGTCCGGAGGTCTTGAAAGGGCTCCGCATACACAGCCGCACAGACCATGTCAAAGGCCAAGATTTGGGATAGAGGCAGCCCGACAGCAACATGATCTTGAACTTCGTTGACCACCCATATCACCACCGTCGTTATGTTCAAAAGACAACCGCTGGCGGCCGTCTCATCGGTGAGGCCACGATGCTCTGTCAGTCTGCGCTCGCAGTCAGTGCGCTACCGTAGCGACCTCAATTGGGCCGATCGTCAAAGAGGCCAGGAAAAAGGCTCCAACACGATGCGTACGCTCTATACAGCCCTCTTGCTCATCGTGCGCCGTGACTGACTCTACACAGCAACCAACCCCGCTCCTGAACACACACCCACACCACACAACCAACCCGCCACTGGTCGCTCACGGCAACAACGCGCCGCTCAGGTCTCCGAGGAAGTGCGCATGCTGAACCGCGGCAGCACAGCCGCCACTGTTTCCGGCGGCAACAACAGTCGTTACCCCTCTACGCAATCGAAAGACGTCGACCCAGAGGCTGTCGGTGGAACCGGCCAAATGGGCGCCAACGAACCAGTGGGTCGCGAGAGTGCCTTCTCCCAAAGTCCCGGTCGTCCAGTCCGCGCCGGTCGAGCCCCCAGAGAGATGAGATCTGAGCATTCGCCCTCAGGTGCCGTCTCGGACCCCAATGACGGTGGAGAAGTCGTGCTCGAAGACGCCGAGGGAAATGAAGAGTTGGTCGAAGACGAAGACGAGGACGTAGACGCCAACGACGAACTGGGTCGCGATCCTATGGGTGATTCGACAGCCAACGAGCTCACCATTCTCGAGCAATTCGACAAGCAAGACGTCACAGCTGTACCTTTCGAACCCGAAACCGTCACTCGCGATGAGTATCTCAAGCTTGGGCAGGGAGGTGCCACCATAGCTGCTGGAAACTTTGCCGGTGTGCTCGAGGACCGCATCAAGATTGTCGCCGAAGCCACACAAGACGAATTCCGTTACGCCCCCGACATTGCCAAACGCATGATCAAGGGAGAGCTTGTCTCTTTCAAGGACGAGCAGGAAAAGGCTGATGTTCTCGCAACAATCAAGAAGGGGGGCTTTGAATTCTCCGCCATCCCTTCCACCAGCCAGAATGTTATCTTCGACAAGTTTGTCCGTGGCGCATACCCCGACCTCGAGGCCGCGCCGCATAAGAACAAGGTTTTGAACGAGATCGCCCGCACCATCTCGCGCAATTCGACATATCTCAACAAGGACTCGACAAAGCTTCTTAGAAAGATTGGTAGTCTCTTGCCTTCCGAGGCTGCTGCGCGCAAGCCCTCCGCTGCCCCCAGAAAGTGATTGCTCTTTGGGTTGTATAATAGAATGTATCTTCTTGTAACTACCAATTTACGACCATCAAACACGCTCACTCGACGTCTACCAATCCTCCTCGTCGTTTTGTCTCATTGCCTTTGATCTCGCTCTCAATGCTTCTGCCAATCCTCCCGCCAAGCCGCCTGCTGGTGGTGTAGATGTGCCGCTGTCTGTACCGCTGCCACTACCTCCTGGCGCAGGAGGGGCTGGTTTGCGACCCGCTGGTCGCTTCGCTGGTGGAGGGGGCGGCATCTTCTTTCCGGTTACGGCGCCGTTGGCTTTTGGTGGTGCTGGTGGCATTGACCGCGCCTGGACCGGCGGCGGAGGTGGAGGTGCTGGCTTAGCTACCACTTCTTCCAGATATGCTGACGGTGCCCACCCTGATGCAGAACCATCCATTCGTTTCGCGAGCCACCAACCTGATTATACATTAGCTTCCTTCTGAAGGATAGATATTTGAGACATACCATTGTTTTCCTTTTGTGTTACCAGAATGATCTCGTCCTTAGTGAGACTCAGTTCACCGCTCGTTTGTCCAGCAAAATCGTACATGGCTTTGAACTGTGGGTCTTTAGGCGGCGCGGCGACAGCGGGTGGCGGGGGTGGAGGAGGAGCGCGTGCAGAGCCTGCGGACGGAGTACGTGCATGTCCAGACCCGTTGAGTGCTGCGACTGGCGCGGGAACTGGCTTTTGTTGCATCGGTTGCAATGCTGCTTGTACAGCCGCGGCAGCAGCCGCCGGCGTCGATACTGTCGACGTTGGTAATCCTGCTGGCAATCCTTGGTTCTGGTTCCCACTTGGTAGAGGTCGAGCTTGTGGCACTGGTCGAGATTGAGGTACCGGACGAGCTGCAAGTTTCGAAGGTTGACCACCAGGACCTCCAGGCCTCAGAAGCTTACCGCTAGTGATAGGTTTACCAGGAATAGACTTGGCCTTAGGAGTCGGCTTCGACACAGAGTTGGGAGGTTCACCTGGTCCTGTATGAACAGTACCACTCTTGTAGAGGTCATCACGAGCAACGGTCTGGTCCTTGATAACCTTGACTGTTGCAAGTTTACCCGGCTTCTTGTTGTAACTGATTGTCTCAGCGATACGGACATCCACAGTGCCGCGCGATGCCTGCTTCAACATAGTGAAGAATTCGGTTTTGAAGATGCAGTTTACCAGAGGGTCAGGCTCTTGAGCAGATCCAGCACCAATCGAGAACCAATCGTCCTTCAGCGTAGAGGCACTGACAAACTTGATGGCACCAATGGCGATGGTACGCTCGGCCATGATTTGTAGTTGCTTGTTGACGATGGCTTGCTTGACAAGGTATACGTTTTTGTTGGTCAAGATGAGGAATCGTGGCTCTGGCTTGCTAGAGCGACCAAGCTTGGATACAAGCAGCTCGCAGCGACAAGAGAAGAGTACCTGATCGGAACTGGGGAGATGGATCGAACTTCTTATCATCTCACCAGATCCACCGTTGTTCCCAATGCCGAGGTAGTCTCCCATGAATCTTCTGTAGCCGATAAGAGAGTAACGTCTACGCTCCTTGCGACCAGCAAGTACTTGGTGGCCTTGATCGCGCAGTTGGATGAATTCCATTCCACCGGTCTTACGCCTCCAGAATCGCTGAATACGTGTTGCACATTCTATCCTGTAGCGCAGATAATTGCGCCAGGCTCGCTGGATTCTGATGGCCATGTTGTGCCAGTATCTATCACGCATGGTCTCGAGCGCGAACAGAGTTTCCGGAGTTTTGATGAAGGCCTTTGTAACACCCATCTGATACTCTTCGACAGGGATACTGCTATCTTTGAGAATCTGCTTAACACCAGATTTGGCATCTCCTGTCCAAGTGTAATCTCCTGCGTAACTTGTCTTTGGCGAGAGAAGGTAGAAGCGTTCCACGAACTTGTCGAATGTCTGTCTGTAGGCAAAACCAGCACGTCGAATTCGAACGTTTTCTTGGAGACCGAGATATTTGATCTGATGCATGACGTTTCCAGTGTTGTACTCGGTAGGCGACTTGTTTTCGTTGGGCTTGATTGTACGAATATAGGACGGCGATGCTTTCATTAAGGTCGAAACCAGGTCATTGGCAGAAGCCTTGATTCTGTCGCCAGCGGTGGGCGGTCTGCGCTTGTTATCTTGGTCAACTTGGTTAGGGAAGAGAGTGTGAACGAAATTGTTCGAGCTCTGCCCACAGAGGTTGAGGATGTCCTTCAACAGCTGATCCTTGTTCTTGTCCGTCATTCCCTCGACAGCGTATGCGACATCACCAGCATAATGCTTGATGACGAACTGACCTTGTCTCGGCTGGAAGTTGGGGTTTGAGGATAAAGCGTTCAATCGCTGCACAAATGTGCCGTCCGCAGCTGCGGGATCAGCATGGGCAGTCGCACAAGCATCGTTCAAGGCTGCGAATACACCAGGAGGTCTCTTCTCTTCGATCAGTTCACACACAACCTTGTTGTCGAAGTATTTGATAGGAGTCCAGGTAATTTGCTCGCGCTCATACTCTTCTTGCTCGGCCTTGAGAGTCAGTTGGATGAAAATCTGTTGCAACTTCTCGTTGACGTAGTTGATACACAGTTGTTCAAAACTGTTGCGCTCGAAGATCTCGAATCCGTAGATGTCAAGAATACCAACTGAGTGAGAGATGGCACCCTTTGCGCGCAGCGACTGGTTGACTCTTTGGACGATCCAGTCGAACAAATTGTAATAAATGGCCTTGGCCAACGCGTCTCGAACAGAGGTGGCTTGCGCCGGGTTGAGAGGCACATCGTAGACTGATCCTCTTCTACCACCACGACTGGTCTCCATGACTCTGATTGTCAAGGCCTTGTTGACGTGAGCCGAATCAACCTCCAGAAGATAAGCAACAAAGTCAACCACAGACTGGTCAGCGATCGCAGCATTTCCTTGGTCGTCCTCTCCGAAGGTACAGTTTCCGAGCCAAAGAATTGCAGCAAGCATGCGGAAGATGTCGTCTTGCTCAGCCTGGGACAGACCAATAACCTTCATGGAGTTTAACGTGTCCTGGAATTCGGCATGGTCATCAATCCCTTGAACATCGTAGCACTTGGACGCGCTGGTGTAGACGTAAGACTGAGGTTGCTGAATGCCAAAGGTTTGTCTGTAGTTCTCCGAACACGCCTTGGTGAACTGGTAGAAGATGTGAAAGTTTCTCTCGTTCATAATTTGCCCAACGACTCTTGACTTTTCCAGTAGATAGTTGGTGATATTGGCTCCGACAGGCTCGCCTTGAGCGTTGAATTGAATCTCGAGGTATTTTCCAAATCGTGAAGAGTTGTTATTGCGCAGCGTTTTTGCGTTTCCGAACGACTCGAGCAGTGGATTTGTGGCCAAAACCATGTCTTTGGTCTCTTGGATAGATGAGTTGCTGCCGCCAGACACGTTGGCGATGTATTGCATGATACGCTTAGCCGCTTCAGTCTTTCCGGCTCCGGACTCTCCTGAGATGATGATACATTGGTTCTCTTTGTACGCGTTCATGTTGTAGTAGGAGGACTCGGCGATGGCGAAGACGTGAGGAGCGACCTATAGGTAATCAGCACCGTACCGATACCATGACTGGGGGCACGCACTTCTAATCTGTTCTTTCCCTTGTAGCTATCGAGCACCTTATCGGTATAGATACCCACTGGAGCAGGCGGGTCAGCACTCTAGAAAACCAGGTAGCATGGGGGGCTTCTTACGGTCTCTGAATGGATTCACCGACACCAGCACGTGGCCGATGTACGTCTGCACAGAATCACTATCAGCGTCTGATCGAGCATGTCCGATGTCGAGGCGCGCATACGTAAATCTCGCCATTTTCGAATCGCTTCTTCAAGTTCTCGTTGATGGCTTCATTGGAGATCTTGCTGATGAGGGTGAGATCCGAGACTCCGACCTCCTTCTTCTTTGTCGATTCGAAGGCCGCCTTTCTGACTTGAGGCTTTCCGCCCGAGGCTCCTGGTTGTGCGGCGGCGGCATCCTTCTTTCTTCCGGCACGTTTGGTTACGGCCTGCGAGGTACAGTCAGTGAATTGGCGCAGCGTGACGATGCAGCCGGGAACCGCTCACCATAGTGGGCCTGATCTAATGATGGAGGGCAGTCGTAGCTCGTGTCGGGTGAGCCAACGCTGTGAGTATGCTGGACGATGGCGGTATCCAAGCAAAGAATATGAGCGGAAGCGACACAAGACGGTCGTGTTCAAGAATTGGTTGTAATCTGGCTAAGATTGGAGGCCACTGCCATCGAAGCCCAAGTTGCTCCACGTCCACGGAACGAGCACCAGCCACGATGCGTCATGGCGCGCCGACCGGTGCCGAGAGGATCGACGAGCCGCTAGCGAACAGACACACTTTCTTATGCAGCTCTCTCAGCCCACGACGCTGCCGCGAGATGCTGCTTAAGAAACGCCATGTGCTTGTTACCGGCTTACTAACCCCAGCCGTACGCCGTATTTGTACGCGCAATGTCCCAATGCTAAGCCATACAGCAGTACACTTTTTCCAAGTCTTGACGTTTCTTTAGGCACCTGCATTCTGGAAACATTCTTACTGAAATCCCGAAATAGTCATTCGCCTCTTATGCATTGCTAGACAAAAATTCATGGCTGCGATCATAGGTATCCAACAAGAAACGAATCAAAACTGTCCTGCCAAAGCCCAGCCTCCTCAAAACGCCTCGCTATCCGCACCAAAGTGGTATTAAAGAAACGAAACAGAAAATCAACAAGGCCCCCATCGTTACGACCTTACCTCGTCACCTCCAAGCCTCCCCACCGTTACCCAGTCAATCTTGCGTGCGTGCTCATTGACCCAGGAACCTTGCCACTGCAGACGTTCTTCTCCGACACCAGTACAGCCGAGACCGCCGCCTTCTATCCACTGGTCAAGTACTTGAAGTAAGAGCAGCATCTTCTCTTCAACCATGTTGGCTTGCACCATGTCCGCAAAAAGCTTCTGCCCACGCCCCGGCTGAGAGCCATACAGCAGTGCATGAATAGAATGTACCAAAGTTTGGCGGTCTCTGAGCAATTTTGTTGGTAAGTCGTGCTTCTCTTCTATTGCACGTACTCCTTCTACGGGCACAAGCGTTGCAGATGTGTGCAAACCATCGGCAGACAGAACGAATTTCGTGTGATCAGGGAAGTGAAGCTGTATCTTGCGTAAGCATCTTCTTTAGCAGTATCATCACGCTTCAAACATACCTGTACACAGCCGTCCGAGAAACCCCAGATGCCGACGTTGCCTGATCTCTGATAGAATCGAACAAAGAGCAAGTCCGACTCCGCATCTGATTCGTCGTCTGCACAGTCTGCCGTCTCGGTTGCATTGAGTGTCTGGCTCATGTATCGGCCAAACTTCACCCACAACACTCGGAGCATTCGAAGTCGTTCCCTCGTCTTCTCGTCTCTTGTTGCAAGATCAAGCCTTTCCAAACCGTTGGAACCATGGTCTTCAAATATCCTGAATGGAACGCGTTCCAAATGCTCAAAACGCTTTCCTATGCGAGCGAGCCAGCGTTCTCCATTCTTGACTGCCACATGGGTTACAGGGGTGCCGCTTGCCGCGGAACCATTGATGACACATCCTACTGTGCCATCGTCCAAGACATATCCAACTCCATGCTTCTTGCTGTAATCCACCCATCGGCTTACGAAAGGAAGTGGTTTTGATGGTTGTTGTGGAACACGTCTGGAAGGTGCTAGATGCTTCCTCTTCAAGGCAGCGGCCAGATTGTCACGGAATGTGCTCAAACGCTGCAGAACTGCGGTTGGGTCAGATCCAGGGAAGGCTGAAGTAGACTCTAGCATTTTTCTCCTTGGTACAGGGAGTTTTGCAGCCATGGCTGGAGGAGGCGGAAGGACCGGTCTGGCTATATTCTCCTGCTCATCAAAAATCTCGACGACTTCTTGGCTGGGTTGTTTCGACCTTGATCGTGAGCTTCTGGTTGCCAATGTTTTCGGAGCAATTTCCAAGTCGTCACGTATTGCGTCCGCCAAAGCTGGGATTTCACGGTCGGACAAGTTCTTCCGTGGTGCTCTTGGGCGTCGTGCTAAACTCGCATCCACACTGCGCTTTGAGACTGGTATGATTTCGCCGCTCTGAGGCTGCGAAGATGAGGGAAGGAAGTTTGTGCCGCTAAATGCTGTCTGACTCAAAGGGTTAGTTTGGCTGAGAGTGTTCAGACGAGAGGACTGGCGAGTCGACTCGGGTGCAGATTCTTCCTTGTCATCTGGGATGGCGCGCGTCTTTCGAATCGGGCCTGCTCGCCTGACACGCGGTGGTGGAGGTGGCATTAACTCAGCGTCTTTCTTCTTCTTGGTTTCGTCCGAGCTGCTTTCCTTTGCCTGAACCTCGTTGTGCGATATCTCCTTGAGTTGCCTTGTGTCAGGCTCGCGTTCCTCTGCGATTTCTGATAATGCGTTCCTGGGCTGGAAGGCGTCGATACTGTTGCAATTTGGTGACGTATAAACCGTGTCTGACGGGATCGGAATCACGGGCTGACGGCCTGCAGCGACCTCTCTCTCAATGTCTCTGACGATGCTGCGTATTTTCTTGCCCGCGTTCAGCTGGAAACACTTTCCTGGCGCATACTCGCCAACTCCAGATTCTTTGCAGACATGCCACCAGGATTCGCTGTAACCTCTTTGTAGCACTTCTGGACTCGGTGGCTGTACGTTGGGCCATGAGGGAACTTTGCTGACTTGAGCGCGACTCATTTGTCTCGGAACAAAGGCAATCTTGAAGAAGGGATGCGAAACAATCTGGTCCGGACACGGGCGAAGCTCTTCAGAGACCAGTAGAGAAGAAACCAGGTCCCGTAGGTCTGCAGAGATTTCGTTTGTGATTGAAGACAACTCAGGCCATGAGTAGTCGCCTGCTTTCAGTTTCTTGTAAATTTCTTCCTTGGATGATGCGTGGAAGGGAGCTCTTCCAACAGCGAGAGTGTATCTACCCGTGTTAGCCACCGGGTGAGTAATGAGGGCAAGCATGACTTACGCGATGATGCCGATAGCCCACAGATCAACCTTTTCGCTGTGACCTTTTCCCTTTTCTAGGATCTCAGGGGCCAGATAATTGGGAGTCCCACACATGGTGGTCCGGCGCTTGGCATCCATGTCTTTTCCGCTGACGAGCAAGGCGGCAAGGCCAAAGTCGCCGACCTTGATGTTCATCCTCTCATCGAGAAACAGATTTCCGGTCTTGAGGTCGCGGTGGACAATGTTGCGCGCATGCAGATATTTGACGGCGCCAGAGACTTGGATGATGAAGCGACGGATTTCGGGCATAGTGATGTTTTTGCGACGCTTTAGCATGTCGGCAAGCGAACCGCTAGAGCATAGTTCCAGGACGACGTAGGTGCTCTCGCCAAAAGAGAATGCGCGGTGGAAGGCTACGATGTTAGGGTGGGACAACTTGGAATGAATTTGCAGCTCGGTGATGAACTAGAGGGAAGAGGTCAGAAGTCAGAAGGAGAAGGAGACAGGTTGGACGGTGAAGTCCACGGGGGCGCACCTTTTGCGCCAGCTTCGCGGGCTCCATCCTGGACTTGACAATCTTCAGAGCGACCAGATGTCCGGTGGGCTGGTCGCGTTCGAGTCGTTCGGCCTTGAAGCAAATGGCGAAGCCGCCTTTGCCCAGTTGGTTGGCGGTGGCATAGTTGATCCCGTGCGGTTCCGAGACTATAGAAGGCGGAGGCTCCGCGTGGACAGACATGTTTAATATCTGCTGCGTGTATGATGCTGGTAAAAGGCTGGTCGTGTCTCCCTCTGGCGAAGAGAGAAGCGTCGAGCGTCAAGCGTCAAGCTTGCTCTGCCATGTTATTTTGTTTACCCACGCTTTCGGCACAGCAACCGACCGGCCTAAGACGCCGCCGAACGCCGACCCAAGAATCCCAAGAAACCCTGCGTCCGCCGTCCGCTGCCCTCGTGCGTCATGCCAATGCCGCTTGTTGCTGCTGCTGCTCTCTGTTGACTTTGCTGCCATTGGTGTCGTAACTATATCGACTTTCCATGTTCGCCGGCTTTCAATGTCGTTGACCTTCAAGCTCGCCTCTCTGGTGATTCGTACAGTCGCAAAACCAATAGGAGTATGCACCCTCCCCTCCAATTCAGATGCGATGCTGACGCTAGGCAGAACCGAATCAAACAGTCGGCCAGAGAACATGACACTTTTCGAAGATACTGCGTGGGCTTCGCTCAGGGACTCCATCGTATAGATATGCGCATGCGACTGGGCATTCTACACGACGCTGCTGCACAGGAACGCATGCATGCAAGAGAAGCTGCAGAGGCTGCCGCCAAAAAGAGACTCTCCGAAACCCCCACCGTCAGGACTGAAGCCCAGCAAAAGGCGGATGATCAGGCCGCTGCAGATCTCAAAGAGAAGGAAAGCAAAGCTGTACCGAAACCCAGAATCCGTCCGCTTTCCGAATCAAGAGCTATCGAGTTAGGCGCAAACTTCCTCTCCGAATCCTTCATCTTCGGCGTCGCCGTTGGTTTGCTCGTATGGGACCAATGGAGGTCGAGGAGGAAGGAGAACACACGGAGAGAGGGCATCGACGATCGTTTGGAGGCGCTGGAAGATCACACTCGCCAGATCGTTGACCTGCAATCCGAGGTTGACCGACTTAAATCAAAATACGAACCTCTGGCCAAGCCCGTTGAAGGTAGCGAGGACGAAAAGAACCCCGACCAGCTATCAAAGAAGAACTCAGAGGCTCAGGCTTCTGTGGATAGAAAAGACACAACAACGAATTCAGAGGCTCAGACCCCTGTGACAGAGAAAAGCACAACAAATAAAACAGACGAAAAGGACGTAAAGTCAGAAAGGGCTGCGCTAGTGGAGCAAAGTTGATAGACGACTAGCCAGCTCTGCTCTCGCACATGTACATATTTTTCACGCCGCTCAAGATACCCTACACAGTCATACATCTCAACTCAATAGAGCAAAAAATTTCAAACACGCACTCTGTCTTTGAGCTCACGATCAAGTTAAGGTCATGGCAAGGCAATACCTTTGGTAAGGATGTATCCGTGTCCCGTGGATTTCGCCAACACAAAGTACGATGTATAGCTGAGTCAAAAGAACCAAAGCCCCCAACGCCAAACATTAAAAAGATGGGCTCCTCGGAATCTGGGAGCAGTAGTAGCAGAACTAGAAGATGGAGTTGACAATGTTGCCACCAATGGTGGCTCCAGCACCGAAAATGGCAGCATTTCCTAGCTGGAAAGATGTCAGTAGCACTCGTAAAAAGTTGATCACTTTGGTAATTTACCTTTTTTCCAATTTTTTTACCACCCTCTTGCATCTTGGTGGGCACCTTGCCGCTGCCATCGCCCTGACCACTAACCTCAAGAGGCATGTTGCCGTAGCTGGTGGGTGCAGACTGCGGCAGAGCATTCTCGATCACGCGGACATATGAGCGGGGGAAGATTCCCTCTTGACCAGTGCGTGAGGAACGGCCCTTCCACCACTCGGCATTCATGTACTCCATGACGTTGATGTGGTCGTTGGGTTGAAGCTCGAGATCGCCAGGGTCGGTTCCGTTGTATGCGTACAGAGCGGTGGCTTGAGCAAGTGGGGGCATCGACGGGGGTGGGGCAGCATATGCAGGAGGAGGAGCAGGAGTTGCTGCTGGCGAGGGTTGGTAGAAGTTGTTTGGCTGCTTCTTCTCGTCGTCTCTGTGGATGTTCAGGTTGGCCATAGGTGCTGTGGGGGCGGCATCGTTGATGGGAACAGCGCCAGGCACAGCGCCGACGGACAAGGGGGCGTGCAGAGCAGTTTGGGCCGGGATCTGTGACAACAGCGACGACAGCTGCTGCGGTGTAATGACAGATGCGTCGCACAAGTACTCGAGTTCCTGTTCAATCGTCAGTCGGCCTTGTTGCGTCGTCGCTCGGACGTTTCGCTATTTCCGCACCGCTTTGATGGTCCGGATCGACCGGTTGAGCTGGGCAATCTGCATTTCCTCGAGTGGTGCCATGGTTGTTTCTTGGTGAGCGAAGCGATTATCACAATGATCTGACCGAGGAAAGAGGGGTTTAAGAACAGTCGCAGAAGGCACCGAGTCGAGGCTGGGCAGTGCACTCGTGTCGTCGCGTTGTTTCACATGCGATGCGGCCTGGCCAAGCCTCCTGCAACGTCACGTCGTGTTCGTATTCTTCTGACTTATATTTCCCTATCAATTCAGCTATCTGCTATCTCTACATGCTGGCTCTACTGCGAATGCTGTGCCATCATCTTTGCAATGTGTGCATTCATACCGTGGAATGCCTTCTGCCTCTCCTGTTCCCACCCGTTGAAGGAGCCCTCCGACATGCCAACCGGAATCTGGTCCTTGCCTGCCTCGAGCCCAGCCCACGTTGCTTCCGTAAAGTCTTTGAGAGGCATGCCGATCTGTCCGCCGTTCTTGATGTCCGGTTGGTGTTTTTCGTCATGCAGCTCGGTCTGTACGGCGGGGGGGAAGATCTCGATAACCTGGATGTTACCAGGTCCGTTCTTGAGCTGCTCTCGGAGCACCAGAATGAAGTGATGCAGTGCCGCCTTGGAAGCACAGTAGTTAGGGCATCTCATCATAGGAATCTATCGGATGTTTGTCAGCGAATTGTTATGAATGGAGCTCCCCTGCCTTCTCATTCGCAACCATGTTTAAGTCAAATAATTGCCACAGCGCAATGCTATGATCGATCGAATCTTCCTAAGAGGATTGACAGTGTTGGACACCAATTGATTGTCAAGGTACCTTCATCGACAGACCGAGAGCGTCTTCGTTTGTCGCAACACTAACGAAAGAAGCTACTCATGCTCGAAACATGATATTGAAGGAAAGGCGGCAATCAATCACTTACCAATGCTAATCCAGATGTGGTGAAGATGAAGGAAGTCTGCTTGCTCTGCTTTTGAAGATAAGGGGTGAAGGCGGTGACTAGATGGATGTAGGAGATGTAGTTTGTGTTCATTTCTTCCGAAACAGAGCTGAGATCAATGCTCTCGGGCTTAGAGAAGTCGAATCCTCTCTGGATGCCGGAGTTGAGGAAGATGCTGTCAATGTCCGCGTGGGACTCCATGATGTCCTTGACGAACTCAGGAATTTTGTCCAGCTGCGTGATGTCGAATTGTACTGCCTCGGCCTTCTCTTTGCCATGTTGAGACACGAACTCGTCCAGCTTCTCCTGTCGGCGGCCAGTAACAATGACCGAGGTGCCATTCTGGACCAGCTTGCTTGCGAGAGCCCAGCCGATACCAGAAGTGGCACCAAGAACGAGTACTTTGTTATAGTTGAAAGGCATTGTGATTTGGGTCTGAGATGCGAGGAATCAAGAAATGAAAGACTTGGTCGCCGGCAGTTGATTGTTTTATCCTCTTGCCTGTGCGTTACATCATGTCAAAGGGTTCCAGACCGGACGGAGATAAAAGATGTCCATGTCCGAATCATCCGAACTGCCGACGAAGAAAGTTCCCGTGTGAAGCTTTTGACAAGCAGATCTGTTTCAACAACATCCCTTACTCTCACGTTGTTAATCACAGACATTGCTCCTATTGTAGTCAACGAGATAGGTAAGGCTTTTGTCACTATAGACTTTCTACGGAGTTCACGAGAAGCATTTCGGCGACTCCGGTTTTCTCAGCGCCTCCCGTTAGAACTGCCGTCGCTTGGGTCCGCGATTTGACTTGTCGACAACCCAATCACTCCCTGCCACCTTGCCTGCGCCTGTTGTTCCACACGCGCAGAGCTTTTGCGATCGAGTGTGTTTTTTGTAATGCGTTGATCATCATTCGTTATTTCTTTCACAACATCAAATGTCCTTTGACCCTGTTCGCCATGACTGAGAAGGAGACAAGAGATGTCTGTTCTCCACTCTCGGCAGGACAGTCGAAACAAGCAGACAACCTCGAGCGAGAGATAGAAGGGCAAGCAATAGAGATGGATGAACAGCAGATTCAGTCGCATCACACAACTTCATCGCAACCTCTCGCGTCAAAGGCTCGCACAACCGCACTCGTGGTCACCCTGACTGGAGCAGCTTTCTTGAACACGCTGACCGTGCAGGCCGTGGTCATTGTGCTTCCAACCATCGGCAAAGCACTCAACATCCCGGTGGCCAGACAACAGTGGATAGTCTCGGCATACTCACTCTCCTTTGGCTGCTTCCTATTGCTATGGGGTAGACTGGCCGATGTTTATGGCAAGAGACTTATCTTCATCCTCGGCTCACTATGGGTCGCCATCCTTAGTACGTATCTTGAAAAGCGAGTTTTCAAGGCCATCATGGACACCATCAGCTATACCTACCTCATCCCAACAACGTTCTCAACGCCCACTTGCAGTCGCCGGAGGCCATCTCGATCTAGCAATGCAACGCACTCTGAATAATCGCTAGCTACGTTCGCGAACGTCGCTGCGACCCTACGTTGCTGATGGTGTTCGCCTAGGCTTAGATCCCAGACAATGGCTGCTTAATCACACAATAAGAGAGATGCGCTGACTGAATCCTCGTAGCTCTCATAAATCCTTTCGCGACCAACGAGATCGCGTTCGACCTTCTCCGTGGACTCCAGGGCATTGGCGCGGCCGCAAATGTTCCTACTGCCATCGCGCTTATCTCTGCCACTTTTCCCAGTGGCAGCGCCAGGAACTATGCTTTCTCAATATACGCCTCGGGTGCTCCCATGGGCAGCATCATGGGAAATCTTCTAGGCGGTCTCGTCGCACAATATGGTTCCTGGAGATGGATATTCTGGATCCTTTCTATCATGGCCTTCATCGTGACAGCGGCTGGCTATTTCATCATTCCTAAACTACCTCCACAGCCAGCTTCCGACGTGAAGAGTTCTATCGACTGGATTGGCGCGTTTCTGGTCACAGTCGGTGTTTTGGTGCTGCTGTTTGCGATGGCCGAAGGCAACGTCGTGGGATGGAGCAGGCCTTACATTCCAGTTTTGATCGTGTTGTCAGTTCTCTTCATTGTCACCTTCGTGTTCTGGCAACTCTATCTCGAGCAACGAAGTGAGCGACAACCCTTGATGAAAGTTACAATGTTCAAGCGCACGAGGGTCTCTGCCGCCATGTTAGCAATGGCCGTCTTTTTCTCGGCCTTCAACAACTACTTGATTTTCTCGACGTACTTCTATCAAGAGTATCTCGGCCTCTCTGCCATTCAGACTACCGTGCGATTCGTTCCGACTGGCGTGGTCGGCATTCTCACAATTCTTGTAACCTCGCGAGCACTGGCCCGAGTGCCGATAAACATTTTGTTGATGTGGGGAATGGCCTGTGTAGGACTGGCAAACTTGTAAGATCCTAGTCGCTCACTCTCTACTGAATGCTCTCGCTGACCTCCCATAGGCTCATGGTACGTACATCTTATCACTTCAAAAGCTCGTAGCGTCACCGGGGACTCTTCTGTCCTACAGGTTCGATGCAGCACAGCTCTCAAGGGGTAGCCCGCCCCTGAGAGCTGATCTTTGGCGACTGTTCTATCTCAGGGAGTCATTCCCTGCAAGAATCATGCTAACGGAGACATCAATGAAGGCTGTTCCCATACCACCAACAGAAACCTACTGGGCATATGGCTTTCCCGCCATGTGTTTAGCCGTATTCGGAGCGGACACTTTGTTTCCCGCGCTACTCGTCCTCGTCGCGCATAGTACGTCAATCGCAGGTGTAAGCTCCATGTCTCTGGAAACCCTACGCTAACACAGCTCGTTTTCATCAGATCTGCCTCCCGAAGATCAGGCTCTCGGTGGTGGACTCATCAACGCATTGGGTCAAATCGGACGAGCCGTTGGCCTGGCCATTGGTACTGCGATTCAAGTAGCAGTACAGAGCAGTCGTGAAGGATCGAATGTGGTGGATATCGACGGCAATGTTGGAGATCATGCTTACCTGCAGGGGCTGCATGCAGCTCAATGGCTCAACGTAAGTGACCTCGATTCCCGAAATTCACGAACACGTCTCGCAACTTGTCTCCAAGATGCTTGGTCAAAAACGGGACGTTGTTGGGAGAGGCGAAGTTTGCCTTTCCCTTGTGCAGAAGTTTGTCACTATCGTTCTTCTCTCGTGGCAATGTCTAGAAACACCGTTGAAGCTGTAAACATGCAAGATACTTCTGAGTTGCCCGCAGTAATCCACAGAGATGGACATGCTGAAGTCCTCTCACTGAGGGCGACTTTGATACGAGAAGCTCTGTGCATTGCTACACTCACGGGCGTGACAGACTTCAGCACAAGGATTGAAGACAACTCAAAGCGCACTACTCATCACCTCCTACCAAAAACATGCTGACAGTGCTTTTATTATAGGTGGGCTTTGCAGTGATGGGATTTCTGGTCGTTGCGTTTGCATTTAGGGGTGCAGGAGTGATTGGAGCACCAAAAAGCCGAGGTGGGCCTGGTTAGGTGGAAAAGGTCGTCACATTCATGCATACGCTCCATCTCATGTTTCAGATTCTCCCTTCAGCTCACAGCTTGCGGGTTGTCGTAGTGACATGTTCAAGCAAGGTTGACTGTAAAAGCTTCTGGCGCCCTTCTAACGTGCTTCTCGGGCCCTCCGGCGCCTAGCCCAAAAACCTTTAGGCTTTTGTCCACGTTTTTTCGTCCTTCGCACTTGGAAAGAAGCCGAGAGGAAAGGATGTCAGAACAGAGAAAATGCGAGGGCGGGCGGCGCAAGCCATGTCATGCACGCCAGAGGGAGTACCACCTCTTCGGAAAGAGGCTCCTGAGACTTTTCTTTTTGGGCTGACGAGTTTTTACGAAAAGTCAGCCTTCTCAGTGTGACGAGACCGCGACGTATCTTGCATGTATTGGGTAAGAAAAGTGACCTGCCAATGACATTCCAACCCGTACCTCCCACAGTAAAAGCTAAGCTCGATCGCTTGCTTCCTTGCTCAGCGTAGAAGGAAAGAAGAGTTGAGCGAGGCACACGTGGCCGGGCTCGATGCCCCTCGTCTCCGGAGTTCAAGACCCCGCATTGCTTTTCCACAGCACCTCTGTGCTTGTCACTCGTACTCCAGCGACTCGCAAGGCCAGAGCGAAGAGGAGCTGGGTTCTCGATGGTACTGTATAGACGGCGCTTGGCGCATCATGTCAAGGTCTGCACCTGAGAAGCAGTCAGCAACGAAGGTGCCGTTCCTTGCACATGGTCCCACTACTTGAGCTGAACCACCAACCTCGGAGCAACGGCCTCCAGGATGGTTCTGCATATGGACCACTCTATGCATTGCAAGACGCATATGCTGTCACTATGCCACAACCCCTGCTGCGATTATATGCAGTTGAGCAGTTTCGCTTCCTGACTGCAAGGTAGATCTCAAGGTTCAGTTGCATGCTCCTCGTGTGCTAAATTCTATCACGTCAACAACTCTCTTGCCGCAGTTATACACGTTTATACACTTGCCTGAGTGCACGACGAGTGCGAGTAGGACCACTCTGTCTTTAGAGAGCGACTCTCCAAAGTTCTCTCTTCAGATCCAGCGCCAATGTCGAACATCACTGTGCGTTCTCCCAGCTTCATGCGTGAGAAAGTCTAGCACTCGGGAAGTTGGAAACGGTAAAATTCAATTGGAGCTCCTTGCAATGCCTAGAAGCAATTCCACGTTTCATAAAGTGGCCCACCAACGCTCATGAGCCGTGGTCCCTGATCCAAAAGCAAAATTCCATGGGTATCGTGCATCCCCAAGCGCCATTTCCCCTCCATCACATGCCTAGAAATGATTTTCTGGCCAAGACCTTCGTCCCCTCTTTCTCGAACCGTCTCTTGCCGTCACTGAATGCGCGACTGCTGCGCCTCATAAATACGTTGCATCGATGTTGGGATGTGAAACTGGTCGATGAGTTTGACAATGGCAATACTATTGCATTGCACAATGTCGCAGTCGGCGAGTACGGCATTGGCTAGGTGCTTTTGAGTAACACTATCCAGCATGCAGGTTTGTTTCTCTGACAAGGTTTCCTGTGTAATATTCAGGCAACATCACTTGCCAATACTCTGCTGCTTCAAACAGGAATACCCCTCTCAGTTTTCCAGAGCTCAAAGGCTAATGTCGGGGTGCGCTTGATGACTCCAAAGACATCCTGGGTGCTGGCGAGTTGAGGGTGATTCCTGAAGGCTTGAATAACAACGTCTCGGAGACCTCGGTCGTTGTCAATGGTCGAGCAGTAGACTTCCTCAATCGCATCGGCGAACTCTGGCGAATCGTAGTAGCAAGCCATGGCCATCTCGAATTTGCTTTTTGCAAGAGCTTTCAGAGCAGGTATGTCATATTTCTCTGCCAACGCGTAGACACGAGTGTGGGTGAGAAGGTTCGAGTCATCGGTTTCGTACTCGCAATCATCGTCCTCATCAGAGTCGCACTCGGAGCCAGAACCTGAAGCACTCCCGGCACTTGCACCGCGGAGTCCAATCTTGCCTTTGGGGCTCATTGCACGTGGTGAACGGTCGACACTCGAGTCATGCCTCGCTTGCGAAAGGAGATCAGCACCTTCCGTCGGTGTAATTGGTGTGGGTGGGGCACAAGCAGCCGCCTGAGCGAAGAGAGGGTCCACGATGTGCGACAGATCAAGCTTTTGTGGTCTTTGTCTGAGAGCTTCTTGAGCACGGTGACGGAAGACAGGAGAAGCCGGCTCGTCCTCATCCTCAGGTGTCAGGTAGTCCAAATGGTAGAAGTCTAAGCGGTCAGTAAGATTGTGTAAGAAAAAGGGGGATTGGCTGACGAGTAGCCTGCATATCGTGGCGCTGAGCAAAGCAGCCGCCAGCAATGCAGACCAATCCCGACGCACCCGGACAGTCAGGGACTTACAGTGAATCATGTGCTCGACAGCCTCCTCATCCTCTTCGCTCAAGTCAATCAACCCAGTCTTAGCTTCGCGAAATTGGTTGCTACAAGCTCCATCGAAGAATCCAGATCGCGAGCAAAGGATGGCCCGGTGCACGTTGTATTCTCTAGAGTTGCATTTGACAGTAAGATCGGAGTATTTTCCACCCAAGTGAAGCCTAGTCAAATTAGCGACCGATGAGAGAAGGGGGGGCAGCCTAGAGTGGAAGCTCACGTGGAAAGAGCAGACATCAATTCCTTCCTTGGGGATTCCATGACGGACAGTAGACGCTCTTCGGGGTGTGAGGTGGAGAGCCGAGGGTGCAGTGTGATTTTTAAGGTTATTTGACAATGGAGATTTTTTCAGGGGCAAGAAGATCCTTCGAGTCGAGAAGTGGTCGAAAGGAGTTTGTTGACAGCCAGAAGGTGCGCAAGAATGGTGGTAGAGGATAGACAGATAAACAGTAGAGATATTGCTGGAGGGAAAGCTGTGACATAAGTAAGCCCAGACCAAAACCACCAGTACTTGTATTCAACGCGTGACCCTGACAAAAACGATCGGACGCCCTGGGCACTGACGCGTACCGAAGGACTCCGCCGAGTCGCCGTGTATCGGTGATGATGGGAGTTCTTGTTGCCGACCTACGTCAAAGGGTTTTGCGTGTGTGATTGTTGCAGCAATCTGCGATCGCCAACACCAATAATTGCTTAGGCGGCGTTCCCCACAGTGACCAAAGTTTAGGGCACTAGTACTGTACTTGTAGCAGCGCGTGGCAGTGTGAAGATATGGCTAGATTCGATGGCGTCCGGCTTGGAAATAAAGTCTTTAGGAGAGTAATATCGGGTGGAAGACGGGCTGGGCTATCTAGATGAGTGAGGGGACACTGCTCGTTTTAATCCTCGCTGCTTCGCAATCAGAACTGCGCAAATTCTAGATCACTTCCTCAGGGGCCAGTACACACGGAAGTGACTTTCGGCGAGTCCTTCATGCTTCGGCACCTCGCATACGCGTTGGCCGACTGTGTGTTTTGTCTTGCGTGCATGGGCGCGGGCTTAAACAAACTCGGCCTCTAATTGATAGGCTGAAGCAAAAGCGACTAAATTCTGGCTGGCGCTCGACAACTCCACACCTACAAAGTCTTGTGGCTTGACAAGGCTAGGCGAGGGTACATGAAAACATCGACGATTGAGTGTAGCCTTCGCAAGCACAAAAAGCTGTTTCGAGCTACCAGGTCTATTAGATCTACTGTGAGCAGCTTGGGCGCATTCCGAGTCGGCAGACGCAAACCCCCAGAATGAGCAAAGAAGTTGGCACTCGGTGCCATGTGGAGAAGATGATCTTCTGGGACTATGCGGAAGTGGTCGAGGAGGCCAAAGTTTGATGCTGCAGGGTCTTTTTTACAAGTCGCGTGCCAGCGGCAGGGCTTCTGCACGCGGACAAGTCGAGGAGAGCGCCATGGTCATGGTTCGAGCCACACAGGTTTGGCGGCGCGAGCTGTCGACCATCCATTCCCATCTGGCTGTGGGTGCTGAAACGTGCACATGATGAATGCATGGACGACGAACCTTGGAATGTAGAATCTGGGGCATCGCATCTCAGCCCAAGATGTGCTTGTAGCACGGACTCCAGATCCCGATCCACGGACCGTACACAGCCTTACGCCAGACCCATCCAGTCGACAGGTCTCTAGTGTTCAGGATACAGATAGGGTCTTTAACCATCCGTGGTCAAAGGTCATGGAAGTCTATCTGAAATGGACACTGTTTTTCAGTCATGTATTTCCCAAATATCTTGAATCCGATGGATATAAGTGCCCCCAATGCTGCGCGAGACCATTTTGCAACGATTGACAGTTTACTGTATGACTTGAGTCTCCGATACTCTCCGCCGTTTGATCCGACTGGATGTCTTGGACATTGCACAAGATGCAAGATATGCTGGTTGAGCTTGAATTGAGAGCAGCACTTGTAATTTCAACACTCTCTTAGTAGTGCTGTCCTCTGAAATGCGTGCGAATGGGCAACGAGCTTCAGACGTTGTTGTCTCCATTTCTCAAATGCCGATTCCGTGTAGTAAGGGCAAGGCCACCTTACTGCAAATTACGTCCTCTTCGATGAATAGGGGCAGATGTTAGAGCGCAACGGACGTCTCGTACAGCCGCTAATTCGGTTGTGGTGGTTGAAGGGAAGGGATGGCTTAGATGACAGACAAAACTTGTGTAGGCAGACAGGACAAAAGTCCGTGGAATCTCTCCTCAGCAATCTCCGAAAGGGCTACCAACCGACAATGTATGTTCCAGGGGGACGGTATAGAATAAAATTACCTGTGGCCTTAGGCACATGACCATCTCAGCAGTAGTTTGATGAGCCAAAAACAGGGTCGGCTCATGCTGTGTGGCATTTCTGTGTTGTGTGGCACGACTGTGATGTCGGCGAACGGTATTGGATAGAGGCCGATCTACTCGTTTGTTGTTGACGATCCCTGGCAGTTACAAATTTTTCTACACGAGCACTTGAGATTGGTTCACTCAAGTGGAATATCAGAGACCACCAAGGTAGAAATTGTTCGGCGTGGTTGTAAAGCAAGATGGCGGGTAGCAGATGTGCTCAAAATCTGGAAAATGTGGCTGGATGGAGTCCGGTCTTGGTGATGAGATCCAACGAGTCTCACCAGCTGAGCGATGGCTAGTAATTGTGCAGTAAAAGATCAAACAGCAAGTTGGTGGCATGGGAATCGATGGTGAATGAGGTGTTGTATGTGATGACGTCGGCAAGCAAGCGCCGGTCACTGTGACGAAGCCGAAGATTGACAAACAGCAGCAGCTCCGGAGAAGTGCACCACCTTGACTATCGCCCGGCGCACTTTTGCACTCACATCACCTTGACCGCCACAAGCAACCTACAATACAACAGAGTCTGACAGTTACTGGCCAATCCCAACCCCAGTCATCATGGCCGACGTGTTCAAGCTGTCGGCGTCACTCAAAGGGCACGAAGACGACGTAAGTGAGTGGCACGGCGAGACCGCACATCTCAAGCGCTGACTGTCAACTCCTCTAGGTCCGCGCCGTCGTGTCTCCTTCGGCTCGCTGTATCTTCTCGGCCTCGCGTGACGGCACCGTCCGACAATGGCTGCTCACCTCTCCCAACCCGCCGACCTACGACGACACAATCGCCGTCCAGGCTTCCTCTTTCGTCAACTCGCTGACCTACGCTGCTCCCTCGTCTGCACACTCCGACGGCCTCTTGGTTTCTGCCGGAAAGGACACTATCATCGACGTCCGTCGCCCCTTCCAAAGTCCAGACACTGACGCCGAACGCTTGCTTATTGGCCACGCCAACAACGTCTGCTCTCTCGACGCCTCTCCCGATGGCGATACCTTGGTCAGTGGTGGATGGGACACACAGGCAAGAGTTTGGAGCATCTCCAAGGGCGAATGCACCGCCGAGCTGAAGGGACATGACGCCGCAGTCTGGGCTGTCATGGTATACGACGACAGCACTATTATCACAGGCTGTGCCGACAAGACCATCCGCATCTTCTCGCTTGGAGGCAAGCTCCTGCAGACGATACCTGGCTTGCCCGATGTTGTGCGCGCTCTCTGCAGACTGCCCTCTGGTCACCCTTCCGGCGCCGCTTTTGCCTCAGCAGGAAACGATCAGGTCATCCGACTTTGGACTTTGGATGGCGTTGAGGTCGCACAACTTCATGGTCACACCTCCTTCATTTACGCTCTTGCTGTCCTCTCAAATGGCGACTTGGTTAGTTCCGGAGAGGATAGGACTGTGAGAGTATGGAAGGGCACAGAATGCATTCAGACCATCACACATCCGGCTATCTCGGTCTGGGCCGTAGCTGTGTGCCCAGAGACTGACGATATCATCACCGGTGCTAGCGACAAGATGATCCGAATCTTTAGCAGAGACTCAAGCCGCTACGCAGATGCCGAGGTATGCAATTCCCATGGTGTAAATCCTCTCTTCTCTTCTCTGACCAGACTTGCAGGCTTTGCGTGCATTCGACGAGAGTGTTAGCTCATCCTCGATACCGCAGCAGACGGCAAGCGAAGGGCAGCAAATCAATAAGGAACAACTCCCTGGTCCCGGTATGTGTGCAAAATTCCTTTCAATTTTAGACAGAATTACTGACAGCCCGAAAGACTTCCTGCAGCAAAGGTCAGGCACCAAGGAGGGCCAAGTTCAAATGATCAGAGAAGAAGATGGCAGTGTTACAGCTCATACCTGGTCGTCGGCCGCTCAGCAATGGATCAATGTAGGCTACCTCGAGAAAGCACCAAATTCGAGAAACTGACAGTCTTCCACAGGTTGGCACTGTAGTCGACGCAGCTGCCAGCAGCGGCCGCAAGGTGACCCACGAGGGCAAGGACTACGACTTCGTCTTTGACGTTGACATCAAAGATGGGGAACCCCCTTTGAAGCTGCCGTACAACATTGGACAGAACCCCTATGATGTTGCGAGCAGGTTCATCGCCAACAACGAATTGCCCATGACCTACCTTGATCAGGTTGCCAACTTCATCACCACAAATACTCAAGGAGCGACACTAGGTTCATCTTCGCAGCAGCAAACCCAAACGCCCGGCGCCGATCCTTGGGGTAGCGAAAACCGCTATCGTCCAGGTGAGGCTGGTGCTCCTGAACCATCCGGTGGTACCCGTCCACGCTCCTTGCCTCAAACACAATATCTATCCATCACCACTGCGAATCTGTCTGCTATTCGCAAGAAGATCGGCGAGCTCAATGACACTATCTCATCAGATCTTGCTCTATCGTCGGACGAGCTGAAAGCAGTGGACAACTTGGTCAAGCAATTGCAATCCAGTCCCAAGGACCCCAAGCCTCAAGCAGACCAACTTTCTGCAGTTCTCAAGGTTGCTACCAAATGGCCATCAGCAAACCGTCTTCCCGGTATCGACCTTCTGAGACTGACCGCTGTAGCTCCCACTTTCGCAATGCACACAAGTGGCGGAACTGGCACTATTGTGGAAACTCTCACCCTGAGTGGTGTCTTTGCTGCAGACACCGACAAGCCCAACAACACAATGCTAGCTATCCGCGTTCTTGCAAATCTCTTCATGACAGAGGAGGGCAGACTGGTAGCTGACGGCTGCTTTGAAGATATCATCTCATCCACTCAGCCATTCTCCAGTACTTCTAACAAAAACCTGGCCACGGCGATTGCGACCCTGTATATCAACTACGCAGTACTACTCACATCCAATGCTCCTGCATCGGAGTCTAAGACACGTGAGCAGCGTGCAGCCGCAGTCATCAACGCAGTGTTGAGCATCATCAAGCCGGAAGGTGACAGCGAGGCCGTCTACAGAGCACTTGTAGCAGTTGGCACGCTGATGTCGCTAGGCGATGAATTTAGGAGGGAGGTTGCGCAAGCAAAGGACATGGGCAGCCTTCTGCAAAGCATTGAGAAGAGCGCTTTGGGCAAGGAGAACAGAATCAAGGCTGTCACTAACGAAATGAGGGATCAGTTAAGGTAACCACACAAGGATAAAAGCGATGCATAACGAAAGCTATTAACTGTAGATGAGAAAGCCTTAGAGCTAACAAGCAATAACAAAAAGGGCTGCAGAGTGCTCCTCCGAGCTCATGTGGAATACGATATTGTTCTCACTCGATAGCCCAGTCCTCGACCCAGAATTCTATCATGCTCTCTATAACATCTTTGTCCACCTGTCCTGTCAGGACACCGAACGCACTCCTGCTACTCTGCAGGACATCATCGGATGAGAAAAGACCCTCTGACTCGGGTGTGGACAAAGCGCGGTGAGCGAGTGCAGCCTGAGCAACGTGGCCCAGAGAAGTGAAGATGTCAGAGGTCAAGTCGACGGCTAGAGAAGGTAATGGCAAGTCAGGGGTGCAGTGCGCCAACATATCCAAGGGCCGAACCGCGGACGAAGGCTTAGGTCTGGGCCGGCTGATCGACTGTGCGTGGGTCTTGACAATTCCGACGAGTCCGTCCAGTTTCGCCAGGGGGAGAATTGGTATCCACGAAAGTTCCGAGCGCGTCATGAACTCGGCTTGAAGAAGTGCGTAGCTGCGTATCCCATCCATTTCGTCCGCCTGAGTAGCATTGAGGAGGTCTCTTGCAGATGAGAATGGCTTGGATGCCGAGAGTGACATGACAATAGCGACATCGAGACCACCGGTCAGAGAGACAAAGTGCTGGATGCGTGAGAAAGTGCCTGGCAATTTGGTCTCTGACATGTTGTTTGGCGACAGCAAGAGTAGGCGTAGCGTTCGCTTTGGCTTCGGATCGTGGGTGATCTTTGGGAAATCAGGCAGTGGTAAGGCGATGTCATGGGTCTCTAGCTGTGATTCTTCGGGTCGATTAGATGGTTGACATTTCTCAGTTCTTCATCTTTGCTAACCCTTGATTGCAAGTCCAGATGGCGCAATCAGCGAGGGAATGACGGATGCGAAGGACGAGCGGCGACGAAGAGTAGTGCAGAACATTTTTGTGTTCTTGATTCTGATTTTAGCAGGAGATTCTGAGATGAACGGCAGACAAATTGATACAAGTGTGCTAGTAAGAGAAGTCACGGTCAAAACAAGGCTCCCTCCTTTTATAGCGCCTTCCTACAAGATTCGTAGAAAGGCTCGGGACTTTCTGTGGCAAGCGCGATCAGCCAACGGAGTCTGATAATCATTAGACCTGTATGTAATAGTCATTTTCACCGTGCTTGTTCAATGTAAAACACTGATGGGCCTAAAGCACATCATCCCCCAGAACAGAACGGGCACTTTCAATGGACATTCTACGATTTCAAAAGCATCATGCCTTGAGACAGGTACTAGGTCCTGACTCCTCGGCTGTGAGAGAGAGAGAGAGCTGCATCGATATGCATCTCTGGTCCTTCAACAATTCTCCAACTTCAGAGGCACCTTCGTCATCATCTCATCATCTTCCATCATCTCTCACCACCTTCTACCATCATCATGGTCGTCTACGACCGCGCCACCTTCGAAGGCGACAATAGCTACGATGATGATGATGACGATAAGGTCTCTGCTGCAACTAGGCGCCGCCTTATCGTACAATCCTTGGCCCAGACTCTTTGTTATGGCTACGACTCAATTGTAAGGATAGACATCTATGCCTTTGTTACGGCAATAGACAACCGGACTCGAAGGTCCAGTCTTTCACTGTGTACTGTGCTTGTCTATCGGGCTAGACAAAAGGGTACCCTCGAAATTGATCAAGATATGTAAGATAAGAATCGATCAATATGTTCTCTTTCTGCTTCTAATGATTTTATTCATGGTAAGATAGTATCACTCCTATTGTTTACACTGCAGATGTGCAAAACATGTTTCAAAGATGTATTTAGGTGTCTAATACACGAGAAAGTAGACAAGAGACAATGTCTAGTAAGGTGCTAAACTCTACAAGACGTGTTTCTGTTATAAAGAAAAGGATGTGTAACTTTTTCTTGGTTGTCTTTTGTCTGGACATAAAAGAGGAAAGATTACATAACATCAACTTTTTACCTTGCTTCAATAGCATGCGAATACGTTCGTCAAGAATATCCGGCATTGAACATAAAAAAAAAGGAATCTTTGCAAAAGAAGGGCTTGTTCTTGCATCTGTCCGCTATTAGAACCGGGACATCGTACATTCTGAAATATTCAGCAAGTTCCCGCGTAGCTGCCGTCAGCTTGGGATGCGAGATGTGTAACCATCCTTTCCTCTCTATATCTCGAAATGCTTAGAGTATCGTAAGATGGAGCGGTTGTGATTGAAGAAATCAACATCCTTGGTAGCTTGACCGCGTCCGGCACAGACGTCTCCAATCTCTCTATCTGGAGGAATACAACGCCCGCTCGCTGTCTCTAGACAGCAGGTTAAGTCGTATTCAGACTCCGGTCATCCTGAAAGAAACAACCCCTCATCTGCATTCTCGAAAGACAATGTGCACTGTAGAATTGCACAATTTTAGCATTTTCAGAGGTAGCCTCCATTGAGAGCGTGATATTTAGCGCCTCTCTAAGGACGACTAGAGATATTTCGAAAACATTGTGCATTTCTACGGACCAAACAACCCCCAGCATGGCCGTGGGAGATGGCTAAAAGTGACAGAGTTTAGCACACGGGGAGGTGACGTGCTTCTCTATCTAATTGGTGACATTGGCGGTGATGAAGTTGAAGGAGTTGCCAAAGTTGCCCTTCTGAGTGCTGAAGTTGCTCTTGTCACCAAGGGTCTTGGTTCTTCCAAGCAGCTTCTCGACCATGCGGTACGCAGCGCTAGGCGCATACTGAGGAATCATGTGGCCGGAAAGCTGGACAGTGGCAAAAGTCAGACCACGCTCAGTGTGCCAGGCACCCTGAACACCCGAGCCGGCAAGATCTCCCAGGTTAAGCTCGGAGTGGTAAGGGACGAAGAATTCCTCATAGGCTGAAGGGCCCTTGCTGAATCCTTGAGCACCGTTCCAGGTCATGTTGTTAATGGCCATCAGAGTTCCGTTGTAGGAGATGATGTAGTCGAGCATTCCCTGACCGATGATGACGTTGTTGGTGTGTTCGATGACCTTGGGCAAGACACTGAGACTGGTGTACTCGCTTGTGTCACGGCGTAGGATTCCGCCGGTACACTCTTCCCACTCTTGAATTGGCGCGTTGATTGCCTTTTGCACATCGGTACGGTTGAAGTAAATCTGGACGCCTTCGGGCAGGTAGTCGAAACTACCGGGGAAGCCGAGAACATCATAGAGTAGAGGGCAGGTGGTAGCAACCTGGTAGATATCAAAGCAGGGGTTGACGAGACTGACAGCGTTGTAGATATCGTTCCAGAGCTCACAGCCAGGCATACTGTAGTCGGCGTTGGGAGGAGAGGGCAACAGACCCTTGGGAGGGAAGGTAAGAGCCTCCTCCATGAACGTAGTGTAGCCGCAAGCATCGGAGCGGTTGTGGATATCGTCCATGAAAGTCTGATTCAGGTTGAACAGAGGGCCCCAGTAGTCAACAAATGGAGTGGCTGGAATGTCCTGCAGAACCACATCATAGGAGATTGAGGGATCGTATATCATAATGCCATGGACATCATACAGACGCGAGTTGTTCTTCTGGATGAAGTTGTCGGCGATGTACCTAGAGCAGAGTTGATGTTAGCATGACTTTCTGCAAGCAGAGTCGACAAATACATGAAGAACATCCTTTGTGTGTCTGTTTGGTTCCACGGATGCCGCGCAGAAAAAGTTTTGGCTCAAAATGCGGTATGGAAAGCACCCAACAGAGCGAACGACACAGCAGGGTGATCCACGATGTATCTGCCTTGGATTCGACATACGGAACGTAGAAGCCAGCGTAGGATTCGCCAGTGATGTAGACCTTCTTGTTGTGGAGACCAAAGGTGTTCATGAAGTTGGCCCAGAAGCCAGCGAATTGCTCTGCTACCTCTTCTTCGTTGGTGGCGGCTGGCGTGCTTCCCTTTGAACTGAAGCCAGTGCCGGCTGGTTGTTCTACCCAAACCTAGAGGAAGAAGTACAGTTAGTATGTAATCAGAGCTGACAACATCTCATACATACCACGTTCGTAAGATTGTTCCAGTTGTAGTTGTTTTTCACCGGCGCGTAAGTTCCGTACTGCCAAAGGAATGGGCCATTCTCCTGTAGCAGACCCTCAAGACTGCTGCAACCGGGTCCACCATTGAGCCAGATGACAATCTCATCGCTGGCGTGGGTGTCCGCCGAGGGAAAGAACCAGAAGTATAGCTCACTAGCGTTCTGTTGGGAGGAGATGGGCATGAGGCCAGCATAGCTCTCGCCTAGAAGGTCATCAGGAGTGTGTAGGTAATATCTCGAGCGGTTTGACTTACCGATATCGAAATTGACATCAGGAATCTTGGTGCCATCAACAGCATACTCTACGGCCTGTTAGTGTTTTTTCTTCTTGTAGCAGGCATAGGTGCACAGAGAGCACATCAAGATCGAGCCATCTCCCTCGTGGAGGCATAGCGACTTGAACATCACCAGAGTCGTCCTCCGAGAGAATGCACCAAACAAGCTCTCATTGGACATGTCCCTGATCACAGTGATCACCAAAAGCGGTATGCCTATGTGCAGCGCTCCAAGAGACTCGACCCTGCCGCAACATCTGTGCCGCCATATCTCTTCCAGGAATCCAAGGTTGGTTATACGTACTTGTCGTGTTGCTGTTCTGGGGGATGATGTGCTTCTTCTTCTTGGAAGCAGCTCTCTTGTCGAGACCTACAGCAGGAAAGTCGCCGGCAGGTTCACGACGCATGCGCTCAGGCAACTTCTTGTTGACATGTTGAGGACTGCGACCAGCAATCGCACCAGCGGCGAAGAGTAAAGTCGAAAGAACAGACACCTTCATCTTTGCGTCAAAAAGTGTTGCAAGGGATGAGGCCAAGATAAGGAGGGTTCACCTTGCTTTATATCTTTCAAGCGAGGGCAAGCTCACGGGATACGAGTGGCATCGCCGGATAGCCTGGGGATCCACAGAATGGGCAAACAATTGCTCGTTCAAAAAGCATGATGATTGCATTCGAGATGCTCGCGAACGGAACAGTTCCTGTTCCTTGCATGATAAACCCACAACTGCCTTCCAGAAAAAGCCTAGTCCAGCGGGCTTAAATTCCACCCCACAGAAGAGGAAGCTTGATTGTGATAAGCAAACTATGGCACTGGTAACGACACCCATTGTGTGACACATTGAAATGGCCTTTTCTTTGTTATTCCCATACAGAAAATACACTGCAATCAAGCTCCCCGTGTGCTCAACTTTGTCACGCGTACAACTATAGAACAGCACAATTCCAGCATTGGTAGGGGTAGCGTCCACTGAGAGCATGGTGGTTAGCGCCTCTCTGCGGACGACTACACCGATCTAAAAAAAAAAAAAAAAAAACATTGTGCATTTTCACAGCCTGTGTGGATGTTAAATGGCATGGAATAGTTAGAATATTAGAATATTCCACTCAAAATCGGTGAAATATTTCACTCTATTGGCATGGAATAGAATCAGCAATTCGAGTAGAATATTCCAAATTCTAACCGGTCAGGGTGGCTACGACAGCAAGAGTTAGTAATTAGATACGCAAAGCTTGTTATTGGCTGATCTCATCTTATCTGATCGATTAGATGAGATAAGATGTCTTAGCACATGCTTACTAAGCTTACAAGGACAGGGTCGCTTACCTTACAACAATGCTTGGAATTGGAATGATTTCACAAAAAAGTTGGCATAGAATAGAATAATTAGTCAGCTAGGTGGAATGGCATGGAATAGAGGCCAGATTCCAAAGATTCCATGTAACATCCACACTGTTCACAGGCCAGACGACTCCAGGCGTAGTTGGCCGTAGGAGATGGCTGGGAGTGACAGATTGTAGCACACTAGGAGGCAGTTCTTCCAAAGCACGGCATGTACTCAACCGCAGAGCTTTGAGGTTCAGAAACCGATGTAGACTATGCAGATACTGCACAATGAGAGCCCGAACATGTATCCTACTAAGCACTGTGGCCTACAAGAACCCTGATCAAGATTGCTAGTAGGTTTCTGAGCAGTGCACTGTCAACAGTGAGAAAAGAGAGGACCTGAGATAGGCAGATTTTGTCAAGGGGATGACCCTGGCACATGTACTTCAGCATCCAACCGAAAGACCGTTCATCGAGTCAATGAAAGCTAGCCAAGCGTTGAATAATAGCGGGCTGTAAGTCAAATACCGGCATGAGTAATGGTATATATATAGGATGATCAGATGCAGAATAAAAAAACACCAACGCTTCACCACCCAGCAGGGCAGGCACAGAACGCCCATGCCTGAACAAAGAAATCGTAATATTTTTGGCGATCGTAACAAGTGCAAAAAGAGCACAGAGAGCTCTAATTCAGCATGACGGGTAAAGAGTCGAAGACGACCTGGTTGTCCTCGTAATGAACAATGAAGCCGCCTTGGAGTGCGCGGCGTAGTGACTGCAGACGATGGAGTTTCCACCACTTGTCAATGCTCATGGAGTTCTTACCAATGTGGACGACCATACGCGAGCCGTATGCCTTGTTGGTATATTGGTCGATGGCATTGCTGTAGCGTGGTCCCCTTGTAGGGTGCTCGACGGTGTTGAGAATGTCTGCGAAGCTCGAGTGCAGTTCCTTTTTGTCCTTGCGAGAGATGCGTTTGCCGTGTGCTTGAGCTAGAGCACTGAGAGTGTGCTTCAACTGGTGTTCCTGGCGCCAGACGGTATAGCGTTTGATCATGCCCTTTGCGGTAGGATCTGCCTCTTCCTCGTCGTCGTCGTCATCACCACCTTGGTGTTCAGGTTCCTCATCTTCTTCTAGCTCGGACCAACTCTTCTCGAAAAGAAGAGCAATGTTCTCGCCTGCAGCGATGACGACGCTTGAGTCACTGGACTCGAGTTGCTCGACAAAGGCCTCCATAGGTTCTTCGCTCGTGTCTTCCATGGCCTCGAACTGTGTTGCTAGAAAGCCCCATTCCTGCAGAGCAGCGGCCACAACGTTTCCGTCATCGCCTGCTTCGACAGAATGGCCGTCGGACTCGATTATCTCGAGGTAAAAGTCCATGATTTCTTGTGTTTCGTCAAGACCGACGCCTCCGTAGAAGGTCGCTACACCAAGGGTGTGGATAGCAGCGACCATGACCGAGGACGACTCGGAAGAGGATATTATGCCCTTGAGCGGACGGATCATGGCATCGTAGATTGAGTCGGAGGGTTCGGTGAGGATCAACAGGCTCAGGGCCTTGAGTGCCAGGGCAGTTTCATTGTCTGACTGGCCGCCTTTTGCGCATTTGACCAAAGCTGGGACAAGTTCACTGAGCTTCGGGCGAACGTGGCGCTGGGAATAGTGGGCCATGAGAAGGTGGGAGAGGACAGACAGAGACTCCTCGCGACCTTGAACACTGCTTCTCTTGCGCTCGATGAGGTGTTCCATGCGTTCGTTAAGCTGGGCGACCCAGGCGTCTTCGGGCGCGTCGATGTCTTCAGGGCGGAGCTCGTCAAAGGAGTTGACGCTGCGCAACAGGTAAGTGGCTGGGCTAGGAGAGACGACTGAAGACATACCTGAACTGTGTCGTCGAATCGCTGAAATCGGCTTCATCATCCGAGGCCTGGCGACTGGCGACTCTTGAAGTAGCTCTCGAGGCGTTGGGCGAGTTTTGCTTTGAACTCGCGGCCGAGCCCATGGCCTGCTTGGCCTTTGCCTTTTTCGACAGCGTCTTGCCGCTCTCTAGGAGCACCTGCTTGCGCAAATCGTGCATCGTGTGTGCTTGGTAGGTGAGTGTGTAGGGAGTTTGGTGGTGGCGGTGTGGATATCAAGAAGAGGGGTCGCAAGTGTGCGGCTAGTGATGCGGGTTACTGTATGGGAGTGTCGACCTGGCAAATACGGAGAAATGGGCAAGGCAACTTCACTTCCATTAGATTCTACAGACAAGTAGATCGAGTCAGCAGCAAGCAGATGTTAGAGCAGGAATCACGTCGAGTGTGACTGTAAGAAAGACTTTTCCACAAGCGCCTGCCCGCCCTGCAGCGCAGCCCGCATCGCCAACAATGAATTCCACTTCGACTCTTGCCCTGCGTCATAGGTCAGCAGCGCTTGGACCATTCACATGCCATTCGTTCATAGTTGGTACTTGGTAGCTGCTCGACTCAAGACAATTTGCTAGACGACTTCCATATCTGTCGAACGCTATTTACAGCTACTATTACTTGTTCGACAGACTGTCTTTTTCGTCCTCTTCGTGCCTGCTCATCGTCCCTCCTAAGAACCTGGCGGAGGGCGGGGTCCGATGATCTGGCGTCTGCCGCCGAATCCAATCCCACTGCCCGAACTGCTGCCTCGGTTCTGGCTATCTCCTCCCATGTAACCATACTGATGCACATCCCATGACTGGCCGGCACCGCTGCCTTGGCTCATGTCTTTCGCTACTTCTTTGGACGCTTGTTGATTTGCTTCCCATTCCCGCTGTCTCTCCCTTTCGCGTTCCATTTCACGCTCTAACAGTGATTTGGACGCCCAGCCGCCAGCCTTGGTCGTCTGTTGTGATGCCAGACGTCGGTCTCTATCGCCCTGCTCTTCGTACGTTGAAGTGTAACCCATCTCTCGTGGCTGGTGAGCAACAGGCTTTGGTGATACTGGGGCCGGGTGGTCAGCTAGATAGCGGTCGGTACGCGTTGGCGCTGGCGAAGCAGGTCGGTATGCAGAAGGGTCCGGGAGAGGACGCGGTCCCGCTGGAGATGCTGTGCGCTCGGGTAATAATGGCGTTTGCCTTGTTGTAGGTGTTGGAAGAGGTCGCGTTGAGCCACGGGCCATCTCGGGCGCCGGCACCTTCCTGTTCAGTACCTCATCTTCTATCGGTGCCCAAGATACCTCGCTATCCTTCGGCGAGGCTGCCCTTGGTATCGGGTCTACTTCCTGCTCCGATCTTGCAGTAGATGGTCGAGAATGAATGCTGTTTTGACGTACGCGGTCCTCGCGCTCTTGTTGATATTGACGCTCGCGTTCCCTTGCTTCTTCAAGCTGTTTTTCGAGTTCACGGACTCTCTGCCTCTCAGGTGTATCTTCGTGTGCGCTAGGTCTGCGAGCGCCCTGATCAGCCTGATGCTGGCTCAAATACTGCCCTTTCAGGTTGACACCAGCCGTATCTGCGTCTTGCTCTCTTTGACGGGCTTCTTCCTCAATTTTCCATCTGCGCTCTTGCTCCTCCCATTGTCTTTTTTGCTCCAAGATACGCTGTCTCTCTTGCTCCCTCGTGCGACGAGCCTCTTCCTCCCACTTTTGTTCTTCGGCAACGCGATCGCGCTCCTCCTCCGCTTCTCTTTCAGTCTTTCTCTTGTATTCGGCTTCCTCGGCGTCTTGTCTTAGACGCTCTTCCTCTGCCTCCTTCTCACGACGTCTCTTTTCGAAGCCAGATTCGCCCTGACCGGGGACGTGGGGTGCAGCAGTTGTGATTTGTCTTCTACCGCCAAACATGACACCCTGATTGCCTTGACTGGCACCACCCATGTAACCGTATTGCGCGATGTTCCATGCGGGAGCTGTATTGCCTCGGTCACCTGCTTTGGTCCAACTACTAACTGTGCCTCGAGATGATTTCAGGCCGTTGTCGGATGCGCGAGAGCCCGAGGAGCCTCCACTGAGAGCAGGACTCATGGGCCTGGCGGAGGGAACGGCAAAGGAAGGCTTCGCAGAAAGAGGGCTCGGTGCGATTGGTCGAGCATTTCTCATTGTAGGGCCAGTAGCAGCAGGACTGAGGGTGGCACTCCTCTGAGGACCGATTGTGCTGGGGAAGTTGGCCGGGCTAACAGCATGAGCGACACGACTAAAGGCGCTGATACACTGTAGAACTTGAGCAGGATCCTTGGACTCAAACAGATCGACAGTCAAGAAGCGGTCATGGGCGGCCATGTTTAGCGGAGGAGATTCGCATGCGCGGAGGAAGTGTGAGATGTTTTCCATCTGGACAAAGGGCATGGCGGATTTCTTGAACCTGAGTCCTGGAGGCGGTAGAGCTAGGTTGGCAAGCTTGCACAGGATTACACCGTCCTTGAGTACATCCTGAAGAAGGTCGCCCGGTGGTAGGGTCTCGCCGAGCGTCTGTTCGATCCATGAGCGGATCTCGTTGGCAGCTTGCGGAGTGTATTTTGACAGGCGCAGGTTGCGCATGTCCTGATCTAGCGACGACACGGAAGCCATGGCGAGAATGAAGACGGATGTGTTTTGGTGATGGAGGGGTAAAGAAGGGACTGGTTGATAATGTTTGGGCGGCTTGGGCGGATTGCAGCACCCAATGTACGGACACGCTTCGCGTCTGTGCATGCGCCTCGGCCGCGTTTCATCAGGAACGTCATCAAAATCATGCCTTCTGCTTGTGCTTGTGCTTCATCCGCGTTTGCTTTGAGCATGCTCCGTTGCCTCTCCAACTCGACTTGATTCGACTATCGACATCATGCCAGCGCAACCAGGAGCTGTTAAACAAGCTTGGTACAAGTGGAAAAGTCTGCGTCTTCCGTGGCGACGAAAGTGGCTCGTTGGTATGTCCAAGAAATTATCAAATCACCGCCTTGACCTGGCTGACCACATATAATTGCAGGCGCTGATCTTTCTGGCAACACTTTCTGGGAGTTCAAGGACGCCATCAACGCCGGCCGTCTTCGAAGAATCGTGCAATATAGCAGCCAAGGCCATTATGCTGATGTGAAGATCTCACGTACGCCACTTGATTGATCGCAATTATCAGTTTGGATTCGTTCTAATCTTATGACTTTATAGCACAATGGCACCAATGGTTGCGCCAGGTTCGCCCAGAGGCTCCCACAATTCAGGAACAGCAGTATGAAGTATCTCGGCAGGCACAGATGCGCCAATTGGCTGCTAAGGCGGATGAACGATGGGCCGCTCAAGAGTCCTTCCTGGATGCACCTTCAAAGCAACAGCCTGCACCAGCCATAGGTGTACAGGACCCTGCAGGTTACATGCACCACAACCAGACAGAGCCTACCGATAATGAAGGCGTGAGGAGTGCGGTAGGTGACGAAGGCGAGGTTGAGGCCTCAACTCAGGGCCAACCCAAGGACGATGGCAGATTCAAGGGCAGAGGCAAAGACAAGGATGCGAACCCGTGGAAGCAGGCACCAAAGGGCAACCCAGGAGATGACTGGCAGCCACAGAGCTGGACTCCTGGCGTCAGCCGTAGATAAAGGGCCTTCATTTCGCTACACTGTATTATTACTGTATTCACCTACCTGTCGAAAAGTCGTCTCGCTTGTCTAATTCTTCAAAAGTTTGGAGAAGTCAGTTTAAGCAATAGAACCAAAATAGCAACAGCCCTATTGCCAAGGAGCCGCGGAGGCAGACGGAAGGCATGCAGACAATAGGGCGACGTGGACATGAGCGGAGGCAAAGTGGATTGGGGAGAGGAGGAGAGAAGAGGATAGAAGGAGAAAGCCATGCATGGACGTCGATAGCGATAGTCAGTGAGAAACAATAGGTAGACGGAAGTGGACAGGCGACGGGTCGTGGTTGTTGGTAGTGGCAGTCAGCAGCAAAAATAATCGTACGTCTCGGTCTGGATGGCTGGTCGACTTTCCAATTTCTCCAGACACAGCACCGCCACAACAGCCTGCACTCGTTCTTGAATCTTGACTTTCTGGACCCTTCGCATCATATCATTTTCGCTCGCACCCGGCTCCCAACTACTCTGCCTTGCAGCCACACGCTTCCACCGTCAACTCCAGTCTTGCCGCGTCCATCGCCTCTTGATTGCTTCCCCTCCCCGGTGCAGCAGTGCGCCCACGACCGCCACGATTCCACACCCCTCAGTAGGAGCAGGACCAGCAAACACCGCCAAGCTGTCTTCCACACTCCTGCAACCCTCCTCCGGCCTTAGCTTTGCCGGAGACACAAATCGCCCGCCGAACCAGAGGAGACATTCAGAAAGAGCAGCTTCCAGCATGGACACCAAGGCCGCACGGAGGAGACGGTCTAGCAGTCTGATGTACACCGAGCCCCCTGAGTCGCTGGAGCACATCAGTGACCAAGCCGCCCTGCCCAACCTCAACTCGGAATGGGTCAATGCCAAAGGTGTGTACCTGTTCCTGCTACATGCTGCCCCGACACATGCCAGCCGCGCATACTGACACGTTTCTCCCCCAGGCGCCTGGGCCATCCACTTTGTCCTCATTGCTCTCCTCAAGATCATCTTCGACATTGTCCCCAACATTTCTCAAGAAACATCATGGACCCTCACAAACATCTCGTACATGGCCGGCTCCTTTCTCATGTTCCACTGGGTGCGAGGCGTGCCCTTCGAGTTCAACGCCGGTGCTTACGACAACCTCAACATGTGGGAGCAAATCGATAGCGGCGATCAATATACCCCCGCCAAAAAGTTCCTGCTCAGTGTCCCCATCATCCTCTTCCTCGTCAGCACCCACTACACGCATTACGACATTACCTACTTTATGATCAACTTCATGGCAACTCTTGCTGTCGTTGTACCGAAGCTCCCTGCTGTAAGCCAACACACGACCAAACAACCTTCAATTCCACTTCTGACCACTTCTACAGCTCCACCGTATGCGTATCGCTCTTTTCAATCCCGATGTGGATGATCGATGATCCATTTAGTTTCGACTATTTTTTCCCTTTCTCAAGTCGTCGCCAACTCGGCCCCGCATTCCTTGACCAAAGATACCAAATAATACTGCTTTATCTGCCAGAAGATTCAAACGAACAAGTCATTGGCTTACCCAGATACATGTCAATCGTAACAACTCGATTGCCCTCAAATTTGCTGCCACGCTTTCGAGCCAGAGCTCTCTGCGACCTGCAACTTCCTATGTCAAAGTTTATGCCGATCTCATCCTGAAGCCTGCCGTCCACCCCTGTTGATCATTTCTCATCGTCCCGCACGTTCAACGTCCTCAACACGCGTCCGGTGTTGATGTTGTCGTTGTCCCTTGCGCCTACACTATCACCAAAACGCAAGCGCGCCCTCCGATGAGTATTTTATGTTTCAAGTCCTTCTCTGTGAACTTCGTTCTTGGTCATGCCCGAACTCGCCCGCAAGTGGAAACAAGTCATGCCGGTCACCACCTGCTGCCAAACACCAGTTTAGACCACTACTGCCACCAGCGGTTCCGAAGTGATCAATGTGAGACTGTGTAGGTCAGACTATTAAGCCGAGCTGGTCCTCTCCAGACCACTGATCCATGCACCCTTGCCGAGTACGATGCCATGTCAAAGGACGTGTTATCAAAACGTACTGAACATGTATTTCTGCAGCTATCTGATCAATAACAGCCCCGGTGTCGATCGTTCGATGTCGAGAGGTAAGCAAGACAATGAGAACCGTACAACCCGTCCAACCACTCTCCATTGTGCACTCTTTGTATTTGTAGATATCTGCTTGTGATAACAATTGCCTTGTTCCTTTCCATCCAGCCATACATCAAAGCTCAAAGTCCGACAGAACTCGAAACAGCGAGACAATGAACATCGAAATCGAGATCAAGTGTTGCACAACATGCATCTCGCATTGTGATTACGCTTCTCGAGTTCCCGTGACTTTTGATTGATACGCTAGCTCGATCAGGTCTACCTCTTACGGAACCGAGAGGACATACATTAAGTTCTCGCTATTCAACTTCTTCATCTCTTACAGGCCCGAGATACAGCTCTTGATTGGTATTTGTGGTCTAAATTAGTAGTGTATGATGCTGTGCTTCTGACTGAGCTGCTTGCTGAAGGATGTTTGTATGCATGAGATGTCACAATGAACAGTGTCTTGAATTGGAAGTTGAAAACGTATACAGCCTCATCAAGTGTTCCTTCTGTGGCAGCAGTGTCTCAGAGCTTGTTCGGTTCGGCGAGGGGGTCTGATTTTAAACCTTGGATTATTGCTCTGGCTCGTGCTCTCTAGTCGTAACGGTTAGCGTTGCTTATTACTCTCAAATAAACCATGCCTTGTTCGGTTCGCTGTATAAGCTCGATTATAATCCTTGTGAGCGTAAGGGTCCGAGTTCCTTAAGTTCTAAGCTGAGTTCCTTGAGTTCTAAGTCCTTAGAGCAATCTCATTAATGGCTCCGGATCGACGACATCGCATGGCAATTACCGTCGTAGTAGCAGCAGCTGCTGCTTAGTATGTTGAACGAGGGGTGCCTTCTAGTGTTCGGACCTTATATATAAGCGCGTATCGTGGCGAGGAACTGACTACTAAACTGCGGCGGCCTAGGTTAGATGAACGTCTCTTTAACTTTACGCGCCTTCGCCGACATACCTTTAAACTCCTCCTCGAGTAGCTAGAGACTAAGGCCGATCCTCCTCTGCAAGGTGGTCGCTTTGTATTAGCTGCCTAAAAGCTCATTATCTTCCTCTACATCTGCGCGCATAATGTTAGATTTCGAGTGGTTTAAGAGAACTTCTAACACTCGCGGGATACCGTGTCGTATATCTTCTATTAAGTCCTTAACTCCATGTAGTTAGTCTACCGATCCTACGTCGTCCTACCTAGCGAAGAGGTGCCTAAAAAGATCCTAGAAAACAGCAAGTTCTCGCCGTACTTTAATGACTACGTCGGCGCGCTAGATAGGTCCTATATCGTTGCGTATATCGAGGGTAAGTAGGCCCCTTAGAGGAATAGGAAAGGATACCTATTACAAAACGTTTTAGTAGTCTATAACTTCGATAGGAACTTTACATACATACTAGCCGGATAGGAGGGGTCTACTTACGATAGCCGAGTTCTAAAGTTAGCGCGGATAAAGGACTTTAAGCACCTAGGTAGTAGTCGTTACTACCTCGCAGATGCTAGATATATTAACTCTAACATAACGTTAACACTATACCGGTCAACTCGTTACTATCTACGCAAGTAGATTAGTGCTACGAAGAGGCCTAAGACGAAGGAAGAGCTATATAACTTGCGCCACTTGCAGTTACGTAATGTTATTAAGAGGACGTTTAGGGTCTTTAAAAACAGGTTTAAGATCACCTCGATGGCGACTAAGTTCTCTATACGCACATAAGTAAGACTAATCTACGCGTTAGCAGGTCTCTATAACTTTATAAATAAGACTAACCGAACATGCGCATCTAAGGACTTAACTAAGGAGGATCTCGACGAGGTTAAAGANAGACGTCTACATTAGGAACAGAGTCTCGAATAGCCTAATCATTAATAGAGTACAAGTTAGCCTAGAAGAAGCGTTCACTAGGATTAAACCATCTATTAATCATTTAAGAGTTTAGGGCTGTTAGGCAGTTTTATACATGAATCTAGACTCTCTACTATAAGGTACTAGGAGAGATAAGTTTATAGACAGAGGTAGACACTATGTGTTCCTCGGATACGTTAAAGGGACTATAAAGTAGTAGCTCTTTTAGGCTCTAGACATAAGAAAAGTGATTAAATCACATAGAGCAGACTTCTTTAAGAATAAGCAAGGAGGAGACCTACAACTAGGTATTCCTAGACGAGCTGCACTAAACATAGCTCCCCTAAGGAATCTTAGAGGCCGGCCGCCCTTATAATAGACTCCTATAACAGATGCAACGACCGTTCTACTAGCTATAACTACTACATTAAAGAGAACTGAACCACAAGTCGAGATCCTAGCATTCCTAGAGCATAAAAGACATCTCTATTAGGACTTTACACAAGAATCTAGATAGCTACAACTAGGAAATAGCGCTAACTTATAGGAGGAGCGCGATTTAGAGCTATTAGAAGAAAGTAATGTCGAGTCTTAGGAGGAGCTACGGCCATCTTCATTAGTAATAGCTATAACAACAATACTAGCAGCTACAACTATAGGAAGAAAGGTTCTCTCTTATATTGAAATTCCCCGAGTATTAAAGAGGATAAGAGAAGAGTATAGCATACTAGAAGGACAACCTAATTTTAAGCTGCATAGGGCAATGCTAGCAATTAACCTTCTAAGTCTAGGAATTAACTTAGAAGACAATAATCAACTTAACATCCTGCATCATGCTTTTATAGCAGCATTCTTAGCAAAGGAAGAAGTGCCGATTCTAAAGTTATATTAAGCTGCAATTAATGATCCTATATAGGGACCATTATGGCAAGAGGCATTTAGGCTTAAAACAGATGCCTTATAGGCAAACGGGACCTTTAAAATCACTAAGCCACCTATAGGGGCAAATATCATCACAAGCAGATAGGTACTTACTACAAAACATAACCTAGATAGCTCGTTATAGAAGCTAAAGGCACGCCTTGTTATAAGAGGGTTCACCTAGAAATTTGGAGTTGATTTCGACTATACCTTTACGCCTACCCTCCGCTATGATACACTACGGGTGTTCTTTACAATTGTTGCAATAGAGGATCTTAAGTGCTATGCTATTAATGTTAATAATGCCTTTACCGAGTTAACATTAAAGGAGGAGATTTACATGGTAGCACTACCTAGAATGAACATCCTACTAGGTTATGTACTTAAAGTCCTAAGATCGCTCTATGGCCTAAAACAAGCTGTAAGAGATTAGAATTAGAGCTACATAGAATCGTTGCAGAAGATAGGTTTTATCTAAATAGACGCCGACCTATGCCTTTTAAGACATCTAGAGAAAGAAATCCTCATTCTAGTCTATGTTAATGATATCCTAATTGGATCTAAACAGGCGGACAACATTAACTAGTTTAAGAAACACTTTAGAGAGATCTACAAGATTAAAGATCTAGGAGAAGTAAGCAAGATCCTAGGAGTTTAAGTCATCTGTAACAGAAAGAATAGAACGATCACCCTAGATTAGTCTCACTACACTAAGGATCTTCTATTAAGGCATAGAATGGACAAGGAGAAGGCTAATCCAATTAGTATTCTACTAAATGGATATAATCTGTTAAAACTAGCTAGTCTATAAGACAAGAGAGCAGACTAGAAGGAGTATTAAAAGATTATTAGCGGCCTTATCTACCTAGCAATTCTAACGAGACCTAACATTGCATTTGCAATTAGAAGGCTAAGCTAATATCTGTTAGATCCATTAGAAGGGCACTTTAAACTGTTAAAATCCCTTATAAGGTACCTACGTTCAATAATAGACCTTAGCCTAGAATTTAATGTAGAAGGCATATAATAACTCGTTAGCTACTCTGATTTAGACTACGTAATGGACAAGTTAGATAGGATATCCATTTTAGGAAGTGTATTCATGATGGGCAACTGTCCTGTTAGCTAGTCTAGTAAGAAGCAGAAGTCAGTTGCAACCTTAACCATAGAAGCTAAATACATGGCCATATGTTAGGCTACAAAGCAGTCACAATAGCTAGCTTAACTTCTAAGAGACATAGGCTATAGCAAGTACATTAGTTGCAACTAATATTAGCTAACTATAAGAGAAGAGTAAAGCTTCGTTATTAGGTCACTAGTTAAACTGTTTAGTGACAATTAAGCCTCTCTATCGTTAGTTAGAGATGCCTATACTTACGAGAGGTTAAAGCACATCGATGTTGCATACCATTATGTTAGAGACCTACACCGAAGGAACAGGATTAATGTCGAGTTTATAGGGACAAGAGATATGGTTGTAGATGGCTTCACTAAGCTATTACCTAAGCCGGACTTTGCAAGATTCATTAACTAGCTAGGTCTTACTAGCATCCGCCGTCTAGACTAAGGAGGAGTGTTACAATATAGTAGTTAGGGTAACAGATGTAGTAAGAGGAAGTTAGGTAATACGGAGAAGCCGTAACATAAAGACTTCTATACTGCAATAGTAGTTAACTAACTTAATCATAACACACGTATTAGTTCTACCCCTTAATGACTATTCCCCCTAGAGCTCTAGCTTCCGACTACTAGGCGATACTTTGTAACTAGAGGTTTATCGCGATACTTAGCTATATTAGGCTTTTTAGCAAAGTAGTCGTCCATCGCGGCCTTATTAGTCGTCGGTAGACTAGTCTTTAAGTCGTAACCCTATCCGGACTAGTTTATCATCTCCTTCTATGTCCTATAATAGCTCTTAAAGGTAGTCTCCTTATTCTTAACCTTCTAGAATTTAATAAGATAAGGCGTACGAGAGACCTCCTTTACGGCCCTTATAGCTTCTATTAACACCTGCTTTTTCGAGCCGCTCTACGCGCGCTAGTCGCCTACCCTTACATTACGTAATATAGCGATAAATGCTTCCTTCATCTTCGTCGTCTATCTTAATGTCTCTAAGCTACCTAGGGTCTACGATAGAGTAGCGCTCGCGCTTACGGTAGAGGGTGCTAGCGACTCTAACATAGCTGTTTTAAGGGTTAGATTCTACTTAACATTACCCCCTAGAGGTACTTTTAAGAAGAATCGTAATTATTTGGTCTCGGCACGCTAACTATACCGTTTTAAGCAAAAATACGCCTCTAGCACGCTTCTCTATAGTAACATGTTTATAAACTAATAGACGGAGGATGCCGAACCGAATAAGCAAGGTTTATTTAACGATTATAAGCAGAAACCGAAGAATCCGCTTCTTAGAAGCTCGAACCGAATAAGCTCTTAGATAATGACTCTTATAATAGCTAACAGGATCTGCTGTTTAAAATGAGTTAGCAAACAAGTAGAGAGAGGAAATCGCGGCTAAGGATATTACATGTTAGGTTCCGCGACCTCCTATCTTACATATTCTTACTTTATTCGAATGCTGTTACCATTATAGTAAGTAGTAGCTTAATATCGCGTGTAGTAACAAGATTAGGGGTCAAAAAGGACCCTATATGGCCGATCATCTACTTATGGATTTTAAAAGTCTATTAATAAACGCTCCGGGCGCACGAATTCGAGCGACTAACTTTAATAACAAATATCTATATAACCACTTAACCAATTTAATTGATTTATAGCTATAAATGTAGGGAATTACTTATGGAAATTGTTCTTGCCCTATTTGTTTAAACACCTACGCGCGTACTTAAGGAAATTGTCCGCGTCCGCTTCGGCCTTAATCTTTGATTCCTACGCTTCGGCCGTCTACTACTCCTATATAATCCGATCTATCGCCGCCTTCTTTTGTTCCTCGCTTATACCGGTTAGGATATGATCTTGTAGGTTATCCTTAAATACGTTAAACACCCTTTCAATTAGATAGAGGTCCGGACTGTTTCTAGGATGTAGTACGAAGAGTATACCCTTTTATAGGGGATACGACGCGAGTAATTGCCTTACTTTCGCATGCGCACCTACATTATCCTCTACTAGGTACACCTTACAGTCTAGATTATTCTCCTTAACCTTATAATAGTAAGGATAAAGATTAGTAAGTAGCTAGTTGTAGGTATACTAGGCAAAATCCATTCCTTTTTTAGCAGTTCTATTAAAAATCCTTCTCTTTAACTTTAAAGACCTTTGCCGGCGTAAGCTATCTCTTAGTCTTAGGTAGGTTCTTTTTTATGCCTTCTTAAAGGTCCCTTTTATGCTAATTATACATCTCCCTATTAGCAGAAATTACTGCTAGACCGGCGGGAGAATTAGGATCCTTTTCGGCCTCCTATTGTTGTTTCTTAGTATCTCTCTTTGCTTATCCTCTAGCATATTATAATTAAGTCTAGATCTTTTGTTTCTCTAGCGTATCCTCCTTTACAAAACACTTAATAGGCCTAGTAATGCTAAGATCCGAAGAACAAGCAGCTAGAGTCTATATAGTAAATTGTAGATAGCTAGCTTTAAAAATCGTAGGAAGGTCGGTAGCGTCTATTCCTTCGGTAGCACTATAGTATCCGCTATGCTTAGAAGGACCTCTAAAATTAATAGGAGTCTCGTTAGACATAACAAAGATCTTCTTCTTAGGCCTAACTTCTCCTACATAGCCGAAAATCTTCTTTAATCTTTATAAGCCATCTATAATAGTTCCTCCAGTAGAGCTTATTAATTAGCTTTAAAATGTATTTTTAGGCCTTTTTCTTCGAACAATTTAATACGGACGCTCCGGGCTAGGAGAGAGGGCCATTCTACGCGCTATAGAAGTAGAAATATCGAGCTTATTATAGTCCTATACTACTGTTTTCGGGTGTTCCGTTAGGTAGTCTAAGAGGCTCTAGCGGTACTTAGATTATAGAATAACATCCTATAGAACAAACCCCGTCGTTTTCGTAGCTATACGAGCAGATTTAAGAGCGTAGTTCTATATCTTACGAACGGTATCGCGATAGAGATCGATACCGGCGACGCGACCGATCGGCGTTAGAAACATTGTGCATTTCTATAGCATGCGCGTGACAAAGTTCTGCATACGGGGAGGGGGTATCGATGTGGAGTATCTGAAGCGTCACCTCCATATCAAAAGCTTGGCCGAACATCTTCCTCTAATCATCATCAACACCTCATGAATCTCTTCCTTCGTTCCCGGACCTTTACCACCAAGGCATTGTCACACGCCACTGTCAGAACATTTGCCATGGAAAATCAGTATCCAGCAAGACGCTTTGCGCCCCTGAGCAAAGGCAAGGGTCATGACGTCGTTGACGGCAGCATGGTATTGAAGGGAATTGTCTTTGATGTCGATGGGACACTTTGCGAGTGAGTTCTCACCCACTACTTTTGAAACCGGTTTGAAAGAGGCTAGTCATGAGGAAATGATGGAATTCAATACTCAACCATAGCGAGCCTTGCTGACGAGAACGCTGGCCGCAAAATTATATGTTCGGCGAAATGCGCCGCGCGCTGTCTATAGAGAAGGGGGAGGACATCCTAGACCATGTGTATAGTCTCCCTGAGGCCGAGCAGAAAGAAGCGCACAAGAAAATTGAAGATATTGAGAGCGATGCCATGAGAAAGCAAATCCCTCAAGCTGGACTGGTAACGCTCATGGAACACCTGGATGCAAATGACATCAAGAAGGGAATCTGCACGAGAAACTTCAACACTCCGGTCGAGCATCTCTTGACCAATCATCTGCCTGGTCACATCAATACCTTTGCTCCCATCGTCACCAGAGACTTCCGCCCACCCAAGCCATCCCCCGCCGGAATCCTGCACATTGCAAAACAGTGGGGTATCATCAGCGAGTCAGACGTAGCAGAGAATGGTCGTCCTGTTGCCAAAAGACCTCTTCCATTGATTATGGTTGGTGACAGTATTGACGACATTATTGCTGGACATGATGCCGGAGCCGCTACCGTGTTGCTCAGGAGCGAAGGTAAAGAAGATCTCGAAAAAGATCCCAGAACCGACCTGGTCATCAGCAGGTATGTGTGAAATCCCGTACAGAATGTCGTTCCGCTGACCCTGGTCTTCTTTTATAGATTGGACGAGCTCATCGATGTGCTTGAGAAGGGCTTTGAAAGCAGACAACGATAATCATGTTATACGTGTTTTCACGAGCTGATGACACTGCAGACTGATTGAAGGCATCGAAATTTTGATCAGAGACGGTCGTGGAGACCTGATACATAAAGATATACATACTAAGCTATACACATATCGCTCAGAGCAATTCTCGTCAACGCTCCACCTGCACTTAGGTCATCCATTCTTGAGAAACCGCCCGACCCTCCCTTCCAAAGCCGAATACCACCATCGAAATAGAAATTGCAACAAACGAGAGAGCAACGCTGGTTCCTGCCATGCTTGGGGTATATAAGAAACAACGACGAAACAAAACATAAATGGAAAAGTAGAAAAACTCCGGTGGAATCCTATCCTGCATATGCTGAAAACCAGATTCGTGTCGGTCATGATAACATCAAAATGAGAACTTGATCGTTCGGCCCGAGATGAGGCTCTCAAACGGTGTTGTTCATTCGCAAATTTGAGCGCATGGCATTTCTGCGTGACTGCAAAGTTGATGTTTGGATGGGAGCGACTGACAAGAATTGTTAGCATGGATTCAAATTGTATTCTACCAAGCAAAGTATACTCACGTTTGAATGAAGGTTTACGGTCTGCCTTGGGACGACTCGGTACAACCGTTTGGTCGAATGTGATGATGGATTTTGTGAACTCGGCTGGAGGAGCAACCGAGCCAGACAGGAATGACTTTATGCTGGCGAACGTCTTTGTGCTTTGCTTGATGGTTTTCCTCGTCTCTGATTGTTCGTAGTCGTCTTCGTCTTCGTCGTCCGAGGAGATTTCTCTTTCTTCGATGGTGACATTGGGAGGAAGCGAAACCTCTTCGTAGCTGGGAAGTTCCTCATCCGAAATGTTGGAGTGTAGTGAGAATGTCGATGACATGATTGTTGAAGTGAAGATAGTATTTGGTTGTAGTTGTAGAGTAGTGGGACAAGACAGTCGAAGCACTGGTAGAACTCGGTATGATTTATGATTTCTTGAATTTGGAGATAGGATCACAGCGGAAAGGTGCTGACCGCAGCAGATGGTCAGGCAGATATATATGTAGTGATGTACACTGCGACTGCGGAGAGTCAAGCACCTTAGCAAACTTAGTGTCTCGGTCAAACACCGCAGATCCAAAACCGAGTTGCATGCCGTGCATGCCGTGCATGACGAGTGTCACGGGCGTAGTCGTAAGCCGAGAATAACAAGGACTCAAGGCACTCAGCCACCACAGCGCCGGGCAGCCTTTACGAAACACGACCGTCGGGCAGAAAGGATTCCAGCAAGCGAGCTAGTGCGAGCCCAAAACAACCTGCAAAGCAGACAAGAGGGAAAAACAACACGGACGCTGTGAGCAGTGCCCACCTAGCGACCGGAACTCGGGTTGACAGGTCCCTAGTCAAAGATGGCGGGGGGACTTGATGCCATTCAGCCCTACCTACCAAGATGACCTACCTGCACGCTTCTGCAAGCCGGATTCTGTAACTGCAGAGATCCGTATGCGTCGAAACCCAGTGGTGACGTGTTTCCCAGCTTGATCGTTCATTTCGGCCGATAGAGCCAAGGTTAACCAAGCAACCTGGAGACAGAGTGGAGAGGCAAAGACGGTGCTCTGCCCCTCGGGGAAGAGGAGCAGCTTACGAATGATCAACTTGGAATAAGCCACACGAAGATCAGAAACCGTCTTTCATAGTCCGAGTCCTGGGCGGTCACGGCGACAAGACTTTCGGGCAGCGGCTGAGGTGAGTCAGGCATCAAGGCGTACCATGGGAAACGACACCGGTCGGAAATAGAGTTGGTGGAAAGCAACCAGATCTGAATCAAGCATAAATTTCTAGCGCGAGGAGGCAGCTAAGGGTTTAGGACATGATTAAGGAGTGTTTGGTTCACGCCCTGCTTCCTTCTGCAAATGAATTAAGGCATCTCACTTACGACTTGACACTTTTCTAGAAGACTGGTCTGAAACCACTCAGGGTCATGGTCGAAGCGTTCAAGAGCCCAGCAGTTCGGTCTCCGTAGATGAAGAGCAATCCATGATTGCACAAGCTCACGTGAGAAATGTACAAGAATGAGATGTGCAACACCAGCTTGCACACGTGTTTCACTAAAACCACTTTAAGCACGAAGCCAGAGCGCGTTCCAAGACAGCACGCCAAACGCGTCTCAAGTCAGAAGCTCTCGGTTCTCTCTTCCAATCCACGTCAAGATGGCAGACCCAATTCGCACTCCAGCTGTCGAGCGCGAACCTCCATCTCTCCCTGCATCGCCATCCCCCAAGCGCGTCAAGCACGTTGAACCCGCACCAAACCTCTCAGTTGCATGTAAGTGTATATTAAAGCTTTGAAGCTCCAATTGAAGCCTACGAGTACCTTCAGCCTTCTGACCCGTCGACAGCGATCCTGAACGACCCAGCAGCCACTCCCACCCCTCAATCACCTGCACACAAACATCAGCAACCAGACATGGCTGCCGCTGCTACCCACCTCCCTCCGATGAACCTTGAACCCCCACCACCAGCACTCCAGATCAAGCTTCTCTCGGCGACAGCTCGTGCTCCTACCCGTGGCAGCGAGTTTGCTGCAGGTTATGACCTGTACGCTTCAAAGAGCAGCACTGTGCCTGCCAGAGGAAAGGTGCTTGCCGATACCGACATCTCAATCGCCGTGCCCGCCGGAACCTGTACGTTGCAGTCGTCCGCTACCCTCTCTACACATCTCTGACATGTGACACAGACGGCAGAGTAGCCCCCCGCTCTGGACTCGCAGCAAAGCACTCGATCGATGTTGGTGCTGGTGTCATTGACGCCGACTACCGCGGTCCTCTCAAGGTTCTCCTCTTCAACCTTGGCGAGACCGACTTTGCCATCAACGAGGGCGACAGAATTGCACAGCTGATCATTGAGAGAGTAAGCTGCCTCGTCAGACACTTGTCCTACTTTGATCTAACATTCGGCAGATCTACACACCAGAGGTCCTCGTGGTCGACCAACTTCCCGACAGCGTCCGTGGTGCCGGAGGCTTCGGATCCACCGGTGGTTTCGCCAACATCATCCCACCTGTCAACCCTCCCGTCAACGGAGGTGCTCCCATTAACGGTCTCTAAACGAGTGGAATACGAACTTGGCAAATCATGGGATGACCGGCGTACAAGGAAAAGCAGGAACGCTAGACAGGGGTGTATTGGAATGTTTGAAACGATTCTATCTCGGATTAGAGGCTATGTGGTGCGAGACGGTCATAATGCAAAAGGCGAATACAAAACTCACATGCTCGATCAAGTCTGGTGAACTGCGCCTTGTCCAATCTCTCCACCAGTGCCCATATTGACGACTCCGAGCTCGTCAGGTTCGACAGAGGCGTTGGTACTCAGCTCGACGTTGACTGCATGTGCCTTGAAGGCCTCAATGTCTGGAGGATATACCAAGTCTTTCCAGTTCCTGACGACCCTGACTTCAGCTGCCTTGGTAAGGCGTAGATACTTGTCGCGCTCATTGTCCTTGTCTGCCTCTTCACCAATGCCGGTGTTGAACTCCTGAGCACTCTCCATCTTTTCCAATTCCTGCTGCCTTGATTCCATGGTTTTCTTGAGTACCAAGTGCATGCTCGCAAGGACCTTTTCGGCAGCTTTTGCCAGTGGTAGCTCGGTCGCTGCTACCTCGTCCGGTGATTGCCAATGAGCAGTAGACAAAAGGTCTGCAGCAAGACATGCTTCACGTAGTCTTGCTACCATCAATGCAGCAAACATGTCGCCAGTTCCAGAGAAGAAGACGGGGAAAGCGGGTACTTTCAAGCGGAACAGACGAGGATTGAAGTCCGAATCAGCCGTAGATCCTACAATGGAGAGCTCGGGCTCTTGTCCGTCCTCGTCATGAGGGAGACGGACGGAGGTGATGATGATATGCGGGACTCGGTGCGAACGGTGGAGCACGCGAATGGCCTCTGCAAGAGATTTAAAGTCGGTGATTGTGACACCCGAAAGAAGTCTGAAGTGTGTTCGTGGTTAGTTGGAGGCCAATCGCTCAAGACAAGAAGCACATACTCGGCTTCGAACTGGTTCGGCAAGATGAGGTCGGCATCTCTCAGCAGACTCTTGTAGGCGGGCACCACTTCTTCACTGACATATATCTTGCCCTCGTCACCCATCACAGGGTCAAGTACTGTTGCCTTCAGCGTCCATTCTCTTCTCGATTTGTCTTGTGCTCCACTCACCCCAAAAGAAAGCACCAGGCTTTGTTGTCGAGGCGAACCTGGTCTCTCTGGCTATCTTGCCGACTTGCTGAACGACACCAGCACTGGGACAGTAGCCAGATAACAAGACGTCAAAGTCATTCAACCGCGATTGTTTCAAGCCCTCGTATAACTCGGCCACCTCTTCCGCAGGGGTCTTGCGTCCCTTGAACTGCTTGTATCCGGTGTGATTGCCTGGTTGAGTCAGACCTACTGTCTTTCGCATGTAGCGTGGTCATGGGCGGAAACGCACTGAATTGGACTGTGTTGATGGCCGAGACCTCACAGCCAAGAGCTTGCATGACAAAGGTGGCCATGGTGTTGCCGACATAGCTATCGTAGTGTAAGAGGCGCGATTTCGTGCTATAACGCTATCGAGGGGCTTCTTACCCATAGGCTACCTTTTGGAGCAGTTAGTCATACTGCGGGATTGCTTGATGTGCGCATCCACGTTTCTCTTACATGGCTGGCAACTGCCAAAACGTGGGTTTCTGGCACTTCGGCCATGTTTGTTGCAATGTAAGCTGGGTTGGAATGTTACTTGTTCTCTATCCTTGTGCTTCTCAAAAACAAATGAGTTCGGGAGATAAGCGATAAGGCCGGCTGACGTCGGCGGGGCTCGGCCAGGGTCATCAGAAAACAAATGAATACTCGAGTAAATCGGAGAGAAGTTGGAGGAGTGTGCGGTAAATTAACTCATTGGAATTGGTATAAAAACATTGATCATCCGATCTAAGCCTCGCTGTATGATCATCCACAGCGTGCTTCTTTCCCAGAAGCAAATCATTAAAACGCCGAAAACACCATGTCATGCCTATGTCTTGCCCTACTTTTCTGTCATGTATATGTCTACTCCTCGTCGCCAATCTGTAAAGTGTTAGCGTGTGTTGAGTCAATGCAAGAACGAATAGGCATACCTTGGGGGCCAGGTAGAATCTAAGGTAGCTGTTGTTGGCGAGCGAGTACTCGACCATGAGCGGCACGTCGGTCGACAGACAGAGCTTGACTCTGCTGGAGAGACCGCTGGCCTTGCAGAAGTTGACCAGGTACTTCAAGGAGAAGGTGAGCGAGACGGGCTCTGACAGCTGGATATCGACGTTCTGGTCCTCCTTTTCAACGTTGGTGTGCTGGCGAAGAGTGACAGATCCGGAACCAATGTCACCAGTGCAGCCGAACTTGACACCCTCTTTTGTGCATTCGATGTTGACTGATTGTTCGTGTTAGATGGGTCGGAGATTCTTGTGAAAGCTTGTGAAAACTTACCAGACTCGGAGAGAGCAGACAGATCTCTGCAGATGCGCTGGAGCTCAGCCGAAGGCAGAGTGATGGAAGCAGCGTAGTCGGTGTCGGGAATACCAAGGTGCTCCTGGTCAATGTCCATCAACTTGATGTCGTACTCGCTGATTCTGTCACTGTCGGAGCTCTCAAAGACAAGGTTGACAACATCGGGAGAGTCCTCGGCCTTGAGGGTGAGGATATCCTTGTCTTGAGCAGCGCGGAGAACCTTCTGCAGAGATACGAGGTTGATGCCGAGGGCGATGTTACGGTCGCATCTGAAGGGCGAGAAGGAGTCGGCCTTGAGCAACATGGAGACGAGGGCGACGTGAGAATTGTCCATGGCCTGGAGGCCGACACCGGAGTCGTTACATTCAAAGTTGCAGTCTTGGACAAGGTCCTTGATGGCTTCGACGACCTTCTTCAGAAGGTTGGCTTGTTCGAGACGTGCCTCAAGCACTGCGGAGTGGTAAGTCTTTGTTCCTGATGATGCGCAGCTGGCGGCTCTCTTACTGTTGATGTGTGGTGAACGGAGGTGTGATTGAAGAGGGTTGAAGACGGGGTTGACAGATGAACGATCTGGTCAAGTAAATGGAGCAATGGAGTGAGGCGAGTGTTTGCAAGTGAGAAGACGGTAGAGGGAGAGTCAAGTGGGATTGTTTGGCTGTGAAGAAAGCTAGCGCGCGTCGACCGCGTCTCTGCAGACGCGTTGTCGAATCTTGGCCTAATCCGGTCAAGATGACTTCACGAGCTCTTTCCATCATCAAACATCTAGCACATGGAAATCTTCATGTATTCTTTAGTACATCGACTCTTCCAATATTACGTGCCACAGCTCGTGCGGGTGGTCAACAAACACATGTTCAGAGCCATGCATGTGGGACTCAGTACCGTTGTTGGCTTTCGAATTCATGCAATTAACACTCCTATATCTCCATTACTCTCTCGCAACAGCGATCTCTCATGGGTGTTCTCTTGGATGCCCCTCCATATATGAGCCGCTCAGCGTGCTGTTTCCTACAGCCTTCTCCCAACGGATCTATATGGCTTTATAACAGCTGTCTGCTGAATCAAGGTCTCTGACTCGAAGCCGTATTGCGACGCCTATCTGTTGTGCCACGACGATCACAAATTTTGTACTTGACTAGCCCATCCAGAGCGAATTCGATCCACAAGGGGGCCTTGAGACCGGCTGAAGCCTCAAAATGTGGCTTGCAGGTGGCGCTTCTAATACACAGCGCATGCTCATGGTCGGCGCAAGGCACTGGGCTGGCGAGATGGTTGCTCTTGTAGATGTAGTTGTGGGAGGAAAGACGAATGAAGCTGAGAAACTGGCTGTTGTGCAATCGTCTGGAGCGGGGGCTGTGGGCGCGATGACGATAGAGAATTGATCATGCGCGGACAAGACCGTAGAACAGAGTCCAGGTAAGGACGAAACTCATGAGACCTCCAAAGAGGTCACCGATCCATAGATCGGCGATAGGCGAGTGGAAGTATGACTTGGCCTGGACGTTGGCGCGGAGGGAGAAGATGAGTAGAGAGACGACCAGAGAGCCGAGGGCGTAGAAAAGGAAACCAGGGAAGGACTCAAGGCCGAGAACACCAGCGGCAACACCGAAGAGAGAGGCAGTCAGGGAACGGATGTTGGAGACGGTCTGTTGGGGGTCAGCTGTGGCTACGGGATGGGACGAGTACGTGTCTCTTTACCCTCGCATTGTGCATCATGCTCTCCTGCACGACCGGGTTGATGGCAAGTTCTCTTTCGTCCAGCATCTTGTGTATGGCTTGAAGCGTATAGCTTGAAGCGATTGTTTGACGTGAGATGTTGTGGAGTAGAGACGCAAGCAGGGTATGTAGCTTCCTCGTTCACGTTGGCGGCCTCGAAGTTAGCTCCTTCTCCACACACGGAGTATTGCGGACCGAACATGTTCCCAGTGCTTGGCCATGACCCCGATTAAGGCCGCCATCGAACCCAAGCACGAGACTCGGACCCGACAATCATGAGACAGTTTTTGTCGTGCTATCTCGTGGGACGCCTTTCACATGCGACGGTTCTTGTGTGACTGCTTGACAGAATGCACTGCTCGAAGGCATCTCTCTGTCGGCAGTTGGATGATGTAGAGTTTCACGTTGCGACTGAGATCACTAATGTTCTTATTGATCTGGTTTATAGACACGGTGAGCGGTACAGTATCTGGATGCATTCATGAATATTCGAAGCGAAGAGGGGGCTGTTTCGAATATGCTAGATAGGCCATCTAAGAAGTCGGAAGAGCGTCCTCGGCAAAGCACATGATGGAGGATGGATGTTGGCGAAGCATGACGAAGGAACGGCTGGAGACGGGATCGCGCAAAGCCGTCCGCAAATCCTTGAAACTGTCGTCGTCGTCCAGCGTGCCCGTTGGTCTTGCTTTTCATCATCACAAGTCGTCGTCCAACTGCCAAACATAAACACGCTTTTTACCATCTACAAGAAACGCCCTGCGCTCCACGTCGTTCCGTTCCCAACTACTACGACACCAACACCAGCCGCGCACAGCATCCCTAGCCTCGCAGCAGCTTTTTCCATCCCTTCGATGCGCCGGCACGCGACCACGACCCTCTAGTCCCTCGACCGTCATGGCCTTCAATTTCAACTGGTCTCCGCTCATAGGCGACACCTCGCGTGCTCGCGAGATGCTCACCACCGCCTTGAACAAATCTCCAAAGCCTCCAATCATCGTTGACGACATCATCGTCAATGAGCTGAATCTAGGTTCTGTCCCGCCCGAGCTCGAAATCCTCGAGATTGGCGACCTGGCTGAAGACCGCTTCCGCGGCATCTTCAAGATGTCGTACACTGGCGATGCCTATCTCACCCTCAAGACTCGCGTCCAAGCAAACCCGCTAAACACCTCGTTATCCACAAAGCCCGCCTTTGCCTCGCCTCAGCCTTTGGCCGCCGCCTCGGGTCTGACCATCCCCATTCAGATCACCCTGTCCGACATTCGCTTGTCTGGCTTCGTCATCCTTGTCTTCTCCCGCCAAAAAGGCATTACACTGGTCTTCCGCAATGATCCTCTCGAGTCTCTGAAAGTCTCCTCCACCTTCGACTCGATCCCCTTCGTCCGCAACTACCTACAGAAAGAGATTGAAGCACAACTGCGCGTCTTGTTTATGGACGATCTTCCAGCCATCATCCACCGACTTTCCCTTCGTGCTTTCGTACCAGAATATCGCCAGGCACAAGACGAGGAAGCAAAGGACCCTGCAGACGCTTCAGAACGACCCATCGACCCCCTCGCAAGCCCTCCACAAGACCCTGTCGACTCATGGGCTGACAGCTTCGACCCTTCCCCTTTCTCCCTCGACTCTTCTTCCGAGACATACGCATCCTTCTCTCAAAAGAACCTCCTCCGCCTTGCTGCCTTGAGCGAGTCACAACAAACACTCTCGCTTTTCACTCCTGCCATTCGCGACACCGTATTCCGCGCGTGGGCCAGTTCAAAAGATTCTCAAGACTCGTCAACCGTTGCTACACCACTTGCCCGCCCGAATCCCTTGTCCCGTATACATTCATCCATCGGCACACCCAAGTCATGGTCGTCGGCCTCGTCTGATGTTTCCGATGCCCCAACACACTCCAGCAGGCCTTCTCTCTCCAGTCTATCTACATCATCGACAGTCTACTCTATGGGTACCACCAGGTCAAGGGCGCATGCTGCCAAGAAGAGAAAGAACAGAGTCGTCAACCTGCGCAAGACGGCCCCGGAGGATAACAACAACGACGCCGAAAGTGTTACGACCAATGCCAGTGAAGAACTCGCCCCTAGCATTACTCTCACCGAACCACCAGTATCTCCTCGTCGGGTCCCAAAGCCCGAGCCAGAGGTTGTGCAGAAGACACCAACCTCGCACGTCAAGTTTTCTGGTTCACAAGAACAACCAAAGCCGACTTCAGGAACTCAAACACCGACACCAGCTTCGAAACCTCAACGTCCCACCTTGTCTACAATGCAGACACAACCTCTTTTCAAGGACAAGAAGAAGGCAGAACCGGCAGTTCGCTCTTCTTCTACGTCTCGCTTGCGCTTCAACTCTGAAGGCTCTACCGGTGGCATTCTAGAGCAAGCCTGGATGATGAAGATGACCGCAGAGGTGACCCGAAGAGTACAAGAAGAAAAAGCCACAGGTGGTGGTTTCTGGCACCAACCCGAGGAGCCGGAACATCCGCCCCCAGCTTACGCTGCATGATTATTTCCATTTTCCCTTCTCGACCGTCTGTCATAGAGGTCCATTGTATTTTTAGTTTGTCTAAGCGCGGAGTTCTTGGGTGTATGGTCGCATGGCATGTCATTTTACGAGATGGGCTGGTTCACACGATTCACAGCGAGTGTGTTTTTAAAAGCTTTCGTTTTGGATTTATGGTAGCAAATCCTATCAATTTCTTCTCTACCAGTCATAAACAATGTTCTCAGAGTGTCACGATCTGCGTAAATTCTCGAGTAATGATTGATCTTGTAATTATCCAGGCTTACTCGTCCTTATCCAGAATGGCATTGACAGCTGCAACCTTGTCTTCGGCCGTCTGCTTCTTGTCTGTCCTCGAACCGACTCTGATATCGCTCTGGATTCTTACCACGCCATTTTCATGCAGCAATGAATGTGCTTGGCCAATCACTCGCATAACATCGTCCCATGGACCCTCTGCGTTTTTGTGAATCAGCCGTGCGACAATGTTTATATTATCATGTCGAAGAGTACTTACCGACTGTTGTTCCAGCAGAGTGCATGTGATACACGAGACCGCTCTTCTTGAGTAGGCGTTGGACTTGAGAGACCTCTTTGGAAACGGAAGCGGTGGGTGTGCCCAGCGGTATCAAGCAGAAATCTACAGTCTGTCAGGCTCAGCTGTTCAATTAATCATCAATTTCTCGAACTGACCTGCAATACACGCTGGCGGAGTAGCAAGATCTAGAAGCTGGTTGTCTGACATTTTTGTGTTGTCAACGATAGAGTGTGTGTTGGTGGTGCGGGCGGAACTGACGACGTCTTGAGGTGGAGGCTTCGGCTCGACAACTCTCTCCAAACAATCTCCAAATTCAACCCGACTTTCATGCTTTCCTTATAGTATATTACATTTCAACACCAGTAGATTGACCAAGCGCATTCACTTCCGCGTGTTCAGCATGTCACGATTTCTATTGGGCTAGTCTCATATTTTCTCTTTCGATCCTTTCCGCCAACTGCTCGAGAGCAGATCCAATTTGACTGATGATAGCCCACATCGTGTTTCCACCAAACACTCGAGCCCAAATCCTTAGCACTATCGTGCAGAGTTGAGAGGGTTGTAAAGCAGAAATCTCCAGGTTTGACCTGACTCCTAGTTCCTCCAAATCAACTGATTCGCGGGTCTCTTCTACCAAGGCACGCACCCAATCCAGGATGATGATTTCGTGGGCTAGGTGAATGGCAGTGTCAGCTTTCGTTGCAGAATTCAGACAGTCAAGCAGGGAGACACACCTGTTAATGGCTCTTTGCCAAGAGTTTCCGCCACAGTTTGCAGCCATTTGGACAAGAACACTGCACTTTCTAGTCCACAGAGGGAATGCTGACAGCTCCAGAAGAACATTTGGCTGCGCGAGACGTATTGGACACCCATATTGACCGGTAAACTGAGCGCATGCGTGACGTGCAGCAACGCAGTAGTCAAATGAGGGCCGCGCTTCAGAGCTGGAACACCAATCAGTGCTGTAGCAATCTGAGCCGGATCACGAGTATCGAGTCGTCTATATGAGCCAAGATCCAGATGCAAGCGGACAGAAGCTAGCGTGAAGAACGCCACTGAGGTGAAGGGCAGCGGTCCATCGGGATTTTGAGGGTCGAGAGTCGAGCCAGGTGCTCGTTGCCACACATTCTTCCATCTCCGCAATGCATCTCTATCGAAAAAGCGTTAGTGGCTGGTGCTGCCTCCAGCGGTATGATGAGACTTACTCCATCTCATCCAAGTCATCTTTGCGAAGAGCAGCTCCTGCGGTGATGCTCAGCTGCCGAAGAAGACACGTCCTTTGTATGAGCGCCTGCAAAAGAATAAAATTTGCCAAAGGTGACAAGCGAGACAGTAGACTCTGCACTTCAGAGACCTGGGTTCGACTCAAGAACGCATGAAGTGCGTCCTGAAAACCTAGATCAGGGTGCCTGGAACGAGCCCGAGTCAGCTGCCACTCTATGGCATCAGGGGCGTCCCACTCTGCAGTCGAGCAGGGCATCTGAAGTTCAACTTCATTGTTGAGCATCACAGGCGGGAGGTTGTATGCCACCGTTTGTACATTGAGGTAAGCGAAAGCTATCATCTTGACGCGCCGAGCTCCCTCGATCAAAATCCAGTCGTACCAGTTCTGATCGCTTGCAGAAAGGTCTTCGTGCATACCGTCCTCACGCAAGCAACGAGCAAGAATACTTTGCAAACCAAAGGCATCACGCAAAAGCTCCGACTTCCAATCCCAGGATGAAAATGCGATCAACATGACCAAGGTTCGAATCATATCGATACGCTGTTGCTGGCTAGTCAAGTCAGGGCCATCTGCGAGTGTTGGAGGCATAGGAGAAAGGGGCGAAGTATGGCAATCGCCCGCTAAATCTTGCTTCCTAATCTTCTCAAGAGCGATCGCCTTCGAGGCCTTGTAAAGCGCCAGGCCATTCCTGGATTCGAATCGATACTGCGCACCGATAGCAGCAATGATAAGAGCCAGCTCTGGAGGTGTATAGTCAACACGTAGTGTTGGTATATGTACGAGAGGGTAGTGTTTATGGAACTGGTCCACGAAGCTTTTGTAGTATCTTGAGAGCGTATAATGCGACGGCAAAGCGAACCCGGTCAAGATGCTTTCGAAAGGCTCTAGCAAATGTTTGAGGCTTTCTCTTCGATCCTCAGATATCGTCCAAGACAGCTGCCGTGAGGCAGGGTTATTGATCACCTCTAGTGTTCGTCAGAAGAGATCGCTATTTGCCAGATACCCTCGTACCTGGATGAGAAGCCCCAACTGCCAGAAAAGCACGGTCTCTAGAAAGGATATGATTTGGGCTCAACTGTGGCATGGATACAACCCCTTGCGCGTGACTTTCAGTTGTTGTAAAATCAAGGTTGTTGGTGTTGATAATATGATTATTCACGCCTGCCAATTCCTCCACCGTGAAAGGGAAATTGAATATGTTCGAGCCATCAGAATCCAGGGTTAGGCCTATACTGTCGACAAAGTCTGCAAAATCCTGTAGGGGATTGAGATGGCCATATTGTTGAATTTGACGCATCGATGTGTCCACTAAGACGGCTGGGTATCAATGAGAAATTCTATGCAAGGAGCATAGGCCTTCGACGTACCAGAGTCATCTGTAGGAGACAAACGAGCAACTGATTGTGCAACATCAACGGCTGAGGCACACACCGAGGTGCAATTGCCATAACGTCTAGCGCTGATCTGAGCCGAAGTATCCCGTGGAGAGCGTTCAGATTCGTGATCAAAACCAGCCTGAGGGTGTTGTACAGGTCCCGAATACTCTTCCGAGGAAGGAGTCGAATGTGAAACAACTTCATGTCTTTCTGGTATTGTCTCATCCGCTTGCTCTGATAGAGGTTGCCCACCATGTGAAATTCGATTGTGTCGCTTCAGGAGATCTAATCGTGTAAATGTATGCCCACACGGACAGGCAAACGGCTTCTCTTTGGTGTCTTTTGGTTGGGTCAGTGTTGAATGTGTCCGATACATGGACATCACGATGTGCTTACGAGTCCTGACATGGCGTTGGAGATGCTCATTTCGAGCAAACTTTCTTTGGCAAAAGTTGCAACTAAAACTCTTTGCGATGCCTTTTTCAATACGCGTCATATCTCGATGAGGCTGGTTCCATTTATGCTGAGAATTATAGACACGATGGTTGATCAGGTAGGCAAGTATGTAAATTACGACGTGCAAAAGGTTGGAGAAACTTGTAGCTTGAATTGGGGAAGTTGGAGATCGGCAACATCCCCGGCCTCGGTAGCAGGCTGTCTCCTTGATCCGAACTGACCAGAAATTCTTCATACCAATATCGTACTCGAGTAGCATCCTCATTGCTTACTACGATATGCTTCAACCTCGATCTCCACCAACATTGGAGGAAAAGCGAGTTTGGGAACGCTCAAAGCGGTCCAGATAGGACGGTGTCCAGGGATGCGGTTTTTGAGCTTCTCAACGAAGTATTCGAAGTGGTTGGCAATATCCAACTGATAGCTTCGAATCAGGTAGACGTCTTCCCAACCACGTAATCCTGCCGCTTGAAGCACACGGTCAACGTTGTCAAAAGCATTGTCGATTTGCCCTTGCCAGTCATCGCTGTCCAGATTGCCCTCGCTGTCCCACCCGCCCTGCCCAGCGCACTTGACAACATCACCCACGATCACAGCTTGTGAGTAATGACAAGCATCACTGTGCTTCTGGCCGGCCCCCTTTTCGTTGAAGTATTGCAGTGTCGACATTTCGATATTATGCCTGTTCTGGTTAGACCTTTCAAGCTGTCATGATTCTTGCTGTGAGGAAACTAACTGTTTAATGATGATAGCTATGGGGATAGATCCGTTTTATCTCGATATAGGTGTTGATGAATGAAACCCAACAAGAGAAAATGGATGCCATTTATATATCTTATGTTGCTGTAATACCCCAAATTCACTTCTCCAAATCATGAACCATGATCTCCAATTCTTCAATTCTCCAACCATGCTTACAAGTCTATGCCGAAGTCTATCCCTTAGCCAAAAATGCTTTTCATGGTTAGTTTTCGTATGTATGCCACAAGCGGCTGCGGAGAATGACATAGAAATAGTCGAATTGGGAGTTAGAAGTTACATTGGTCTGAAGGAACGTTTGGGGAAGCGGGTCATCATGAATCTCTGCCGTCTTTTTCTAACAACACCATCTTCAGAACAAATTCGTAGCATCTCACCAGCGACAACATGACCGGCGTAGTGTACTCAAAATTCCCGCATGAGAAACTCCGCTCAATCCAACAATCCGACTCTCATAAGCCACTAACACTGGAATATATCGCAGAAGGCAATGCCAACATTGTTTACACCTTTAAGCCCATCGCCGACGAGCCAGTCAACCTGGGCGTCCGACAAAAACTCTTACGACTGAGAAAGGACAAATCATTCATTCAGTCAACCCAATCACAATATATCACCTTTCAACGAGAATTTCTCCCGTTGTTCCGCCCCGAGAATATTGTCGAGCAGACTTTGATCACGCTGGATGAATCACTTATCGAATCTCTCAACCAAAGGCTTGCAGAGCATGAAAGCACAGGGGCTCGTAAAGACGTTCGGCATGGTGACAGACTGGCTGTTGATGATCACGGCTTATTGATGACCGACATGACCGCTCAACATGGCGAGTTTCTGTTCGAGATCAAGCCCAAATGGCTACAGCAATCGCCCGATGCGCCGCGAGACTCGATCCGATGCAGGACCTGTGCATTGAGGATGCAGAGGGACCACATGAAGGCTGGAGGTGCCGTGATTCCGACACGAGGCGGCTTCTGTCCCCTTGGTCTCATTGATGTTGATATTGAAGAAAGACGAAGAGCTTTTAGGAACATCATCGAAGCACAAGCCAATGAGCTATCACATACGACAGGTAAGTCTACACCCTTGATTATACACACTTGTCTATTTCTTTGTCTTGTTCGCGTTCACGGCGCTAGAGAATCTGCCCAATATGAGTTAACATTGGTAACAGTCGGAGAAATCGTGAATTATCTCGCGGAAGAAGGGTACCAAGTCCTGAGCGATCTTCGCAAGCACCAAGCACAGTTTGACAAACACGGACTGTTGGGTCGCGATCCGTGAGTTCTTTGTTGAATTCCACCAGTTGACCTTTCTAATGGTAAACAGTGAGGACATCTCTGACGACTATTCGAAAGCCATGACACTCCGTGACTGCATGTTGTTCGTCAAAGGCTCTTTAAATGCATTTGCCAATACAGCAGATATCCGTCTAGCAGACCTGGACTTCAAGCATGCCCACCCAGACAAGGTTCAGAAATGGAAGAGTACCGAAAGAACTCTCGTAGATCAAGGCTGGTACACAAGCACTGAGGTCGATGAGGGGTATGAGCCCCGGTGTTTACTTACTCGAAGGTCACTATGAACCATTTAGGCAGTGCTGCCGGAACATAGCCAGGTTCTTTGTCTGCATCACCAGAAGTTCACTGAAAGGTCGAGGCGAGTCGGTCCGTGGAACTCTGAGATGCGTGTATATCCTGGGCCTTGGCAAATTCTGTGGTAGACGACTATCTCATTTGAGTGAACGGGGCCTGTTCGGCAGGCATCAATTGGAGCAGACGAAGCCTGATAATACACAACTGATCATTTTGCCTGACAACCACTTTTCGGTACTTGGGTACGGGGACTGCAGGCACGGCTGCGGAGATATGCATTGATAATCACATGCGTTTTGAAGAATCGCTAAGCCTTGCTCATTCATAAGTACAACAACTCGTGGGGAACTGCGGCTTGAACTGGTCGTGCGACATGATCATTGCTATCCTTTCAGCAACGAACAGTAATAACACTTGGTTTTGATCATTATGCTCGAAGCTGGGGTGGTTGAATACACTGCTCATGTTTCGTTGACTTGTCTCGGAATTCCAGGTGTAACGCGAGTCCCAATAGACCGACCGTTCGGTCTTTCCTCTTGTACCTTGACTAGACATGACCACGCCATGGATGCTGGCCTGTGGATGGCGAAGCCTTTGCGCGCAGCCTTCCGATCCTTCTGCCGATGAGCTAAAAGGGAAATAATTGGCACGTCATGTGGTAAAGACTGAGCCTACTCTGCCCACCTGTCTTGGCGGCCGCGCCTGCATTGATATAAGAGCTTCGATTGTTGCCGAATCTCAAAACTCGAGAAATATCCCTGCTTCAGTCCTGATTCAAATTCAAACCAATTAGCTCCCCTAAGACTCCCATCGTGGCCTTGCCAACACCTCGCCTGAGAGACTCCGACATCCATCCAGCTTTGACACCTCTTACCTACACGCCAATCATGACTAGTTTCGCCCAGCACCCAGACACTGCAACACCAAGCACACCTCATTTTGTCGTTCAAGACCCTCATAATCAGCGATATGTACCGGCTCAGTACGACCATCAACCGATATCGAGCCACCAGCAATTCGCACCACAGACGCAGCCGTACCCAGTCCAAACCCAACATTACCAGCAGCCGCGCTTCGCATATCAGCCAGAACAACAACCAGCAACGATACATGCCAGCCAGCGTCCCGCCTACCCTGCGGTACCTTCCTACGGACCATCGCCGGGTGGGTCTGATCATGGTCAACAGCTCCGACCTGTGCTGGATCAGAGATACAGTCAATCAAGCTTCCGGTCTGCTCGAACCCATAGATCGACTCGTTCAGCAGACTCTGATCGATCTCAAGACTCAACCAAGTCGTATAAGTCGTCTCGTTCGCACAGATCTCATCGTTCTCACCACAGTACGAAGGACGAGTCCAAGGATCGCAGAAAGAAGAGAGATCTAGACGCCAGACCAACCATGGGAGACAGCGTAATGCTCGTGGTTAACCACTTTCGAGACATGCTTTCTAGCGACACTCGAAGTAGACGCTGATTGTGTCGGTCAGGAGGAAATATTACTTGGGCCGTGGATTGAGGATGAGGATGAGGCATGAGTTATGATAACCTGGTTTTTGAAAGCTGCTAGATTGTTATCGAACATATCTACATTCTTTGTTTCCGAACGCTGTTGATCTGATCCTTTGTCATGTACGTGCGTACCGTTCGGGTGCCAGATACACTATACTCGTGTTGTCCGTCTCTCAATCGAGTTTGTACAGCAGCAGACGTAAGTTTGGCTTGTCGTTGACTGTGTGGACGATGGCGGTCTCTTCGAAATCATCGACGACCCTAGAAGTACTCCGTAGGTAGATACTGAACGTGAATGCTAGAAGGCGAGTGTGTTCGGTGGTTCAAAGAAATGTCCGTGCGTTTGACGCTTCTTTCAGTTGTTTCTCTCACCAAGATTTGGCGAGGAGACCCTTCCCTAAAGCCGCCCGGATTCCAAGCTCGTTAACCGGAGCTTTGCTGCCGTTGATTTTGCTGAGATCACTGAATTCGAATCGCGCTAGCCGCGCTTGAGCGTGCGTGTGATCCTGGGCCTTCACTCCCATTCCTTTATAATCTAGCTTCCCCCCACCCACTTTACCTCTCTCAACTCCATACCACGCTCTTATCCAAAACATCAACCAAAGTCGTCAGACTATCTATTCCATCAACACAACTTCTTAACTCAACAACAACAACTCATACATCATGTCTGGACGTAAGTTATCATCGTATCTATTCACTCATCATCGCCGCTCTCCCGCCGCCGTCACCGTCGTCGACGCCTTCTGACAGTGGGAGCGCGTCGTCGCGTCGGCTTTCGTCGGCGCCCTCTCACTCCACCATCACAACATCTCCTTGACCTTTGACTAACATACTATCACAGGTGGCAAGGGTGGCAAGGGTCTCGGAAAGGGTGGTGCCAAGCGTCACCGCAAGATCTTGCGCGACAACATCCAGGGTATCACCAAGCCCGCTATCCGTCGTCTCGCTCGTCGTGGTGGTGTCAAGCGTATCTCTGCCAGTAAGTTTTGCTCACTCACTTCATGCCCAAGACGCGTCGCTAATCCACACATTAGTGATCTACGAAGAGACCCGCGGCGTCCTCAAGACCTTCCTCGAGGGTGTTATCCGTGACGCTGTTACCTACACCGAGCACGCAAAGCGCAAGACCGTCACCTCTCTTGACGTTGTCTACGCCCTCAAGCGCCAGGGCAGAACTCTCTACGGTTTCGGTGGTTAAACGCCTCTACACAACATGGTTACCGCCTCTGGTTCTCTTCTTTCACGAACTTCTTTGATACTACTTTGCTTTTCACACTCAATCGGCGCGGGAATATGTGAGCATGCCTTTGATGCAGCCACTGGGATATGGGTTCACGGAGTTATCATGGTACATGGGTCATGAGCAAAGGGGAATGCTCTTCTTCATATGAAGGAATGTCTATCAAATCACATGAATCAAGCATGAATGGCACATCGCCGTCATGAATTATCAACTTCAAATCATCTCCAGCGCTCTCGTGACATATCGCGTGCCTCTTATCTCCCTTCCATTCTTGAAATGGTTATGTGACCGTGGTTAGTTGTCTTGAGTTCTTGGACTCTAACAATGTCCTGAGACGCCAGTCGTGATAGATCAAAGCATTCACTCCATCTCAATCTCTTAGAACAACGCCCGAACGCCTTTGCCATGCAATCCCAGTGGATATCCCCTTCTTCCTTTTCAATCGTACACGGTAAATGCGATTCCCAAATCAAGAGACTCATGCATCAGCACCCTCCTTCTTGAGTTCCTGTCCCAACCTGTACTTGGGCTCCATGAGACCAATCTGTATTGCGACTTTCGTTAGCAAAGGCTCTTCTCGTGGCCATTGTTCGCTTCCATGCTTCCGTGCTTCCATCTTTCCCATTCTCTTGTTTTCAGACCATACAGGCCAGCCTTGCTCTTTCGCTTTGTATCGACTCACCATGCTAAGCAACCTCCAAGCGGGCTCACTCGGCTGAGCACCCACACCCAACCAGTACTTTGCGCGATCAATGTCGAGCTTGATATCCTTGAACTTCTTCGCCGTCTCGCTACTGTCGATGGGTGTTTTCGGGATGGGGTCGTATGTGCCGAGGACTTCGAGAGGTTTGCTGCCGCGAGCGGTTCTGTAGATTCGCGCTTCTTGTTAGACTCGTGTTTTTTCCTTTTCTTTTCTCTGATTCTGTTTCTTTCCGGGGGGGAAGAGTATGAGAGGGGGAGGAAGTAGAGAGATGGGCGTGAGCTGTGGTGGGGGCTTTTGCGCGAAGGGTATAGGCGTACCGGGCGTGGGCGACGACGATGTTGTAGAAAGGTGCGTGGCGCTTGCCAAAACGCGCGAGACGGATCTTGAGGACCATGTTGTGTGTTGTAATGTGCTTTGTTGCCGCCAAATCAGATGTTTCGTCGACGATACGGCTTTCTTTCTGCGGAGACTCGTAGGTACGCCGCTGCAAAGACGACTCCGGGAAACCTGCCAAGACCAGCCGACTACTCGAGTACGAATGAAGGAGAAGAACAGCATTTCTTTTCAACCGCCATCAGCTTCACTTGCACTCTTTACTTTTGCTCTCACTTTACTTTCATATATCCCTTTCACTTTCGCATACACATTCACTTGTAATCTTCACGTGATCTTTTGTTCATGTCTTCATACTCGTGATTACCGAGATTATAGTACAAGCTTGAGCTGCGAAGCTCCTCGAAAATGGGTATAGCATCCATACCCCTAACTCCATGCTATGCTATGCTTTGGCGGTATGCGCCTTCCTTTCTAGCTCAACCCACGGTTCTCACTACTGGGTAATGTAGATTAGTACCAATTCGAATATCGAGCAGAGGGTAAAGGAGGGTACTTACAAGACTGAATGTCATTCTCAATTTTCGTCATCCGTGCTTGTGCGCTCGCCGCCATGCCCTCAACTCTGGTCCTGAGAGCCTTTACTGTCGGATCGAGGCCCTTGAAGGTATCTCTAGTAAAGTTTTCTAGCTTGCCTAGTCGAATCGTCAATCCCTTGAGTTGATCGGGCGCGCCGAATGTGGCACGCCACTGGTTCTCCATCATTCGCACCAGCTCCTCTGTGGTGACCGAGTTTAGGCGTCCCTCGTGCCTTTGCAAGAGGTCGACGTGATTCTCGAGCAGCTGGCTTGTGTAGGTCGAGCTTGATTTCAACTCTTCCATCTCTGTTTTGGCTGATGACCTCATCTCTTCCACGTAAAGTCTCATGCTTCTGCCAAGTTCCTCGATCATTGTCTTTGTACTCCTCTCGTGGTCGTTTAAAGTGGACCTGAGGTTCTGGATGTGTGTTTGCAGATCCTTCCAAGCATCAAGGTCCTCGAGCTCTTTTCTGATGTCTCTCACATCGTTTCCAGAATTCCTTTGCATTTCGTCCAGCTTTGTGTTGAGCTCTGATATCTGCCCACTCATCATTTCGTCCTTGAATTCGTTCTCGTCGGTGATCCTTTCAGCGGCCCTCTCGATCTCATCCAGTCTTGAATCGTGATTGTCTAATTCTGCCTCGACTAGACCTAGTCTTGATTCGTTGCTGTCCAGTCTGGATACGAGCTCATGGAAAGCAGGAGTTGGAGCAACAACAGCAGCGACCGCAGGAGATTGACGGTTTGCTAGCGATTTGTGTTGAAGTTCGAGACTCTTCAAAGCTTTGTGAGCAGTCGCCGCAGCATCTTCGTTCTCTTCCAGCCTAGGGAGAACGTCTAAATTGAGGGTCCGCTGCAGCGTGTTGACGTCGGCTTTGAAAAGTTCAATCTTTGAAGTGTGCTCTTTGTGCTCTCCGTCGCTCTTTCCGATGTGATCGTCTAAAGTGGTTTGGATACTGCTGATGGCCTGAGCGTTCTCCTTGTGCTTAGCTTTGTTTTTTTCCATGTAATCCTCCAAAGCAGAACATCGAGTTCTGAAACTCAATCTGTCCTTAACAGTCTGATCTTGCAGAGCTTTGTGGTTCTGGACAGCTGAACTGATAGTACTACTTGTCGCTCTGTTAACTTCCTCGATCTTTGCCATGCGGTCCGTCATACGGTTTAACGCATATTGCTCTGGTCTCTGGGCGGAATTGGCTTCGTCCTCTAGACGTCTGTCCACAACGCCTAATCTTCTCTTCATCTCGCGATTCTCAGACTTCATCTCCTGAAGCTGTTCTTTAAGAGAATCGAGTTCTGTTCGAGGAACACAGTTTTGATGAGAGGTTGAGCTCTGTCCTTGCAGTGCGTCTAATAACAACTTAGTGGCCGTGGCAGCCTGTGCCTCGGCTGCTTCGTTATCACTCCGAGCCTGGGTTAGTCTGTGGGTTGATTGTAATCTGAGAGCTGGAAAGTCTGTGTGCTTGGGTGCCATACTCTCGAAATCGCCTTGCACATTACTGAGATGTTGAGAGGTCTGGTTACGATTGGAAATAGCCAAGACGAAGCTTTCGAGCGCTTTTGGGATGGCTTCCACGTTATTGAGGGTGGGAACATCGTATCCATTCCTTGTGGATGGTGAACGTGATTGAGGTGTGCCGTATCCGGCCAGTTCGGCTCCATTTTGTAGTGACATGGATGATCTTCTTGAACTTGGATTGGAGCCGTTCACCCTTTCAAAGTGACTGTTGGCTGTGTATCCTGAACTCTGATCGTAGCGAAGTATCTTTCTAGAATTCCCTTTGGGATCTGGAGAGCGTCCGGAATTACGACGCTTTAAGTTGTCGCTGAACATGCTCCAATTGGGCCTCTCGGGCTGTGTGAAGTCAGAACCATGGGTGTGTTTGAGGGGTATTGAGTGAGTTGTGATGATAAGAGTGGGGATGGTGCGAATGTGGGAGACAGAAGTGAAAACAGGAAAGAAGGAATTGAGTAATGAGTAGTGAAAGCATAAGTGAGGAGTTGACAAGTGAAGTGAGAAGATCTTGTACCAGGATGTGAACAGCACGTGAAGTGGTGAATAAGGTGGACATTGGTGTGTGAAAGTGGATTGGTATACAAACTTAGAAAGTAACTTACTGCCGTCAAGCTTAAGTGTCAGGATGAATTGGTGCTGTTTGCAAGCTCATGTGCATCAACACCAGCACCGGCATGGGCATGCAACAAAAAAGCGGGACTGAAGCGGGAGTTCGTTGGACGTGGAGAACTGGCAGCCGATGTTGCACGACAGGTGCTCGACAGTGAATGGGGTTGAAGAAGTAGGGCAGAAAAGGTGAAAGCGCGTGCAGTTCACTCGATGGTGGGATCTTTGCAAGTATTAAAATACTTATCGAAGAAGACTTGGTCCGTGGGTGGCTTGAGGTTAGAGATGGAGAGGTGGGATAGGTACCTAGGTGACTAATGATCAATTTACCCTTGAAGAGGAAAGAGCGATACGCAGCAGACAAGTTGATTAATTGCCTGGCGGATCTTGTCCCCCGACTAAAATGGCAGTGGCGCGTTGGTGATGGGCAGGAAACACGTCGGGTTGAGCCGAATGGAGATGCGAAAGACGCGGAGAGTTGCAGAGTGACAGGTCTGAGGAGCTGCAGCTTGTGATCTGTCGCATCCACCACAATTCACTTCCTCGTCATATTCCATCCAGCCGTCCTTGTCAATTGAGCTTTTCTATTTCCGGCCCCAAGCTCGAACAGAAACACAAGTCAAAGTCGTCGCGACAAGCATCCAGAGACGTAGTAACAATGGCGGCGCAAATCTCGACCATCGCCGAATCGAAAGAGGTGCGCGGTCTCAACCTCATCGCCGCCCACTCGCATGTTCGCGGTCTAGGTGTTCAGCCAGACACGCTGGCCCCCAAGCCCGCCGCCGAGGGTCTCGTTGGCCAACAGAAGGCACGCAGGGCAGCTGCTGTCATCCTCCAGATGGCTCGCGAGGGCAAGATCGCCGGCCGAGCTGTACTCATCGCAGGACCGCCATCTACCGGAAAGACTGCTATTGCCATTGGTATGAGCAAAGGATTGGGCGAGGATGTGCCATTCACCATGTTGGCCAGCAGCGAGATCTTCTCGCTTGAGATGAGCAAGACCGAGGCGCTGGAGCAGGCCTTCCGTAAGAGCATAGGAGTTCGCATCAAGGAAGAGTCGGAAGTCATCGAGGGAGAAGTCGTCGAGATCCAGATCGACCGCAGTGTAACAGGCGGCAACAAGCAGGGAAAGCTCACCATCAAGACGACCGACATGGAGACTCTGTACGACATGGGCACCAAGATGATCGACAGCATGACCAAGGAGAAGGTCCAGGCCGGCGACATCATCTCCATCGACAAGGCCTCGGGCCGCATCACCAAGCTCGGCCGCTCCTACACACGCTCGCGCGACTACGACGCCATGGGCCCTGACACCAAGTTTGTGCAGTGCCCCGATGGCGAGCTCCAGGTCCGTCGCGAAGTCGTCCACACCGTCTCCCTGCACGAAATCGATGTCATCAACTCGCGAACTCAAGGCTTCCTCGCCTTGTTCAGTGGTGACACTGGCGAGATCAGATCCGAGGTCCGCGAGCAAATCAACACAAAGGTCGCCGAGTGGAAGGAAGAGGGCAAGGCTGAGATTGTGCCCGGTGTTCTCTTCATTGACGAGGTCCACATGCTTGACGCCGAGTGCTTCTCGTTCATCAACCGTGCCCTCGAAGACGAACTGGCACCCATTGTCATCATGGCCAGCAACCGCGGTCAAACTCGCATTCGTGGCACTAGCCACATCAGCCCTCACGGTCTACCTCTGGACTTCTTGGACCGTCTCGTCATTATCAGCACCCAAGCATACTCGCCCGACGAGATCAGAGAGATTTTGAGCATTCGTGCACAAGAAGAGGAGGTGGACGTATCGGCTGATGCTCTTGCTCTCCTGACCAAGATCGGCCAAGAGACCGGACTAAGATATGCCAGTAACCTCATCACCACTTCACATCTGCTGGCGCAAAAGCGCAAGGCAAGGGAGGTCGAAGTGATGGATGTCCAGAGGAGTTTCGAGCTATTCTATGACCCGAACCGCAGCATGAAGTTTGTTGCAGAGTTTGAGAAGAGATTTATTGGTGATGAGGGAGGTGTTGAGTTGGGTGGCATGAACGGCAACCCTGATGCCATGGAGATTACTGCCTAGACCTGCAATGGATCAACAGGTGAGACGATTGCATGTTAGGGGCGTTCAAGGAGTCACAAAATGATCGGAATACCAAGGCTAGCGGGGCTATCAAACGAGCGTCTGCTATAGATGGCAAAGGAATACTGGCTTCAATAAAACTCGGCTTGGAATTGAGTGTGGTCTGTCATAAGGTCATGTCTATTATTTGCTGTATGTGCTGGTGCAAGGTCCCGTCTGCCTAATTTGAGGGGAAACATCACAGTCATTCGTCATATGTACATGCTCGGGATGCCCCTAGCAGCTCGAATGAAGGCGATACTGTACAGGCCGAAGAAGCAGAAAGCCGCAAAACCTGATTTCGCCGATTGTTCCCATGCCCAAACTCCGAGTGAGAAAATGACAAATGTGAGAGAAAGAAAAAAGACATGTGTCAAAGGCTCAGCCTGTCAGCACTGAGGCGATCAGCACTTGTGTCACGGCGCACCATGCTGAGCTTGTAAAATCTCTCCTCGCCAGCAGCGGTCCGGCCGCCAATGTACCACTTCTCGGCTCCAAGGACGTCTCTGTAGCCCATGCCGCCTTCAGAGCTGCTATCTGAACCTCTACGATTGCGACGAGCTTCTGACGCGGTAGGATAGCTTGGCGGTGGACGGTTTGGAGGGCCATACACAGGCATGCCTCCTGCGTTTACACCCAGCGCTGGAGAAGGGGGAGACCTCGGACCATGGGTAAGAGGGGATACGTTATGTTGCAAGGGAGACAGAGCCGGGTGCAGTGGTGTGGGTTGCGCGGGAGCAGCAGTAGATTGAGAGGGATGATGAGAGACGGACTTTGAATTGATGGTGCGAGGGGCCGACGCAGCGTTGGGAGAGGGTTGCGAGGGGTTTGTTGATGTCGAAGACCAGACGGTTTGAGAGGAGCCAACTGCAGCTGCGGCTGGAGAGGCGGCGGAGATGGAAGAAGACGACTTTGGTAAGGCGGCAGAATGGGCGCGGAAGGTGGCCCAGAAGTTTGAGAAGAACGGACGGTTGCTGTTCATTGCTGGCAGATTCTGACCTTCAGGTCATAGTGCGCATCCGATGGTGGTCCTGGTCCCCTCGTAGGATGGTCGTGTTGTGAGTTAGTCGGGACAATGTCCTCGCAGCGACTACGGAAGTGGAAGGTTGACGTAGACAAGGCACGAATGCGCGCCCGTTGAGTCCTGCGTCCGCGATAACGTCTTTTGATGCAGCAGGGCGTGAAGTATACTATGTAGAAGAAAGCACTTGGAATTTCGCTCAGGGCTGGGGTCGATGATGTACGAGCGAAGGATTACCAACAGCTGCGGGCAGAAACGGATGTCACAAGCATCGAGATGCGCCGCGACTGCACAGTGTCGATGAGGGGTGCCCCGGATTCTTTCGGGCTCGACGGCGCCTGTCCGCTTCCGTTTGCTTTGTACAACTCCTCACCGGCTATTCGTTCAAGAATGATACCAAACATGCTGCATACTAGACAATGCAATGGCAACTCCTTGCGACCGACTTGTTGTGAGGCACAAGGGGTAGACACCGGGAGTTGGAACTCGGAAGAGAGAGAAAGCATGGAGAAGAGGTTTGCGATCGATGCTCCATCTCTCCACACCTTCCTGCTGCTTTCTTTTTCCAAAGCCTCGCTTGGCCGAGCCGACCCGTCAAGTACAACGACTTCGCGCTTTCTCCTGTTTCCTGCCATGTGGATGAGAAGGACCTGGACAACGGTATAGCACAACAAAGGAGACTGAAAAGGAGAACACCCGACCTCCTTTGGAGCACCTCTGATCAAGCTTTGCTCTAAGCCAGGTTTGCGGCCCGCAGATCGACATGTTCTTTGCTGTTTCGAGTGCCCCTCCAACTGCTGTGCAGCTGTTTCACGCGTCCTTTGCTTTCACCAGCGGCCAATCCTTGAAACCATGTCGGAGAATACGGCCTTTATTTGCTTGGATGACTGCAAACTCATTCGTTCGAATAGGAGTCATGCGCCTCGGTGTGAATCCACCGTCATGCCAGTCGTCACCGGGCGCCTGAAGCCTGTTTTAAATATTTCTTGTCTTCGCGTCAGTCTCACATTCCTTGGTGCGGCGCGTCGTCTCCTTCCCTAAGTATATATTCTTTGAAGAAGCTCCTTCACCTGTTCTCAAACTTCTCGCTGTACAACCCTCTCTTGGTCTCAGTACATTCTTCCACCGCGACTCAACATCCACATTTATCCAACATCATGGTGAACTTTGTCCTTCCTATTCGTATCGCACAAGTCATTCTCGCCCTGCTTGTGCTCGGTACAGCTGGATATGGTAGGCGCTTTCTCAATTGTATCCGACCTGGCATCGCTTTGCTGACAGCTTCTTGTTTGAAGTCGCCCACTCGTACTCCAGCTCACCCTCCGAGATCAACTTCCTAGTATTTACTGCAGTCTGGACGCTACTCGCCCTGATCTATCTCACCCTCACATCATGGAAGTTCGAACGCTTTGCTCATCCCTGGATCCTCTGTGGTGTCGAGAGCTTGACAATGCTCTTCTGGTTCGCCGGATTCATTGCCGCAGCAGTCTTCCTCAGCGACCTCATTACTTGTGCCGGAAAGGCTTGCAGTTCCGCTAAGGCCGCGACCGTCTTTGCCGCCTTCGAGTGTAAGTTGGCCTGATCGCAGAATGAAATGCGCCTCGTTGACAAAATTATGCAGGGGTATTGTTTGCCGTTACAACAGCCTTGGCCGTCATGGCTGTGTTAGGCAGAGGTCGTGCCACCAAGGCAGGCCCAAACACCATGGGAGCCTAGAACCTAGAACCTTCCTACTCGACTCCGATGATGATCTCGTACGACGACAATGCGTGTCACGATTGATGGTTTCTGGTTGCAAGGAGGCGGTGCTATTCTATGGCTTGGAAAGATGAGATACCCTGGGAACTCTGGTGACACTTCGGGAGTAGTTGGGTCAGATCGGCAAGGGTTGTTTTCTTTCACATGCAAGCGGCGGCCCTGAGTTGAGCCACACCTTTGTGGCGGTGCAGATCAGGGTTCCCTAATGACGCTATTAATCAGCATCGAAGGCGCGCGAAACACCCGAAGGCAAGTCTTTGTCGCAAAGGCTGTTGATACCAAACTACAAATCGATACTTCTCACGCATCTCTCATCTTATTCATCTATCGCTAGTGCACAACTATGGCTTCAGAACCCGAGCGTCACCCTTCGCCAGAAGTGCTGTCAGAAGATGAACAACAAGACGGCCTCTCCCTGACGGTGCAATACCATGGCCAACCTATAACACTCACCCTACCCACCGATGCCACCATCTCAGACCTTTCCACACTTGTCGCCGAAGACCTCCAGATACCTGCCACGAATCAGAAATTCCTCATTTCGCCAAAACCGGGTCTCCTCCGCCCACCCTTCAAAGACCCAACACTCCGCCTTGACGCCCTACCGCAGAAAGCAAAGATCACACTTCTAGGCAGTACAACTCAAGAAGTCGCCGACGTCGACTCCGCAATCACAGCCCTCAAGCAAAAGCAACAAGCCCGCCGAGCAGCCCTCAACGCCGGCCGCAAAATCCAAGCAAACCGCCATCGCGACTGGAAGACCGTGACAGAAGAAGCAACATACACCTTTGCCGCTCTACGCCCACTACCACACCTCCACCAACCCGAAAAGTCATTGCGGTTCTTGGAACGTCTGCGTGATGACCCAGGCATCAAGGCCGCCATGCGGAAACATAAATTCGCCGTCGGATTGCTGACGGAAATGGATCCTGCCGAGCATACCACACATGAGTCACGAACACTGGGGCTGAACAGAAATAGAGGCGAGGTTATCGAGTTGAGATTGAGGACGGACGCCTATGATGGATACAGAGACTACAAGGTCATCCGGAAGACGTTGTGCCATGAGTTGGCGCACAACGTCATTGGTCCGCATAATGCAGAGTTTCACGCTCTGTGGAACCAGATCGAGAAGGAAGTGGAGAAGAACGATTGGTCAAGAGGTGGCAAGTCGCTGGGGCAGGAAGAGTTCTACAACCCTGGCGATGACTATGTCGAGGACGACGACCACTGCGATGCTGGTGGTTGGGAAGGAGGCTCGTATGTCCTAGGTGGTAGCACTTCGAGCAGTCAGCCTGCTGCAGAGCCTCTCTCTCGACGAGAAGCCATGGCAAGAGCAGCTGAAGAGAGAGCGAAGAAGCAGAAGAGCGCACAGAAGGCCGCCGAGCACGACAACAACCCACCGACCAACGAATGATCAATCTCTACGACTTATCACACGAGCATGGCATTTCTCTATCTCTTTTCGGTGCGATAACAAGCAAGCATAATTAATAATGTTGTAATGAAGAACTTTGACTACTTGATTCTGTTGCTGCAAAGACTTGCCTAGGCACAAAGCTTGTGATCGTCCATATCTGCCACATTCCCAAGTATTGTCAAGTCTAGATGCACGCCCCAGGATTGCGAGGAATGTTGCCAGTCAATCCCCCGAACAGTGACGATAAGTTCGCGCTATACATCGAGCACCATCTTGTCATCGACTGATTGGGTTGGCGAAAGCGTGCATAGCTCACATAGGACACTTGGGGAAATGACAAGATCATGGCAGCAAGCAATGTTTGTGCGTGCCCATAATCTATCGAGAGTCAGCTCCAACTATAGCCAAGACCCACCTGAACTGATCCGGAGGTTCGTTGAACCAGCCCTGGCCAACTGCCACAAGTCCCTTGTTGAGAAGGTCAAGCGAACGATGAAGGCGCTCAGCATGGTGTTCACAAGAGCATCGAATGGCGAATCAAAATTTAAAGGCGAAGGTCGAGCGACGTGGCGATTGAGAGCGCCGCGAGCTGACGTGAGGAGTAGAGTGTCGCACGTTACAATGTTGAATTGCTCATTAAGTTGAAGCAATTTGATGGAACCGCACCACGGGATGTGTAACTGTATTGGAAAAAGGCGGACTGCCGAACTAGGAAATCCACCGGAAAAGATGCTCGAGAATCGTAAAGCTGTATAACGCGCGATTGTGTCTGGGTTGTGTCGCCAAAATAGTTGCAGAAGCACGTCACGCCTCAAGATTTCTGATTCCTTTTTTGCCGTACGACGAGCTGAAGCCGAAAAGACCCGAGAGATTAATCTGCTGATGCGCCCCGAACGAACCGTGAATAGCGTGGAAGAGCGGCAAGAAGATGACGAGAAAGGTGAAGAGGTACATGATGGTGATGGGTGGGCATAATAACCGATGGGCCGGCATATCAAAGCGTGCTTTTTTCGATCCCCCTGGTCATTAGTAGGCGCTTTAACGGCGTTCGTACCTGTCAGCACCGCGCTCCTCACCATAAGCACGACGGCCACCAGAGGCGGCAGCATCGGCGGCGGGAGCAGCGGGGTCAGCATAGCTGGAAGGAGCGTCAGCGCGAGCACTGCCACGGTCGTAGCCGTATCCTCCGCGTCTGTCGTCATCGCCGCCAGAAGCACCACCGCGTCCAGCGTAGCGGTCTTCGCGGCCACCGCCGTAGCCACGGGAGCCACCGCCGTAATCATCACGGTCGCGACGGCTGTATGAGCCACGGTCCTCGTAGCGGTCGTAGTCGCGGCCGCCGCCGTAGCGGTCATCGCCGTAGCGGTCACCACCTCCGTAGCGTCCACCACCAGATCTGCCGCCGTAATCGTCGCGTCTGCCGGGGCCACGACGATCGTTGTAGCGGTCACCACCACCGAAACGGCCAGGAGGGCGACGGTCGTCGGCTGAGGGGAGTAAGGTTAGTTGGCGGACATTTGTGGTAGAATTGTGCTGACTTACTTCTCTTGGGAGGGCCGAAGTACTTGCCGGGGGTAGGGGTTCTAGGTCTGGAGCGACGAGCCTTCTCAATGCTCAGGGTGCGGCCTTCGTAAACCTCGCCTTGAAGGCCAGACTTGGCGGCGTCGGCCTGCTCGCCAGTGGCCATGTTGACGAAACCGAAACCACGGGATTCGCGGGTGTGAGGGTCGCGCATGATGCTGCAAGTGTCGACATCGCCGTACTTCTCGAAAAGACGGCGGACCTCCTCCTCGGTCAGACGGGGGTGGATGCCGGTAACGAAAAGGTTGGAGCCAGGGTTGGCGGCTTCTTCTTCGTCCTCACGGATCTGCTGGGCAGTGCTAGGTGGATGGTCAATGACAAGTTGCGCGTGGACGGTTGATGGTTGATGACATACCGGTCGTCGCGGACAGCAGCAGGCGAGGCGCTACGGAGTCTGCTGTCGCCATCGCGGTCGGGGCGAGGAGAGCGCGAGCGCTCACGGGGGTACTGAGGCTCGTCTGTCATATCGTTAGACCAGTGATGCAATGGTGCAATGCGAGTCAGAGAGGTAGGTACCGTCGTAGTCGCGGTTCTCGTATTCCATTTTTGCGGGTATTAGATGAAAGAGACAGAAAGAGAAATGGGTTGGGCAAGTTCAATGGAAAGAAACAAGGAAGGGATGATGCGATGGAAGTCACGTCTGTGAATGAGGAAAGGGATGGAGGATGCTTGCGCCTGCCGTCTAGCTCTCACTTGTTTGCGTCTGGGCGCTAACTTCACTCCGCCAACCACGTGACTTTCGGTCAACTTTACGCTGCTTCCGCTATGATGTTGCGCAGCGCAACAAACAAGACAAACTGACTTGGTCCATCATCGCAGTGAGTTCATCTCTGTTCCTCGACTCGCACTCATGCAGCCATCCTATACTTTATTTGGCTGCCAACATGACGTCGCCGCTTGCCATGTCGCCGCCGAGTCTTGACGTGTGGCTGACTTGTAGCAGCATCTTCTGGAATCGGCCATCTCTCTCGATCGAGAAACGTCAGCATGGCCTCGAATGGCCCCTACTACCAGCCCGTCCAGGCGCATGATCAACCCGTGTCGGATGAGATGCGCCTCGCTCAAGGCATCCTAGACTACACCGCCTCGGCTCCTCAAGCATCCATGTACCCCGAGCCCAACTCGGAATATCACCATGCTCAGCAACTGGCCTCAGAACAGGAGGCCGAAGATCATGCTCAATTGCAAGGTCTCGTCGAGGCTGCTACCAGTGCTGCTGCCCAAGAGCAGATTCGCCAACGCAACCAGCAACTCCAGTTCGCACATTCCGACCAAGACCTTGCCTCACTGCTACGCGATCCTTCTGCTAGACTGTCGACATCAAGGAGAAAGCGCTCCAATTCCCTCGACAATGACGATCAGACTTCTGCGAGCGAGTCTTCCAAGCGTCAAAGGCGCTCCGAAGACGACGGACACCACTCTCCGCACCTCGATGCCCGAGCTGCTGGCGTCCACTCAGCAGCAGCTCTCTTCCGACCTGCCTCCGACTCTTCCAAGAAGTATACACGCCCTCCCATGTCCAAGCTCTTCACCTCGCTCGAGCTATCCCCCGAGAACTTCCTATACCTACAAGCCGCTGCGAAGCAGTATATGCTCAATGCCGACTACCCCGATCGCCAAGCTTGTGTGGGCAACAGAGGAAGAGGTGACAACGAGATGGTGAAGGCCAGGATGTATCAGTGTGTGCGCGAGTTCCTCGAGGCCGAGGGTTGGGGAGAGAAGTACTTTGGTGAAAACGCACCTCCACCAAACGATGGAGAAGCCAATGCACCGCCTCAACCACGTCGCTACGTCTGGCCGCGTGACAGAGATCGCATCATCGCTCTTTGTACCCCGCTGTTGCGTCGCATGGTGACAAATGAGCGCCAGAGACAGTACGCCATAGAATCGCGTAAGGGTGGCAAGCCAGATAAGATCCCGCAAGACGCCTCTGACCCTCAGGCTCAATCCGCCCATGATCAAGACTCTGTCTCCATGTCAGCTCATGACGCCCAGGCAGAGCCGTACGACTCCCGCTTGGATGCCATTCCAGCCTATCATCTCTATCTCGTCACCCCCGCGACAGGCCAACTCGTGCGAGACCGTATCTCCTTTACTATGGAAGAAGAATTCAGTTGGCAGTGGCTAGTGGACACTCTGGTTAGCAACTGGTGCAGTGCCCTACAGATCGTTCAGCCTCCACCCGACATTGCTGCAAACATCCTCGAGCGCTTCACAATCAAAGTACTTACTTCTTCTGGTTTGACTACTGTTTCTGGCGAAGGTGAATGGCAATTGGCTATTCAAGACATTCGTCAGACTATCTGGCTGGATAGTACTGTCAAAGTTGTCGCCGAATGCCCATCTACGCCGTAGAGTCTTTAAGTGGCGGTGTTCGAACGGGCTTAGAAGTGGAAACGGAACCAAAGAGCCTTTTTACACGTTATTGGTCTGTTCGTGGCAGCTCCTTCTGCTGTTTACAGTCACGGAAGTCGGAAAGTGCAACAGATGATTGACGACTGCTCACGCTAACATGAACGAGTACATACAAAACCATCAAAACTATTGTAACCTTAAAACCCCTCGACACTTGACACTTGTTTTGTAAACTGTGAACCGTTTTAGGCGACAAGCAATACGAGACGAATGAGACAAGAGGTCGCAGTAACGTGAGTACAGAGAAGGAGAAGCCAAAACAAGCCAGACTTTGTACATCCCTCAGATACTCATCTAAGTGGCTGTCTCTAGACAGAACGGTTCTAGTTCTGGTACAACCATCCAGAAATATCACTTGAGAACATCGTTCTCTATGAACTAGAACCTCAGGATCAGGATCATTGTGGAATCTTCATGGGCATACGGAGTATTGTACTAGAGGAAGACCTTGCAAGAAGGAGGAGCTCGGTTCTGTCTCTAACGATTCCCAGTATCATATCAAACACCTTGCCTACCATAGGGAGCTTCGGTTGCGTCGATTGAAGTTTGCCTCCCAAGTCGAGTTCAGGAAAGAGATGCGATCATAGGCTTCAGCAAGAAGGGCAGAAGATGGGTTTATGGGGGTAGTGAGTTTTCTTTGATTGTGGTGATTCTCCTCCTAAAGCCATGATTACAACAAAGATCTATTTGGTATCCAAAAAGTGTTATAAGTCCATCTGTCGGACTGTCGAAGAATGGAAAAAGTGAAGTGAAGAAAGGGAAAGAAAGAGCAAAAGCAAAAGCAAGGAAAATGTTCGTGTCGTAAAAGTTCGTTTCGTCAGTCATCATCAGTGTTGGCCTTCTTTTCCCAAAAGAAAAAGAACTCCTGAAAGCAGAGAAAGAGAGCAATGAAAAAGCGCTTTCCTCCTGGCTCCAAACCGATGACCCGGAAATGAGATTCGTAAAGATTCGCTTTTTTTCTTCTCATCATTCATATCGTGGTGTTCTCCCGTGTTGAGGAGGTTCGTTAAAAATAAATGCGTAATTACAGCTCAAAGTGCAATGACTTAGAGCATTTGGCCGGCAATGTCGCGGATTGCCCATCGCCACGAGTCGTTGGAACGACGGCAGCCACCATCCATGGGGAACCAAGCCTCGCATCTGCGGCGCCAGACTTGCTCCTCATCGCGTTGGCGACGAATGAATTCGGGACCAAGGTCGAATTCCTCACCAACCAGCCACTCATCGCCACCAGTAGTTTGTGCGCCATCGGGAGCAGAGGTGGGGCCCTCCTTGAGATCTTCAATGGCGGCGAAAGGGTCCTCTTCGTCCTCGGTAACGCTAGGACTGTTGTTCCTAGAATCTCCGGCACGCAGCTTGAGCCAGCACATGCGACGGGGGTCAAAGACCATTCCACCGACAACCTTAATGTTCTGGTTGGAATAGTCTGACGCGAGCGGGGTGATAAGAGCAGGTCTGGGAGGGGAGGGCGGAAGTGGGCGCGCAGTCATGTAGGAAGTCTGCTGTGCATCGTGGGCGGTCGGAGTGGGGGTCGGTAGGAGCGGACCAAGCTCGAATGGAGCCAGACTGTTCTCATTGCCTTCCCAGCGCAAAGTCTGAGGGTTGAAGGTCATACCCTTTTCAATGATTGGCTTGCCGACATTGGTGGTGCTGGGAGTAATGAGCTGAGGACGCTTGGCCTTGATCCTGGAAGCACTGGGGCTGGTGTGGGGACTGCGGGCAGCAATCTGAGCCTTCCAGTTGGTGCTGACAGGCATAAGCGGGCCCTCGCTCTTGGGACGGCCAGTTCCTGCGGCCCTGAGGCGTGATTCGCGTGCGATACGGCTGGCTGCAGTATCGCGAAGATAACGCGGGGTGTTGGACTGGTCCTGGAATCCCTTCATGGGCATGGGGCTGCGAGGTGTCACGGGAGCGGGAGTCTGCATGCGCTCGGGCAGAGGGATTTTGGTAGGGCCAGTAACATCGATTCTGCTCGGAATGTTGCGAACCGACTTGGGTGCACCCCTGGCAGAAGGCTGCTTGAGATACCTTGATTCCTTGGTCGACGATGTGGGCAAGTCGTCGAAGAGGTCGAGCTCGGTTCCATCACCAAAGTTGCGTCTGCGAGAAGGCTTCGTCACGGTGCGCTTGGATGCAGCTTCCCTCGCAAGTGCGGCAGGGGCAAGGTCGGCACGGCGACCAGAGCGGGAAGGAGTGTCGGGTACATAGCCCGAAGACAAGCGTGAGTAAGAGCGGAGGGGAGGCGACTGGCTGCGATGAGGTTCGGCCTCGCGACGGAGGTGGTACGCAGAAGTACGCGAAGGAGGCTTGGCGGTAGTGTGGTGCGACTGGGCTGAGGTTCCGGCTGGTAAGAATGGTACGGGCTTGACGCTCTGCTGGGGACCGCGCAGAACGGGCATGGAGCGCTTGCTGCGCAGGAAATTAGAACCCGATGTAGAGGGTTGAGGTCGTTGACGCGTGACAAGAGTAGCTCCAGGTTCAAATACGGGCTCGAGGCGGGAAGCAGGCTTCGACGAGGGAACGGGTCGGGGGATGCGCGTGGCAGAAGGCTTCTCGGAGAAAGTGAGGGTTGTAGTGGGTGCACGAGTCGACGACGAGGACTTGGTCTGTCTTTGTTGAATGTTGCGGTGGAGGGTGAGCTTGCTTGGATCAAAGACATTGCCTGCGCCGATGTCAAGGCCACTTTCGAAGTCGTCCTCATCCTGGGGTTGCGAAGTAGGAGCCTCGACTTGCTGTTGACGCTTCTTAAGCATCTTACCCAGGTCGATAGGTCCTTCAGGAAGTTCAAGGCCGCCAAAGTCATCCTCGCTTTCAGTCAAGACGCTGCCGAGACTAGGGCTCATGGCGGAGCCCAACTGGGAGCCGGAAAAGCTCCTGTTGCGCTGGTCGCGACGTGTACCGGCGAAGCGAATGCCTAGGCTACCCTCTGTGAAGTCGTCGAAGTCGTCATGTTCCTCCTCGTGTTCTTGGTGGGAAGTCTTGGGCAATTTAAGCGAGAGCGGAGCGTCGTCGCCGATTTCCAGGTCGTCGGCCCAGTCGTCGTCTTGACGGGGAGGGAGTGTTCGGCGAGAGGGCGCGTTACCTAGACGCTGAATCTTGCCGCTCATCAGAGCTGAAGGGGGGACATTGTTAGGAATAGGGATGCCGGCGTGGAGGCGGGCGGACTGGATTGCGTTGTTGGCGGAGGAGTCGTCGTTGGGCGCCAGCATGACATGCCAGTCATCGTCAGCAGCAGCGGATTCGGAGCGCAGTGACAGGCGTGAGGAAAAATGAGTTTGCACGGTCGAGACGGAGTTTGTGAAGAGATCGCCCTGGAAGTCGACATCGTCGTCCCAGCTCTCAATGTCGGCCGCGGCCATGACAGGCGGTCAATCGGCAAGCGAGCGACGGCGGCGAGGGTGTGGAGGGTGTGGATCGGAGATGGGGAGCGAGAGACGATCGAGGCGCTGGGAGCGACAGTAATGAAGGTGCTGGCAAGAACGGGGTTGCATTGAAAGATGCAGCGAGCGTGCAGGACGAGCGAAAGAGACGACGCGGGATGGCTGGAAAGCTGCTGAAACGGGCGTAGAGATATGCAAGCCAGGGCAGGCTGCACCGCTGCGCGAAGCTGCCACTTCCACAACTCACCCGAAGCACACACCACGCACCTTTTTTTGCTCTTTCCTCGCACACTTGCCAAGAAGGGTCTACCTTCCCGCCGACTCCACTGCCCGAGAGGCCCTAGCGACTCGCGCGCACGTCACAATCTCAGTAAACAATCAATCAATTCCACGCGACCTTGACGTCTCCTTCAGGCCTCTGCCGCAGCAAGAAGCTGCCTCGCGTCTCTGCGCCTGGTGCCTGAAACGTCTCACTCACACGCGTTTGCTTGCCGAAACGCTCGCCAGCAAACGGTTAAAAGCTTTCGAGGCGTCGACGTTGCTGTCGTTGTTTGCACATCCCGCTGCCTCCAAACAAACGTCCCCGCCTCGGCTTCCGCTCGCTGACTACACCCTACCGACCCTATTCTCAGCCCTTGACCGAGACTAGCCACCATCAAATTTTACTCTGCCGTCATGCCACCATTGCCAGACCCTTTAGTCTTGCGGCTACCGCGGACTGACGTCGACAATGACTTCGTCCTCGTCAATGTCCAACAATCCGGTCCGGATCTTCTGGATGTGAAACTCGTTGCTACAGATGGCGAAGCTCCTTTCGTCACCTACCTCCGCCAAAACCAAATCCACAAATTGCAGGCTTCTAGCTCGCAGACGGAATTGGGCCATTGGCAATCTATCTTGTCTTCTGTCTTGCTTCAATCTATTCCAAATGATCCTACTCTGGTCGGAGTAGAGGCCGTGGCCAATCTCTCTTCATCTCAGCTCACTATAACCATCCGTAATAAGATTAGTGGCATCACTGTACGTTTCCGCTGCAACTCTCCCTACTCGTACGGTATACTGATGTCCGTAGCAACGACTTGGCGCAATCACTCTGGACAGGGATGACGATGAAGCTGTGCAGCTATACGACTGGACGGGCTTTGCTGTATCCCGAGCTGATGGACTGGCCCACCAACTAGCAACCTTCCAATCTACCGTGACGGAGCATCAGAAGAGAATTGATGAGCTGACCGCTCAGCTGGATGACCTGGTCAAGGCGAAGAAGTCTCACCAAGATGAGATGCTCCGGAAGTTTGCAGCCTTATTGAACACCAAGAAACTCAAGATCCGCGATCAGCAGCGCCTTCTGGCTCATGCCAAGGTCAACCCCAGAGCCGCAGATCAAGTTCAGCAGGCTAGATCTGCTACTGGCCGTAAACCTGATCTCTCTCGCTCAAGCAAGCGTAAGGCCGATGACAAGGTCAATGAGTCTGAAACAGATGACGATGACCTGGGAGGAACGGATCTGGGGAACCGCATGGACGAAGAACATGACATGCGTCAGGAACTTGGCGGACCCCTGACATCTGACAAGTCTGAACTTGATACTGAGGATGATGACAGCGATGGTGGCTTTGCTCCAGCCCCCATGCCGTCACAGCCGTCGCGCTCTCAGGCCTCACAATTATCGCGCTCTCAAAAATCCATGGGAGCCATGGAAGGAGCCTCGGAAGCTATCAAGCCAGATGAAACAGAGAAGGCACCTGAAGTGTCCCCTGAGATACAGCTACCGCCTAGAAGGCAGTTGCCTTTCTCCAAGCGGAATGATCTGATGTCTTCTTCACAGGCCCTGCCTAAGTCCTCTTCGACAATGGCCTCTTCTCAGACCCTGCCCAAATCGTCTGTCGTAGTGCCTCCTCCTAATCCAACGCCAGCAATGGAGGAAGACGATGAGACAGACGACGAATTGTGACTTACTCGTAATCTCGTTAAGGCATGGTCGCTCTCATACTTTCATACAACTACCAAAATTAGGAGGACCATGAGCATCAACGACATACACCAAATTCATATGTAAGACATTGCGGAAATCTTGGTCAGGAATAAATTGCCTTGGCTTTGAGCTCTATGTACAGGTTGCTAAAAATTAGTGGCATCAACGTCCATCCGGTCCTCCATACCGCTCCCTAAATGGTAAAGTATCTGAAACAGGTGTAGGACCATGTTCCCCTTCGAGTGTTTGGAATGCCACTGTCCTCGGTGTCATCGGGTTCAGCATGTTCGATATGCCTGGTGGATACTGCCATTCCGCCTGTGACCGCATCTTCTCCCACTCTTGCTCATCAAGTCGGGCCGTCTCTGGCGAATATTCTGGTATCTCTGTCTCTTCGATGTCGGCTGCTCGAGCAAGCTTCTCTGCTTTGGTAGGAATACAAGAGTGGAGCGAGACTAGCAATGTCACTGCGAAGAGTATCCTGAAGAGCACTATCAGTCCTGAAACACCTCAACGTGTGAAGGGGACTACTCACAATAGACACAATGTCACAGCAAAGCTCGCCTTCGCTTGCTTGCAGTACCCAATGTTCTTCTTGTCAGACGCAACGTCGCAGCTCTTGGTGATGTACCACGGTGCGCCTTTCTGTGGATGGTCCTTGTCGGTCATGTCGGACGCAGACTGACCATATGCACTGTAAGCATACAGGACAACCAGCAGGATATGGACCAGAGCAGAGAATATTGGAATAAGAGCGCGCATGAAGAACAGAACGGGCTTGATAAGCATTATGAACATGGAAAGCACAGAGATGACAACGTTGAAGTCGGTGATACTAGTAGATGGTCAGAATCCGCCATAGAGAAAATTAGGATTGAGCTCAACATACAACTGACTCCAGATGATAGGAGGACTGATCGGTCGATGATTTGCGTAGGAGTAGAGAATTTCAGTGGGTGAACTGTTGAATCCATTGTTGTATCCGTCAGTCCAGAGTCGTGTACGGTAGGTGTTTGGCTGAGCAATGGCGAAGAGAGCGAGGGCAGCCACAGTAAAGGGGAACTCTGCAACGAACAGCCAGAGCATGGTCTTTCGTGACCGCCATTTTCGCGCGACGAGTAACATTGTGGTAGGTCTGGGGCTACGGGCAAAGTAAATGCAGTATGCGATTGTTCAGAAGACTCGACAAACGCCTATCGAGTATCGAGCCTCACGCTTCGCAACCAAGCGCCGAAGGATGAGAAGAGGAGTCAGAAAGAGACACTTGCCATCCCAAAAGGCGGGAGCAGACATGATTTGTACAAGTTACTGCAGTACGACCTACTCGCATGATCTACGTCCATTCTCACCTTGTTATCACCGTCAGCAGCGAACGGGGTAAGCTGTGTAGCCGCCCGTGAAAGCAAGCGTGGCACGTCTCGCGCTTGCTGTTCATGCATGTCGTCCAATCAGCTGGCTGGCTGTGGCGCTTGGCTGCGTTTCCTTGCATATCCATCTCACGTCCTGCTCACCGTTCGTCTCTTGATTCGATTCAAAGTGGTTATGTTTGCTGATGCCTCTCGACGAGTCTTGACCTCAATCGAGTTTGCTATTCAACTAGACTTGCAATGATTTTCAAGGGACGCTTGTTTTTTCGGAAGGGAGCTTTGTTGATGTCCGAGCAGAATTGTGAAACCTGATGTAAGAATAGATATTGGTTTACGACACACAGAACCGGGACCAAACACCCGGCATCATAGTCCTCATCCTTCAGATTTCTGTCTAACGCATGAATATGGATGATCAAGGTCAACGCGGTTGGTGAAGTGGCTCCGTCTGATCCGAGCAGGGTCGCCCCCTCCACGTCTGCTCACATCGACGTCAGCATCTGCATCTCAACCGTCCACAATCTTTCCATCATCAGACTCAAATCACAATGTCCAAACCTGCAAACACCACTCTCAGAATGCTCTACGGCACAGCCTGGAAGAAGGAACGGACAACCGCTCTAGTCACTCAAGCTCTCCAAGCGGGCTTCCTTGCCGTCGACACAGCCGCGCAACCCAAACACTATCAAGAACACCTTGTCGGCAAGGGCGTCCGCACCTTCCTCTCTGGTAGCAATCTCACTCGTGGCGAATTATATCTTCAGACCAAATACACATCCATCAATGGCCAAGATCCGAACAACCTACCATACGACCCTTCAACCAGTATAACAGAACAGGTTAAAGCTTCTGTGGCGTCTTCGTTACACAACCTCAGACATACTGAAGATGTAGAGGACAGCTATATCGATTGTCTGGTGTTGCACAGTCCATTGCCGAATATCCAGCAGACAATGGAGGCCTGGGATGCAATGGCCTCGTTTGTACCAGCTAAAGTACACTCTTTGGGCATCTCGAATACCTCCCTGCCGATTCTGGAGTATATCTGGGATAACAGCAATGTCAAGCCAAAAGTGGTGCAAAACAGGTTCTACGCTGCCACTGGTTGGGATATCGGGCTCAGAGAGTTCTGCAAAGAAAACAGCATCGAGTATCAAAGTTTCTGGACATTGACGGGCAATCCCAAGTTTCTTGGTATACCACTTGTCACTCGTGCAGCCGAGGAAATAGGTGTGAGTGTGGAAGTTGCGATTTATGCTCTCGTTCAAGGACTTGGAATTACACCCATCAACGGCACTACCTCACATATTGAGACCGACATTGCTAAGCTGTTGAAGCTTGAGGAGTGGAAAGCCAAGGGACACAACAGCGAGACATGGGGAAAGACTGTTCGGGCCTTCGAGTTGTTGCTTCAAAAGTGGTCGCTTGCTAGCTATTAAAACGCATAACGCTATTGAGATCTCAGAGAGGGTCCATTGAGAGCCCGAACTTTTTGCTCTCTCACTGGACACTCGCCGAATTTCTCAAATCTTCGTGCAGTTTCACAGCTAATAACAACAGCACCGAAGACCTCATACTTCGAAAATGTAAAAGAAAACAAACAAACTTCGATTAAAGCCTCTCAATAAATATGTATCGTATGCGTATATATCTTATCCTCATATGCGTTTTCATTCCATGTATTCGTTTCTCTGTTCATGTGTTTCATCTTGACGTTGTGTGTTCTCGCCTCAAACACTGGCGGTGCGCCTCTTGACACAGACAGGCTTCTGTGCATAACAGAACAACAGTCTGAAGCTTGTTCTTTGGCGCTCGCACTCGCGCAGTAGGCCAGGTGTGTCCCAAAGCCCTGCTGTGGTTGTCTGACCAGGATCGGGATAGCAGGAGGAGTACCACCATCGTCCAATCTTGGCCACTGTTTTCGTGATATCTTCGTCATTGCGTCGCTCATGGCGTTCGTCCTCCTCATTGTTCTTGTCGTTTTTGTTGCTCTGCATCCACTCTGTGAAGCGTAGGTATTCAGGCTCTGGTTGTTCCGACCGTCTTTGCTTCTGGCTACTTGAGCTCGAGGTTCCGCTATCGTGACTTCTGCGTATGCGCCCAGCTACTGGTATATCGACGACGCATTTTCTTAGGTTCTCAAAATTGCGTTTGCCGAGGAGCGTGAGGAAAGCATCGCCGTGGTTCCAGAGACTGATCTGGCTATCATGTTGATGGATACGTATCTTGAGGTCGCGAATGGTTTTGCGAGCTGTGTGACCTGCAAAGCGAATGCAAAATTAGCATATTTCTTGTGTGCATGTGTGTAACGATACAATCTCCCAAGGCCGCGAGACATCAGAACCTGTAGCTGTCGAGATGCAGAGAAGTGGTCATAGTCGACTAGCCGTCCATAGAGAGACCACTTGCTTCCATGAGAAGGTAGGCTCAAGACAGATGGCCGTTTGTACAGCGAGCCGACTAACAATGCAATCTGAAGCACCATCTGATGGCTATTGGAGCATAGTATCTACATCCTCGCATACGTACCCATGTTGACAAGATCTAGGTCTAGCACAGACATCTCTAGGTATCCTGACGGGCGTAATGTGCGTTTGATCTCATTGAAGCATGCTTGATAGGCGTCGTCTGCGGCGGCGATGGGGAAACGGAAAACTACTGCCGAAAAATAGTTATTGGGGAATGGGAAGGGTGTGTCGATTGACGGATGAGTAACATGGTGATGGTTTGAGAGCGTCTCCCATGAGGACGAATTTGGTCCAGGCCCGAGATTATAAAATTGACACTTCGGGTAGGTCAAAGCGCAGTTATATGACCATTCTTTTCCAAGCCCGTCAACAATCAAAATTCGGGTGTGGTTGCCAGTAATTGCTTCCTCATGGGCGGGACTGAATAGAAGTCGGCCGAATGATAGCCATTTGCTTGTCATGAGTGCCGCAAATCTCAACTCTGCCGAGGCTGTTGGTGGACTGAAAACAGCAGGATCGACTCGAGATTCTCGAATTCTGCGTGGTGAGATAGGTACTTCAGGTTTTACGTCGTCCTCTTGGTCAAGATAATCAGATATCGAAAAGGTTGTGCTTGGGCGACTGGTATCCAAATTGGAGCCTCTTTTGCTGGCCTCAGGATTCGAGGTACTTCTGGGTGCACTGTCTTCGTTTCGGTTGATGGCTTTAGAGTCGACCATGTCGGCATACTGGAACGGTGCACCGAGAGACGAAGTAGTTGATGCCCTCACTTTTGCTGGCAAGACCTCATCCAACAGATTGTCGTACTCATTCCAGACCTCGTCTTCTCCGACGAAAGAAGATCTTGTGATACAAGGACTTCCGAGGCCGGAGCTGCTAGTGTAAGATAACTCAGAGTTCTTTCTAGGGGGAAAAGCGATGAACTCTTGCGTCTCATGACTCTCATCAACCATCATGTCCTTCGACGTGTCTTCCGGAGTGACATCATCTTGGAGCCCCTTCAAATTTTGGCCTGCTCGTACAACTTGTGGAATTCTGCCGACAGACCGGAGCCTAGCTTTTGAGACTTCCTCTTGCTGTGATGACCCAGGGGTCTTGGAAATTTCCACAAGCTGAGGAGCGTTGACTTGGGTCATCGTCTTCGCCTGAAGAAGGACTGGAGATCCAAAAGACGTTCTCTTGGGGGCGATAGCTGCAGGGGGAGTAGGAAGAAGGCCTTCATGTCTTCGACTATAAGCCACTAGTGGATTGCCACTGGTGTCAGAACTCTTCGAACTTTTAGAAGAACGACTATCACCACTGAGGAGCTTCTCGATATCTGTGAGGTCGATGTTTGTAGCTTGATCGATGGAACCAAAATGTAGCGACTTCGTAGGTTGTCGATACCCCAAATCACCGTTCGAGGTTTGATTCGTGACCTTGGATCTGAAGCGCTGCATGAGTGTTGGACTCTTGCTGGATCTGGGGGAGCTTAGCCAATGGCCCTCTTTGCCCTCGTGACCCAATTCGGAGAGAGATGGCTTGTCAGCCTCGGTGGCAGGCATAACTGTCTTAGAGCCTGCTGAGCTTGCGTAATGTCCAGCCTTATCCAGATTTTCGGGTTTGGCGGTCGCAGAAGCTCCATGCTCTTCAGACTTCAGCCCGCTTCCATTTCCACGGAGAATGATCGGCTCTCTTCTCTCTTCCAGGAATCGATCCACATCATCCTCAGTATCGCTTGTCGCGCTTTTCTTTCTGCTCAAGAACGACAGTCCTTTGCGACTTGTTGAGCTGTCTTTGCTGGAAGAGCGACTGGTTCTACCAAAAATGCTGCTTCCTCTTCCCCTGAAACCGAACTTGCCATAGCCCTCGTGGCCTGTGCCTGCTGCAGGTCCTTTCTTTGGCTTATCTGACGTGATCGGAGGAGTGGACGAATCCTTATGGCGGCTAGACAGTATCCCTATCCTAGGAGTCCTCGAAGTGTTGGGACTCGGACCAACCATCGGCGAATCTTTGCGACTGAGAGGAGTGCCTATTTCAGAACGCTCAGTCGGTGTTCTGGGTGTTGTTGGAACTCCTTGTGATTTGTTACTCTGACGAGAAGAGCTTCGATGAGAGAATCCAAAAGTCCTTCTTGGGCTCAACGGTGGCGTTTCCATGTCGGCTGCGTCTGGGCCATGAGAGGGCGTTCGGACAATGTGTGAAAGATTGCTTTGTACCACAGGGATGTCCGATGCAAGTCCTAATCCATCGATACCATCTCTGCTTGGTCGCCTAGGAGGCATTGATCTGTTGTTTGATAAAACCGCAGGTGGATCCACATTAAGGTGTGCAAACTCCGGCGGGATACCGTCAAAAGGCACACCTTGAGATGTCTTACGGGTCGAAGACTTGGTAGCAGAACTTTTTTGGTCGTGTGTGTGTGCAACCTTGGCCGAGAATGGATTGGAAAAAGAGGGTTTCTGTCTAGTCTGCTCTTGATGTCTTAGGCTAGGAGCATCAGGGCTTAAAGCTTCAACTCGCAAAGCAGAGCCAGAGATCGCAACCGATGGCTTAATGTCCCTTCGTGTTTGTGTCTTTGTAGCAGCACGAGCTAGATCCAAGCTATCTCTATGGCGTGCAGATCCTAGAGTAGATGCAGCTAACGAAGAGTGTGAGGAAGCTGAAGTTGGTGTTGACTGGTGACTGAATGGCGAGTCAGAATTTCTACTTGAAGCGCCATCCGAGAACGGCGCCTGTAATTCGATTGGGGGATGTGGAGCTTTCGTATTGGATCTTGAATTGGACATCCTAGAATCGGAGCTTGGTATGCGGCTAGTGTTCCTTGTAGATGAAAGTCCAGATGTGGAAGGAAGAGTCATACCAAATATGGCTCCTGGAAAGGGGTCGTTGTCATACTGCACTTTGTGCACTGTTTGAACCAGTTTCCGATGTTCTTGCATGCTCTCTGGGTCGGTCTTGACGCGAAGAGCATATTGGTTGATAGTCGAAGCCTTTCTGCGTAATCCAGAACGGGGGCTATCAGGTGTTGATATAGTCGAGCCTGACACCAAAGAAGGTGTCTTTGTGCTCAAAGGAGGCGGTCGGACTGATCGGCGTTCTGAAGACCGTGCTTTGCTGGAAACACTTTGTACTGATGGAGTGGCCGACGAAGGTTGCGCCTGTACAACGCTTGGCGGAGCATTTCTGGATGGTAGGCGAGAGTTGGTGACTGTACGACGTGAAGTTGTCTCGCTCTGGGGCACATGGCGAAGATCCGGGCTTGTTGCATTGTGTCGTGTTGGCTCAATTACAGCATGCTCTTTCGGAGAACGAGTCGTTACCGGTAATCGAGTTATCGACCTTCTCAGACTTCTTGCTTGACGTTGATCTCCCGAATCCGAAAGATAGCTCGTTCCTAGTACATGGGTCGCCATCTTATGTGCCTCGTGAGATCCGTATATAGAATGTGGAGGTGGCCTATACCAGAGCGTGGACAAAGTCTGTGATATGGGTAGACTCCGCTATATTCTTCATAGTAAGGGCCAGAGATAGTGTTGGAAGATGCTGATGTAGATGTACAAGAAATCTGAAGCTCAAAAAACACATTCGAATATATTTTTGAGTTGACTCCACAGAGAATCGAAAATAGAAAAAGCACGACGACGAATGTACCAGTATTATGGTAGGTATCCTTATGCAAGCACGTTTCGTGAACCACTGAGGAATTTTAGAAAGATATGCCGAGCACCGCCACCGGCAAAACCGAGAATCCGAGGAAGAGACAGAGAATATGACGCGATCTTGGTCGATGGTTGCAGTGGCAAGGTCAGCTTTGATCTGACTTGCAACGTGTACAACGCGGACTGGATGGTTTGGATTAGGGAAAAGGGCCTCTTTGCTGGTCGGAGCAGGCGAGATGCAAAGCTAAACTCGGGATGGCGCAGGGCGGCAGTGGCTTCGCTCGCGTGTCTCAACCGCGGCTCGCAACGGTGTGTTAGCCGCAGATCCGGCCGACGACGTTTCTTTGATATTCCCAGGGCTGGGGAACGTTGATAATGTTCGAGAAAGATGCGTAATTTGGACGAGGATAGCGACACTCTATATCGTTGCAGCGACAAGTGATAAGGTGGCCCGTCTTGTGCCGTAATGCGAAATGCCGCACGCCGCAGGCGCTCGTTCCTTTCAACATCGGACCCGCTAGCCGCGTAGCTGTATGCAGGCTCAATATAGCATGACTCTCACTCGCCAGTCTTTGAGTACCCCAATCTCCAATCTGAGCGCTCCAGATTGCAACCCACAAGCTTCTGTTCGGCGACTCTTCGATCAGAAAACACATCGTTGTTCATAGCCTACACCCGGAGTGGCCGCGCACACATCAGTTGGCCAGCTCAGAGGTGTGTGGCTGTGTGCAGATTTCTGCATGTGTCTATGCATACATCGCGCCAGCGACCCTACTCTTGCTCCTGGCTGGTTTCAAGGAATTTTTGATCGAGAACACACAAAACAACTCGCTTGGGCAAGTTGAGAAGATGCTGTGATGCTGTCGACGGCTCGAGGGGTCGAAACGGAAATTCAGAATCGGAAGCCTTCCACGCGAAAAACTTGCAGCTTTAACCACCAATTGCGAGTCTGTTCCGAAGCCACATCTCAAGCAGTATGAGGGAGAATCCTTATTGGAGGTTGGCACACCTTTCCCGCATGACATTTCGATCATGTGATCTGTAGTGGTGTATGACGACTCGCCAGCAGGCATCAGAGACACTGCAATTGTTGAACTAATCCTACTCTAGCTATCGGGACTGTTTCTCCATACGGCATGTTGCATCTTGTAAAAATTCACGGTCGAACATCACGAAAATGGACATGTATTTGCAACACTGTTCTTGATACACCGCTGACAACCCAGTCAACATCCTTGAAGCAATCTTGACATTAAACGCCATGCTGCAAATGCAATGTGATAGCTGAACATCACCCATATCGGTCGTTAACAACGTCGGTCACGCCATGCTTGCCAATGAGGCATTGTCACGATCATGAAAACTCCACACGCGCGCCTTGATTAGCGCTTCTCTGCGATGCTCTCTCTGCTCGCCGTCTCTTTCTGTTGGCGTCGTGGTGACTGAGATCCGTCCCCTCGGTGTCAAACGTTCCAGGGCTACCGACTCCGCTGGTCAAGCCACTGGGAACCATGTTGACAGGGCTCATACCCGTGCTGTGAATAGGAACCGGTGGTGGACCCTGCATGGGCGGCAGGTTCAGCTCATCTGGATGTGACGATACTGGTGGTCTGGCTGCATTGTTCATATGAGGTGCGACGCCTTGAGTACGTCTGTACCTGACACTTTCGTCTTCCACTCCGGAGCTCAGACTTTCGGCTCTTCTCCTTCGTTGGCGTCGTTCCCGTCGTCTAGCTTCGCGCTCTGCCGCGGCTTCGTCCTCATTCAGTCGACGAAGTGTGACGTGACGTCCGTCGTTGTGCATCTTGACTTTGACACTGACAGGCGGCGAAGCAACACTTGTTGGGCTGTTGGCGACTCTAATCTGCGATGTAGCGTTTTGGTGACGAGTTGGCCTGTCGCGATAGTCAGACCTCGTGGGTGAGTGTGCTACAGCTGCGGTTGCGAGACCTGCTGCGGTCGTGTCCACTGGAAGATGGATTCTTGAAGTGTTGTTGGACCTCGCTAAGCGAGAAGCATCCGGAACGACAGCGCCTTCAGGCATCGAGACAAGTCCAGGCTGGACCGGATATGCCGGACCCGCCATAAGAGGTACGTGTGCATTGTTGTTCGTGTTGTTCGGAAGCAGAGTTGTACTGTACTGGTTTCCTGGGAGAGTAGCTGCTGATGCAGGTAATGGTGGCACGTGTTCGGCAGGGAGGTGGTGCCGGGAGAGCTCGGGGTTGCTTCCTGTAAAGCCGTGATCATGTGTGACTTCGGTCTCAGTCATGCTTGGTCTTCTGTGCCTGGGTCGGTCGGTATAGCGCCGACTATTAGCGCGATTGATACGTTCCGCGTTATGCTGTTCTTGCTGACGCATCTCCTCGATCCTGGCGTCATCCTTCTTAACGCGTGTTTGCCTACGCTTCTCCTTGAAGTAGCCAAACAGCCCAAGAGCACCAATGCCACCAAGTATACCAGGTTCAGCAGACTTGGTTGGCCGAGCGGCATGATCGTCCTCGAAGGAACTTCGGCTGTCGTATGAAGAGAACGAGTCGCGACTTGTGCGTGATCGAAGTGGTTGCTGAGTAGGTGTTGCCGGTACCGCAGCGATACGATCAGATCTAGCAGATCGTCGAGGCTCGGGTGATAGAGGTGCATCTCCGTCTTGGACTCTTATCACCTCAGACCGGTTGACGACATTTCCACCAACAGTGGGAGCGTATGAGGAACTGACATAGCTCTCTTCATCATTAGGTCGTTTGCGGGAAAAGGCTCTTTTTAAGCCTCCATATGCGCCTAACCCAGCACCAGCACCCAGGAGTCTGTTCCTCCAAGTATTGTCCTTGGGTCGAGTCTCGATGATTTTTTCTTCTTCGACATAGGAGCCAGAGGGGTATGATCTATGAGAGGGAACCTTTGCCCTTTCGGTACGTTGAGCAGTTCTACTTTGTGAACGTCGACGGAGCGCTGCTAATCCAGCTAGACCTGCACCGAAGAAAGCCGTATTTCTCAAACCGTGATGACTAGTGTTGCTCCCAGTACTCACAGTTCGTCGAGTGCGACCAGTACGGCGATCATCGGTGATTTCCGTTCGCGTCGGTCCAGAGGTGTAACTTGAGTAATCATCATAGTCGGCAGACGGTCGGTAGATGTAGCAGAGAATGAAATACAAAACGATGAGGGCGAACACAGCTAAAGCGTAGAGGATGAACAAGTATTTAGGAGAGCCGTATAACGTCATGCCGAGAGGGATCTGAGCTATTCCGAGGAGAGCAATGGCTCTGCCGAGCCACTGATGCAGCTGATAGCAGTGTCAGTATCATGGAGCAAATTGGAGCACATCTCTACTTACCATGAGCTTGAGAGGAATCTTCCACCGTGACTTGCCCTTCTCGATTTGATGGATCAAGGCGCCTCCGAAGAATTGAACAAGCACCAGTGTATACAGAGCAACGCCAATGCCATGGTGAGGATTGGACAAGCTTCGCTCAGGGCCCACGGCAAACCAACCGAGGATCAGAACAACAGTGACCAGAGCGACGGTCAGGATTTGAAGGTAGATGTGGAGTCGGAGGGCAAGGCGAGGATTGCGGTAGTAGAAACGCGCGACGAAGATGGCTGAAGGAACTATCAACAGGAATACCAGAGCAGCAACGACTCCGTGGCCAATGATGAGGCGGTGGTATTGTGGTAGTTCGGAGAAGCGGTTGGACATGCCTGAACACAAAGAGTCAGGTACAGAACGAGGCTAGCCGACTGTGGACAATCTTACTGTTCAACTGCATTGTCGCAAAGTTGAGCCCTTGCAGGTTGGGAAGGAGGAAAGTGTTTTTGGTTGAATCCCATGTTCCATCTCCAACGAACATTGTGCTGGAGTCGTAGACACTGCTGCCCGGCGCACTCAGGTTGTCGACAGACATGTTGATAGCGCTATGTGAGCGCACTATGGCGCTTTGTATGAGTTGCGGGTTTGATCAATTGCTGGTTGGTGAAGGGTGTGATGGTAATTAGTTGAGAAATTGTCTGGAAGCAGCGCGATTTGTTTCGTTCAGGTCGTTCGTTGAATCATAGAGTCGTGATAGTCGTTTTTGGAGCGGTAAGGCACAATCGATTGTAATCGATAAGCACGTGTCTGCACTTCTGGAAAGCAACGAGTCGTGGTATGGAAGGTTTGCAGACAGCAACGTAAGAACAGAGTTCAAAAGCAGTGCGGAGATGTATGCGCGTAATTACAGAGCGAAAGAGACATGGAAAAGGAAGAACAGGGAACTGGGCACTCTTTCTGCATGATGCCGCACCATCTTGCAGGCTTGAGAGACGTGATGGATAGTGATTGGCAGGAGCGTTGACCGAGCAACTCGGCTGTCATGTCCCCCCGCCGTTGTTCCCGCTGCGCCCGGTGCACAACTCGATCATTGCAATGCACGATTTATGAACATCCAGCCATCTCCAACCACCTCCGAACGCTACTTCCTGCTTTGCCTCAAGGGTACGAGCACTTGGATCTAAAAGACCAATCAAAAATTGTCCATCTGTAAATTTCCGTCGAGGAGTGCCCACTATGGTCAAATCAAAGGAGTTTCTCAAGAAGCCAAAATTGCCCAAGCAACAGAAAAAATCAAAGGTGCAGATTCAAACTTTTCCATAATATCTGTACATCATCATATTGACCAACATAGATATTGGTCACAGCATACGACTTTCAAGAAGGTAAGCAAACTCAAATTTCATGGTACTTGGATGGTTTACAAAGTATCCTGCGCTTCTGTTTGCGACTTGTATCAGCCTTTCGCCACAATGAGTACCTGAACTGACCACGACTATCACAGCTGCCGACGCCGAAGAAGAGACTGGCGGTAAATGGAGAGCTGGTGATCCGGCCAAATCAAGTCGTGCCTTTGTCAGAGCTATCGAGATCTACAACAATGGCTTGCAAAAACATCCCAAGGATGCCGACCTGACATACAACAAGTAAGAAACATCTTATGATATCAATCTATGGAACGTTAGCTGATTAGAGATTTTGCAGAGCTCGTCTTGAGTTTGAACTATCACAACAGCCTACTTTAGTAGCTAAACTCGCGGTTCCGTTACTTGACTTTTTGCAGCAGGCTCTCAACTCTCATCGCTATGCACTACAGCTTAACGGTGAGTCGGCTGATGTACTGTTCAACACAGCTCAGGTCATGATCAGTATTGCCGAGTATGTGACAGAAGCTGGCATCTTCAGCGCACAGGCCGATTCAGTGTCTCTTCTTCGCGAAGCACTTGAACTGCTATCAGCATGTTTTACTCGTCAGGAACAGCTCGTGGAAGAACAAAATGCAAATTCCATGGAGGCCGAAGGCGGCGTTGCAATCGACCAAGAAGTTCCTGCAGCCCAACCCGAAGCTTCTGCAGCAGGAGATACAGCTCCCGAAGACGAGGAAGAAAGCGAATACGTCTCTGTGCAAGCCTACATCACCCCCTCCGATTTGTTGGACACAGCACGCTCCAGTCTCACGGCTCTAACCCTCCTCATCACCCTCGACGACCCCTCAAATGTCTCTCCCCTCGCAAAGATGGGCACCACCCTAGTCGAGGACAAAATCCCTCAATACCTCTCTCAAGTCGAAGCCGAAGAGCGCGCTCAAGAAGAACCAGACGTCCTCCTCGAGCGTGCTCAGTTCCACGCGGCCCTCACAGTAGCCGATCTCAAACTCGGCACTGCATCTGCAAACGACTCCTTGAGTCGTCTCCAACAAGCTTTCGAACCTCTGGATACAACCGCAAATGTAGCAGTCATGTGCACCTACGCAGACAGCCTCGTCGAACTAACAACCACGGCTCAAAACTTCAGTCCTTCAAGCGCAGCAACGACTTGCTGGTCTACATTGTCAAAGGCGCAAGACCTCTATGCAGCTGCAGTCAAGATTAACGATACCGAGGCGAAGGAACGTAAAGCTCGCGTCTATGAATCTCGCGGTGATGTCGAGTTGTTGCGTTTCAATCTCGCCACCACACCTGCTGCTGGTCTTTCTGCGGCCATTCAGAAAAGTGCGCCTACGTTGATTAAGAATGCACAGACGTATTATCGCGGTGCTATGAATCTGTTCCGTGCAGAGGGAGATGCAGAGGCAGCTGGCAAGGTCGAAGTCAGAGGGCTGATTGCCACTATGCTGGAAGGGAAGTTGAACGGCAATGTTGGTCAGCAGATCGTCGCTGTCTTGGGTCAAAAGGGAGAGGCTGGAAGAGCTGTAGCTATGGATATGTTGAGGGAAAGTTTGTTGCCTGAGGATTGGGATCAGGGTCTCATGTAGAGACGCTGTTCACTTGTGGCTATAGATCTAGTTGTACAAAAATTGGTATACATTGAAATATTGGTATCTAAGATTCCCACCCGTCTATGAGGTTAGCTAGTTTTGGCTTTTCCACTTCCGTTGACAAAGGCTTCTGCCTCGTCTTCGCTTGCAGTTGTGTCACCATCGCCATAATCTCTCCAGTCACGCTGCTTGCCACCATAGGGTGCAACATCCTCTTCTTCGTCCTCCTTCTCGCTCTCAGACTCCGGCTCGTTGAAGAACACGCTTGTTTGTCGTGTGATTTCTTGAATGACACTGCCTCTGCGAGCGAAGTCATTAGACTCTTCGCGTCGGAGCTGTCGCACGCTTGGACGCATGGTGTCATTCGAATTACGTGGTGACATGGAGCCCAGCCAGCCACTGAAGCGTCTAGCAAATGATGGAGAAGGCTCTCTTTGTTCATCGAACCGTGAGCCCTTGGGTGACGGATTCTTCGAGCTCCTACCACTCTGCATTCTGTCAGGTGTGGCGGAGAGGAATGGTCCTGGTTCGAGTCTGCCGCCATTCGAACGTGCTTGCTCAAGCAGGGACTCAAGGTCGTCACTGCTCAGCATGCTACGCATCTGACTCTTTTCGATCGAAGGTGTTGGTAGGGCATTAGGATTAGGTCTCATGCTCTGTCGGGCATCTTCCACAATCTTCTCGATCTTCATGCGGTTAGCAATGAACTTCAGCTTCGGGAATGTAGCCTGTTGGCCGACTTGGATCATGTTTGCCAAACGTTCTTTGGAGGGATCAGCAAGGATGTGCCAGAAGTCTGATGGTTTCGACCTCGGCCAGATTGTGATTGTGCCAGAGAAGCGCTGCAGCCACACTTCGCTCCAGTCTTGACCCATCGGTCGTGGGAGCAATTCCAGATGTCTGAGAACTTTGAGCCATTTGGTCAGATCAAGCTTGAGATATTGTTCGAGAGCAGAGCCAAGGAAGCCTCCTCTCCATCCTCGACCACGGCGATGAGTGACTGGTCTGCCGACACTACCGCGTGAGGAGAAGAAGAACAGGTTGATGTGAGGGTTGACTTGAGAAACGATACTGAAGTTGACATTGAAATGCAAGTTGAGGGCCTTGAGCGGAATGTCGGTACGGAGCGATCCATCCTTCCACTTGTGCCCGAAAGCGTAGGGCTCTAAAGTGCCGTCACGCTTTTTCTTCATGAGTACAACGGGGTTGAGGACGCCAGGAACTGCAGCTGATGCGATGACAGCAGACCAGATGACACAGTCAGGAGCTGTAAGATAGTTTGCTAAGATAGTCGGCGAATGGGGGTCGGATGGAACGCAAGACACATTGAGTATGCGACCCGTCCTTTGGAAAGCTTCGAGGAAGGTGAGAGAACCATGGCAGAACCAAGCACATCGTCTAGCCCAGTCGACCGAATCAAAGCGAGCACCAGTCTGGTACCATCGTTTCGACCAGACAGGAAATGATTCCCTACAGGCAGTGATACGAGCCGCCAATGCAGGCACCAAAGTCGACTTGAGCTCTTCGTTGGTTCGAGTACCAAGCAAAGCAGCTACGAGAGCGCCTCCTGAAGTGCCAGTGATGATTGGGGGAAGAAGATCGGCATCCAACAGAGCCTTTGCGATACCGAAGTGATAGTAAGCAAAGGTTGCACCGCCCGAAAGACACAAAGCAGTACGTCCGAAGTTTGTGCTGAGGTGCTTAACCATGGCACGCTTGTCTTCTAAAGTCAGCAGGTCCGAGTCTAGCAAAACTTTGATACAGTCCGAAGCTTCGTCGATGAAGTCCTGTACGAGGTTCTTGGTTCCGTAGTATGTTTCGGAATAGAGACGAGGGTTCTCGAAGCCTGCAAAGTTGTTCTTGACACAAGCCTCGACCAGACCTCGGAGCTCGTCGACAGCGCGTCCGCCTGGAGACACAGCAGGGTGGTCTTTTGCTTCGGCTTGGACCTTTGCTTTCAAGGATTGTAGGCGGTGTTTGACGCGACGGACCGTCTTGCTGTCGTAATAAGCATATTCGTCGTTTGTTTTCCATTTGTCGCTGCCCAGGTGGCCATCCAGCTCCTCAGCAGCTTTAATCCAGTCCTCGTAGTTGGACTTGTGTCGCAGACTGGCGCGCAGTTGTTCTCGCTTTCCTCGCCAGGTAACGAAGTGTTCGTAGAGATAGATGTACAGCCTCGTGAACATGTATGAGATTCCCAGTGCTGTAATCCAGCCTAGGACGACGAACAGCAGCGGCCATTTCAGCAGGTTGTATGTCCATCCTTCTCTTGTCTCATCCTTGCCTCGACGCGGAGGACGCTTCTTCTTCTCTTGCTTGTGTTTTTGGCGACCTTTGACCTTTTGACGTACGGGAGCCCAGTCGTTGAGAGCTGTGAAGAACTGGGGCGGCTGGCTCGCAGCATGGAGGAGATCGTCTTCCGAGGGGGAGGTAAAGTCCGGAGCCGCAAGGGCTTTGGCGAACTCTTGAACGTCGTCGTCCCCAATGAAATCGTTGTCGAAGTCGGGGATGGTCGAGGGGTCCCAGGCTGTGGCATCCCAAGGTTCGGGACCATCAGTCTTTTTCGAAGTATCGGCCATTGCACGAATGGAATTGAATTGCTGGCTGTCACCCGACAAGAAAGCGGCTTCGGCTCAGCTGCATACTTGGGAGGAAGGTACGATCGGGGGGAAGCATATTGCACATGGGGAAGACGCTACGTCATTCTATTGGCTTCGGCCCGTGTCCGCCGAGATGGCCCTACTGTCTTATCTAATCTTATCGATAAGCTTTCTCGAGAAACACATCAAGGTCGCTGTCGCGTTCGCCCCCCCAATCCTCCATGATCAACAATGCTGCGTGACAGCAGCTTGTCCAAGCACAATGCCATGGTCAACCGCAAGACAAATGGGGCCAGCGATGCTGACGCGAAGCGCCCTGCGAAACGGCTGAAACAGGAACCTCGATCAGAAGCAGAAACGCCAGACGATGGCGAACTTGCCCCAGTCGATGTCGGACAACAAAAGACGACCGATCTTGAGACGGCTCTTCCTCCCATTGATACCGACAAAGAAGCCATCTTAGCCTACGAAGCTACGCGTCTCGCCGGTTCATCGGATTCTCAGAATGATGGGCCAAAATGGATACCTGGTCAGCGTTCAATCTACGTCGATGCCTTCAACCTTGCTCTCGATACTGTACTTGAAGACGAGAGCCATCTATTCGACGATGCTGAGAAGAAAGTATTTGAAACCTGGCGTGAATTGAACTACGAGGCTCAATACCTCTACGTTCGCTTGTTCCTTCGCAAGACATCTGCCTGGCATCGTACCAACCGTCTAGGCTATCACAGCGATATCTCCGACCTCCCCAAAGCCGTCGAAACTCTACAGATCCCTTGCCATCTTCCACCGCCCACCGTAGAATCCCTTCCCGTACCTCGCGATTTTGACCAACCCGACGATGCTCGACTTGGTCATTCCTTTACCTTCGCCGACAAGTCCGAAGACTTCATCACCACATTAGAGGAAGCCTCTTCGCTGCTGCTGCTAGACGAGCTCAAAACACTTGCTAGAGATGCAAAGGTCCAAGGCAAGACAAAAAGAGAATTGCTTCACGCTCTAAGGAAGGCAAGTGGTAAACAGGCTGGTCTAGGGTGGTCATCGCTCAAACGATCAGACACGGAAGAGTCGAGTCTGTCTATCCCTGATGACGACAGTCGAGAAGGCACCCCTCTACAAAATCGAGACACACACTTCCTGGAGAAGATCATGGCAGAGACAGGTCCTTGTGTCAGATTGTCTGACCCGGCACGAAGATTGTTCGAACGTGTCCATCTTGTCTTCTATCGATCCACCATGTGGACAGAGAAGTCTTTGACGACTATCATTCTTGCGAAGATCTCACGCTTGAATTTCCCGGAATATCTCGTCTGTCGCTCGTCCAACATCTTCGCATCCAGACCTATGCTGCTCGAGTTCGAGGCTTCATTGAGGATTCAGTATCATCTTGACAGCATTCTCGAATTCAACGGCACACCGAGTCCGGATAATTTGGAGATGATCCTGAATCTCTGTGAGGAGATCTTTCCACGATGGAGAGCATTGTTGCAAGAAGAGCAAAAGAAGGAAGACAGCATATACATGACTGGTGAGGGTGCCTACTTGCGACGTCTGTCTCCCGCCTGGGTCTACACTCGTATCATTCACAAAGGTGCATATGTCATGGGAAAGTTCAAGGACCACAAGCGAGAATACGATACCCTCCAAGAGCTTCTGAAACAGAGACTCTTTCACACCTCGAGGCGCGGCGATTGGTATCAGCGAAAGGCTCTACTAGAAGAACACTACATGCATGCCTTGATGCCAGCCCAAAGCCGCGGAGAAGACGCTCAGAAGAAGCACTGGAAGCGCATAGCCCTACGGACTTGTGAGGAAGGCCTTCAAGACCGTCTTGTGCATCTTATGTACCATCACGACCTTCAGAAACGGGTCATAAAACTGGAGAAAGCGCTTCGCGTGCCAATGCGAGAGCAGCACGACTTCAGCCATGTTCGACTAGCCAAGCCTGTAGAGCGTGTCTTCTACGGCACCCGAATACAAAGGCCGGAGCAGCCGAACGAGACGAGACGAGGAGGCAAGACCATCTGGATTGATCCTGGCGAGAATGAAAATGAGGGAGAGTGTTCGGTGGAAGCAATGTGTCTTTCGCAGTACCGCTCGCTCGGCTATCGAGGATATCATGCTGAGGGTGGTATTGTTCGAACGTTGTTCGCTTACCTATTCTACGACATCCTCTTCGTCTACATTCCGGATGTTTTTCAGACACCCTACCAAACTTGCCCTTTGGATCTGCACACGGATGCCTTCTATCCATCCCGCATATCCGAGATCAATCAACGCTTGAACGAGATCAACAACGGGGAGGCAAGTAACCTGATTCAACGAGTTTGGGATGATCACCACGAGAAGAATACCTGTGTAGTGGGACTGAGTTGGTCCTACGAGCTGGAGGACCTCTTGTCCATCGCCAAGTGTTTCCCACCCGCGGCTCTCAGTACTGTGTGTAAAGTCATGGCGCAAGAATATGGTCAAAGAGGAGGTGGTGTACCAGACCTCTTCTTGTGGAAAGAGGATCCCAACAACAGTGGAGGAGAGGTCATGTTCGCTGAAGTGAAAAGTGAGAATGATCGATTGAGCGATACACAGCGGTTGTGGATCGACGTGCTCACAGGAGCGGGTGTCACGGTAGAACTGTGCAACGCTGTTGCCAAAGAAGTAAAAGTGGTTGGCTAGTTTTAGGACTCATGACTTTACGAATCTCACGAATTTCTAGAGGTTTGCACGACACATCTTTCCTTTTTTCATGTGGTTCCAACAAACTCAATCAACTTGCGGAGTCTCCACTGCCAACAATCCACCTTTGGAAACGGCAGTTAAAGCTCCCCACCACACCTCGACAGTGGCGATTCAGTGTTTGAAGGTGCGCTGCGTCCATTCAAATCTGCTGGAATAATATCAGCGATTGTTCCACGAGATGGACTCGAGGAAATATTCCAGAAATACCAAAACAGGGTTGTACCAACAACCATGCGATGGTCGCGGGCGATCTGATGGACAACCTCGCGTGCGAGATCAGCACCATGATGTTACACGTGTGGCTGCTGTGAGGCGCAGCACTGCCCACTTGAGGGCAGGCTTTTCCCATCGCTTGCAAGTCCAGCCGCCGCCCGCAACTCATTTCGCATACCGGAAGTCAAAAAACAAGACTTCAGCTCCAGAGATTCCAAGGTCGCAAAGCTGGTTTCCGCACACTGAAAATCAACACCCTTCTATTTCATATACTCATATGCTACTGCAGGTCCTCCCGTCGATGCGATTGCATAGATATGAAAGTTGCGGTTCTCTCGGAAGCTTTCTTTGCTTTACCTCGTCACGATTTTCAGGGCGGCCTTGCCCATATTAACCCGTGTGGAGAAGAAGGTTGTCAAAGCAGACGGAGATCGAAAGCTTCTGATGTCATGCTTCGCCAGAAGACCATCTGAGACAAACTGCTGTTCAGGGCTCCAACGGTCTCGCCAACGTGTCGGGGTCTCTACCGAAACTTTATGACTTCAAACTCCAGGCTTCGAATTGGATGACAAGCGCTGTAAAAACTCCGCGAAGGAGCAATGTTGCCACAAACCGGCTGGGCTGTTCGCAGCTTGCCATGTCACTCAAGAAGTTTCTCGAGCTCTCTCCAGCTTCCTGCATCATAGCTCCAGTCCGAGACCCTGGTCGGACGCAACGTTGCCGTACTTGCAGGGATGAATATGCATATCAGACGTCACCCGTCGAGGACGCGCGCCAATCACTTCAACATCCACGCTTACACTTGCACTTCTTACCTCTGAGACTGTTGACAGGTCGCGGTTGCGGTGCTGTTGCCGTCTGAAGGTGTTTCTCTTCATCGGCGCGCATGTCGCACAACACACTGTATCGAGCCGATGGGACGGGAATCTTTGATTCCCTCGAGCTGCCGCAGCCGCCCAAAGCTCCCTCGAGGTCCTCGATCCTCGCCTAAAGCCACTAATGGACCGCCCCGTCTTCTCCGCATCGTCGATACAGCTACCATGCAGCCACGGTTCTCCAGCCGTCACTCCATATTTTCGTGGCTGTGACGTTGAAACGCAGCTCCAGAGCAAGCCCACCCGACCTCTCACCAGCCGCAAAACCTGCTGATGCCACCGTGAGGCGCTACCTACCTGGCAATTCCATACGTCACAAAGCTCCTTGGACAGCGTCCCAGCCAACAGGAGTGCAGGCCTGCTCCGTGCTCGAGGTAGCTCTCTTATATGTTTTCAAGCTCCCTTCCCTCGTCTCAATTTCTCTATCAATTTTCCCCCCATTCCCCCCAATAACCTAATCAAATTGTTGTATGACCAACAATTCTTCATCCTCCTCTTACGCCTACTACTCCTTTCCTCCAACACCAAACAGAGCTTCTTCCCCCGCAAGCTCGAAATCTAATTCACCTACCCCCAAAACAATCCGTACTTTGAAGAATATGGCACCTTCTCCGGCAGCAGGCAAGGCCACTGGTGGCGCTCCCAAGACACCCACCAAGTTGGGTAGAAAGCCCCAGAGCCAAACTAGCCAGCCCCCCAAACTCGGACAGCAAGCAGCTTCCGGCGCAAGAAAAGCATCCGACCCCGAGGGTGCTAAGCAGCCAGAAGTTCCTCAGACTTCCGAGAAGCCCGAGGTCGGTGATGTGCAACAAAAAGCCGGCGAGGCCGCGCAAGGTGCACAGGACAAAGCTGGCAAGACTGCTGAAGACGCCAAGAGCAAGGCCGAGGGCGCTGCTGAAGAGCCCAGCAAGGTCGAGATGAAGGACGACACTGAAGCCGCATCCACCCAGGCTGGTGATGATGAGGACGATGACGAAGACGAAGGCCCCCTGAGCAAGGTCTCCCAGGCTGGAGACAACGCCAAGGGCCAGCTCGAGGAGCAAGCTCCTCAACCAATTGACGACTCTAACGACAACGACACTGCTGCCGGTGCACAGGACACCGCTGATGACGACACTGAAGACACCGAAGACACTGCCGACGATGACAAGACCGTCAAGGCTGGTGATGAAGCTGATGATAACGACGACACGGTTGACGACGCTCAAGACACCACCGGCAAGGTGGCTGACGACGCTCAAAAGACTGGCAAGCAATCCGGCGGTAACCTTCTCAAGGGTGCCAAGGGTCTCGCCGGCAAGGCCTCTGGTCTCGCAGGCAAGGCTGCTCAGGACCCCAAGAAGGCTGCTCAAGATGTTCCCAAGGACGCTCAGGAGACCGCAGAAGACGTCAAGGACACTGCCGAAGACACCGCTGAGGATGCCGCCGAGGGTGCCCAAGACACTGCCGACGACGCTCAGAAGGTTGCAGGCGATGCTACCGACGAGGCCGCCGATGCTGCTGAAGACGCCAAGGACACTGCCGAAGACACCGCTGAAGACGTCAAGGACTCTGCTGAAGAGACTGCCGAAGACGCCAAGGACACCGTCGAGGACGCCGCCGGTGATGCCACTGACAAGGTTGGCGATGCCGCCGAGGATGCCCAAGACACTGCTGAGGATGCTACTGAGCAGGTCAAGGACACTGCCGAAGATGCCACTGAGGATGCTCAAGACACCGCGGAAGACGCTACCGAGCAGGTCAAGGATACTGCTGAGGATGGCGCTGAGCAGGCCAAGGGCACCGCAGAAGACGCAACCGACAAGGCCGGTGAGACCGCCGAGGACGCCCAGGACACTGCCGAAGATGCCAAAGACAGTGCCGAGGACGCCGCCGATGGCGAAGTCCCCGAAATCAAGGACATCAACGACCTTCCTGTCGACCTCTCTGTGCTCAAGGGCCTCGAGGTCTCAGAGGACGGTATGGTCTCCGACCAAGACGGCAACCCTATCGGTAAGCTGGCTGAGGGTGACGCTGAAGACCTCGCTGGATACCCAATTGGCGACGATGGCGAGATCCTTGATGATGATGGTGATCTCGTTGGACGTGTCGAGCTTCTTCCTGAGCAGGTTAAGAAGCAGATGGGTGACCTGAAGAGCAAGGGCGAACTGCCCAAGGGCGCCGAGAACTTCGTTGGCGACCTCCCCGACACCGATGATGCTGAGAAGCCCAACCTTGCCATCTTCAAGGGTTTGACCTGCGACCCCACCGGTAACATCTTCAACGACGATGGCGATACCATTGGTCAGGTCACCGACGGTAACCCCGAAGACCTGATGAACGCTACCTTGAACGAGTACGGCGAGTTCATCGACGAGGATGGCAATGTCATTGGCCACGCCGATGTTCACCCCGATGCTCCCGAGGACATCTACGACCAGATCCAGCAAGCTGCTGATGATGCTCAGGACGCTGCCGACGATGCCCAAGACAACGCCGATGACACTGCCAAGGCCGCTGACAAGGTCGACGAAGCTGCCGACCACGTCGATGACGCCGCTGATGATGTCAAGGATGCCGCTCAAGACATTGAGGATGAGCTTCCCGGTATCGAGGCTCTCCAAGGCAGAGAGCTCAACGATGCTGGTGAGGTCGTCGACGACCAAGGCGAGCTCCTTGGCCAGATCGACAACGAGTCTCTCAGAGGCAAGATCGAGTCTGGTGAGCTCAAGGCTGAGGATCTCAAGATCAACGAGGATGGTGAGGTCGTCGATGCCGATGACAACGTCCTTGGCAAGGTCGGTCTCGCTGAGGGTGCCGCCGAGAAGCTTGGTGGACGTCTTCCTCCCCTTGACCTCCGCATTCTTGATGGCAGAAAGGTCAACAAGAAGGGCAAGATCCTCGACGACGAAGGTGATGAGATCGGTGAGCTCGCTGAGGGTGACCCCAAGGAGTGCGCCGGCAAGAAGGTCAACGACCGCGGTGAGGTTCTCGACCAGAACGGCAAGGTCATTGGCAAGGTCTCCGTCACCCCTGGCGAGGCTGCCGAGAATGCCACAAAGGAGCTCCAAGCTGAGCTCGGCGAGAACGTTCCCGATGAGGAGCAGGGTGAGGACGAGGAGCCAGCCGATGAGGAGGAAGAGGCTCAAGGCCCCCAGTTCAAGATCCCCGACCTCGATGTTCTCGAGGGCCTGAAGGTCAACAAGAAGGGCAAGATCCTCAACGAAGACGGTGAGGAGATTGGCGAGCTTACTTCCGGCGATCTCAGCGAGTGCGCTGGCAAGAAGGTCAACGACAAGGGTGAAGTTCTTGATGACGAAGGCAACACCATTGGCCGTGTCAAGGCTCTGCCCCAAGAAATTCCTCAGGAGGAGGTCGAGCAAGCTGAAGAAGCTGCCGACAAGGCCGAGGACGCTCAAGATGCCGCAGAAGATGCGGCTGAGGGTGCTGAAAACGCCGAAGAAGGCGCCGAGGATGCTCAGGAGGGTGCTGAGGATGCCGAGGAGGGTGCTGAGGATGCCGCCGAAGACGCCGAGTCCAACCTGCCTCCTCTTTCCGTCCTCGATGGTCTGACTGTCAACAAGGCCGGCAAGATCGTCGACTCCAACGGCACCGTCGTCGGTGAACTTACTGAAGGTGACGCCAAGAAGCTTTCCAAGTCTGGAGTCAAGGCCGACGACCAAGGTCAGTTCTGGGACGACAAGGGTCATGTCATTGGTCGTGCCAAGACTGTTCCCGTCGAGGAGGACGAGGAGTCACCTTTCGCTGGCCTCGAAGGCCTGATCGTCGTCAAGGATGGTTGGGTCGAGGACGAGAACGGCAACCGCGTTGGTCAGATCACCGAGGGTGATGCCAAGAAGCTGGTTGGTCGTGCCGTCGATGAGGATGGCGACATTCTCGACAAGAAGGGTTCCGTTGTCGGTCACGCCGAGCGCTACGAAGACCCCGAGCAGGAGCCTGAGCCTGAAGAGGAAGCCGTCGACCTTTCCAGCCTCGCTGGCAAGACCCTGAACAAGGCTGGCTTCGTCATTGGCGACGAGGGTGTTCCTGTCGCTCGTCTTGTCGAGGGCAAGGCCAAGGAACTCGCTGGCAAGAAGCTTGATGACCAGGGTCAAATCTGGAACGACCAAGGCAAGGTTATTGGCCGTGTCGAGTTGATTCCCGAGGAAGACCGTGAGGCCAAGCCCGATGGTCCTTTCGCTGGCCTCCAAGGTCTCCGCGTTGTTGCCGATGGCAAGGTCGCTGACGAGGACGAGAACATCGTTGGTGAGATTGTCGAGGGTAACTCCAAGCGTCTGATTGGTCTTGCTGTCGACGAAGACGGCGATGTCATGGACAGATATGGCAACGTCAAGGGCCACGCCGAACCTCTCGAAGAAGAGGAAGAGGAGGGCCCCGTCGACAACTCTCTGCTCGATGGCAAGAAGCTCAACAAGAGCGGCTTCGTTGTTGATGACAAGGGCATCCCCGTTGGTAAGCTCATCGACGGCAATGTCAAGGAGCTCGCTGGTCGCCTTTGCGACGAGAACGGCGACATTCACAACGACACTGGCAAGGTTGTTGGCCACTGCGAAGTTCTCCCTGAGAACGAGCGTGTCGCTAAGGCCGAAGGACCATTCGCTGGTCGTGAAGGTCTTCGTGTCAACAAGGAAGGTTTCGTTGTTGATGCCGAGGACAACGTCGTTGGCAAGGTCACTGAGGGCGATGTGAAGAAGCTTGTTGGCCTCTCCGTCGACGAGGATGGCGACATCAACGACAAGTACGGCAATGCCAAGGGCCACGCTGAGCCTTACGAGGAGGAGGACGCCGCTCCCGTCGACAACTCTATCCTTGATGGCAAGAAGCTGAACAAGCAAGGATTCGTCGTGAACGAGGACGGAATTCCTCTTGGTAAGCTCGTCGAGGGTAACGTCAAGGAGCTTGCTGGTCGCCGCTGCGACGAACAAGGTCAGATCCACGGCGATACTGGCAAGGTTGTTGGTCGTTGCGAGGTTCTTCCTGAGAACGAGCGCGTTGCCAGACCCGAGGGTCCTTTCGCTGGACTCGAGGGCCTCCACGTCAACAAGGAGGGTTACGTCGAGAACGCCGAGGGTGACCGTGTCGGTATCATCACCGAAGGCAACGTCAAGCGCCTTGTAGGCCTCGCTGTTGATGAGGATGGTGATATCAGCGACAAGTACGGAAACACCAAGGGTCACGCTGAGCCTTGGGAGGAAGAGGAGCAGACTGCTGAAGACCTCTCCGCTCTTGCTGGCTGCACTGTCAACAAGGCCGGCAACGTCGTCGACTCTTCCGGTACCATCATCGGTCGTGTCTCCGAAGGTGACCCGTCTACCATGGTCGGCAAGAAGGTTGATGGCCAGGGTCAGATCTGGGACAATGCCGGAAACGTCATTGGCAAGGCTGAGCTCGCAAAGGGCGCCGACACCAAGTCCGAAGGACCTTTCGCTGGCTTCGACGGTATCACCGTTAACAAGGAGGGTTACGTTGTCACCCCTGATGGCGGTATCGTCGGTCGCATCACCGAAGGTGATGTCAAGAAGCTTGTTGCTCACAAGGTCGACGAGGACGGTGAGATCCAAGACAAGAACGGCAACCTTATTGGTAAGGCCGAGAGATGGGAGCCTGAAGAGAAGGAGAGAAAGGTCAACCCCATGTCCGGTCGTCGTGTCAACAAGGAGGGTGAAGTCCGTGACGAGAACGGAGATGTCATGGGCAGACTCACCACCGGTGACCTCGGCCACTGTGTCGGCCTCGAGGTCGATGACAATGGATACGTTGTCGACAACGACGGCAACAAGGTTGGTGAGGTTACTCTCATTGAGAACATCATCGAAGATGAGGAGATCCCTGAAGAGGAGCTCACCGAGGAGGAGAAGGAGGAGCGCCGCAAGAAGGAGCAAGACCGCGAGATTGCTGAGAAGATGGGCGCCATCTGCACTCAGACTCTCGAGAGAGTTCAGCCCATCTGCAAGCAGATCACTGATGTAAGTGCTTACCTTTATCGCTTGACTCGAACAGTTACTGACCCGCCTTTTCTTTACAGCACATCGAAGCCGCCGACCGTACCCCACGTGAAGAGTTGGACGAGGAAGATTTGGTCAACAAAGTGCAACCTCTTATCGAAGAGGCTGGTCGTATTTTGCAAGAGTGCAACGGCTCCCTGCGTGGCCTCGACCCCGACGGTCGCATCGCTGCTCAAGCCAAGGGTCGTGCCGGCACCAAGGAGGCCACTCCCGAGGAGTACCGCCTTGCCGATACTCTCAAGGAGTTGACCACCACCGTCACTACCACCATCGACAACGCAAAGAAGCGCATCAACGACATGCCTCACGCCAAGAAGAAGCTCAACCCTCTCTGGGGATTGATGACCCAGCCTCTGTTCCAGATTCTTGCTGCCGTCGGTCTCTTGCTGACTGGTGTCTTGGGTCTGGTTGGACAGTTGCTCAACGGTCTCGGACTGGGTGGTCTTGTCAACGGACTGCTCGGTGGCCTAGGTATCGACAAGCTGCTCGGTGGCCTTGGTCTCGGCAGTGTTGCCAGCTCTCTCGGTCTGGGCGGCAAGGACAAGAAGAAGAAGAGCGGCGGTGGTGCCAGCAGCCTGCCCATCGTTGGCGGCATGTTCGGCAAGAAGTAGAGAAGAAAAAACACCACAAGATTTGATGTTGTAATACTGAACCCGACCGGGCGATGAAGAGAGAAGACAAGCAAAGAGGAGGAAACTACACCAACAATTTCTGGAGGAAAGAGCAAGGGATCGGGGGGTCTTCTTGCTTCTGACTAACTGTTTATCTTTGGACGAAGCTTCCTTTTCTGCTTTCTGTTCTGTTTTTCGAGCCAGGCGCTGGTTTCCTTTCGCTTTTCCTCGACGAATTTCCTTTGTTCAATCTGTTCAACAATTGTTTGTATTTATACCACTACTTGTTTGCTGTTAAATTAGTACCCTAGCTAGGTAATTTTTGCTTACTTCGAACTATATCAGTTTCATATGTCCGAACATTATTGTCGAATTCAATCTTGTGAAGTCATACCAAGCGCATCAGGTTGTATTGTAGAGCGCATAAATTATCCTCTCGATGAAACCTTTAAGAAAACCGCATGTGCTCGGTATCGACTTCCTCATCCCCCTCTCTCGCGTAGGTAAATGTTGCACTGTTTATTTGCAGCAGTTGTTTTTGTTAAATTGTAGTCATTTCACTCAGGCTCGTGTTGATCTGAACCCCTGCGAATGTTTCTCGTAAAGCGACAGGACCTGATATGACTGAGTCAGATTGACGGTGGCTGGCCTGCTTATCTGATCGTGCATGCCCCATGCGAATGGCTGGCATGCAGAGCAGAACTCTACCACCACACTGCTTTTTCGGAATAGGCGACGCTATTCCTGTCCGCGGCAAATGTCTTTCATTTATGATGCAAATCAGGGTTCTATGACTGCAGCATGTCAAATCTACATGCGTTGACGTTGACCTAGACCAGAGTCCAACAACGACGTGGGATCTCGTTGACTCGTGCTGGCGTTTTCGCGAATCGAGGTTGCGTTGAACACATCGAAAGCATACTCGCCCGAACACAACCGCGTCTTCAAGACCACATCCTACAAAGTGGCTAGCAAAAGCGGAGAAACAAGTGCACTATATTTGGTGGGATCCTGCTGTTTTGGATGATCGGTGAGGAGGTTCGTGTTAAAGTGAGGGTGACAGTGAAGGGAAGGATGAGTGGCGGCATGCGGCTCGCGTGCGCGAGTCAAGAAAGTTGAGATAAGCTTCTTTCTGCCGAGGGAAATGACGATGACCGGCCTCAATTTAGCAAAGTGTTAGCGGAGGAAGGCCTTGGACATGGCCTTGGATAGCAACTTGCCCCTCGACTCTTCGGTTCCGGCACCACATGATCAGTCCTTGGGTGGCTGCCATGGCTGGGAAGTACGCTGGATCCATCTCGTATCAACCTTGGCAATACTGTAGGTGTTCACGAGCGCGGACCTCTTACGACACCCGCATCATGGAGTGATATGCTCCGTCTAGGCGATCCAGATGTAGCCGGATGGCTGTGGCATATATAACCTGCTCATGCCCTTCTGTTATCATTGTTTCAACATCTATTCCTTCCTATCCAGCGATACAAACGACTACAACGGGACCAGCCACACAAAAATCATCCAAAATGTCTCCCCGATCAGTAACACTACTTTCAGCCCTGCTGGCTGCCTCTTCGGTTTCAGCTGCTCCTGCTGCCCTTCAGAAGCGTGACATGGTCACCGCGGTTATAGACGGCCAGACAGTTTCCTGGGAGAACAACTGGTTCGGTGCCCCAGCCCCAACTGCCGCCCCCACTGCTATCCCCAGTTCTGTTGCTGCTGCTGCTTCATCATCCGCCGCTGCCAACAACGCAGGTGGCCAGTGGATAACCGCGTCGTTCGCAGGAGAGGTGTTTTCGTGGCAGGTGAATGCTCCTACTGCTACACCAGCTGCTACTTCTGCCGCACCTGCACCCGCACAACCCACCTCTGTTGCCGCTCCTCAGCCTTCCCAAGCCGGCAACACCGACCCTTCATGCAAGGACGTTCACATCTTCCTTTCCAAGGGCTGGAACGAGCCTTACCCTGGTCGTCAAGGCAAGCTTGCTGGTGCAATCTGCTACGGTCTCGATTCTTGCGATTACGAGGACATTCTATACTACAACGCCGAAGGCAGCGACTACTGCACTGCCGTCAGCGAGGGTGACAAGAACGGCATTGATCAGATGACCGCATACGCCAACAAGTGCCCTGCTTCCAAGCTCGTCTTGACTGGTTACTCTCAGGGTGCCAACATTGCTGGTGATATCCTTGGTGGTGCTGACATCTGCGCCGGCCTCAACCCTGGACTTGACCCCTCTACCAGCCCCGGTAACAAGATCGGTGCCGCTCTTATCTTCGGCGACAACAGACACGTTGCCGACCAGTCCTACAATGTCCTCAACGGCTCTTCCGTCAGCTCCAACGACCCTCGCTCTCCCGACTCTCTTGCCCGCATGAACAAGTTCGCCGGTGTCCTGAGATCCTACTGTGACCAGGCCGATCCTGTATGCGCAGCTGCAGGCCCAGGACCATTCACTGTTGACAACCACCTCAACTACTTCGACCGCTACACCGACGATGCCGCCGGCTGGGTCAAGTACATGCTCGGTTACTAAACAGTTCCCTTGCTCTCTTCTCTTGTCTTGAGAATTCCTGTCGATATTTCAAAAAGACTGTTATAAAATTGTAATTATAATGAGCTACTAGACTACCAATAATGACTCTTCAAACTTATTCTTTGTCTCTCTTTCCACCCAGCTTGTGACTTTGTGACTTCACTTTCTACTGATGTTTTGTGACACGAGGCACCATCTCTTCACCCTTGCGACCATGCTTCCATCTCATCTTACACCTGCAGTTCAATCAGAGACATGGTGGGTCTCCGCATACGTACCCCATGCAAATCAAAGTGGATACGGTGAGATACGCAACCTGTCAGTCCAAAGCATGTCAGTCTCAAACGTTCCAACCACCGATTGCTCAAGAACACCAAGCTTATCAACAATCGGCCTACGGGCTTTGGATACCACTCCGTCATGACCGAAACCACAAGACAAGCGGAAAAATAAAACCAAAACTCTTTTTGACGTGATGCGGATGTCGAGCATATGCAAAAGGATTTTTATCACACGCAACGGTCGTGCAGTTTGCATTGCATCTGCATCTGCATCCGCATATTTTCAGCCACCACCACCACCACCATCACCAACCTTCGGCATTGTAGATCTAGCTTGAATAGCTACCTCACTCTCCCGTACCCATTCACCCGAAGTAGAAGAATTCGGTCTATCAGACGAACATCTTCATTCCGACTCCCCCTGCTCATGAGAGAAGAAAACCTGTCTCGCGTGTGCGTGTTTCCACCGTCGGCCTTATTCTCGCAAAAAAAATCAAAACCCGTGTTGCGGCTTTGTAATCCAGGCAGGCGAGCAAAGCAGTCAAAACCATGCCGAAGAATCTCGCTTGTTTGCACGCATGTATTTATAGAACGATGCAGTGGAGAAAAAGAGGTACAAAGGTACATTTACATCTGGGCATAGCAAGATTTACTTTTTTGGCCTCTTGTGTGCCTGATGGATCGGGGGAAAATGGTGTAGGATGGTGACATGCTGTGCGTGATTAGGATTGGGAAGGTACATGCGATAGTAGAAGGTATGTCATTAAGGCAGGGTCACCCTCACTCGATGGGCTCTCACGACCAGTGGCAGGGTCTTGAAGATCTGTCAAACGACGAGAGTGTTTCCGATGGGGGCGTCACTTCTAGTCTCATCCGGAAGGTATCTCGATAAACACGCCAACCTGTGCAGAAAACTTCTTGCACTTCGACGTGGTATTCCAAAGCGCGTATGGAAGAGGAGATAAAAAATGGCTCTGATTGATTACAGCACGGAACACAAATACACTTAGGATCCCTTCTTGTCAGTCTCCTAAGTGATCATAGAGAAGGATAGGATATGAGAATACAATTACAACTTTCGAACCGAAATGCTGCAGACAAACTTCGCCCCTAGAACACATCTACATCCGGCTCTAGGAAACTGCAGCAATGGAAACATAAAACTCGACACCATCTCTTATCAAACCCTCAAGTAAACGTTGCCCGCGAAAGTACAGCAATAACCACTCATGCCAAAACTCTATATAGCATCGCAATGCCCATCTGACACAAACATACACCGACCCGACCATCAAACCACTACAGTGACAAATATAAAGACAAACACGACTCCTGATCCCCCTCTCATTAATCCCAAAATAGCTTATCACACGAAGGTACCGCAGCGTTTCCCTTCCTCCTGCGAGCTATTATACCAAGTCCACCCTCCTCTACTCAAGCATTCACCAACCCGACTATCCCTCTTCTCAATCAGTCTGGAAAACCGAGCAAGCACAACCATTCCTAGAGTAGAGATAAAAGGTTCTGCACCACAGGGAGTCCCAAAGAGGAAGCATTGGTTGGAAGAGAGGGGAAGAGGCGTGGATTAGGGAGGATGTTTGTAATTGACGTAAAGGGGGTGCGAAAGAAGCATGTAAACGCAAGATTGACCGAAGGAGTAAGAGCAAAAATGTAGGAAAGAGCATGTGAGTTCATGGTCTAACACCGTTCTTTAGATAGACACGAAACACATAACTCAGACCATTCACTCTGATGTGACCACTTGTCAAGCATTTTGTTCACGAGAATAGGAGAAAACAGCTTACATATCAAATTTCTTGCATTTCTCGTCATCTACTAGCATACAACTATGTTTTTCGGATGCGAGTCTGAAGCCAGTACACTGTTCAGCATCTTCCTCTCCTTACAGACCAAGCTTCTCAAGGTACTTGGTGGCGAGCTCGACAGCCTGATCAACATTCTCAGGCTGAGTACCCTGTCCAAGGGAAGTGGCGCCCTTGCCACCAGCCTTTCCACCGAGAACACCAGCGATCTCGTTGGCCCAAGCGGGAGCATCGGCACCCTTCTCCTTGGCCTCGGCGGAGACGTGGCAGCCGTGGACGACCTTGCCCTCGGACTCATCGGCGGCGATGAGGTAGATGGTCTTGTCCTTTTGCTTTGAGCTGATGGTCTTGATGGCCTCGCTGATGGCCTTTGAGTTGGCGGAGATGGGGACACGGACGACCAGGCGCTTCGACTCGGGGTTCTCGGTGAAGTGCTTGGCGATTGTGTCGGTGACGGCCTTGTTCTCGGCCTTGAGGAATGCCTTTTGCTGGTCAAGGTTGGCCTGTATAGAGTCAGTATTCAGTTTTTCACATCAGCAATCTGGTAAACTCACCTTTGCAACCTTGGCGAAGCGCTCCTTCAGTTGAGTCTTGGTAACGGCAGAGATGGTCAACTGGTTGAGCTGGACCTGCAACTGCTTGGCCTTCTGCTCCTTCTGAGGGCTGTAAGACATCTTCTCCAAGAGAGCGAGCTCGTCTGAGAACTCTTGGGCTACTCTCTGGACCTCGTGGGCAGCCTGACCAGTGACGGCAATGATACGGCGAATACCCTTGGCAATACCGCCCTCCTCGAGGATGATCAATTCCTTGATCTCACCAGTCTTGTCAACGTGGGTACCACCACAGAACTCGACACTGACGTTCTCCCACTCGGGGTTGTGGACGTCCTCGAGAAGCTGCTCAACGGGCACACCAACACTGACGACGCGGACGGGGTCAGGGTAGGTCTCACCGAAAACAGCGCGGACACCCTTGATGTTTCTGGCGGTAGCGAGTGGTACCTCCAATGAGTAGACAGGGCTGTTCTGGCGGATGTAAGATGTGCTCTTGTTCTCGACCTCCTGCAGCTCCTTGTCCGAAACAGCAGCCTTGTGGCTGAAATCGAAACGAAGCTTCTCGGGAGCGACAAGCGAACCCTTCTGGTTAATATCGTCACCGAGGACTGCGCGAAGAGCGAAGTTGAGGATGTGAGTACCAGTGTGGTTGTTGCGGATGGGGTGTCTGCGGAGCTCATCGTACTCGCAAATGACGGAGTCGCCAGTCTTGAAAGTGCCGTAAGTCATGTAACCAGTGTGGAGGATGTAACCACCGTAGCTCTGAACGTTCTGGACGTCCAACTCGGCCTCGCCATCAATCAGAATCTTGCCAGTGTCGTTCTCCTGACCACCCTGCTCGGCGTAAAAGTTGGTCTTGTCGAGGATGACACCGAACTGCTCGCCCTCAGGAATCTCGGAGGTGCTCGAGAGGAATTGCCTGTTGTAGTAGATGGCCTTGACTTCAGAGGTGATGTTACCGCGACCGAACTTGGGTTCGTCGTCGGTCTTGGTAACTTCGGTCATGCCGTCCAACTTACCAAGGTCGTGGACATCAAGCTTCACCAGATCGGCGCCAGCCTTCTTCTCACCCTTACTGGCCTCCTTAGCCCTGGCCTGAGCTTCGTTGACCTCTTCCTCGTTGATGGTAAGGCCACGCTCTTCAGCCATGAGCTGAGTAAGATCGACAGGGAAACCGTAGGTATCGTAAAGACGCCAGACATCAGAACCGGAAAGGGACTTTGTGTTGTTTTCCTTGCACTGCTGAGCATACTTCTCGAACATGGCCTCACCACGGTCAAGGGTCTTGGCGAATGAAAGCTCCTCCTCGTCGAGGATCTCCTTGACATCCTGCTCCTTCTTCTTGATCTCGGGGAACATGTCGCCCATCTGGGCAACGAGAGTGGGAACAATCTTTGAGAAGAAGCTACCAATCTCGGTGTTCAGGTACTTGCGAGCGTAGCGGGCACCTCTACGCAAGACTCGGCGGACAACGTAACCGCGGCCCATATTGTTGGGGATTCCACCGTCAGAGATGGCAAAAGTGAGTAGCCTCACGTGGTCAGCAACGACACGGTAGGCAGTGTCGATACCATCAGCATCCTCGCTGCCGAACTTGCCCTCGTACTTGCGGACACCAGTAATCTCCTGAATGCGGTCAAACAGAGGGCTGAACACATCGGTATCATCTTATTGAGAAGTCAGCATCGACCCCGCAAAATGTTGGCGGAAGACATACAGTTGCTAGGAACGTCGGCAAGAATCGACACCTAGTGTCAAAAGTCAGCACTTTTCTTATACGCAGAGTCATAGATCCAACCAATCTTTCAAAGCCCATGCCTGTGTCGATGGATTTTGCAGGGAGGGGGCGTAGAGACTTGTCAGACTCGCGGTTGTACTGAATGAAGACGTTGTTCCAGATCTCCAGGACGTTGGGGTCGTCCATGTTGACGAGGTGGGCAGCGTTACGACCGCCAATTCTGTCGTAGTGAATCTCACTGCAAGGACCGCACGGGCCCTGGTCACCCATCTCCCAGAAGTTGTCCTTCATGTTTCCAGAAAGAATGTGGTCCTCGGGGACACCGACGGACAGCCAGAGCTCCTTGGCTTCAAGATCGGGCTCGAGGCCACTTGCCTTGTCACCCTCGAAGTAGGTGACGTACATTCTGTCGGGGTTGAGGCCGTACTCCTTGGTCAGGAGTTCCCATGACCAGGCAATAGCCTCCTTCTTGAAGTAGTCGCCGAAACTCCAGTTACCCAACATCTCGAAGAATGTCTGCATCAGCTTGTCAGTGGGTCTGTTTATTGATTGATCTGATAACTGCAACGCACGTGATGGTAAGAGTCCTTGCCGACATCGTCCAGGTCCTAGATGTGATCAGAAAAGCAATTGAAAAAGGATTGACATGGAAATACATTGTGCTTTCCACCGGCGCGAATACACTGTTTCGCATGTTAGCATGTTGTTGGCCTGTATAAAAAGTCTTGGCTTGCCTTTTGAGAATTTGTGGCACGCTTGAGCGAGGCGAAATCAGATGAGGGATCAACAGTTCCAAGGAAGATAGACTTGTACTGGTTCATTCCAGCATTGGCGAAGAGAAGAGTCGGGTCCGAGTGGGGCACGACGGAAGAGGAAGGCACTGTGCTGGTGTGAGCTGCGGGTTGCGGCGAAACAAAGACCTCCGAAGTGGCATACCAAACGTGTGGCCTCTCTTCTTGACGAAATAGTCAATAAAAGTGCTGCGCACCTTGACAGCATTCCACTGGTGCTCGGTGTTTGTGTCAGCCATGTTGAGCGCGCGTGTGGTTGAGTGTGTTGCGCGAAAGGAGTTGTATGGGAGCTGCGAGAATGTTCTCCGAGCCAGCTGAGGTGGATTTTGAACGTGAGTCAACCCACGTCGGCAACAGTTGGACAAGCTCGTGATCATCCACGCTTCTTCACTTCCAAGGAGTGCGCGTTTCTTCACAGACGATTGCGATTAATTCCCGATCACTTGCTCGAACTATCGCAGGTCTAGACAAAGGCGGTGGTGATGCGGGATGAACACGACCAGCGCGGAGGTCATGGACCGAGACCGAGAAACTGCGACAGCTCCAGCTCCAGCTCTAGCTCTAGCTTCCACTGCGACACCCACGAGCTCACTGAGGGGCCTCAAGCGCACAGCAGACGACTCGTTCGATGATGACCATCGCTTTGCCAAACGCTTCAATTTACTCAATCTAGGTATCTTGCACCCCTCTCGCCGCTTCCTCTATACCGCATGCTGACTCGGCCTCCCTCTGTACAGCCAACGGCCATGACAAGCTCTACATTCCCGTCTCCTCAAGGCCGCAACTCCAGAGCGGCCTCTCTCAACCTCCTCCCCTCGAAGAGCACATGCAGCTAGACGATACGAAGGACCGTGTATACATCCACAACCTCGACGATGAACTCGCAGACATTGAATCCGACGAAGAGAAGCTCATCTTCCTCCCGGACATTGAAAAGAAGTTCAACACTATACCAAGACACATCCTGATCGGAGAGAAGAAAGACTCGAATCAAGAACTCGTCCTCTACAACCTGCCACCTTCGTTGTCTGTGCCTGTCGAGCAAGACAATGTACGAAAGGCCATACTCGAGGCCCGCCAACGCGCAAAGGAAAAGGCCACTGCCAATCCTCCTTCCTCGCCGACCCGCGCAGACGGGCATCCTCCAGAAGAGCAGATCGAGACTGCCCATGGCTACGACTCTCCAGACTATGGCCTGGATGAAGACACGAATGACACGGATGACATGGATGACGATGAGGACGCAATGGATTTATCTTGAAAAATGGTATTACATTTTCGGTCTCGCCAGTCCAGCCAGCTTTTCTACCTAATGGTCTATATAAGTCCTGGCCATAGTATCCTCCTACAGGCCCTTTCTTCTCGAGAAAAATAAGGAAACAAAAACATTATCTAAATCTGGTATCCATTTTGGTTCCTTCGTAAAATCTTCAAATGCGTGCTCGGCCCCAATATCTTGGGAGCCAGCGCCTGCTAGGGCTGGGTTGTGCTTCGATGCGTGTTGTTTGTGACGCCGCCGACTCGCTTCCTCCCAGCATCAAGCTTTCGGGTAGAGCGGTGCGTCTCGCCTTTTGGTAGTTGACGGTACTTGTGATGGTCGTCCATTGTGTCGTGTAGACATCAGGAGCGACCGTGTATTCGAGAGTCGACCATTCGGTCGTAGTCGTGTCTGCAAGAGCGGGCGCGTTGGTGATTGCTCGTTCAAGGCTCGTCGTGATGGTCACCCATAGCGTCGTTGTGGCGTCGGCAGAGACAGCCTGCACGTAGGTCGTGAGAACAGTCGTCTCGGCCACCGTCGCTTGCGCAGTGGGCGTCGTTTCAACGTTTGCGGCAGGCGTTGTCTGGCTGTTCTCGACAGGCGTCGGCTGCACGGTAGCACTTGAATCGGCTGCAGCCATGGTTACCGACACCGCTCTGCGGATTGTCGTGACAACAGTAGTCCATTGCGTTGATGTCGCATCAGCAGCCACTGCTAATACTAGTGTAGTCACTACATTTGTCATTTGAGGCAGTGACTGTGTCGAGCTTGTCGTGGCCGCCGTCTCTGCAGTCGATGCAGGCGTGGGGGACGTATCAACACTGGACATCTTTGCACTCGACTGTTGAGGCGTCGATGAAGCTTGAGCGGTCGACGCGGCTTGGGACGATGTTTGGGCAGCCGAAGACGTCTTAGCAGCGGATGACGAGGTCTTGTCGCTCGATGAGCTCTGCGCGGTGGACGAGGTGTCTGCAGTAGACGAAGTACTATCACTTGATGAGCTCTGTGACATCGAAGAGTTCTCTGTCGTTGACGAGGATTCGGTCATCGATGAGCTTGATGAGCTTGCAGCGGTCGTTGAGGTCTTGTCAGTCGACGAGCTCTCGGTACTTGACGAGCTCTCGGAAGTCGACGAGGGTTCGGCGGTCGATGACGTGGTTTCGCTCGAAGAGGTTTGCGTTGACGATGTCTCTACTGTAGCCGTCGTGCTTACAGTAGATGACACGGTCGAGGTAGTCTCAGCAGGCACCGTCTCCGTCGATATTGTGCTAGCACTACTAATAGACGTCTCAGTTGATGTTGGGGTATTATTATTACAGAATGCGGGCAGTGCAACCTTTCCAGAAGATTTTGCAGTCTGCTCGAAGACTTGCAGAGAGTTGATGGACCAATAAGCATTGGAGAATGCCTGAGGGTTGTTGGCGACGTAGTCAGTGCAGGAGCCGCTCAGAGCAGAACACGTAGAGTCGCTGCTCCAGACGCTGCCGGCCCAGTCGCCACAGAAGGTCACATCGAAAACAATCTGATTGTCCGAGAAAAATTCGGGGATATCACAGCAGCCTGTGAATTGGGAGAGTGGTCTGCCCCAAGAAGCATCCGGGCTGGGGTTGCCACTTTGGATGTTGGAAGGAATGGTACCACGCTGGAAGAACCAGATGCTGATCGCTTCGTCGGTCCACTCCATGGCATAGACACCACCTCCAACATTGTTGAACCCATCACCATAGGTGTTGTATTGACTCGTGGAGATTTGGCAACCGAGGTTGTTGGTCTGGTCCGCTGCGTTGACGTAACAGTCATCGGAGTAAAGAGATCCAGTGAAGTTGCCATTGTCGTAGATGGAACAGCCGTCTGCCGTGTGCAATGTCATGGCATTGTGATTTTGCGTGTTCACACCCTCGATGATATCGATCTCACCACCGTTAGGCCAGCTAGGTCCAACCATCCAGTACGCAGGCCAGGAACCGCAAGAGTTACCAGGCATGTGGTCGAGGTCAAGGATGACAAGACTGCCGGAGTTGTAGGCTGCTTTGCTAGTCAAACGGATACTGGGACGTCCGTTGGGTTGGACATTGGTGTGATCGACTCCAATGTAGACCTTCCCGTTCGAGTTGCTGATGAGGCCGGTGTTCCATGCTGAGCCCTGGTCAATATACTGGACGAAACCATGGGTTGGGTCCGCTTCTGTAAAGAAGTCAAACATGTTGAAAAATGATGCAGAGTTGTAGTCATCCTTGAGAACATAGCCAGCTATGCTCAAGTTGACGAACGAAAAAAGACTGAACAAAAAGGGAATGAGTGGCATGTTTGTGAACGAGTGCATGGTGCAATTGTAAAAGAATGATTGCGCACGAAAAAAAGAAGCCTACAACATGGAAGTGCCTCAGCACATATATAGCAATGAGTAGCTGCGAAAAGAGACCGCCTCATCGACGGCATAGTAAGATAGGCTGGCCCCTTTGGGAGGGTTTGAGGACTGTTTATTGCGGCCGTTCAAACGGCTTCAACGCAGACCGGGCGTGGCCCTGATAACTACCATGGAGGTGGTCTACTTGGCGGTCTGTTCAAGAGGCATCTTCGTAATACTCCAAACGGTTTTAGCATGCGCGTTCGCCTCTCAGCTCGTGAATGAACTGTATACTGTATACTGGTGATGCATGCTGGTGCCTACTCCGAGCTGTCAGAAAGTGACAGGCGCAGAGCTCGATTCTTCGTGTGACAAAATGTTTGCCGCTTATCCAGAGTTACATCAACTCAGATGATCAATTGACATTTGTTAGGTATTATCGTGCTCATGGTTGTGTTCAAGAAAAAAATGCAAGAGGTGTGGATTGTCGTTGAGCAAATCGAGCGACCCCACCACACTTGGCAGGCACAATTTCGGTCTGCAGCCAATCGACCAAGCTGATGTCTCTGCCAGGGGCTGAATTCACCTCCTGCCTCGTATACCATGTCTGCACGCCAAAAAATTCCAAGAAGATACGAAGGTGACAAGGCGATCGATGAGACTTCTCAATGGTATTGCCTGGGAGACAAAGTCCTACAGCACGTCATGGAGCTTTTCTCCATCTTCCTCTATCTGACTTTACCACATGCCCACGGACGGCAGTAGATTTGGCTTGCCACAATCGATTTCCAAAGGTTATCCATTGACATGGATCGTCGGCACTGCGTACGCTCAGATGCTTGTAGGATATGAACCGGTAAGGGGTTGCCCTCCCGACATGGGTCTTGCGAAGGAAAAAAAAGCCGTTTGATGATTGCTCGCCGTAAGACACAACGGTCTCATGGGAAGTGGTCTCCATGTCAGCCAGCCCAGTTGCTGCGCTAACGGGGATAAAAGAAGCGAACGACGACGGGTTTCCCGGAGGATTGTTCCTGTTGCACAGCCTGAATGTCTCGGTTTTGAGCCTCCGAAGGGTCTGGGGGTCAAGGTTGTCTGTACGACTATCCGTAGGGTTCTGATAGCTCTGATATACAATCATGTACAACGCATGGTTCGTAAGAACAGCGAATGCCTCGTCGTCATCACCTCATAATCATGCTCACTTCGTCACGTCTCCCTGGCCAACCGAGCTCTTGTCGGCTTCTTGGGCTGCTGACTTCTTGGCTTCTTCCTGGGCGAAGAGATCTTGCCAGTATGGTTCCTTGTAGCCATCCATGAGACGTGTGAACTGTGGACCACTCTTCACCCAACCTTTGACGCCTCCTTCGAGTACCATTGACTGCATCTGCTCGTCTCCAGCTGCGTCGATGAATTCCTTGAACCTGCATCAATCAGTATGAGAGTCCTTGGGCAATACTACACAAAATTCTTACCATGCAGCACAACGAGGTGCTCTGCCATTCGAGGAACCACCTGTCGCAATAACAATCAGATCAGAAGCTTGATTACAGAATACGGATACTCACAAGTGAATACGACCCACTCGATATCTGCCTTGTAGGCCAACTCGTAACTGCCGGAGGGTGTTATTAATACTCTGAACGAGAGACGATGTGAACTTACAGCATTCCTCGATTCCACCAGAATCCCTGAGCAGGGATATTCAAACTGCCACGTAGACATCCGCCTTCGAAATCCATCCTCCTAAGATCGATTATGAGCAAACTTGCCACTCCTCGTAATGAAAGCATCTGCATCACACGGTTTCGAGGCATGATGGCCGCTTCGGCCTTGGGCTCTGGGAAATCGGCATGCCATGGTCTGCTCTGTTCGGTAGTCATGATGAATATGTGGTAGTCCTTCTGATTTGAATAGTTGTCTTGTGTTGGAATGTTGTCGTTGGAAAAGGACGCATCATGGAAAGCTCCAGCTGAAGCAACGAGCCCGAAGCCGAAGTCCGAAACACCTTCCCGTGCTCGAAACCTCAACAGTTCAACCTCGACTTGAAGCTATACATCGTCTCTCATCGCCGTGTTCTAACTCGAGCGAAATCACGTGCTAGATAGCATGGTAGAAAATGTAAATGTGCCTTCATGGGCATGATTAAAAGCGCTTAACTGGGGATATCTATGACTTTTCGTAACAAGAAACAAACAGACATAACGCATCTATTGCAATGACTCGACGACCAAGGCGCTGGCACCACCACCACCGTTGCAGATACCAACAGCACCGATCTTGCCCTTGTTCTCTCTGAGGACACCAAGGAGAGTGACAACGATTCTGGCACCACTTGCGCCGAGAGGGTGGCCGAGGGCAACGGCACCACCGTGGAGGTTGACCTTATCCTCGCTGATTCCGAGAAGCTTCATGTTGGCAAGAGCGACAACACTGAAAGCCTCGTTGATCTCGAAAGCATCAACATCCTCCTGCTTGATACCGGCGTGCTTGAGAGCCTTAGGCATGGCGAGAGAGGGAGCGGTGGTGAACTTGGCAGGCTCGTGAGCAGCCTCACCCCAACCCAGGATCTTAGCAATGGGCTTCAGGCCGAGCTCCTTGAGCTTGGCCTCGGAAACGAGAACGACGGCAGCAGCACCGTCGGAGAGAGGAGAGGCGTTGGCAGCGGTAACAGTGCCATCCTTGGGCTTGAAAGAGGGTCTGAGAGTCTTGGTCTTGGCCTCGTTGAAGTTCTTGGGCTCGTCGTCCTTGTCAATGACAACATTGGGCTTGCCTCTGCCACCGCTGACCTCGACAGGAGCAATCTCCTCACCGAACCAGCCACTCTCCTGGGCCTTTTGAGCCTTCTTGTAGGATCTAATGCAGTAGTCATCCTGGGACTCTCTGTTGAAACCGTGCTCCTCGGCGCAGGCCTCGCCGGCGAGACCCATGTGCTGGTCCTCGTAGGCATCAGTGAGACCGTCTTTCAGGACAGCGTCAACGAGAGACTGGTTGCCGAACTTAGCGCCGGTGCGCATGTTGGGAAGGTAGTGGGGAGCGTTGGACATGGACTCGGTACCACCAGCAACGACGATGTCGGCACCGCCAGTCATGATGGTCTGGGCACCGAGAATGATGGCCTTGGTGGCGGATGCGCAGACCTTGTTGACGGTGGTGCAGACGACCGAGTTGGGAATGCCGGCACCGAGAGCGCACTGGCGGGCAGGGTTCTGACCAAGACCGGCAGAGAGGACGTTGCCGAAGATGACCTCCTCGACGGACTCGGGCTGGACACCAGCTCTCTGAATGGCATGCTTGATGGCGTGGGCACCGAGTTGGGTGGCGCTGAGGCTGGAAAGAGAGCTATACAAAGAAAGGGCTGGTTAGAATTGTTGAGCATTGAAGCATGGCGGGGCTCTCTACTCACCCCAAGAACTGGCCAACAGGGGTTCTGGCGGCCGAGACAATGTAGACGGGGGTGGAAGGAGCCATGTTGAAGACTGAAATTGAGGGAGAGACGTGAATGGAAGAAGGAAAGAAGAAGTAGAGGAAGGAGCAGGAGAAAGGTAGAAGGAGCAATTCAAGGAGGGCCAGGAAATCATGCCATGTTTAATTTCAAGAGACAATCTGGGGGTCCAGCATGGCGTTGGCAACGTGTTTCGCCGCAGAGTTTGAGCCGATTTCGGCAAGAATTGATTATCGAGATATGTGATCGGTTGCCAACACGAAGCGGTGAAGCACGTCGAGCGGGAAGCTTGAGTCGTGCCTGCCGACTGGCGCTTTGGTGACGATCTTGTTGGAGACGAAGTCTCGCGGCGACTGTCGCATTCGAGCTTCAACTTTTGTCGCGTCCATTGTCGCCCTTCCACACCACATCTGCCGCCATGGACGACCTTTACGATGAGTGCGTTTCACGTCCTTCTGTTTGACCGTCTTCACAGCTAACTCTTGACGACAGGTTCGGTAACTTCATCGGCGAGCCCGAAGACTCGGACATCGAACAGGAACAGGATGTCGATGCCAACGACTATCTATACGACCAGGACGAGCCGGATGAGGTTGCTGCTTCTCATGATCAGCAGCTGATGGAAGTGGATGGTATGCGCCGCCTTGACGCAAGGTTGGATTGAGAAACTGACTTTGGCGCAGATGAAGGTCCCTCGAATGCCGTCGTTCTCCATGAAGACAAGCAATATTATCCCACCGCACAACAGGTCTATGGCCAAGATGTCGAAACTCTGGTACAAGAGGAGGATACTCAGGCCCTGTCACAGCCCATCATCGCGCCCATCGTACAGAAGAAGTTCACTATCGAAGAGGCAGACCTGCCTCCTGTTTTCTTCAGCCGCGATTTCATGACCGACTTGATGAACTTCCCCGATCAAATTCGCAACGTTGCCTTGGCTGGTCACCTACATCATGGTAAAACGGCTTTCATGGATATGCTCGTCATGCAGACACACAACATTCAAGAGAAGCTGGACAAAAGAAAGGGACGCGACCGAGATGAGCAATTGAGATATACCGATACACATCTCCTGGAACGCGAAAGAGGCGTGTCGATTAAGACCGGTCCTATGAGTTTGGTTCTGCCTGCGACGAAGGGAAAGTCGCATTTGATCAACATGCTGGATACTCCTGGTCACGTCAACTTTGCCGATGAGGTTGCTGCTTCTCTACGCCTGGTCGACGGTGTCGTTCTAGTCGTTGATGTTGTCGAGGGTGTACAAGTCCAAACCGAAATGGTCATCAAGCACGCCGTCCTCAACCACCTACCACTGGTTCTTGTCGTGAACAAGATGGATCGTCTGATTCTGGAGCTCAAGTTGCCTCCTGCTGATGCCTACTTCAAGCTCAAGCACGTCGTCGAGGAGGTCAACACAGTCATCGAGAACACTATTCCCGGCCAAGGCGAGAAGTACCGCGTCAGTCCCGAAAAGGGCAATGTTGCATTCGCCTGCAGCATGATGGGCTGGTGTTTCACTCTTCCTTCGTTTGCACACATGTACGCCGAGACGTATGCCGGTAGTGGCCTGGATGTCCCCGAATTCAGCAGAAGACTATGGGGCGATATTTACTACAACCCTGGAAGTCGCAAGTTCACTCGTCGTGGAACAGAACCTGCTAGCAAGCGTTCTTTCGTCAACTTCGTCCTCGAGCCTATTTACAAGCTCTACTCACATACCATCAGCGAAAGCCCTGAAGATCTCAAGAAGACGCTTGAGAGCCTGGGTATCTATCTCAAGCCTACACAACTTCGCGCAAATGCCAAGGATCTTCTTAAGATGGCATGTGAGCAATTCTTCGGTCCTGCAACTGGCTTCGTCGACATGGTTGTTGATCACATTCCGTCACCCGTCGAAGGAGCCAAGCAGAAGCTGGACAACTACTACACAGGTCCTACTGACACCAAGACTGCTGAAAGTATGCTTTCTTGCGATCAGGATGGTCCTCTGATTGTTCACGTCACCAAGCTTTTCAATACCACCGATGCAACTGGATTCAACGCGTTTGGTCGTGTCATGAGCGGCACAGCACGCCCTGGCCAGAAGGTCCGTGTGCTAGGCGAGGGCTACACAATCGAAGACGAAGAAGATATGGTGGAGGCTACAATTTCTGATGTCTGGATTGGTGAGTCACGATACAACATTCCTACCAGCGGTGTGCCCGCCGGTAACTTCGTCCTTCTTGGAGGAGTGGACAACTCAATTGTCAAGACTGCCACAATTGTTGCGCCAAAGCTCCCAGAAGACGAGGATGCATACATTTTCCGTCCGGTACAACACTTCTTCGAGTCTGTCTTCAAGGTCGCTGTTGAGCCAATCAACCCATCTGAATTGCCGAAGATGCTTGACGGTCTCCGCAAGGTCAACAAATCATATCCCCTCATCACAACGAAGGTCGAAGAATCAGGAGAGCACGTCGTTCTGGGTACTGGCGAACTGTATATGGACTGCGTCCTGCATGACTTGCGCAGATTGTATGCTTCAATGGAAATCAAGGTCTCGGATCCGGTCACTCGCTTCTGCGAGACAGTTGTGGAGACATCAGCCATCAAGTGTTACGCATTAACGCCGAACAAGAAAAACAAGCTCACAATGGTCGCCGAACCTCTGGATGAAGGCATTGCCGAGGACATCGAGAGTGGCAAAGTGAACATCAGAGATCCGGTACGAAAGGTCGGCAAGTTCTTCGAGGAGAACTATGGGTACGATCTGCTCGCCTCGCGCAACATCTGGGCTTTCGGACCTGATGACATGGGTCCCAACATCTTACAAAACGACACACTACCTTCAGACGTAGACCAGAAGCTCCTCAAGAGTGTCCGAGACACCATTCGCCAAGGTTTCTCATGGGGCACGCGTGAAGGACCGCTTTGTGAAGAGCCCATCCGCAACACAAAATTCAAGATCACCGACGTCGGCCTCGCACCGGAAGCTATCTACCGCGGTGGTGGCCAGATCATTCCCACAGCTCGTCGTGCATGCTACAGCAGTTTCCTGATGGCCAGCCCCAGACTGATGGAGCCCGTGTACAGCTGCTCGATGATCGGCAATGCAGACAGTGTAAGCAGTTTGTACACAGTCCTCGCCAGACGTAGAGGACACGTTCTATCCGATGGCCCCATCGCCGGCACACCCCTCTACAAGGTCTCAGGTCTCATTCCTGTTATCGACTCCTTTGGTTTCGAAACCGACCTTCGCATTCACACCCAAGGACAAGCCACATTATCACTTGTCTTTGACCGCTGGAGTATTGTACCTGGTGATCCACTAGATAAGAGCATCAAGCTCAGACCACTGGAACCTGCATCTGCACAAGCGACAGCTCGCGACTTTGTGCTCAAGACACGCAGGAGGAAGGGTCTTGCTGAGGATGTCACTATCAGCAAGTTCCTCGAACCTGAACTCTTCAGGAGTATGAAGGAAAGTGGCATCTTGGATCAACCTGCGTAAATAAAGAATTGTCACGAACACTCGAAATAGAAAAGAGTCCTTTTTAACTTGCACTATGCGACCTCCCTTCGATAGTCGTTGCTTCCCGTGATGTTGTTCGTTTTTTTGTTAATCTCTCAGGCTTTCCCCTCATCTCCAATGCTTGCGCTGCCTTCACTCTTCGATCCACAACATTTGCCGAGTAGGTGAGGACTCATCCTTTGCGAGAGGGTCGACGGTGTGTTTCTGCCCAACGTTCACCATGGTGGAATATTGTGATCTGGCATTCTTGTTGGATAACGTGCTTTGGCTGGGAGATGGCACGCGGTGTGTCAGGTGGAAGGGAGAATCGAGCGAGCAAGAAGAATGAAGGCATGATCAAATAAAGGGTCATAGGGCTTGTATACTCTGCTTCCAACCACTTCCATCAGATCTCTGCCCATGACCAGACCTATCCTCTCCGCCTCATCTCACCTCAACCCCCTCTCATGCTCCCCTAACTCTCCTTTAGGCGTTCTAACCACCGCACCCCTAAACGCACCATCCAACTCCATTTCATCCCCATCGACCGCCTTCTCCAAAGGATCTTTACAGAATATACCCAAGAATGAATCCACCATATCCCTGACTCTGTCCGCGAATTCCTTGCCACTTAAGTCCTGCTTTGCGATGCCCACTCTGAAAGCGAAGCAAGTGGATTTGTAGACGTGATGGTATAGCAATTTGTATTCTTCATCTCTTGCTTCCTCTGCGGGATCAGGAGGAGGTTCAGAAGCAGTAGAGGTGGAAGCTCTCTTCTTCCGTTTTGAAGATGAAGTGAAACCCCATACGCGAAGACCGGCCAATACGACTTTGGATATCATATCTTTGTTTTTCTTTTCCAAAGCTTCTTCTTCTGCTGTTTGTGTGGTTGTAGGAACGGGAGTTTCTCTGGATAGTCCGGAGACTCTTCTTGTTTCTGCAGCAGTACCGGTGTTTTCTCGCCTCAGACTTGCTATACTCGGGCTTCTGGATTTCGGTCTCGTAAGTAGGGGTACGGAGCCTCTACTTTGTTCTGATTTCAGTCGTGGTAGAGAAGGCAGGGAAGGACTGTTTGATGCCGCGGCTGCGGCGACTGAGGCACCCAAGTGGCGTTTCAGGTTTCTGCGGTGGTCTTCAGCGGCGGAGAAGGTGGAGTCGATTGCAGTTTTGCGTTTTTGTCGCAAGGAGGGGCCGTCCCAGGGGTGGGGGATGAAGCGGCCGGTTGGTGTGGATGTGTCTGTGGCGCTGAGGATAGGGGAGCTGGGCGGTGTGACTTCTACTTCGTTTGAGAGTAGTAGGTCCGAGGAGAGTGGGAGGGCGTAGAGTCCGAAAGCCATATCTGAGGATGATGCTTCATTGTGTGGTGGCGTAGGAGGACTGCGCTGGACATCCCTTCTCGCTGCATAGAAGAGAATTTCCGTTGTCCGTGGTTGTGGTATGCTGCTTGAATCTGCGACTTGTACTGCTGCCAGAATACCCAGAGGAGACTCTAGAGCAGCACTCGGCCACCATTCTGTTCCTTGCTCTTCTGCATCATTGCTACTGAGCAGTAGATTGCTGAACCACGTTTCGGTATCTGGATCTGCAGTCGAGACATCTAGACGTGGACCACATATCAATTGCAGTGGTATTCGTGTGGTGTCGACATGTGATAGAAATTGAAGCGTGCAATCGTTTGGTAGCGGGAGTTTCGTTGACGGTGCACTTATTCGTATGTCTGCTTCTTGGTTAGGGCCTTGATCAACGCAGTATTTGTAGAGCTTACCTCGTATCTCATTGATATCGTCAAGTCGTAAGTTTCCATTCCAGATATCCATGGTCGAATATGAATGTGATTTCGGAGATCATTGTTATTTTCGGGTGACGTGACGGAAGACGCGTTCGACGCCAGACTTTCAATCTTTTCCCAAAGAGGCAATCGTCATGTCAACATGCATCCGAGTGTTTGCTATATACGAGAAGGTCCTTCTAGCGAGAGAGAGATAGATGCGATTCTGTGCTCGACATCAGCTCAACTCTCGTTCGACGTCGCACGCAATGTTGTTCGGAACCCCTTACGGAGAAAAGATGGATACCGCTTTCTCGGATAGGCAAGATCAAGTACGACATGAAGTATTCCAGTAAAATTGTGCAGACAGTGGTGTGCTTTCTGATGACGAGCGACGACACAACATGTAAGACAGAAAAGAAAGTAGCATAACGAAACCGTGGGTATGTACGCCTAAGCCCGCTCCATATATACAGAACCAAAGATGAACGCCTGCCATGCAATGCTCCTTCTGATTTTTCCAGTATCATCGTCGGACAGGGATGACCCACCTGTCGTCCTCATCATCTTCTAGTTCGTCCGAGTCCCATCCATCTTCTTCATCACGAGCGGCCATCTCAACGAAACGCCTGAAAACTGCGGCTGCTGCTGCGTCCACCTGCTGTTGGTTTGGAGCTGGTTGCTGCTGCGCTGCAGGTGCCGCTCTTCTACCTTCAAGTGCAGCGACTCTTCCACCTCGAGCCCGTCTGCCTCCGCGCCCTCGGCGTGCCGGCTGTGCTGGCTGTACCGCCTCTGCTACCATGGGTTGAGCAGCGTCCTCTTGAACAGGCTGCGCGGCAGGAGGGTTTTCCTCGGCCTCCAGTTGTTCAGCAACCTCTCGTGCAGCGGCCTCGTCCTCCTCCCGTTGCAGAGCTTCTGCCTCTTCTCTGTCTGCGGCCTCGGCCACAGCTCGAGCCTCCTGCTCCCAGCGTCGTGCACCAGCAAAAGCGGCTTCTTGACCTTCATCACCCTCTTCCAACTCCCAGAGCTTCTGGTAGCAATCCGTACCTGGCTTGTTGTAGTGTTGATAAGGGTTATCAGGGCACAGCCAGGCACCACAGAGGTAGCAAAAGTGGGTGGCACACTGGAAACAATTCATGTGATTGCAGCCCATGGTCTTTTGCGTGGGACTGCTGCAGGTAGGACATGGTGAAGTGTGCGAACGAATGTAGTCGTAGCTGGCCTTCTCTTCCTCGGACAGCTCTGACGGGTTGCGAGGCCAGCAACGAGCAAATTCGCCGTGCCAACCTGCGTAACAAGTCTTGCAAAAAGCAAATGTGCATTTACTGCAAATGGCCAACCGGTCGGATGGAGATGTACCCTTTTTAGCTGCTTCTTCTTCGTCCTCGCCCTCGTCCTCGCTTGATGACTCGGGATATAGAGAAAGGTCCTGTGGGATGGGCGGGTACTTCTCGCTGCGAGCAGGGCCCTGGCACCAAGTTCGCGGGCAGTAGACAGTGGTTCTGTCAGCTTCCAGCTTCTTCTTGCGCTTCATGTCGACATAGCGACGGATCATGGACTCTTCGATGCCCATCTCCAACAGCTCTTTGGGATGTAGTGTCTTTTCCTTCCTTCTCTTTTTCCTCTGGCCAGCAGGCGCGTCTTTGCCACATGTAGGGTCCAAGCACAGTACTCTTCCAACATCACCCTCGACGATGCAGTTGTTGTAGAAGTCTTGTAAACAGGTCTGGCAGAAGACGTGACGGCAGCGGCGCATGCGATAACAGGCAGAGCCCTTCTTTGGTTCGAGACAGATGCCACAATCAAAGGTGCCGGCGTCGAAGATGGCTTTCTTTGTAAGAGTGTCGTAGTCGAGCAAAGCGGGCTTCAGAGAAGGTGACAGGTCAAGGCCGGTGGATTCCAGATCAAAAGCCTGTTCAGCTTGCTGCTGTAGGAAGTCGATGTATGAAAAGAGGATCTGACAGCGACCGTAATCTTCCCATAACTTTTCACACTCGCGCTCCAAGTCGTTCAGTTTATCGACGGGCAACCATTGCGGAGTGGTGGAGAGCGAAACGATCGGGGCTTTCTCAGCAGGGTAGCCTTCGGGGAGGGAGAGTTTCAGCTGAAGAGGGGGCAGGTGTTCGACATTGTGTGTTTCGTCGACGTGGTGAGTCAGGGGGGAATATTTGGAGAGACCGTTCTCCGAGTCTGGTGGAGAGGGCGGTGGCGCTGATGGAAAGCGCAAGGCGAGAGGACTCGATGGGTTGATGGGGAGTTCAAGCGAGGCGGCGAAGGGGTTCTTGGGGTCGAGAAGTAATTCGGGGTAGATGGCCAAGAGAGTCGACAACTCTTCCTCCCTCTCGTCAGTTGTGTCCATTGCGCCGAATCAAAAGTGACTCGTGGGTGGGCGAGTGTTATGAACAAGGCATTAGAGCGGAACAGCCGTAGAAATGGCTATATGTGAGTGATGAGACAAAGAGAAGCCAAAGGATAGATGTCGATAGATATCGATGAGAAAGGGAGGATTATCAGAAGACGCGTGTGAGGATGAGTGAGTAAACTTGTCGGTGTCTTGGTTTCGCCTCGGTGACGGCGGCGGACTGAGACCGGCAGAATCTCACCGCCTCTGCTATAACACGGGCCGAAGAAGTTCTTAAGACCGGTCACTGCCTTCCCGAAAGCTTGTGGCGGCTCCACATATTTACGTAGTCGTCCAAACCAAGGAGCTGAAGCTGCTGAAGCTCGCTGTCGTGTCTCGTCCTGCTTGAAAGACGTAGCAAACAAATCACAACTCATAGGTCACCATGGAAGACCCTCCGTTGGCGTCGCTTTCTTTGACCCATGTTCACTACGTGAGACTGCCGGCTGCATTTATCTATGCTGGCTGGGACAAGGCAGCTAATTGACCATTGTAGAATCCTAATGATCCCATCGCACACGCCTGTGCCTACTTGGCCCTGGTGCCCCAGGCTCTCTGTGTCACATATGCCACGTTGATCTGGAGCACGCGTGAGGCTGAGGTTGGCCTCATGTTTGCTGGTCAATTGGCCTGTGAAGCCCTCAATTGGTTACTCAAACGCACTATTCGTGAAGAGAGACCGCATCGTAGGAACCCCCATCTCCTGTCCTCTGCTCAAAGCCCATTTCTGACCAATGTTTTGTACAGGTCTGACGGGCAAAGGCTATGGCATGCCCTCGTCTCACGCCCAATTCGTCTCGTACTTTGCAGTTTCCTTGACCCTGTTCCTGCTCTTGCGACACAACCCGCACCTTCCGAACACGTCGACCACCCATATCCCGACCTCCACTTTCGAAAGACTCGCCTTGTCCGTACTGGTCATAGCCGGCGCTGCTGCTGTCGCCCAGAGCAGGATATACCTGAACTACCACACCGAGAGGCAGATCCTCGTCGGCTGCATTGTGGGTGCCCTTTTTGCAGTCTTCTGGTATCTCTTCACAACCTACCTGCGTCGCTCAGGCTGGCTGGACTGGGTCTTGGACACTTCAATTGCCAAGTTCTTCCGTCTGAGAGACCTAGTCGTCAACGAGGATCTGGTTGACGCTGGCTGGGAAAGATGGCAGAGCCGTAGAAGCAAGAGAAGCGACCAGAAATCTAGATAGACGTCCATAGCCATAGTCACATGCACATAACATATGAAAAGAGCAGAAATTTCTCGTCCCTCAATCTGCAACTGCGCCTTACAGCTTTCCAGACCCTGTGGACATGAGACTATTGTCCTGAGGATTGACGCATTCCACCAATCAGGGAGGATGACCATGTTCCTCCGCGCCCATGGGGCCCGACATCGCGTTTTAGTCGCGCCGTTCAACTGTACGCAAAGACCAGCAACTCCACAGTTTCCGCATTTTCTTCCACGAACTCCATCACGTGTAGCTCTTTCGGGAACTCAATGCGAAGACGGGCACACACGGCCGGATGTTCTGAATTGATCTGCATATAAAAAAGACACGCTGTGTCTGTCCAGCTTGCAATTGTTTCTGTCTTGTTACTCTACTCGTGCTCTCCGTCTTTCGTTCCTCCTACTCCCCCACCAAAGCTGTGAATTTCTTATCGTTATCGGACCCTCCACCAACTTACTCGCCGCCGTGAATCGGAACCAATCACGTCGTTGATTTTCATTTTTCCTCGCTCTTCCTCTCTTCACAATGTCCAGCTTCAGCGTCCCAACTCTCGCATCACAATACAAGATGGCTTCTGATCATGCCTCACCCTACGATACCTTCAGGCATCCCCTGGAGCTGCGCTATGCAAGTGCGTAAATTCTTTACCCCGCCAAGCTCGATTGAATCATCGATGAAGCCAGTCCACACGGCCAATTGCACGCGCCAGCAAACAGAAGCATGGTATACTGATTCAATGGCCGGAGTACAGGCAAGGAGATGAAGCACCTCTTCTCTCCCCGCATGCGCGTCAGCACATGGAGACAACTGTGGATCTGGCTGGCCGAGTCCCAGAAGGAGTTGGGTCTTTCCATCTCCGATGAGGCCATCAACCAGATGAAGGTCAACCAGATTGTCCAGGATGATGAGTTCAAGATTGCCGCAAAGGAAGAGGAGAGAAGAAGGTTAGTGCTTTTCGTTCTGTGTGATATCTCGAAACATGACTTTCGTGACGTATTCGGCGTGAAAACCACGTAGATTCGTCTTTGAGTGATTGTCTTTTGGCCATGGGCCGTTGTGTGCAGCACGCGCATTTCCCAACCTTTGAGGAATCCAAGATTCTGACTCCCTCAATCTAGACACGATGTTATGGCTTGGGTCCACACCTACGGTCTTTGCGCTCCTGCTGCCGCTGGTATCATCCACTGGGGCGCCACTTCATGTTATGTCACAGACAACGCCGACTTGGTTTTGATGCGTGATGGTCTTGACATGCTCCTCAAGAAGATGGCCACCGCCATCGACAAGCTTTCCGCTTTCGCCATGCAATGGAAGGACCAGCCCTGTCTTGGTTTCACTCACCTTCAGCCCGCTCAATTGACCACCGTCGGAAAGAGAGCATGTGTCTGGATCCAGGACTTGTTGATGGATCTCAGAGCCATGCAGAGAGTTCGCGATGAGCTCTGCTTCCGTGGTGTCAAGGGTACCACTGGTACTCAGGCATCTTTCCTCCAGATCTTCGACGGTGACCACGCCAAGGTCGAAAGACTCGATGAGCTCGTCACTGAGAAGGCTGGCTTCGCTGGCTGCTACCCCATTGCCACCCAGACCTACTCCCGTAAGGTCGATCTCGAGGTTGGCAGTGCTGTCTGCAACTTCGGTGCTACTTGCCAGCGCATCTCCACCGATATCAGACATCTTGCTTCATGGAAGGAGATTGAGGAGCCTTTCGAGAAGGACCAGATTGGTTCCTCCGCCATGGCCTACAAGCGTAACCCCATGAGATCCGAGCGTTTGACCTCTCTTGGTCGTCGTCTTGCGAACCTCCACGCTGACTTCATCTCCACTTACGCCTCGCAATGGATGGAGCGTACCCTCGATGACTCTGCTATCCGCCGTATTGACATCCCCGAGATGTATCTGTGCGCCGATGCCCTGCTCATCCTTATGAACAACATCTTCAGCGGTCTTGTTGTCTACCCCAAGCGTATTGAGCACCGTATCCTTGAGGAGCTTCCCTTCATGGCCACGTGAGTATTCCTTTTCAACTTTAATTCCAACTCTTGCTAACCTAATACAGTGAGAACATCATCATGGCTCTTGTCAAGAAGGGTGTCTCGCGCCAGGATGCCCACGAGGAGATTCGTGTCCTCTCCCACCAGGCTTCCGCTTCCGTCAAGCTGGAAGGCAAGCACAACGACCTCATCGAGCGTATTCGTGAGACAAAGTTCTTCGAGCCCATCATCCCTGAGCTCGACACTCTGCTCGACCCCTCCACTTTCATTGGCCGTGCTCCCCAACAGGTCGAGAAGTTCTGCGGTCCCGAGGGTGATGTTGAGAAGGCCCTCGCCAAGTTCCGCGCTGAGGGTATTGAGGAGAAGGTCGGTGACATTATCCTTTAGATGTGTCTCTGTATATGATAGGATTGCTTCTACATGCTATGGGATGGCCGGAATGAATGGGAGGTTTACAAAAAAGTCACGGTAGATATCACAGCAAAAAGTCACCCAGGTACCTAATTATGATCGTTTTTCATCTGGCTCTTCCCGTATCACAATTCGGCCTCATGGTTTGCTGGCGTTTGTCACTTATATAACTGTTGAGATGCACAATAGGTTTTGGAGTTAGACAGAGAATTGTTCTTTTTTTCTCCTGGTAAATAATGTCAATTCGCGCTAGGGCGCGTAGCAAAAGTCTTGGCGTGTCGAAGTCTTTCGGGCGGGCAGGCAACGACGGACTTGCAACAACACCAATCTATCATCATTCCACAACTCCTCATACAATATCGCTCTCATCTTCTATTACCGCACTGGCGACTGGTATCACCACTCTTGAGTGATCTTCATATCTGCAACATTTGAAGGGTGACACAGGAAGCTGGGCTGTCTTGCTTGTCGCACTCTCGCTCTCTACCGTCTGCACTGGCGACTTGCTCGCCGATTATACTTCAGTTCATTCTAGAAGGGCGAAGCAGGGAGCTGGGTGGTTACGGGAAAGGGGTTGAGTTCTTCGAGGATAGAAGTCTTGGGTTCACTTGCGACATCGAGTCAGGGCTGCTCGAGACAATCGATCGAAGCCCGGGCGGGAGGGATCTCGCTTCGACGAGGGCCTTGTCAGTATAATACACACACGAGCTGAACTGATTTGTATAGAAGGCGAAAATGCCCAAAGGCAAACGATCGGCTCGAGCATCGTGGCTCTTTCGCGACAAACCAGCTGTTGCATCGGCGAACGATACCTTTGGTCGCTTTAACATCTCAATCAAGTATGATGAATCCAAGGCCGAAGGCTCTATTGTTATTCAACATGCTGTCCATCTCCAAGGCTTCCAGTCTGAACAAACCCTTGACCTTGTCCTACGTCCTGAAAGCATTGTCGCTTGTGATTTACTCCTTGACAACCAGAACCATAGACTGCCACCAGAGGTCCTCAATCTAATACCAACCAACCGAACCGACATATGGAGTCTGTCGTTGACGCTGCATGCACCTGGAAATGTTATATGCCCAACAGCACCCCTTCCCCTATCGTTCATGTCGACCAGTTTTGGACAGCAATTCGCTGCCTTCTCTGGCCTGTGTCAGACAACGAAGCTCCAGATATACCTGGGCAGAGATCAGCTCTCGGCTGAGCATCGCTTACGGCTCGAGAACTTCGCATCCGCCATCGCCCTTCGCAAACTCCGCGCGAATCCTATCGACCTTCGTAGCCTCGGTGGCGGCGGAGGCAAGCAAGAAACCACATGGTACAACATACATCCACCGCATTCGGAAGAACAGGCCGATAGTGGTGCTACAAGGAAACGACGTCGCGTTGGTGAGTCTTCTGTGTATTGGCGTAGGCGGCGAAAAACGTTCTGACGTGCGATGTAGATTCGGACAGCCAGCAGCAGTACTCTGGAGAGCCCTCCATAAAATTGCAAAGGTTCTGGGATAACGTGCCACCAGGTTCGCCGACCGAGGTGAACACACCCAGCACAAGGAACGTCACGCCTTCTCTCAACGATCTGAACACCCCTGATACGAGACGAATGCTCCTCTTTGCATCCCCGACCCCTGAGAAGGTACTCGAAAGCGCATTGCCGTCATCTACCGTAGAAGTCAGGCACAATCAAGAAAGGAGGCCAGGCTCACGAGCCTGTACACCCCTTCCCCCTTATCTCCAGGGGTCTGACAACAAGTCCACGCCATCGCCTGCTCTCCAGAGGACTGACATATCTCCGTGGGGGCATAGTCTAGACATCAAGCCGACCTTCTTGTCGCCTGACCGGGGACCTGGTGGTGGTGGTGCTTGCGCTGGCCCCTCTCCTGAGCTCACACAGGCCCTAGGTGGTATGCTGGAGCAAATGCTGCCCAAGATCATCGAAGGGGCATTCTCATCTATCCTGGGCCCCTTGATTGACGCACGTCTCGAGGCACTAGTGAATCACAAAATGGGAGTGCTCGTCCGAGAACAGCTTCCCCGCCTCACCAACCAGGCTCTCCAACAGAACATGGCCAGGTTCGTCGACGAACTTGAAGACGAACACAAAAGAGCAGAAGTCGAAATAGGAGAGACTGTCGATGAAGCCAAGACTGAGCTCAACGAAGCACGCGACAAGGGCATCGACGACATCGAGACCTGGGCTCAGGAGCGATTCGGAAGTTTCGAGGGCGAGGTTGAGGGCATCATGATTTCTGCTGTCGAGTCGCTGGAAGACAAGACGACTGTTCTAAAAGAGCGGCTGGACCGCAAGTTTCGGGGTCAGTGCAGACAAATAAGGAGGGTACACGGAAGTGCAAGGAGGAGGTCTATATAGGTCAGTAATGTCATAAATACTTTCAACGTCTCTCAGGCCCTCAGCGCTCACACCGTCGCGATGCAGTAACATGTGGAACAGCGTATTCACCCCGTGGCGTCAATCATCACCATCAGTTCTACAATTCACCTACCCTTTATCAGTCTTCGCCCCCTTCCTGAAAGCGCAAGAATGGCACCTCAACAAGTTTATTGCCAACTCTGCGGCGGTCCAATCTTGAGCAAGTCAGTGAAGTTGATGGACACTACTCCTGAGGTATCGAACACAGTTGATGGGGTCTCCAAAAACAATCACAATACCTGGCTTGGAGAGGTCGTTGCGCTCACTACAGGATACCGGACACAAGATGGAGTTGAAGTCGATACATATTACCCCTTGAATCTGGATGTGTGTGGCTTCAGTCTGGGTTCTCAGCATCAGCCAAAGATACGGACAGAGTTGTGCTCCACTTCGATGCGTCTTATGGTTTTGACTTGGGCCCTCGCTTTCAGCTCTCAGAGTGGGATGAGGAAGTCGAGCTAAAGTCTCTCAGCGTCTGTGGCTCGCTGTACCTTCCCGCACATGATGCTTGTATGCGGCTTGCCCATCGCTTCGTGGACACCACCTCAACTCCGGATCGGGCTGAAAACAAGAATCAGGATCCTGGGACTGGGAGTCTTTGATTCATTTACTCTCAGGGCCAGACGACGAGACGTTGCAGCTCCCGCCATCTCTGCGCAATCGTCGAAGAATCTGGCGCATTCTCGAGGAAGCCAGAGTCGGTGATCTCTCAACTTCTCGCAAATCAAATCCGCCCGACATGTCTAGGTTAAAGAGAAACATGCATTTCGGGACATCTAGCATATCTCTCCCTCCATCATCAGCCATCAATCCTTCGAGTCTGGTCAAGTCGACAAGCTCTTTCCGGACAGCGTCCCGCAATGGCATTGTGCTGCGATTTCCACCCCGTCCCCACCGTCCAGGGTTCACTTGATCTCTCGCGCCTTCACTCGAGCTCGGATCACGCTCTCGTTCACTTACAAATTCAGTGCCAACCATCCTTCAAGTGCACAAGATCTTCCGACTTTCTGTCACTCTAATTACCTACACATCCATCACACATCCACCATGGCTCCTCGACAAGTTTTTTGCCATATTTGCGGCAATCGAATCACAGATACGTGAGTTGGATATGCACAAAATTTACTTTGCGCCGGATCTAACACTCAGCATATTAGGGGCGATGATGAAAAAGATTGGCTGCAAGAAGCAATCGCGATGACTACGCGTCATCAAACTGAGAACGGTTTTGAAGATGATAATTACTTCAGATCTCCAGCCAGCAGTTGCTATGGTTTCGATTTGGGCATTGATCCGCCAGACGAAGCTGCAAGAGTTGTGAAACGCTGCAGGGCGTCTTACAGCTACGATGCTGGCCCTCACTTCAATCTTCTGGACTCCGATAACAAGGTTGAGATATGCTCTATCGGTAACAACAACGACAGTGGCCCACTTTATCTCGCGGTACACGACAATTGCTTGCAGCTTTCAGACCATTTTATCCAAAAAGTCTCCACGGATCCGCTAGCCGGAAGCATCACGTCGCTGCTGAAGCTCTGGGAAGTCCTCTACCGTCGAGTGAAAGCTTTCGATGGGACATATGCTCAAGAGCCTCACGAATTCTTTGCAGCAGATGGCTACAACGCTCGCGAATCGCCTGGAGATATGGAACATTCTGAAGAATTTGCTGTGAGTATGTTTCTGTTCCAGCCTTGTCAAATGATGCCATGAGCTCTCGTTGGCCACGACCCCGTACTGAATTTTACTCTGCAGACCCTAGCGTTATCTGATGGCGTAATTGTGCTAACATCAAGCTTGACAGGTATATGAGATAATCAAAGCAAATCCCTTGGAGATACCGGACCTGACAGATTCGATCTTGAAGAACCTCCACCCTGTCGAGCAACACGAGAATTACAGTGCTCGTTCCCATGACCAAAGCCAGGATCAGTGGTGCAATGCTCTGGTTCAAAGCGCCGGTCTCCCGTGGCTCTATGACCTGAACACCGCGATAATTCGTTCAAAGCAGCGCTCAGGGCAATGGGACTGGAAAGCACTCGTAGTCAAACTCAGAAATCCCGACATTCATCTGCCGGGCGACCCGTCACTGCAGCTTCCCCCCTCCCTGCGCAATCGACGCAGGATATGGCGTATTCTTGAACTTGCGAGAGTCAACGATATTGCAAAGATCAGGATTGAGGCTAGAATGACTGGTCGGTATGCTTGGATGTATGGTGGAGTCACCAATCCACCGTCGGCACATCCATCATACGGGTATGAAACTCTACCTCTCCGGACACAGCCCCTACCCCCACATTCGGCCAGCGGCTTTCCTCCACCTTCAGGCTCGCTGCTACGTCCGCAGAGTGCTACAAACAATCTGCCTACGTCTTACTACCAAGAAGCAATGAAGAATCGTTCGCCAGGTTTCGTAGGGCCACCACCGAGCCATGCGGAGTATCTAAAAAATCGCCCTTTGCGATTTCCCAAACCACTACTATTCTCCCGTAAGATAACAAACCTTCCAGACCTAGTATCCTCAGAACTTCCGGTATCGTCAAGCATCACCTCTGAAGCTGACCTTGAGCCTTCGGAATCCTCCACGAGAGGCACGGATGGACCACTCCTTGAAGGTACAGTGCAGCAATCCCCTCCCCAAGAAGAATCCGAGTAAGTTGAGGCGAGTGCCATGTGGATGCACAGCTTGACGGCGCTTTCAATTCAACATGGGCATCGTCGTACTGGCATCGGCCTACTTGGCGATCAGACTAAGTTAAGCGTTTTGTATCACATGGCAACTCTCACCGAGTCTCACGACTCGCAGTACACCACATCAAGCCAAAGGTCGCGCATACTTGCACTCTCCACCACTTCAGCGTACTGTGTGCATGCATGAGGAATGAACACTTATGCAAAGTGTGATCGGCGTTCTTGGCAAGGGTCGATACTATTCTCGTTCGCAGATCAAACACACAACGTCCATCTCTACCATACTGAGAGGTTGTGGTGACGACCAACGACCCAAGCCACGTGGATTAATTGATTGCTCGTTGATCAGAATTTCTTTACTTCTCACCTCTGCTTTTTACTTTGCAAGTTTTTGTCAACAATGCAAACGACTTACTTACCCAGCTTTGAACTTATGTGATTACAATGCATGAGCGACCAGAAGGCCACTGAAACCACTCAAAATAGCTTCTGTCGGACAGCTTCAAGTAGATAGGCTTTCTGCATACCTCGACGTCACTTTCGTGCAACATTGTAAGCATAACACGAGAGGTTGCAGCGGATCGAGCCCTACTATCGTGAGCTTCTTCGATGCAGCAGACCAGGTCTTTGACCGATGTCTGCACTGAAGTGATGGGAATTGACTAGGTTTGGGCAATGGTACGCAGTGTATTCCAGCAACCTTGACCGATCGGCAGGATGCCTGTTCTCTGTTTCAGCACATCTCGTATTGCTCCTCACTGACATCAAAAGGCGTGACGTTTGCATCATCCGTGGACATGTGGACGCAGACGATCAAGGTATATATTTTCTGCATCTGGCTGCCGTCAACTCATCTTTACCAAACAAAAACCACCTCGGCAACAAACACACCCCCAAACACTCTCTCACAAACATCAACATGAAGGCCTCTACCATCTTCACCACTCTCGCCGCAGTCCTCCCTGCCTTTGCCGTTCCCACCGCTCGCTCTACTGGTGGTTCCTTCGGCGGCCTGGCCATCCACTCCGGCTCTCCCATTCACCTCTCTTCCGTCAACGCCAACGGCAACGCCTTCTGGGTCAACAAGGACACCTCTTCCTACTGTCCCAACACCACCGTCTCGGACTGCCCCGAAGGCAAATACACATACTTTGTCGGCGGCAACGAGACCCTCTCCCTCAGCGTCGAGGTCCCCGGCGGCCAGCGCGCATACGTTGCTCAGGATGGATCTCTCGGCTACACCATCCCTCACGGCAGCACTGGCGGCCAAGTCGTGAACTACACTGGCTTCAGCCTCGCCGACAGCGGTATCCACTTGCAATACAAGGGTGGTGACTTTGTTGCTGTTCCTATCGGTGATGCATACAAGGTTTACGCTGCTGCTGCCGAGAACTCTCCCAAGAACGGTACTGGATTCTCTTTCAGAGTCCAGGCAGTTGACGCCACTTATGGTGCCTGGGAGTATTAAGCGGAGGATGTTTTCTTGTGATGGAAGGTACGATGGGATGTTGATGCTCTTGCCTTTTTTGGACGAACAGCTTGAACTGTTCGCTCCTTCCATTAATGGCACCCACTTCTAGCCTAGACTTGTTTATAAGACAAATCCAAACGTCATGAAAATAATGGAAATGACTCTCGATGACAGATGTGATCTTCATGAATGCAAAAGTGGAAGGCACTTGCCAAAACAATCGAACCCTCCAAGATGAATGAGACCTAATTCCATCCACACCAGCCAGCCTGCTGACACGATGTTATTAGCTTGATCCAACCCCAGCAACCATACAAACAAATTCCCAAGTCACATCTCAGCCCAAGCAAAGAAAGCAATCAACAAGTCAAGGCTTCCATCCCCGCCAAGCCTCGATCCCACTTTCCCACACCACCGGGAAAAAAACTTCCAAATCTTCCACCGCCTCCCCCCTCCTCTCTCCCTCATCACAGCACGCAACAAAAGAGCAAAAGGAGAAGACAGCGGTGTGTGTAGGAATAGCCGAAGGCGGGGCTCGAACCCGCGACCTTGAGGTTGACGATATCAATTGATAAGAGCCACACGCTCTACCGATTGAGCTACCCCGGCAGGTCTGATGATCTAGTTCACTTGGTGAACTGGCTGCTGATTTGTGATGGTGAGTGAGGTAGGTGAGATTATATACCCTTGACACAGAGTGGGGACGAAGATGAATCGGACGCTGAGGGTGTTGATCTATGGTCGGTCACGCACAACAACTGTGGAGGAGGGTGTGGCAGAGCTTTGGTACCGAAGTGAAGATGTCAGAGGGAGAAAAGTGTCAGCATCCATGGCTCGCAGATGTGCGGTAGACATTTCACCATAGATAATACAGAACCATGGTGGTTGGGGGTGAGGTGTTCGAAGAATTGTGGATTCCAATGTCCAACGCCTACAACACCAGTTTTTTGACACGTAAAGACTTCAGTACCTCACAATGGTATTAAGAAATACCCTATTGTATGCTTAGATCATTGGTTAAGAGTGTAAGGTTATCGGGGGCACATTGATGATGGCCAATATCATTGGACAGGGTTATACCACTAGCCAAATTCACTTGGTAAAAGAAACTCGCGCTCACAAGGACAATTCTCATGTGACGAATCTACCTGTCCAACAATCATGTAGGTGCATGAGTTGAAGGGAATGACAGACGGTCAACATAGTGTGACTTGAGAACCTGAGATGGTCGCGACCCAGATGAATAAAAATTTCGTCAAGTGTTCTCCTATTGATCTGACCTTCTCTGAGGCTACAAACATATGAACACCGAGACCACCGATGGTAGCAGAGAGAGAGAGAAGAACATACTTAAGCAAGAGTGTGTATGAGTAAAGCAATACCTGACAATTATTTTAAGAATCAATCCTCATGCTTCACCAAACAACCGAACACATTTCCACCTCTCAATCGTGTCCCATTGGTAGCTAGCATAATCCGTGTGCTCAAAAGCACTACAACACGCACACGTTACACCCTCAAGTGCTGGTGCGCCAACAAACATCTTTGCAGGGCTTCAAAATGCAAAAGAAGCCCAGATTCGACCCGTTTCCCATCCTCTTTCTCTGAACTCTCCACCCGCCCCCCCCAACGCCACCAGGGATGCAAAAAGATGGTATACAGGCTCTCCGCAGGGCAAAAGAACGACGCCTGCAGGACTCGAACCTGCGCTCCCGAAGGAAATAGATTTCTAGTCTATCGCTATAACCACTCAGCCAAAGCGCCAGTAATTGCGAGTAATGCCAGTGAGCTATCTCAGATCGAACAAGTCTGTCTCTCTCATCAATTAGTGCTCCAGGCCAAGCAGCGTTCCAAGAGTATCGTCCTCTTCCTCGAAAACATCTGTCAGTGATCCTCTGTGGTTGGTCGTTGAAGGCGAGACGAATTTACGGTAGAATTTTGTGCGTCAAGGCTCGCTAAAGACAAACACCTGAGAAGTCTTGCAAAGTCGGCGTCTGCTCCAATGGCTTTTGACAACCCTGTCTCCGTGATCCGAGGCCGGTTTGAACGAGGGGCATTGCCCCGCATGCCCCACGTTGAGGTTCCCTCTCTGCCTTTCTGGGGAAAGATGGACAGACAAGCCACCCGGTGCATCATGCATCAAGCAGAAGGATGCGGCAAGTGTACGAGGCTTGGTATCCGGATGATATGGACGCCGATGATTGTGGGTCATGTAGATTGGGCTGCGGTGTGGGGCTATGTCTGAAGGAGGTGTTGATATGAAAGCTGTTGGGACCTCCGAGCAGAGTCGACAGACTCCTCGACCTTCGTGTGAGATAGAAGCGTGTGTTGAGAAGAACGATCGCCGAGACCAAGATGAACCCAGCATTCGAAAAAGTAAGGACAAGGACCGGTATTCCACCTGACAAGCTCATAACAAGTATAGGTAATTGTCGTCGGAGCAGGGCCCTCAGGACTGCTCTTGTCCTTGCTGCTCATCCGAGCGGGCATAAAAGTACATCTTTTGGATGCTGCACCCACGCTGGACGACCAACCACGCGCAGCACATTATGGACCTCCGGCCATTCCGGAACTTCGACGAGCAGGCATCTTGGACAAGATCAAGTCGCAAGGGATGACACTCAATACAATGTGTTGGAGAAAGTTGGACCAAACATACATCGCCGGAATGGATACCAGCGAAACACTCTCGAACGATCCCGAGTATGGTGACGTGAGGACAGTCAGCTTAGCCCTGCAGACATTGGATGCTCTGATGCTGGAAGAGTTCGAAAAGGAGGGCGGCCAGGTCAGCTGGGAGCATCGTGTATTGGACGTCGAGCAAGATGATTCGAAAGTATCCATAAAAGTCCAAACGCCAGACGAGAACGAGAAGACGATCGAAGCCGATTATGTTGTGGGGTGTGACGGCGCAAATAGTGTTGTCAGGAAGAGCCTGTTTGGTGAAGACTTCCCTGGATTTACCTGGAACCAGAAGCAGATTGTCGCGACGAACGTAAGTTGAAGGCATGCTGCGACAAGAGCTTTACTCACAATGTGCAGACTTACTACGACTTCCGGAAGTTTGGCTACCATGATGCGAACTTTATCATTCATCCCGAACATCTTTACATGGCGGCTATCATCGATAACAAAGGATTGTGGCGGGTGACATATGGTGAAGAGCCTGGCTTGACACGTGAACAGTTGCTAGAACGACAACCGAAGAAGTTTGAGACCATCTTGCCAGGCAACCCAAAGCCAGGCGATTATGAGTTGGTGAACTTCTCGCCATATCGAATGCATCAGAGAGTAGCCGATAAATTCAGAGTCGGAAGAGTTATGTTGGCAGCGGATGCGGCGCATCTTTGCAATCCTTTGTGAGTTGTCTTAATGATGCATTGATGAATTTGCTGACCGTAGGAATACAGTGGCGGTCTCGGAATTACTGGCGGCTTTGTGGATGTTGGCTGTTTGTACGACTGTTTGTATGGCATATGGACGCATCAAGCCGACGAATCTATCCTGGACCTATACTCGGAAGTGCGGCGACAAAAATACAAGGAGATCATTGATCCTATCTCGACGGAGAACTTCAAGCGTGTTTTCGATCAGGATCCGGAAGTCGCGAAGGAGAAAGACCACTTTCTGGTGTTGTGCAATAAGGCAGCCGAGGACAAGGACTTTGCTCGGCAGATGCACATGGTAAGACATGCAAACAGCAGCATTTACATTTGTGCAAAACATACTGATGAATTCGCACAGGCATCTTTTGGTATTCGTCATGATTTTACACAATACTATCGCAAGGATAGGGGCAAGGGGAAAGGGCCTTTGATTGTCGATGACGCAAAATCAGACTTCAGTGTCGAGCATATTGAGGAAATCGCGCCCACTGGAGCAGACTGAGCGGCTTGCAGTCGTTCTTTTACAAGAGTGATTTCAGATAGAGGACAAAGGACTCAGAGCTCGAAGAACCAAACGAATGTATTACGTGCTTAACAAGCTCTGCGTGATCATATCTCTATATAAAAGGACAAAGGGTAACTTAAAAAAGCCTCATGGATCGGCCGAAGTCCGTACCTGGTACGAATGTGAAACAACGATACCACCCACAGTCCTCTCATCTACAACATGATCCTCGATGGTAGTTGGCTGGTGAGCAAGAATTTCGTCTGTACTATCCGTATCCGAATCCACATTGTTGGCTGTAATCTGTGCCTGGTTCTTGTGTCTGTGCAGCTCGATATCGGTGCGGAAGGGATCAAGATTCGAGCCCTTGCGGCTATGATCTGTTGGTCGCTCATCGGTTCGGAAGTATTGGCCCGTGGGTTTCGAATCGTGTGTGCTACCAGTGAAGATGCCACGGAAGTACGTTTCGAAGAGTGGGCGGAGTGTCGGTACGCAAGTGCAGACCATGGACATCATTGTTTCGATCGCCGACCAAACGACGAAGTCGCAAATCGTGTATGTGAGATCACCATCTCCTTGTTGAAGGTAGGCAATGATGCTTCTGAGACGGATGATGCTGACAATGCAACCGGCGGAGCCCATAGCAAATACAAGCGATAGTGTGATCTTCTTTCTGCGGGTGAGAGCAAGGTTCCAAACAATTGGGATCGGGAGTGCCAGGATCAACAAGTCGCTGACAGAGTTGCACACAGCGTTGGCGATATCTGACTGATTGTCAGTATTCTTATACGTCATCCGAAGTAGGAGTACATACAGAAAGCCGGACGATTGATGCATTTTCCTTTAGCAAAGATGTCCCTGATTAGAAGTTAGTGACTAGAACGTAAATCTTGAACACAAAAATGATGGAATTTCAACTAGACCGGGCTCTCAGCGTCATGTGGTCTGGTCGAAAATATCGGCAGAAAGGCAAGACGTTGTCATGCGCATAGACGCATCCACTGGGAATTGGCCAGTCTACGCTCCCACGGTCCCATTGATAAATGGCTAGAGCTTACCATTGAAAGTGGACTGGTGTGCAGTCGAAAATCTCAGTAAGGATACCAGCAACAGAGTATCCAACAGCGAAGAGGAAGACGGCCCACCAACGCCAGTAGAAGTTTTGAATCGGGAAAAGACGACGGTACAACAACATAATGGCGACTTTGATAGAAAGCATGGAGGAGCTGTAGAAGACCGAGGCGATGAGGTATAACCTTAGAAAGTGAGGCGAGAAGAGTGCCACAGGCACGTCGTAGAGATGTCGTCCCATTCCAAGATGAACCAGTGCCTGGTAGAGAGCTATAGCTGTGATGCAGATAAGAAGAGAAACGATCATGGCCCCTGGATACTATTAGTGTCGGTCCGAAGAAACCTCAGCTGGTATTGACGCACAGTCATCGTAGCCAACGGACTTGACGATGAAAATCCGAGTATAGAGTCGCAGCAGGACAACGACGATCATGATAATCAGCGTGATGATATTGGTTATCGTTTGCCTGTTTCCTACACTTGGCGGATTGACGAAGTTGGAGGTCGTGCCATTTGGAGGTGTAGCTGCAGGCACTTGCCAGTAGTCTATGTTCGGGTCTGCCATGTCGATTTCTAGTCCTGATCCTGGTTGTATGCTGAGAAAGAATGTCTTGCCGGAGAGCGCGAGAAAAAGGTTCACCCTCGGTCAAGGGAACGAAAGCTACACTGGGGGTATGCTTGCAATTTGAACTTGAACATGGAGAGGGTATTTCTGCTAGGTCATCATGGACAAGGAACCACCCTTTGGCCCGTACTCTTGCTTTTGGCTGATCTCTGGGGCAAGAGTGAAAATAAGGGCCCATAACTCGCCTTCGATATTGAAAGGTGGTACTACGGCCCTTGATCAGCTATGAACCTTGGATGTGTGTCTCACTGCTTGAGTCATGTGGTGACCTGGGCTTCACGGGCACTAGAAGCAGGTTTCGAGATGAGTTCGAACACGGAGCTGTCATCAACGGCTGCCCATTCAAACCATGTCCTATGCTGTCAAACAGCTGAGAATTTCAGAACGTCGTGACATTACAATACCATCACCTATAGTGAGTCCGGAGGAGATCCAGTGTCCAGGTATACGGGCGTGCGGGCAGATTGATGAATTCAGGCATCCGGCTTCGCTCGGAGATGATTTCCGCAGGGTTTCCTGATGCACGGCCCTGCGTGAAGAAGAACCCACAGACTCTAGAAAACAGTGTCTGTCGCCACGGGCCGTAGTCCCTTGACAGAAAGAACGGTCTGCCGAAGAAGGTAGAGAGCGACAAACACCCTTTGGAAGGAGCTGCCGTGCGCTTGTCAATCTGTGCGACTTCGCGTGGCATGTCTGCTCGCGTAAGAATTTAGCCTGTTACCTACACCCATGGGAGAACGTCCTCCTTTCCTGATAGACATGGAGCCGCTTGCCAGTAACAGACTGCATCAGAGTGGAATAAATACTTGAATGTTGATCATCCATGTGAGTCGAACACGTTTGGCCAGTCTGGCGCAGTTCAAACCACGGCCACAAGAGCTAGAAACAGTGTAGGCATGGGTAGATGACTAGAACTAGACAGAAGGGGTGCAACTAAAAGGGTGCCGATCGGGCGCAGTTGCCTCAAGGAGCGTATTGTATATCGCAGGTTGCTCTGCAGTACGACAACGCGGGTTTTGTGGATGGCCGGTCATCCCTGACAGAAGCCTAAGCTCCACCCATATCAATCCGGCTTCTGTTTGAACGGGGAGTCGCAGGCCATACGGCCATCCAGGTGTCTTCCAGGGTCGTTGTTGGTGATAAAGAGGACGAAGATGGAGTAAAATGTTGGCAAACAGGTTTCGACGCGTTTGACGGAAGTTTTCCGCGTCCGACGCCCGTGTCACCCTCAACCTGAAAAATGCATGCACCTCTACGAGTTATTCTGTCTCTATCAAATATGCAAATGGTTCAAGACAAGAGATTCGCATCGAGTCGAACATGATACCAATCTGGAAACGCCAACCATTAACCTCGGCTGTCCCTGGCCATGCTAAATCGATCAAGCTCGGTTTGGTCGCTTTCAGACTGGATCAAGCGGATAGTGTAGGGCAAAGCTACACATATATGAATTGCGAAATAGATGAATGTGAGGTCAGTAATTTCTGACTTGACGACGGCAATAATCGGCAGTTGTTGCCTTTCTCCTTTGACATTCCACGCTACGTACAGATTGGCGGTATGAAGCTTATTTGGCAGGTGCTTGGATTGGTGAGTCAAGATGGAATCGAACTGGGGTTTGCTGATCTGAGAGGACGAGATTCAACTCTTCCGTACTTGACCGTTTGAACGCGGTACGAGATGCTTTATGGACGCTTGCTCGACTCCCAAAAGCAAGAACGAGGGTTCCTCTTCCAGCACATGTCTCCCAAGACTGACCATGGTCACTGTGGCTAGCTAAAAAAAAAGGGCACAGAGATTCAGGGAAATGGAGAAGTGTCAACTGAGAGTCTCACTCTCTGGTTCTCTCATTATCAAGCTGCTGAATTGCAACATTTTCATGCGTTTCCATGGCTAAATTCATCACAGCGTTTGTGCTCGGAGTAGGCAATCTGCGCTCTGCTAGAGAGCTTCATGTCCTTGGTATCGGCTCTCCTTTAGAGCACCATGCGAGGATCCAAACTAGAGATCTTAGCCGACTTAGCAGCACCATCAAAGACAAATTCTGAGATAAGCTTGCCAGTTCCTGGACCGTTTTGGATGCCTGTAGTCATTGTCAGTAAAGCCTAGCATAGTGATAAAGCAGTAACATACCCCAGCAAGTGTGACCAGCGGCTATCAGCAGTCCTTTGACGCCAGTTTGACCAATCAGGGGCCCATTTCCACCTTGAACGTTAGGAAGATAGCACGCCTGTCTTGCAGTAACTTCTCCGTCTCGTAGCTCGTCACTGATTGAGCTGACATAATCGACTACATCCTGGCATCTTTGTTCATCTACCTCGACAAGGTCGGACGACTTAGGTAATGGCACCATATGATCTCCTTCACCACATGCGTAGACCTCGTTCTTTGGGCGTGTATAGATCTCTGGAGAGACGTGCTGTTCGCGAGAGGACTTCTTAAAGCCAGCTGGTAGTTTGATCTCGGTGAATAGGGCGTATGCGCTGATCTCGCGAGTAGGACGAATAGTAACACTGTGAGCTCGAGTAGCCGAGATAGGAGCGTCAGGATAGACGGTCTTCGTCCAGGGGCCGGCAGAGATAACGACATCTGTTGCAGAGATAGTGACCTCCTTATTGTTGTCATTCTTGTCCTCGTATGTTACACTCTCAACACCCTTGCCGTCCTTAGTACGGTTAATGCTCTTGACTGCAGCACCAACACGAATATCCGCACCCTTCTCGGCGGCTAAGTCGGCCATAGAGGTAGTGAACTGATAAGGGTGTACTTGCGAGGTCGTGCTGGGATCGCCCATCTCGTCGTACATTCTCAAGCAATCCGGGTGAACCCAGTCCAGGTCCTTTGGTATACCTCTGGCTGCCAATTTTGCGGAAACCTTTGGCGGATTCTTTTCAAGACTGACGCTGTTCTTCTCTCGGTCTGCAGGTCGGTCGTTCTTTCCGTCCATCTCGTTGTCCTTGCCCTTGACTGAATCCTTGGCGGTGAGTTGACGACCCTTGCAGTCTACTGACCCGCAATGGACCTGCCTGTAACCCCAGCGTTCGTCGCCGCCATATTTGTCGGCCAACTGCTTGTGCAGCTTGTAGGAAAGAGGCACAATAGATGACGGATAGGCCCACAGAGCCAACAGGCCACCTGCTTTGCCACTTGCGCCGCCAGCAATTTTCGTCGCTTCCAGCAGGATGACCTTGTGTTTTTCCGGGTTGTATGAGGGGTGATGTGTGAGGAAGTATGCAGAGGTGGCGCCGATGATACCACCTCCAATAATCACAATGTTCTTTTGCTCGTCTCCGGCCATGATGGAATGTTGATGGAACAATGTGGTCTTTTGCGAAAGTCGATTAAGTCTACCTGGTAGGCTCGACGACAAAGTTCTTTTTACAAAAGCCAGAGTGGCGATACAAGTATTTCAGCAATTCCCAACAGAGAAGGTGGACGAAAACTTGCGAATCGCGTTTCGCCTTACTATCGCCCGAGGGATTGTGACGTCAAAGCGGGTCTGAATTTGAGCAGGGTCACCCCGCACGACTTGCCCGCAGCCGCACCCATGACATGTCGTGAATGTGAAATTCCTTAACCAGCTCTTACTGAAAACCGCCTTAGCGCAAAAAGCACCTTGAATGTCGACAGCCGCAAACATACTACCGGGAATGTGAGATGCAAAATTAAGGATCAATAGCAACTGTATATACGATCTAGATGATGGATAAATTCCAAAAAGGGTATCTAAGCATCATGGGCGACCTTCTGTAACCATGCCTTCGTCTTTCCCCAGGCTCCCGTTGCCATCCTGGCCTTCTGGTAGTCCTCCTCCTGAACATTGTGCTTGCCGACAATGGAGAGGAACACCTGATCAAGTGTCGCCTGACTGACAGCATAGAACTCCATACCAAGCTCCTCCTTACTAGCCTCCAATTTCTCAAACAGCGAGCTGATTCCAGTACGTTCAGTTGGGGCGACAGTAGCTTTAGCGCCCTTCTTGTCATCAACTGAAATACTCGAGTCGTCCATGCTTGATCCTGGTCGATTTGGCACTTCAAAGCGGATCTGACCATGGAAGGAACGATCCTCGATACTTGCAGTGGGGAAGTTGAGCTTGATCCAACTTGTAATCTCCGCAAGTTTGGCATCAGAGGTATGTGGTGCGTCTTTGTGGACGAGATGAATATAGTAGGCATCGCCGTGCTTGCGACGCAGAGAGTCGCTGGTGCCGATTGCGAGCATACGTCTGGCCATGATGCCCACGCGATCACCAAGTGCATCTGCTTCTTCCAAACTGTGAGTAGTCAAGACTAAACTGCGACCAGAAGAGACTGCGGCGAGAGTCCTCCACATGATGCGCTTTGCACCAGCGTCCATGCCCGAACTGCCTTCGTCGACCAGAAGAACTGAAGGATTTCCGATGAGAGCGATGCCAAGACTGAGCTTGCGCTTGTTACCACCAGAGAGTTTGGAAGCCATACGATTGCGGAAGGCACTGAGTCCAACGGCGTTCATGACTTGTTCGACATTGTGTTCGATATCAGTAACACCGCGAGCTCTGGCATAGAAGTACAAATGCTCAGAAGCTGTCATTGCGTCCATGGCGTCAAACTGCGGGCATACACCTTGGTGCAAACGCGCTGCAGCACGCTGCTTGACAATAGACTCGTTCTCAAGCAGGACGTCACCGCCGCTTGGATGGACGTCTCCTCGTATGACTGATATCGTTGTCGACTTTCCGGCGCCGTTGGGGCCGAGTAATGCAAAGATCTCACCACGGGGCACGCCAAATGCCACACGATCCACAGCAAGATTGGTTCCGTATGTTTTGCTGATGTGGGAGACGCGCAGCTCGTCCTTGCAGTCATTGACCCGCTGTGCCTCGTGATAGACGTCCTCGTCAGGGTACTCGCTTTCTTCGGCATCCTGGGAGCGGCTTTTTCTGCTGAGGAAGGCAAACCTATATCCACTATCGTAATAGACCAGGAATGCCAATAGGAGCAAAGCTTGAACCGTCATGTACAGTATGGGGCCACCATAGACAGTTATATCTCCGGGGTATGAAGCTCTCTCATTACCGCGACAGAGGAGCGAAAATTCATTGAACGTCAGCAGGAGTGACCGCAAAAGGTTGCCTGATGGCGTGACAAGACCGATCGTGAAGTGGGCGTAGTTGACATAGCTATCAATCGACTCCGTAGGTGCGTAGGTGATGATAGCCATGTACGCAAGGAAGTAGATCAAGAAGAAACAACATTGCATACCCGCGGCAAAGGCGAAGGAAGCCAATTGACTCGTGACAAACAACGATACCACATAGGAGCAGAGCAGAGCTGAGAGACCATAGAGGAAAAAGACGACGAAGAGGTAACCGGGTGCGTAAAGAGCACTAGAGACTCCCGTAAAGATGACAATGGCGACCACACTAACGAGCAGCACGAACATGAAATCGAAGATGGTGTAGGCAAGCCAGAGAGGGAGGGCTCTGATGCCGTTCGAATAATGCAGTGCTCTCACCTTTGCAACCCGCTCACTGGTCGGATACAAGGCAAAGAATCCAGGATAGGCGGACATGGCCAGGCCGAAGTAGAGGATGAACTGGAGGGTGTCTCCGGCCGAGGGAGCCCACGGTCTTTGGAACGCCTGGTAAGCTGTGATGATCGGAGATCCAAGCAGGCTGCTATCCATAATATTTTGGGTCAGGATAGCGTACGTAAGCTCGTAATTACCCCTCCAAGCAAAGAGAGGGGCACCTCCCTCGGCGATAAAGTAGCCACCTGGGAAGACACGGCTATAGTTCGATCGAACGTATGCGTTGAGAGCATCTGCGCTGGCTACCGGCGCAATAGCGTTACCAAGTCCAGGGTAAACAGCATTCAACAACGCGTTGGGGACCTGGGAGGCTGGTCCGGCAGGGAAATCAAGTACATCGTTGAGACTGGCGAAGGAAACAGTGTTCTCGCTCGAACTAGAGTCTTCTGGTGAGCATGAAAGTTCACTGAAGCCCTGCAAGAACAGAGTGACAAGGCCTCCGGCGATGATCGGGATCAGAACAGCGGCGAGGTAAGGCAGATAGTTGCGACGCAGAATCGTCAGACGCTTACGGAACAGCACCCATGTCTGCGCGCCGAGCGAGATTCTCCTTCCCTTGGCTAGTTCAAGGCCCTTCTCTGATTGGAGAGAAGTCACATTGGTCAATGGCGTGGCATCGTCGTGGAGAGTATGGTCGTTGTTGAATTCTGCCGACAGCTTGAGGAAGACATCCTCGATACTGGGTCCGCTGACTCGGTAATCCGTGACACCGAGTTGTTCCAGACGGGTGACGAACGTGGCGGCAGCGCTGGAGTCGTTCAGGTTGTAAACGACATGATCTGCATGGTTCCGACGAGGTATGGAAGACCATTCTTTGGGTTCGTCAAACTGATACTCAGTATAGATCTTGACACGGTATCCACCACCAAGTTCATGTTTCAAGGCGACGGCTGTACCTGTTGCGGCTAGGGTGCCCTTCGATAGGATTGTGATATGGTCCGAAAGCAAATCTCCTTCATCAAGGAAATGTGTCGTGAAAAGCATGGCTCTGTGCCCTCTTTCGGCTAGAAGAATGTCCCAGACTTTGCGACGTGACAGAGGATCAATACCAGAGCTGACCTCATCAATCAAGCAGAGGTTACTGCCACCTGTAAGCATCATAGCCAACTGAAGTTTGCGTTTTTGTCCACCAGAAAGTGTCTCCGAACGAGCTGAAATCTTATGGTCGAGGTCACATTTAGACAGCAGCTCTCGATGGTCGGCTGAAGTGCCCTTGGTCCCCTGTGCTTTCAGCTGATGGAAGTAATATACGTGCTCAGAGCAAGTTAGAACATCCCACAACACGTTTTTTTGTGGGCAAATTCCGACACCACCAGTTCCGTCGATATCAATGGTTCCACTTGTTGGAGACTGAAGCCCTGCCAACATGTCCATGGTCGTCGACTTCCCTGAGCCATTAGCGCCTAGCAGAACATGAATCTCTCCAGCACGAATTGTGAAGTTAATGTCGTTGACAGCATGAACTGTTTCCCGCTTGTTTTTGCTAAACCTCGACCAGAGCTTCTGATATAGCCAGCTAGGAGGGTAAGACTTCTGTAGGTGGGTGATACGAGCAGTCTCGTTGTCCGCAGTGTGATGCATATTTCTGGCCTTTGATGCAGTGCCGTACAGAGCTCTTTCGATAACCGCACCAACCAAAGGGTAGACGACGATTTGAATGGCACATAGCACAAAGAATACGGTGCCAGACACTCTCCATGGTGCCCCTGGCGGTGCCTCTGATAGCACAGCTGCCAAATTATCGCGCTGCCAGTATGCCATGTAGATGATGAACAGGGTGAAGTTCATGGGTGGGAATAGAAGAGCGAGGATGACTATTGGGCCAGTTGAATCGGGTGTCTGCACCTGGACGATGATGGCAAGAACGATGCTGACGATAGTCACAGTGATACCCGAGAGCTGAGCCTTTCTGAAGAGACTAGCAAAAGCGATAGACCATGAACTTAGGGCCAGTCCGGCCAAGATGAAGTAGCCAATCAGAATTCCAGTGTCCGAAGAAGGGTAATTGAGTCTAGTAACAATCGCAGCTGATATAACCCAACCAGGGAAATACAAAATGTCAAATGCAAGATGACTGGAGAGCAGTCGAGCGGCCTGTGGTTGCCACCTGCGCTTGTTAGGCATCATAGCCTCGATGAGCTGAGACATGCCAATCTCACGTTCAGTAGCCATCAGACCAGTCAATTGGTAGCAAATACCAACGAAGCCAATGAAGTAAGCCAGTCCGAGGATACTGATAAGCGTGCCCATGTATAGGCGGGTAATGTTGCGGTCTCGTTCCTCGGGAGTTGCATCCGTATAGGGGTATTGCTGAGGTAGGGGGATAGAGGAGCCATTGCCGGTAGCGATCAAGGCATCCACTGCATGTTGTATGGGAAGAGCGTAAATTTCGGCATCATTATTGCCAGTATTGACGAAGATTCTTTCACCAAGATTTCCGTCTGTCCGGATTGTGTAGTTCCAGACACCGCCATTGCTAGGGGATCCATGAAAGCTGATGGCAGCAAAACAACCGGAGACTCCTCTTACGGAGCTCCTACAAGTTTGTAAAAGTTCGACCTCGCTAGAAAGTGTGACAGCCGTTTTTCCTTGCGTCCGGACAGTATTCGACAATTGGTCAATGATGTCGGTAACTTCGGTAGCAGGCTGACCATTGGTGACAAAAGCTATAGTGGTACGTCCGGCTGTTCCAGCACCGAGAGCTTCTTCGAATGTCCTGAGGGTTGAAGGAGACCCAACACCAAAGTCCGATGGCGGTACGAAGAAATTTTTACAGTATGAAATAATGAAGAAGAATATAATGGGTGCTAGGAAAGCTCTCACGGTCGTGGAGAACCAATGTCTGCCTAGTACGATCAAGAGGTTCTTCTTGGTCAAAGTCCATGTTTGGGCGAAGAAACCCATGATGACGGCGATCGCCCACAAGGGCAGGCGTTGTTTGCGAGGATATTAGTGGCAACGAGAGCCTGTTATAAGATAAAATTAAACAGACATGTATTAAGCAGAATCGAAATGAGGTCAAGAGCGACAGCAATGTATAAAGGACAAGAATGGGAGCCTGGTCATTGAAGACATACAATCACCGAGCCCTTGGGAGGCGATCTCCAAGGTGTTGACAATGTTTGATTGTCAACTTTAGGCACATGCTAAACTATTTCGGGATTAGCCTCCTCGGCGGGCAAATGCCGAGAGGCTTGTCGCATGCACCGGCGTGTGTCGTTTTCTCCACGCCTCCATGTCATCTCGCTTAACACCTATCACTTCACGACAGCAACCACAAAGAGCGAGAATCCATGGAGAATCACAACCAGGGAGGCGCATACCTGCTGGTCGCAGTAACGTACCTGATGAAGTGGTCGCTCTCTCTCCGTAAACGACTGAGCAGTATTTATCCGAGGCTTGCCAAGTCGTTATGTCACTCGGCGTACGTACCTCCTCGTTCCTCGTATAGATCGCGCGCAGAAAGCCAAAACCTTCGTTCCAACGAACTCCTCATGCCGAAATGTTGTCACCCGCGCAGCTGGGAATATCCACAGTACTTTTTGGAACACGAGCTATGTCTGATACGAGAGATCAAATGGTCGCTTTTCACTGATAAGACACTCATAGCCATAAGTACGCATCTTGGATGATCACTGCGTGTCACTAGCGGGAGGATCGAAGTATGCTTTAGCACACGAATTGACAGACGCCACATCGACGTAACTAGCAGGTCCTACAAGATGAGGGATAGGAAATGTTCTGCAATGCGGAAAACAACGATTACACACCAGGAACACGACACTTTCATTCGAGTCAAAGACTCACAGGGTGGTATAGCGTGAAGAAGCAATAACTCCTAAGACGTATGATGACCATAATAATATCTTATAGAGGCTTCTTTCCAACCATCAAATACATTGGGCTAAACAAACCGGCCTTTCCGCCTGCGACCAGAGCATCAGCGCCAGCCGACAGTTCTTTGGCCGTTTCCGCCGTACCAGAAGGTGCCAATCTGACAGTCTCGAGTGTCGTAAGCAGTGTCTCCATTGCGAATCGCCCGAACTTTGTCATGCGAATTGCGCCCAATACATCCCAAGCTCCAGTTGCATAGTTGATGTTACCGCTCAGGGGTGCATACCATGGTCGTGCGTCGCTGCGCTCTGCCAGGTCCTCGTCATGCAGTAGTTCGAAGCCTGCATTCTTGAATGCCCGCTCTGCTTCTTTTCTGGTGACCATGTTGGAGATGCCGTTACCTCTCTCGATGCCATGGCGAATTTTACGATGTTCCGGATTGGCCTCGTCGTAGCGGTCCGTCATGACCCATTCATATATTTCGACTGTTGCTCCTGGTTTGGCGACACGGTACATTTGCGAGTAAACGCCTTCGAGGACTGGCGCGTGGCAGGTGGCCTCGATGGCGTAGACAGCGTCGAAGGTGTTGTCTAGGAAGCTCAGATGCTGCAATTAAGTAAGTATGTTGTCAAATTCGAGATGGCAAGAAGGAAGACACACCATGAAATTGCCTTGAACAAAAGACACCTTTTCCGAGAGACCTCGCTTAGCTGTGAGTGCAGTTGCTCTCTCAATCTGGTACCTGTTGTTGTTTACCCCAACAACTTTGCAGCCAGCGAATGTGGCAATTTCTCTTGCTGGTCCACCGATACCGCAACCCACATCGAGTACTGTGTGGTTTTCTTTGATGTTGATCATATGGGCAAGGTAGTGCTCATGGCGGGCCAACGCCTGTATCAAGGACTCCTTTGGAGCAAAACGGCACAGATGGAACGACTCTCCCCATCCTTCGCAGTACAGATCAGTTGCCAGATCGTAGTAGCTGCGATGTATTAGCATTTGTCCCAGGAGATCTTCCGTACGAATACCCTACTTGTTGACCAAGGACATATATGAATCCTGTCTGGACTTCCGAGCTGCATCGCTGTCCTCGGTCCAGCGTTGAACATACTCGTCAGTGATCAGGCGATGAGCTTCTCCATCTTTGCGCAGCATAGAGATGAAAGCGTTGCGCTCAGTTGCTGATTTTCCGTGCATCAGCTTCGTGAACTCTTGTTCGCTCGTTGGTACTGCTGTGACGGCCATTGTTGATTTCGAAGTGTCGAAGATATGTTGAAGAAGTAAGAGCTGATATGGTTGGAGTGATCATTGTCGAGGCAGCAGATGCTGTTATTTAAACCAATTCTGATAGATCCTACGGCTTCATCTGCTCCAATATCCTTTCACAAGTCATCGTACGACAATGTAGTGTTATCTGATGGCCACGGTACACAGGTCGCTGGCGAAGACATGTTTGGAACAATCAACAGCCTGCATCCGGAGTCCAAGGGATACTCGAAGGTCGTACGATTTCTCTGATGGGAACGTTTCGTGTGTGCCTTTTTGATGCAATGATCATTTCATGCGATGCACGTTTTGTTAATGACGGAGTCCTCATGGTCCCTGACGAGGCTGGAGAAGCTCGCAATAAAGCAGAAGCTCATCCATTTACTGTAGCAGTTCATAGAGAGCAGTTTTGTTGGTGGTAGATCGTATATTTGTTGCCTTCTCGTAGGTTTGGTCTTTTACGCAGGTTGTCCTCTTCTTTGCATTCGATCGCACAGAACATCACGACACCACAAATTACTGCAAGTGAACGTTCCTGATTCGATGGATGTCCAAACCTTTGCATTGAACCTTCAGGCTTCAACTGAAGATGGTTGTTTTGTGTAATGATATGGGCTGAAATGTTGTTGGGAACAAAGTTGTGTGACGTTGGCGATGGGCAATGCAGAGTCCGCGGAAACCGCGGTGTCCGGTGAAACGATGACCATCTGCCGCCCTCATCTGATTGGCTAATGGTTTCGGTTCAATCTTAAGTGCACCCTGACGGCACGATTGAAGAAAGCATATTATTCAGGAGAAGAGATATTTCTGTTCTATACAAAGGCATGAAAAGCCCAAAGTATTTCGTCCCCCGATTTGCTGTTCAGTGATTGGGTTTGTTGCGAGTATTTTAAGATGGAATTGAAGCATCTCATCATTGGCTTGGCAATTGCCTTTCTGAGCTACATCTTCGTCGAATCAAGACGACCAAAGGCAGGCGTCCAAGAACCTCCTGCTCTTCGCACAAGAATTCCATTCATTGGACACATTATTGGAATTGCTATTCATGGACTTCGTTACTTTGGCAAGGCTTGGTAAGTCAACTGAATTCACCCACGAAATACACGCCGCTGACCTCTTTACCAGCGAGGGATCTGATGAGCCCATTGTCACAATTGATTTTCTTGTCTCCAAAGTATACTTGGTCAACAAGTCGAGTGCTGTTGCCCAGGTCCAGCGAAATGCCAAAGTCATAACTTTTGATCCTTTCCTCGACTCTGCGGCAGAGCGTATGGTCAACGTCTCGAAGAGAGGTCTGAAACTGCTCACGGGCAAAGAGAATGGTGGAGGCGACTTGAATCGAAAGGTATGATCTATTCTATTCTTCATTTACTTTCTCGAGAGCTCAAACTGATGAATGAATTGTACAGATCGTCAAAGCTATGCACCCTGCACTTCTAGGTCCAGGTTTAGATGTAGCGAACCGAAACATGGTCAACAACCTCTCCAAGTCTGTTGATGAGCTCGCCTCATTTAGTGGCAAGAGCTTCGACCTTTATGCCTGGGCTAAGCATGCAATTACCATCGCCAGTACCGACGCTGTTTGGGGCCCGAAGAACCCAATCAAGGACCCCGAGAATGAGGCAGCTTTCTGGGACTTCGACTCACACCTACGCCTGCTCGTATTCAACATTTTTCCGTCCATCATAGCCCGCAAAGCCTACCTTGGACGCGAAAAGGTCGTATCCGCATTTGTCAGATACTACAATGAGGGTGGCCAGCATGAAGCCTCGGAACTGGCCCAAGCACGTTGGAGAGTTCAACACGAAGGTGGTGCAGCCACCGAAGATATTGCCCGCATGGAGACCGCAACTGTACTTGGAGTGGTGTCGAACACAACGCCATCTTCCTTCTGGATGCTCTACGATGTATACTCACGTCCTGCTCTGTTGTCCCAGCTTCGTGACGAAGTACGCGAGCACGCGCTTAAGAAAAATGAGTCCGGAGAGATGACCATCGATCTCGCCGCTATGAGAGACAACTGTCCAAACCTCTTGGCTACCTTCCAGGAAGTCCTTCGCACACACTCGAACAGTGCTCCCACCCGTTTCGTTACCGACGACGTTGTGCTGAATGAAAAGTTCTTATTAAAGAAAGGCCGTGTTCTCCTGATGCCTGGAATGAACATGAACTATGAACCTAGCATCTGGGGAGACGACTCGCAGAAATTCGACCCAACACGCTTTAAGAAAGAGACATTGAAGCAACGTCCTACCAGCTTCATGTCGTTCGGCGCATCACCTAGCTTGTGTCCGGGTCGTCACTTTGCAAGCGGAGAGATCCTTGGTATGGCAGCCATGATGATTCTGCGCTATGATATTACTCCAGCAAGCGGAAAATGGACCATGCCAAAATTCTGGAAGGGTGCCATCGCTGCTTCTATGCCGTTCCCTGCAGAGCCTTTCAACGTAACGATAACGCCTAGGGTTGAATTTGCCAACACGACATGGTCATACACGTCGACTGATGGAAAGGGCAAATTCCCGCTCATCACTGGCTAAACAACCTTCATATATACACGCGTACATGACAAGAATGGAAGCCGTTTGTGAAATCAACATCTTGAGTCATCAGACAAACACGCGCGCAGAAGCCCTGATACTTACTCATCGCTAAGCGAGGAAGCTGGAGCAGTCTTTACGACTTTCAAAGCGCCAAACCTGTCTTTATCTCTATCTTCTTATCTCGCAACCAGAAACTCATCGCGTGTCTTGTTTTTGAGAAAACCCTGAAGCAATACCAAAATCACCCACAATTCCAAACCACCAAACACAACACTTGCGAACCGCCAACATACCTTGAACAGTCACAACCATAATGGAGCAGAACATCCTCGGCGAACTTCCACTGGAGCTAATCCTCGAGATAAGCGACCACCTTCCGGCGCACAGTGTCGCGAGTCTTTCCCTGACCTGTCAAGGCTTTTACACCAATGCGGTAATTCACAGGGTTTGGGCTCGCGGCCTCTCACGTCCAGAAGAGGACCCAAGTCGCCTTCCGATCAAATCTCTAGCCATTCTGAGACCAGACGTCAAAAATCATGAAATTTTACTTCTCCTCAAGCTTTTGCAGAAGGACCTACCGAGACTATCGCTCTGTGACTTATGTCAGAAGCTGCACCCCCAGCGCGAGGTTCCCGTGACGATGAATCGCGAGAGTTGTCCATCTTGGACACCATGCTCAAGACATCCCTCAGCCGGGATGTGGCTGCATTATGATGACTGGGACGTACACTTATCTTCCGAACACATACAACAATTCGTCCGAAACTATCATGAAAGCTCGAAATCTCATACTCCCACCTCTGGGATACATATCGACTCGAAATGGGAACTCCATAAATACTCGGACCGTGCTACGTGGATGAGGAAGCTCGAGATCAAGTTTTTAGTTGTTGGAGGTCGCCTGATCTTGCACGTGTGCCAAAGACTGATGGTCATTGAGGATGATATCCAGTCTCTTGGCATCCACTCCATAGGAAGTCTGGCAAGCCGTTCCTTCAAAGTCTGCCAGTGCCCCGTGGATATGAGCGATGCCATTTACGTCGAGTTCATGAAGCAGCGGTGCAGACTTAGTCAAGGTTATCTGCAATGCTGTCACATTTGTTTCACAAGGTTTGCATTCAACATTCATCCACGCACCATGTTATATCCAGCCAGTTCCAGTGAGAGTGCTCGATACGAACACAACTTGGAGCTAAGTCTGGATACGTGGACTATGCTGAGCGTAAACGTCCAGAGCACCTTTGACACCTACGATGAGGTATGGCTGCTGGCTGCTTCTCACTCAAAGACGCTATACACTCCTCAGAGAATGGCCATGGCCTTACAGAATAGCACAAGCGCCAAAGAAGATCCATATGAACGCCTGAGATTTTTTCCGTCGGCTAGCGCGAGCGGACTTCCATCTTGTTTGAACCTCTTGGCCGAACGGGTTGCTATGAAACAAAGAATAGCTCTGGATTTACGAGAGGATGATCGGAGACAGCACGATGCCATTACATGTGGCAAGGGAGTTCTCACGAAGCAGCCAACGACGTGGAGAATCGCTTTGTCTACGCTCAGGCAGATTTTTCACATTTCTTGCTTTCCCCTACGTTGCTTCAGAAACAAGAATATCAGGACGACATTCACCAAAGAGCAAATGGAATGGAAACCTCTCGAGTCCTGGGTGTATCACCACTGGAGACAGGAACCCATAGATGGGCTAAAATTACAATGATCTGAGTTGACATTGTTGTCTGCACTTGTCTATCTTCTACCGAATATGTATTCCCCATTAACTACAGCCATCTTTAAGCGCGAGTGACAGTAAGTGTACTGTATATACAAAAGTCTAATGATCATTTGCATGTCCGTCCTCAGGTATGATGTTGACATCCACAATAGGTAAGCTACTCGATGAACTTGAGGATATCTTCCGTAAGCGTGACTTATTTAGCATCAGAAAATAGAAAGATAAAATACTGTCGCAATGCAAGATGTTTTCCGAAAACCCATCAACCTCCACTGAGAGCTTCTGAATATGATTAGGGGTTTTGCTCTCTCCTTGGACACGCATCGCTCTTGAAAAACTTCGTGCATTGTGACAGCATATTCAGCGGGGTAACCAAACAATCAACAACCAGTTTCAACCACGCCTACGTCTTTCCTATATCGCTCAATGGTCTCACCGCTATTACTAGGCATCGTCTCCTACATCATCGGCTCCTATACCGTTATCTCTCCTATACAGAACGGCTTTGAGCATGCTATCATGATCACACAGATACAGGCGGAGGAACAAGGAGTGCGTATGGCTTGAAGATTTGTCTAATTTGGGTCGTCAATGTATATGGAGTTCTATGCTGTTCGTCATTTGATATGTCCATGCTATGCTTGATGGCCGTTCAATCTCATCGTGGCGCCGCGGCCGCCCATTGTAATCCTTCATCGATCCGTCCATTACTTTCCTGTTCCTCCATCTTGCCTTGGAAACCCGGTGCGGGTAATGTCATACTGCGAGGTACACCACTATCCAAAATGTCTCCTGCTTTTGCAACCAGAGGTCTGAGATACCTTGATTCTTTTCCCCTCATCATCGAAAGTTTGTTGAGCATCAAGTGCAGATATTGGCGGCCGGCGAGTATCGTGTCCGACGTGTCGCCAGAGGATACATGTAATACGTCGGCGAGGCAGCCAGCGATATCTGAGAGCTTTTGTTCCATGCCGATGCCATGTGAGTCTAGAGCCAGAGGATTCGCTCGTTCGGTGATGTTGACTGTGCGTCGTGCGAGTTCGATGGGGTAATCCAGTCTTCCAGTACCAGCTGTCCCTTTGTCGCAGACCAATCCGTTGCTCACACCCATCTGCCAGGCCAAGACGTGTAGCCACTCCCTCGACACACTGATATCTATCCGAGCGGTTTCTGTTATGTCGGAAAGCGAGTGGGCGACAGTATCGAGCGATCGTTGGGTTTCGGCTAGCCAAGGTTCTGAGCACAGAGCTTTCCGGCGCGCGCTGCCCTTCCATATGCTGACAAAGTTGTCGTCGATGGCGGAGAAGAGGTGGGCAAGGTTGACGAAGCCGTGAAGGAGGCGGGGATCTTCATGGTCGAAGGCTAGGGGTAGTTGGATGGTAGGATGTAATCGACAATTCTTACGGCGTTGTATCGAGTATGCTCTGTGAGTTGAGTGTTAGCGACCTAAATTGACCGTGTGCGAAAAGAAGCACAGAAACTTACCTTTCTGTGATGAAGAGTAACCAATACAACCGCCGCCTCCATTGTGCTTCGACAGGGTCGAGCTTTAGCATGGAAACTTCGTCATCCATATCCAGGTTTTCCGCGAATGAGATTGACTCTTGTAAGTAGTGCCATGCCTTCTCGCTATTCTCCTTGTTACCATAGTAGGCAAAGACGAAGAAGCTAGTCATGACCGTGACAGTGGTGGGATTGCCGATGTAGTCAAACTCTCGTCTAACCTTCAGGCATTCTTCAATGAACATCTCAGATGCTGATGCAGGCTTTCCAGGTAGGGGTTCCATCTCAGGCACAGGTGTTGCCGCGTCCAGCTGCACGACTGTCGCCGCGCACAAAGCGCAGAGGAAGGCGTATGTTTCTGGCGCCATGTAGTTCCCTGAGCTATACAGGTAAGGGTCCAGGTATGTTTGCTCGTCAACTACAGGCATGATGAAGTAGAGATGCTCGAAGAAAAGCTGAACGTATGGCAAGAACCGCTGGTTGGGTATCCGTGGAACGGCAGGTTGTGGTTCTGCAGGAGTTGCATAGTAGTGTTGTGGACGAGGAGGTGGTGTTGGCCAGAGATGGCTCATATTTGGGTTGATCGGGAGCACTCTGGGCTCTGTCTGAGGCGCTATCGCCAGACTTTGAGGTTCTGGGGGCCCGTAATAACCGTACCCTGTCGTGAGTGGTTCGGCAGGTGTGCTTGTCGACATTTGTCCATCGATGGAACTGCTCGTAGGCATATTGATTGGCGACGACGAGGAGCTCCCATACCATTGGTTGAAGCCATCATGCAGTGCAGCCGGACTCAAAGGGCCATGGGGCGTGAGGGTTGCAGATTGATCGATCTTTCTCAGCGCATGCAGCACTCTGGCACTTCTGAGACCTTTCGGCCCCTTCTTCTTTGGCGCTTGGAGGTAGGCGCATCGAATGGTGGCCTTCCGGCAGGGTCCACAAGGGCTCTCTCCATCGCATCGTACTTTGCGTTTTCTGCAGCAATCGCAGGCTCGCTTGAGTGATTTCTGAGTGCTTCCAGAGGCAGATTCTCCCGAGTCATTTTCAGCTGGTGTAGCCATACACATGATCGACTGCGGGAGATGGCGTAGTGAAACGGTGTTCCGTGGGTCGGATGTGTCGGTAAGCAGTAAGTGCTATTTTGCACGAGATTTTGATCGGACTGGACGCCAAAAACAAGATCTGAGCATGAGGGATCTGCGGTAAATAACAAGCTCCAAGTGCAGTAGCACCCGGATGTTCAAGTAGGAATGGTGAAACGAAACATGCGAGCCCTTGGACCAGGGCTTCGAAGGATGACATGCAGTTGAAATGCGGGGAAGCGGTTTGCAAAAAGATGGCCAAGCCGCCGAGTCAGGCCGAATCTACCTGCGGCCTTGCCGCTGATCGGGATCCCCCCCAGGCAGATGGCCCCAACCAGGCATCCCCAACCGGAGAAGGGACTGTCGGCACGACATCCGTCTAGTATTTCGATGAGCCCGTGCCGTATTGGCTGTCAAACTGTCAAAGCGATGCCTCCATGTAGATGGTCGTTGAGCTGCGAAACAATCGTGCCTCTCAGCAAGCCGCAAACTATGAGTTTCGATGAGTAATGCCTCGCTACTCCGATCGGTCCGGGAGCATGAGGCCATGGTTGAGCAGTCATCAACTCGTCACATAGGGTCTGTTTGTGAACAACTCCTTCCGCGCCGTAGCTGTTGCGCTTGTAGCTGTATAGACGCACAATGATTTTGGGTAACAGAACCGCGTCCAGTGAGGATTGCCAAAGGAAAGTCGCCCTCAGTGGATACTTTCCGAGTCGCCAAAATGGTCGTGCCCTTTTATAGCCTTACAAGGTCCCTTGGCTAGGGCGAGGACGCGAGATGTGGACTACCCCATGGGTCTTCTACCATATGCAGTCACTAAACCCGACACTTGTGGCTTCGACGCAGGGCGTTGAGCGCCTACTTTCAATGTAGCGCACAGTCCTCTATAATGCACGCGACTTGATTGTAGACAGCTCCTGATCGATCATGAGACTCCAGGTCACTGCTGCCAGTGTATCACGACCATTTCTAGCGAATTCTGGCTGTACGAACGCAACCATCGCACTCTTACTTGAAGCGCCTCTCTGGAGGATAATGCCTTTTTGACGCTCGATTCGCAGCGACATTCGTTGCTGGAGCAGAGGCACGACTCAAGTGTGAAAGTTGTGCTGAAGATTTGGGTCTTCATTCTTGACAATGTCGACGGCAGCGCTGCTCGCAACAAAATCCTCGAGCTCTTCGCTCACAGTCTTGAGCTTCTCCTTGACTGTAGCAGTGCCCTCAAGACCAACAATGTGTCTGGCAGGCGGGTTGTCATGGCCTCCGATCGCAGCAACAGCATGAACAGTTTCGGCGACCAGTGACTCTTTCATACCTTTCGTCAAAGGAGCGTAGATGGTATTGATGGTGTCAGACTGAAGCTGATCACCAGTTGTTGGTTCATCGGAGCCTTCGAGGCGGTCGAGCATGCCGGCTAGGATGTCGCGGAACAGTGGAGCAGGGTTGTGGTCGGCGGCATAGGCGGACATGGGAGGAGCAGCGGTGATGCGGTTGGTCAGGACAGCGATTTCCATATTGGGTTGTATGATGGTCATCTTGATGTTGAAAGGCGCGACTTCGTAAGCCAAGCTGTCGCAATAGCCTTCGATGGCCCATTGACTGGCGCAGTAGACCGACATGCCTGGCGTGCCCATGTGACCTGACAGGTTGGACAGCATAACGATGTGGCCGTTTCTCTTTGTGCGAAAGGTGGGCAGGATAGACTTGATGACATTGACAGGGCCAAAGAAGTTTGTTTCGAACTGGTCGCGAATCAGCGAGTGGGTGCGCGTCGTCTGCGACAGCTCCTCGACGGTGCCGACCAGAGTCTCCGAGGTACAGCAGAACAGGATGTCGATGCGCCCAAAGCTGTGTACGGCCTCTGCGATAGCGCTCTGGCACTGGCCCATGATGCGCACATCCACGCCGACAACCCTCAATCGTCCCGACCACGTCTCCTGCTCTTTGACTTCTTCCAGGAACTCGCGGAAATGTTGCGACTGTTCGCCATTCTTCTCGAACTCTAGCGGAGGTACGCCGGCTACGATGTAGTCTCCATGGTCCAAGAGATGGCGCGCTAACGAGATGCCGACAGGGGAATTGGCGCTGGTCAGAAACCACACTCGCGGAGAGTTGTGCGTCGGGAACTTTGGCTGTCGTGGCGGTTTAGGATCGACCGCTACACTTGTGGTCATCGCTCCATTGATATCTCTCGTGAGAGTTGGCTTGAAGATGGAAGGTCGACAGGTCTTGAAGCTTGGAAGGGCCAGGGTGCCCGATTCTCGACCATGGCCTTGGCGCTCTTCCACGAACATCTTCTACGTCTGGACCACAACCACTCGTCTTGGATTGACCAAGACACTCTTATCTTCGTAATCAACTATGCCCTTTTGGCAGACATTTTTCCTCTCTTCTCTCACAACCCTCAGGACACTCTCCTCTCATGAACTGCCACTCAAACCATTTGTCCATCTCGTGTCCAAGCACATCTCCAATCACCTCTGTCTTCCTGCCCAGTCTTCCAGCCCTTTCGAACACTTCTTGACTGCCAATCTCAATCTGAGACCATCCCAAGTCAATCAACTTTTCGATGCTTGTTCCGTACACAACCTCTTTCATTCCCGCCCAGGCGATTGCACCAGCACACATTGGGCACGGCTGTTCTCGTATCAGTAGAGGCTCCATTAGACACAACTACGGGATACCCACCTCAGCGGTAGTATAAAGAGAGAAGCTCCTCCACGCTTCTTTTGTCTCAGATGCAGAGAGCTTGTACAACCCTTCAGGATCAGTGAGAATGGAAGTACAATTCCCAATCCTCACCATCTCTCCATGCAAGGTAGGGTTGCCAGAGTGACCATTGTCATTCACACCCATACATATCAGTTCTCCAAGATGAGTAGGATCTGACAAAGACAATGTATGGTTGACGATAGCTGTGCCAAAGGGTGCAAATGGACAAGGTGAGATTGCATGGTTTGCCGAACTCGCTATTCTCATCCAATGCTCCCTCGTCGAAAGTGGAAGGTCGTTTGAGCTTGAATCTTGTACTTCTGAGCTTTGAATAGGCATTTGGTTGAAGAGAAGAGAGTGATGAGCTGCATGCTGTCGGCTAGCCGCTGAGTTGGCTAAGAAAAATGTACAGAGTATCAACTGTGAGAATCGCATCGTGTTTCGTGGTGGATGGAATAGGACAGAGGAATGAATGTGTTTCATCTGGTAGATGCATTCAAGTGTTACACGCCGACGTCATGCAGGAATCTTGCATATGCCATGTCACAGTCAACAACTTCAATTCGTGCAAACAATGTGTTTCGTTCTTTCGAATTGTTGCATTTTGTCTGCCGTAAGGACATCAAGATTACTTCAAATGACAAAAGCTCAGATGATCACCAGTGTATGAACCAAGAGGAAGGTGGAGAGCAGAAATGAACAAAAAAAGAAATAAGGGCAGAAACATGAGCTACTTCTAAACTACAATCTGCATGCAAATGCCCTGCTAGTTCTGCTTTCTTGACACATATCATGCCCAAAACCCTTTGCTGGTTGCTGTTTTCGTTTCACTGTGCTACAAACGTAACCGTCCGAAGACGGAAGCACAAGCGCCGATACACGTCGACCCAAGCGCGCCGAAGAAGTTGAAGAGTGCGCTGTCGACCAAAGTCAGTGGTTGACTTGAGTACTGTTGTATTCCATCTTTTACACACCTTAGAAGCACTTGCGGTGGACGATCGAGGGACCGCTCTCGTCGTACTCTTGCTTTGAGATCCACATCTGCTGGAAGGTGGAGAGGGAGGCGAGAATGGAACCACCGATCCAGACGGAGTACTTGCGCTCTGGGGGAGCAATGATCTTGACCTTCATGGATGAGGGAGCAAGAGCAGTGATTTCCTTCTGCATACGGTCGGAGATACCGGGGTACATGGTGGTGCCACCAGACTAGGCCTTTGTTAGCTTTTGCCTCTGTTTCGCTGAAGTCATACAAAACTTACCATGACGATGTTGCCGTACAGATCCTTTCTGACGTCGACGTCGCACTTCATGATGGAGTTGAAGGTGGTGACGTGGATACCACCAGATTCGAGACCGAGAACGGAAGGCTGGAAGAGAGCCTCGGGGGCACGGAAACGCTCGTTACCGATGGTGATGACCTGACCGTCGGGAAGCTCGTAGGACTTCTCAAGGGAAGAGCTCTGGCTGGCGGTCTGGATCTCCTGCTCGAAGTCGAGAGCGACGTAGCAGAGCTTCTCCTTGATGTCACGAACGATTTCGCGCTCGGCGGTGGTGGAGAAAGTGTAACCACGCTCAGCAAGGATCTTCATGAGGTAGTCGGTCAAGTCACGACCGGCCATGTCGACACGCGAGATGGCGTGGGGAAGGGCGAAACCTTCGTAGATGGGGACAACGTGAGTGACACCGTCACCCGAGTCGAGGACGATACCGGTGGTACGACCGGAAGCGTACAGCGACAGGACGGCCTGGATGGAGACGTAGAAGGCGGGGGCGTTGAAGGTCTCGAAGACGATCTGGGTCATCTTCTCACGGTTGGACTTGGGGTTGATGGGGGCCTCGGTGAGCAGGACGGGGTGCTCCTCGGGGGCAACACGGAGCTCGTTGTAGAAGGTGTGGTGCCAGATCTTCTCCATGTCGTCCCAGTTGGTAACGACACCGTGCTCAATGGGGTATCTCAGGGTGAGGATACCACGCTTGGACTGTGCCTCATCACCAACGTATGAATCCTTCTGGCCCATACCAATCATGATACTGCGTCATTGTCAATTCGAGTTCGAGAAATAGCTTGAAACAGGGCACCGTACCCATGGTGGCGAGGTCTTCCGACAATTGAGGCTGCAGCGCGTTAGATGGTGTAAAAGGGACGAGTTTTGGAAGCTCTAATGGGGGACTTACGGAAGACGGCTCTGGGTGCGTCGTCACCGGCGAAACCGGCCTTGCACATACCCGAACTGTGGCCAATGTGTTAGCTGTGGCTGTCCTGGAGCTTGCGGTGTTCGCGCCATTGAGCTGAAGGCAGATGTAGGATCGCGTCGACGGCGGAGTGTACGCGCATGACGTGGTCCTCCAGCTGGCGACGGCGGAAGGCACGGACGGCGACGATTCTTACCCATTGTCGATGACGAGAGCTGCGACCTCCTCTGTAGACACGCAAAGTGGTCAGCGGATGCTCGATAGAGGCAAGACGGCGAGGGTGGCGATGGGCAGCGGGAGGTGTTGGGAAGTGAGGGGGTGCGCCGACAGCAGCACTTGTGCAGCAGGACAGCAAGACTCACCTTCCATTGCGGCGGTGTTGTTAGTGGATGTGAGTTAGAAAAGAGGATTGAGAGCGAGCTGCAGCGTAAATTTGAGCTGCTGGAGATGGGACACGCGCGGTGGGGTTAATGGAGGTGATGAAGGGGGAAAGTTGGAACACTTGTCGTCCAACCGGGCGGTGTGTGAGGTCCAATTCCTTGGCCTGTGCAGGATGCTAGCCAGCCTTTCCCGATTGGTCAGAATTGTCAATGTCTAAGCCTCCGGTTATCAACAGCCAGAGCCCCGTTGCGTGTGCTTGACGAGTCGTCCTGTTGTTTCCGCAAATGATTGTCTACTTGCAATCCTGCCTCTGCTCTCGCTCCTGCCTATATACCTCTTGCCAAATACGGCTGCCTTGACTGTGTTGTGCAGGACGCGTGGCACAGGACCGAGACTCTGAGTAAGCTCTCGAATACATCATCCACAGCCATCATGCCAAGCGCGAGCGATGCTGCATGGCGGGCAGACGTTGTGCCCTCTCCCGAGTCTCTTTCTTCAATCCTCAACTTCCTTCGTGTCTGAACGCGTCGAGCCAGATGAATGACCACAGTCCCAGCCTCGATTGTCGAACGGTGTCCCCATCAGCAATCGCTCTGCCAGCCCTTTGGGACCATCTCGGCGCTTGAAGGATTGTTGAACGCGGAGTGGGGTTCTGCCAGTCTGCCACTTTCCCAGGGCCCCTTTCGATACGACGCTCCGTATTCCATCTAGCACAATCTCGCGGCCTGCTTCAATATGGGAAATGCTCCCATTTCGACTCTCTGATTTGGCTTGGACTCTATCAAACGCCTCCTTGTCATTGATCGTGACTTTCTGGACATGCAGAAAAAAGAAAACAAATCGCTTCCCCACTACGATAAAGAGCTTCGCGGAGCCTCTTGCCGGTGCCGGCAACGTTCAAGCGCCGATGATCACGGGCTGGAGTTGCGATCCGCCCAAACGGTTTCCAGCAATACCATGGCTAGACAACCAACGAAATCCCAGCCATCAATCTGAGCGTGTGATGTCCAAAGACGATGTTCTGTTGAATAATCATGGAGAATCCGGCCGAACATCATCAAGGTAGGTTGCGCCAAAGACGTAGACGTGCCACTTCTTATCTATTGGATTTGACGACGGCCAACGCGAACTTAATGGGGAATCGAGAAGACAGATATGTCACCTCACAGTAGCCCAGCGCGTGGTGGCCAAGTGTAGGCCCTTGGTCGGTACAGCATCCGTCCAGTGTGTTGCGTGCATCGTCAGATCTCGGCAACATGTTCACTACCACAGAGCAGCATTCAACGGACGACCGAGCTACAAAGGCTGTGACCAAGATACACATAGCGATCAGGACATTGTCGACTACGGACCAGGACCAGGACCATTCTGAGTCCAGCAAGAAATATATCGGCATTTCGATCGTGACTGGAGAGCAGACGATCACAACCAAGAGCACCGCCCGTGACTTGGATGCAAAAGCTTATCGCCTCGCCATAGTCCCTATACGCTGCGATATGTCAGGTCGTCCTAACGCGCGGGCTTGAAAGACAGAAGGACGTTCCAAAACTCATGAAAATTGTCTTCTTGCCTCGTTGCTCGACAAACACCAACCTGCCTGGACTGGATCTCATTGCAAATCGTCTCGGGCGTTGGCTGTGTGGTTTGAAATTGCTGTTTGCCAACACTTATTCAACTACGCCTCATGTTCATGTTGTAGTCCTTGAGAGTTCTCTTCCTAGACGCAGACACTTTGGACTGCGTACATCGCTCGACAAAAACGAAACTTCTGCCTGGCACCTGCCGGAGAAGCTCGTGACTTGCAGCTAACAAACAACTCACTCATCCAAGCTCCACTCTTACTCATCATCTCCATCCAAACCCATGCGCCTTGAGCAACCTTTATAATTGAAAAGATTCAGTTCCTTTCCAACAAGCAAATAGCCGTGGTGGTGTAGTGGTATCACACCCGAGGTCTTAACACGTGCGCAGTCATTCGTTGTTACTCAACGCCGTGTCAGTCTAGATCCGAGGAGGTCGCGGGTTCGATTCCTGCCCATGGTGCTTATTCTTTTTCTTTTGGTCCACCTCATTATATCAAGTGGTTACTTCCTATATTTTTCATGCAAGGTATTTCTTTCTGCCCTTCCCAGCGCAGTCCTGCCATTTGAGATCGTAATCGCGTTTTGCTCGAATCCCTTCCAACTTGTCCAATGGTTCCGAGCTTGAGTTTCGAATGGTAAGTTATTGTGTGAAAGGCCTCGACTTTCTGGTCCCTTACTTGTTACTCGCAAACCTCTCTTCCTCTCAAAGCCATCAACGGTCTCTACTTCATGCGACCAGCCTCCGATAATCAAGACTTCTACTGATCACGGTTCAAGTGCGTGTACTGTCCGGGAATGTAGACGTATATTTCGCAGCTACATACAACTTGGAGCTATGTCGGAAAGTGGTATAGTCGTTGATAGCAGGTTTACAAACACAAATGAAGACAATCTGTCTCTTGAGGTGGATGCTTTTGAAGATGCACACGAAAGGACTCTTGACCATGCCTGCCTATCTAGTTGACATCTTGTGAATTTTCCAAGTATTGTTCCACTTCAAAACCTGGCGCTGCTCATGGATCAAGCTAGATGGACCAACGGTTCAGTCGCTAGAGTGATAAGAGTCATTATACCTTAACGCTACAAGTCATACTGATATACATATAGGCGACTGTGAGGACCAACAGGATTATCTGTCCAAGAAAAGGGGGTGACCCTGATCATGAGTGACAAAAAAAAGAAGAACAAAAAGCAAAAAGGGCATCGAAGCATCTCGAAGCACCCACCACCTTCGTGGCGCGCCTCGGCCTCTTGAGCAAAACTGCTGCGTCACCACAAAATTAATTCCCTGCCCGCCAAAAACAACAGAAACATTTTGTGCATCAATCACAAACCAATACCTTGTCGCACGACTCGAAGATATACACACTCGAACTTCAACTCTACATCAATTGAACATCGTCGCCGAAAGACACACATATACACCACAGACCACACCTTCAGAAACACCACCACAATGAACGACCCAGGACTCAACACGCTCCTCAAATGGTCCATCGAGAACAGCGCCGTCTCAGAAACCGCCGAGCCCACTCAACCACGCACACAACTGAACCCGGAACTGCTCGCACAACTAATGGGCGGCCCCTCTGATGCCGACCGCATGATTTCCTCCATGCAAGCCATCCACGACCCCAGCGTCGACCACGAAAACAAAGGCATCGCTTGGGACAACTTTGAGCAATTGGTGGAGAACTTGGACAATGCGAACAACATGGAGGCGCTGAAGTTGTGGACGCCGTTGGTGGAGAAGTTGGAGTCGGAGGACACGCAGGATAGGGAGATGGCTTGTTGGTGTTTGGGGACTGCTGTGCAGAACAACATCAAGTGTCAGGAACGTGTGAGTACAAACCCTGCTCTCTCTTTGCTCTTTTGGACATTATACTGATCAAGATAAAAACAGGCACTAGCAGTCGGCGCAATCCCCAAGGTCGCAAAACTTTGCTCAGATCCCGACGCCGGTGTGCGTAAGAAGGCTATCCGTGTCATCAGCTCCGAAGTCAGAAACTACCAGCCTGCGCTGGACGAGGCTGTCAAGTACCTGCCCGAGGAGATTGTCGGCGATGGCAAGTTCGACGCAGAGGACATGGCAAGCGTGGACATTGTCGTCAACGGATTGAGGGAGAGAAGTGCAAAGATGGCTTAGACGGATGAGATGATATCAGTTGGGTCATGGATACACAAGACATACAACACGCATGACACAAGGCATGACAAGGCGTTTCTGGGAAGGCCAGATTGATGCGAGACTCGACCAAGGTCTTGATAATGGGTATACGAGTAGAATCAGCCATAGAGGCTGTCATTGAATGCACGATCTTTTGCTTTGCACTCCCTTCCCTTCTTCCTCACGTCGTTTCCTTCGTGGCATCATGCTCTGTTCCTTGCAACTGTGAATGCAGACCGTGGGGCTGGAAACGAAAGTACAATCTGGTTGTGCTGTACTGTCCTTTCGGCCCTATTTCTTTGCTCATCGTATGGTTCCACTCTGTTGTTCGACGCAAGCTCTTGTGCGCAGCTGCTGGTGCTAGTCTGCGACAGTGTGTCCCAGAGAGGTCCTTCTCAGCATCTCTTGCAGCGTCTTTCGGAAGTCAAGTAGATCATACAGCGATAAAGCACCATCGGTGTAGTTCTCTCCAAGCACTTTGGTTCCTTCAAAGACACTCTAAGCACAAGCCAATCAACTCATCGAAAGCTTCTCTTCCCTGATCAGCCTTCTCCAAACCCAGACCCAGCACAACCATCCTCTGCTCTTCCGGGTTCCTCATCAACAGCGCAGTCGCGAGTGTCGTCGCCAAAGTCTGTCCCAGTACCTCAAACTCTCCTCTTGTGCCTCCCAATACTGTTGTGGCAGTCAAGTGCGCAAACGGAAGCAGAGAAGCATCGACGTCTGTCTCGGAGGATGGGTTCAGGAATCCATTATCGAGAGGGCGGCCGCCGGACAGAGGAACATGAAGCCAGTGGTTCAAGCGGCCGGATTGTGAAATTGTGAGGACGAGCTTGTCTGAGAAGTTCAGGGCGGTTACTTGGGTTGGCACGCCGGCGATGGTGTTGCTGACGGTTTTGCTCGGTGCGGGGAAAGTCGAGAAGGTGAGGTTTGCCGGTGGTGCCATGGTGGCTGTGGGCTGTGATTGTGTCTGCATGATAATTGTACAGAGAGATGAAGACTTGAATGTGATGCAGCTGTCTACTCGTATCCGTCTTCCAACAGCGAAACATGAAGCAAAGCACAGGTCGGTTTGACGCTAGACCCCGCAGCGTACACGGGCCGAGCCGCCTGCATGCCTGGAGCTTAAATCAGAAAAGTTGCAATCGCCATGTCCGACATTTCGTGAGCGAGTCCATCTTTCCCTCCCTCCTTCATACCTCTCGGCGCAAACGACAATCATGCCGCCCAAATTCGTGCCCCGCGATCGCAAAAAGGGCAGAATCGCAAAAGCAAAAGCAAAGAACTCGCACTCCCACGATGAAGTCGCCGACGCGAACGCCGCCGAAATCCTCCCTCCTACTCCCTCGGAAAAAGAAGCACGCAAAGCACAATTACAAGCGGAGATCCGCGCGCAAAACAGCACTTCTGTAATCAGCGGCAAGAAAAAGAAGAGATTGGACAAGTACATCGACAACAAGCTCAAGAAAGAGGAGAACTTGGCCTTGATCAAGAAACTCGCGGCGCAAAAGGTCGATACGAGTTTGTTGCTCAGTTCGAAGAAACTTGGAAGAGGTGGAGAATCTGCGAGGGAGAGACTGGAGAGGGCTTTGGCCGAGAAAGAGCAGGGTATTAATGTTGCGGCGAATGATGCCATTTTGTTCGAGAAGAGGAAGAGACCGGCGCTTGAGCTTGAAAGCGAGTCTGAAGATGACCAGATTTCAACACCGCAAACAAAGGCATCGAAGTCTGCTGCTGCGAAGGCGTCGACCTCCGCTTCCGCTCCTGCACCCGCGCCGGCAGCAGGTAAGGGTGGACTGTTTGCTGCTGGACAGGGCTTGTTCGGCAGTGGTTTGAAGAGGCCGCTCGAGACAGACGAGGAGGGAAAGCCAGTCATCAAGAGCAGGAAACGTACAAAGGTTATCAACAAGTCTGCTCCGGTAGTCGCCCAAGAGCCCGAGTGGACTGGCTTCTCCGGGGACGAGGACGAAGAGGATGATGATGATGAAGAGGACAATGAAGAGAGCTCAGAGGAGGACATCGAGGACGGCGAGGAAGATTCAGACGAGGAAGATGAGGAAGACGACGACGAGGATGAAGAGGAATCAGACGAAGATTCAGAAGAAGAGTCGGATTCGGATGAAGACATGGAAGATGCAGAGGCCGTGAAGGAAGCCAAAAAGGCTCGCTCATCCGCCTTCAAGATGTGGGCGACCGAGCAACGGAACAATGCGATAGGTTTCGTCCCGTCGAGCAACCTCGAAGCCGTAAATTCGACGGACGTCAAACAACCCACAAATTTCGTCCCCCGCGCTCCTTCACCAGAAAATCTCCCTCCCGAACTCGCCATTTCCGCCACTACCGCCTCGGACAATCGTCCAGCAGTCAGTCTCGTCATCCCTCGTACACCTGAGATCCAAGAAGCAAGATTGAAGCTGCCAGTCGTGCAAGAAGAGCAGAAGATCATGGAAGCCGTCCACAATAACAACGTTCTCGTCGTCTGGGGTGCCACTGGTTCCGGTAAAACAACTCAAGTACCCCAGATGATGTTTGAAAGTGGTTACGGCAGCAAGATTGGTCAAGCGGAAGGGGAAGGCAAGGCCAAGGGCATGATTGGTGTCACCCAACCTCGTCGTGTTGCTGCTGTCAGTGTGTCTGAGCGTGTAGGCACTGAATTGTGCGGCATGAAGGATCGCGTTGGCTACCAGATTCGTTTCGATACGACCGTCTCGAAAGACACTGCTATCAAGTTTATGACTGATGGTATTCTTCTGAGAGAGATTGCCAACGATTTCATCTTGTCCAGGTACTCTGCAATTGTCATCGATGAAGCTCACGAACGCTCAGTCAACACTGATATTCTGATCGGTATGATGAGCAGAATTGTCGATCTTCGTGCTCAGATGGCAAAGGAGGAGCCTGAAAAGTACTATCCTCTGAAGCTCGTGATTATGAGTGCCACTCTCCGCATCACCGATTTCACAGAGAACACTCGCCTGTTCAGAAATGGTCCTCCTCCGATCGTGAAGGCAGAGGGAAGACAATACCCTGTTACTGATCACTTTTCCCGCAAGACGACACACGACTACGTTGAAGACATGTTCGGCAAGATCACCAGAGGTCACAAGAAGCTTCCTCCTGGTGGCATGCTCTGTTTCCTTACTGGTCAACAAGAGATTATCCAGCTCGCCAAGAAGTTGCGTACAGCTTTCCCTGCCGATACTGGTAGCCAAGCCAAGCAACCTAGGGTGCATGTCTCTGCTGCGGATGCGCCTCTGGAGATTGATGACATGGATGCAGACGCTCAACCTGCATCTAGAAGGGACGAGGATGATGATTCAGATGACTCAGACATTGAGATCAGAGGCCTAGATGAAGAAGAAGACGACAAGGAGTTCGAAATCGAGGGCGAGGAGCAACCTGTTGAATCTCTCAGAGTCCATGTCCTGCCTCTTTACTCGCAACTGCCTACCAAGCAACAACTGAAGGTCTTCGAACAACCACCGGAAGGTTCGAGACTGATTGTTCTCGCCACCAACGTTGCCGAAACGTCTCTCACAATTCCCGGCGTTCGCTACGTGTTCGATTGTGGTCGCTCAAAGGAGAAGAAATACGAGGCTTCAACTGGTGTCCAGACATTCGAGATTGACTTCATCAGCAAAGCTAGTGCAGCACAAAGAGCCGGTCGTGCTGGTCGTACTGGCCCAGGTCACTGCTACCGCCTCTACTCATCTGCTGTCTACGAGCGCGATTTCGAAGAGTATGCCATACCTGAGATCCTGCGCTCGCCTATCGAAGGTGTCGTGCTATCCCTCAAGAGCATGGACATCCAAACGATAGTCAACTTCCCCTTCCCTACACCGCCCGACCGAAAAGCATTGGCAAAGGCCGAGAAACTCCTCACCTTCCTCGGCGCCATCGATGCGCATGGTAAAATCACAGAGACAGGAAAGGAGTTGTCTGCATACCCGCTCTCACCGAGATACGCAAGGATGTTGCTACTGGGTAGACGTTACAATCTATCTGCTCACACAATAGCTCTGGTAGCGGCCCTAGCAGTTCCTGAACTCTTCATTCCCCAAACACAATACAACCTCGAAAACGCACCCGATGAAGCAGAGTCAGATGACGAGAACGACACCGCCAGAGAACGTTTTGCAAAACGCCAGATTCGCTCAGAAGCCGACAACATTGCCGCCTCGGCAGCAGAAGTCAAGCGAAGAGCATATGGCAAAGCACACGCTACACTATCACGTTGGGACGATCGCAGTGATGCATTGAAGTTGCTGACAGCAATGGCCGCCTACTCTGCTTCCTCGTCACCGGCATCTTTCTGTTCCGACTACTTCCTCCGTGAAAAGGCCATGAAAGAAGCCGGGCAGTTGAAGCAACAACTCACAGCCATCGTCCGCAGTCACTCCCGCACAGGCACCGAAGACCCAACACTCAATCAAAAGACCCTCCCACCACCCACAGACAAGCAAAGAGCCATCCTCAAACAATTCGTCGCAGCCGGTTTCATCGACCAAGTCGCCGTCCGCGCCGACATAATCGGTATCGCCCTCTCCCGCAACCCGCGCCGCGCAATCGAAGTACCGTATCGAACCCTCTTCGCCTCCAGCACAGGCGACGTCGCAGGCACAGACCCAGAAGCCAGAGCTGCGGCAAAATTATCCTATGTTCACCCGTCCTCTGTGTTGGCCAGGTTGACCGTACCGGAGATGCCGGATTATATCATCTACTCCCATCTCTCGCGTCAAGCGCCGTCGCCGCCATTCACCGATCTCCCCAAAACAAGACTTCACCCCTTGACCACCGTTACCGCCAAGCAACTCGCCAATCTTGCCGAGGGCACGCCATTACTAGAGGTCGGCAAACCTGTGGGCAAAATTGAACAATTGCCTAGAGGTGCAGACGGTAGAGAGAGAAGGGAAGTCTGGGTCGGACTCAGTCTGAGAGGTGAAAAGGAAGGAACGCCTTGGCCTGTCGGTGCTAGAAAGGTCGTGCAGAAGAGAGTGGGAGGTGCTTGGGAGATTGAGAAGGTGGTTGGTTAGTCGCCCGCAATGCATGTATATAGATGAAGCGTATTTTGAAGCGTAGATTTGAGCTCTCGATGTAAAAATTGAGGAATTATGAATAGCATTGTGCGGTTCTACAGTTTTTTTCCCCGGGTTTAGATGGCCGTGTGAGACGGGTGTTCTGTAGGTCATTGGTTGTTTACTTTTACACGAGCTCGATCGTCTTTCTCAATTCATTGTTACCTCTTCATCGCCGTGTCAGTGTTTGCTGGAAGCTTTAAGATACATGTAGAACGTCGAGCGCTTCTGTACCCTTCAGAGGTTTATAGCGACATGCGTATTGACCGAATCTCTTGCACGCAATACTGCGTGGGTTGAAATCATGCAAAAAGTCACAAAACACTGCACATGGGATAACAGGAAGGAAGGTCACGTTTGTGACCTGAATCGCTACTCCCCACTTTCACCCTTACTCCTGCCTCCACGTATGATCTTCGAGGTCTGGTCATGCACTCTTCCCCGTCCTCATCATCATATCCACCCACCCTGATAAACTCATCATTTATCCTAGACCCCCTGGTATTTTCATTTGCACCTTTCATTTCCATGTTTGTTGTACCATATTTTCGGAAGGTTGCATTGTTTTTTTTGGTGTTGTCGACATCCCAACCTGTAGGATATCGAGAGCATCTACATATCTAGAGCTAATTATTACTATTTCTTCTCAACACCGTCCGAGCCAAAAAAAGAAACTCTTCGGAATTCCTCTATGCCTCGAAGATTCTCTCGACCCAACGCTTCACAGCTCCCTTCCAGAGCGCAGGTCCAGGGATGGTGTAGCTCTTCAATACAGGCCAGTAGATGGAGATGGCGATGCTCTTGCTGGTGGCCGAGTACAACTTGGTCGCTTTGACACCAGCGGGCTTGGCAGTACCCTTTCCACTGATCTGGAAGTTGATGCAGTTGGGGTAGTTCTGAGCACCGTTGGCTTGGTCGGCTGAGTGGAGGGCAATGATCTCGTGGCGGAGGACGTAAGAGCCTGCAATCAGAGAAGAAGGTATTGTGACAGTCCAGGAGTTGTTGTTTGCGATGAGGGTATCAGAGGCCCATGTGCTACGATTGTTGTTAGTATAAAGATACATTGGTAAAGAGGAAGAGAGCAAACATACCCAGGAGCAGGGTTGCCATTGATCAGACCTGCTTGGTCAATCTTGAACCAGTCAAGAGTGGTAGGGTTGACAATCGAGCAATCGCCAGGGCACTTGGCCAGATAGCTGATAACAGGACCTTTGTGGCTTTGAGGCCAGTCGGACCAGAGAAGCTTGACCTTGTCGCCAGCCTTCACGGGGATACGAGTGTTGGTGCTTTTAGCACTCTTGTGGCAAGCAATGTCTGCAGTTCCATATTCAGAAGGAGAGATGAAGCCAAGATCTTGATTCAGAGATGACCATCCGGCAGATTTGGCATGGGTGATTTGAGGGTTGACGCGCCACCAGGGTTGAGCGCCAGGGTACCATTTTCCATTTGTGACGATGCCTTGAACGAAGCCGTGGGCAGTCACAGTGGTAGTGAAAGTGATGAAGGTCAAAAGACCGGAGAGGATTGCCAAAGTATAGTACATGACTGTTTTCTTTCCGCAAAATTGATATCAATAAATGGATGTTGGTTGACTCAAGGAGTCTAAAAGAATGACTAGTAGTCGAAGCGACCACAAAAAGAGTGTATAAAGAATTAAAGGACAAGCAAGAGGCTTGAAGAGAAAGCTGGAAGGTTTTTGGCAGGTTGCATCTCCCCTACATATACCTTCTTTTCTCCTGCTTCTTCTTCAGAAGCTAAGTGAGCCTACCGCAAGGGCAAGGCAACGAACAACGTGGAAAACGTACGCCCATGCCGCGACCTCCAACGTCTGTCGAACCGAGACCATCGGTGTTGCTGTCCGAGGAGTTTGTTAGGTTGAAAGGAAAGTAAGGAGACAGACATGTGCAGCGCCGTTAGGGAGTCTGTCGCCATGCAGAAATGCGACAAAAGACCTGGACCTTCTACCATGCTATAGATTTCGATAGCGGGCTGCTAGAACTGGATCATTGTTTCATGTAGAATAGGCATCAATCTTGTAGATCATTCAAGGATGAAAACGTTGTAAGAACGATGAGGTTTCCCTGTTGGTTGCTGTTGTTTCCTTGCCGTCGCGGGGCGTTGAACAGTTGAATAGGTGAAGTGGGCGGGTGTGGCAAGGGCAGCCGAGCTCGTGTAAAATTGCCAAAAGCTGACAAGGCACTCTCCCGCCATGGCTTCATCTGCTTCAGTCCAGCCTCTGTATATGTTCATACACCTCTCACTTATCAGATCATCCAAGCAAGCGCCGACGTGCGCACGACTATCGCCGAAGATCTACCTGAAGTATCACGGTTGATTACCTATGGGGGCTTATAGAGAATACCAAAGATGTAGTATTGTGGTTGTACTGGTCATATATAATGAAAGAATGAAGGGGTTTGATGACACCAAAAGGAACACGAGTGGGAATCATGAGATGGAAGCACAAGACAACGACGGATCATTGCTGTCGGGACATCAAAGGAATGGGAATGTCTTTGAGACTGAGACGCCGCATGGCCGATATCAAAGTCTCCATGGGATGATTCTTCAGCTGTGAAGAGTGGGAGTCTCCAGATAAATGGTTCTCGAGACTGAGTCCACACATAGCCATGATCATGGCCTCGGTATAATGATATCTACCCGTGGCTCCGATGTAACCTAGACTTCCTCTGCCGTACACGGTCCAGACCATGGGTGTTTGTCTGATGGAGTTGCGAAGATGTCGTTCAGCGCTGATGGGTGGCTTGTAAAGGCGACCAGAAATTACTCGTCGCAGGTGTATGCTTTCCGACTAGCATCGCTTACTCAACCACTCCGAACTCTGTTGGCCCAATGGTAGCTTGTCTGCTACCTCCTTGTTCAAATACGTTGATCCCGTCTTTCTGTCGCCAAGAATCCATGGCAGGTTGAAGCAATCACTGAAGAAGAAGTTGGTCTTTTGCTCATCCATGGCTTGGTAGCAGGCGCAGCGTAGAATGACCGTACCACCGGTGATCGCGTAGTTTCGAATCAAAATGGCTAGAGATTTGTACCTTGGTTCCATGATTGCAGAATCGGTAATGATGATCGCCGTCGGAGTATTGAAAGCCAGATACAGAAGAGCGTCGATAGCTCGCGTGTAACGCCGAAGCTGTGCTTGGAGTCTTAGCCGCGTCCAGAGTCTGTCGTTCTGCTCTTCTTGGTAATTTTCGGGAAGTGCGAGCGATAGTAGCACGATTCGAGGACGAAGACTGCTCGAGGAAGCCTGAACGGTTGGCTGAAGTGACATGATGGTTATGAATGTTTGAGACGATGTGATGGGTATAGATGACTGATGCCGATGATGAGGATGTTGATACTTTCTCGAATATTAAAAAGCGATGGGGATTGATGGCTCTGTCATCGCGCCTGCCGAACCGGTGAAAGATTTCGCGTCATGATTCTGTCGACGCTCTCGAAAGCTCTTTCTAGGTTTGGATGCCACATCGCGACTCAATGCATATTCGCTACTGGAGTTTTATCAAGAGCGTCGGAATATTGCTAGAATCCCGATCAGCACATCATTGTTGCTAACTATTAGTCTAGGAAGCAAACCGAGCGGTCTCACTCTTGGTTGAATCGGTCACTTGAACACCCGACTCAAAGGTATAGAACCTAGAGTCCAGATGATCATGACACCGGAGAACCCTCCTAAGCCGATCAAAACAAAGTAGTAGTTGTGGCTTGAGACATAGCCAATACTGTCAGCATCTATCCAGAATACTACGCCTGAAATGACTGCTATGCCGACCTGTATCCAGGCGATCAAGGTAGTGAACAAAGCTGACGAATAGAATGGCATTTGGTGCTCCAGTACTTCCAATGAGCGTGCAGACGGTCTGATTACTTCGAGTGCAGCGAATGTTTCCGAAAAGGTCAGACTGTTTGGAATACTCCGGCTAGACGAAAGGGCATTGTCGAGTGAGAGATTGAGCTCATATGCTTCTTCTTCGCTGGCCAATGAGTCTTGATCGGAACTAGCCTTGTGATTTCGGCTTCTGTAATTTTCGAGTATTGCTCCGATGGGTTGGATCAACAGCACCAACGGAACTATCTGACCAAAAGTCCAGGAGTTCTCTTTGCTGTTCCACCAAGAATTTTGCTGGCGCGGGATTACGATCTGAATTGTACCGTATACAAGACCAACATAAGACAGCCACAGCGATGCGGCGAACGAAGCGCTGAACTCGAACAATGCCAAAAGTATGATGTATACAACCATGGTCGCATAGTATATCCAGCTTAGCCTACGTTTACCGCGACATTTCGATGCCTTGATGGCTTCTTTGTGCAGAATTCGCTCTAAGAAATACTCATAAGGTCCGCGGACACGTCGATGGAACACATTCCTTGAGCTTCGAAATAAGGCACCAATTTTCCAAATGTAGGACAAAGTCAGGATGAGATATGAAAGAGGTGCATCCGGATTCACACCCTCACCCCAGGTGTGAAAGAAGAAGCATTTAGCTGGGATAGCCCAACTAGTCTTTTCATAATGCTCACTGTCCGGCGTCCACTGGGTAGCCCATAGGTTCGAATTGGTCGGTGCCAGTGCCGCTAAGAGAAGGATGAGAAGAACTAGCATTCCAACGATGCGCCAGCCTAGCACTCCAGGTCTCTTCCGAAAGTACTCTCCTAGCATCGTGAGTGCCGACAGATGGACGGAGCTTGACATCCAGGCCAGCATGATCACAATCTGGAAGTGATAGACAGATATACGACCATGCAGTGCAATAAATCCAGCCATACAGACAGCTATTCCAGTGACAATTTGTTGATCGCTCAGTAGCAGCACGCACTGGTGCAGCGCTTTGTGCCATGATATGCTTGTCCGTCGCTGAGATGGCAATCTATGGACGTAGAGATCCACCGGACGCAAAAGGCTTGTGTCAATAGAGCCCAGAAGATATGAGATCAACACAATGGCGAACGTGATGTATGCACTCAGAAGGAAGGCCAATATCGCGCCGATGCCTGAGATTTCAGTGTCCGCCTCGGGTATTGCTCCATTGAGCATCCAGTCCTGACAAGTTTCGGTGGTGACATTCTCCAGCTGTGTTGACATTGTTGTGGTCGGATCAGAAATCATATCTCGAGCGACATACGCACCATCTCGACGAAGAGCGAGCGGAGGAAGGAAGCTCTATAGAAAGCGCGTCAGGTGTCGTAGAAGGTTTCTCTTCGGCGGCCAAACGGCGAGCCAAGATCATGGATGGCGAAACCATCCTGGATTTTAGGGAAGTGGTCACCGAGTACTACATCGTGTCAAGTGATGCTAAAGGTGGAATACGAGCGGATGACTCTGTAGTGATGAATAAAGCCGACACGAAGCCTTCGCTGCCGGATGGCGGTGCCCGCGGAACGCGAGAACGTAGAGTACGAAAAAGCAAAATTAGGAAAAATGATACAAGAGCTGCAGGTCAGATTCCGTGAAAGCACAAAGCATGTTTCATCCTAAGCTCTGGATTTGATACTGTCGTAACTCATAATGTTGATACACAACTTCATACTATGCAATAGTAGAAGAAATTCCAATGCTGATTTTCCTTCCCAATCCTTCCCATTCCGTTTGCTCATGCAAGATCATGCAAAATGTTCATCATCATCACTTGCTGCCTCTCCTAACCTTCTCCAGCAAGTCCTCCATCTTAAATGGCTTAGCAATAACATCGTTCATTCCAGCATCAGTCATGGCCGTCTGCTGCTCTTCCCTGACGTTCGCCGTAACACCAATGATATTGACGTTTGGCAAGTCATTGTCCCCCTCGAACTTTCTGATTTCTCTGGACGCAGTCTGGCCATCCATGACTGGCATCTCTTGATCCATGAGTACACAGTCGAACGGGGGCTGCTGTGCCGAAGAACGTGCTGTGATTATATCAAGCGCCTCTTTTCCGTTTTCTGCGGTAGTAACTTGATAGCCTTTGGCCTCAATCTTCTTCTTCAGCAGTTTCTGGTTGATCAGGTTGTCCTATAGAATTGTGAGAAGATGAATTGGTGGTTAATATGTTGAAGACTCACCTCGACAAAGAGTATAGTAGGCTTGGAATCACTTTCTGTGTTTGAGATGTCGACAGACTTCTTCTTGTCATGTTTCCCAGACTCGATGTCTTTGCTGTCCTTGTTTTCGGATGGGGCTGACTTCCGTTCCTCGAATGTCGGATCCGGTCGTTGTGAGCTTCGGCCCGCATTTGCTGGTCTCTTTTGTCGTCTTTGAGATTCGTCGTCTTGGGCCCTGGAGTGTGACTTCTCGCCTTGGTCACCGGCAGGCTTGCAGTCTTTATGCTTTTCGCTCATTTGGTCTGCCATATCCGCTGTGTGCTGCCATCGATCTTTCGGTGGGTCGTCGTCGTTCGTTCCGGTGTTATCTTTGGATATGTTTTTCAAGTCGTCAGGAACCTTATCCTCTTCTACCTCCTCAGTGTCCATACGAGTATTCTTTTTCAGCCTTTCAGAGAGCTCCTTTGGTTCCAGTTTCTCGGCGTCCTCTGGCTCACCTCCCCGTCGGACCCTGAAAAAGAATCCAAAGGTAGATCCCTCTCCCTCGACCGAGGAAACACCAATCTCTCCACCGTGCAGTTGACACATTTTGCGAGAGATATTAAGGCCCAGTCCAGACCCGCCGTACATCTGACCTGTCTTTGGTGTGGCTTGTTGGAAACGTTCGAACAGTTTCGATTGGTTCTCTTCGCTTATTCCTATACCTGTGTCCTTTACTGCAACCATGATGTAGAGTGGTTCTCCGTCGCCCCATTCAGGGTTTCCAGTAGCGTCGGTCTTGAGGCCAAGTTCATCGGTCTTGAAGAAGACCACATCTGGTGGATATGACGTCGGTCTTTCTAGAGATGCAGCTACTTCAATGTTGATCTTCTTCTTGCGAGTTGACCGTGTCGTAAATTTGATGGCATTTGTCATGAGGTTGACAATGACTTGGCTGATTCTTACAAGATCTGCCATGACCCAGTCCACGTTGCAATTGTCATATTCAGGTTTGACAGTATAGCCAAACTCGACTTTCTGTTTGCGCAGTTCTGGTTGGAAGATTTTAAGTGTATCTGCCATTTGGGTCTTTGGTTTCGTTGCTCTGTTTTCGGATTAGTAACTGTTCTGGAGCTTGCTCCGGAATCAAGCTTACCTGGGGGCGAGTGAGAGCATAGAAGCGTCGAGTTTTGAGAAAGAAAGAACATCGTCGACAAGATTTTTCTGGATGTAATGTTAGCCGGAGCGAACGTGCATTAAACTTCAACTGTGACTCGCCTGGTGATCCACGCATAGTTGAATGGTATGGACTGCTTCAACAATATCGTCCACAGCAATGTTATCCGACTTGGCTTCTCCATCCTGCACAGCGTCCAGAATGTCCTCTGCACAGTGTAGCACGGCAGAGAGAGGATTGCGGATTTCGTGTGAGATCATGTCAATAAAACGCTCCTGTTGCTGTTTTCTTTCTTTCGCTTCTTTGGCGACTCTTGTTTGGGCAAGCTCGGCGTTCTTCATGTCTGATACATCGATCAAAGCACAGATATAGCCACCAAACTGTCTCAGCGTGAATTGCTGGAGGTTGTTCTTTCCAAGTGGTCGCATCAAGAACAGTCTCCATTGGTTTTCACCAAAGGCTCTGAATTCCGTCTCCAGCTCTGTCTGCGACTCAAATGCAGTGTGATATTCGGACATGACTCTCTCGTAATCGTCTGGATGGATGGTCTCAGGCCACATCCTAAAAGAGTGATCTGGACCACGATGGGCAGTCAAATTATAGAATTGGCCATTAACGAACAGCGGGTCTGCTTTGTGGTTGAGAATGGCAAGACCAGTAGGCAGCATCTCTGCAAACTTCTGGAAGAACGGCTGTCTGTCTAGGGCAGTTTCCTCGTGGTCCACGTATTTCTCCATGTTCTCGCCCGATGACTGTTTTCGACTTCCATCCTCTTTGGATACGGCTCTTCCTTGTCCGGTACCTGGTTTCGAGTGTGTCTTGCTGAAGATTTGCACCAGGACTCCTGACGCCTTTTCCCCCTCGTGTATCGGGCTGCATACGATCGGACATGGTTCTGAGCCTTTGGGATGATGATCTGACAGTTCTGAGGGGGCGATAGCTCGCGGTATCCGACCTTGACAATATTCACGTAGAGCTTTGGTCGTGTCCTCGGAGAAGGCGTCGTTCGGCGGTTTCCCTTGTTTCATTGAATTGTGTGCTGTTGCTTCCCAGGCTTCATTGTAGATCATGACGAGCTTGTCGCCCCAGAAGATGGCGGCTGGATGCGAAAGGGTGAAGATGAAAGGCGCCATCGACTGCAGGGACTCTGGCCAGTCTTTCGCCGAACCAATGTCGCTCTCATCCCTGTATCCATCATCAGCCAGGAAGTAGCACGTGTGAGGTCCAGTCTTTCGTACCAGACTTCGTCCATGAGTAATAGGGAATCCAGCGCTTCAGCAGCCTCCCGCTTGTTCATGGCATCCCCAGGCTGTGCCATGTTTACTACAATTTCTAGATTTTCAAAGAGACAAGCCTTAAGGATGAACAAGATACAGTATTTACAAACTCAGCATTGACAGACCTTCAAAGAACCTTGCAGATGTTCGCTGGACCCGCAACGGCCTCGCAATGACATAGGTGGACCCTGTGACGTATGCGGAGTAACATCCGAGACCCCACTGAAAGAATGTCAAGGCGAGTTCCGGCGATGGCCACAACACGCTGCTCTTGAACGAATCGATCTTGTCGCTTTGATCGAGGTCTATCATGAAGAGCTTGCTGTGTAGTTGCTAGCCTGTTTCGTGGACTGATGATGAGGCGGCGAGTACGGATATGATGAGAAATCCGATGGCTGGCAACGAAAGCTCCAGGGCTCCAACACGACAATGAACCAAGGTCCAACGGCAAATCTTTGGTCAGCTTGAAGCGAAAAATATTCGGTTTCGAAAGGAGAACGTCTGCCCGACTGGATACACTGAGGCACTGTCACAGCTCGACAGAAGCCATTCTGTCACGACAAGTCAGGGTGACCTCTCGAGTCGAACAATGATGTCGCGTTGCAGACTGTATGCGGAAAGTGCAATTCTCTGTCCTACATGCGTAAGCAGAGTCTTGGTCTCAAAATAACAAACCAAAATCTACCCGACATCTCCAACACCTACGCGGTGGAACACGCTGAGAGAAGACAACAACAACAACAGATGCTGAAGCAGGCTTCCAACTTATCTTGACGATAGCACGTTGAAACCTGTCCACACCCTCAAGTCATTTTTCGACCACACACCAACATCATGTCACGAGACGCTGCAACAGGCACATGCAAATGCTTACCGCATTCCGCCTCGGTCGACAACATCACCAACCCCGCAATCCCCACAACGAAATGTGCGAGCGCCTTGCGCACCTCCTTTCCAACGTCCACCGGTCAACTGCCACGATATGTATACATGCATCGAGTATCTTCCCAGGGGATGGTACCACATGGGCTTCGACCGCCACGATGTAACACTCATGTTGATGCCGAGCACTGTAACACACCGCCTGAGACATGATGCCCGCTTCAGATGATGGGGAAGCTTCATCCCACCCGTCGATTTGCGAGTTCCAAAAATCTTCCTGGAACAGATCAGAATTTGCACTGGGATATTGATACTCGTGGGATTGGTCTGCTGTACCTATAGTGCTTCATTGCTTCGGAGACTGACTCAAAGACGAATGCATTTTGCCTTACATGGCCGCGTAAATGCACAATGACATTCAAATCCAGAGCCAGCAGGTCCAAAAAGAGAACAGCAACTCTCTATGGATGATGTGGTCTTACTCGATATGATGGAGTCTTCTGATGGATGTTGATCTGCCGTCTTACTAAGCTTTCTGTAGTTGGTTGTTACGGCCTTATACTTGGAAGCCACAATGCAGGAGAGCATGTCCAAATATCTCCGACCTACAGACCAAGCGCTTGACGGGCTGAAATGGGCTACATTGTACTTCACATGTGATCCCTTCCAGCCTACGATGTTTCTCCGCACTGTTTCGACGTGTGTAAGAGCGCCAATAGCCTTTGTTTCTAAAGTTGTGGTGGCATAATATAACTGCAGGTAAGAGATGCTCCTCGACCATACGCAAGTGCAGCAACGAAATCACCATCGAGTCCCCTTAGACGTTTCAGATTTCTCCCGAGGACGACCATCTTGTCAGTCTCACTGGACAATGGCTAGCCGGACTGCTCGGACTTCACTAGAACAAGCAACTGCGTTGTTATATTCCCGAAATGACCAAGCCAAGCTCTCTGCATTCCGACATCATACATGCAATCTCCAATGGTCATGCGCTCCATCATGAGGATAATTGAGAGGAGAAGGAACCTTGGCCTTGAACGTCAGGCGCAGACTCATCTGGAAAACACCCCATCATTAGTAAGGATTGTCGTTGAAAGAGACGCACGTTTGTAGATCGCATCAACTCCAGAGGCGCAACTTGTGTTGCATCCTGAGCACACGCACGATGACGCTGATTAGACTAGACCATCTCAGGAGACGACAAGCAGAATAAATATGCTGCCACTCTCCGGCTCTACGGGATTCAACATCTCGTGTCTTGAGGCTCCAACTGTTCATCATGCATTTTCGAAGATTGACTTCGTTCTTAGTGACTTTCGCCGCCGCGAATGGCCTTTCACCATCGGAGTGGCGTCCTCAGTCCATCTATCAAGTGATGACAGACCGCTTTGCTCGGACTGATGGCTCTACCACGGCGTCTTGTGATCTGGGAGACTACTGTGGCGGCACATGGAAAGGCTTGATGAATAAACTCGACTACATACAGAACATGGGATTCACAGCTGTCAGTATGAGAGGTCTATATCCAGATAAGTACTGATTGTCTACAGGTGTGGATCTCACCAGTAGTCAAGAATCTCGATGCTTTAACTGCCGATGGGTCAAGCTACCACGGCTACTGGGCACACGACATCTATGAAGTCAATACGAACTTCGGCTCTGCCGCGGATCTCGTTTCACTATCAGACGCATTGCATGAGCGAGGCATGTACTTGATGGTTGACATTGTCCCAAACCACATGGGCTATGCAGGTTGCGGTGACTGTGTTGACTATTCGACATTCAATCCGTTCGATAAAAAGTCATATTATCATCCATTCTGCTTGATTGACTATAACAACCACACCAGCATGGAGTTGGTCAGTCTTCGCAACATCCCTTTTAAATACTCCACTGACCGGATTCTAGTGCTGGGAGGGAGACAACACCGTGTCACTGCCTGATCTACGAACAGAAGACACCACAGTCCAAGACATGTGGGCGACATGGATCAAACAGTTAGTTGCAAACTACACAAGTACAAATCCTCTTGTTGGCAGTTGTCAGCAATGTTCACACTAACTCAAATCACAGTCGACGGTCTCCGCATCGACAGCACAGCCGAAGTCGACAAAGCCTCTCTCAAAGCCTTCGAATCAGCAGCAGACATCTACGCCATCGGTGAAGTCTTCAACAACAACGCTGACTACGTCTGCGGCTACCAGGGCTCCATATCAGGTCTAATGAACTACCCACTCTACTACAACATCACCTCCGCCTTCAGCTCCACCTCCGGCGACATCAAACAATTGGAAAACGGCATCAATACCATGAAATCCACCTGCACGGATACATCCCTCCTAGGTTCTTTTCTCGAAAACCACGATAACCCTCGTTTCCCTTCTTTGACTACAGATATGGCATTGGCCAAAAACGCCATCGCTTTTCAGATGCTTGCGGATGGTATCCCAGTCATCTATCAAGGTCAAGAACAGCATTTTTCCGGATCCTCTACGCCGAAGAATAGAGAAGCGCTTTGGACTAGTGGATACAATACCGCAGCGACATTGTACAAACACATCGCCAAACTAAACGCTATCCGTAAACTGGCGATCGAAAAAGACGAGGGCTATTTGACGTACAATGCATACCCAGTTTGGACTGACGAGCACACTATCGTGATGAGAAAAGGAGGAAACGATACACAAGTCATTGGTATCTTCAACAATTTAGGTTCGTCAGGAAATGCCAATCTCACTTTACTTGCTACGAGTTCTGGATTTGATGCGGAGATGGAAGTGGTGGATTTATTGGCTTGTGAGAAGTTTACGACTGATGAGAAGGGTGATTTGGATGTTAGTGTCAAGGGAGGTGTGCCGGTGGTGTTGTACTCGGTTTTGCAGATTAAGGGGAGTGGATTGTGCGAGTCTTGAGTAGTTGGCATGGATGGAATGTAAATGATTTCGGTTGGTTTTATGAAGATGTTTCAAGTCTTTACTTTGATTATTGATACACTATCATTCGCAGATTACTTTTGTATGTCTGAATGTTTCCTCTGGTCTGACTGATTCATCGGACGACTCGAGCTGATGTGGGAAATGACACATCGAGCTGGTGAACGGCAGAATTCTTCTCACGCGGGCGCAGATGTCAGTATTACGTTGAGAAAGCTTTACATGCTGTTTCTGGCGATTATACTGACATCAACAAGTCCCTTGGAGGTACTTCTAATCACAGTCACGTCGACGTTGAGATTGGTTAAGGATTATATTGATTTTTGATTCATGGGTATCATATTGCTTTAGTGGTCATTAATAGATTGGCAAGTCTGCCGGGACTTGATTGCCCTTGCTTTTCGACTAAGAAGCCGGAGTAGCAGGACTGGCAGGTGTGCTAGGGTTGGTAGCAAGACCTTTGCTTCTCCTCTTCCTGATCTTATCCCTGACCTTCTTTTTCGTCTTTTCTTCATCGTCCTTCTTGGCTGCGGCCGATGCGAAAGGTGTAGCTTGAGCAGCCAATCTTGCTTCTTCCAGCTTCTTGGCCAGTTCGGCTTCTTTGACTTTTGCGGCCTCGGCGGCTTCTGCTTTTGCGCGGACATGGTGCTTGGTTGCGGAAAAGGTGAAGTTGCCAGGTTCGCCTCGGAGGGGGTTCTCGTCCATGTATTCGTCGCCATAGTGGAGCATCATGTTGAAAGACTCAAAGAGGGCCATTTGCGCGCGAGGGTCTGCGTCCTGAGTTGTTTTCGACTGGACAGCCGAGTCTAGAGCAGCAGCAGCTGGCACATCGGCTGGTGTAGGAGCTGTACTTGCCTCTCGACTGGTAGAGGATAAGGCTTGCGATGCGGCGAGCGTCTTTGTAGTGGTAGGTGGGAAGTAGGTATATCCTGTTGCGGGAGTGTATAGTGGCAGGGGAGCAGCGGATTGGGCGAACTTGGTAAGCGAGTTCATGGCCGAGAGGAGATGGTTGCCGACAATGTCGTAGACTGACGGAGCCTGGTATAGATTCTCTCCGACCAAGTAGTATGTGCCCAGGACAGTGATCTCGTCTGCTTGTGGAGGTCTCTTGCGGCGGTCTTGCTTGCGAATGACCCAGATGCCTGTGTCTGGACCCAAGGCCGGATCTGTGTTTGGCTGTGGCTCACCAACAATCATGTATTCCACACCGTTCGTTTGCTTCAGCCGTGTCTCGAGCGCCTGTCGAGTTCGGACCAACTCCCACATGTGTGGGTTGACCTCGGTCTGTTTCCAGAGAAGCCCATTCTTGGTTGTGTGATCGAAGAAGGGTGACTCGCGGAGGATGGCATGTACTGACGACGCTTGTTAGTGAAGGTATGATAGCAGGGAGGACAGTCAACTTACCAGAGTCTTGGTGAACTCCTCCCCACCACTGGATGACTTCTGGCCGCCGGAACTGCACTTCGTCCAGCGGCGTGCCATTCCATGTGTTTGCCATTGCGGAAAGAGTGTGACAGTCGCACCTTCCTCAATGCCGCGTGTTTAAAGGAAGCTCTTGTTCAAGTTGCTGCTCAAACATCAAAGCGTGACGGCGCCAAGCTGTCGCGACTTCTGCAGGAAGACGTGAAGCGCTGTAGGGCTGAATTAACCTGCTCGGGAAAGCCTTCCCCAATCCGGCATTAGTTCCTCCAGCTTTTCTTTCTAGACCCTGTCGATTCATCATGATATCTTGCCATCCGCTCGAACAATATCACCACTCATAATCAACTGGCTCGCATGTTCTTGACAGTCTGCATCGAAAGGCTGACTCTCTTTCCCGACATTCCTTTCTCTTGACTTTGCCATCCGTTGAGGACCTGTTCTAATGCACCGCCCTCATCTACTTTTCCTGGATGCCTATGACTCCTTTAGCAATAATATCATCAATTTGCTTCAACAAGATCTCAATGCCACCGTGCAAGTGATCAAAATTGATGACAAGCGATTTGCTAAAACCGATGATGCATGTTTCCATGCTTTTCTCAAACGCTTCGACGCTGTAGTCGCTGGTCCTGGTCCTGGCGATCCTAGAAATTCTCACGATCTGGGTCTCATTGGGAAACTATGGCATCTACCTGAAGAGGTCTGCTTGCCCGTCTTGGGCATTTGCCTTGGCTTTCAAAGTCTCGCCCTTGCCTTTGGAGGTACAGCTGGTAGACTGCACCAACCTCGTCATGGCTTAGTGACTGAGGTTTCCCACCAGAGACAGTCGCTGTTCCAGGATATTGATGTCCTCATGGCCACTCAATACCATTCGCTGCACGCAAAGCTTGGTCATAACGTAGACAAAACATCCCCTGATCTATGGAGGGCCACTTCGAATTGCCCAGACATCATACCACTTGCCTGGGACTTGTCAGATGACCAAAATGGGCCAATCCTCATGGGTATCAGACACACAAGCAAACCGTTTTATGGAGTGCAGTATCATCCGGAGTCAATCTGCACAAGCTCTGCTGGTGCACAAATTATCCACAACTGGTGGTCTGAAGCCTTCGCATGGACTGTCAACCAGGCAGCCAAGATCCAAACCCCGACTGCATTCCATCTCTCCATCGATGTGGAGTCTTGCGATGCAAACAGTGAGAGCGGTGATGATTCTGCAAGCACTTCATCATCTCTGTTCGATGCTGTCAACCCTACCGTCAGAGACACTACAGCCACAACTCCAGCAGTCACTCGAGACTCGTCTAGGATGGGACGCCCGGCTTCTCCTAGATTTGTCAGCTGGAGGTGCATCGACATGACTTCTAGTCCAGTAGATGTGGCTGCTCTGCTCCAAAATCTGCAGGATATCAATCAGCAAGCCGTCTTGTTGGAATCTGGCAGCAAGAACGGGCAGCCTGTCCGACCAGAGACTGGTCGCTTCAGTATCATCGGTTGTGTAGAAGACGCTCCATCAATCAAGTACTCTACTGGCAATCATATCATCACTAGTAGTCTCTCGGGTACGAACAGCTCCTATAATGGATCTATGTCCGACATCTGGTCGAGCGTCGAGACTTTCATGGCCGCAAATAAGGCAACAGATGGAAATACTGACCTACCCTTCTGGGGTGGCCTTGTCGGATTCGTATCCTACGAAGCTGGCTTAGAGACAATCGATGTTGCTCAACCGGCAAACGATGACCGCCCTGATGTTTGGTTCGTCTTTGTGTCACGTAGCGTGATTGTTGACCACGTCGAGAGAAGGGTCTACATTCAAAGTTTGGAAGAAAAAGATGATCATTGGTTCGAAAAAGCTGGAAACACTGTGAAAGAACTTTCGAAGGAGCCTGCATCTCTAGATAAGCCAGGACTACCCATACCAGCCATCATTGCTCCGATACAGGACGAGTATGTGCAGAAGGTTGAGATTTGTCAGAGCCACATAAGAGCTGGTGATTCCTACGAACTCTGCTTGACCGATCAAAGCATAGTTTCCCATGACGAAAGCTGCAGACCGTCATCTTTCGAGCTCTACCAGCGCCTGCGAACACGGAACCCTGCACCGTTTGGTGCATATTTGCGCTTGAAGGACAGCAACAAAGAAGGAAATAAAGAAGGAAGCAAAGAAGAAAGCAAAGAAGAAAACAAGAAGAAAATCAAGGAAGAAAAAGGAAACGCTGTAACCATCCTGTCCTCTAGCCCAGAACGATTCTTGTCATGGTCTCGGGCTGGCAAATGTCAGTTCAGACCCATCAAAGGGACTGTTGAGAAAAAGGACGGTCTTACCAGGGAGGACGCCGAAAAGTTATTGAATGTCGATAAGGAAAGAGCTGAGAATCTGATGATTGTCGACTTGATCAGGCACGACTTGCATGGTGTGGTCGGGTCTGGTAATGTGAAAGTCGAGAAGTTGATGACTGTTGAGGAGTACCAAACTGTCTTCCAGCTCGTCTCAGTCATCGAAGGTCAACTGCAAGAAGGGTCAAGGCATACTGGTATTGATGTCCTAGCAGCCTCCCTCCCTCCAGGATCCATGACTGGTGCTCCCAAGAAACGGTCGTGCGAGCTGTTGACAGAGATAGAAGGAAAAGCGAGGGGAATCTACAGCGGTGTGCTTGGGTACTTTGATGTCGGGGGTGGTGGAGACTTCTCGGTGGTAATTCGAACGGCCTTTCAATGGGAGGATGAGGGGGTGTGGCGGATTGGTGCTGGTGGAGCGGTCACTGTCCTATCCTCGCCAATTGCTGAGTTCGAGGAGATGGACCTCAAGAGGCAGAGTTGTCTTCCATCTCTTGGATTGCAATCTCTGTCTTCTGTCGGATCTCGTTAGGACCCTGTTAGATGATGATATGTTAGCCTTTGTTCCCTATCGACCGACGCTCTTCCTTTGCTCATTCCCACTCACAGAACTGTGCTGTCTGATCTTGATGTACAACACTAGTATCCAGCGGACATCAAGTGGGCCGTGTCTCTTGGAGAGTAGATCTTGGGCGTCCAAAGCGGGCTGTTCCCAGACACGGATCTTCCTCTCGCGACGCTGGACCTCCGTTCTTTCTCTCTCGACGATGGGTCTCCAGTGCACGACTCTGCCTTGTGCTCTGTCGAGGATGGCATCGTGCATTGCTGCAGCAACTTCGTCTTCCCCCTCTCTGGTAGCGGCGACATCAGCAGCAGTGTGCTCGGTCATGTGCCTCCATTTCTCGAGCTCTGCCTCCGCGGCCACCAGTCTAGGCCGATAACACTCCTCCAGCTCCGCCTTGACGCGCTCGTATTTGTACCACTTCTCCAGCTGCTCGAAGTTGTCGTCCGGCAGGATCTTCTCCAGGGTAGTCGTGGAGAGAGATTGTGTAGGCAGCACACCAGGCTGTGCCTTGCGTCCTGCCATCCAGGTGACGGCGGGCAGGTCCGCGAAGGGGAGGCCAGGCACCGCTCCGACCGAGATGCTGGGAGGACCACGAGGCTTGGGTGTCAAGATGACATCGGGCTCTTTCTTGACGTTTTCCATGAAGAACTTCTTGAACGAGTCTTCGTCGTTGGAAAAACCGAATGCAGACATGGTGGTAATGGTGGTGATGGTCGCGTTGGGGAAGGATGAGGTTCGAGACGAAAGGGGTCAGGCTGGATGTAGGTAAAGGGCTGGTTTATCGATGGTTGCACTTTTAATGAAAAGTAGTCGAACACGTTCGACGACTTGAAACGACGCAAAATGATGATGTCGTCCCAGCTTCGTCCTGCAGGCTGCTCAATTTCACATTCTTTCAAAGCACTTCTCGGATATCGTCTACATCATCCGAGGGCGTGTAAAAAGGCAAGATCGAATTGAGCATATCATGAACGTCCAATGAGAGTGCCTTATAACCATTGATCAAAAGCTGTGTTCTAGGCCTCTCTTTGGCAATTTCGAGCGTCTCGAATTCATTCATGCATTTTCACAGCCTGCAAGCGGCAAACCTTGATAGCTGGGATGTGCAGTTATCCTTGTTTGAAAATTTGGGCGACGAGCTTTCTCTGACCCAGCTTTACATGTTAGTCTGTCATTGCATTCAGACAGCTGTTTCAATAGCGTTCAGCGTAGAGGAGGCCTCGAGAAGGTGGGATATCGTGGTCAGTGTGAAATGGACTCTTCAAGCACCTACGACGTAGATTAGCATTCGTATCGAGACAAGAATTATTCTCTTGTCTGTCTGTCAGCTTCTCGGCCATCTCGAGAGGCATTAATCGCTGCCCAGCTTTCCCGAAACACAAAAGTCCTTCTCGGCCTTGTCCATGCAACCAAGCTTGCTCTCCCATTGTGTCTACCGCTTACGCGATGAGACGAGGTACCATACTTCTGATAGCACTCCTAGTCAGTGCCTTTCATCTGGACTGTTACCACTACGTTGCCAAAGCCCACAGTTCGTGATGGTTGATCCTCCTAGTGTTAGAGCCCATGCTGATGGATATAGTAATTTACAGTAGACAACACCTTCGTACCGCACTGGCGTACTAGATTGGTGTATGTCTACTCTGAGAACAACCACGGGTAGACTTCTGCTTCACTGCTACGCAAAAGGGGATCTGTTGACTCACCCAGCATTGCGTGAGCTTTGACCGGCGTGCGCCAGATTTCTCACCTCTTCCTCCTGCAGTGCTCTTCTCCAATTCTTCCATCAACACATGCATCAACACTTACCTTCTTCATCCATCTCTTTTACCATCAAACACAGCTGTTGTTGCCTCTTCTGTGCGTGCTGACTTGACGCCTGTTCTTGCATCGCTCTTTCCCTCTCAGTAAGTCTTGTTTCACCCACCTTCCTGAGCATTGCACGTGCATCGCACGTGCATTGCTCTTTCTGACGCTTCTTCTGACAACCGCATCAGATCTTCTCTTCCTTTGCGCATAGCTTGCAAGTCTTCATCAAAGGACATCAAGTTGATGTCTGATGACAAGATCTTCCTTATGCGCATCTTTTCATCTTGCGTCATCGGAAGCATGCGCCCTCCGCACCACCCAAGGTAAGTCTTGTTCTGCTTGCGCTTTCAGAAGCATCGCACGTGCGTTGCTCTCCTTGACGTTTAAGCTGACATTTGCATCAGACCTTTTGATTTCTTGCGCGCCTTTATATCATTCCTCCATCCCAAGTCATCTGTTGTTCATCATCAGCATGCACTCTGTTGTTGACCTACCTCCATCATCATTACTCTCTGTCTCTTCATGTAAGTCACCGACCTTTGTCGTCTTCCATGATCAACCTTTTGCTAATCATCATCAGATCTTGGCCTCTTCCCAACACCACCTCTTCTCATCACATGCAACCAACCCTCATCTCTCAAGGTAAGTCATCGACAACAATCATGTGATATCGACGCATATGATATCACCATCGACGACTCTGCTGACCGTTCACCCAAAGATCTCGACTCATCTTTGAAACTTACCTCTCAACAACAAATTTCAGGTCATGCATTTTCGTTGCAAATCTGGATCGTTATGGTCCTTTGGGCAAGCACCATCCACGGCATTCCGAGTCTGCCGGGACCCAAAGCCCCGCACAACGCACCGCCGTCTACGGGCCCCATCGACGAACCGCCCCGGGTCACTTGAAGGTCCACTACCGGGTACGCCCGAGCCAACGCAACGGGTCGACCACCTCTCAGGGGCATAATCGCGTTCTTCGACATCCCGCTCCTGACGACTAGCCACCGGTCAAAATGCACGATGCTTTTGGAACCAGTCGTCGAGTCCACAGAGAGCCGACCCTCGACACATACGCGACATGATGCTGCCCTTGCTCCGGGCAATTGAAGAGGTGGCTTGGGCCGGAGCAGCATCAACCAGTACCCGGACATGGTCTCCTGTCCCCGCTCCAGGCAATTGAAGAGGTGGCTGGGCTGGGACAGGGAGACAGGGTTCACAAAGTATGAGCCTGGAGGTGTCGTGTCGTCGAGTTCGANGCTGTGTGGGTCTTGGGGTAAGCGGTCTTCTTCCTTGCTTTTCACACTTACTGACCACTTCTACAGCGACCATGATTACAGCCCAGAAGCAGCAGTTGACCGCCTTACGAACTTCAATTCGCCATCCCTCCCGCATGGGAGTGGATGGTGATGCTGACGATGAGAGATCTCCTCCCCCGCTTCGTCGCATAGCGGCGACAGCTCTTCGCCTTCCCTGCGCGAACGCTATATGGAGAAGGACCAGGGTGGTTTGGGCATCAACCTGAGCGAAGTCGGCTCGTTCAAGGATGACGGCACCACCATGGGAGTGGATGGTGACGCCGACGACGAGAGATCCCGTAAGAGCGAGTCTCTCAGAACTCCCATCTCGAACGCCTTCAACTCGCTGTGGACTCCTCGCGTCAAGGCTGAGCGCGAGCGCAAGGACTTTGCCAAGTCACTTCGCAATGTGAATCAGCGTATCAGTGATCTTCACACCGAGAACGTCGAGCGCCTGGCCTACATGGACAACAAGATGGATCGACGGCAAGTTCCAGATTCAACTCGACAACATTCGCGAGTCTGTCGATGCTATCGGCGTTGCCTTCGTCCAGTTCGGCATGGACGATGAGAAGGTCCAGTTGATCGCTGACAAGGTCATCGACGCCCTTTGTCCAATCATCACCAAGGGTCATGAGCAGAACAAGGCCGACACTGAGCGCCGTTGAACTGCAGCAGTCGACCGCCTTACTGGATCACACATCCAATTTGACTTCCAAGTCCAGAACACTCTCGCGCAGGTGCGCCAGTCTGTCGATGCTACTGGTACTGCCTTCATTCAGTTCGGCATGGACGACGAAAAGGTCCAGTTGATCGCTGAGAAAGTCGTCGACGCGCCTAGTCATCACTAAAGGACATGAGCAGAACAAGGCCAGCTCTGAGCGCATTCTTGCTCGTACCAAGAAGTGTTACAACGACATGGCCAAGGAGTGACTCTCTCAGTAAGAGAAGTCATCCTCGCTCATTGGTAGAAATTTACATCATAAATCGTATTCCATCCCGTATCCATCGAACACAAGAAATGATACCACCATTGACTGCTGTGATTGACTGTGAAAGATGTCTATCTCAGCTGTCTCGGTCTCCGTAGCAGAAAAGACTTTCCCTTTTTATGATCCCTTTGGGGGGCTAAGCGCGTGTCTGGAGCGTGGTTCCTTGTCACTCCCTCCTCGTGGATACCAGGGAGTTCATATCCCGCGCTAGTTCGTTCGATGGAGGCTCCCGCCGTTCAGCGCGCCAGGAACCAGAAACCCTTCTACGTTTTCACCTCGTATTCGACTGGTAGACATGCAAAGCGAGCCACCTTTTCCATTTCCTCTCACCGAGGTTTAGCCAGGGCATACCACTGCCGCGTACATGCGATTACACGTACGAGATTGGGCTGTCAATGGATTGCCTGACTTGGTGAAAGCCTACGCCAGCCTGTTCGGCTATAGGCGTAGCGTGGACTGTAAGGCAATGTGTTTTGCACGCGCTCCGGCAACAATGGTCGAGGTGCTCGCTGCTCAGTGCCAATCGAGTACGACTGGGGACGATGTGTGGTGGGCTCAAATCTTGAGCCGGAGAGAGGTTTTTGTAGAACCCTACGAAGAGACACAAGTGCGATAGTCGCTGGGTCAGGACTCGCTTGTGCGATTTGGGGGAGGAAGTAGAGATGGGTGATAATGTGCAGAGGGCGGAGACGTGATCAACGCAGAAGGCATTGAGAATTTCCATGGGAAACAGCAGCCAGATGTTGATGGAGTTTCGACCCGAGCGGATGGGCAGAGTTATGAGTAGTCCACATGCCCATCTTGTTTCATAGCATGAGAAGTCAGAAGAATTCACGCCCTTGACCACTGTCTTTTTCTTTTCTTTTCTCAGTGGCCAAAGTTGTGTCGAAATCTTGCGCGAATGTCTTTCATGCTTTGGAAAGCACGACCAACACGACTGTCACCTCACCAGGAAGGACCGCACTCCCTTCCAAACCAAGTGACGAGCGGATCCTCCCATCAGGCAGGTATAAAAACCTCACCCACCTGCTCAGTGTTCAAACCAAATAACCCTCGACCTCGACCATCGGGTCAGAAGATAGTGACAGTACCCCATTGCGGTGCGGCCAAGCCTCCAATCCCATATCGTGCTATGCCGACAGCCCAGCCACCGACAACACAATAACGTCCACAGGTGTCATACACCGAGCCACCCGGGTAACATGCATATCCAAGACCGGGTACACTCGACCCGGGATATCGGGCACCGGACCCGGTATCTGCACATTTACATTCTGTTGCATTTTCGGGAGGACATATTGTTTGTAAAGAGGCTCGGTATGACGGATATGGGGTTCATGGTATAGGGGTGTTTCTCAGGAGTGGTGTTCTATTTTATATTTCAGGCGCAGTGTCGAGGTGTGAAACGGTTGAAAAACGTGCAGTTGTGCTTTCAGAGGATATGGGATGTCCGGTGAGAGTGTCAATTGATGGACAGGAGTATAGAATCTCTTTGCATGCTGTTCCCATCAACGAAAATATCGTGCATTTCTTTGGTATAGCAAGAGTGTGGGCGAGGAATTGGAGCAGATGAGAATAGGCATCTCAGGCATGCAATGCAGGTGAAATGAAACCTCGAAAATGCATGATTGAATTGACAACAACGGCTCTGCCCATTGAGAGCTTAACTTTAGGTTGATGGTGTATATTCTCAATGGTCAGACATCTCGCTGGTGAAGATTCCCTACGTTCTGACAGCTTGACGAAGAGAGATTGCTGTCTCTGGAGCTGCAAATACATGTTAAGCGTATGATGCCGCCAGCTGCAACGACAAGATGACGAAATAGTACGATGCATTGCAATAGACACGGAAACCAAGTATGCTCTTTGCGAGATAGCAAGCGGATTCAATCGGGTCAAGTAGAATGCAAGCCTTGGGTAGTGGTAGAGAACATTCAGGCCGGTCTCTTCTTCCATGGACCAGAAGAGTTCGGTTTTGGAAAGTGAGCAGAATTGTGCAAGCTCGTCGTCGCCTTGGCCGTGAGCGAAAGCAATGATGATTTGCCTAACACGGAGCAAAACCACAAGGACAACAACCAGCCAAAGATACGCCAAACATAACGCTCTCCCATCGTCACCATCAAGCAAACAAACACCTCTTTGTATCTCGTCAACATGCCACCCTATCCTGGCGACCCACCGGAGTGGAGGACGTTCTCTGGTAGCTACCTGGACTGGCAACCCTCGGATGAAGGTTCGTCCACCGTGACTGCCCTCACCACCGAGAACGAGAGACTGCGTGCAGAGCTCGCAGGTGTGCGCGAAGAGCTTGCAGCTGCAAGAGGAAGGGCCGATAGAAGGGACAGTGACAGGCTCACACACTACGAATGGCTTGGCCGGTACCTTGCTCTGCCTCGCCGTCAACATCGTGGCATCATGAGATGGGTCGTTGAACATGTCTGGCGCGTGCTGGCAGGAGCCAAACAGAAGTTTGACGACACCTTGATCAATTGGATCAGGGGTTGAAGAGAAGGTATGTCAACAGCGGGGATCAGTATTGTGCAAAGCTAACAGGAGAAACCAGGTCACATCTTTTCAAGCCTCACACCATCAACATCGCTGCCGCAGACAAGAAGAAGCGCAGCAGGCCCGTCACACCTCGCTGGCGCCAAGTCCTCCCACATGCACAGAAGACTTGCAATAAGTACGGAGCAATGCAGAAGTGATAATAGAACAAGAGAGAGAGAGAGAGATCGAGGGGGACAACGAGGTTCGGGGGACGTTGGAAGGTGGGGCCTTGGGGTACATGGAATCCTGCTCCCCAGCCAATCCGTAGAGTGATTGAGGACCATAAAAATGCAGAATGCAATTGGATGGAGCTCGCCAGACCATTGAAGATCCGTCAAACGTTCAGCCAGCAGAACCACTCATGTAAATTTTGCGTCTTGATATTGGTCGTGAAACCTGAGATCGTAGTTGCGGTACTGCTGAGATCTGTATAGCAATCCACTTGATGTAGAATGCTACAAGACTAGACATAGAGGCATTTCTAGTGCGGCCCCACAAGTGCTTCGTGTATTGCAAGCCGATGGCCCCGACCGGCAGTATCTTGCTCATGAAGCAAGGCAAGAAGTATGCGGTGAATTACTTGTGACGACGGCGCGAACCTGTGCCAGTGATAGATGCCTGACAGGCAGAATTACTCGGAGAGGATGATAAGGGCTGATGCCTGGCGAACGACGCTTGGACCTGTGTCCCGCATAGTGGACATAAAGTGCGCGCACCACACCGACGCCCTAGCCTTTCAACAACCAAGCAATCACATCTTTGGGTAAGTCGATGCTATGCGCACTACTCTTTGCCTTGTCACGGCTTGCGGAAGAGGATCAAGCGCAGAAGAGGTAGCGAGGAGCAATTTTACTGACCAAGCTTGCACAGAACAGCAACAAAAATGCCTTCTAACAACAGCTCGTCCACCTCCGTCACCACCATTGGCTCCACCAAGAGCTCCACCCCTGACAAGGGCATCGTCCCCGCGGACAACCTCGTCAAGAAGGCTAACGGCCAGAAGTCCGTCGCCGCTACGCCTTCGGGCTTCAAATTCATCTTCGAAGACGAGATGCTGCAGCATCTCATGCTGCTCAACTCTTGAGACAGGAGAGGTACAGTAAATCAATCGGGTTACCCTCGTACAGACGAGACTGAAGGGTGTCAAGAAGTAGGCACCGAGGGGATGGCACAACCAAGAGAGCCGGTCATGGCACTTTGATATGGCCTTGAGGGATAGCGGGAGAGTGAGTCTTTGACTCTAATCGTCACCCCAGAAGCTAATATCTCTCCCAGGTCCTATAGCAGGAAATCGCAGCTTCGTTGCAGCACTTCAATTTGTGCCATGTGGACTGATGAGTGATGAGATGAGATGAATAGCAAACTGACCGACGTTTCGACACCAGGTTCCACGCCGGTACACAGCTAATGTTACCGTGGTACGGGATGCATTGTAAGGATGATAAACAGTCAGCACCGGTTGGTTGTTTGCCGACCATAGGCGGGAGAGGCTCTTTTACGGGGCCCGCCTTGCTCGCCATGAAGACGTCGCCGAGGACATGAAGAGCTTCGTGTGCTGGACCGGCTCCGCATCGAGCCAATGCGTCAACCAAGCGAAACGAAGCCTTGTACTTTACATCTTCAACGACTGGTGTACTTGTTGTTCGTCCTGAGACGGGATCTCTGGAGTCGGCTTCGACAAGAGTCATCTTTGCGAGCTTGAATCTGGAATGTTCCCTTCGAAAAACGGTTGATGCCGAACCGCACCACTCTTCACCCCGAGCAAGTGCGTCGGGCGCTCTATGGCGTTCTAGCCTGGGAGCAAGGGCTCTCGCTAATGACCTGCTTCCTGTTTGCGGCTTTGTCAAGAGTAGACGCGTACACAGACTCTTGATACCAAGCTGTACTGGTGTTCCAAGTGACACTTGGCCGCACAGCCACATGAGAGGTCTCCCATCTTGAATGTTCTGATCGACTGGCAGACCCAGTTTCTCATCTCTTTCTGGCGCTCAATACTCCAGATAATCTTTCAGAAGCAAAACGAAACACCTGTAATGGCTCAGAAGTATCGACGGGAGCGACTCCGGCAGTTTAACATTTCGCACTCAAGGCTGGAGATCGACAGATCGCAACAAATCTTGGCAGAACCGTTTGAATCCACGCTTGCTTGTCCATGGAGAGCATGAGTTCTGGGCCCGGCTTGGTGAGCTCCCAGTGATATACCAGAGTTGACTTGATTTGCCGTATGCATTTTGATAGCCAGTATGTGTGCAATATTCGGCTTTCGAAATTGGCTGAAGGCTGAATCTACGTTCCATCGGGTGGTAAGCTTCCATGGATGTACAGAACAGACACTACTGATGAGTCGCCAGGCAAACCCTTCGAGCATGGAGACGAAAGTCGAGTTGGTGATCGATTGCTCTGGTGTGGCGATGCGATGATGTTTCAACAAACTGTCGACAGTGTCATCGATAATGTGTTTGAGGCCGGGAAACACACTGACAAAATCATTGCATCAAGCTCTCTTTCTGGACAAAAACAAAAACAGAATGCTGGAAAGACTGGAAAAGAAAAAAGAAAAAGAAAATAAAAGGGAAATTTGCATCAAGCCCTCTTTCTGTGGAATCAGAAGAGACGACTAGCCATACCTTGAACCCGAGCGATCTCTCAGAATGACCCTGGGTACATCCTTTAGAGAGCATACTGGTGTGGCTGAGCTACTGGAGCGGTCTCTCGACTGATCACGCGCTTTGGTGGTGGTCTTACGGCAGGAGAAGCTCCGGCCTGCCAAATCTGTGGTCATCACATCAGATACTCCCGGATACCTCGGACATGAGCTCACGAAACAAAACAGCGTTATTGTTGCAAAGTTAACTCCATATTGGTTTCGATTGACCGCGTTCAGGCGGCTCTCTGTTCTGTTCTCGCAAAAGGGGTATATCAACAGCTTGTATCACTGCCACCGACGCCGTACATGCATTTTTCTTCGCTGGATCGTCAAAAGCATCAACTCGTCAAGACTTTGTCGCTGGTATCGTTTACCAGAATCGCCAGATGATGAAGATCAGGATGATCGTACCGAGAGCGGCGAATGGACCGTACTGTTTCACGATGGGTCAGCAGAGTCAAGGACATCGCTTGTTGCTGAGAACACACCTGCTTCAAAAGCAGCTCCCAGTTGATCCTCACTGCGGCACGCTTGTACTTCTTGCTGGACTCTCTCAGGTCGGAACTCATCTGTCCCATTCTGTCCAAGCTGTCGCCACGGTAGAGCAAGTCTTCCAAGTTCTTGGACATGATCTGTGTCGTCTCTTTCAATTGTGCTTGTACCTTGTCGAGGTTGTTCGAGGCCCTTGGGTTCTCGTATGACTTTTTGGTGCGCTGCATAAAGGTGTCGAAATCGTTGAACGCGTACGGACGGAGTGTTCCCGAACGGTAATCGACATCTCTGTGTGTACTCAAGAATTCCGCCGAGACATCGTCGAGGTACATGGCAGCGAGCTCCTTCGGGAAGGAGCGCTCGGTGATGGCGAAGAAGATGAGATCTTCGTGGCGGTAATAGCTGTGAGCACCGGTCAGATACTGTCCGGATGCCTGCAGAGGCTTGAGAGACGCACTGAAGTTTGTAATCACCCGACTCGATGGCTGCGCGTGGTTCGGAGGTGTTGTTCATCTTGCGAACGAGCGTTCGCTGCTGATTCTTCAGATTCGTGATGGTGTCATCGTTCTGTACGCCATGAGTATCGTCACGCTCCAACAGCCTTGTTTGTACTGACAGGGGAATTCTCGATCGATGCTGAGAGCATCAGCCCGTCCAAGCGGACAATTTGGGTCGAGTAGATGGGCATTGTGAGACGTCTTCTGTGTCTTCTGGATTCGGTGATCAGCTTTTTGGGCTTTTCGTTTGTTGATCGCGGTAAGTCTGGAATTGGAAGGCTTGAATCTCTGACTGCAGTATGCCCTCAACTGCTCAGACTTTGGTTGCAGACAATATTGGCAGACCAGAGTTGCTCCTGACTGATTGATTGTTGACATATGGCATCTTCCGAGGCAGTTGGAAGGCATACGTCATCAGAGATTCTGCATACCGTATCCCAGGAAGGCGCACTCACATTCTGGACGGTATCTGAGAACTCGATACGATTTACAAGGGCACTTGATGGATGGCAAGGGCAATACAGGTGTTTTGGGTGAGATGAATGAGCTTCCCAAGACAAAGACCCAGCTTGTCAGTTTGAACATCCAGTCGGCGAAGGGCTCCAAAGCTCCGACCACCGAAGGCGGTGAGCGTCTGCCAGGAGTGACTGATCAGCATGAAGGACTGCTTCAGCTTGTTATGCTATCTACGGTCTACACTATGCTTGTGTACTTGAAGAATGGCACGAAGTCTCAGTTTCCTCCACTCTTCTGCTGAAGAACCTGTAGAGAGGAGCCCCGGAGAGGAGACTGCTATGGGATATGATGAGGCCACACATGTCACCTCACTAGCCCTGCAAAAGGTTGCCAAGTATAACTCAACATCACATGGAGAAGGTCGACAGTGGTACAGCTTCATACACTGGATATTCCGGTAGTAGCGCTACCTTGATGTTCCAAGGTTCAGTTGAAGCAGGCATGGCTGCCGAGGGCCTTGTCTCCCACTGTTGACGGTCACAGTGCTGAGGCATTTTTCTAGCTAATCGTGGTGCTTGTTATTGGGAGTGGGCTAGTAGAAGATACTGGTCATGCAAGTTCTGGTCGTGTTAGTGCTTCTCGAAGGTGCTGTCGATGGGTACGACATAGCCCGAAGTGAGGTTGGATAATGATGACAGTCAGAGGAAGGAGAAGGAGAGCATCGAGGGTTTGCGTCGAGATTCGCTTTCCCGGGTCGGTGGTTGTGAGCGTCAAAATTCAAGACGCTCGTCTTCGTTTCAAAGCTGACCGACCAAATTGTTTCAACCTCTCTCTCGCATACACCTCAGAATCATCTCCTCATCTCGCTATTGCCATCATGGACTCTGTAAGTACATTCACAATCTCCTCATCAACACACTGCACACGTCACATCCTCTCTCACCTCGCACGTACGTGCCCTTCTGTTCGGGAAGTGGCCATGCGCACCACGAGCAACCAACCAGTGCCACCATGGTTTTGCACCTCTTTGCTCCTCTCCAGGAAGGCTTCCACATCACCTCATCATAAGGTCTCGCAGCTGCTCGGATTGTCGACGAGTCACCTCGTTTACGAGTCCTGAATCGAGTCTCTCGTCCATGCCTCGAAGGTCTCAGCAATCATGAGATCTTTTACCACAGTCTTCCGTTTGCCACTCCAGAAGCAGATTGGGGTATTCTCAACTCCGACTACGCATCTCTGCTTTCCGGGTCAAACTTCCGCACACTGCCTAGGCTCGCGCGCTGCCAAAGCAGACAGCAGACACGCAAGATCTTGACCTTCTGAACAACCTTGATCCTAGCAGCTCACACAATCATGACTACCCTCTACCGCAACTTCCGAAACGATGATATCAGAACGAGAACATTCTGCCAACTCTCCCGATCAGTTCACGCACTTCCTTTTCTCGCAGATCACTCCGCCTGTGTTCTGAATACTTCGTTCCGCAAACAGCAGCATAATCAAGACGAAGGTTTACCACCCGCTACTATTACCAACGCCAACACTCTTAGGCACCACCTAAAATCGCAGTCGCGCCTACACCATGCACCGAAAGGTGACTGAAGCTTTGGAGTCAGGCTTCTACTCTTCAAGGCTACTCGATGTTCACTCATACGGTTCGGAGTGCCCTGGCTCACAACACAAGTATCCGGTTTATGAAAGTTCTTAGGCTCTTCGTCTTTTCCTCGACGTCGTTACGGCTCGGCCAGATTGAAATGACCAGGACAAGACTTTCTTATCGCCGATACTTACCCAAGCAATATTGAATCGCTCTTTCCAGCCAGGCTGAATTCATTGAGGCTAAGGCCTTAGCAACGAGAATGACTCGAAAAGATCGATGGACATACACAACTCAAGGCCTCTGGGTCAATACGGCGCCAGATGACAACCCTGTCCTGTCATCAAGCCAAGTCATCTTTCGGGTTCAATCCGTTCCTCGAGAAAGAGATAGCAAAAGTGCCAGACGGGGCATATGTGGCCTTATCGCTATTACAGTCGACCCTGATAGCAGACAAAGCTTCATACTGTCAGAATCACTGTTGATTCACATCATGATAGACCTGACTGTCACCGCCTTCAGACAAGACACTGCCAGCTCAGGCGCACGGACCAGCTTCATCTTTTAGACACGATCAACGCTCCAACACTCTTTCTTCCTTCACATCACAACACACTTTTTTTTTTTCAACGCCACTAACACCCCGTCAGAAGCATCCAGATCCTTCTCACCAACAACGAGTCGCTGCCTTCTTCGCGCGTGGCGATCCTTTCAAATTCCGAGAACCAATCCATACTCGATCATCTCATCAACCTCAGCGCATTCCCCTTAGAATTCGCAGGAACCAGCAGCTTCCAAATCTCAAAGTCACAGAAGAACTTGACATCAAGACCCAACCTGTCCACGAGACAGTTCGCGACTTCATCTGGCGCATCTTCTTCTCCCGACCAACTCCAGTCTCCGCTGAACAAGAGCAAGAATACTTCCAACTCATCACCATCAAACACCTCTACAACATCGTCGTTGACAACATGTCCGACCGACTCATCACCCAAGCCAACTCAAGGCTCACCAAGACCAATGTCGTTGTAAGTCGTCTCTCCTGGATACAACTGCATCCTCTTGCAACATCACCATGATAGCTGATAGGTTTTTCAGAAATTACTGACCAAAGAGGAGGCCTGGTCCTCACTGGACCTCGAGACCAGACAAGAGCTTTACAGCATGCTCCCCAGGTCCCTCAACGGCAATGAGGTTGCCCACGATCCCGAGGTCCACCCCCTCAAGACGGGCTTCGCCAAATACATCAAGCACTTCATCTATGAGTGGGAGCAGGACCTCGCCGCCGGCCGCAACACGGCCAAGTGGCAGAGAGAGGCCAAGCAGGCCACCGGAAACCGTGCCGCTGGGGTCTACGACGACCCGAAGGAAAAGGAGCGCGAGGAGTACTGGGGTCAGAAGTACGACCCAGAGCACTTCAAGGGCCACAGACCTGTCGCCGCTACCTCCAATGACCCCGTCACCCCTGACGAGACCGCCGAGGAGGGCGACACTCCCACCGCCATGGAGCAGTAAGGGGTGATAGTTCATGCATTGCTACGATGATACGATTAACGACGAGATGGCTGGAGATGGCTTTGTAAAACAGAAATCCACGAGAAGAATTTCTCCCCCAAAACAAATCATGTGCCAAAATATCTATCAGAATGCAAAAGTAGATTGTGATTTTTGAGCATGTCCACGGAGATGCCAACAGTATCATCTCCTTTCCGGACTCTCACTGGCCATGTCGGCCCATCAGAATAAGTTCTTGCATTTCTATAGTATCATATCGTAGGAGCGTCGGGCGTTGGGAACACGCAATGTTTGCAACAGAATCTGAGCATCCTAACGCCGCAACCAAAACCAAGTCCATTCTGCAAACGAGTATTACACAACCATACTACACCGCCTATACTCATACTGGAATCGTGGGACAGGGTCAGGAACTCCCAGAGAACTCCTTCAAATCATCTAGATTTCGCCATAGATCTACCTCGGGAGCAACGACTCGATCGCAAAACTCTTCACCACCATGGCGCCGACGACATTGCAACACCGTCGCACCCACAATCTGCTATTGATTTCGAAACTTTTATCTCAACGCGAGAATGTGTCGCCATTCACTCTGATTGTGGATAATTTGGAGCAATCTGGAAAACCTGTGTTGAGAGAATATGTCCGCCGGGCTACGGTATGCCTCAAAATATGTTATAAGTTCAAGTTTCAAAGCTGATGTGGTTTACAGGCAGCAAAGACCGAAGTTATCTTCGTATCGTTCGAGACGTTGAAGAAACCGAAAGATGTTGGTGTTTTTGTCAAGGCTTGGGAGAGTGGTGTGCAGCAGGCTCAGAAGGAGGTTGGCGCATTAATCGCGAAGGCGACACAGACACAGCAGCGTAAGTCATTTTTGGCAATGTCTTTTCGAATGTGCTCGGTTGCTAAAGTTATACTTGCAGGCAAGCTTCTGATCATCGACAACCTCAATACACTGGCTTCGGATCCATCAACAGCAGCGAACCTTCCAGCACTTCTATCTTCCTTTCTATCACCTACAGTATCACTGGTAGCAGTGTACCACGCTGATATTCCGACTCCACCAAGCATAACTTCAGCATCACCATACACACCTCAGCCGCTTACAGTACTCAAGTACCTAGCGACCACAATTCTAACCACACACGCACTTAACCACATCCTCACAGCAAAGGCAGCACGCGAACGCAGTGTCGCTGAGCCCGTCTTCGGCCTAGCCGAAGAGACCGAAGGTATACTGCTTGGTCTCGGCGGTAACTCACCCTCAGGCTTAGTCCTCGAGATGGAGTACCGCCGTAAGTCCGGCCGTGGTGTACGAGAGTGGTACTTCCTGCCTCACCCATCACTGCAGAAGCACGAAGCTGTCGGTGTGAGGAATAGATTCAAGGAGACTGTTATGCTTCTGGAGGATCATGTGCTATATCGCAGGCCTGCTGAAGAGAAGGAGCAGGCCGGAGATGACATGGACGTCACGTTCGAACTGGGGCTTACAGACAGGCAAAGGCAGGCCAGAGAGGGTGTTGTTCTGCCGTACTTTGATGCGCAGAAGGGTGGTGGCGAGGGCGGTAGGATTCTATATGATATGGGCGAGGAGGATGACTTTGATGAGGAAGAAGATGAGATTTGAGGTCGTTTATCTCTATACAAGATATATGGGACTTCTGCCTGACAATGCTAAAAGTTTGATGTCGAAGTGTGACCCTGTCTTTCCCGGAATTGAAGACCGCCGAAGCTCTTCTTGCTTGCGACTTCGACAACGAATTTGGCAGACAGTCATCTTCAGCTCGAACCATCTGCATCAACACTTTATCCGTCCAATAAACATATTACAACCCCTCACCAGCCTGCTCAAACACTCCCACCAACTCACTTGACTGCGCGCGAACGCTCCCTCTCACATCACAATCAAAATGGCGCCTCGCGACCAAAGTCCTCGCGCAAGCGACAACCGCCGCCCATACTCAGACCGCCGCGACCACAACCCAAGAGACACACGCGACACCCGCGACTCACGACCCCGCCGCGACAGAAGCAACTCCCGCGATCGCGCTCCCCACTCTTCCCGCGGCGGCGGCAGAGGCGGCAACGCATACAGAGGCTCAGACCGCGACAATCGTCAAAACCGCTCTCGCTCTCCCAATCGCTCCTCCTACAATGGCAACAACAACAACACACGCCAACGTTCTCCTCCCCGCGCACCACGCGGCGCACCCAACACCCGCGATCGCAAACCTGTCAAAGCTGAAGAACCTCCTGCTCAAGTGATCGATCCCAACGAGGATGAGGAGACTGCGATGAAGAGGGTGATGGGTTTCGTCGGCTTCAGGAGTACGAAAAACACAAAAGTGCCGGGAAATGACAAGTTGTATGGTGTGAGGAAGGACAAGAAGACCGAGTACCGACAGTACATGAACCGTGTCGGTGGATTCAACAGGCCTTTGAGTCCTACGAGATTGTGAGAAAGAGGATGAGGAAGAGCACTACTGGTTATGCGTTTTTCAGCGATGGCGTTTTGGACAGGCATGCTTTTGGGGGCAGAAAGAGGGGCTTGGTCAAGCTTGCAGGCTATGAGTTGAGATGCAGAGAAATAAGAGGATTCCAACACCAGGCAGTCACTATCGCTTATGGTACAACTTAAACCACGTTTGAACAACTCGGTATGATTGCTGAAGAATTATTTTGGGACCTCGATATGTACAATTATCCCGGAAGAGTTAAACATTACCACCTGCCATTAAAGGAACACCGACCGAAGAAAAATAAACCGGCAACACAAAACACCAGTAGAAGATCAGAGACCGACTCATCGTGACCAGCTTCGAGAAAACAAAGCCACCACTTTCTCAATGATGCCCACCAGCAGCATGAGCAATACTCCTCTTCAACCTCAACGTCGGATCCTGCAACGCCGGCCTAACAAACGAATAAACACCAAAACTAAGAGAAAATCCGCAAACAACGACTATCACCATCAATCAGCGACTTCGCCTTTACCATATCATATCACAGGAGTTTTGGAAACTTACACAAAGGATATGTTTCGACGGGCAAGGATTTGATCCAATATCTCACTCGTTGGGATGCTGTGTGGGCGGCTTGTTCTTCTCTTGCCGCTGCTTGGAGGAGTTTGGGTGTGGAGTGGATGAGGCGGGTTGGTGTTGTTGAGAGGGTTGCTCGTGAGGCTTGGAGGAGTGTGCGTTGGGCGAGCATGTTTGGCTTGTGTGTTGATGTTGGTTCTTGACTTGCTTGAGTGGAGAGCAGAGTGGAGATTGGTATGATCTGTGTGTGGTTGAGTGGAGATCCAAACTGAGTTGAGATGTGTGACAGAAAAGCAACAAACAAAGTGTATACAACCTCACTATATACCAACAACCTCATATATCGCTCACCATCTACTATCCTGTTCTTGTCTACAAAGTAGGGCTTGTAAGACGACAATATCTGGTCATCACGCCGTCGTAGGATTCTACCATGCCGTTCGCTGCCGAAAAAATATCTATACAGCATGCACTCGGAAACATCTACCGGCAGTATGCATGATGCGACTCGTTCGCATGATCCAAGACCTGTCATGGAAGTCTTCGGGAAATAGCCGCGCGGTTAATCGATGTTGTGAGGATTGAAAAGGGAAAGCTGGTGAGATGAGGTGAGTGGTTGACAGGCAGGAGATGTCAGGCCACTGTCGGGTTTGGAGGTCGGCGTCGACCGGCAGGTGCTCGAAAGGACAGCTCGAGTATCTCTCTGCTTGCAGGTTCACTCAATATTTGCCTTCCTACCATGCAAATGAATTGTCAGTATATTCGACAATGTGCAAGATGAAAGAATGCTTCGTTACAGCGTTCACTACTCATAGCACAGGAGCATCTGGAAGGACGAGCGAGCTCAGCTAGTCCTCGGACCGACACGTCTGAATGACGCGTAAATTCTGCACAATCGACACAGCACTTGTTGACGAACATACTCTCGGAAGACAATTTATACTATCATACTCTCATCGACTGGCCTATGGAAGAACATCAGTAAAGCCGAACGCGTCAATGGCCTGACGAACCCTCAAGACCATGACATTGACGACCCGACCCATACAAGCGCGACCCCTCTACATTGCCTTCGTCTTCATCAAATGTTGATATCTTGTCGTCGTTCGTCTTCGCATCCTCTTGCCAAAGACTATGAAGAAGACCGCGAACATGGTGACAGCAAAGCTCAAGCAACCAACAAAGATGAAGGTATTTTGTAGCCCCATTCCATCAATCCAGGACTGGATCCCGAAGGAGATACCGAAGCCGATGATATTCCTCAACAAGATAATGGTCGTGATGACTTGCGTGTCAATCTCTTTGTAGGAGTCGAGGATATAGCTCATCGTCACTGTACCACCAACACTAAGACCGAACCCGACAAGACCCATGCCGAAGACTGGAGCGATCCAATGCAGACCGTGAGCTGCTGTAGCGCCATACATGATCAAACCACCCGGCATAATTATGGCCGATGGGATGAAAGCCCACAGACGGTATTCTGGCTCTCTCCAGCCTCGGTTCCGGTTGCTCAGATACACCGTAAGGCGATCGTTCAATGGACCCGAGAAGTAGGCTCCAATCAGGGATCCGATCAAGGGTGAAAACCACACCAAGCCCACATCGCTGTTGGAAAATAGATAGGGTGGTGGCGAGAAGATCAAGGCGACAGTTGTGCCCATGACTGCTAACCAAGACACACATGTACCATAATTCAAGCCACACTGACATTGATTAGCTTCGCGTAAGGAAGAAGTAGCAGAATGACTCACCCAGAAAACTGCGGGAAGGTTAATGCATTTGAGTGGTATCCACCACTCTGTGAAGACTGCAGTCCACGTAGTCGGATAGGTCTTCCAGAGACTGTACTGTATTCGGAATCCATCCGCATCGAACACCTCGCCAACGATGGCTTCGGGAGGCTGGTGTACGCTCAGATCATCCGCTTCTTTTGATGTGGACTTGGTTGTCAACGTCTTATCGAGCTCAGGCATATCCATGGTGCTGACTAAAGCTTCGTCATGCATGTCCAAAGGGCGGATGAAGTGTGTCTCTTCCAGAGTGAAGAAGAATAGCACAAGCAGGGCACCAACAATGATGACACCCCACCAGTACATCCACCTCACACCCTGGCCAGTGACCATGTATCCACCACAAACGGGACCAACGAAGCTTCCGAATGCCAGACCGAACACATAAGCGCCGAGCTTGCCGCCACGCTCGTGAGCGAAATAGATGTCCGAGATGGAGATGGCTGGCAGGGCCTCGAACGGTGCTGATCCCAAGCCTCGAAGTATGTTGACACCCCAGTATTCGCCATATTGCTTCGAAACGGCCATCCAGATTTCTGAAATGAATACCAGTAAGAGAGTCCATATGTAGATTGATCGTCGACCAAATTCTGACCGAGTTAGTGTGCAGCTCTTCGAAGTTGTTCAGACACATGCTTACTGTTTGATAAGGGGACAAAGAAGACATTGCCGACTCCAAGCAGCAGGAGCATCACTACTCCAGCATAGTTCAGCTTGTTGATACCAGTATGATAGATCTGTACTAGGTTGAGGTACACGACGGAGTCTCCATTGGTGATGGCTCCAAGGGTGGAGCTGTAGAGTCTGATTGTGTGTCAGCAGCCTTCATTCCAACAGTGCAATTTACCCAGGCTACTTACACTAGAAGGAGCAAGTGGTATGTCTTTCGCCATCTCGACCAACGAAGGGGGTCTCGAGGATTACTCGACGGCGTAGGCATCAGGATGATATCTCTCGAGGAGAAGCCATCTTGATGGGCACCTTGTACGAGATACACCGTGCCAGGGACTACATCGTAGTCCGGGACGTCTTGTCGAACAGACTCCATGTTGGTAGAAGATAGAATGTCGAGATCGTTTCGCAGAAGTGAGGAGGTAGGAGTGTGGACTTCAAAAAGGCTCGATGATCACTATGCCTTATGTATAGGACGATGTGCTTTGAGCAATGGCTCGAGATATCAAGAGCAGAGTCGACGGCAGTTGCTGATGAGGGCAGATTGTCTCTCGACGGAAGTCGCCCGCTCCAGCTGAATGGTTCTGCATCTTATCCTTCTCTGCGAGTTGTGCGCAGCGGCTCTGGGATACACAAGGTGGCTTGTCAACTCCAAAGGCCGAGCCAGATAAGATGGTGGTCATTCGAGTTGAGACGTTCGCAAGTCCCTTCCCAATTGGGTACCAGCGCTTTTTAGCGTCGTTCGCTAGCATCCCCCGCGTTTGGCTGATACCCTGATGAACCTTCCACCTCTCCTAGGCCCTCCGCCATATGCTAAACTCCGTCACTCTTAGCTTCCGGCGCCGCGATTGGAGTCTTCCAGGCTACAGGAGTGCACAGTCTTTCTGAAACTGGCACTATTGTCCACAGAGAAGCGTGGACTGTTACGCCCTCAATGGAAGCCAAACATGATGTCGTAAGAATCGTGCATCGCTGCAGCTACACCCGTGACAAAATTTGGCACATGGGAAGGAGCGTAGTTGCCAACTGATAGACAGGATGATCAAAGATGCTTATCAGACAGGACCGCCTTTTAGCGTGTCTGCGTCTCGATCTCCTAGCCAGGAACTGCCGCCCTTTGGCACACGACAACCCCTCACTTTGAGATACGTGAACGTCCGGGATACGGTTGAAACAGATGCCGGAGCGGATCGAACCCGCTCTTCACCAAAAGATGGCTCCTGAGTTATGTCTCGTCAGGCTGAGTGCTCGATAAAAGGCTAGACTTCACCTCTGCTTGCAACCTCAAACCTCTTTCTCCATCGGATAGCACTGCATTGCAAGACACTATGGCCGGCGACAAGACCTACATTGATATCTCTAGAGCAAAGTGTGAGCAAAGGGATCGGCTTATAAGAGACGAGTGGAAGATTTCTCAAAAGCTAGCCCTTGGCAACAATGTTCTTGAGGTACCCAGGACCTGTGGTGTTCTATCAGAGCGCGAGATCAACATCACCGAGTACAACGACGCCCTTGACATCATTGAGAGAATTCGTCAGCAAGTGTATACTGCAGAGGAGGTCGCTTTAGCTTTTTGCAAGCGTGCTGCTATCGCACAACAACTGGTAGGTCTCAACCCCTCTGTCGAAAGACACGACTGACCACTTTAGACCAACTGTCTTACGGAGATCTTCTTTGAAGAAGCTATCGAACGGGCTCGCCAACTTGACAAAGAGCGAGCAGTCAACCCATCTACGCCTTTGAAGCCCTTGCATGGACTCCCCATATCGCTCAAAGACTCCTTCAACATTCCTGGTCTTGACTCAACGATCGGCATGACCTACTTTGCCAACAAGCCAGCTACTGAATACTCCGCTCTTCCAAAGTTGCTACTGGATCTTGGTGCAGTGCTCTATTGCAAGACCAACGTACCACAGACCATGATGACTGCAGACTCCGACAACAACGTCTTTGGCCGAACCCTCAATCCATCGAATTTGAAGTTGACCGCAGGCGGCTCTTCCGGAGGCGAGGGCTCTTTGATCGCCATGAAAGGCAGTGTCTTAGGTATTGGCACAGATATCGCGGGTAGTATCCGCATCCCCAGTGTTTGCAATGGCATCTACGGCGCCCGGCCAAGTTCTGGCATCGTTCCATTCGCTGGTCAACAATCACCAGAAGATCCGGGTATGCCTGGTATTGAAGTGGTGGCCGGTCCTATGGCTATATCTATGAGAGCATGCTCCTTCTTTATGAAGACCATAATGAGCGCCGAGCCATGGCGCTACGATTCATCTTGCCTGCATCTTCGCTGGCAGGGCCAACTAAACAGTCGTAAGCCACGCATTGGCGTAGTGTTTGACGACGGCCTCTATACGCCTTTTCCGCCAGTCCGTCGCGCTATCCAAGAGGCTGCGCAGAAACTCCGAGATTCAGGTGTCGATGTTGTAGAATTGCGATTGCCAAATGTAGCAGAAGCAGTAGGCATCACATACGGGATGTTTGCACTAGATGGCTGTCAGGTAAGTACCTTCGATACAACACAGGCTCTGGCTAACGCATTCCAACTCAGTTTGTTCAAGATCTCATCAAGGCAGGCAAGGAGCCGGAAGTCGAGTCTGTCAAGAGGGTCAACTTAGCCGCCATCCCCAAGAGTAGTTTGCAAGACTATATGGACCTGAATGCTGGTAGACGCAAGCTACAGGCCGTCTATCACGACTTTTGGCTCGGAAACAACTTGGACGCTCTCATACTGCCTCCCGCACCACAGACAGCGACACCTTTCGACGAATGGGGACCGATTAGCTATACTATGCTGTGGAACTTCCTCGACTACCCGGCCACTATCATCCCAACTGGAAGGGTACAGGAGTCAGATGTTGTCGATGGAGAAGAGTCTGCCTTATACAGCGAAGCAGATCTGAAGAACTACAAGCTTTGTAAGTGCCGCAACAGCACTAAACGAGCTCCGCTAACAAGGCTTGCAAGATGACTCTACTGAAACATACAGAGACGCGCCCCTTTCTATCCAGGTTGTGGGCATGAGACAAGAGGATGAAGCATTGGCTGAGATCGCTGGACTAGTGGACAGTATTCTGAACCACTCCGAGACAGGATGACTTGGGACCAGACCTAATTGATGTGTATAGATGGAACAGAATCCACGCCTGAGCTAAGATCCCTGTCACTTCCGGTGTGTCAAAGTAGCCATTGAAAGGCAGTTTGTGTTTTGTAATGAGTTACCTGTCCTCCGAGGGCGCATACTCCTTCGAACTCTCCCTGGACACTGCACGAGTGCACCTCCATCGACAATCATCCTGCCTTTCGATGGCCGCATTCAAAGGCATTTCGATAGGCTGAGAACTCAGTTCTGGTTCGATTTATGGGCCCTTAGATTTACACTACATGAAATTCGTCAACTCATAAGCATCTATCAAGATTTTGCTTTCGTCCATCGCCAGAACACCAATCGCGAAGACACTGTTCATCCAATCGTACGGCCCAGAGGCTTCGAACTGCAACCTGGTAAACCACTCCACTTCATCCTGTGTCATACGAGTTCGAGCTGCAGGGTTGATATCGACTCCAGGTCCAGGTTTGAAGATGCCTTTGGAGCGTACGTAGATGTAATGGCCGTCGTCAGTTTTCAGGGTGTATCTAGCATCCAAACGCATGAGCTGAGAGGTGTAAGCAGCCGCTCGTGTCCGAAGTGATTCCCAACTTACGCCAGTTCCCCCAATTGCAAGTCCCCAATCTGCTCCGCTCATGGTTTGTATGATGGCTGAGATACGAGGTCCCTTGACAGTACCGCCAACAATTGGCATGATGACTCTTGCGTTGCTCGTCCCGAATTGAGCCCCGACAACGTGGTTTTCTTGAGACATCTCGCATTCGAGATGGTACATAAATTTCAAGGAAGGTGTACGCATCTTGAATTCGTTGGTAGAGTCTCCATTGTCAGGCGAATCGTTGGTGTGGCTTGCTGAAGACATGTCGAGTGCTTTTGAGAAGCTGAATGATCAATTTTGAGAGGAGGGCAGCATGGTTTTATATCCTTCGCAAGCATAATACTGCCAATCTATGATCTACCGCGCCTATACTTACCGAATGTGGTAACCGAGGTGTGCTTCGGGTCGAGCTTGCCTCAGCCAGGGTGCTCCCCGCCACGACGGCTGATCATCTTCCCGTGGAAGGCAGATCCACGAGAGCTCTTTCCTACAATCAAGTCATCACTTTTACACTACATCTTGCGGCAGTGTGATTACTCGGGCCATAGTCTCGATCATGTCCTTCCATATCGCAACCTGTTTTACCCCCCGCCCCGCATTTGTCTCATTCGGCAGATAACAGCTGGAAGCAACGATTGGACAGCTCCGACAACGCTCTTTCCACGGACATGCTCTTCCCTAGACCGTGAATCCTAGACCGTGAATCAACATGTTTGCGAATTTCTCAAGCACGAGCGAAGGCCCGGTAGAATCAAAGCCCCGACCGAAGCCCAATGGCTTGAATCTCAGCTGTCTACCTTGTGAGTCGTGTGAACGCTGATGCACTTCCATTTACTGATTATACTGGTCATCAAGGTCGGAGGAAAAAGAAAAGGTGTGATGCTGCCAGACCCACATGTGGCAGATGTCGAAATAGCTATGGTCGAGACGTATGTGTATGGTCTGATGAGAAAAGAAACCGAAGCCGTCAATCTCGGGAGATAAAAGCAGACCAATGGCATATACAATCAGACTCGAGCCCTTCGACCACACCTCAAAGCTCCTCCTGGGAAGTCGTAAAGTCCAATACATCAACCAACTCAATCACTTCTCCGGTAGCAGACTGTCCGATGGATCTCAGATTTCATGGCTTCTGTCCGTGGACCATACCCGACGCCGTGACTAACATATCCCCGTATGATTGATCACGGGACATCAAAAGAGAGCCTTGCTAATCTTTCACAGCGACCTTTCGCCCCAAATGTTCCTCAACATTTCTACAACCTTCCAGAGGCGGATCCTCTGTCTTGATATCGATTTCAAGGATTCAATCATCATGGACAGTCTTCCGCTCGCGCTCGATCACCCACCTCTTCTCCACGCCTGGGTGGCATGTAGTGTCATAGCCCTGTCGCGTTCCATGCCATACTGGTACGAAAAGGCCATCAAGCATTACGACAGCGCCGTGAGTGGGTTGAGCCGTGCTCTGCAGGCACAAAATGAGACTGGTGACAAGTGGAAGAGAGAGACAGTGATACTTCTACATCTATTCGAGGTAAATATACTGTCAAGTCTTTGCTTGACAAACGCTAAACCTGGTACAGGGGTTTCAATCAAGAAGCGACGAGTCTGCACTCGGCAAGGCTCACCTTCGCGGAGCGCACGAATTGTTCAACCCAAGAGTCAAAGACAAGTCTCCCATGAGCTATCACGAAGCATTGGTACTGGAGGGCTATATCATGCATACTACTAACAACTACCTCTTCCAACCCGACTCGCAATTGCCATTGGATCATATCACAAAGGCAGCAGAGACACTCGTCTCAGCCTTGGAACAACTGGGTCTAAGTTGCAACTGGCGTCATAGTCCGTGGATCGGGTTTGGAGGCCCCGAGCTCGCAGATCTGGTTTTTAGAGCATCATGGCTTGGGCATAAAACAAGCTTGAATACTGACGACCGGCAACAAGTGGAGAACATCATCACACGCCTGTCCTCGTGGACTTCTCCAGCGTGCTTTGAAGAATCGTTGACGACACATCTCGATCTCCCTCCGAAGCGCTTGGGTCTGCTGGCCAAAGCATATTGGTGTGCATGCTCATATCTGATCACGCATCTCTCACACCACGACGGCAACCCCATGGTATCTGACGATACTGCCTTCGTCACCGAGACCCTTGAGCTCTTAGACCAGCTCACCGAGTATGAGCAGACGATAAACAATCACTTGTGGCCGTTAATTGTTGTTGGTACGGCAGCAACAAGCTTGGAAAGTCAGGAGCACATCAGATCGCTGCTACCGCAGTTCAATCAAGCTCTGGGACCAGGATCTGTAAAAAGAGCTGAGAGATTCCTGGAGGTGGCCTGGAGGGTCGACCACAATGGCGAGATGTATGGCCGAAAGATCTTCAAGGACAGAGATGCGCTATATCAGATGTTCTTCTGATCATGTAGTCGAGGCTACTCATGATGCAAAAGCAGTGCACACCATCAACATCACGAACAAAAACACCCGACGCGTCAAACATCCAGCAAAAACGGCAAAAAACCAGAGCGCAGCTCATATGGGAAAACTCCTCTACTGATCTTTCCTTGATCTTTGCCACCAGAATAAACAGCTTACACTGGCTCTCAAATTGATTTAAGACTACACATCGGAAAACCTTTCGAAAGTTTTAAGCGAATCTTGAGTGTAAGCCGTCACACCACTCAGCGGATTGCTGACATTAAATTCAATCTGGTTGGATTATATACACTCATGAGCGCGAGGGGACCATGGTTCGAAACTCAGGGGAGATTTTTCTGGATACTTTTGCATTTCCTCCTGATGGTTACCAGACATAAACATCTCGACATTCATTCCCATGGCCCCATGGTTTCTGGCATAGAGCGGATCTATCAAGGCACGAGTCCCTTGAGAATGGTGATGGTGTCCGATGAGAGTAATGATTTCTGCTACCTTTCACTGGACACATCCTCGATCTTCAAGAGCACCTCATCTTTTCGACAGGCGTGCGCTAATCCCCTATGGCCAGATGGAGACCCGACTGCCAGAACTGTTCTAAGGAGAAGACTTCTCAATCCCTGACACCATCAACCCACCTCCTGCTTCAACATCTCCGAACTCAGCCTCCAATTTCTGTCTTGAGCACCTTCCCAAACAAGAATCAAGGCACGAGCGAGCTTCCATAATCCCGCACGTTCTCGAAAACCGCTCCAACTATAGAGCTTTCATCAATCCATCACGCGAGCAAGACGAAAAGTCCCAGATACAAACCCCAACCATCCTCCACTCACGACACCATCATCTTAAAAGGTTCACCCTCGTGCTACACGACAAAGCTTCCAAAATCCGCCGTGCAAAGATAGAGGATATCGAAATCATCACGTTCGGGAGCCCAATTGTCAAAGGTGTATCCCTTCGGCTCAAACTGAGAGAGCCGCAAAGGGACATGTGATTGATGTAGTCGGCTGGTCGTGCTGCAGATCTTTCTAATTCCATGTGTGGGAAAAGAATTGATATAGTTGTAAAAGAACCAGTTGTCAAGTAGACGCAAGTGAGGGATATGGATATTGTGTGAGTGTGTGATGGTCTTTGCAAATTGTGCTTGGATTTTTAAGGTGAATGCCTGGCATCTTTTATGCTTGAGAAAGGACACATAGAGCGGATAAGGTTTTGTGTTATGTTAATTGCTGTCATCAATTGGATGTGAGTCTACCTAAGTTACAAAAGTCGTCAAATCAATTTCCTTCCTAGCCAGAGCGCTGTGTAACGCCAACACCATATGCTTTCCCATTCTTCCCAGCCCAAACCACTATATCATAAGAACAACTAACAAACATATCAACCCTGTGACGTCTGAGAGGGACCGTCCACTCCAATATCACCGTTCTGGAACTTGTTCAAATTCTTGAGCATGAAGCTGCGCTTGAAGTATGTGTTTGGATGTGTGATGGTGTCGAGCTCACTGGCGGGCCATAGTGATTGATCCTTCACCTTCTTGATCTCGTTCCTGTGTTGATGCTCAAAGACGCGGTTACATGCGATGTGGTAGCGAGTCTTTGTGACATCCTCCTTGACGCTCTTGAGGACTTCGCGATCGTTTACGCCGGTGGCTTGTAAGAGGCCCATGAGATTGTCTTGGCTGAACCATCGGTATGGACAACCGTGGCTTTGGCCGCTGCTCGGGATATCGGTGATGAGCTTCTGGCATGAGTAGGGAGTGTATCCTCTGCCTCGTCTGTTGGAGTCACCTCCGACATCACCATAAGCGTGACGGATGTTGTAGAGATATTCCTTCTTGAATTTGTCGTCGGTCATGAGTTTGAAGCTCTTTCTCCAGAAGACAATGCATTCATTCATGTCGAGACCAATGCCCTTCAGGAAGAGGGTGTATTGCAGTCTGGCGAAATGCTTCAAATGGCTGTTCTTGCGTAATTCGCGGTGGAGACTCTGCATGCAAAGAGGGAAGTGAGAAGCCAGAGCGTCGATCATGTTGGCAGTGATGACAGTCGTGTCGGAGATGGAGGAGGCATCGGCGTTGTACTGGGCGTCGGGTGAGGCGAAGGATTTGGAGAGATGAGTGAGGATGGGCGAGAGGCGGTTGTCCTCGTCCATACGCGGCAGAGCACGAGCGGCCAACTCGAGGCCGGCCTCGAGCTGTCTGCTGAACTCTCCAACGACCATGCTTGTCTGCTCGCGCATGTGGACAAAGGCCTTGCCCATCTTGAGAAGGACTTTCCGTTGGTCGACCAGCTCTGGCACGTTCTCCCAGTCGACCTTGAACCACGATTCCTCCTCGCCCTTGTATACACCAGTGGCACTCTTCAAATCGTCCAGCAAGCGGGACTTTTCGTCGTCGGATACCGTCTCCCAGCTCATGTTGAGGCTTTGAATGAAGTCCTTGCGTTCTCGTGCATCGTTCTGGTTGAGTCTCAGGCGGAAAAGTTGTGTCTCGAGTCTTGCGAAGCGCTTACGAAGGTCGTCGGTTGCGGAAAAGGCGAGGCGGAGAGTCCAATGCGAATAGTGGTCGCGTTTACGTTGAATCTCGTGTTCGGTCGATCGTGAAGAGTTCTGGTCCAGTCGTAGGTATTTCTCCAAGATGGGCTTCATGTACGTTTGTGTTTCTTCGGCACTGCGGTTGCGGAATTGGCATGATTCGAGTTCGGCCAGGACTGTGAAGGGCGAGTTAGGACATGGATGTATGACTGCAAGTTATGTTCATACCCTTCAGTCTTGCAATGCCCCACTCCTCAAACTCTTCAAGAGCAATGTCACCCGTCGGCGGTATGTTGTAGAAGTTCATGGCATGCTCGTAACTCTGCTCCTGCCATTGTGACTTTGCGAATTGCCTCTTGCGAGGATCCAGCACCGCTCTCCGCTTGTTGTCGAGTCTTGCAACAGGTCGAGCTGCCAACATCTTGAATGTGTTTTAATGTGTATAGTCTGATCAACAATTGGTCGTGATTACCACAAGACCGCGACTTCCTGAACGACGCGGCGTTCATCTGTCGCGACGCGTTTTGCCAAGAATTCAATCAACCATCCGCTTTTGTGCATTGCATCAATGTGCACAATTTCTTCATCTCTTTATACACATTATCATCTATTGTATATTATCCATGCTCTATCCAAGCAAGTCGCCGAGCTTGTTGACATATGCTGATGGAACCACAGGAGCATCTTCAGCCAAAAACTCTTCCTTCTTGCTAACACCAGTCAAAACGGCCAGTGTGCCTCCAAGCTTGCCCTCAATACCAAATTGAATGTCAGTGTTGAGGCGGTCTCCGATCATGCAGACGCGGCTGCGGTCGAATTGGAACTTGCCCTCGACTGCATCCATCATAGCCTGGCTGGGCTTTCCCAATGCCAGAGGCTCCTTGCCCCAAGCCTTGACGAGGGGTGCACCCACTGATCCAGCACCAGGGAAGAGGGTATGCGAGTTGGGCAGAGTCGAGTCGGTGTTGGTGGCAAGGAAAACTGCACCTCTACGGAGATAGTGATATGCCAAGCTCAACTTCAGGTAGTTGACATTGAAGTCAAGACCTGCAAGCACAACACCAACATCTGGGTCGAGGGCACTGCCGTTGGCAATGTTTGTGAAGTCTTCTGGCTTCATGTCGCGGCGAAGATTGGGGTCGGTACCTCCGCAGTATGGCACATTCTCAGACGCTAGCTCTGCTTCAATGCCAGACTCTCCGAGGACGAAGACCTTGTTCTTGGGTGCTTCCAGCTTGAGGATGCGAGCAATGTAGATGGCGGCACTGTAGGCAGAGCCAAAGACCTCTTCCTATTGTATACCATCAGTCCCGCTCTTCTGGCTTCTTTGTATCTCTTCCGTACCACTTTGCACGGGATGCCCATGCTGTCGAACTTCTTCTTGTAGTCTGCGCGAGACTTTGTGCTGTTGTTGGTCACAAAGACCAATTGCTTGCCTGTGTACCGTACTCAGTATACATTGCTCTTTGTTTCATGGCCAGTGTATTGCCCACCTTTGCTTCTGAGCATCTCGATAGTTTCCTTGGTGCCCTCAAAGAGATGATCACCAGACCAAAGGACGCCTATCCTTCTCGTATCGTCAGCCTCGGTTCATCGTGTCGTCGTTTCCAGCCATAGTTCATTGTATCGAGCGTAGAGTCGTTCTAAATTTGGATCGGAGGCGTACCATCGCAGTCAAAGAGGAAGACCTGCTCTCAGTCAGTATCGTGGTGTACATGGGCGACCAGCTAGACATACATCGAACTTGTTGAGAAACTCATCGATTCCGGCCTTGTCGCCCGTCAAGAATTTGGGTGCCATGATTGGGTTGTGTGAAATCAGATGTGCCAAATAATTGAATGGTTGAATGCCCCTCCATCATCATCATCGTCGGTGACCATGTCCGAACACGGCCCGCAATTGGCGCCGAATTCTCCCCGCCAGTTCGACCATCTTTCCAGCCACTCTTTCCACCTCTTCATCAACCAAGCCTTCACAACATAAAGTAGAGCGAACATCTCAATTCAGTGGATATGACTGCCCAGACGATTCATGCATCCAGTCACAAGCTTGTCAAGTGCGTCGTGTGTAATACTCGTGGCTTTTCGTATTGTTCTTGTCATGTCTTCTCATCAACACGGGCGCCACGGTAGTTTCAGTGTCGTAACATGCAGATTGAAGACGTCTCTAGCTCCAGTAGAACTTCGCCACACAGGTGGGTATAGACAGTCGTGGCTTCCGATCTGGTTCTAGGTACAAGTACTGAAGCCTGTTCTGGGCAGTTTCGTCAAACCAAGTATCTGCGGCCACCTGCTCCGTCCTATCTTGAGAATTTGGTACCACTTCCAAGACAGATTCTAGCAAGCTTTGCCTTCACTTTGCCCGCACTTCAACTCCTTATCAGAAGCTCAACATCGTCACAATGCCGCATAAATCAGGCGCTTCACCCTTTTGTCGGCGCTGGAGAACCACTGCACCAAGTCCCAACTTCTCCCATACCAAGCAACAGCATGGTCACCATCGAGGCTGTCGTCCACAAAAACACCGCCGACCTCGCCCAGTACCTCAACGACCAAAGACCACATCCACCTAGAAACTTCGTACCTGACCTGATCGAAGGTGCCCAAGTCAAACCCTGCACCGGCTGGATGGATCTCGGAAAGCCCCCTCAAAATGGCTGGTGGGCTGACAGACAAACCTGCCAATGCCCACCGTGCTACTATTACCATCTCACAGACCAGGTCAACAATGGCTCACTGCCCTTCTCCGTCGCTGTGCCCTTGGCTCAACTGATCAATGTCGGCCTGATCAGACTCAACTTCCGCCACCCACAACACGAGAATGTCTTCACCGCTGAAGACAAGGACTATGCCAGGTCCCTTCACCGCGACATCTGCTACGGCATCAACTCTGGTCAACTTCCTTTGCAGCTTATGGAGATCCTCCTGATCGCATCTCGCAAAGCTGTGCTCAAGTCCTTGACAGCCGAAGACCCTGAATACCATCACAAGGAATTTGAGATGTACTTGAAGAGAGCCATTCAGAAGTACAAGGACGAAGGCAAAGGTCCAGGCTTGGACCTTGAAGACAATACCGAGCAGGCTCAAGCAGGAGCGCAAGCAGAGGATGAAGAGTCGGCTGAATTCGTGTCGGATGAGGACAATGGTATTGAGAAGGCTGATATGGATCATGAGGTGTAAGTATTGGCCTGCTGGTTTCCTAAGTTCTTAGTACTGACTTCAATACAGCCCTCACCTTTGGACCGGCATCGTGGCTGAGCCCACCTCATACTGAGATCAGGCGATGTTCGCTAGATGTCAAGTCGCCCGGTATCCGAGACAAATAACACATCAAGAAAGAAACGACAGGGATAAGGAAATCTCAGGGTCAGCATCAAGCACATTTGCAAACATTGGATGGGCAAAAGCTTTCAAGGGAGAATCGGATCTCGAATGCTGAGATTCAAAGAAGGGAAAAGTACTCTGGATATTCTATCTGCGTTTGATATCAAAGGAGGTGTTTTCCCTCGTCCTCGTGTCTCGGCGCAAGCGTGAAGTGCACCATAGAACTCAAATCAATGTAAGTGCTGGTCATTGAGACTCGAGTCTTCGTGCTTTGACACACTCGGCCGGACGACTCATGCGTATCTCTTCGTATTTCTTCGTGTCTCAGGCATCTCATTGTGCTTCCATGTCTCGCTCACGAATTGTCTCGCGCGCAATCATTGCTCTTTGTCCTTCCACGAGAGCAAGCAAGCTATCAAACATCCCTCTGCCTTTTCATCTGTCCAGATCAGACATAAATTCGATCCTTGCCGGCGATCAGCAATCTCGATATTTCGACATGCAGAGATTGAGCCTGCGTCTGTCGAGGATGGAAGCTGGACAGGCACGCATACCGATCTACACTCGTCAACTTCTCCAATGGGAGTTCACCAACGTAAGTCAAAAATTATCCCCTTCTTACTCGTCCAAACGGGAATTCAACTCTCGTACTCCCTGGCACGGGTCCTGATGTGGATATCAAAATGTAAGATAATCTTGGTGATCGGGCAAATGTCCACTGAGAGCAAGCATGCCTTTGTTCTCTCTTTGGTCGTTCACATCAATATCAAGACCATCCTGCCTTTTGATGTGTATATTCAGGGGCCTGTTTGGTCTTGGAGATGCTGAGATGGACTATGGAACACCCAGTCGGACTCACCATTTCCGTCCTCCTCTCAAGCTTCCTAACACAGCGGTCAAAATGCAAGATGTTTTTGAGAACTGAACACATGTCCAGTGAGAGCAAGCAGAAGTGTCATCTCTCTCTGGACGTTCATACTGATACCAAAATCATCGTGCATTTTGACCGCTAGTTTAGTGACCTGTCGTGCGCTCGGAGTATGAAGGAACTTACAAATTTCATTAACCCCTACATCAATATCATGGTAACTGCTAACCTGTTATAAAGCAGAGAACTCTCCCTCCCCTCCCAGGGGTCCGACCCCCCTTCTCCCTTCTAGGGCGCTCCTACCCACCCTGTCTCCACCCCTTCTCGGACCTAAGCAAGATCTCCCTAGCAGATCTAAAGCTGGACACCCACCACCACGGCCACTACCTCCTTCTCCGCACATTCTGCCAGCCTCTAGGGGTGGGAAGCCCTTTGCTAGCCGCTATAGAGGATGAAAGAGGCGGTGTGGATAGGCTGGCATGCTTTAATGTCAAAGTGGCCTTAAAGGCTAGTGACGTGCTGCCGGAGGGTAGTGTGGTGGGTGTCAAGGAGCCTTACTGTTGCTTAGGGCCAGATGAGAAGTGGTTGGTTAGGGTGGATCATGCTTCTGATCTTGTTGTGCTGGAGGAAGAACACGAGCTCTATCCTGAGCAGTGGAAGACTGCTAGTCCTAAGACCGCCATGGCTTGGAAGCTTGAGGGCAATGCTGCTTTGGCTAAGGAAAAGTACTTGGAAGCACATAGATGGTAAGGGGAAGAGCACTTACGTTGACTAAACATTACTGATATGGTTATAGCTACACTCGCGCCCTCGCGGCTACAGAAGCAGACGCAGTCGATCTCAAGCGTGACATCTATCGCAATCGCACCCAGGCCAGCCTTCGCTTGGGCCGCTACGACGCAACAATCTCGGACGCGCTCTGGGCGCTGACCAACGGGCAAGACGAAGCATCTAAGATCAAGAATTCTAAAGCACACTTTCGCCGTGGACTTGGCAACTACCGCTTAGGTCACTTCTCCAGCGCTCTAAGAAGCCTCAGCCAGGCTCTCGAGCTTTCTCCTTCGGATAAACAGGTGATTGCCGAGAAAACAAAGACGGAGAAGCGCCTCGGGGAGCAGAACGAAGGAGTGTACGACTTTGCAGAGATTATCGAAGAGGTGACAAAGAATGGCTTCGTGGCAGACCGAGCCAGCTTCACGTCCAAGACAGAAGTGCGCGAGTCAGCCGAGTATGGCCGTGGACTCTTCGCCACCCAGGCAATATCCATGGGCGACTTGATCTTATGCGAGAAGGCATTCGTCGTCGCCCACGAAACCGTCTCAGGCACCAAGAATTCATCTCCCGCACTCTGGCGTAGCTGCATCGAGAAGGTGACAGATAACCCATCTTTGGGCAGGGGACTGTTCAACTTGTACGCAGGAGAACCATTGCCCTCCACGCCCACCTCCATCCCCATCATAGATGGCAAACCCGTCGTCGACATGATGAAAATCAGCGAGATCCTCAAACACAACATCTTCAGCTACACCGTCGGCCGCGAAGCACGCCCCTACGGCACATCAGCCATGACCACAACCCACGAGCCCAAATCACTGGCTCTGTTCCTTCGAGCCTCACTAGCAAACCACAATTGCCTATTCAACACTAAGAGAAGTTTTATCGGCGACTTGATCATCTTCAGAGCTACGAAGGACATCCCCAAAGACGCTGAAATCACCATCGCTTACCTCGATCCTGGAGGCGCGGACAATGACCTGCTTCAGGATACTTTGTTCAAGAATTTGGGGTTCAGATGTGGTTGTTTGGTTTGTCAGACAGAGGCGAAGTGTACGACTGATCGCAAGAGTTTGGTCCAGACGGTGAGAACATTTCTGTCTTCGCAGAGAGTGGGACCGATGTTTGTGCGACAGGCGGAAGCTTTGGCGGTGGAGCTTGAAAAGGCTTACGCCTTGCACTTGTCGCTGGGACTGCCTTGCGTGGGTGTCTCGCCGATATGGCAGTGGTTGTGTCAGGAGTATTTCTTGCTGGGCGACAGAGACCACGTTGAGCGCTGTGCGATGAATGTTCTCAAGGTCCATGGCTACAAAGTCGAGATCGAGGGTTCCAAGGTGAGTCTTGATGCTACCTATGGATTCCCTTCGATGGCAGTCGTGGGCGCATTGTCGTTCCTGAGTAGGATGTACGAGAGGGATGGAAATGTCGCTCTCAGTCAAGAGTTTGAGACCTTGGCCAAGACGGTGTACAAGATCGAGAATGGTACTCCGATTGGGTATGATTTGAGGTACTGAAAAGCAGCCGAAGGGATACCAGAAGATTCGGACCAGTGGGTAAATGATGTCTCCAAGTCAATGGCTGGCATGATTGACACCGGAGACTAGCTCCGTTAAATGAACAGTACAATTCACCCTATCCAATCACTATCCTATAGTCCATCAGTCCGGTCATTATTTGATGGGCTTTATTCCATTCCAAGCGCATACATGATGACTCGGCAGAGTGCAAGAGGTGACACGTTCCTGCCGACGCTGACGGAGGTGGTAAATTCTGGCGAGCCATCAAGAACATCAATGCAAGACATTCATGTCTCTCTTTCCGGTCAGACGAGGGGAAGTTGATGTCGCGGGTCAACTCGGGCATGTTCATGCGAGCCCTGGCGATTGGAGACCCCAGGTCGCAATCCGAAACAGGACTGGTATCAGTATATAGCAGGTGATTTGTGAGCTAGGACGACAAGCGTGTCAGATGGTCCATCCCGGCTCCTCACATGTCACGCTTGCTCGAGTCTCCACGATATAGTCGCGGCTAGATAGATGAAATGGAGAGGCGCCGACTCGAAACAGGAGACAAGAGAGAGCGGGGTTGGCGCATTCATTGGAACGATTTCTAGCAAACGAATACTGAACCCTTTATCCGTGAAGATATACCACCCCCACGCTTATGCAGTCTGCATGTTGCTGCAAGTAACAGCATCCAAGCTTCTCGTTCCTAGGTACTGGATACATGTACTCAAGTTGAGGTTGGGACAGCGGCATTTACTGGAGAGCCGCCGAGGCTGAGGATGTGCACAAGACTCGGAGAATACTTGTACAGGCGGTGGCAGATGCGGTGTGATACTTTCGACTCGAGCGTGTTACAGCAAGAGATGTGCAGTAACACGGTCAAAAAGGGATCTGGTTAAGCGGTGAAGAGATTCGAAGCATGAAGCGCGTTACGAACAAACTGTAAGAGGGGCCTTCCGGCGACGTTTACGTGGATGCATGGCGTCGCTACACCTGCATGAGCGCAGAGTAAAAATGCCGCAGGACCCTCAGGTCCCTTGTTGCATCCTGCGAAGCCTTTGCCGGCGTGTTGTCGCAGAGATGTTTTGAGATCGACAGAAGAGCAAGTTGAGCGACGGAACACATCACAAACGTGACAAACGCGGTGACAGGCTCATGACACGAAATGGTCACCAGTTTTGAGTTTGGCGAGAGACTGTCAAAATCGCCAATTCCCGGGAGTTGAAGAAAAAAAATTGCACCAACGCGGGACACCCGCTTTTTCACGAATCGGAATGAACATGATGTCAACCGGCCGATGGGGACGAGGGCTGGCCGATGAGGCATTTGTTGCGTTGCTGTTTAGTCAAGTGTTTTGGAACGAGCCCGTCACGCAGCGACGACAATTCAACAGCACGGCAACCGCTCTTGCCGCAAGTAGCTACATTCTTCAGAAGAACGAGAGCAGGAACGATGGAGACGAAACACCAAAAACGGCGGCTTCGGTGATGAATTGCAGAGCGGTGTGTGGATCGAGAATTAGAATGGAAGAGGGGGTGGAAGGAGCACGAGCGGTTTAGGCGCGATTGTTGGTTGGGCGCAGAGGACTGTGGGTGGGCCGTGGTAGTGGCCGCGGCACCCCCCAAATAACCGCACACAAAGTGACCTGGGGGCCTTCTAGTTTCTACTGCGTAGCAATTTGCGCCTGCACTCTTCCTGCACTTCATCAACTCGTCCTCTCGCCCCTCTCTGGGTCGCGTGTGGTGCGTACGTGAGTTGCAGCTGACCTCTCGTCCTCGCCCTCTGCGTATCATTCAAGATCCTTCGTGCTCCCTGTTGCACCTGCTCTTGTTCCCGACAACGCGAGCGATCTGCAAGTGAGCGTCATCCTTGGATCCTTGGCCACCACCAAGCAAGCAAAGCAGTATGGCTATGCCTGCCTGCGCTCTGCTGCGCATTGCCCAAGACGCTCAAGACTAACACTCTGCCAGGCGCTTGTCTTATTATCGCATCGGCCTCGTCGTTGTATTCTTGTATCCAGATACCATGTCCGTTCTGGATTTATAACAACAGCCTTCGGGTACTTCTGCGCGTCGTCCTACCAAGGGACCCTCTATCCTGCGGTTTGCGCCACACTCTATACATACATCGAGTCCACGCTCAAACAGCCATCTACGCCGTCGATTGCGCCACTAATTCGAGGCTCCCCACGACCACCACTGCATATACTTACACATGCCTATATCAACCAGACCTCTCACTCTGGACATGGCCCACATGGCTCCCCTCCAGAGAAGCACATCGGCTATGGGACACATCGATTCAGAACTCCTCGCCGAAGGAGACGAACCACCGGAAAGGAAAGAGCGCGCCCTTGTTGACTCTCCCCGTTTGGACGCTGCTTTTATCAAATCACTACCCCCGGCCTTCACCCGCAGGGAATCTCTTCTTACTCGCCAACTACACTCCCCGGAACCAGAATACCCCCATGAGGATGAACATCAACGTGCCAGAGCCATCGTCCGTGGCATGTCGGCCTGGAGCAACCATAGCGTAGCCTCTACCGCCGAGCTTACCAGTGATAATGATCTGACCAGCCCTGGAACCCGTGAAAGCACACCAAGCCCTCCCTTACCCCCAACCTTGATCAGAGAATCTATCCCGACACTGGAGAAGTCGCCCCACAAGGAACCCGTCATTGTTGGAGACAGACAGAACAAGCCCGAGAAGTCTGTAGAGGCCGAGCTCGGCCGTCCCAGATGTATTACATTTGCTTGCGGCGGCAAGAAGCCCATCTCAAACCATGCCACTTCCGAAAGCGAACAGGACAAGAAGCCTGCGCCAGTCTCAGCCCCTGCGGAGCCTCCAAAGCGTAAGACATGCATCACCTTTGCTTGTCCTTCCAAGCCTGCTGTCCAAACAACACCTATCAAGGAAAAGACCAAGGCCATTTCTCTCGCTCCCGCCCAAGCTCCAAAAATGAGAATTGTCAGCCCTGGACCCAAATCCTCAAGAACCCAGACATCACCAAAACACTTTCCCAGAAACCATCGCGGCTCGGATTCGACTGTCAAAAATGACTCTCCGAAAAGCCTTCGCAAAACTCCATCGCTGCCCGTCCGAAGACGCAAATACAGCATGGATAATGACGATGTTCCCGGTGAGGAAAGACGATTCCACGAATTCGGACCTTCCGAGGAAGAAAACGAACAATGGCTAGAAGAATCCGGTTGCTACCGTCAGCGATTGACTGTCAACGACACTCTGTACAAGGAGAACATTATTAGACAAATCGGTGAGGAAGTCGAGGAAGAGGCTATTGAAGAAGATGAAGAGCTTGATGACGAAGAGCTTGAAGAAGACGAAGACGAAGATGAGGATGACGAAGATGTCGAAGACCTCGACATTGAAGAAGCTGTTTCAGACGATGCAGTCTCCGATGCTGGTTTCCAAACTGATGACGAGGATGGCTTCGCGGTCTCGGATAGTGACGAAGACGGCAGCGACAACGAATGGTGGGCTCCTAGAGGCCGCTCGACTGCCGCCACTTCTATGGAACACGTAGAACACATCCGTCCCACTCGCAGACGTACCAACTCGGACTCGTCCTTAGGATCGGCACACGGAGAGAACAAGACGGCTTCGGCTCCCTATGGCATGGTCAAGCGCAAGAGTCGCGCAGTTAAGATCAACCGCCCTCAAACCCCCGACCTTCCGGACAGCACCGACTTCGTCTGCGGCACACTCGACGAGGATCGTCCTTTGGAGCAGGCATACATCATGAGCCTTGAGAGGAGAAAGGCTGCCAAGCACAAGGCTAAGCCCCAAGACATCGATCCTACCTTCCCCACGTCCGATCCGGATATGGACGAGGAAGACGATGATGATGAAGATGAAGACGTTGAGGAGAGTGATCAGCCTCTCTTCATGCACGGCAAGATTGAGATGAATGAAGACATGGGCCATCGCGGCCGTCACCATTCCAAGATTGCTCCCAAGAAGAAGTCGATCTCACCCCCACAACAGCGTCTTCGCTCGCCTCCTCCTCCCAAACATCGTGTTCACCGCTCTCCTCCACCGTCGGCCAAGCGTCTTCGATCGCCCGCTCCGATCAAGCGCACTGCCCATAAATCACCACCTCCTCGTAAGCTGTTTGGTCAGTCACCAAGACGCTTGAGATCTCCACCTCCTCCACCTCGCCGTCCTACGTCCCCACCCCCTTCTCTGCGCAGTTCTGTTGAGGGCGTCTCTGCAATCAGCTTCACGCCCAGAGCCACTCTTGCGAGACGACCTCAACCTACTCACACCGCATCGCTTCCTCGTGTCGAAAGTCAGGTCAAGATCGGTAAGAACGCCATGGCCACTTCGCCTGATGAACATGACGACCCGTTGTCTGGTATGAGAACAGCTCGTGGAGCGATCGATATTGTTAAGGGCCTTGAGAAGAAACGTCAGCGACGCAAGGAGAAGCTCTATCAGAAGCACTGTCAGAAGGGCGGCAAAGACCGCGAACGTAAACCAAAGCCCGGCAAGGGCGCCGAAAGAATGAGAGAAGTTGGACTTGAGCTGGCCGCATACAAAGGCAAGAAACAGCACGTCCTCTCCTACTAGACAACCTCGTCTTGATCACGGGCTTGCGACGCCGTCCACACTGTTGGCACATTACAGTCTCGTACTACGGGTCTGCTGGTCGTCGCAGGTAACCCAGTTGATCGGCGAGTTGAAGATTTCCTACCGACACGAGCACAATTTCAGCTGCGCCCCTTTTGCCCACTGGAAGCTTGTATTCATATTCACATACCACCTGATTTGCGCGGATCAAGTCACAGAAACTCACCGGCTGGCCGACGCTTACAACCATCAGTACATAATGAATCCCTTTCTCTGTATATACATACCCCCTTTTTATTACTTGCTTTTTCATTTCTTCTTCTTGGATTGAGGAGTTACTAGACCAGCGATTATTTGGAGGCCGAGATACCACTTTTGCTTGCATTGGAACGGGCATCAGAACTGGGCGTTCGTCGATTTTTCCAGATGAGGGACTTCGAATTGAAGTGATCCTTTGTTTTCGTGTTACGTCTAGCCAGGATTGCAGATAGAAGAAATCACAGTCGCTATTGACCCTTTAACATACACTATTGGCCGTCTTCTTATATGCGAAAGTGTCACTATCAAGCTCTCGCGTGATTCTGTTCAGAGATGGATTGGCTATGTAGAAAGGCACAGTTCCATCGGCGCGTATATAAATTGACGATGACAGGATCTAGAACTATCGTGCATATCTAGTTCGTGAGAGATGTTTGAATGTAGCACGAGGACACTGTCCATGTTTATTTGGTGAAGTGTTTTGGTTGGCCAGAGCGGCAGGCGGCGCCACAGCAAGCATCAGCCACAAACGGGTGGCTCATGGATCGCAACCCTGACGGCGGCGAGCCTTCAACGTGGTTAATCGGCGATAATAGTTGTCATTTCATCCACCCCGACTCCTGGACTATTGCAACGTCCCCATATATACAACAACCACCTAATCGCAAGCAATCAACAACATGTGGCTCGTCGACTGGTGTAAGTGACTAGCTGTCGCGACAGGTCCCGGCCGCGAAAGGGAGACAAGCGCTGATGATGTCGATTGCAGTCTGGGATGTCCTTGCCAACCTTGGCTTGATGAACAAGCACGCCGTATGCGATATGAAACTGCTCGACTGCCTGGAACAACTCCACTGACACAGTCGACAACAGAAACTGCTGTTCTTGGGTCTCGACAATGCTGGAAAGACCACGGTGCGTTTCAACTCGACCATCTACCCCTCTACCTGGACTCGACGGCTGATCTGAATATGCGCATAGCTTCTTCACATGCTCAAGGTACGTTTTGACTCGTCTATCTGCATCTCACGTGCTTGACAATTGCTAACCCCTCCCAGAACGACAGAGTGTATGCCTCCCCCTCATCCACGAACGTATTCGATCAATCGAGCTTACAAGCAACAGCGCCGTCTTGAACCCCACTCTTCACCCTAGTACGCTTCAACTCCCACCGAACACACCGCATCCGAACATGACTGACACAAGTCGTAGCCTCCGAGGAGCTGAGCATCGGCAACGTCCGCTTCACTACCTTTGACTTGGGCGGTACGCACACCTGAAAGAAAGAGCTACGGGAGACACACAGCTGAGATATGAAACAGGTCACCAGCAGGCAAGACGTTTGTGGAAGGACGTGAGTTGCTACCAGGGACACTTTTTGCTAGCTTTCGACTGACGCAGAAGCATACAGTACTTCCCCGAGGTTTCCGGTACTTGATCACAGGTCGAACAACACTCTGGGGACGGTTGCTGATTATGCTGTCCAGGCATTGTTTTCCTTGTCGACGCCAAGGACCCCGAACGTTTCACCGAGAGCAAGGCTGAGCTCGACGCTCGTACGTCGCACAATCTACGTCTGTGGGACTTGGGGAACACATGCTGACGAAACATCTTACAGTCCTTTCCATGGAGGACCTCTCCAAGACTCCCTTCCTGATCCTCGGAAACAAGATTGACCGTAAGCTCCACCGCTATCTACTCACCGCAAGAATGTACAACTGACAATCCACAGACCCCAGCGCTGTCAGCGAGGACCAACTCGTATGTTATACTTGACCGCTAATAAACAGAATGACCCGACAACTGACATCGATCTAGCGACACGAGCTTGGTCTCTTCCAGACCACCGGCAAGGGCAAGATCCCTCTTGAGGGCATCCGTCCCATCGAGGTCTTCATGTGCAGTGTTGTCATGAGACAGGGCTACGGCGAGGGTATCCGCTGGTTGTCGCAATACGTCTAAGCGAACGGCATTGCTTCACCAACACGGCTTTGGCATAACAGAGCCATCGGCGCAATCTTCGTCCTCCACTTTTGATGACTTGAAACATCTCCAAAACGCTCGTCTTTACGAGAATCATGGGGATGGAGGACGATGGGATGAAGGAAAGAAACACCAGAGTCTCATTTGCGCACTCAAAACATGCAACCATGGTAGTGTTTCTTTCTGATTTTGTTATTTCGTGGAGGCGTCAAAGAGTGGTCCCTCAAGTCTGCTTTTCTTATAAACTCCTTACTTATTTCGACCATGAATCGATGCAGCGTGTTCTTTCTGAGCTATTTGTGTTTTCTCATCCGAGAGCCATGGTGATCAAGCTACCTATCAGTGCTCCTTTAGTTGAGCGATTCCTCTGCTTTTGCATCGTATCTGTTCGATCTCCCCTTGACCAAAGCCCCTATGACCTCTCAGCTATCTCTCTGCCGACGCCTCTGGGTCCAGATAGTCAGCTTCTCGGGACGAGGACCATAAAGTTTGATCGCGGTACGCCTTGCTTGATAGATTTCCAAGTCATTCTCAACCTTCCAAGGGGGTTGCGTCGGATCGAAACAAAGCCTATCCGGTGTAGGCAATACTACTGAACGAAAGTAGTATCTTGCATCGACCAATTTGATGACTGCTTTGGGTGGTCCCCAGAGGTCTTCCGAATATTCAGTCGTGACGGGTATCTCCCAAATCCTAGTTCGAGGTTGCACGAAAAGACGCCAGTGATCTGTGTTCCATGACCACAGATGGAAATAGCAAACTAAACTTTTGAGCAGGAGGGACATAACTTCATCGCTGATCTGGTCCGAGACAGAAAGAATTGGATGCCATAGGATTCTCTCTGGCATGTCATCGAAGAGATAGCCGTACACCATGTAACGGAGCTCGAGAGGAAGGTTAAGGAAGCTGCAGCCTTGGCCCTCCATTCCTGTTGAATGAAAGAGTGTGGTTGATGATTGTTTCAAGAATTCCCTGAGTGATGATGACGAGTGTACAGAGTGTATAGTTGACGGTATTTGTGGCTTCTTGCAGATACTCGGATTGAGACGAGCAGCTCTGGCAGGACTGACTGTGAGGTAATCAGCGTGAGACCAACTAGCAATAAGTGCGGGTGGAAGCTCACGGTGTGTTTGCACTGAATGGTTGCAGCAGGGCGAGGTGGGTTGATTGTGCTTCACGATCGCCTGCAGAAGATGAGAGGACAGATGTATTGGATGACTCGGATGAGATGGACTTGACGAGGGCTTGACGAGGAAGGGATTGAAAGAGTCGAAGATGAATTGGATCGTCGCAATGGAAGGCGCCTACATACAACGGAGGAACCCGCTACTTCCTCAAATCGACCTCGACATTATGCCTTCCTTCAACTCAGGAAGCCACAGTCCATCAAGCCTTCTCCAAAAATTCATGGATAGCCTTGGCTGTTTCGCCAGGCATGCTCAGGAAGGGACTATGACTAGCCTTCAGACTCGCAACTTCCACCTCCACGCCCTGAGCCTTGACAGCATCGATCAACTGCTTCTGACCATTGAAAGTCAAGGCCCTGTCATCTTCACAGATAAGATAAGCAGTCGGGATCTCGCGCCAGGCGACCTTTGTCGGAGTGTTCATCACGTGGGACAAAGGGCATCCACCAAGATTGTCCAGTGCACGTTGGGTCTTTTGTTCTGGCACGTCGTGGTAGAAGAAATGCTTTGGGTCCAAAGGGATGAGAGCTTTGGGATTCTGGAGCATCGTTAGCACCTCGATTCACGGGGCAAGGAGCCAAATTTGATTACAAGGTGGAAGGAATTCCACGTACCTTTAGATCATCGAGTTCAGCGATTTCGGGCCAGTCATCACCTACTCCGAGACTTGCACGTGTTTGACCCTCTTGGATCATGAACGCGGTCATGTAGATGAGCTTGACAACTGCACCAGATGTCTCACTCTCCTTCTTGCCCAATCCACATGCTGCTTCCGAGCCTGTCATGCCACCAAACGAGTGCATCACGACTACCACATCTCTGCCAGCCTCGGTGTGCGATGTGATAGCATTACGAATGATGTTAATATCTTCTATCCATGTGTTTTCCGGCAAGTCTTTCTCATCGTTGGTAGAAGACAACTCCAAGCAATCAACAGTATAGCCGATAGAGTTGAGTTTCAGTGCGAGGTAAGCGTAATGTGCAGGTACGTGCCAGGCTCCAGGCACAATGACGATGACCGGCTTTGTCGCGGCGTTAGACATGTTCGTTGTTTTTTGTTTGAGATAAATACAAGACGAGTTTGGTTTGGTAGACGCTGAAGTTGGCTGCTTACAATCCTGATCACCACCTTCCTATTCAAGCATTTCCCCGCCCAATATCGCCATCATGATCCATCATCAAGCTACGAATTCGAGATCGGATGATCATCTCACCGAAGCATGTCCGACAGCGAATCCTCTCTCTCCTCTTTCTTTCCTCCCTGCCCAATTACTCGCTCACGGCCAACTATTCGCTATTGGCACTGAACCACTCTGACGAGACTTCATTCGAACAGCTTCGTCCGGTTCTAGAAAGTCTTCCTCTCTTAGACAATCTGCTGGCTTTTGATGGTTGCGATAGCTGCTCGCAATCGGAATCTGAGCATCCGAAGCAAGAACCACCTTGCATTCTGTCCCTGTTTCCAGTCACTTCCGTGAGGTTCGCAAGTCACGATATGCTTATCAGTGAGCTATAGTTCGGTGCACCACTTGATACCCATCTTGGTCCGAATAGGCACCCACCAAAATCATTTGCACGTTATCAGCACGTCATGTTTACAACACATACCTAAACGAAGGCTACAAGATTGTTAAACGAGATTCGTCCGCAATAACCGGTTTGTACATTTATCATAGGGCCGATGAGACCACAGTACCGCCGGCTCATGATGAGCCATGACAGCTCTGCGGAATGGACTCCGACCGAGCTGCTCAATGAGCTGGCCATGAATATGAGGTGAGGTTGATATGACCTATGAGCCAACGGGTCAACTGTTGGGGTTCGTTGCAGCATCTACGTATATATCCAGCTTTCGCCCTGTCATCGCATCCTTCATCCATACTCTTGTTCACCATCTTCAGCGCATCGAAGCCTCATACACACATCTCATAACTTGTGAAATCGTCGACTGCTATTGTATATACGAGACGATCACTCTACTTACACGACATTGCCATGGATTCGATCGACCTCGTGAGAAGGGACTCGCCAGTCCAGGCTTCCGAAATGGGTACGTTCCCTCTGTCCAAGACCACATTAACCAACGAAATCGCTGACACCACTGACGGACAGAAAAGCTACCTCAGTTGGACGCAGAGCTGGCGGACGAAATGAGGAAGCTAGAACAGATGTTTTGGATAGACCAACAGAAGTTGAAAGAGATTGTCAAGCAATTCGAAGTAGAGCTGGACGAAGGCCTCAAGGAGAACAACAAGAACATCGTACGTTCTTCTACCTCTTGTTTGCATTGCAAAATGCAATCGCTAACTACTTCTTCCAGCCTATGAATATCACCTGGGTCCTAGGCCAGCCACACGGCGACGAGAAAGGCAGTTTCCTCACAGTCGATCTGGGTGGAACGAACCTTCGCGTATGTTGGATCACACTCCCAGGAGCCCGCGGTCAACCAAGTATCGTCCAGGAGAAATATCAACTTTCGAAAGAAGTCAAAACTGGTACTGCCGACCAACTATGGGACGAAGTAGCCGATCGCATGGCAACCTTCATCCGAGACAAGAGACTCGATGAAACAAGCACACAACCTCTACCGCTGGGCTTCACCTTCTCATACCCAGCCATGCAAGATTTCATCGATCATGGCGTACTGCAGACTTGGACCAAAGGATGGGATGTCAAAGGCGTCGAAGGTGAAGACGTAACGATCCAACTCCGCAAAGCAATGGAAAAGAGGAACCTGCCCGTCAAACTAGTAGCATTCATCAACGACACAACAGGAGCGATGATAGCATCCGCCTACCACGACCCCGAAACCATCGTCGGTGCCATTTTCGGAACAGGCTGCAATGCCGCATACATGGAAGACAGCGACTGCATCCCAAAGATCAAAGGACGACTACCACAAGGCAGCCCCGTAGCGATCAACTGCGAATACGGCGCCTTCGACAACAGCCACCGCGTCCTCCCAATGACAAAATACGACAAAATCGTCGACGCAGAATCACCACGACCGGGCGAACAAGCTTTCGAAAAGACAAGCGCTGGTCTATACCTAGGCGAAATCTTCCGTCTCGTACTAGTAGATCTCGCCAACCGCAATCTCATCTTCAAAGGTCAAGATATCTCAAGGTTGGATAAATCATATATTCTGGACACTGGGTTTCTCTCGGCGGTTGAAGATGATCAGTCTCCTCGTCTACAAGACACAGCCGCGTCTTTTGAGGTACACACAGGCATTTTACTCAACGATCAAGAACGACAGGTCGTCCGTCGCGTGACTGAGCTCATCGCCATTCGTGGTGCTCGTCTTTGCGCTTGTGGTATCGCTGCCATTTGCAGCAAGAAAAAGATCACACATGGTCATGTCGCAGCAGATGGTTCAGTAGCAAACAAGCATCCCAAATTCAAGAGGAGGTGGGCGGACGCGCTGGGTGAGATATTGGACTGGCAAGACGGTAGGACAGAAGATCCGATCGTCTTGACGAGTGCAGAAGATGGTTCTGGCATCGGAGCTGCAGTCATTGTTGCCATGACTTTGGAAAGAGCGAGCAAGGGTGAGGATGCTGGAGTTAAGGAAGCTGCAGATATTGTTTCACGCTGACGCAGGGAGGTAATGTCAGAAGTGGTCATGAAGCATTCAGTATTTACTATGTAAAAGTAGAGGCAAGAAGGGCATTATTAGGGAAACCATGTAACACAAAACCCGCCAGTTCAGTGATCGAATCGTGAAAGTTGTTCGTGTCAATCGTTTTTGGTGCAGTCCGATCAAACTAGGAGCGATTAGTGAGCAACGAGCGGGACTAGAAGTCACCGCCGCCCATATCGTCACCACCACCAAAGTCGTCACCGCCGCCGCCATCATTGCCGTTGTCATACTAAGATAATACGTCAGTTTGAAGTATCGAGAAATTGGGAAGGACAAACTTACACCTTGATCATAGCCCTGCTCGTAGGCATGATCCTCGGCATTGTCGATACCGTTCATCAGCATAGCACCACCGAGCAGACCGGCACCGGCACCCAAGGCCATACCAGCACCACCTCCAAGACCACCGCCGGTCTTACGCTGCGGTTGTCCATAGTATTGCTGCTGAGGTGGGTAGCCACCGTAGCCTTGCTGAGGGTATCCTCCGTAGTGCTGTTGCGGCATGCCGTAGCCACCACCGCCCATACCCATGCCGCCTTGAGGGTAGCCTTGCTGTCCATAGCCCTGATTGGGGCGCGAGCTCGAGCTGGAGGCTTTTCCAAGGAGTTTACCCAAGAAACCTCTCTTGCTCTTACCACGGTCTTGTTCGCGGGGCGGTAGCTCGTTCGAGTACTGGGGCTGAGACTGAGGCTGGGGAGTTGAAGAGCTGTAGTAGTTGTCTGATGCGCCAGTGCGTGCTCCGGTCTGACCGGATTGATGGGCGCGAGCTTCCTCCTCGGCTTGAAGCTTGCGAGCGAGGGCCTCGTCGTCGTTGATGTTGTGCGCGGATCCAGCGCCCGAATTGATGCCGGATGAGCCGTAGGGGTTATTCGAAGCGTAGTTGCCCTTCTCAGGACCGGTGTACTGGGTGCGGTTTGAATCGTAGCCGGGAGGTGCGCCGGGAGGAGCACCGCCAGAGGAAGGGTAGGCAGGCTCGGTGGGCTTCTCCCATTGCGATTGCTTGGTGTACAGGTTCACGAAGAACCATTCCTTGTATTGGTCGTTCCACTGAGCCTTCCATCCTTCAGGAACGTGAGGTGGAGGAGGTCCCTAAGATATTGTCAGCAATGGTGTTGCAGCCTAGTGACCACAATTGGCGCATACCGGAGGGGGAGCGTAGTCGGCCATGTTTGTCAGATGTTCGATAAATCCGGATCTGGAGCTTGGTAGATCTGATGAAGCAGGTCTTGATGTAGTGCAGAGTGCAAAATCGAAGGGAGTAGTGAAGATGAGAGAGCTAGGAAAACGTGGTCGATACCTTAAGACAGGAAGGTGGACGGTCTTCACTCAGCCACTGAACCTTCATGACGTCTTAAATGTGGCTTGGGTTGCCATGTGATTGTTGCCTCGTTCTTTCTCTCACTTCGACTTTCCCATGCTCGCCTTCAAACTTCTGTACTTCTTTGTCATCTCCTGCTTTCTTTCAACATCTTTTTACAAGGCTGTGCTTTCCTGTAGCACCTTGATGCACACAGCGCAATCTATTCGCCTCTCACCCCGCCGCCTCGACTACACCGCCAAGTTGCCCCGCCTTCATCGATCGCCGAGGCCTGGGCGCTGCCGAGTCCAACTTTGCGAACGCACGAACTGTTTCCTCGAGTCTCAAATTCGTAAACGGTACAAATCGTGCTCGTAACATCAACAAGCCCCTTTAGCTCAGTTGGTAGAGCGCGGCACTAGTAATGCCGAGGTCACCGGTTCGACTCCGTTAGGGGGCATCACGCATGTTCTTTTGTTTTGTCTGGTGCTGCTCGTGAACCTTTAGTTTGGTTGCGTTGCAGAACAATGGAGATTCGCTTGTAAGAGGTCTCAGAGACAGTGGGTGAAGCTCTTTTGCCAGTACACAGTTGACTATGAAGCTCTTGACCGAGATGTGGTCTATATCTGTGTTATGTTGCTATATTATCTAGTCCATCTATCATAGTCTCGTTATCTTTCATATCTTTTCTAAATAAATAGATTGCGATCATGCCCTACCTGTCTTTTCTTGCTTCTGGGCCTTCTTCTCCTCTTTCTTCTGCAGAATGTCTTCTCTCCAACCACGACCCCAGACGGTAACAGTCCATGTCAAAACTGCTGAGAAACACAAGAATGCTGCGCTGATGGTGCTGAACCAGCCAACTCCAATCTTTTCGACAGCAGGCAAACAAGCTGCAGTTCCAGTAGCAGCAAAGAGATATCTGAGCATGTAGTTGCCAGCAACAACCTCTGACGAGCGCTTCTGCATCACATCCAAGCAGTATGTATTGAGAGATGGGAAGCAGAAGAGTTGTGCCACACCCTGGATAAACATAACGATGACTGGTAGAGGAATGCCGCCCTTGTCTTTCTCGATTGACCATCCGTAGATCAACATGCATCCGGGAATGATGACACCCATGAAGACGAGACATGATCGTAAACGGTCTTCAGGAACACGCTCGCCATTACGCTTGTCAATCCATTTGCGTACAGTACGGTCTGCCCAACGGCCTCCGAAGAATGTACCAAGCAGGTATCCACATCCAGGAGCGATATAGAAGAGTCCAGACTGAATGGGCGAAGTAAGGTGGAAGCGAGGGTTGATGACATATCGGATAGGAGTAAGCAAGCTGTACATGTTGAAGACCAGTGAGCTCGAAGCAAGGCCAACGAAGAACAGGTTCGGGAACCGGTATAATCTGATGACACGCAGAGGGTTGGTCCAAGACCATAGTTTCTTGGCCTGTTCACCCTTTGTGAGGCCTTCGAGCTCGACAGATTTCTTGTAGTGGATCGTCTCGGGGAGGAAGAAGCAGCACAACACGGTTGCAAAGATGGCCAGGCCAGTCTGAAGCCAGAAGATATCTCTCCAGGATCTGTACGTAACAATGATACCACCTAACAATGGGCCCATAGCTAGAAAATGTCAGAAGATGAAAGCTCTCAAATGCCTTGCAGACTTACCAGGTCCAATGAGGGTTCCTGAGAAGAACCAGCTCAATGCAGTTGCACGCTCTGTTGGTCGATAGATGTCGCCAATACAAGAACTACCGATGATGAGGAAGGAAGTGCCTTGGAATGCCGTCAAGATGCGGAAGATGAAGAATGACGCCAGGTTGGGAGCCAGTGCAGTACCAATGGAAAATCCAGCGAACAGAATAGCGCTGAGCAATTGAGTCCATCGTCTTCCGTAAACCTGACCAATGGGTCCCCAAAACATTGGCGACAGTCCCATAAACAACATGTATAATGCGTTACTAGCGTTGATAAGAGTACCAGTAGTGTTGTAGGTTGCCGCCACTTCAGGTACGGCAGCGAGTACAGTTGTCGATGCCATGGGAGCCAAGAAGGAACAGAAGGCCAAAACAGATACGATCATTATTTTCTTAGAATGCGTGAATTTGTCGTATACTTCATCACCAGTTTCGTGGTAGGGTATATGGGGGATGTCGTGTGCCGATGCATGGCTCTGGATATGCACCAAATCTAGGTCGGTGGACTTCTCATTGCCTTTTTCTAAATCGACACCTTGGGCATCTTCGTAGGGTTCTGGTACGGGCTCAACTGCTGGTTGAACGACAGGCTCTTCTGCCCGTGTTTCTGTCGTGGTTGTGTGCTTGTTGTCCGGCATGATCGAGTCCTTTATCTGTGAGGTGCTGTGCGGGGAGAGAACATCGGATAGTGGACAACAGAATCTTCAATGCTGTGATATGGAAGCAGAACGCTTTATAAGAGTGGTAACAAAGAGATGTATGCAGGAAAGGCAGTAGATACAGGATGATGAGTCAAAAGACATCATGGAGAGCCGAAGGGCGGTCATGCCGAGAAGAATTGGAGCAGAATCTGAGATAGCAGGCCGATGAACCGGCAAAGCCTTGGACTTGCCGGTGATTTTGTTGCCCGACCAATGAGAACCGACGCTTTTCCGCTCACCAACGGGATCTGGCCGATGTCCCGGACGATTCATGTCCGTCCTTGTTGGAGATTGACGTATGCTTCTACAGTCCATGAAAGTAGGAGATGGTCGAACTCATGAGGGCGTGCATGGGAGAGATACGTGGAAGATTTATCTGGAGGAAAGTGGTCCTTTTTGATGGTGTGACACAAAGTCGCCTGATCGATTTCTGGATAAGCTGGGCAGATTGCTTCGGACTTACAATCCTCCGCAGAGCGAAAGCGAGATTGGCTCGCGTGGGGAAAGACAACCTCTGCCGACCAGCGCGTTCCTGCCTTTCGGAAGCAACGTCCAACTATGCAAATGTAGACAAGACTGAAATGCAGCGAAAGAAGGTGCATGTCACGCGCTTGCCGCAAAGGAAAGCCTGTGGTTTTTTCTCAAAACATCGTCGACCCCGTAAACCAAGGACACTCACTCAACGTGCTTGTCGGCGTCCGACTGAAAAAGATCGACATTTCACCAATGTTGATCAAGACATCGGTCACTAATCAAAAGCGCTGAACAATCCTCATCTTACAAAAGAGATCGTATTTGCAAAGCTCAAAAGGTATCAGTCGGACACTGCTTGGATCCATCCTGACGAGGCTGATCGGAACAACAGAAGCACGTTTTGGGCGTGCCAGCCGGACCCGTTCGTGCCTAGTAGAAAGACAAGCGCAGACACTCGAGGAAGGCAATTCGACTATTGAAAGCACAATCGACGTTTCCTCTCCGTCAGAAACCCTGGCACAAGGACTACTTTCCAAAGCACGCGAGCAAGCACTTTCAACCATGGCTGCCTTTGCGGATCTGCCGACAGAAATGCAAGATGAAGTGTTCGGTTACCTTGCCGATGATCGAAAGTCACTAAACTCGTTCATACGTGTCGACCGAACGTGGCACCAGCATACCATCAGCCTGCTATGGCAACACTGCTCTGCAAAGGCTCTCTTCTCTATCACGTCCGTAACCAGGCGTCAGTGGTATGCCGACAAGATACACAGGTTCAAAGTCACTGGAGAGCATCAGGGCGTGGCTCTCATGTTTGTGAGATTCCCAAACCTGACACAACTCATTCTCGGGAGTGGCTCATTCGACGGTCAGAGCTATGAGCCCATCAAGATTCGGCATTTTTTGCCGTCGACTTTGCGCAGACTCGAAATACAACCCGGTTACTTCTACACTTCAGACACGTTGGACTTGATCAGCGTGTGTTGTCCTTCTCTACAAGACCTCCATATCCGAGCGCGTCCTTTTACTGTTGACGAAACCGAACATCTCCTTGGCTTGATTCCTGCTTTTCCGACCCTGCGACGTCTTGAGATAGGCTGCGATTTTAGTGACGTCTCAAGAACGGCTCTCGAACACCTTGGTCAGATTCTACCAATGCTCGATACATTCGTTATCAAGGGTCATCACAACCTTGACTCTTGGAGAGGCATAACAGGAACTATGTTCTCCAGCCTGAGAACTCTTGTCCTCGGGTATGCATACATCTCGGGACACAGGTGGACGTAAGCAGACAATTTGTGTCTATATCTGCAGTACTGATCTCGTGTAGCTACAGATGGGAGGACTCGATGGCAGATGAGCATCTGAGCATCTTGCTTGGACTCGCACCAAGCCTGGAAAGGTATCGCATTGTCAATGGTCAATACATGGATCCAAAAGAGGTGAACATAATCATCCCTCAAGTCTAGAGATGTCTACTGCGGCCTACAACATCGTTCAAGATGATGGACGGAGAAACGGGCGTCAGAATATTTTGCCATTGATGGTCTTTTGCTAAAAAATGTGCAATTCGTTCGTGCTTGACGGAAGAAGTCAGTATTGATAAAGCAGCACGGGTCTCGTTATGAAACTATGGGTTCTCGCGTGTACTTGCTGGACTTGTAGCGAAATACAACAAATCATCCTTGTTGTATTTGAGTGTTCTATCTGCTCCAAAGACTCACACAAACTGTGGCACGAATTGTGATTGAGTCAACCAAAAGAGCAAGTTCCAAGTCTTCAACCACGACAACTATCCCGCACGTATTGAAAGTTCGATGTGGCATTACGATTCTATATATCAAAGGCTTCTCGGGAGTTTGAACCAATAAAGGAAGTAATCAGTGAAAGAGAGACCGACGCACGTGCTTGCAACAGGGTGACAGGGGCGACCTCGGCATATCAGGCTATCAAGGTTGTTGGCCGAGGGCGGCGATTGACAAGACAAACGACTTCGGGTACATTGATCATGCCATCGTCCAGCACATCTCCGCACTTGAGAAGCTATAGATCCCCATCATCATATCCTTATACATAGCTTCCTGCTATATCGCGCATTGAGAGGATTAGCCCGGCCGTCGTCAACACCACATTCACACCATGGCCGACTCGGTTGGTTAGCATCACATGCTTCACCCCTTTGCGACATTTCCATCGTACTGACAAGACACACCACAGACCGAGTCTTCGGACATGCGCTCAACACAGTCAACAAGATCCGCACAGGCTCGCAGAAGCCGCCCGTGAGCGAACGCCTCCGCCTCTACGGCCTCTACAAACAAGCAATGGAAGGCGATGTCGCCTACGTCCAAGAACGCCCCACCATCGACGACAAGAAAGAGCAAGATAAATGGGACGCCTGGGCCAGCAATTCGGGTCTCTCACGCACACAAGCCAAACGCCAATACATCGAGACGTTGATACACACCATGCACGAATACGCGAGCTCGACACCCGAGGCTAGGGAATTGGTCGCTGAGTTGGAGTTTGTCTGGGATCAGGTGAGGAATAATTCGAATCCGAGTGGGAGTTCGGATGCGAGTAGTCCGTTGCGCGTCTTGCATGAGCAGAGGGAGGGATATCCGGGTATGGTCTCGAGTTCTGCTGCCGCCTTCGCCGACGATGATGTCGCGTCTCGTCCGCTGCGGATATTGAGTCCGGTCAGTCAAGCAGACGAGGATGAGTTGAACGAAGAGCACGAGGAAGAGTTTGTGGATGCGCCGATAAGCCAATACGATGATACTGAGGATCCTGCTTTGGACGAGGAAGAAGACGACGATGATCAACAAGCTTCTCCCTCGCGGCGACCACGGACATCCATATCGAGTCCACGCGACACGCGATGGCGAAAACGTATAGAATCTGCCCTGGTCAAGATGACGACTGAGGTCGCCGCTTTACGAGAACAACTCGAGTCGCGCAGCTATATTGCGCAACGGAGGAAGCACTCTTTCCTAGCCTGGATCTTACGAGCGTCTTGGTTTCTGGTCAAGCTGGTTGCCGTGGACATGTTTATACTCTGGCTTGTGCTTCTATACTTGCGTCGAAAGAAAGATAGGAGGCTTGAAGGTGCTGTCAGGGTGTTACTTGGTGATGCTGTTGCGCAGATGCAGAAGGTGAGCAGTAAGGTCAAAGTACCTACCCTGACAGGGAAGAAGAGCTAGCTCTTGGATCCATATATCACGATGTCAACGACTTTATTGTACCAGTATCTGATTATCAAATTCTTGTCAATATACTTGATGGTATCTATGAATCACCTTGGAGGTCACACTGACGCTTGGTAAACGCGACGAACAAATTCAATCAAGATGAATTCTGAGTCTTCATATTTTGACATTACATATCGTGATGAAATCATGAGGTGGACTAATCTAGTCCTCCTTGAAAGGGCATCCCTTGGCTGAGCTCTCTGTTCTAGTCTTCTGCTCGACAACCTCGGCGGTGAGCTTCATCAGGCGGTCTGCCATGGCCATGTCCTGTCCCTTCTCGCTAGGTGTCTCGTACACCTTCTGAGGGCAGATGTAGTTGCCACCGGTCTTAGCGACAGTCGCGGCGTACATGGCAGAAACACAACCCTCGAACTGGCTCTTGCGGAAAGGCTTGAGTCCGATTGACATGCCGTAACCGAGAAGAGGGAATGCTTCGTGGATGTGTACGTTTGTTTGTGCCGTGTCGACGATACCAGGGTGAATGGCGTTGACAATGATGTTGGGGTGAGAAATCTTGAGGTGCTCGTTGAGCCACTTGGCGTAGAGGAGGTTGGCCAACTTGCTGCGTCCGTACTGCGGTTGCGGGCCGTAGTCCTTGTTCAACTCCTCGACTGATGCAAACTCGGTCTCATTGGGTGTCTGTGCGTGCAAGTTGGAAGAAGTGTTGACAATGCGAACAGTGTTGCCCTTGTCGGCCCACTCCTTGATGGTTGGCAGCAGATGGCTGGTAAGCACGACGTGACCGAAGTGGTTGCTAGCCATGTGAAGATCGATGCCGTTGTGTTCCGAGAGCTGTCTAGTCATGATACCCCTGGCGGCGTTGTTCATGAGAATGTCGATTCTGTCGGTCTGCGAGGCGATCTCTGCGGCAACCTTGCCGGTCTGCACCCAGTCCGAAAGATCACATTGCTTCCAGATGAACTTCTTGCGGGCTTCGGGTCCGAACTCTTCTGCAATTGCGTCCAGTGCTTCGTCGACGACTTCTTGCCTCAGGGAAAGAACGAAGAGCTTGGCGATGTTGCGGGAAAGAAGAGTATGTGTGATACCGAAACCAATACCTTCGCTACCACCAGTGACTACAGCAACCTGTTACTCTTGTCAATACATGTCCAAATTTCTCAAGCTCTGGACTATTTACCTTGCCACTGAGATCTGGGACCTCGTCCAAGCTGAAGCTGTTCTCCGGAGAAGCAAGGGCATGAGCAGGGCCACCCAAGTTCTCTGAAATTGTGTTTCTGATAGTCTCCATTGTGATGTTTGGGATTTCGCTCATTGATAGAAATGTTTATTTGATGTGTTGAAGGAAAAACAGAACAAGGGCGGTCCCTTATAAACAATACCCCTCATCAGAGCTCCAAGTAGTGATGTCAGTCCATCGCCAGGTAAGGTGGGCCCCTGGGGGAGCTCAAAGGATCACCGACGTGTGCATGAGTTGTGGACATTGATGCGGTCATAATGATTCCCTGAGGCTTGATTGGGCATATCTGATTTCAACTCCATCTTATCTCTCGGCAGTGGCCCGACCCGTTTTCTGGGGTGCATGGACAACGACAATCCTCTTCGTCCGAGACATTGAGATCTAGAGATCATGATCTTTGAGATGCTGTGCAGTGGGGTACAAAGATCGCGTGTTCAGCTGATTGATGCACATGTGTATTGCTCACTCAGCCAAGTTCAGCCAGGCATGCCGCTTCTGCAACATGCCCTACCGTTAGGACCTCCCAAGTCCAGAAACAAACTCGGTACCCAGGTACTCAAAGATGTAGAGAATGTGGCGTACATCTGGCCGCTCCGGATCGAGCTAGACGGTTCTCTGATATATGTACAATGCGGCGCATGAAACGACCATGTGTCGACGTTCGTTATCTGCAATCGATGAACGGGCGTACAGCGACATTGCTTAAGTAGATGGCAGATGCTTTTACGTTGGGGCAGGCACACGAGAGAGGAGGTTGAGGCCTGGCTACCTCCTTGAAGGCTGGTTGTGAGTAGTTGATTGATACTATGTCGCAGAAGGGTCGTAGATGCTGTCATCATCTACACCGAAGACTTTGATGACGTGCTCTTCGACCAGTTCGCACGTCCCTTTTTTCCAGTCTCGAGGAGCGTCTGCCTTCCAATGGACGAACACACCCCCTAGAGTACATGCGACATGTCTGATCTCAGCCCAGAGTTCTCGCTCGACATCCATGCCGAACGTCTGAATGAGCTTGTCTTTTTCTCCCCATAATCGGCGATGTTCACCTGTACGATGGTTGATAGCAGGGCCATCCTGATTAAACAGTGTGTTTGGGTCCATCTTAGGGAAGTTTGCGTGGATGGTGAAGGGCAGAGGCTTGACTAGTGCAATGTAGTCGTCGACAGGATTTGACTGAAGCATTGCAACTCCGCGTAATTCTCCATTGTCGTCGTATCCAAGAATCTTTACTGGCTCAGATACTTGATAAAACGAAGCATCTACTGCGACTGCTCCTGCCAAGAATGTTTCTTTGTCTCCCTCACCAGGACCTCCCTGAGTGAGCAAAGAATAGTAATGAGAAGGCCCGTAGAAGTTGTAGTATGTAGAAACTAGCAGTGCTGTGGAGTGAGTCTGCTTGTTCACAAGGACTTGGCCTGACTCTGTGGAAGCTCGAACGTTTGTCGAAGGCACAGGCTTACCCTGGATCTTGTAAAACTTCTCTGAGGCTGAAGATATCCAGAAGTCAGGCCAAGTTACTAAACCAGTGGTTGTGAATGGTTCTGTCTTGAAGACATGATCCACATTGTGAACTGGGAAGTTGTCTGCATCCAGTAGAAGAACTTCTCCAAAGCTCGAGAATAACACTGAGAAGATCTTGTATTGGTATTTCTCAAGCTTGACCAGTCCGGATGGGAAGAAGTCGTCCAGAATTACGCAGCGCGCGTTTAAAGAGGGAAGAAGTTCTTGACAGAGATAATTGTCACCACGTGCCTCATCGGCGCGTAAGAAGAGCTCAACAGGCAGAACACTACCTGACCTTCTAAGCATACGGAGGGAGACAATAAATATTGGCAAGTGTGCTCCGCCTGCGGTAGAAACTATACCACGAGATCCCTGTTTGAAGGGAAGAGTCAAGTTGGACATTTCTCTGACCATGACTTGGTGTGCCAATCGCATACCCTCGACTTCAGCTGGGGTGATTGGCACATAATCCGGGCGCTTCAAGGACTTGCTTTTGTTGTCGTTGAAACCAGTGGCGGGAATACTGTCAGTCTTAGTCAAGGCTGATACCGGTGGTTTGGTCTCCTTCAGGATCCGGACTAGCCTGCGACTGAATTGAATGTAAGGATCCCGGTCTTCTGGCTCAGAGGATTGCCAGCCGAGGATACTTGCAGCATTCCTGTGACATTCGTCAGCATTGCTGCATACTCAACACTCCGCCGACTCAACAGTAATACGGGCACATACGATTCAATCGTTGACGGAGCCGATGAGAAGTCGCCGCCAAGGATGAACTTCCAAACAAGAATTACTAGGCAGGATATCACACATGCCCTCCGGAAACGTGCAGGGAAGTGCATGATGCTGCTCCGCCGCGAAAGCTTGGCCGTGCTCAGGTAGGAAGAAGATTGCGGCGATTTCCAGGAAACTCGAGTCCAAGGCTTGAGCAGAGGTTTGGTCTACGAGAGCATGTCGGACAAGGTGTTGCACATTGACGATCAACCGGGCCAGCCTTTCTAGGTTCTGTCCCCGAACGGTGCTGTTTGGTTGAACTTTGACGCGACGCTGCCAGTCACAATGATGCGGGGTCTGCGCCGTCTCCGAGCTGTGTGGAGCTCGGCAGGTTGCCCCGGTCGCCGAACATTGCCGGGAGAGTCCTTGAACTTTCGTCTATCCACCTATCACTTGACATCTACCAGATCGTGGTCCGTATCGCTCGAGCTAAATCATTTCCAACGTTCCTGATCCTGGAAGGTGTAGTCGTTTGTTCGATCGATGAAAAGTCGTTTGGTTCGTCAACAGTCTGTCTCGAATCGTGAGAATCTTGAGGAAGCTGAGAGGGTATCGCCGATGTTTGAGCTGCCCCAATCAGCGACCGTGGACAGAATGTTCGCGAACAGGTTGCCAAAGTTCCATCGAACCTCCGAGAATCTGTGAGCACCCTTTTCGCTCAACACGATTTGCAAATGCGATCTCGAGCAGTTCATAAAGCTTGCTTGCCAAATGAGGCTCAGCTTCCGAATCGTCAAAATGCTATGGTATCGCGATTTTGAAGGACCGAAGGTGAACTCGGATACCTCGTGCTTCCTCTTAGCTGTACCGCAGCACTGGCAAGGCACTGTTTTCTTTCTCTCCGGATGGCTCGGCTTTGGGTCCTAGCTCTCTGTGCCTCCAGGCATGGCATGCAGTGAACATGCGTTTTCAAGGGACTCTCGTCAAGCCTTGCCCTAGGTTAACCGATCGTCTCCGACACATCCACCTCTTTGCGTAGCTAGCATTATAAGTTGAAGATTGAGATCGAGAATTACAGAGGAAACAGTCATCCAAATATTCATTCTGCTCTGATTTCGCTGTTCGGTTTACACGCGGATCGTCGTTCTCGCTCAAACTTGCTCCTCATGGTAAACAGCTTGGCACAAGATACACAAGGTAGGTGAGCTTAAGCTCCAATATGTAGCTCATCGTCCATGTCTGGCTCAGCCCCTAGTGTGTTTCGCCAAGTTCTCGAACGAAACCTTTGGGTACAAGTTACCTTGTCCTCCCCTCCTTTCATACCCCTCGATTTTGACAAGGCTTACTGTGCATACCCGAACTCCTTGAGATTTATTATTGCCAACCTCTGACAACTATCGTTGATTATCGACATTGCTACTCCTAAGGATCAACTCAACACGCGTACTTGTTGAGCCTTTGTTCCTTCCTGCTGGGACCTGGCACCGCGAAGCTTGACTATAGACTTCCAATGGCCCAATTCATAAACCAACCTCACCGCAACAGCTACCCAGGAGCTCCTCAGACCACCATGGACCTTCCATATCAACAAATTTACCAGCCCGTCGAGGAGAACCACAATATGCAGTCATTGTTCGAGCCACAACCTCCACCACAATATTATGGCTTCCCTCCACCGACTGGAAGTTCTCTGGATTCTGGTTATGCTGAAGACAGCAACCCTTTCGAAGAGAACAACATGTTCTGTCCGGATTTCAAGGTGGCCTTTGGTCAAAATGTGAACTCCACAGCCCCAAATTTTGGAGCATACGGCTACATGACCAATGACCAACAACCAAGTGGCCCTGAGCAAAACTTTATGCCGATAGGGTTTTCAGCACCTTTTCAACAAAACTTTGGCTTTATGAAACAAAACAACAATGTCTCGCAAAGTCCACCAGCGTTGATCATGGATGATGCTGTCAGCGTCAAAAGCGAAGACGCTTCTTCGGACGCCGCATCGCCCAAGACGACCACTTTTCAAGATAGCCAGCTTCGAAAGCAGACTAGGAAACGTCCCGGTACACTCAAGCGAATGGCAACAGACACATCGATAGAAGGACGACCTAGTGTAGAGCGTTCGACAACCAAGGAAAGTCGTGGACGAAACAAGAAGCGCATCCCGCACACGGCAGTAGAACGTCGATACCGGGAGAACCTCAATTTGCATCTCGAAAAGCTACGATTGGCAGTACCAAACTTGCAAGCTGCGCATCGCCGCCGTGCGAGCGATGTCAACGACCCCATGAAGCCAAGCAAGTGCGAGGTACTGATGGGCGCTGTGGAATACATCAAGCGGCTCGAGTCAGAAGTAGCGAGGTTGAAGAAGGAGATGGGCGAATGAAAGACAGGGAAACAAAGTAAAAAACTAATGACGACGAATTTAATTGACAATGATCTCTTTCTCGCGCTTATGCGCTGGCTGGCAGTTGAACGAGGGATATAGAGAAAACAGGTACCTCTTGTGTTGGATTAAGCACGTGGGAGTTTGAGTTTGGACGAACCGGTCGTTGTGGCCCCGATAGACAAACGCTAATGACAATCCCCTCTGTATTCGTAACTTGAATCTTGACTCGATTGTGAGGTTTATAAAATGAGATGGAGATCACAGAGACCCCTGAGAGTTGAAACAACGAGCGTCCGCTTGGCACGTGCACGTCATTGCAGAGGGTCATGTTTCCTCGAACCCTTGAATCAACTATGAATGCAGGAGTTGCGAGTGCGAGTAGACGGTCATTCAGGATGACCTGGAAAGCGTAAACTCGATTGAAAGACACATACGACATACTAGGAGCACAGCTGGACCAACATGGCGGATTCCAGTCCGCCCGAGTTGGCGGCAGCCCTGCTGAGATGGGTACGACGACGACATTTCGCGCGCAATGCTACGGCCAGCTGACATGAGCAGGTTCAAGCATTCCAGACATCAAAGAAAGTAGAAGGATGGGAGGACATACAAGATGGTCAAGTGCTATGGGATATTCTACGAGACATCGACCCAGGCTACTTTCAAGACGACCTGCCCGAACCGCCGGCCAAAACACAAGACCACTGGATCCCGCGATGGCAGAACCGTAGGTGCAAAAGGAGAGAATCGAGGCTTGAAAGCAGAGAGCTCACACAAGTCCAGTCAAACATGTCAATCGTCTTGTCACATCGTATCTGCGGGACTCGAGCGGCTCCATCGAGAACCCGGCAGGCAGCCGTGCCCCAGACCTCAAGGCCATTGCCACAGATGCCAGTGCTAGGGACACCGTTATGGTATGCTTCCACCATATTGCCCCTCGAAACAGACCAATCAACTAAGACGCCGCCAAATAGTTGCTCAAGACGATGCTTCGTGCCGCCATGTATTCGCCCGAATCGAATCAGAGAATGGGTCGCATAGTCGTCGGCCTCGGTCCAGAAGTCGCTGTCACCATCGCTGCCGCCATGAAGCAAATGGAAGACTCGGATGTACCACAGTCAGACGCCGCCGAACCCTCCGAATATGAAGCCACCCCCGAACCTTCCACCCCTGCGGAACCCGTCTCGGAGAAGTCTGCCGTTCCTGTCTCAGCAAATGACCGTCTCTCCTTTGGTGCTTCCACAGACCGCGATCCCGAATTGGAACAAGAAGAGAAGCTCATTCAGGCCTACAAGGTCATCAAGGATCTGGAGAACAACAACGCGAAAGCCGCGATCGAGTTGGAAGAGCTGCGACAAGACAAGGAGGAGTTACAACAGGCTTTCGACGCTTTCAAGTACGAAGTCGAGAACCAAGGGCGCAACACTGCCGAGAACGACTCCATAAAAGAGATGCAGCTCAAGGCAGAAAGAGATCGGGACTACATTGCTGAACTGGAAACCGAACTCGAGACTGTACGGGACAAGTCGCAGTCCCAGGAACGTCAGATCGAACGATTCAAGACAGACACGGACGCAAAGCAGAAGCTGAGAGACGACATGCAGCTTCTCCGAGCCGAAAGAGACGACCTGCTTCAGAAGACCCGCATGAATGAGAACCTCAAAAAGAAGATTCAGGCCTTACAGGACCAGGAAAAGACAAATTCAACCCTGAGGGAAGACCTACGCTCAGCAAATGACAGACTGCAAGACTTGGATCGTCTAAAAGACCAATGCGCTGCTCTGCAAAAAGCCAACGCTGAGAACCTCAAACTTATTGCTAATGGCGAGCAAGAAATTTTCGATCAAAAAACCACTCGAAAGCGCATTGAGCACGAGTTCAAGGTTCTTACACAGAAGTACGAGGCGGCCAGGGAGAGACAAGTCAAGGACCACGAGAGTATTACCGAACTGGAGAACAAGCTGCAAACACTTGAGATCGGAGGTTCAAGCACCGGTGGTACGAGTGGTGGCCTTGATGGAGAACTCGAAGCTTCCGAAAAGGCACGAGCTGAGAAAGCAGCCGCTAGGAGTCAGGGTGATGCTATTCCCTCTGCTGATGCTGCCATCCTGCAGCAGAAGCTGGACGCAATCACTGCAAGAAATAGCAAACTGGAGACCGAGTATCTGGATATTCTGCAAGACAAGCTCGGCCTAGAAACAGCTCTGCAAGATCTTCGCGAGCCAACTCGAGAGCCAGAAGAAAACGTGCCATTCTTGGAACAACGAAAGAAGCTACAGGCAGCGCAGTCCGAGATCCAGGAAATGCGCAACCAGCAATTTGGCACAAACACCGAGATGGCAAACATCAAGGAGAGGCTAATGGCCGTCCAAAAACAGCTCACAGACAAGGATGTACAACTCGACGGTAATGCGGAGTACCAGACCTTGACAGACCGGTACTCGGAATTGCACAAACACAGCGAAGGCGTGGAAGCAGAGTTGGCAGAACAACGTGCTCTGTTACGACATGCTTTGCTCAATGCTGCACAGCTGCTGAAGGAATCGGTCGAGACTCGCAATGAGAACGAGTACAAGTTACTCCTACATCAACTGCAGGCAGTCAGAGATGCACCCGATGACGAAGAGCTTCTCGAGTCCACTGCAGCACAACTGGCTGATCGCATGGAGCAAGCACGATCTGATACCACCACTGCGAACAAGGTAAGTCACCCCTTCAATACACTGGCTCGATATTTCACTACTAACATTTACTCCTTCTCTAGCTTGCCGAAGACAGAGCAGCTGAGATTGCGACACTCAAGAAACGAGTCGCTTCGGGCACGACAACGCCAGCCACGGGCAACATTCCATCCGCCGAATATGCAGCCCTGAAACGCGAGAACAAGCTCATGACATCGGCATGGTTCGATCTCAGCAGCAGGTTGCAGAGCAACACGGTCATGTTGGGCAGACGCAAAGAGAGTCCGAAGAGTTTCTTGGGCAAGCAGAGACAGTTGGTGACGCCAGGTTTAGTTGCCGGACAGGTGAGATAATTCTATGCTTGATTGAAGAATCACGCTAACGTTGAAGAAAGCACCGTCGTTGATTCGAGGGTAACAGTACGAGAAATATAGCGATATCCCAAGGTATTATTGAAGCGTTTACCAGCGCGTTTACAGACTAGCAACATCAAGACCATCGATAGCATTATTGATAGACGACAACAACTCACGACGACGGTAATGCACGTCGGTGCTGGTAGATTGCCGAGCGTCATATTTCGGTCTGACGTCTGGCTAATCATCGGATCCTGAATCTGGCCAACCGGATTCAACCCTTACAAGCTAAGGTGATGTGGTGTAGTGGTAGCATGTGTCGTTGTGGAGGTTAAATTCCAGCAACGCCGACCCGACGGCGGTTCGATTCCGCCCATTGCCAGGATCTTTCTTTTTTGTCCGTCTTTCTCTTTTTTGTCTTTGACGTGAAAGGATGAGGAGGCAGGTGCTTTGTCTTTTTGTCGCAAGGAGTAAGCGATACTGTCGCGTCATCGCGCAAGGAGTGGATGAGTATGTGATGTGAAAAAGTGCATTCATTACAAGGGATTTATTCTATTCATCAAATGTACTCAGATACAAGTGGCTACCTCTATCTCACACCTATACTCTGCTTGGGACCAAAGCGATCTTCTGAGTTCCAAGTCTCTTCAGCTTTAGTACCCGGCGGCAACCACGAGCCAGGAGAAGCATTACTAGACGCTCTGGCGCGCATACTATGCTCGGCTCCGTTCGGTAGACCGTAACCGCCATTAGAGGGTGCGTAGTTATTGGGGAACTGCGAGTAAGGGTTTGCATCCGACTTCTTGTGATCGCCGCTGACCATTGGGAGGAGTGTGTCTTTGCTTTCTTGCATGGCGCGAGCGCGTTTGTCTGCTTTTGCGGCGTCGCTGGTGCGGTCGTAGAGATAGAGACCGAGGATCGTGAGACCGATACCGAAGCCTTGGATACCGGTCATGGGGTTGCCGAACCAGATGATCGCGAATACGATGACGAAGACGCGCTTGAACAAGCTAGCCACACTGTAAGTGACTGGCGAGACGAGACCGAGGAGGACAAAGGCGACGAGGTTCTGGCCAAAGTGGAAGGAACCGTTGAAGATGAATTCCAGGCCCAGACGAGCGTGATCGAGGGAGCCAGGGCGCTCGGAGAGTTCGATGGAGGCATCGGCGAGGAAGTCGCCAATCATGGAGAAGCCTTCAGACCAGAGCCAGATGGGCAATGTCAAGATGAAGGCTAGACCAGAGGAGTAGCACAACAAGTTCAGCTTGTCGGGCTTCTTGTTACGCGTGCTGATACCGTCGGCTTCTGCTTTGGCGGCCTCGTTGAAGAGTTTCTTGGATACGATGTTCTGGGTGACGAACAGAAGCGCGCTGCCGAATGCATAGACAAGTCCGAGGAGATTTGCCTTGAAGCTAGCGGAACAGGCCATGACGACTCCCAACGTAAGGGGTACGAGAGACATGTATGTGGCATACGAGTATTTGACGTTGAAGACGAAACGGTAGGCGAGGACTGTGAGTAGAGGCGACAGACCCTTGATGGTGTGGACGAGCGAGACGGGGATGCGGCTCATGGCATCAGAGCTGAGGATGTGACCACCAATTTGGAAAGCAGTCAGGGGTAGGGTGGTCATGATGAGCTCGCGCGAAGGCTTGCGAATACCATGGCGAAGCACAGGCATCGAGTTCCGGAGAGGAGGGTGAATGCGAGCAGCCCAGGACAGCAATAGACACCACGAACATACAAACATGAATTGGATCAAGGTCAAGGTCACGGGCTTGGGCAGGGCTGTCAAGATGGCCTTGGACGACGTGTTGGACATGATGGAGGTTGTGTACCAGATGGCACACAGGAACTTCAGCCAAAGAGTAAGCACGGATATGCGATTGTATTCGGAGTCGGGCTGCAACGTACGATGAGCCTTCCTGACACAGGGGCCTTGAGCGCATCCGCTATCTCATGTGCGTTTTGGCTGACGCTGCCCTTTCTTCCTCGAACAGTTCGGATTGCCTCGCTCAGGCTCTTTTGTCTTCCATGACGGCCTACTGTGCCGCCGCCATTAGGCGTCCATCCGTTCGTGCTGCGCGAGTCCCTTCGTGCCTGCCATCGTTCATGGCTGTGCAGGTGATTGGGCAGTCCAAGCGGTTGGGGCATAGGCGACGCTGGGTTCGAGTCAAAGACCTCCTGTGTCGTCTGCAGCATCTCCTCTGACAATTCCGGAAACTTGAAGGTTGCCGGCGACGGCGATGTCGACGACCGCCGGTCGAATTGCGATGTTGACATGGCTGTGGTCGCTGTGCGAGGTTGCGGGTTTGCGTGGCTGAAAGAGTGGTCGACTACGATCAATCCATGGGGACAGGATTGGATTTGTATGCGCTTTCAACCCTGAAATACGAGCTTCGTCAAGCAATTATTGACACCTTGGGATGGCCAGGCTGGCAAGGTGTTTGATCTTCGCTGCCGTCATTCGGTAATCTCCGTCTTTGTCTGCGAAGCTTCCCCCTCTCTTCAGCCTGTTCAATCGTTCAAATCAAACGCTCCCTTTTTGTCAACGGCCTATGTTATAGACATGAAGTTTGCTACCTTGTTCGTAAACGCCCTTCAGGGCACTCAGAAATCTATTTCTGCACATGTGCAACCAGGTGCATGTCCTCTCGAGTTTTCTGTATCATGGAAAGTCCTAGGTCCATTTCAAATCGGCACACGAGGCATGATGCATCCACCATCACTGGATGCATCAAACACTGATACCACAACGTAGAAGCAACATGGGGTGCCGACCCGCTTGAATCTTATGGTGGCTTTCGCTCTCTAAACTTCGATAGAGATGCAAAGTTTCCTAGCTCTCTGGCTCCAAATGCCACTGTCTCCTGGTCTAGCATCGAGGCCCAGCAATCATCTTGTGATGCTCTCGCTGCTCAAATTGGTCTTTCCGTAGCCTTTCCTGATATTGACTTGGAGTTTCTCCAGCGTATATACGGATGGGCGGCTCTCCAATATCAGGGGTGGGCTCGAGGTTCTCTCCTCGTCAATGGAGATCAGTCCCAGACCTTGACGCTGTCAACAGATAACTTGCTGGAGTTCTACGTTGATGGGGTACACTATTTTGGTGGTGACTACTATGCACTTCGAAGGGTTCCTCTTGTGTTGCATCTGGAGCCAGGAAACCACACAATCGACTTACGACTTGTCCGCGATGTGCGAGTAATGGGTGGCGTAGGTTCTCCGCATATCGACATCCACCTTGAGGCGCAACCCTCTACTCAAGATCTCCATGTGGCTGTTGATCAGACTATCATGCCGGACATGGTCAACGGAAGATTGGCAAGCATGCTTGGTTCCGTTCAAGTCCGTAATGACCATGTCCAAGACATCGAAGTCTCAACGGTCACTTCCAACGACAGCTCGTACTTTCTATGGCTGCTCAAGCCAGATGACTTCCGGGTTGTTTCTGGACAGACAAGACCTGTGTCTTTGGCTATCTCTTGCGAGATAGACTGCAGTCCATATCTAGGTATCGACATTGAGTACAGAATAATTGGTGAGTATCGCCCACAGGCTTCTGTGCTGCATGTTCATCACCACTTCACGCAGCGAGAAATGCATGAGCCGTTCAAGGTGACCTCGCATCATCCTGGAGGAATGGTTTCATACGCAATTCTAAGACCCCCACCATTGAACATGTCTTGTCCACTGGATTCTGAGGGCTCGCTTCCAATTCTGCTGCAGCTACACGGCGCTGGAGTAGAAGCAGACAATGACATCGTGAGGCATGCTCTAGATCCTCTGCCTGGTCTTTGTGCTTGGGCTTTGTTCCCTACTGGATCAACTCCTTGGTCAGGAGATGATTGGCATGTTTGGGGATTCGCAGACGTGGAAGCGGCAGTCAGAGCAATACCTGGATGGATCGAGAGCATTCGATGGACCGGACCAGGGGTGAACATAGAACGCTGGCTCGTCAGCGGTCATTCCAATGGAGGTGAGTCCCCCATAACGATCGGCCGAATGTGAAAGCTGAGCGGCCTCAGGGCAAGGGACGTGGTATGCGTTAACGCATCGACCCGACAACGTGCTCGCAGCCGCGCCCGTATCTGGTTACTCTTCAATTCAAAGTAAGCTGCAGCGTACCTTCACGTCATTTCGAGCTAACACGTCCAAGACTATGTGCCTTACGACTTGTGGCGACCGATGCCGCCTTCCGTTCGTGCCCTTCTTGACACATCTTTGAGCAGTTACCGTCATGAACTGTTATTAGAGAACGCAAAGGGGATCTCAATCTTGCAACAACATGGGAGCATCGACGACAACGTTCCAGCCTTTCATTCGCGCCTGATGAGTCAACTGCTAAAGCAATCAGGTGCAGACTCAACGTATGTGGAGCTTCCAGGAAAGAACCACTGGTTCGACGGCATCATGACTACAGAGTCCTTGAGACAGTTCTTTGAGCAACAACTGAACGGCTTCGCACAACCTTTGCGTGCCCCTGAAGCATTCGCGCTGGCTGTTGCTAACCCGGCAGACTCGGGTCCAAAGTTCGGAGTAGAGATCCTTCATTTGCGTCGTCCAGGCCAGCTTGGAAAGGTCCATGTCTCTTTTTCTTCCTCGACGTGCTCCCTTCGGACTTCGAACGTATTGAGCTTCCGTTTGCCCAGTATCTATCCTCGAACGCATGATGTTGTCGTCGATGGCCAGAGGATTGACTTTGCCCTCCAAGCCGAGGACAATGACTTGTGGCTGGCTCCAGGAGGTATCTGGAAGGTATGTGTACACGCGAGGAGACGTCTAGTGATTGACGATGTTGACAAGTACAAGGTTCTTCCAAAGGACCAGTCGCCGGCATTGCGAGATACAAATCAGTTGGGCGCCATGGATGCTTTGTTTCGTACTGGAAATACTCTGCAGATTGTCAGCCATTCTGAGCAGGCCCGGCATATCGCTGTCCAGATATCTCGAAACCTTTGTCAATACCTTGGTGCCGACACAGAAGTCCTGGAATCTGGAACTGGGTCCTCAAAGCCATATAGCAACATGATCAGTGTTGTTGTCTCTAGCAACCCACCTACTGGTCACCTCAGGCATTTCGCTCTAGATGTGGACTCTTCCGGTGGCATCAACATACGTACAGCAGACGGCCAGAAGAGCTACCCTGGCTCAGCAGGTCTTGGTGCTATATTCTTGAGGCCGCTTCCGGCAGGAGCTGTGGAGCTTGTGGTATGGGGCTTTGATGCAGCGGGCTTGGACGTAGCAGCTCGCCTTGTGCCCATGCTTCCAGGAGTCGGACAGCCAGACTTTGTTGTAGCAGACAGAAGAATGCTCTGGCAAGGTGCGGGCGGTGTTCTGGCAATGGGGTCCTTTGATCATCTCTGGAACGCGACAGAAAACTCCTACTTTACATGAGGTAGTGGAGGTATAGCAGGCGAGGCAAAGAATATCGCAGGACCAAGGCGGCTTTAACCTCGGTATTTCCGTTGACCAAATCCCAATGCCTGCCGCCGTCACTTTAGCCGTGCTGTATGGCTCTGAACAGGGTCGCTGTCGCGAGGTGGCACGTGTGCACGTCCCTTCGGTGAAGTTGGTCGCACTTTGGGAAGGCATCCTCCACCTTTTCCCACCACCACTTCCCACACAGCAACTTGGTCAACTTCTTTTTGAATGCCAGTATCGTGCGCTCTCTTTTGAACCAACCTTCGTCGCTCCTTCATCCTAGTTGTCATTGGACCATCTCTAATTGAAAACGCCGAGCCGACGTCCTTCTGTCTGCGCCCGTTTCTTGGTCTGTACTTACTACTACATCCCTCCAAAGTAAGCCTCATCGCCTCTCCTGCTAACGATCTTTGCATCTTGCACCATTCTCGCCCGACGATCTCTTGATCCTACACCTTCTCCTTCCATCCATCTCTGGATCAGACACCATCTCCCTCCCACCTTCCATCCACCTTTCATCCTCAATTCTCCTTCCAACTTCCACCATCTGCTGGAACCATCATGGCTTCTTTGAGTCTTGACGGATCACCTACTCCTCGCAAGAAGGCACCTCTCAACTTCTTCCTCCACGACGAGGACGCATTCGAAGACGAAAATACTCACATGTCTGGTGGTGCTGTAGGTTTTGACACTTCAACCATGTACCATCCATTCAACTTAACCTTCCGCCAGCAGGGAGTCAAGCGCGACACCAACTCGGCCATCTCGGACACTGTCCCTCTGACCACCTCTCGCTTCGTCAACCAGCTGCCTCCCCCTCCTCCCTCTACTCGCAACTCTTCCTACAAGGTAAGTCTACTCCAACACGTCGAACGTGTCAGCAGTGTCGTGGCATACTGACTCGTCTCTCCGTCAACAGGGTCAAACCAACATGCCTATCATGTCGATGCCTCCTCCCAGTAGCCTTGGCATCTCTCAGCCCCCTCCTGCTCGCAACCTGCATCTTGACGAACTGTTGGCCAAGCTCTCCGAGCAGCAGATCCTTCTCAACAAGCAGAACACCGCCCTTTACGGTCAGCGTGGTGGTGATTCTCCCGCCTCGTCCGGCTCTGGTGCTCTGACCAACCCTCATGCCGCCACTCCTCGCACCGACTCTCAGATCAACGACATCTCGCAGGCTGACCTGGCTGAGATGTTGCGTCTCAAGAAGGAGCTTGAGACAGCCCAGACTCAGATTGCTCGCATGGACCAAGAGTTGTCTCAGTCTCGTATCACAAAGCACACACTGGAGCAGGCCATGGGCTCCCAGTTCGACTCTGACTTTGACCACATCCGCGACCTTCGCCCTCAGGGAGTTGCTGCCCGTGTTGACAACTGGGTTCAGTCAACTGATGCAGTCCTCCCACCTATCAACTCCAACCCCAACGTCAATGCTAACCAGATGGCACCTCCTGCTGCCCGCGGCATCTGGGGCTCGGGTCCTGCTTTCGGCCCTGGTGGTCCTGGCGGTCCTGGTGTTATCGGCCAAGCACCCAACAACACCGCCAACTGGCCTCTCGTTGATCCTCGTGTTATGTCTGGCGCTCGCCTTGAGGTCAACAATGCCAACATGTTCCCCGTCGGCCCTAACACTCGTGGTTGCCCACCTTCGCTCCGCATTGACACATCTGCAATGGGAACTTACTTCAGTGAGCCTTCTTCCGCTGATTTGTCGATGCGCGGCGGTCAAAGCCGTCCTCACTCGGCTTTCGGCAGTCACCTTGCGCCTTGGGGTCAATTCAGCCCCAACATCAACGCCGCCGATCAGACCGGCCTCACTCCTCCCTTGACACCTCTTTCTTTCCAGTCAATGCAAAACATGCACAACATGTCCAACATCCCCGGAATGCCTCAACACATGTCTGACCAGGCCATGATGAACATGTCTTTCGGTCCCAGATCCAACGGCACCAGATTGTCCCCCACCGCCGCCGAGTTCCAGGCCAGCTACGGCGGTCCTGGATGGAGCAACAACAACCAAGTAAGTTTTTCCATCACTTCATTTCATCCCACTTTTGAAACGCGCATCCACTAATTGTTTTCAGTCTCTGTCTGAGCCCGGCAGCTACCTCACCAACGCTGAGCCCATGAACTACCGCCGTCTCCTTGACCGCAACATGAGCTGCAACTGGAAGTACATCGTCGACAAGATCGTCCAGAGCAACGACCAGCAGGCTTCCATCTTCTTGCAGCAGAAGCTCAAGGTTGGCACTCAGGAGCAGAAGTATGAGATCGTCCAGGCCATCATCGAGCAGGCTTACCCTCTCATGATCAACCGCTTCGGCAACTTCTTGGTCCAGCGCTGCTTTGAGCACGGCAACCCTGAGCAGATCATCGCCATCGCTCGTGCTATCCGCGGCAACACCCTCAACCTGAGCATGGATCCCTTTGGCTGCCACGTTGTCCAGAAGGCTTTCGACAGCGTTCCTGAGGAGTACAAGGCCATCATGGTCCACGAGCTTCTCCGTCGCATCCCCGAGACCGTCGTTCACCGCTACGCCTGCCACGTCTGGCAGAAGCTCTTTGAGCTCCGCTGGAGCGACACTCCTCCCCAGATCATGAAGTACGTCAATGAGGCTCTCCGCGGCATGTGGCACGAGGTTGCTCTCGGCGAGACTGGCAGTCTGGTCGTTCAGAACATCTTCGAGAACTGCCTTGAGGATGACAAGCGCCCTTGCATCAATGAAGTTCTCGCCAGCATCGACGTTATCGCTCACGGTCAGTTCGGCAACTGGTGCATCCAGCACATCTGCGAGCACGGCGCCACTCCCGACCGCAACCACGCCATTGACCACGTTCTTCGCTTTGCCACCGAGTACAGCATGGACCAGTTCGCCAGCAAGGTCGTCGAGAAGTGCCTCAAGATTGGCGGCACCGACTTCCTTGACCGCTACCTTGACCGTGTCTGCGAGGCTCATGCTGACCGCCCTCGCATGCCTCTCATCGACAGTAAGTACTGATCCACTTCTCCATCATACTAGACACTAACAAAAGCCAGTCGCTGGTGACCAGTTTGGTAACTACTTGATCCAGTACATCCTCACCCACGCCGACCCTCAGCGTCGTGAGGTTGTCGCTACTCACATCCGCAAGCACATGGTCTCTCTTCGCGGCTCCAAGTACGGCTCTCGCGTTGCCATGCTGTGCTGCAACCCTGCCGTCGCCACTCGTCCTGGTCCCCCTACTGGCATCCCCATGGGCCGCAACAATGGCAACTACGGCGAGCGCCCCTACGGCGGTGCCCGTAGTTTCCCTTACGGTGGAGCCTACCGCTAGAGTGTGACGCTTCAAGATATTCCAACGCTCGCCAATCTTGTGGTTTTGTCGACCATGTTTGTGCCGGGTGTACAACAGATATCTACACATCATACTCCATGTCTCACCACCTATGGTCTCAAGTGCAACTCGTCTGGTTGCACGAGGATTGCTGGCACGACACTCAAGCTGGCTGCATAAATTCAGAATATTATTGCGCGTCTGACAATGAATGTGGCTGTGGCATCACTGTCTAGCTCCAGCATGTTAGCATCTTTTCATTTACACGATCGTTCTCACAGGCATCTGTCATGTCGAAGTTCTTCGCCGTCTATCAAAGAAAAAGGAGGAAAGCTCGCTTTTGGCGCAAGCCTTTTGGATGGATCGAAAAGCTCTTGCATTTTTCGATAACATCAACATGTCAGCACCAGAAACAAAACGAAAACAGGCGACAAAACAGGAGGGAGAGATTTTTTCACTTGACACTTTTCGTTTACTTTCTTTTTTCAGATGTTTTTTATGCGCAGGGGATGTAATGGGAGGAGGAAAAGAAGCATTCATGGGTTTTATCGAGCAAGCAAGGAGGCGTAATGTGATGAAGTGCACAGCTCAGGCTGAAAGGTAGCATCGATATAGAAACGAAAAGACTTGATTGACACACAATACCTGCCCCGTCCTCGTCACGTTCATGATGTTGATGGAATCGAAAACAAGATGTGTATATGATGTCAGAAACTCAGCCACCCCAGGAGCTGGGACTTGATATCGAGCAGATGTGTCCTCTTACTGACATACAGATTTATCCAACATAGAGACCATGGTTTAGATAGGAATTGCCATGGGAATCTGGAATACGGAACCTGCGCATGGAGTCGTGACTATTCAGACTACACACAAGCAGCTCTCGAATGCCCTCGCTTCTTTGATGAGCAGTGGTTGATGTGTTCCGTGACAGTAGACTTGAAAGGTGGCTCTTGGCATGCGCTGAATAACAAGACGTTGCCGCTCGGTATCCAGACGAGCTTAACCAAAACAAAGCAGCCACTGCCGTAGCCATCATCAGCGGTCACGCATGTTGCATGTTTAAGCGCGAGCCAATCATTGCAGACGATGGCTTCGCTCACTCCTATAATCGCTGGTGACCGACGACGTCCTTACTCTCCTGTGCACTCGCCCTCGGCACCAGTAATCATGACAGCGGCTAACGGCCACTTTGCCAGTGTTGGCGACGACGGCGACAAGCAGTCGTTCGAACACGGCATCCAAGTTATTGACGAGAACAAAACATTCAACGCCAACCTACCAGCATACCTCGACGTCGAACATGTCTTGCGCCAGGGCTTCAACTACCACCTCATCTCCGTCTTTGGTAGCCAGAGTACGGGAAAGAGCACTCTGCTCAACCACCTGTTCGGAACACACTTTGGAGTCATGTCCGAGTCGGAACGTCGCCAGACGACAAAGGGAATCTGGATGAGCAAGAACAAGCGCGCCCAGGCCGAAGGAGGTGCTATCAAGATGGCAGACAACATCCTGGTCATGGACGTCGAGGGTACCGATGGTCGCGAACGTGGAGAGGACCAGGACTTTGAGCGCAAGAGTGCCTTGTTCGCCCTGGCCACCAGCGAGGTCCTGATTGTGAACATCTGGGAACACCAAGTCGGTCTGTACCAGGGTGCGAACATGGGCCTGCTCAAGACTGTCTTCGAGGTCAACCTGCAGCTATTCCTCAAGGACAACAAGTACGAAGCCTTCCCCTGCCCCCTATCTTAACACTCAACTTTCTAACACTCTTCCAAAACAGCTCGACTCCTCGCTCGCTACTCTTCTTCGTCATCCGCGACCACATTGGCACCACTCCTCTTTCCAACCTGCGTCAAACCCTTCTCGCCGATCTGACCCGCATCTGGTCCACCCTCTCCAAACCACCTGGTCTTGAGAACTCCAAGATCGAAGACTACTTCGACTTCGCCTTTACCGCTCTGCCCCACAAGATCCTGCAACCCGAACAATTCGTCGAGTCCGTTGCCAAGCTAGGCTCGCGCTTCCGTGAAGGTCAAAAGACTTCTAGGACAAATCCCTTCTCTGACGAGCAGGCCGAGCCTATCCTGCTGCCCGAGTATCACCGCAGGATCCCCGCCGATGGCTTCTCCATGTACGCTGGAAATATCTGGGAACAGATCGACAGCAACAAAGACCTCGATCTCCCTACTCAGCAAGAGCTCTTGGCCCAGTTCCGTTGCGACGAAATTGCTCGCGAGGTTCTTGTTGCTTTTGATGAAGTCATTACTCCTCTCGAGTCCAAGCAAGCAGACGCTGCAAAGTCTGGTGCACCAAGTGTTCTGGCAGGTCTCGGAAAGGCTATGAATGTAGCCCGCGCAAAGGTTCTCCAGGACTTCACGAGCGAGGCAAGCAGATATCACCAAGGCGTCTATAAACGCAAGAGCGCCGAGCTCGAGACCAACGTTGATGCCAGACTGAAGTCTCTGTTCCAGGGACAATTGTCTGCCGCTCACAAGACTGGTGTACAACAGTTCACTGAAGCTGTTTCTACCGCTGTGAAGTCTGGTCAAAAGAAGGGTAGCCACTACGACTTCCAGAAGATCGTCCATGCCGAGAAGCAAAAGGCTCTCGAGAAGTACGAGCAGGAAGCATCCGGACTATTGATTGAAGGTGCTTCTTGGAGCAACTACCAGCAAGAGCTTGATTTGTACCGCAAAGACCTCGACGAAGCCAGTGGTCGCCTGCGCAAGGATGAGATGCGCCGCCTTGCCTCTCGTGTCGAGCGCTGGGTCCGTTCTCATCTCGGCGAGTCAATCGGTGTACAGTTTAACAAGCTTGGTTCTGGACGTGGTGGCTCTGGTGCACCTGAAACTGGCGAAAGAGGCTCCATCGAGAAAGATCTCTGGGATCGTATCTGGCTCGTTTTTACCGAGACCGTCAAGCACGCAGAAACACGCTTCACAGAGCGCGCAAAGGGCTTCGATGCTAGTCCCGAAGAAGTCGAGGTCGGACTTTGGCGTCTGCGTCGCAAGTCTTGGGGTGTTTTGAGAGCCAAGATTGATGAGGAAGTCATGGAGGGCAACCTGCTTCTTAAGCTCAGAGAAAACTTCGAAGACAAGTTCCGCTACGACGAGGAAGGTGTACCCCGTATCTGGCGTCCCTCTGACGATATCGAGGGTATTTACACTCGTGCGCGGGAAAGTACGCTCGAGCTCATTCCTCTGCTTTCCAAATTCAAGCTTTACGAGACCAAGTCTCTGCCTCCGCTCGAAGAATGGATTGGCCAAACGCCCGCTGAGTTGTCTGCCGCCGACGAAGAGGATCTACATCCCATCGGTGGTGTAGACGAGGAAGATGGAAAGACAATCGACGAGGAGATGACCGTCCTCAGCGATGCAAAGAAGCAGGATCTCAGCGTACGCTTCAAGAAGACTGCCGATGGTGTTTACGTTGAAGCGAAGCGCAGCGCCATTGGTGGTGTCACCCAAGTGCCTCTCTATTTCTATGGTCTATTGCTTGCACTGGGCTGGAACGAGATTGTCGCTGGTATGTTCCCTTCCACCCTTCCGCTCGAAATTGGTCTTTGACACTGACATAATCACAGTCCTCCGCAACCCTCTCTACTTTGTCTTCTTGATCCTCCTCGGTATTGGTGGATACGTTACCTACACACTCAACCTCTGGGGTCCGATCATTCGCATGACCAACGCCGCCAGCGCACAAGGCCTCGAAGTGTTCAAGGAGCGTCTACGCGAGTTCCTCGAGACTTCAGATACAGGTCGTCAAGCCATGGCCATGTCTGGCAGCAAACCTTCCGAGCGTGAAAAGTACAGGTAAGACATTCGTCTTCAACCACAATTTTAACGAGCATATGCTGACTTCAAGGTCAACAGAATGGACACGCTCGATAGCGACGGCAAGAAGACCACATCCACGGGTGCCGATGAAGATGAAGACATTTGATCCATCTTGCTTCTTTGAATTATTGTTGGACAGCCTACTACCCCAGCCTTGTTGTGTAGCGTAAATGAAAGCAGTAACCACCTATGTCTCCTCTCTGGATTGTGTATAGAATACATCAATCCTCTTCCGAGAACTGCATCTCCTTCTCGTGACGTTGGTTTATAATAGCTTGTCAAAATGCAAAAAGTTTTTCGATTTGAAATTGTTGGCCAGTGAGAGCCGGCATCCCCATGATCTGCGCGCAAGGCTTGTCGTCACACACAGCCTATCTCTTGGACCTGTCGCTTGTTCATAGTATGCACATCAAAATGCACAATCAAATCCAGTTCTGCTGAAATGTCCAGTGAGAGCCTCGCGCCAATACCCCTGAGCAAGAAACTCTCCCCCATCTCCTCTATCAGTCGCTGGTTCACAGTATGCACATCAAAATACACAATGGTATTCAGAAACACAGAGATGTCCATTGAGAGCCCCATGCCGGGCGTGCCTCCCTGATCAAACTGTTTCCTATTCCTTTGTTCCAATCGCTGGTTCTCTGTACATGTCAAAATGCAAGATGATTTTCTGATTGATGAGATAGTCCAGTGAGAGACTTGTGTCCATGTTCCTGATTGGTATCCGTCTCTCTTATATCTGCTACCGGTCGCCGGCTCAGAGCATGCATGTCAAAATGCAAGATGGTTTTATTTTACTGAACCTTTCCGTGAGAGAATGATATCCCTATTCTTGGTCAAGCTCTTCTCCTCTCTGCTACCGGTTGCAGGCTCACAGTATGCCCATCAAAAGGCACGATGCTTTCTAGACTGATGAGATGGTCCACTGACAGTCGCTCTCTCCTACTGGGTAATAGCAATACAGCGACATACTATAGTTAACAACCTCGATAGCTCTAAGCCATTATATTGAGTATTATACATGTAAAGCGAACAAGAAGCGTGTACTACTGTACAGCAGTGTTAGGCTTTGTTCATGTCATGTAATTCTGGACGAGATTCAAGCGTTAGAAGATTCCGGCGTTTCATGAATCATGCGCTCTGGGCTTGGCGCTCCCTCACTCCCACATCGCGTTAGCGCATTTCCTCATTGCGTTAGCTGCAGATCCTTGACTCGAGCATAACCGACGAGCTATATACAACCATGGCCACCATCCACATCAATCTCTACGCACTCCCACCCGGCTGGAGCGATGGCACGGTCTATACATGGCCCCTCCTCCACCCTACCATCATCTATACGATGGACCCCTCTCCCCTCGCACTCCTAAGTGCCGAGTTCAACCGCGTCCCCGGTTACGTCCACGATCTCGGTTAGTTCACCACCCCCCTCCTAACCCTATTGCGCATACCATCGATACATGGGACTGACATACACGCGCATTAGGCGGCCCGGTCATGTTCTGGGATCTCCCCTACGACTACTGCCAGTTCAGCCATCCGAGGAGTGATGGCCGCCCCATCCGTGAGATCTTTGGCCATCCCAGCGGCGGTCATTACTCCTCGGTGCGCACGTTCTTGGTGCACGTCGTGCACATCATGCGCCTGGGTGGCCGCACGCTCGCTCAATGCCCTTGCGTGCTTTGCAGACCCCCTGTCCGCAAGCCTGTTAAGAAGAAGGCTGGTCCTGCTTCTGGCAACAAGGGAGGTCCTGCTGGCCGTAAGGGTAGAGCCAAGAAGATTGGTGCTGCTCCTGCTGCTACCAAGAGGGCTCCTAGAGCCACTGCCCCTCGCGCAGCCAAGGCCTAGTGTAAGTATACGTCTTTGCTGCTTCTACCGTCTCGATACTAATGCAGTCAAGCAGTGAGCCATGTATAAATAGGGAAAGACCCGGGGCTTGTCGCAGCGACAGCTCACATTATTGTAATACTACCACCAAAATCAATTTCCTTGTACCACCGTCTATGAAATATCCCTATATGTTCTTCTACGTGCTCTATATAACATTAAAGCCCATCGATAGGCTCCAAATAGGCTAGATACACTCGTCACATCTGTAGAATATTATAATGTAGGCACAAGTAATCGAGACAGGGTTATACCCTTAGCATAGATGACTTGATACACCAAAGCAGAGCATCTCAACAACCCACCACAGCTGTCTAGCACCACATCAAAATGCAAGATGCTTTTCAGAACTAGACAAATGTCCAGTGAGAGCTCAAATTCGATTGAAGACTCAAGCGTGAATCTGCTGCTCTCTTTGGACCCTCACACCACGTCAAAAAGCACCTTGCCTTTTCACAAGCATATCGTGGGAGGTACACGACCGAGGAGATACTAGCGTACTAGAACAGGGATAGAGTACATCTCATCAACCCACCAGGGGCTGTATGAAACCACGTCAAAACGCAAGAAGCTTTTCAGAACTAGAGAAATGTCCAAAGAGATCTCAAAACCTCATTCATGATCTACTACTCTCTTTGGCCAACACCACTAACTTGAAAACAATCTTGCATTGTGAAAAGTTGACATGGATATGTACGTTATCGAAGAGATGGAGGGCCAGGTACGGTATGATCGAACACCTCGCACGTCATCTCATGCATCCAACAGACCTGTCGGGTATGCGTATCAAGATGCAGGATCATTTCCAGTATTAGACAAATGTCCAAAGAGAGTCACCGAGGTCGATGATCTCATTGGACGTCTGTAGCTGATCGAAAAGCATTGTGCGTTTTGACAGCATGCTGTGGTCAAGCACTCTGTTCAGTGGGAAGCAGAGAGGGTGGAGACCGCTTGGTAGCCCTGGGTGAGGGGGAATGGCTCTCGATAGACAGTTTCGAGAATTGTCTTGCAGTTTTGTAGACGCCGAGGATAGGTGCTTGCTCTGAGAGATTGAGGAAGAGTTGTTTGATTGCAGATTAATTACTTCGTCCGTTGCATTACACTTCTAAATATGAATCTATAAGAGCTAATATTTGGTCATAGCCTATGTCAACAGGTCCATTAGTTTGAGTAAGCATGTGGTCAATGGAATGCATCTGCTCATGGACAGCTGATGGTCCGGCATTGAAGGATGTCCACCTCGTCAAATCATGATTTCGACACATCCTTCTCGAAGGCAGGGGCTCTGTGTGACAGAAACCCAGACTCGAAAGGTTGAGTGGTGACACCGGCTTGTGATGCGTTGGAGGCGGTAGTCTTGACGGAGAGTTCCGATTGATGACGATTGGGAACCAGTCTCTCGGGGAGATCTGGCAGGCTTGGAATGCTGCTCATGAAGCTACTGTCGATGGTCGAGGTGGGAGCCGTGAGTGTTGAAACTCTGGGATCGGCGGGAATACGCATGTCGTAGCCAGAGGGACCAGTGTCAGTACTGACAGCCTTGCCACGACGAGCCTTCTCCATGCCTTCACGGTTGACATGGTCGAGGCCGGTGCGAAAGTAATCAATCTCGGGATTCTGGTCGAGGACGCGCAGGCGCTTGTCGATCATGGCTTGGGTCAAGGGAGACTTTGCGAGTTCAGGAAAGGCACTTCTGAGTTTTCTGATAATGGCGTTCAGAGAGTAGTTGCATGTGTCAAGAACACACATTGCATGATCGTGAACGTTGTTCCATTTCTCAGGTAGCGGGGATGTCGGTTGGATGCGGTATATCGTGGAGTCGGAGCTTGGTGACAGACTCGACGAGTGCGATGGTACATCACGAGACGGGAAGGAGTGTTTTGACACGGAGGGTTGGATAGTGGACGGGACAACTGATAGCGTAGCAAGGTTGCTGGCTGTGGGCTGTGAAGCCAATGGTGGAGGTGGACAGTCCGGCACTGGCGTTGGAGGTCTGCTAGCAAGTTTGGAAGATGAGGGCGGTGTGTCTTTGGTGACTGTCCACTTGGCTCCAGGAGGCTTGACGGGTGTTGATGGGTCACGGCTAATCGTTGCATTAGATTCGATGCGAGTGCAAGAACAACAAGACAGAACATGCCTTTGAGCAGTTTCGGCAGCAGCATCGAGTCGCTTGCGATGTGACGAGAAAACTCCCATCTGATCCAGCGTTAGAGAGAACCGAGGAGCAACCATGTGCACAAGAGACTTACTGGAGCCGAATGGCGAGTCTGATTATTTGATGGAATCGGATGGTGGGATAGCGCAGTCATGGTCACCAGATTGAGGAAGATCGCTGTTTGCAAAGGCATGTGAGATGCAGAGTGGAAGAGACAGAGGGAGAAAAAACGAGCCAAGCAAAACTCAACATGGAGCTGAACAGGATGGAAAGAGCGAAGGCTGGATTTACTCTATAGACTCCTGCTCAGGAATTAGGCAAGTGCGAGTTAGGGAAAGTGCAAAGAAGAATTTGTCCAATTGTGCCGACTTTTGTGATTCAAATTACAAAGACAACCCAGCAAAGATGATGTCTCGTTTTATTGTACAAAAATGGTCCGCTTACGCGCCCCTCGCCGTCGCTGGAAAGTTGTAGTTCTCGTTGATCGTTATGAGCGAAATTTACTTGGAGAGGCCAATCTTCTGGAGAAGGCTGCCCTGAGCGGGGATGTTGCCGTTGCCGCCCTTCTCGAAGACTCCCAAGATGTTCTTCCACACAGCGCCGGGCTCTTGGCTGGCGTCGATGCCTCTCCAGATGTTGGTCTTCTGGTAGTAAGAGATGACGGGGCTGGTCTGGTCGTGGTAGGTAGCCAGGCGCTTCTTGAGGGTGGCCTCGTTGTCGTCGGCACGCTGGACGAGGGGCTCGCCAGTGATGTCGTCGGTCATGGTCTTCTGGGGAGGGTTGAAGATTTTGTGGTATGAGCGGCCGGATGCGGGGTGAACGAGACGGCCGGTGATACGGGAAACGAGGAGCTCGTCGTCGATGCGAAGCTCAACGGCGTGCTTGAGCGACTGCTGGCGTGCCTTGAGCATGTCGTCGAGGCGCTCGGCCTGGGCAACGGTACGAGGGAAGCCGTCGAGGATGAAGCCGGTCTTGCACTCGGGGTTGTTCTCGAGCTCGCTCTTGATCATGCCAATCATGATCTCGTCGCTGACGAGACCGCCCTGGTCCATGATCTTCTTGGCTTGTCTGCCCAACTCGGTCTTCTTGGCGACCTGAGCGCGGAGCATATCACCGGTAGCCTGAGGCGCGTGTTAGTCGTGGTTCGTTCTTCCTAGCGACATGGTTGCGCAAACGTACCAAGTGGCAGACGCAGTACTTTTCCTTGATCTTGGGGGCCTGGGTACCCTTGCCTAGCCTCGAGTCAGCCGCGAACGGAAAACGGACAGGAATTGCGCATACCGGCACCGGGAGGGCCCATGAGAATGATTCTCATGCTCTCGTCGCTAGCCGAAGACGAGGTCGATGTCTGGGCCTTGCCGTGGAGGCGTGCCTCGAGCTCGGCGACACGCGCCTCGAGCTTGTCGACTGTGCCCCTGAGCTGGTCAACCAGCTGTTCTCCTAGAGGTGCCATTTTGATGTTGTGTGAAGTGAATTGACTGGATCAAGACAGATGGAAGCGCAACAGCAAGGTCGGAGAATAGGCCCAAATGCGAGTCGCTGATCGGCCTCGGATGTGCGTTTTCTTGGCACCTCCATTCATCCACCAGCTTCCACAATTCCGACCATCTTTATTCGCCAGCTTCACCTGTGAAATTTGCATCGTGGCCCAAGTGACCAACGCGAGCCTTGCTGAATGAATGTCGTTGCAACGGACGAATGAGCATGGAATCCATCTCACTCTCGAGAGCTATTTCATGTTGATCAATGGTACTACCGGTCTGCATTGAAGCAATCTTGGCCACTATCCTCATGCCTTTGGATCACAAGCAAAAAAAGCCGCATGTCAAAGCACTATAAATCTACAAGTACCTTACAACATTTGTGAGTGAGTAAGAATCCACATCGCCTAATACATTTGTTGAAAAAGAAGACTATCCAAGGCCGTCTCAAAGAACACCCTTCCCCATCCTGTTGCCTGCCCACAAGTTAAACTCGACTACTCTCGCCATTTCATCCATAAATGTGTGGAAACAATCAGGATGTACAATGTCTTTTCAGACCACAGTCGTATCTATGGAGAGCTCGAGACACAGCTCGTCTCCATGGCCAGCCGTACCATCAAACATCCCAGTTGTCAGAAGGCTCTACGTCTGGAATGGTAACGTTCTGCCAGATATAGTCGCACATCTCCCAAACCCTCTCATCATAGTGGGCGAAGGCTGCGGGGAAGTTCGTTAGCTTCTGAGAAGACGTGGAGCAGGTTGGCGATCTTACCAATGCTGCAAGGGGTCTCATCCATCTCGACATCTCTCAAGCCCGCTTCTACCTCTGCTGTCTGCTCTGCCATTCTCTGCTCCTCTATGCATTGGCCGACATCGCCGCCGTAGAACCATCTGTCGAAGGCCAACATCGATTCCCTGTTCTTGCACATTTGGCCATAGTTCGCATTCTGAATGTCGTAACCAGGAGTTTTTTCGATACACACCTTCTGTGGGGTTTCATCAAGATCAGCAAATCATCTTGACCAGACCGTCTCATTGAAGGTACTCACGAGACAGTTCAGGGTCTTGTCAGGTCTGTAGATCTTACGGCCCTCGTAATGATGCAGTCTCTCATCTAGAGTCATAGCTTTGAAGATCTCGTAGCGAATATGCTCGGGCTCTGTAGAGCCTTTATCATGCACGTTTCCGGTAGGGGCCGCGTGAACAGCGACTGCTAGGAGAGCAACAAGAAGATCGGTGATAAGCATCGTGTCTGTTAGATGATATGGAAATGACAAAAACGAAAACAAAGGGGAAACGGTCGCAACTTATACCTGAAGGTCACAGGAACTGGCTGACCGAAGGGTCAAACCACTGTGGGCGACTTTTGAGCATCTTTCCACCTGACTGATCGTATCTCCAGAAGAGTGTTTTTCAACACCCGCCTCCCGTGAACTCTTTCTCCACATCGAGCTCAATTACCCGACTCTCGAGACGCATGATGTTCGAAGTCGAAGGGAAAAGGTGGACCTGGGATGATGTTAGAAGGTTACATTGAACCTTACCTGACTTGCTACATACAGCAAACCATATTCCACGCCTCATTGCACGACTATTCACACTACGTTCTGAAAGTGCGAGATGATTTTTCAGATTCAGGGGTCTTCAATTGAAATCATAAATACGCATTATAGTGTACGATGCAACCTCTGTGGGTATCGACCAATGTTTTTAATGTGACGCTATGGACGGAGCTACAGAACAGACTGGATTCAAAAGTATCTGGAATTTTAGCAGCTACATACGAGACATCTTAATACACAAAGAGGTTGCCTAATCCATTATTACTCCTAACTGTCATCGGCAGGATAATCGAGGACTTTAGTTTCTTGATTGATGAAGTCACACATGCTTTCAATCTTGAGCTCGAAGTAGCCGAAGGCTGAAATGATCAGATTAGTAAGAGAAAGAGGCCGGTCTCTAATCAGAAAAAGGAGCTCACCTTAGCTGCAGGCCGTCTCGCCGTTCGAGTCGTTAGAGTTGTCGTGGTTCTCCCGCGCTCGTCTCTCTATACCCATCTCGTACATGCAATGACCAACGTCTCCTAGATAGCTCGACATGGCTAGACGATTCTCTTTATTCTTGCACACCTCTCCGTAGGTTGCCTCGTACATGGGGTACCCCTCGTTTAGAATGATACAATCTTTCTGTTGTGGTAGGGCGACTTAGTAATCAGAACTTCGATCTCGTTTAATGCAAGCACTTACAATGCAGTTGATTGTGTACTCGGCATCGTAGACCTTGTGATTAGCGTGCAACTCCAATCTTTGTTCCAGGCTCATCTCCCTAAAAGCGGCAACGTCGATCGTTCTCTAAGCTTCCTGGTGAAAGGGTTCCTCTTCAGAGCCAGAGGGAGCTGCCTAAGCTGCCGGAGCTGCTTGAGCAGCACCTGCCAACACTAGAACGGCAAAGATTTCGGAAATGTACTTCATGATTGTTGCGTGAGAAGATACAGGTGCTAGGGGTTTGATCAGAGCATATGTATATATATGTCTTCGGACGGTCATCAGTGTAAGTGGAGTTCGCTCATGTGGGCGATGGAGCCATGTCACAATTCACGCATGAGCAAACCTTCTGGAAAGCGTTGCGCGAGTCTGCTCGACTGGGTTTCGTTCATGAGAATTGGTATGTTAATTTGTGAGACAGATCTCATGGTAGTTACGGATCTCTTGTGGCCTTCGATCGTGCGCGCGTTCCAAGCATCGACTCTTTAGACCTCAAGTCTCGTGGGCTCATCCGCATCGGGCTTCTTGTCGGCGTTCTCAGGATGAGCCTCGCCCTTTGCTCCTGCCTTTGAAGCCTCGAATGATTGTTCAAAGTCAGCGATGATATCGTCAATATGCTCGATGCCGACAGATATCCGGATCAGATCCTCAGTAACTCCACTGTTTCTCTTCTCGTCATCACTCAACTGCTCGTGAGTGGTGCTCCAAGGGTGGATAGCGAGAGTCTTTGCGTCTCCAACGTTGGCAAGGTTCGAAATCAACTTGAAGCCATCCACGACCTCACTGCCTGCTTCGGGACCACCTTTGGCTCCGAAACTCAACACGCCTCCAAACCCTCTGGGCAGATACTTCTTGGCCAATTCATGGCTAGCATGGCTCGGCAGGCCAGGATAGCTGACCCAAGAAACATGTTCATTCTTCTCAAGCCATCGTGCCAGCTTCAAAGAATTCTCAGCGTGCCTCTCGCACCGCAGACTCAATGTCTCGATACCGAGTAGCAATTGCTGTGCAGCGAATGGGTTCAAAGCCATGCCACCGTCACGAAGAATCTCTACGCGAACTCTGACGATGAAAGCAAGCTTGCCGAATGTGTCCCAGAACTTGAGACCGTGGAAACCTTCAGAGGGCTCACTCATTTGAGGGAATCGTTTGCGAGCTTCGGGGGTACCCCAGTCGAATTTGCCAGCGTCAATTACCACGCCTCCGACTGTGGTGCCATGACCGCCGATCCACTTGGTTGCACTGTGAACGATAATGTCGACGCCGTGATCGATGGGACGGCAGAAGTAGCCACCTGCACCAAAGGTGTTGTCGACCTGTTTTCCTATCAGTGACTCATCCTCGACAAGTTTTGTCTGAATTCACACACCATGACGGGTACGCCAGCATCGTGAGCAACCTTGACAATGGCCTCAAAGTCAGGCACATTATACCTCGGATTACCAATACTCTCAATATACACAGCCTTCGTCTTCTCATCAATAGCCTTCTTGAAATCCTCAGCATCATCTCCATTCACAAACTTGGTCTTTATGCCCAACCGAGGCAAAAACACCTTGAGTTGATTGTACGTTCCACCGTAAAGGTTAGAAGTCGAAACGATATTGTCTCCCGCGTGGGCAAGTGCCGCAATCGCCATGAATTGAGCCGATTGTCCCGAAGAAGCTGCTACGGCGGCGACACCACCTTCCAATGCTGCGATGCGTTTCTCAAACACGTCTACGGTGGGGTTCATGATGCGAGTGTAGATGTTTCCGGCTTCCTTGAGGCCGAAAAGGGCGGCTCCATGGGCGGAGTTGTTGAAGACATAGGATGTAGTCGCATAGATGGGCACAGCACGTGAATTGGTAGCGCTGTCCGGTTCATGACCTGTTGGTAAGAAACGAATGGTCAGCTCCTCAATTGACTTGCATACATCAATCAGTCATAGCCTCAGAGCTTACCGGCATGCAATTGCAAAGTCTCGAAATGGGGTGTCTTTTCTCCAGCCATGATGTATTGCAATGTTTGAAATGAGGATCATCAACGAACAGAGGAGAGCAGAAGGTAGAAAAATAATCAAGACAGTCATAGATTGGCACAATATCATGACTGCCCCTCTTTCGGACGCGGGGCAGGTCCATGGTTAGCGAGCGAGCACGCAATCGGCGGCCGTGTGTGTGGCTTTGATCCTTCGCTCCGTGAAGTTGGAGACAAGCAACGCCGGCGAGGCAGTGATGGTTCTCATTCTTGGAGAATGGAGATATGAAAACTAGTCATGACTGTTGATGAACGATATGGGAGTTGGTTGGTAGGACGCCGGAAGTCTTCTCCGTGTTACCGACAAGACCATGAAACATGAAAGCACCATTAAGACGATCACTGCAGCAACAAGGCAGGTTTGGAAAAAAGATACAGTTCAGAAGATTGGGATCTTTGTATTTGAAAAAGGTTTGCGAAACGCCTATGCGATGCCAGAAGGACAAATCTGTATCAACCCAAGGTCTCATCAACTCCTTCTCCTCCTACCCATAACCTCCTCAAGGGACATTAAATCTAAGAAAACGGTTTTTGAAAAACTAAAAAAAGAGAAGACGTGACGACATTAAGTAATGCTGTTGGCTGCGGTCAAGAGCATCTAGTCAACCTCCTCCATGGCGGACTCACCAGCGGCCTCGGCGGCAGGGGCCTCGGTGCTGGCAGCCTCCTCGCTGGTCTCAGCCTCCTCGTCAACGTTGAGGCCAAGGGAGACGAGCTTGTGGATGCGCTCGGCGTAGGCGGCGGGCTCGTCAATGGTGAAGCCAGAGACGAGAAGAGAGGTCTCGTAAAGAAGCTGGGTGATGGACTTGACGGTACGGTCGTTCTCGCCATCGGTCTCAACCTTCTTCTTGAGCTCCTTGATGATGGGAGACGAGGGGGAGATCTCGAAGGTCTTCTTGGAAGACATGTACGAGGACATGGAGGTGTCACGGAGGGCCTGAGCCTTCATGATACGCTCCATGTTGGCGGACCAACCGAACTGACCGGTACGGATGGCGCAAGGGGAGCCGACGAGCTTGTGGGAAACAACGACCTTCTCGACCTTGTCGCCGAGGACGTTCTTCAAGCTCTTGGTGAGAGACTCGTACTCCTTCTCCTCCTCCTCGCGCTTCTTCTTCTCGTCCTCGGTCTCCTCAATCTCGAAGTCCTTGGTGATGTCAACGAGCTTCTTGCCCTCGAACTCCTTGAGCTGGGTGAAAGCGTACTCGTCAATGGGGTCGACAAGGAACAGAACCTCGAAGTTCTTCTCCTTGAGGGCGTCAAGGAAGGGAGACTTCTGGACGGCCTTGAGGGACTCGCCAGTGATGTAGTACATCTGCTTCTGGTGCTCGGGCATGCGGGTGATGTAGTCCTGGAGAGAGGTGATCTCGTCGAGGGACTTGGTCGAGTTGAAGCGGAGGAGCTTGGCGAGCTGGGGACGGTTCTGGGCGTCCTCGTGGATACCGAGCTTGAGGTTCTTGCTGAAGGCAGTGTAGAACTTGTCGAACTGCTCACGGTCCTCGGCGATCTCGTTGAAGAGCTCAAGAGTCTTCTTGACGATGTTCTTCTTGATGACCTTCATGATCTTGTTCTGCTGAAGAGTCTCACGAGACAGGTTGAGGGGAAGGTCCTCAGAGTCGACAACACCCTTGACGAACGACAACCACTCGGGGATAAGGTCGGTGGCATCGTCGGTGATGAAGACGCGGCGGACGTAGAGCTTGATGTTGTTCTTGGTCTTCTTGGTCTCGAAGAGGTCGAAGGGAGCGCGCTTGGGGACGAAGAGGATGGCGCGGAACTCGAGCTGACCCTCAACGGAGAAGTGCTTGACACCGAGGTGGTCCTCCCAGTCGTTGCTAAGAGACTTGTAGAAGGCACCGTACTCCTCCTGGCTGATGTCGGCGGGGTTGCGGGTCCAGATGGGCTTGGTCTTGTTGAGCTCCTCCTCTTCAATCTTGCTCTCCTTGACCTTCTTGGTCTTCTTCTCCTTGTTCTCATCCTCATCGTCAACCTCCTCGACCTTGGGCTTCTTCTCGTCGCCCTCCTCGGTCTTCTCCTCAGCCTCCTCATCGGGGACCTCCTTTTCGGTCTCCTTGAGGACGTGGAGGTAGATGGGGTATGAGATGAACTCGGAGTGCTTCTTGACGACCTCCTTGATCTTGGCCTCGTTCAGGTAGTCGAGCTGCTCATCCTTGAGGTGGAGAACCATCTTGGTACCACGGCCGAGCTGCTCGCCCTCGGTGTCCTGGGTGAGGGTGAAGGTGCCACCGGCGGATGACTCCCAGAGGTACTGCTCGTCATCGTTGTTCTTTGAGGTAACGGTAACCTTGTCGGCGACGAGGTAGGCAGAGTAGAAACCAACACCGAATTGACCAATCATGGAGATATCGGCACCAGCGGTGAGGGCCTCCATGAACTGCTTGGTACCGGAACGGGCGATCGTACCGAGGTTGTTGACAAGGTCCTGACAGATGAATTAGTCACAGCTCGTGTGGAAGAGGGATGATGGTTCACTTACAGCCTTGGTCATACCGATACCAGTGTCGCGGATAGTGAGGGTCTTGGCCTCCTTGTCGGGGATGATGTCGATGCGCAAGTCCTTGCCAGAGTCGAGCTTGCTGGGGTCGGAAAGAGCCTCATAGCGGATCTTGTCAAGGGCATCAGATGAGTTGGAGATGAGTTCTCTGAGGAAGATCTCCTTGTTGGAGTAGACAGTGTTGATGATCAGCGAGAGCAGCTGAGAGATCTCAGCCTGGAACTCGAACGTCTCGGCGGCCATGATGATGGTGGTGAATGGGGGATTGATTCAAAGACGGGACAAACACAGAGATGCAAAGCAAAAGGTGACTGCTGTGATATAGACAGTCGGGTATCGCAAGGAGAAAAGAAGATGTGGATGTGAAGGGGGGAGGAAGGTTGGTCGGAAGGAGTCTGGCAATTTGTATGGCGCCTCTAGAAAAACCTCCTACGAGCTTCCAGAGGGTTCCATTCGACAATTGGTCCAAGCTCCGTTGCAGTGAACAACCGCTGTTTGCTCTTTCACTCTTTGACAGCCGCCGAACTACCTAGATGTCGCTAGAAGCGTCTATACCACTCTCATTCCTCCGCTCTTAATTGATCACGAGATCACTTGGTCCATGGTTGTGGAATCCCGTTTCTGCATTTATCAAAACCCTGACTGTGGTGGTCGAGGTTTCTCACACTCTCCACTCCGTGCATCCAGACTTTGCGGGGATCATGAGGTTCCTGTTGCCACCCGAACCTTCTAGTCGTCAACAGCTTCGTTTGCTAGCTGTTAGTCACGGCATCGTCTCAATCTATCAATTCATTCTGTGGCGGATCCTCATGCACTTGTAAAAGTATCATGATCGAATCGAGCGTGATTACCCTTGGGGTGTTGGACTGTAGTGACTTTGCAAAGACATGATCTCCTTGATCAATCAGGTGGCCAGGAGAGCCCATGGAATTGTCGCCTTTAACGAACAACCTATCTTTGATCTATGTTATGGAGCCTTCAACGGCATCTGGTGCAGGATTTGATGCTCATCAAGTACTGGGAGTGGCAATGCTCTCGAAATCATTATGCAGTTCAATTGTAGTAGTTAAAATGCCATTATACCAGTGCTCCTTCCAGTCAATGTACCCCCAATGAGCACGAACACACGAAAACAACCAAGCCAGAAGATGCAAAAGAAAACAAAACCGCGTCGCCTCTGGTGGGATGCCCCTAAAACTGCACCCAATTCGCCTAACCCCAAAAGAAAATCCCTTCGCTCATCCAGACTCGGGATTTAATCCATGCAAATGACTGGTTCGGCTTTTCTGTCCATGTAGTATCCTGTCGATTGTTTCGCTTCTTACGAAGTAATCTCGACGCTTCTCTTCTCGGGCAGCTCGACAGGGGCCTGCTGTTCCTGTGCGGGCTGTACTGGAGTTTGTGCAGACAGCGACTCTCTGCGTGTGAACTGGGCGTCCTGTCCGACCATTCTTCTGCCAAGTGCGCGCTCGACCTTTGCGCCCAGGGCGATGGTGTTGATTTCGTCGTCCTTCTTCTCGCTGAGCTGGTAACGCTGCTTCTCGAGGCGCTCATCCGACATGCGCTGGAAGCCTGCCTTCCATGACTTGATGTCTTGGGTGCGCGGGTCGGCCGAGCCGACAGTGCTCATGGATGCGCGAGGCTCATTGACGGCGATCTTGTCTGTGTCATAGGTGGTCGTCGAGGGCGAGTTCTGGTATGCCTCCTGCTTGAAGCCGGCGTCGGCCGTGTTGTTGGTGACGGTGGAAGAGGTGCTCATTGCGATTGACGGTTGGATTGATGGTGCGCCGGAGTGTGTAGAGAATCTGAAGGATTGGTTTTGTGTTGAGGACAAGTCGTTCGACTACTCAATGGTTGGAATGTCAGAATCAAGATCGGCCGAGCGTTGTTGGCGTAGCAAGCAAACACTGAAACGATGTGAGGGGTTCGAGAGACAAGAAAATCCAAATTTTGGGAGCGAAGGGCAAATGGACGACGGAGAAAAAGAACAAGGTCTTTTCGAAGGACGTACCATGATCAAATCTATATGCGGAGATTCAGGAGTTGTCAATCTTGTGCTAGACTCTTTTATCGTCAGCTGCATGGTCATTAGAACGCTTTTCTCATATCGGCCATTGCTGATGTCTCACCCGCTGCCTGGCCCACTCGTCACTACCTTGCAAAGCACGATTGAACATGGAAGGAACCTGCTTTCATTAAGAATCAAAGACGTGAAATAGCGATCCTCAAATCGCGTCCATATTCCTGGTAAATCATGCCGCAGACGGACCCCTCTGTACCGCTTGACACGCTAATCATGCCGCTGGCCAGCGCCCTCGCCTGGCTGTTGAGCCCTGTGCCTCGAACGGGCAAGGTATCGCCAGACCTAGTTTGCCGTTTCTAATCTTTCTTCTACATCTTTTGCGCACGTGGCGACACTTGACAAGTTTCACATGGCTAAATCCTGGTGGTGTGTGATTTTTTAGGAATTCGCGGCTTCTCTCTTGTTCTAACTTCTTGTATCACCAGTACTCAGCGACAAGCCAATCTGACTTCCACGTTTCAAAGCAGAAGTACTGGATCTGTCCAACAGGCAGTGCAACTGTCACTTCAACGTGGCCCCGATCAGCGCCACGTGCGGCAGCATTATGTGGCCCAAAGCGAGGGAGTACATCGACCATGCATTCCGGTCGCTCGTGGCACCCAAGGAGTCATGTTACACGGAGAGGATCTGATTTTGACTCGTTCATCCGTTTATCATATCATCTTTCCTTGCCTGTCAAGGTTTGCTACCACTTTCCTCCCGTCAGGAAGGCCTTGAAGAAATCCAGGGCAGTCCTGCTGTTATCCCTGGCAGACACTACTGCATAACCAGGTACCTGCACATTTGGCGTGGTAATGCCCAACGCTTCTGACATGGTCACCCAATTCCTGATGGTCCATACCAAGATCGTAGCGACAGCGCCGCATCCTCCAACCACCTGCAGAATCGTCCATTCATTACCATTGAATCTCTGGCCCAGTGCAAGTAAACCTAGAGGATCTTTGCAGTCGAGACCGTCCAGATTGCTGGTCCCGGATTTAGGCAGTCTCTGGTGACCAGGTTTTACCATGGCCGAGTTAGTGTTGTGTCGTTCGGGAATGCCTAAGGTAAGCTGCTTCCTTTCCTGGGCCTCGGTGTCCAGTGCAATCCTCAGGTTGTACGCCCATTCCGGTAATTGTGTACTTGGTCTGTCCAGCTTGTAAGCATCGAGACGGCGGCCAAAGTCGTACTGCGAAGTTGTGCCCAGATGTCCGGCAGGTACGAGCCTGAATGGAGCAGGCGATGACTCTCGCTGGCTTGGAGTGGTCAAGTGTGGTATCATGACGCCCGATGATGAGGACAACACAGAAGAGATGGAAGATGGCGCAGCGTCAGGTTCGTCTGCTTGCAGACATCCAAGCCGCTCAAGAGCAAGCTCGCGAAGCTCACGCTTGTGCGAATCGAATGACTTCTGTAGATAGTCTCTTCGCCATTGGATGAACTTCTTTACAGCACAGTGTCGCAGCCATTGAGCATTGTCAGGATCAAAAAGGCGGTCTATCAATCGTGAGAGGTCGCTCGAAACCAGGGGTTGTATGTATTCTGAAGACATTAGTACGCTTGCGTCCATACTCTCGATGTCTTCGCTTAAAGCAGAAGACACTGCAAAGGGAGACGACGTCGGGGCCTCGTGGGCATCTGGTGATTGGAAAGTAAATGTTCGGACACCGGCAGCCTCGAGACTAGTCCGAATAGCTGTCTTTGTGTCCCTGAGATTTTCATCATTGCAAGTATCGGCTCTGCCAATGACAGGAACTATGTTGGTAAGCGCGGAAAGACGTCGGAGAACATCGATTTCCGTAGGGCCTATATGATGGGCGGCTGGAGTATGTCAGTGACTGGATTAGCATGTTCAGAACATGCAGCTTACTCGGGTGGAACATGTAAAGTACGGCATCGACTTGGAAACCTCCACTACCACTTAGAACACTCAGAAGATCTGTGTCGCTCAATTCCCCTGTCAATGTGTTCTTTCGTAATGAATCTTCGATGCTTTGCGAGATAGTATTGACCGCATCATCGATGTTTTCTTGGTCGCTGGGTCCACTCATTTTCCAGCCGGGGGTGTCGACAAAGCAGATGTTACGTTCTAGAATGGAATCTCCCATGCTCTTTCTTCGTCTTAATCCACGGCCCTGTTCAACTTCTGACCACCATGACGGGTACGATTTGGTCGAAGCATAGGTCTCATAGATGTCCTCGGTATTTGTAGTCGAGGCTGAAGACGACTCGGCGTTGACGATGGGATCGACATGAACAATGTCCTCACACATTTGGACCATGCTCTTGACAAGGCTCGTCTTTCCCACACCAGAGGGACCGGCAACCATGATTCTGAGCCGAGGGATGCGTTTGCCTCTTTCCGTAAACGGACGACGTGCAGGCATGGATATGCTGGGCATAACTAGCTGAGGTATACTGCTCTGGGCTTCGGTTGGATGACTGGACTCAACGAGCGTATCGTCAGCGAAGACATCGTCTTCCTCGCTGGATGAGTGCAGAGTCTGGCTGGCGGTATCGTCGATGATGCTTCCTTCTTCATCTGAGAGGCGTACACTCTTTACACTAGGTGAGCGCGGAGTGCTGGTGTCGCTGAACCGTAAAGGCGTGAAAGAACGACCCAAAGATGTGAGCGACTCGCTCCTGACATGACGTCGGGTTGGTGATGGGGTCAAAGGTCTAGGAGCAGAGGAGGACACTGAGGGCTTTCGCGATGTGGGGCGTTCCTCGGAGGATATGATGCGTTGGGCGGCTGCAGCGATTTTGGGGTGGACGGGATTACCAATCTTTCGTTTCTTGCCATAAAGATTGTTTGAAGGAGAAGAGGATGAGTCTGGCGACTTGGGGGCGAAGGCTGCCTCAAGAGTCTCATTCAAGCTCTCAACACCGTAGTTGTTATCTTGGTCATGACTGGCACTCTGTTCCGCCTCGGCTTTCTTCATATCTCTCTCGCTTCGCAGGAAGAAGGTGGTTGGTGGCAGGTTATGTCCGGAAATACCTGCGGTACCTGCATCGGTACAGGCCTGTTTCTTCGATCGTGGCCAGACACCTTCCGAGTGGCTCATGATGGGACGCTGGGGTCGTCGTCTTCGAAATCAGTTTTCTAGAGGGATTCGACGAGCTTCTGCGACTTTGGCGAGTACAGGTTTTCTCATCACAAGATCATACGATAATTTGCTCAGTGAAACGACATGACGCCTTCTATCAAGGTGCAGCAGATGGATGACATGACCTCGCACCTGATAAGGCCCGTCTGAATTGCGGGGTCCCCGCAATCGTGCGGTACGCCGTGCATGGACCGCACCCGGATGTCAGATCTCACAAGGTTGAGGGACCCTTGAGACGATGAGACGATGAGACTGCAGATGGATCGTGTTTTTGAAGATTGAGTACTGTCGTGGAAAACGTCATCGTTTATTCAGCATATCTACGGTCGGTCAAGAAGAGCATGCATAATCGTCGTAGCTCGACCTGTCCTACCTCTTCAAGCACTCTCCAGCCTACCTACGCCCGAATACACCACGTGCTCCGAAGAAAGTCGCTTTTTTCGAGGTCCCATCCACGCCGTCCAGAGCCAATCCACAAACCCGTGTTGATACAGACTGCAAAGCCAATGAAACTCCGCAACAAACAACAGAAACACAAGTTGATAGGGTGGGAAAGGAAAGCAATGAGAAACACGCGCCGCTATGCATTAGTGACAAATGTATGAAGTTTTGTGCAGCGCGTCAAGGCTTCGGAGTCCATCTCCAAGTCGCTCTAACGCTGGAAAGGAACTTTTCGAAAGGGGGCATATCGCGTCATATTTTACAGATAAGGGCTGAACCGGGTCCGGGGATGAGGAAGCTCGTCGGCGGATGGTGGTTCGTCCCATTTTATGTTGGACGTTTAGGCGACTTGGGCACCGCCACGGCCGCGAGAGGCGTTGCCGCCACGTCCTCTCTGCGAACCACCGCCACGACCACCCTGGAAGGAACCGCGGGGGTTCGGGTTGGCACCACCACGACCGCCTCTGGCACCGCCACGGTTGCCGGGGAAGAAGGGTGCGTTGGTCTTGGGACGGCGCTCCTCGATGGTGATGGCGTGTTCACCGATCGAGATAGGGCTGGCCTTGAGAGCGGCCTTGTAGCCGTCAAGGGTCTTGAAGTCTACAAAGGCGCAGTTCTGCTGAAGAAGTTAGTCACTGCATGGTCTTGTGGTGGAAAAGGGAATTTACCTTGGGTCTGTTTGCGTCGAAGTATGAGAGCTCGCCGTGCTTCTCAATGGCCTCTCTCAAGGCAGGAAGAGTAATACTCTCGTGAACGTTCTTGACGTAGGCGCGGTATTGAGGAGCGTCCTGAGCACCGGCAGCGGCCTGGCCCTTGTTCTGCTGTCTCTTGTCACCAACGCTGGTCCACTCTTCCTGTTGGTCGGCGCTGGCGGGAGCGGGAGATGCCTCGCGAGCAGCGGGAGCAGCGGCAGACTCCTGAGCAGGTGCTGAGGAAGCAGCCTTGGTGGCAGGCTCGGGTTGAGGAGCAGTCTTGGGCTGGACAGGAGCAGCGGAGGCAGAAGGCTGAGGAGTGAAGACGGGAGTAGCGACACGGTGGGCAGCAGCGGCAAGGTTGGCCCAGGTCTTAGGGGCAGCAGGTGCAGAAGGAGCAGCAGGCTTAGCGGGAGCGGCGGCCTTTGCGGGCTGGGCAGCCTGCTTGACAGGAGAGCGGACGGCAGGAGTGGGTTCGGGGTCCTTGGGCTTCTCAACCGGGAGCTCCTCCTGTGCAGCGGGAACCTCGGGAGTAGCCTCAGAAGAAGCCTCGGGAGCAGCCTCGGGAGTCTGGGTAGATTCCGAGACGGCAGCGACAGGAGCATCCTCGGCCTGAGCGACCTCAGCGGTCTCGGCCTTGGGGGAGCCGTTGGCGACAGCAGTGGGGACAGCGGTCTCCTTCTCCTCGGGCTTCTCAGCAATGATCTTCTCCTCGATCTCCTTGTCAACCTTGGCAGCATCCTTCTCAATGGCGACGGGGTCTTCCGAGCTTGTCAAGGTCTCGTGCTCAGGCTCCTCGGCGGCGGTGGGAGCAGGCTCCTGGACGGCAGCGGGCTCCTCGGTGGCCTCAGCCTCATCCTCCTCATCGATGATGTAGCGGAAGATGTCGTTCAGCACAAAGTAGCCGTTGGTCTGAGCAGCGAGGACAAAGGTCTGGGTGAACTTCTTGTGAGGGGCGGACTTGTTGGAGATTTCACCAATGACCTGGATGACGATGTGGTCGTCCGAGGCTTGCGAGTCGACATTGGTGACGCGAACCTTGCACTCGGAGAAGTCAAGCTCCTTGATACGGTCGTTGATGGCCTATTTGCTAGATCAGCATCTCAATAGGCTTGTGCGTGGTAGCGCAGAAGAGACGTACCCGTTGTCCCACACACACGGCGACCTTCTCGGTCTCGTTGCCGGAGACGAATTGTGAGCGCTTGTTGTAGAAGAGCTATAGCCAGTCAGCGCATGTTGTTTTGGCAAGTGCAGTTGAATGTTTGACGTACGTAGACCTTCTCGGGACTGCGGCTAAGAGTGGTGTAGTACTGCTCGACAAAGTACCAGCCAACCTCGTCCTTGGGGATGTCGGCGGCGGAGTTGTTTGACTGAGAAGGCGCAGAGGGGTTGGAGGAAGGGTAGTTGGCGGCAGCGTAGCCGGTCTGCTCTATCGAGCCGTAGCCATTCTGAGGGACGAAGTTGCCGTTGATAGCGGATTCGGAAGCCATTGTGGAGAAACCAAGAAGCGGACAGATGAATTGGTGATGCGGAAGGTGGGTGCGATGTCTGATGATGGAACCTGGTCAGCGCCGAATGTCTGGAGACGACAATTTCAAAGTGAAGCGGTGGCGGGGTGCGCGACTGAAGTTCCAAGATATCGTGGGAGTCTCACCTCTAAAGTGACGGTAAAACAGCCAAGTATAAAACTATCTCGTGCAGCTCGACGTCGATGGATCTACACTTTTTGTAATGCGTCAAGCTGCTGTAGAAGCTTGAAAGAGGGAGAGGTGAGGGAGAGAGTGTTGAAGAGGAGTGGTACAATAGGTCGAAAGGATTGGAGCTTGCGGTGAACAGAGCGAGCTTTGCCTGAGAATTGTCCAGACAGTTCGGAAGTTCGTCATATAGAGGTCACGTGCATCGTGTGCGATCGCCGCTCCAACCCAAGGTCAGGTTTCAACTACATCCTATCAATTACATACATATCATCGTTCGCCAATGCTTGAAAACAATGGCACATCCACCACCAATCCATGATTGATGGCGTACTCATGGAACAATCTGTGAGGGATCCTGTCAGATAGGAAGCTATTGCCTGCCTCTTTCAACCGCTCCTTCTCTATGCGACATGATTTTCGCCGATGCATTCGTGATTCACTACTTCCTATCTCGTGTCTTGAGTCTGGGACTTTCACAGACCTGCAGTTACCATGTTAGAAATCATGCAACCATAGACCTGCGCATGCTATACCCCGTGCCCGTTCTCTTCGCATGCCTACCTTTCACAAAACTGCCACGTAAGACCACAAGTATGGCACGCGACCTTCCTAACCAGCCGTGAAGATCTATGTGTCTGTCCGCTTACACGAGCTTGCCTTTGGAAGCTGTATAAGTTTCGAATCTTCCCAACTTGTGTCATTTTTTCCTACACGCCCAACATTCGACAATCCGTCCAAACCCAACCCTTTATACCTGTACAGATTCATTAGGCTCACAGTTGACAATGTGTTCCAAAGACGTTCATGTTCGACTGAATTACTGTCAAGAGGAACAACAAGTATTGCCCTCAAAACCCACAACACGCAGTTTTCCTACCAAGCCCGGCCCACTCGAAACGATCCAGGATGTCCGTGAAGCTCATGAGGAATTCGACCTCGAGCTTCACGGCTTTCGTTATGTAAAGGCACCAACCGACTTCAACAACTGGGACTCGGAGCTGGAGATACGCAATGTCTTGATCCCCGAGATGGAGGTTCTGTTACGTCAAGAGCTGCGAGGCTGTGACGAGATACATGTCGTGGGCATTAAGGTACTCATCGGGAGCTCCATCCCTCGAAAGACTGCGCTGATCAATCTCTAGTCGGAGCAAGGGCCTTCAGCAAGTGGTTGTAATAGAATGGTTCACATCGACCACACTGTATCGAGTGTCGAGTCAATGTTGCATCAGAAGTACGGAATAAGGCCCGAACATCTGCTCACCAGAAGGGTTCGTCTAATCAAGTGAGCCGTTGTCTACCTGTATTGCCATTTCGTCGTCTTACTGACTCCTTGTAGCATCTGGAGACCCGTCAATTGCGTCGTGCACAGCGATCCTATTGCAATCGCAGATGGCAGAGGACTTGATCTGAAGCGAGACATCACAAGCTCTGACCCGAGCATACCCATCGGTATTGGACGCTACCATGAAGAGCGCCACTGGTACTACACGAGCGAACAAACCGAGGAAGATGTCTTGCTGTTCAAGACCTACGACAGCAACCAAGCTGCGTCTTCCAAGGCATGCCTACGCACAGCGTTCATCATACCCGATCCCTCTGGCAGCAACTCGTGTTCCAAGGCGATCGAGATCCAAGTTTTGGTCTTCACACACCCCAACGACGAGCAGACCACGCACGTTCATCAAGTAAAAGAGGTCGAGACATTGAGAAAGGAACTCGGAACTCTTTCAAATGACGTTTTGCACAACCAAGACGTGGTCAGAGCAGTCTTGGACCTCCGTCAGTGGGAGTCTCTGAAGGCGGCCGAGCAGATGCACCACCTGGCGTCTGACCGTGACCATTCACGTGCTGAAAGTCAATCTCTGAGCAAACAGCTCAACTATCTGGAGGAGTGGATTATGGGTCTTTACATGTCGTGCAGTTTGTCTTCAGAGGAGACGGACACTGTCGAACAATTGCGGCATTTCATATGCTCCACGCCAAGATTGCGCGAACGCTTCAGCCAGGATGAGCAGGCATACCAAAGCATGAGACAGAGCATGAATTTGTTCGGAGCAGACGCTGAGTTGATGCTTCTGCGCCAACAGTTGTACGCGCAGTGTAGAGAGACCGAGAGGTTGGCAGCCAATATTGATGCTAAAGTCGAGAGCAAGATGGATGAAGGGTTCCAGGCTGCGGTACAGACGGCAGTCAAGCAAGAGCGCAGCAAGGACGAGTTTGTTATCCAAGACCTTCGGCAGGAGAATCAGAGACTCCGGCAGGCATTGGCCGAGATGAGTGCACTGGGCTTGTAAGGAAGATTGTGTGGAAGATGTGATGACAGTGTAGTATAATGTAGCTATAGCTAGTCGAGAAAACTATTTGCAGTCCTCACAGTCTTTTGTTCCCTCTTGTGCAGCAGGCGCAGAGGTCTGAGCAGGCTCGGCTGGTTTGGCAGGAGTGTCGGCGGTCTGAGTCTTGTGAGGCTTATCAGAGTGACCGAGGTCGCGACCAGGCTCGATGTGGTTTCTCAGACGTTGTTTCAAAATCTTGGTATCAGGGAAGCCTTCCTCTGCCTTCCTGTCCCACAACAGAATCTCTTCTGGTTGAGCGTTCTCTTCGGAGCCGGGCGGGACGTGTGTGAGGTAGACGGTGAAGATGCCACCGGAAGCAGGGATGAGAGCAATCTCGCCAATGGCGGTTCCGAAGGTCGACAGGAGTTCCTGGCCAAAGTATGCGGCTCTGAGCATCCATCTACATTGCGTACAGTACGTGATGGCAACGCGTGGTAGTTTTGGCGATGACATGGTGGTTGATGATTCAGTCAACGAAGGTCGCGGCTTCCGGAATGGCGAAGCTTCTCGGTCGCGTGCCTCGAAGCCACTTGCTTCTCCAGTCTCACCAACACCATCGACAACACCGTCTTGCATACCACTTTCGTTTGTGTTGCACGACAAGTTGGTCTCTTCGCATCCACATTATGATTCGGAACAGAAAGAGCCACATGTAGACATCTCACTGCTCCGGTAGGTTCAGCTCAGCGAGCAATTACGCAATGTGAAAGCCTTCGTCCTCGACTTCTTCTTTTTCTTCTGCTTCGTCTTGTCCATTGAGGAAACATGGCCCTACCAACCGTGCCAACCCCGTCCGGCCTCTACGAACAGCGACAATCTCCGGCTGCTGGCATTGGTGTATTCGCAACAGCCGCCATACCTTCGGGCACCCGTATCCTCTGCGAAGCACCGCTCTTTGCGCTTCCTGACGACGACGATGTCATAGCATGCTATCTCACCATCAGGGAGCTCTCAAAAGACCAGCAATATGCTTTCTGGGCTCTCGCTTCATCAACCACTCCTCCGGCCGACACAGATTGGATCGACGAGTTGAGAGCAGCCTGTGATGGTACCCTCATCACCAACCAACTGGAACTCGATCCACGCTAACATACACGCTTCGGCTCAGAGGACATAGGCGATGGCTTCGACGATCTTGTGAAGAAGTATGAAGATGCATACTCGAAGTTCGAGACGAATCGCTTCACCTTACGCTATCCTGATGGCTCGCCTAACAAGCTTGGTGTCTTTCCAAACGTAACGCCCTCTGTCTGCCCTCGCGAGAAGCATTCATGTTGACAAGTAACAGGCCGCGCGGTTCAACCATTCCTGCAGCCCAAACGTCTACCATCGCTACAACACAAACATAAATTGCCTCACGATACACGCCCTTCGGGACATACATCCCGGCGAAGAGATATGCACTGCCTACATCGACATATGCAACGATACGGCTGAAAGACGTCGTGTCTTGCAACACTGGGGATTCCTGTGTCGCTGTACGGCCTGTGAAGCACAAGAACCAGCCCGAGAGCTGCGAAGAAACAAACTAGGAGGGCTCATGACCACAATGCAAAAGAGGGAAAAGAAAAGATCCTTTGAGAACTGGGGTAAATGGGACTATGCAGAGGCTCTTACAACTGTCGAGGAAATCATTGCGTTGATGCTGGAGGATGGTTTGGAAGAGACGGATACACTTGGTGAAGCGTATGAGATTGCCGCCGAGTACAGTCTTGCTACGGGCTGTAAGGAAGACGCTATCAAGTGGGCTGAAAGAGACCTTGAGGTTGAGCGCAAGTGTTGTGGTGAGGATAGTGCCGAATTCGCAAAGGCGATGGCCTTGCTGGAGTCTGCACGAGCTACCTAGAGGTTCATCATTTGTGCGACTACCTGCTTGCGACTTCGAAGAGCCATAAAAGAGCTAAATTGGCTTAGAATGCTGAATGTTCCTCTTGAAATTAATTCGACCACTCTGTGACGTTGACGTCGAGCGACCCTGACCTAAAGCTCCGAGGCATCATAGAACGACTCCGCACCGGCGAGTATTCCCTCGGATATCACACTGCACCATCAGACACGAATTGAATCGTTGTACCAAGCAGCAAGATTAACTACACGCAAACGATATCTCCCAATAGAATTGCATAGGTTGACCATCATGCCTCTCCTCAACTTCCACCTACTCAACCTCAAGGGCAATGTTCAACCCCACACCTTCCTCAGCAACCTCCACGAGGCCGATCCCTCTACCAAAGTAATCGTAGCATCAAAACCACGCCATTTTGTCGTGAAAGCAACAACCCAAGATGCATCCATCCTCAACAAACCCTGGGATCTGATGCTCCTCCTCCAAGGCCCCAATGCCTCTCTCCCTGCTTCCCTCCAAAAGCACGTTTCCTCTTCCTACTCTCTTCCTGTGGGCATACCATCTAAACTTCTTGCTTCCTATCCCGAGAAGAATGCTCGACTTATCAAAGAAGCACCATCTGCTGGTCTGACGGGATCTTTGGAAAATCCCAAAATGCCCGATTCGAGTCAGAAGTTGGAATTGTCACCCGAGTTGTTGAAGTTTATGGAGGAATTGATGAAGGAACATGATGGACCTGTTACCATGTTGAATTTGCTCAAGTTTAAAGCTGGAGGCAAAGAAAGTTACTATCAATATGGACAGGTGAGTTGTTTCCTCCTCTCTCTCTCTCTCTCTCCATCAAGATACGGATTGGCTGATCGATCATCAGCATTTCATCAAAGTGGCCGGAAAACGAGGAGGCGATGCCAAAATCGTGGGAAATGTGGTTTCCAAAGACAGCGATTGGAACGAGATTTCCATAGTCCATTATCCCAGCATCAAGCATTTCTGCGACATGCTCGCCGGAGAGGATTATCAGGCTATCAATGATGAGTTTAGGCTTCCGGTGAGTGAGACCTGCAAAAGAGAGGATTTTGAGATCTTTTTGCTGACATGATTGGGGGATTTTTTTAGGCTCTGGAGGATACGCTGTTGGTTTGCACTACTGAGTTTGGTGTGATGGGGTCAAAGGCAAAGCTTTAGGATTGGGGATGCGGTTGTTTGTGATGGGTGGATTGATTTTTGGGTGCTAGAGTCTTTCATACGAAGTGTAGCTGTAGCAATGCATAACTGAATTCATATCAGAGTCGTCTCGAGGGATATGTTCAAGCAGGGTTTTCTCAGCGGAAGTAGTGGCCCTTCCATTCTTCCACGCCTGTATTTCAGGCTTTGTAATGTTTACCCAATCTTTTGCGTCAAAACCAAAACATTCCTTACACCCTTGATGCTGGTTTCTCCCGCAGCAAGATGAGAGTCAACCATTTCCATGTCTCTAGATCTAGCGTCCTTTGCCGCCTCGGCCCAAGCAGCAGTGTGTGATGTTCCTGGTCTGACCATGTGACTCTCATCTGACAAGCGAGTCAATAGTTGTTCGGTCTCGGTCGAGACAGCCGTGACTTGTCGTCGAAGATAAGATGTGTGTTGCATCATCGCTGTTTCGTCTTGAGCTGTAGATCGGAGTATGTCGATGAATGGTAGAACTCGCAAAGCCATGCCTGTATTATTCGATTTGTCGTCGTTGGTGGTTGACATCTGTCTTTCGAGTGGTGGTTGGACAGGATCTGATTTAGTTTCGTATTGGATGTTGAGAGTGCTGACAAGACGTTCTCGTGAAGCAATGTACTTGCTGTAAAGGTCCTGAAGGGTGGCTCGAGTCTCGTCTAACGATTCTGCGCCGAAGTCTGTTGGCATGTCAAAGTCTGGATCCATGTGGTCGCCGTCCTCTGACAGTTTTGCAAGTTCCGATTCAATCCAAGCGATAAGGTCATCTCGAGCTCGTCGAAGAGCGTACGCACGTTTCCAGTCTTCCGGGTTGGGTTCCTGGACAGACACGTTCGAAGGCCTTGCTTGTGCAGAGCTTTGTGCACGCAGCACTGCTTTTTGCAGCTCGAAAACATGAGACTGGGCTTCTGCCAAAGATTCATCCTGAGATTGCTGTGCAAGAGGCGGAGGTAATTGAGCTTGCATGCCATTCAAGAGCTCACTGGGATCTGCATATCGCGAAGTGTGTCTGACCTTCTCCAGATTGTCCAGTGTCTTTTCGATGACCAGAAGTTTATCTCTTCGTTGTCTTTGGCGGATCAAAGCGACTGTTTCGGCAACTGGATTCGCTTTGCTCTCGTTGCTCTCCTGTTCCTCGGGTTTGTTTTGCATGAGATTCAGCTCTGCTTTTAGAGCATCGTATTGATTTTGTGCCTTTTGACGGGCGATGAGGGCTTGCATGAAAGCTCTTCGTACGCCAGTGATGTTTTCTGGTACGGATTGAGTAGATGTCCCCGTGATGGGTAATGTCGCTTTCGAGGTTGGGATATTTTCGTGCTGAACATGTTGTGCCAAAAAGGAGTCAATAACACGACGAATTTCAGCAACTTCCTCGCGTGGCCTGATATACGGTCCTAAAGCATTTGCGAGATCCGGCAAAGGAAAATCCTCCATAAGATCTGGCATGATTTCCTGGAATATGTTGTGATTGTCGGCGCCGATAATGTGAGAGATTGTTTGTATACGATTGATAAAAGTGCTTGGCGAACTTTTCGCACGTGAAACTCGACAAGATTGAATGGTTTGAGTTTGATCTGCAACCACACACGATCCGACTACATCCCTTCATTGTTCTTGCAATTAATATTGCATTGCACCTGCCATGAGTGCACTAATAAGACGGCATCAATGCTGTCAACACGCTAAGAAATTTTGAAACCACATACCAGGGGCGACCCGGACCATCCAAAATCTGTTTCGGCGACTTATCAGGGCAAAAGAAATCTCTCAGGATTCACCCTCGCTTGTAGTATGAAGACAACTGCCGTGTATACCGTTGCGGAGTTGATGCCGCAAAAACACTCGACATCCCGGTCTGTAGGTGCACAATGTCGTCGACCTGATGTAATAATTCATCAGGTGACGACCCTGCAGCACCTGCAGCTAGCTTACTCTTGTGATTGTCAAGAGCTTCCAGCGACACGATAATCCAACTACCCTCTTACTTCTCGACACCTCGGAAAACATCTGGTCAAAACTCGAGATGGCTCTACCGAAACATATGGAAAACTTCGTCACGGCCATGCAGCAGGTCTATCAGTTTCCGATGACTGTAGACGAGAAGTAAGATACCAAATCCAGCTATGCTGTGTCACCAGGCATCGGCACTGTGATCACAGAGGTTACGAGACCGCAATGTGTTTTGATGTATGGTCTGACATCGCTCGGTAGACTCGACTGGAGACCACCCCCAATGAAAGATGGTCATCGCGGACGTTATCTATGGACCGACGCCTTTGGTGTTTTCAACTTCGTCACACTGTTCAAGGAAACATCGCAACCACATTTCCTGGTCCTAGCCGCCATACTTGTGGAGACAGTACACGGAGTTCTGGGCCGAACGCGGGATCTTTCTGCACGGCTGCCAGGGGCTTCGGATGAGTCCCCGCTAGCCGGCGGACTACGAATAGGAAAGAACGAAGCATCTGGGTCTGATGGAGATGGACAATACCACCACTATCTCACGTTATGGATGCTGGCGCTCAATCGACTCAGTATTGCAAGTGGTGAAAAGAAATACAATGATCAAGCCATCTCTCTGGCACGGGCAACACATCCGGCGTTTATGTATCAGCGAGATGCTCCACGACCTCAGATGGTCTGGTGAGTAGATTCCTGCATTACATCACGGTAGTCGAGACTGACAGGGTCACAGGAAGATGTCAATAGATCTGTCTCATCCTCTATGTCGAAGCGAAGGCAACCTTGATCCGATAAATGGTCTTGTCACGTATCGCATACTGCAAGAGACAAGTGGTAATCCGGAAGTGCTAAAAGAAGAAATCAGCGGATATCAAAAGATCGTTGATCAAAAGTGGAAAGGATACACTTCTTCAGATACATTGGATTTAGGTATGACTCTTTGGACTGTTCACTGGTTCTCGGATGGAGATGACTGGGCGAAACAACTCGCTGCTGCAGCAATTCGTGATATGCGGATACTGTTCCACGAATCGCACTACCTGGACCTGCCAACTGCACAGCGTTTGGCTTTCAGAGAGTTTGGAACTTGTCTGGGCATCAGGGTCCATCCGATAGCAGAGCTGGAGCCCGTGGCCAAGCACATAATCACAGACTGGGAAGGCGCCAGCAGAGTACCCATCCCTAAGAAAAACGTCGAAATGGAAAGTCTCGAGCCGATGGATCTGGTCATGTACGCCGCAGCATTATGTCCAGGAGCGTTCAAAAGGAATTATCTCAATTAATCTATAGTTCTATTATTAATTATGGGTACCGTCCATTCCCCAAAATACATCTATCATTTGCATCGACTCATACAATCTTCATACAACTGGAAATATTAGTTGTTGCCCTCCTCTGCCTGTCTTTGTGCAGCGCCCTGGTCAGCATGCTTTGCCGGGTCGAACACGTAAATCGGGAACTCGAGGAACAAGGTTCGCTTGAGAATGACAGGCATTTTCTTGTAAAGTGCAGGTGGGAAGGGGATGAGGATGCTGGTCTGGTGGAGGTAAGCAGCATACTCACTCCAACCTTCGCCCTTTTCGTATCTCTTCTTGGCACCAGGACGCTCTTGTAGGGTCAAGCCCGACACAAACATCAGGAGGGTGGTCAAGAAGATCGGACCAACAATACTGGCGAACAGTGCAGCCTTTGCGCCGCCCTGGACATAATTGTAAGAAGCAGGGGTCACTGCAAGCATGAAGATTGCTGTACAGATGTTAGTGCAAGTAAAAGACTTCTGAGTCGCTATAACGTACAGAATTGAATGAGGATCTCGGCAAAGTAGTTGGGATGGCGAGACCAGGCGAAGAAACCCTTGTTGCAGACAGCGCCGCGCTCTTGGTGGGTCTGCTTGAATCTGTATTTCTGGATATCGCTGACGGTCTCCATGATGATGCCGATGCCAAAGCCAATGACTGCCAGAATATCGGTGGCCTTGTTGAAAGCAGGTTGTTGGAAGCGATTGACGATAGGGCTGTTCAATACAGTAACTGGCATGCTAACAGTCCAAACCTAACACAGCTGTCAGCAAAACATCTTCGGTGGGAAAGCACAACTCGACTTGTCCTTACCCAAAGTGTTTGGAAAACATAGAATCCCAACATGGGCAGAACTTTTCCACGCTTGTCATCGAAGCGGTCGTCCTTGCCGGTTTTGATGATTCGGAAGAGCAAGAATCCAGCCAGGCGAGCTCCCCAAAGCATGATAAATATACTGTCGACGATTTGACGGGCATGATGTTCGCCGTACATGGCAACCGTGATGATGGCCAGAATCACAAAGTTGGTGCCTCCGGCGACATCGTTGAGCTGGTCGGTCTTGAAGATGACCGAGATGGCAAAGAAGATGGATTGGTATCCGAGTGTGATCAAGAAACTGATGGCGAGGTAGTAGTCATCTAGGACATGGACTGGTGCCATGGCTGAGGGCGCTTTGTTGGTGTATTCAAGAGTCGATGTTGTCTTTGATCGATAGTTGCTGCGAACCAGATGATATTTTGTAACAATTCTCTATATTCTGATGATCTGCAAGGAAGTGGTATATAGAACTATTTCAGGGTCCTCTCTGTGCTTTTTGTTCGTGGCCTGCGGAAGTCGAGGGAACAAAACTGTCCGAGTCCGAGAAGTCCAGGACGTCATCGGCCAAATTTCAGTCAGGCATCCCTTTGCCAAGACTTGCGATCTGGAGCGCGGAGTGAGATCTGCTGAGGTCTGACACTTTTCGCTGCGATCCGAACCCAGATTGCCAGCAAGGCCCAGTGGTGTTGGTTATTCACCTCCAAAACAAACAGCTTCAACTTGTGGTTTTTCCCATGTGCTAAAGGTCGTCAGTGACACTGCTGTTGAACTACACGATGATTTTCGAAAGTAGAGCTAGGTCCAAGGAGGGGGCGTCAAATAGGTAGTCGCCCTCATGTGGACGACATGCCATTTCTCGGAATTATCGTGCATTTTGATGGGTGGAACGATGCGCATCGCCGCGGCTTGAGAGTCGAAGTGACAAAGTTTACATATGAAGAGGTTGTGGAAGTTGTTCGCGGATGGTCGTTCGCGAGGTCCATGGAGAGATCTGATGAAAATCTGACTGAGGAACTGCGATCAACTGACTATCCTCCATGTGCAATCCACGTGTGGATAGACACGAGTGTCGCTGATCGTCTCTGAACAACCTCACCTCATGCCATAGAGTACACCACATGTACTCACAGAAGTGAGCGATAGGAATGCGGTTGTTATAGTCAGCTGTAAACGAGGACACGCTCTCACCGGATCCGACTCTGCTCAATTGCCAGCCAAAACTACTCCGGGAGCGATCGCGACAAGAGGGGAAAGGAGCCACCGTATCCTTTGATACTGTTGAGATGTTGAGGTTGGATGCGAGGAGACATGTCACAGAGCATGCAGACATCGAAGATTGTACGCGCAACACCGTGAGTGCATCGTTGGTCGCAGAAGACGACAAGCGAACGGTCTTCTCGCACAGTCTTCTATTCGACATGATAGCCTCACCCCTGCTGCATATGAAGCATGTCGTTGGTGGAAGAAACACCCAAAGACATGAACCGAGCTCCATCATCTCAGGAAGCCTTCAAGCGTGCAGTCGATCTTCGGTAAAGCAGCAACCTCAGGCAAGTCAAGGCGATGGTATGCACGTTGTATGCAACCCCTTCGTCCGACCCTTGTAGAACATCTCTAAGCTTCGAGACGGACGCAGAAGGTGTGACAGACAAGCGAATCTATCCACATGAACAAGAGGCTGTGCGGAGAAGTCCACGCAACACAGAGTCGCAAACCACAGCGAAAAGGAGAGAGCAAATGATGGTGTGTCGGACTCGGAACGTGCCTACATGATACACCTCGTATCTGCAAGGCCCATCCTGGAGAATTGCAAACTCTCCGATATCTACATGATATGCACTCACACCGAGTCCCGACCGGAGTAGACGGGGAAGAACCCTTAGGAGAAGAGGCACGGTTCATGACTGGTTCAGACACACGGCTCCTCAATTGATCACACCTTTTCTCAAATCTAAGTTGTTCATCAATCGCGTTCCCCACTGCATACAGAAGAAACAAAAAGTGATAAATTGTCGTTACCGTAGCGGTGGGTACCTGCCTACCTGACAAACGGGTCGGCATGATTGCTTCTAAGAACCTGACGCATGTGTAGGAATAGTGATGTGCGTTGACCATGCTTGGTCTGGTGCTTGTCATTGCTGTTGTTGATACTTCGAGTCTTCATCATGGTATACCGTCATCAGCATCACCATCTATCCACACGAAATCCAAAATACAAAACAAAACAAAAGGCGAGTCCTCAATAGGCCATGCGATGACCACATGCAGTTCGATCAAGGTCTGCCCTTGTCAGCAATCTACTCTGTTTGGCGACCGGTCTGTGAGGTGAGTGGCAGTCCTGGAATCTCGCAACGTCACACTCGAGGTTACATCATCGTCCACCTTCTCGTTTTGTGCTGGGTGATGGAGGAGTTGGAGGGTGCGTTGCGCTTTTCGGGTTCCAGGACTTGTGTCACAGGCCTGTGCAAAACGACCGACACGGCCAATCATTACCTCGGCGGGGAGGTCCCATCTCAGACCGGTAGCCTCTGATTGGATCATCTTCCGCACCATGACCCTGGCCGCTCGAATGGCCGCTCTGCTGGGCTCGTATACACGCGTCATTTGGCCAACAGTTCAACCGAAGGTACCCGCCAAGGAAAGGTGCCACCCCGTTCTTGCAAGCCTTAGACGTTGATGGCGTCGTGCTAGCGTACCTTCTTCCTCCGATCAAGCACCGAGTCATGTTTTGGCAGGTCTGTCAATCACCTTCGCAAGAGTCATGAATGCGCTCGGTGGAAAGGATATTGAACGGGATGGGTACTTGATTGAATAATTGCAAGTTCATATTCCGTAGTAGCTTTTGGGCATACACCACATCTCGTGCAGTAGTAATGCCTCGTTTATATAGTACAGAGAATACCGCCAGTCTTGAAAAACAACAAAGAAAACAGAATGATGTTGCGCCATGTACGCCCAGAGTGTAAAACACAAAAAGCCATCTCCAAATCCATGGGTATCAAGTAGAAAGTGTAGCGATTGACGATGAAAGTTATTAGAGTTCCGGTAAAAGAGGTTCATGATCCAAACTCCAGGTTGGACAAAGTAGAAAAAGGGCTCCCGAAGATTACGAAGGCGCGTGAATCCGCCAGCGTATTCTGATGTCGCTGGAATCGGACATGTCATGGCGGTGATAGCCAGACAATATAATAATACACATGATACAAGGCGTGTGATCAAGAATCAGAAGTGGTTAATCGGGAATGTCGACGAGGCCTGAGTCAGCCGCAAGCAGTGATACTGCGTGCTTACTCGTCATCCGGAGAGGCGTGGGAGTCTTCGCCCTTGTGCACCTTGCGGTGGCGTCTAAGGTTGGACACGACTGAGAAGTGACGACCACATCCCTCAACGTCGCATGCAAATGCTGTCATGGTTGTCAGATTGTGTTACTTCGAATATTGAGGAGTGAGGGAAAGAACTTACGCTTCTCGCCAGTGTGGCTATACATATGGGTTTGGAGCGAGCTGGGGCGGGTGAAGCGCTTGTCGCAGATCTTGCACTTGTGCTTCTTCTGCGAGCTCGATGAAACCTTTGAGCTGAATTGGCCCATCATGGACTGAGGTGCAGGAGGGAGGGCGACGTTGCCAGACAGACCGGTGGGGCGGGGCAACGTGCGAGATGAGGTGTCGACAGACTCGCTCGCTGAGCTGTAGTCGCCATATGAAGCCTCGCTAACAGAGCCGTAGTATGATGAGGGGTAGGTGCTGGCGGAGGAGATGGAGGAGTGGGCTGAGTGTGTAGAGGGGAAGCCATATGAGTCGGACGAGCTTCTGCTCGAGCCCTGGTTGCCATAGATGTTTCTAGGAGTAATGTCCTGGCTCATGGCGACCATGCCTCTGCTGGCATCCAGTGCATCACTGAAGCTGTTGCGCTCAGCCTCGGTAGAAGCGGCGTTCAGCCTGTTGACGTCAATTAAACTGCTCTGGCGGTGCTTCTGTGCGAGTATGGGGTTTCCAAGGAAACTGTTCGATGCTACTGACGGGTGCGAAGAGCGACGGTCCTGGTGGTAGGCAGCGTAGGGGCTGCTGTTGGAGTACTCGCGGGCATATGAGGGCGCAGAGGTGGGAGCATACATGGCCCCGGAGGAGGGACCAGAGGTAACATAGGTCGAACCATAGGGACGAGGAGCACTGAGACCGTCTTGGCCTGGTAAGCTGGATTGCGCATAGAGAGCATCCAAAGAATCAATACCTGAAGCCAGAGTAGGAGCCGGCATGGCACTTGAGTGCATGGGCATCGACACGTTAACGCTGGGGGCTCTCGCCACCAAGTGATGTGCACCGGGATCGCTGACCATCGAAGGTTGCGGCAACGAGGTAGCATAAAGGTGGTGGCTCGGGGCGGGACCAGAGACCCAAGGGTTGGTGAAGTGCGGCGCGGGGTAGCGCATGTGGTCGTAAGACAGGCCAGTGACCTGTTGGCGGTTGTCGACAGCCATTGCCATTGTGAATAGAGGTATAGAGGGGGGAGAGAGAAGGTTTGAGAGGATGAAACGAGGAAACAAAGACTGATGTTGTTGATGTCGAGTGGTTGGTAGAGAAACGAGGCTCACAGCGCGTGTCGATGGTTTAAGGATCAACGCTGGAGATGGCTTCACAGAACGTGGAGAGGACGATCAGTGTGCGTCCAACGAGGGGATCAGCAAGTTTATGTGTTTCGAGTTTCCTCAGCAGGCGTGACCTCTGGTTGTTCAGGTGTCGCGTCAAAAAGCGGGATTTGCTAAGCCTCTAAAGGTGGATGGGCCGAAAAGCTTAATCACCAAGGGAAAGATGCTAGGGCCAGCAAGTAGCTCGAGGCGATTTCGGACGGAGGGTAGATGAGGTTGGGGTGCTGACAGTGGACGAGTCTGAAAGAGGTAAAAGATTTGTCGTCTTGGGACTTTGGACTTGTGCGGAGGACCGTAGGCGTTTCAAGTCTTCAACAAAGGTGGGCCTGTTCGTGAAATGTAAAGGATCACCGTCGACGATCAGCGGGGAGGAGAGGTAGAAATAAACCGCTCCTGCCCAGCGAGTCACCACTGACGTCGACTTACAGGCCGATGTGGCTGTCTTAGCTTCCTGCAGGGCTCAACCTTAGCAGCCAATCGCCGTCCGTGACAAGTCTCCACTTCTCTCATTCCTAGCCTTGATTAGCGCGACGGCCTTTCTGACTCGTTAAGCATGTGGGTTCCTAACTGTGCATACATATTTCCGAGTGCGAGCGGTTCAATTGATTGAGACTCACCTTGTGTCAAAGTTTACACTGCCACCTCCACCATTTCCTGCGTCCCTAGCACCCTCTTGAATCTGTTGGTTGATGCGTCGAAGCTGACGCCGTCCTGTCGCTGCTCCAAGCACAAAGCACCTTCCCTCCTTTTCTGCCAACATCAAGAAATTGGGAATCTGTCGACCCCGTTAACCTGGAACTTGTCCTGTGCATGAATGATGCGGCATTATCGACAGACATTTGTTTACCATCTGACTTTTACTGGTCCCATCTCATTCACTCTCTTCAGCTCACAAGCCTGAGCTTTACGGGCTACTCGGCGAGTTGACTTTTCTGCTCGTGCTGTTTGCCATTTGCCTCCTTCTCTTCTCGTCCGACCGGGAGTGGTTTCGTACGAAAGCAAAAAAGCCGTTGTCGGATTCAGTCCCTCGTGCCGTTGACTGGCTGGCAACTCTGACGCTTGGACATGGCGTTTGGCTGGCAGGTCGGTGGCTTACGGAGGTGGAGATTCCGTCCCAAGCTAAGACATTTAACCATAATGTAGCCATAACCCCTTGTCTTGTTCGTTGCGAGCAACGCCATCTCATTGGGTTCATGCTTCCAAGCCACTTGGAGCTGCTTAGCTGCGAAGGTATGTTTCAAGAAACGCCGCAGCCGTAATCGGGCTTTCCAAGCGTCCCAAGGTTCTCGTCATGCCTCAATTCGGGATACCCCAATAAACATCCGTCAATGACTCTTATACACTTCATGGCGTTTGCTTTTCCCCTTCGCGTAGAGAGTGTAAGAAAGCCACAACGGTTCAGGTCCACAGCGTTGTGATATTCCATGGTACCATGATTAAAGATTAGTGGAAACATTACCTGGCACTAAAGCCTGTATGGAGCTACGCTTGTCTGCCCAGAGAATCGTTGCGGTCAAAAGGCACACTACATGCCGATCGTTCCGCCAGCCACACTTTAAGTGCACCGCTCTTCTTCTGCGTACCCCTCGACCGTCACAACTCAGGGTTGCACTGCCGGCGGTCGGTACTTTTTGCACCATGTCCCATGCTATCGGCATCGTAAGAGAACGAAACAAGCAGCACGAGGTCGAAATAGACCTGCCACAACGGCCGCAAGACGCATCTAAGAGACTTCTTGCTTGATTGGTGGCGTTCCTAGACAAGAATGTTCAGGTGCGCGTGTGATACATGTGTGCGAAGCTGCTAGCTGCTGCAATTGGCTGCTTCTCCTCCCTTGCAATTCGCCCAAATAGGCATCTCACTGTCCACTTCCGAATAGCTCTGATCTTTATCCGGTCTGCGATTCATTCAGCATGCCTCCTTTTGCACTCTAGTCCTGTCAAATGCGGGATCCGTCGTGCGCCAGATGGATCAACCATGCGGCTGATAGTCGGAGACACGTTTGGGCGTGGACCAGCCAAGGCGTTGGAAGATAAAGTTGGCAAAGATGTGGGTTTTGTGTCGTGCGAACGACCACTTTCCATGTGCTCTCAACATGTCCGAGCGACGACGGCCTTTTCCCCGACCCAACTCGTTGGACCGCCGTCTGGAACATCTTGGGCTGTAGAAAAATGGCAGATAGCATCCCAAGGGACTAACGATTGTCAACCCAGTGTCTTGGCTCTGGTGGGATCGTCCAAACTTTGTTTCCCGTGTCGACCGCATGCGTGTGCACACCATTATTGTACGTCCGTAAGGAGTTATCGAATCGCATACCAGTTGAATCTCCAAAGTCTTTCTTTTGATGCCTTGTTTCCTTTTATGCGGTACGTACGGACCACTATGGGATTGGGTATATGCCAAGTTACGCTCCCCTACCAACTGGTCCGAGCAATCAGATAGTCTCCTAGGCGCGCACACGCGCGCGCCAGGGGGGCATGTCTTCATCTCTCCACGTGCAAACGCTCGCACAGTCGAAGATTATAGTCAAGGATCATACAATAATACTACGCACGGCCAATACATTTCAACCATGCACCTTGGAATTGGATCTCAACCTGAACTTGTGACCTGCCCCTTTTCGATATGTTCCATGCCAAAACGCCAATTCCATCGCATCTAATCTCGTATTGCACCGAGTATGAAGATCCATCAATCCGGTAAGACGGTCTTGTCGCCGTCGGACTTCATCCGAGCTCCAATTGATGGTCTGCCTGTGCGGTGCTGAGCTATACTGTCGACAGTGACATCCAAACTCGACGTGTCCACGTCCGGTTGAACTACATGGTCCAAGGGTCCATTTCGAGTCAGTTTCTCAATATTCTCACGTGTGAGCTTCGAGGGTCGATCATCAGTCACGCTGTCTTGTGTTGCTGTCTCTGTGGGTATACCCAAGAGCTTCTTCGGCGTCGCTGCACTTGCAAAAAGCTGTTGATCACGTAGTTGCATCGCCTTTTCTTCGTTCCGTAAGCGGTCCATTGAACGACTCTCTGCAGTCTCTGCCGAACGTGCAAACACAGAGTCATTCTGGAAATTTAGTTTGTTAAGCTTTGTCGAGAGGACATCTGATGCTCGTTGTTCCGATGTGGTCGGGCGTATCTCTGTGTCTGGCTGCTGCTCCTCGTGGGCAGTGTCCCTGGAGGGACCGGACTGGGGATGGTCTTGAGGATTGCCTGCGGGTTTTGGAGTCTGAGTGGCGGCAGAGGGTGGTGACAAGGCCGCTTTGCGCTTCTTCTCGACTGCCCACTTGAGCAACATCTGCTCGAGCGTCTTTCCCTTTACAGGCTTCGCCAGATAGTCGTTCATTCCGGCATTCTCACACTTTTCTCGGTCGCCTTGAATAGCGCTGGCAGTCATTGCAACAATGGGCGTGTTTTGAATCTGCTGGTCCGCAACAAAGGGCTCGCAGTGTCGAATTGTGTATGTTGCCTTGTAGCCGTCCATGATTGGCATCTGAACGTCCATGAGAATAACATCTGGTCTTGGACGATCAGGACTTTCTGGCTTTCTAAGATAGTCAAGTGCTTCTTGTCCATTCCAGACAGCATTGACAGAGAACTTGAGCTTTTTGATTGTCTTCAAGGCGATCTGTTGGTTGATCGGGTTGTCTATACGATGACACGTTAGTGATCTGATATGTTGGTTGGGTTTCGTTGTACTAACCTTCGACAACCAAGACATGTGTGTTCCGCCGTTCCTCGTCCGAAAGTCCAAGAGGCAAATCGAGCTGAGCAGGCGAGGCTCGACGCGAGTCTACAGACGCCTGGCGAATGCCCGGTTTCAGAGGTGAGCCTGGAGGCTGTGGGCCACTGTATTCAGACATAGATAGCTCAGATTGCAACCGGTGGGGTATCGGGCCCATGTCTAGCGGAGGCGAGTCGCCAGATAGATAAGGAGCCTTGTTGAAGGGGATCCAGAACGAAGCTTTCGTGCCCAAACCGAGCGATGACTCGAGAGAAATCTCACCATGCATGAGTTCGACCAACTGATATGGTTAGTAATGGAGAAACAGAGATCAGTGAGGTGCCACTTACGTTCTTGCTGATGGTCAAGCCGAGACCAGTTCCACCAAATCGTCTGGCAGTGCTAGAGTCTGCTTGTGAGAACGGCTGGAACAGTCTCTTCCTGACTTCTTCCTCAATGCCAATACCGGTGTCCTCTACAGTAAATTCCACAGCAACAGTCTCAGCGGTCTCCTCTCTAATCCTGACCTGCATCTTCACGCTTCCCTCAGAGGTAAATTTGATGGAGTTGGTCAGGAGATTTGTCAAGATTTGCCTCAGGCGGCCTGGATCGCCCATGACCTTGAGACGTTCGAGCTCTTGTGTCTCGTCGATATACATCAGACCCTTGCGTTCAGCCGCAAAGGTGAGCATCTTGTTGACATCGCGGACAACGACATTCAGATCAAACTGGACGTCTTCAATATCCAGTCTTCCACTCTCGACCTTGGAAAAGTCGAGGATGTCGTTGATAACGGTAAGAAGTCCATTGGCCGATCGTTGCAGATTTTCAGCGCACTCGCGTTGTTCCTCGGTCAGAGTGCCTTCGGTGTCATCCAATAGGAGCTCAGACATACCGATGACTCCAGCAATAGGTGTGCGGATCTCGTGGCTCATATTCGCTAAGAATTGAGACTTCATCTTGCTAGCTTCCTTTGCGGCCTCGCTTTGCGCCAATAGACGTGAGTTCTCTCTGTCGCGCTCACGAAGTTGCTCTTCCCGTTTCCTCAAGTCTGTCACATCCATACTGACAGCAACAACGCCATCCACGAAGGTATCACCTTCAACGCCAGCGTTGCGCTCCACCCGCTGAAGAGGAACAAATCTTGTGCGTACCCATCTGTTGCTCTCTTTCAGGTGCAATTCTGTGGTCTCGTCGAGTCGTTTACCAGAGAGAATGTTCTCGATGTACTCGCGATGATGATCTCCATCTAGAATGGCCGACTCATCGAGCAGCCCGTATACGTTCTTTCCGATGGCGTTGTTTCGAATGTCTTCGTCAGAGTGCTTCGAGTTGTCGTTCCACACAATAGCGCCCTCAAGCATCGAGAGATTGCGGTCGGAGTTGACTGACCAGAGCGTGATTTTCGCCATTTCAATTACTTGCAAGAGTTGTAGTCTCATTTGTCGTGCGTCTTCTCGAGCGAGGACCAATTCATGAATATCGGTACATGTGCCGAACCTGGACGTTGTAAGCTTGAGAGAATCAGAGCATTTTCACCATACACACCATTTGACAATCTTGCCAGATTCATCCTTCATAGGCACAGCTCGACCCAGCATCCAGCGCCATTCTCCATCATGAGACAGGCATCGGTATTCCGTTCTGTACTCTTCACCAGTGGTTAGACTGTGACGCCATCTCTTACCCGTCAACTCCATGTCATCTGGATGGAAAGGATTTTCCCAGCCGCTGCCGAGACTTTGCTCGACTGACAGGCCTGTATATTCGTACCACCTCCTTGAATAATAGTCATGCTGGCCAGTTGGAGTAGTTGTCCAGATCATTTGTGGAATCATGTTGGTTATATCCTCGAACTGTCGTTCGTTCTGCACCTTTTGAGCGGTGATAGTGTTGGCATATTCAGTGACATTATGGAATATGACCAAACCACCCAAGAACTCGCCGGTTTTACTGTCGGTGATTGTCTCGCCGTCGACGTCGTATATAATTTTTGCGCCAGTCTTGGGGTGATGCATACCGAGGCGTCTGTTTGTGAATCGCTTTTGTGTCGTCATGAGATGCATGATAGGAAACTCGCTCATAGGAAGCAATTCAGAAAAGTCCTCCTTCCAAAGAATGTAGCTTGAGAGGAAATCACGCTGATCGCGAACACCGGTCACGCCTTCGTCGCTATCAGGATAGACCATTCTGACGGCGGCTTTGTTGGGGATACCAAAAGACTCGTCCTTCCACATGGCAAAGGCTGGGTCGCTGAGAGAATTTAGGAGGGCGTCTTTCAGGCGATTGGACTTTGAGAATAAAGAGGGAGTTGCGGCAGAAGTGGTGAGAGATGGAGGGCCACTGGGCAATGGCGAAGGGGCGAAGACAGAAGGGCTGCCTGAGAGGCTCGTGCGATGTTGGTGCTGAGTGCGACGACCACTGGAACTAGAGCTTGATCCAGAGCCTAGGCCTGAGGAGAAGGTGGTGTGTGTCCTTGCAACTGTACGGTGGCTTGAACGAGAAGAGGAGGATTGGGTTTCGGCAGCAGAGGTGAAGACCAGTGTGTAGTAATCGGTGTCATCTGCAGACCAAACTGTGATAATGACGGTGGATTGGATATGGCCACTGGCGTCGTGGTTGACCTCTTTGGAACGGGGGAGACCAGTGGCAGGGTTTCGATTGGTGGAGAAGACGACATCGACAGCAGCATCGTGAACGGTGGTGCGGGCGAGGTTGGCACGGGTCAAGGGCACGGGTTTCGACTGCAGGCCAGCGGTATCGTAGCTCTCAGCAGTAGGAGTTATATCACCACCATCAGACTTTGACTCTGACTGGGCGCTGGCGTCGACAGCATCCTGTTTGATGGTATTGAGGAAATCTACCCAGCGCATCCACACAGGGTTCGCGTTCTGCAAAAGATCCATACCGAGGCTGTCCATAGGCACACCACCAAGAATGTCGCTGGCACTGCTGGCATCCTCCTGCTCGTTGCTCCCAGCACTGTCCACCGCAGGCAGTTGCAGGTCTATACCCAGCAGTCTGCCCATTGCTTCATTGGCAAGCACGACTGTCTTTTCACTAGAGAGGACCAGGAGCGGCATCGGGAGGTACTGCATGGCAGCAAAGGCAGTTTCGGACATGGTGGGACCGGAGGGGATGCGTATGGAGAGAGGCGACGAGGGCGAGTGGTCTCGGTAGCCCTCGTCGCAGGCATTGGAAAGGTCGAAGTAGCCACCGGAGCCGGCGGATGAGTCCTCGATTCTCATGTTGGTCCTCTGTCTCGGCGAAGGAGACGGCTGTCGACCTCGTTGAGCTGCGTCAGGATTCATATTGGGTTGGAGCTTGCGACGCCGGGCGCGCGCATTGCCTGACAGTCCAGCGAGCGGTCCTGGTATGCGACGGAGGCGGTATCAAGGCCGGGGGAGAAGTGTTTGCACTGAAATGTTACTGAAAATGCGAAGCGCCAGGACGCGGGACCGGCCGGCTAAGTGGCTGCTGTCAACAAAGCAGCAGTTCGCTCTTGCTCAACAGGCGTGCGTCGTCTATCTGGCTTTCAATACTGGCGCTGTCTTAGTGACGTTACCCGAAACTTTGTCGGCCAAGGAATGTAGCAGACAGAGCACTGCGAGTCGCTCGGGATGTTGCAACAATCTTCAAAGGGGTGCGGAAATGCTCTTCTCTTCTTCGCCCAAGCAGACGTCGCTTCAGGAAAATCAGAGTGCAAAGCTGCAGCGACAAGGCCAATCTTGCACATGATGGTTTGCAGAGCAGTTGTGTGATCGCCACCAGCGTTTCCTGTTTGGGCAAGAACTCCACCTGATCCTCCACAAAACCACGTTCTAGAAGTGGCCGGGAACCTAGGGGGAAAGGATAGGATGGCAGGTGTTAATTCACTCATGAACACCCAGTTGCCATGATGTGGAATTCCATGCTGACAATTACGAGGCTTCTGCCATCTACAAGATTCGGATACTCATCATATCTGTGCAGATACTCAAGTGCGATTCGTGCCTGCATTGGATTCTTGGAAACTGCATGAGGGCCCGTGCATCAACTCGCTGGCGTTCTTCGCCAAAGCTCTTCAACTCCTTCGATGCCGACCATCCGACATGCCACCATTCACCATACAGCAGTGTGCGATCCCTGCAGTGACATTCCTCATCTGTATAATAGCATATCCATCGCATTGGCTACTTCGCCAACTCGGTCCTCAGCCCCTGACCGGACAGCAGTCGGTCATACTCCATGTCTATGCCTTGGTGATCTTCTTTTGCTATTACAAGGCATGCTTTACAGATCCTGGCAGAATACCAAAAGACTGGGTGCCAAAGCAGAGCGAGATACTCAAAGGCCGTCGTTCTCAAGACGAACGACAACGGCAGAGATGGTGTCGCAAATGTCAGGCTTATAAACCGCCACGAGCTCATCACTGCAAGACATGTGAAAGGTTTGTCGTTCCTTCATATCTAGTAAATTCGGCCTAGACTCTGACACTGTAAGATGTATTCCTAAGATGGATCACCACTGGTAAGCTCCACCTGTATCTCTTTGTCAGCATTGTTCTCACCCATCAGCCCCTGGACAGCCAATTGTGTCTCGCACACTACCTTCCCGCACTTTGTTCGATTCTTGTTCTATGCCGTTGCTGGTATGTCACATCTTGGCTGTCTCCTCTGGTCGAGAATGTACCATCTATGGACGCAGAGAGAGCTGCCCAGTGTACGTGAATCCGTGCTCCGAATCCTAGCGTCAACTCATGATTTCTTCAGTACTTCGGACCAAGCCCCATGCTGCTTTTCGGCCTTTTCTTCATGACCGCTTTGAACTCTGTTGTCGTCTTTGCACTGTTCGTCCTGCTTCTTCGCACTTTGTGGTGTCTTGGAGCAAATACAACCACCATCGAAGGCTGGGAGATCGAGAGACATGAAACACTGCTTCGTCGTGCTAAGTATCTTGGTGGAGTTCTCGAAGGGCCGAACGGAGCAAAGGTTCGCATCACGAGGCAAGAGTATCCGTGGGACATTGGTATCTTTTCGAACATCGCTCAAGGCATGGGAAGCTGGAATCCTCTTGCCTGGTTCTGGCCCTTCTCATTTACGCCATCCATAGAGAGTGGTCTTGAGTTTGAGGACAACGGTCTTGAAGGTGTGTTTCGCAAAGGCCTCATGGGTAACACTAAGCTAATTCCACCACAGCTCCTGGCACTACGTGGCCTCCACCAGACCCGGACAGAATGTTCCGCATGGCACCCACAGAAAGAGCTTACGATCCAGCCAACGCTTTCACTCATTCTATGGATCCGGACGAGTTCTACAAGAGGCAGCAAGCCGATCAGACGCGCCGTTTCGTGGCCACAGACACTTTAGAGCTTCGACGAAGACAGCCTTTTCACATACGATATGACCAGAAAAACGTTCAGAAACGTCGCAACGAAGACTATGCTTACGGCACTGACTACGAGTCGGGTAATGAGGAACATGATGAGAAAGAGGATCAATGGGCGACTAAACCGGGTGAAGGTGAAGAAGGTTGGCGCAACTCCGAGGGCGAGAGGTTGAACGACTTCGGCGTCGATGAAGACGTCGAGTTCTACGATGAGGACGAGGTGCCGCTTGCTGAGCTGATGAGGCGGAAGAATCTAGCCAATGATAGTTCGACATATTGAGCAGGTCATCTCTGATGATATGCATGTCCTTGATTACTACCTGAATGGCTGATAGTGGGGAGGCCGGTTGCGGAGCATGACGCCCGACATCGCATCGCATACACCTCAGCTTCCATCTATGAGCTCGATATATCAACACCCATCGACGAGTCAAAAAAAAATTCTGTATCTCATCGAATTTGTACAAGCACAATAATATGAGCCAAACCAATGACAAGTGGTCGTCCGAGGTACTTTAATTCCATCATGAAAGAATCCATATATACTACCTCGCCTAAATCATCTATACCTCATTGCTCCGACCTAGCCACGTATTGCAAATATTGACATGAACAGGCCTATTCCAAAGCGGCCGGATTTGTTCCCAAACTTACCACCACCGTTCTTTCCTATCTCTCACCCAAGCCGACGGACAAAATCCTCGACATCGGCTGCGGCGACGGTCCCTTGACAGCCCAGATCGCTGCTTCCCTAACTGAAGGCTACATCCTCGGTCTTGACGCCTCATCTTCCTTCATCAATACAGCCCAAGAAAAGCATACTTCTTCAAACTGTACTTTCAAACTCCATGACTGCCGACGCATTGCTCAATGCGCCGAAGCTGTTGATGGCAGTTGGGATAAAGTGTTCAGTAACGCCGCTTTACATTGGATTTTACGAGAGCCGAGTACCAGAGACGCTGTCTTCAAAGACGTGCATGCAGCATTGAAACCAGGTGGTACATTTGTGTTTGAGATGGGCGGTAAAGGCAACGTCGAGGCGGTCCACTCGACCATCCTCTCTGTTCTCGTCGCCAATGGTGTCCCTATCTCAACCGCCCGCGAAGCATCGCCCTGGTTCTTCCCAAGCGATACTTGGATGACGCAACAGTTGCAGAAATCTGGCTTCGAGGTTGAGAAGTGTTACTTGGAGTACAGACCTACGAAATGTACTGCCAAATCTGCAGATGGGTCAGGTGGATTGGAAGGGTGGATCAAGTTGATGGGAGCCGAGATGTTGGCAGTTGTTGAGGAGAGCAAGAGACAAGATATCGTCAAGCAGGTTTGTGATATCTTGGAGACGGTGGTTACGAGGGAGGAGGACGGGAGTCAGTGGCTCAACTATATTAGGCTTCGTGCTGTTGCGAGAAAGATTTGATACGTCTGGATGTGAGGCAGGAACGATGAACGTTTTAGCATACCAGTTTTCAGAAACAACCTTGCTTTATAGATAACTGTATCGCTCTTTCTGCGATTGACTCAATGCTCCTATCTGTCACGATGTAATGTACATATAGGGGAATAGAAACCGGACCATTATGTCTTTAGAAACATCTACCAAAAGGCAAGGTGGTTTCCTACGTAGATGTAGCGTCCATAGAGGGCAAATAGCGATATGCGCTCTCGGTGGACAGTTATTTATACGTAAATATATGTTGCCTTCCGATGGCTGGAGAACAAAGAGGTACACGTCTGTGCCCGAAGCTCCAGATTGTTGCGTTTGTTGAAATGAATTAGGCATAAGGCCACGAACAATGGACGAAGATGGCTGCCACTGTACCAACTTATTTCTGAGTACTTCGAGTAACACTCAAAAAGGTATGGATGCACAAGAACTAATGTGGCGAGAGTAATATCACATAAGAGGTTTCGGAGACTGGTTGAGGGGGTGACCCTGATTTCTTGCCGGTAAGGCTTGGTTTGCAAGGAAGGGCTGCTGCCTTCTCTCATTCCTATACCTTCCCTTGCATTTCTCCATACTCTAAGGTGATTCATTGATTGCTGTGATACTTTGGAACTGGGACATATGTCCCCCTCCAGCAGATTTAGCTCCCGTTGTGCTCACACCAAATCCTGATCCACCTCGTAAGTATTATTGTTGATGCATATGATATTACAACAACTTGCCCTTACCAACTTGACTCTGTGTTTATATACCAGAGTTTGCGATACTGGTATTGTGCTCCTTCCAGTTGATGACGTACCAATATGCAGCTCCCGCATGAGGCGGCGGTACGTCTCTTGAAGGATCATGAAACCGGTCAGCTCGTATATCTCAATCTATTGGCTACCCTGGCTGCCGCCAGCCCTCTGGTAATATATAAAGAGCCCGGTTCCCTGGTTCTAGATGTCGGCCACTCCCTCAAAGTGATATCGACCGTAAATATGTTGGGCAATACCACCATCGACCTGGCAGTACTGACTATCGTGCTAACCTTAACCGGTCGGTTCCTTTACAAGGGCTATGTATGGCGACGAAATGCTGCGAAGTTGGTGAGTGGACCAGTCTCCCTACTAAGGAGGCCGCCCATGTTGACATTCGAGCAGCCGGGTCCTCCTCACCACCCAATATTCGGACATATGAAAATCATGGCTGAGGCTACTCGTGCTTCACCTCGAGGTGCTGCAGGTCAAAATGTACTTCTTATGGTAAAACATCTCTACGATTTACCGGATTTATTCTACCTGGACTTGTGGCCACTATTTGAATCGATTTGCATCACGACTCATCCGTCGATGAGTAGTCAGTTCGTGGTTCGAAGATCGATGCCCAAACATCCATGTATTACTTTCTGACGAAAGCTATGAGACCCACAAGCTGATATGCCCTGAAGTGATTGGAGAGTTCATGCAAACCATAAGTCGAGGCGATGATATAGTGTCGGCCGATGGTCCTCTGTGGAAAACATGGAGATCTGCCTTCAACCCTGGTTTCTCCGTTTCTCATATCATGACCATGATGCCGGGCATCGTCGACGACGTGGCCACATTTGCTCGGATTCTTCACGAAAAGGCGGTCACGAACGAGCTGTTTCGTATGGAGCACCTTGCAACTCGCTTGACCGTAGACGTCATCGGCCGAGTGGTTTTGTAAGTCGTCCTGTAAACCGATACTTGGCCACTGCCCAGAACTTATCGATATCAGAGACGATCACTTCAATTCCCAATTGGAAGAACATCCGCTCGTCACGGCGTTCGAAAGCCAAGTCAGATGGATGAAGATTATCCGTGGGTAACTCTTGAGCACGTGAAGTGTGTGACACTGACCTAAGCAGCTCTTTTTACAAAACCTGCGCAGATTTTCAACATCTTCCGTCCTTTCGTACATTGGTGGAACCTGAGGCAGATGGACACGTACGTGGGTAGGGTACTCGAAGAACGATTCGCGTCGCGCAATCTCAGGAGTAGAAAGACCAAGCATGTCATTGACCTGGCCCTCGAGACTTACCTCAAGGAAAACAACGTCAACGACACCTCAAAACTCGATCCGAGGTTCAAGGATGCTGCCATCAGAAATATCAAAACATTCATCTTTGCTGGCCATGACACAAGCAGTTCGACAATTTGCTATGCTCATTACCAACTCAGCCAGAATCCAGAGGCACTGGCTCGTCTGCGTCAGGAATGCGAGGAAATTTTCGGCCCAGATGTGACCAAGACTGGCGACATGATCAAAGAAGATCCATACCTGCTCAACAAGATGAAGTATGGCGACGCAGTGGTTCGTGAAACACTGAGACTACATTCTCCTGCGAGTGCGATTCGAAGTGGAAGCAAAGAGTAAGTAGCTCTCGATCCAAGAAGCCCATGATGCCAGTACTGACAGACTTTCAGCTTCTTCATCATAGATCCAGACACAGGAGAAAGCTATCCTACAGACGGATTTATGCTTCACGCTCACTCTCCTGGTCACCTTTTGAACCCGAAAGTGTGGCAAGAGCCCATGTCGTTCCGTCCAGAGCGTTGGCTTACAGACCAGGCACCACCAATAGGTGCAGACCGTGACGCTTTCGTCGCGTTCTCCAAAGGCATTCGTAATTGTATTGGCCAAGAGTTGGCATTGCTGGAAGTCAGAATGGTACTGGCCATGACGGTACGGCAATTCGACTTTCACGAGGCGTTCGACGAGGTCGAGAAGTTGAGAGAAGATGGCTCAGGCTACCCAAGCGACTTGAGCGGAGTACAGAAACAATTTGGTGAGAAGGCTTATCAGATCCAGCTGGGCACTGCGAAGCCGAGGGAGGGTATGCCATGCCGTTTCAGCTTAGCCAAAATGTAGAAATCATCTCGGTCGAGACTCTGGCAAGGAGATCTGGCAAAGCAATCTGGAAATAGAATGAGTATTTTGGCTCAGTCCATGCTCAGGGACTTTTCCGTCGCGGGTGCTTGTATATAGTTATCACAAGGAGCGGGCATTCTGTCAAGTGAGAGGTGTTCGGGAAGGAGGGCGTATGACTGCTCTCAATGGACCTTCAGATCAGTTTATATCATTGTGCCAATATCGCTGTTGGACAGTCGAGTTGACTGTGTTGTGGTATTTGAGCATAAGTCCACAGGTGTAAGGGTCGGCAGGAGTTGAATAGAGTGGATCGGTGGAGCTAAAACGGGAAACAACGTCACCAGGGAACCCCAGACGCGGGCAGCTGCCACCAACGACCCAGACCTTCCCAGACGTCTCTTTCTCCAAAAGCAACCATTGAAGATCACCTCTGCATAGGTCGACAAGACACACGACAATGGAGTACGAACCCACAGCCGACGACGCAAATGTCGACCTCGCCGGCCCCGGCCTCCACGGCAAGCTGGAATGCCGCGTAACGGACCCTCAGAAGGAGAACGAAGGCACCCAGAACCCTTTCATATCATACCTCGTCACCACAGAGACCGACTTCAAGTCCTTCGTCAACCACCATTCACAACTGCGCCGCCGCTTTACCGACTTCGTCTTCCTACAAAAACACCTCACGCGCGAGTACCCGCAATGTGCCGTACCGCCGCTGCCCGACAAGCACAAGATGGAGTACGTCCGCGGCGACCGCTTCGGCCCTGATTTCACTTCTCGTCGTGCGCACGCTCTGAATCGCTTCTTGAACCGCCTCACCTTGCACCCCGTCCTGCGTCGCGCTGCCCTTCTCGCCCAGTTCCTTGAAAGCGACTCATGGAACTCAACCATGCGATCCCGAGCCGCCCGCGGCATGAGTGCTGGTGAGGCTGCTGCACCGAGTGTTCTGGAGACATGGACAGATAGCTTCCTGAACGCTTTCGCAAAAGCCCACAAGACGGATCGCCGCTTTGTCGATGTTCGCGAGCGTTCCGACAAGCTCGACGAAGACCTCTCGACCGTTTCCAAATCAGTCTCCCGCCTGGCACGCCGTGAATCTGACCTCGAGGGTGACTATGCAGATCTGGCAACACAATTCCAAAAACTCGCTCAGCTCGAACCTGGCGTGCAGAACGAGCTCACTAGCTTCGGCTTCAGCATACAATCAAACTCTCAGGCTTGGAAAGACTTGCGCGAGTATACCGATCAAGACTACCTCGGCAGTCTGCGCGATATGGAAGCCTACATCGCTTCAGTCAAGGCTCTCCTCAAGACTCGCGAGCAAAAACAACTCGACTTCGAAGGCTTGTCAGAATACCTCACCAAAGCCGCCAGCGAGCGCGACCACCTAGCTTCAGGGCCCAGCATGGGTGCCTCTGGCTTCATCCGCGCCAAAATCGAAGACGTCCGCGGTGTCGACCACGAGACAGCCCGCAAGGAACGTGTACGCAAGCTTGAGCTACAGATTGAGCGCCTACAAAACGAAGTCGAAGCCGCGAAAAAGACAAGCGAGGCCTTCGATATCGAGGTCGTCAAGGAGGTGGACGATTTCGAGCGCATCAAGGCAACAGAGTTCCGCGAAACGCTTGGAGGACTTGCAGATGCCAATTGCGAGTACTTCCGCTCAACCATCGATACGTGGCAGAAGTTTATCGATCAGATGGAACGCGAGCAGAGAGAGTCAGCGACGAGTTAGACGCGAATCTTTGATGATACCACATGCTGGGGTTTCACGGCGTAAATTAAGCAGGAAACGAGGAAGCCTTTTTTGAATGTGTAATTATGATAGCCTTATTCTTTTTCTTTGTTGAGCCTTCTCGGATAAAGGGGAAATGTGAATTTGTTGAATGCTCAAAGGCTTTGCTTACTCTCTTGCCTTTACTGGTCGTGATGTGATTGATGTGTTGTACAATCATTGTTGATGTTGGTTGTTCTTTCCCCTTCCTCTACGTTCCTGGTTTGGCATCGACAACCACATCGAAGTTTGATTGCCCGTTTGCTCCTTCTTCAGCCAAACCAAAACCGATGATAATGCATTCCCATCCTTTAAGAAGAAGTGCGTCTGACGTTCCAACCATCAGGCATCCGTTCTTGACAAGGAGATCCATCTAATCATCAAAGAACGAACCCCTGCCAACCTCTGGATCATAAGTATCGACCTTTCTGTCCTTGTTGCTTGCAGAGTTTGCCGATCTCTTCTTTCTGCCGCTGCTGCCGCTGCCGGTAGACTTGCTTGGGTCGCGCTTGTCCCAGGCCATTTTGCCGAAGAAGGAGGTGATTGTGACGACGATGAGGACTAGGAAAGTGCGGTTGCGCTGGGAAAGGGGTATTGTTGTTAGTGTGTGGGTGGTGAGAGGGGAAGTGAAGGAGAAGGAAGGGGGAGACTTACGGTCATGATGGCGGGTGGTTTGTGGGTTTGTTGTTGGTAAGGTGAGGGAAGTGGTTGTTATTGTTGGGTGGAGATCGTGGGATCTAGTGACGATGTGTGGTCTGCTTTTGTTTGCGAGAGGCAGAGGCGTGTGAGATCGTAGGATTAAGAAAGCTGGCGAGGTAGTGACGATCTATATAGACGAAGGTCAGTCTTGTGTCGCCGGTAACAAGAAGAAGGCAAGGCCCACCGGCGCCGAAGAGGTAGACTTGATGTGCTGATGATGGATGAGATTGTTTAGTCCTGGATCGACGTTGATGTTGTAGTGGTTGTGGTTTAGGAAAGCACCAGATGTTGTGGCTGGCGATCTCTGGTAGACAGTAGAGAAGAGAAGAGGCGAAGAGGTTTGCTTGGTCGATTTAAAGAAGGGCGAAGCGGAGGTTTGAGCAGTGTAAGTGACGAGAGGGAATGAGAATGAAAGTAAAGTGATCAAGCAACAAAACAAGCCAATCCCGCGTGCAAAGTGACGAGACACATGATCTGTGAAAGGATACTCATTGACCTGGCCCAATGCGAACAGAGGTAGATAGTGTCTCAGTAGCTGGCACTCGGATCAATCCACCAGCATCGCTCTAATTGATATCAGGCCCTCAACATGGCAGTGCAAGAGAGGAGAACATGTCCCCCGGCACCACAGAACTGCCATACCAGCAAAAAAGAACCATACCATCCTTCCCTTCAAAAACAGCAAAAAAACCTGAGCCTCGAAAGCTCCTGGGAAAACCCTTCAGACGTAATTTCCTTGATCTGTGCCACCAGAGAAAGCTACTCTCTGGCTCGATTGATTTAAGACTACATGGCGGAAACTCGGATGAGTTTTGACAAATCGTGAGTTGGTGGTTAAGCCATTGCGCCAACTCAGAGGATTATGGAAAGTAATTCAATTCTGTGGCTTATATGGCATATGGTGTGGAGCAGGAGAACCAGGGTTCGATTCAGGGGGTGGGAAGTTGGGATTCTTTTGGCTTTTGCGGTTTATTCTTTCTGATTGGGAAGGGGAAGGTACGAAAGGCAATTGGCACAGTGGCTTGTGTTCGCCGTCAGATCAGATACACGTCTACTTGATCCAAGCTCTTGACCATGTTCTCTTGCCTCTTACTACGGTATTCTGGAAGTGCGAGTACTATCGACACTTGCCCTGACCGACTCGGTGGCAGTAGGTATCCTCTGAAGTGCTGGCATGATATCTCTGTCCCTCACCGTCACGGTCGTCGTTCTGGCATCTCTCACGACCAAAACTGTTTCGCCCGAGTTGCGATAGTCGGTCTCACAGCTCACCAGGGGCTGTGCTGTCTCGTCCTCGGTCGGCGCATTGTTCTGTCCTGGACTGAGTAATCTCGACATGCCTTCGACGCCAGATTTCTCGACAGACGTGGAGACTGGTTGTATGTCCACCGAAGGCAAAAGGTGCATGCCTGGTCGAAGAGGTACCAAGACGAGTGAGACTTTTGTTTCTTCCTCATCGGCCTTGAAATTGAAGCGCGAGCGCTTGGGTCCAGCGACGAGCCATGGACCATCGACAGGCGTATCGATGGTGTAAGAGAAAGCGAGAGGCGCATTTGAGGCTGGGGCTGTACTGGCCCAGCGTCTCGTGTGTTTGATCGTGAGAGTGGCAGGTAGCGGGCGGCCGATGATGACCGCATCGGAAGAGTCTTTGCTATCGAGGTGAACAGTGACTGTGTGCAAGACATCGACAGTTGGAACTTCGACGGAAAGCGTGATTTTTCTTGTCAAGGCAGCACCTGTCGACTCGTCAAGATGTAGCTTCGGATTGTTCTGCATAGTTGATCAGCCTAAATATCACAAATTTGTTGAATACCAGTCGACTCACCGAATGCCACTCCTGCAACCAGTCGTCCAAACTTTGGAACTTGTCAGATGGCAGACTGGCGACAATTCTCTCCCAGCCCATCGACTCGTATGAAGGTATTTGAAGTTCTTTGAGCAGTACAGCCTGCTCCAATTGTTGAGGTGGTGCGTGAGATTTCGCTCTGTTTAGAAGGGTAGGTACGAGCAAGCGACGCAAAGCCACAAAAGGGCTGGTCGCGACTGCCTTCTCAAGCATGTCGCCGAGCTTCTCGAAAATCGCCTCGTCAGAGCGTATGTATTCCACCGCTAGCGCCAACGAAGCTTCCTTTTTGTCCAACTCTGCGTGCTCTGCTTCCTTCCTCGTGATCTTGTAGGTCAGACCAGCCGGCTGTTTGTCAAATACGATCATCGGCAAGGGGCAAGGCAAAGCTCGCACTCCGTATGCCTGTGACTCCTGTACCTGCACATTCGTAATTTGTAAGGGTATGCCATTTGTCGTCCTGATGCTGAAACGTGAAAAGAGAGCCTGAGATTTGAAGATGTCATTAACATCCACGTCCAGAGGCAGTGCTGCCGAGACTGCTGAAGTACGCAGGTATGCGAACGTCCCTTGGCTGGTCTGATATGTTGCTTCGAGCTTCACAGTAAGCTCATCAAGGCTTCGCTCTGTACTATAAGGTACACGAATCTTGACATGTGTCTGTAATTCCACAGCACCGAGTCGGAGCGTGCCAGCTTGTGATGTGTCAAGTTGCTTGTGATCGTTGTCAATAATTTCGGCATCTGCGGTGTGTAACCTCAATCCAGCAGAGGCAGACTTCAAACGCAGATCAACACTTTCAGCTTGGTTGCGACCTGTTGCAACTGCAACGACGATTGATCGTATTTTGTCGATGTGAATCTCTTTGGCCAGAGTTACTCGAGCTTCCAAGGAGTCTCCATGAGGATAGATCAGTAGTGAGGGGCCACTAACACTAGGTCTTCTCTCAGATGCACTAGCATTGGTGATGCCCAGTGGTGTAGTCTGTGGCTTCGGCTGGAATTCGTGTGAAAAATGCAGTTTTCTGGATTCCAGCACCAATTTGTCGACAAGGTAATGTCCATACGTTGTGACGTTCGAGTGGACCTGGATCTTCGCGACGCCTCGTTTGAGGTGTACCGGGCCATCAGTCTGTAGGATGACGTCTTGACTAGCGTCACTAATCAGTGTTAGCCGTAGTCTGACGCGATCGATGGTGAGATCCTCGTCGAGCAGATGCTTGACACGGATATTCAGACTGAACCCATCCTTGTCTGGATGATGCGTAACCTCTGGGCTAACATCGATGTTGGCGAAGAAGTCAGACATCGAAGCGGTAAAGTTGTAAGGCATTTCTTCCGAGAAATTCACAAGCTCTTCAAGGACACCAGTGACATCGACAGTATCTTCATCCAGCCAGGCGGAGGGTCCACGAACCCTGGGTACTGCTTTTGTCATACGATGCCCGATGACCTTGCCGAGCAGGCTCAGCATGACCCTCATGTACTCGTCTCGCCGGTGAAGATCCTTCAGACATTTGGCGTAAATCCTCAACATCTCACCGTGAACGTAGGACCAACTGGTCTTGAGGAAGGTTGCGGATGCTCGTTGGAAATAAGTAGCTGCCTGGGCAACATCACCAAGTTGACTGCAGAAAACGTCAGCTGAGCGGAAGACTAGCATGGCATTGGTAAAAACTTACTATTTGAGTATGGCAAGATCGCTGATGACCGAATCTGCAGATTTTGTGTGGTTTGCTATCGTGAAGTGTGATACTGCAAGCTGGCTCAATCGCTGTACCGGGGTCAGTGCCAGTTTGATCATTTCAGAGAAGATACTCGTACCTCATAGGCAGCTCTAAACTCTTCTAGAGATGCAATAGCTGCTGACAAGGGAGCACTAAGAAGCAATTTTGCTGTTTCTGCTGATGGTAGAGAAGCTTCCGGCGCATCTCCATCGACAGCAGGCGCCGCGTCTCCTGTGCCGTCAAGATCAACATTGGCCAAGGACTGCGCTGCTTTGATTGCGGCCCAGCCAGATTGCCATCCTTTTTGCTTTGCCAGAGCTTCAATAATCCTCCGCTGCGTCAGAAAGAGTTGAGCCCGACCAGATGCGAGGATCGCAACACCAGATCCACTTGTGGTGACAGTATCTGGCTGGGAGCTAGGGCTAGATTTGGCATATCGTTCATTCTCATAAATAGTTTGCGGTGTAAGTTGTGAAGAAGAAGACACACTGCGCTGTAAAGAGCTTGTCCGATTTGGATGAGTATTTGCTCCTTGAGGAAAGTTGAAATTGCCCTCTTTCTTAGATAGGACACTTGGTGTTTGGTTTTGTGATGGCAATGAGGCTCTCTCACCAGAAGAGGGAAAGTCCTTTGATGCAGTCTCACTGAGCACCTGATCGAGCACAGCATGCGTCCAAGAAGAAGCGATGTTGTCAACAAGAGATGGAATATGAGAATTGTTGTCAGACCTACACAGCTATCAACAAAAAGATCTATCTGAAACAGGACGAGGATGTAACCGTACCCTTCGGTGAGTCCGTTGCGAAGAGCACGAGCATTGGTAGCAGCAAAAAGAGCTGCCCTCTTACAGACTTCAGCAGCATAGGTCAAGTTATCGTCTTTGGGACCACCTCTGGTACTGGAAGGTCTGGCCTGTTGAAGGTTGCCACTTCCAGCGCCGAGACGAAGCAAAAGTGTTCTTTGCCTCGCGAATATGTAGAGACGAAAGTCAAAAAGGGATATAGTGCTTGAGACTATTGCACCACGATAATCCTTTTTGGTTAGATCGAGTGGCTGGTCAAACATTTCTTGAAACTGCGAAATTAGTTGCTCAAGCTTGGAAGCACCGGATTGTGCGCCGACGATCTCTTGTATAGAGTTCTTCTGATCATCAAGGTTACCCAGAAAGGTACCTTGAGCAGCTCCTGGCTCGTTATCACGAAGCGCAGAATCAAGTCCTGCGGAAAGCTCGTCATAAATTGCCAAAGCGTCCTCGACCAGACCGACACTTTCGAAGCCCCGAGCCAGACCTTCTTTGAGGGTGAAGAAGGTACAAAAGTTCCAGCCAGGGAGTGCACGCTGAGAGTCTTTTTCACGAATGTCATCCTCATACTGTGACACGCGCAAGTCGAAAGACATGAGTATCAAGGTCTTGAACTTTGCGATGAGGTCCTGCCAGGCATTTTCTTGTTCCTGCGGACTCTCAATGTAAGGTTGTGTGACAGGAGTCTGAGGTAGCAGCTGTGGTGGGACATCTTTCTTTTGTAATCTGATTTGCGCGATTCGCTCTGGACCAGATTTGGAAGAAGCGGTAAAGTCGGCGCGTATTTTGTCCAGCACAGTCCTGGTGCTCTTGCCCGGCCATTTGGTTGTGCTCGACGGCCTTTCAACCAGCTCGTCGGGCTCTTTCTTGGATGCAGCGGTCCAGCGGGGCTCGGAAGCGGCAATGGTATCAGGAATAACAACGTGTAAGATGAGCCATTCTGCAGCATCGTGGTCCTCTGATTTGTTCACGTTGGAAGAACTCTGCGAGGGTGGAGCCGTGTCCCTGAGCCAGTCACGCAGGAGCTGTCGTGATGAAGCCTTGTACGTGTCCTTGTCATCGCATCGCAGCAGATATATCCTGAGGTAGGGGGTTTGGCGCAAGCCAGGAATTTGATGTCTTCGTTCTTTGGCGACAGAGGGAGCACCAGCTCTAGAACCATAAGAGTCGACACGCTGCAGTTTGTCGCTCTCCGAGGCTTCGGTCTGGGCATCGGGGACGAATTCGACATGGAGAGCGCCGATGGACCGTAAAGGTCTCGAGGGAGATTTCCAGTTCAGGTTGCGCAAAGGTAATCTGGATGCTAGGTCACGCGAGATCAAGGGGAATATACCAGAGGGATCGTGGTACTCGACTGAGATGTAGTCAGAACATGAATGCCGTGGTGAGAGGTTACGCGACGAACCAGTAACCTTGGAGCTCAGAGTCGACTCCATGGCTTGATGCGACCAAAGTTGATGCAGCGATTATGGTATATTAGAGAAAGCCCAAGCGTCGGGGGAATGGATCATGATATTATATCAACGCATGATTTTGGTGAGAAGTCGTAGACTAGATAGAGCGGCGGAAACAGAGTCACTTCGTAGAAAGCCAATTGCAGCAACGTGCCATTGTTTGAGATGGTGGATAGGGAGGTGGGAGCTCGGAGGAACGGCGACTTGTGGCCGGCGGGCCAAGGCTTTTGTCATGGCTTGTCGCATGGTCAGCAGCGGAAGCCGGGCCAAGGTCGAAGTGCAAGTGCAAGTTGGGAAAGCGACGACGGCGAACTGTTGATTGAATCCAGTCACTCCACCACACCACACAACTCACAATGCAGTCGTCGCAGATCAGAGCCGTACGTCGACCGCATGCCAGCAATTGCGCACGACGACTAACCACTCTCTAGGCCCAGTTCGGCACCAAGTTCGAGGGCCACCACGGCATGCAGCCCTGGGTCAGCCTCCCCAACTACAAGGCCTACCAGAGCAAATACGGTCCCAAGTGAGCCACTCTGCAAGCGACTTTGCCAATCGCATCGCCATACTGACCTACCATCCAGCTACAAGATCGGCACCAACTTCCACGGCATCGACCTCCACCGCGCCAGAATCTTGTACGTCAACCGCCTCTCCTTCCGTATCCACCCTTCGCCTATCCGTACACCCTTGAAAGCACCATTCCATTATCTCGAACCGAACATCTTCGATCTTATTCCATACAGTCTGCTAACATGGCCCCTTATAGCGGTACCACCGCCGCTGGCTTCGGTGCCGTTGCTGGTATCTTCGCCCTCTTCTTCTTCGCCGACATTCCCCGTGTACGAAAGGACATTATGCAGAAGGTCCCCTTCATTGGCGACCACTTCGTCAAGGAGATCGCCCCCGAGGACAACCCCTTCTAAACGCCCAATCACTATGGTGATGCTTTCTGGAGTTGGCTGCTGTGTACATTAAATTCAATGGGGTTGCAGCATAAATTGCATGTTTTCTAGACCATCCCATCTGTCCCGTCCCCTGAAAAGCTACGATTGAAAACAAAACAACCCTTCCTTTGGATGCATTTATCATTAATTCCTTTGCGCCTATGCGATGCGCCTAGAATACATAGAATGGCTTGACATGACGTAGCCTCTAGTTGGCCTCGAGTCTGGACACAACCGATGCCATCTCTTCGTCGCCGTATATCCTGAAGCCCTTGTCCTTGGTGACGCTGGCCAACTGCACGTTCTTCGAGTCCAGCTTCTCCTCCATGACCTGCTTCAATGTCTTGAGCACCAAGACCTCGGCCTCTGCCAGCGTCAATGACTTGTGGAACTCATTCTGCAACTCGGCCTGTGCACCCTCTGATCCCGAGCCGATGGCCTTTGCGTCGTAGCGGTAGAATGTGCCTGAAGGTTCGGCGTGGTACCTAACTAGTCAGACGTATGTTTAGTGGAATAGAAGGTGATGATGCTCACAGTGATGGGCCGTTCTCGTCAAAGCCAGCAATGAGCAAGGCGACACCGAAGGGTCTGCTCATGATGCTCTCCTCTCCCTCGGCACCCTCACCGAATCTCAGGGCCAAATCGCAGATGGCCTGGGTACAGCTCTCGACGGACAGAGGTTCGGCGTAGTTGAAGGCGTGACTTTGCGAAGTAATTCTGGCATGCTCGATCATGCTACGGGCGTCGGCCTGCAGACCGGACATGGCGGCACCAATGTGTCTGTCGATCTCGACGATCTTCTCGACGGAGCTGGTTTCGAGCAGTGTTGAAGTGACGCGCTTCTCGACACCAAGGATGACACCCTCGGAGGTTGCGACCTGTTTGGGAGTTAGGGACGGATGGGCCGGTAGGATAATCCGTGATAGAACATACACCGATAGCGGTGGAACCGAGCTTGATGGCTTCGAGCGAGTACTCTACTTGGAAGAGACGGCCTTCGGGCGAGAAGGTGCTGGGACGGAATGAGTTTACTGTATGGAAGGAGAGCGAGGAGATATAGCCTACTTGATACCGCGATCTGGAACAACATGTTAGCAAGATGGCTAGACAGGTGTGCATGTTAGGACTCACCATATTCGGAGCGCGCAATGAACATGGTTGCGGGAGTTGGTGGGGAAGAGCGAGAGGTGGCGGTGAAGTGTGATTATGTGGTGGACGTAGAGCAGGGGTGGCTACTGCTTGGAGTTGTGGAGAGGGAAAGAGTAGACGTTCGGTGGACAGATGGGCGAGAGAGATGGATTGCAGACGGCGAGCTGATTGCCCTCAGGAAACAAGCAGCAGCAGTGATGCACCTGCACCGGCGCTGTTCGAGAAGCTTTGACCCGTGCGGCAGCTTTCCCGACTCGTGCAGCTGGACGCGTCTTTCAAGCAAGCAACAAGCAACCCGACGCGCTATGCACCACTCTTGATTGCTTGCTTGCTTGCTTGCAGCCATGCGAATACTGTACAATGTCAGCTGCCGACAGAAGAACGTCGGCCTCGCACCGCCAAAGAGTCCCTCGTGCTAGTGCTCAGCCAGATGTTTACTCTCAGAGAAACGCCCAGCCAGATGGTTATTCGCAACGAAACGCCCACATCCGTGTCGAATCACATCAACATGAATCTCGTTCCGCGACCGTCACTCGCGTCCGAAGCCTTCATAAGCAACCCGCCCAACCATCTCAACCCTCGAGGCCAAGGCAGTCCGATTCTGTCCCGAGAGATGTCGACCCGACTCCTGCCTGGAACCCCAAGGCCTCCCTGATTCCTCATACTTCTGCCCCGCTGGCATCTCGCATTTCCGTTCCACCGTTAGCCGCCCATGCGCCTTCTGCTCTCCAACCCGAGCCTCTGTCTTCCATGACACTCAATGCTCAAGAAACTGCCATCATTCAGGACCTGTTGTTCGTCTTTATGGGCTTCGAGGGCCAGTATGTCCGCTACACCGATGCCTACCAGCCGACCGAGGAAAAGAGCCGCCTTGCTGGTCCACAGTTCCGCGTATTACCTGGCCTAGACCCAAGTCTAAGGGACTTGACAATATCAATGTTGAGCATGGCTACACATTACGCTGCTGTCGAGGCTTTCGTCGAGGTTCAGAGCAGGGAAGAATTCGGCGCCGTCAATCATGCTCTATGCGCCGCCATGAGGAAACTACTCAAGGACTACCTGATCCTCATCGCCCAACTGGAACATCAAATGCTGACCAATCAATCTTTCACCCTTCACGTCCTGAACCTCCACACCAAACCCACTAGCCACATGATGTTTCAGCTGTACAGCCTAGCCCATGAGATATTGAAAGAGAACTCCATGCTTGAGGAGGATGACGATGATCTGGACGAATCTGATGATTTCGAGAACATCCTAGAGTCTTTGCGAGAAGGCCGAGATGCTGGTAATGTCGGCAGAAAAGTGTGCAAAGGAGGCAGTGTGTTACGCTTAATCACCAAACGCCTGGCTACCATGTCTGGCGATCCTGCCGCTCGTACTCTGCTTACCACTTTATTGCGGGAATCCTCCAGGCCCTATATGGCCATGTTGAATGAATGGCTTCATCACGGCAATGTTCGAGATCCGCATTCTGAATTTCTTATCAAGGAGCAAAAGAGCATTCGCAGAGAAGGACTGGAGCAAGACTACACCGACGAGTACTGGGAAAAGCGTTACACCATCCGTCATGAAGATGTACCCCCGCAACTGGAATCTGTCAAGGACAAGGTGCTGCTGGCTGGCAAATATTTGAATGTTGTTCGAGAGTGTGGTGGTGTTGATGTATCAAGAGACATGGACGATCAAGTCCCTCACACCTTTGATGATGTTCGTTTTCTGGATAACGCCAACTCTGCTTACGCTTTCGCCAATTCTTCGCTCCTCACTCTGCTCCTCACAACGCATGCTCTGCCTGCACGCCTTCGCAGCTTAAAGCATTACTTCTTCTTGGATCGTTCCGATTTCTTCTCTTATTTTCTCGAACTTGGTCACTCAGAGCTTAAGAAGCCTGCTAAATCTGTTAATATCGGAAAGCTGCAATCGCTTCTTGACATCGTGTTGCGACAACCTGGAAGTGTTGCAGCCGAGGATCCCTTCAAGGAAGATGTCAAGGTTGTCATGAATGAGGTCGGCCTGACCGGATGGTTGATGCAGGTCGTCAACGTCAAGGGTCTAGATGCCGACGGTGGAAGCATCACATCATACACACCAGCAGCCAGTGTAATTGGAGACGACAAAGACATTAGTGGTTTCGACGCTCTTACATTCGACTATGCTGTTCCATTCCCTCTCTCGCTGGTCGTTTCGAGAGTAACTCTGACAAGATACCAACTGCTCTTCCGCTACATCTTGTCGTTACGTCACCTTGAGCAGCTGCTAGTAAGCTCATGGGTCGACCATTCAAAAGTCACAAGTTGGCGTCACAAGAGCTCTGATCGGCGCATTGAAGACTGGAAACGTAGGGCGTGGTGCTTACGAAGCCGTATGCTTTGTTTCGTGCAGCAGTTGCTATACTTCTGCACAAACGAAGTGATCGAACCAAATTGGACGGCGTTCATGACTCGACTGAGCGAGGCTGAAGCGCCGGAAAGTGTGGCCGAGGGCGGAAAGGTCAAACGAACCGTTGACGAATTGATGCAAGATCATGTCGACTTTTTGGCTACATGTCTCAAAGAGTGCATGCTGACCAACTCGAAGCTCCTCAGGGTATGTTGTGAATAATCTCATGAACAGTACGTCGCTGACACCTAGACAGATCAACTCCAAAGTTATGGCAACTTGCACGATGTTCGCCAATTATACTGCATCTCTATCTAGAGGTCTTGCCACAAGCGATCCAGATCTTGCTAAGACCGAGGCTGGGAAGCCTGAGCACGATAGCCATAGGCTCGAAAAACTCGATGACATGCTCAAACGCTTCGAGGACAGCTTCACCAGGCACCTTAAGATTCTGCTGGACGCGCTGAATTACCTCGCCGCTACGGAGACCGTGGTCTTCCTTGGACTATGTGCCAGACTCAGCATGGCTAATGAGAACATACCCGGCCCTGTTTCCTCGGCACCGCCTTATGGCTGAAATAAGTAGGGGAGTAAAACAGACGTATGTTATTTGGGTATCATGCTACGAAAACAAGCTTCTCGATGAAAGAGAAGGTGAAGCTAAAAAGAAATGCTTTTCGACGTAAAGCGAGCAATTCCTCCCCAATCAGCGTCTCCTGGGGTCTCTGCTCGCGTCGATGTTTGGATTCGAGTACGGGAACGGGAACATCTGTGCAGCAGAAGATGTGGGCAGAGGAGCAGGAGTAGGTTTAGTCATCATTGGTGCAGTAGGTGCCACACCTGTCCTCCTCACCCCTTCCATAACTGCCGCAGGAGCGCCCATTGGCGCAACAGGAGCCATGCCAGTGCTTTCTCTACGAGCACCAGCCGTCGTGGCAGGCGAAGATGCTGCAGACCCATCGTACTTTCTCAGAGTCTCGTTGAGAAACTGTCTCTGTTGGGCAGCACGGGTATTGTACTCTTTGCATCTGCGCAGTGAGTCCGAGGCAGCGAGCACTTCTGGAGTCGTCTGTTCGGTTATCTCTGGGCGTGTCTTGTTGGCCTCTATGGCATCGGGTGCGAATGTTGCGCTGAACATTCTATTTCTGCAGAAGAAGAAACATAGACTTAGCTCAATTGCACAAAAACACTCGAAACATCATTGGAAGGTCTTTGTTTACCTGACTTCTCTGTCGTGTGCATCTGAATTTGATATCATTGCTTTCAGGCGTGCTTCTCTGCCGTCCAGACGAGGTGTGCCAGGGTTGAAGTTTGTAATTGGCAGCAGCACTGCTCTTGCCATGATCTGACAAGAATCATCAGTAACTTGTAGACTGTTTGTGGTGAATTGTTTTTAAACGTACCGTGTCACGCTCTTTTCTTGGAGGATCGGCCATTTTTGCTTGGTGCTGGGGATGTTGGCTGGTTGTCTCAACGGCCTTCCCCAGATGCGCACGACTTCAGCGACGGACGAGATGAGGAAGCGTGATGATTGTCATCAGCGCCAGGGTTTTTGAGATGGAAGGCTGAATCTCTAGATGCTTGGGGAAGGCGATGACCATGGAAGGAGAGGCGCGATGGACAAATCTAGAATATTGATCACGTGATTCGGGTATCAATACTACCTACTCAACTCGACCGTTCGGCGTGATCACCTCTGCACGGAGTCGGAAGTGAGATTCCAGTTCGCTGGCGCATCTGGCATAAATTCACACGGTACGTGATAGTGGCCGGAACGCAGTACCTTTTACGAGTTGACTTCCGAAACAGTGCATGATTTTAGTTTGCCTATGGCAGTGATACAAAACTACTTTCTTTCCCTAGCAATTCCATTGACTCCTGTACCCTCCATTCCCATCCTAATAGTCCTGTGAGGTATTCCTGTAGACTGTTCTCATAATTATCCGAACGCCTGATAATTTCATTGTCCCATTTCGTGACTGAGTGAAGCTGTCTTTTACGAGGAGGTTCCAGCGATAGAAACGACTTGATCCTCTTCAACGATGGCGTTGTACTTCTCACCCAAGGCCTTGACGCTTTGGACGACTTTAGTAGAAGCAGTGGCAGCGAAGCCCTTGATGAGTGTCTTGTACTCGTGGGTGATGACACCGCCCTGGCGTTGGTTAGTCTGGCTTTCTATCACAATAGGGAAACACAGTATCTACAGCTTCCTTGATGGCATCCATTGCGTGCTCGATGACAGAGTAGGGAGTATCTTTGGGGTAGCTGACGATCACCTGCTTCTGCTCGGTGGCAGCGTAGGCCAAGGCCACGAGGAGAGCGATGAGGAGGAGATGGATGTTGAACTTCATGTTGGTTGATTGATTTATGATTATTGGTAGAGGCAGTAAACTATTGCTGAAAGTGCTGAAAGTGAGGGACCTGGGGTACCTTATGTCTCTGAATGCAGCTGCCTGTTGTCATGGACCGCGGAGTCCAGCCAAGCCATATGACGCTGAGCTTTGAGAGTTTCGGCTTGCCAAGACCCGAGACTAAGAGAAGCCAGACGCAGCGCGCTTTGAATCGCGCATCAGTGAGCAACGACGGACGTCTCACTCTCCTCTGACACGCTAACATCTTCATCACACGCTCGAGGATCTCTCCCACTGAGGTTCTTGTCCAACTCGCAATCACGCTTATATCGAATTCCGCATCTCACCGAACGCACGCGACTGGCCGACCAACCGCCGTGCTCTCCGTGGTCTACCGCTAACCTCTTGTGCTTCATCGCCCGTCCGCAAAGAGAAAACAAAGAACACAATCAGAAGAAAGAAGCACAAATATCATACCTTCCCACTTTCTGCCGCACATTGTGAGCACAAGCAGAAAAAACAAGGCTTTGGGGTGAAAGTGGAGGATTCTTCACAGCATTTGCGCAGAAGATCGAGAATCGGCCTTCACACATCTATTGAGAGCAGCGGGCTGCTTATTGTGGGCGGGAAGAGACAATAGCTAGTATTGATCCATCACACTCTTCTGATTTCACGCCTCTTGGTGAAGCAAGTCTCGCTTGCTACTTGCCATCTACTCACCTCTTGTGGTTGTTCAATCCGACCAAAAAGGGCCTGCATCTCTTTTCTCTTCCGTCTGCGGACCGGATAGCGCGTTGACTGTCTCTTTCTTGAGCCACTTTCGAAGGAAGCTATCCGTGACTCGTAGTCTGCTTTTTCTGCTTTTCCATCTACTACTGAAAATCAATATCTTGCCTTGAAGAATCATGTCTGCTGCCGACCAAGTCTCGGACGAAGTCGCCCTGGACTTTCAGGAATCGCTGCAAGACCTTCAGAACAACAACAGATATGAAATTAGCAACTTGACTATCATCGCCAAGGAGAATACCGAACATGCCCAAGCTATAGCTATGGTTTTGGAAAAGCACATCAAGACGGTGAGATCCAGCAACGCCGAGATTTCTTCTTACTTTCGACTTTTACAGAAAGAATTGGCGCCCCCACGAAACAAATTGACTGACCCGAATACAGACTGCCCCTGGACGCAAGCTACCTGCACTTTATGTACTCGATTCTATCGTGAAGAATGTTGGCACACCATACACGGTCTACCTTGGAAGGAACCTCTTCTCTACCTTTATGGACTCATACACTCTTGTAGATAGCCATACAAGGAAAAGCATGGAAGCTATGTTGAAGACTTGGAAGGAGCCAGTGCCTGGATCCATGGACCCTCGACCGGTCTTTCCTGCAGATGTCACCCGCACCATCGAGAATGCGCTTATCAAGGCAAGAACGGCCGCGGTGCAACTCCAAACCAGAAATCGCACTCCTCTCGGAATTCCAGGAAGGCCCATGTCATCGGCATACAGAAACACACCTACTCCGCCACACAACGCTGGTCAATTCCTTCCCCCTCCGCAAGACGCCTATCAAAATGGATTCCGCAGTCAACAGGTATTTCATAGCAACAACTCATCGTATTTATCAAACATGACTGACATATTCAAGCCCACGCCTCAGCAGTTTCCTTCAAACCAGCTGCCTCCTGACATCGCGCGCTCGATATCGGCCGCACTCAATCCGCAAGATGATCTGAACAAGCTGAAAGCCGACATTCATGGCTTGATCGCTGGCTTCCAAACAGAGTTTGCTCGCAACCCATACGACTCACAGGTACAGACTAAGCTCAAGGCTCTTCTTGATCTCCAGGCTGTCGTACAGACACAGCAGCTCAACCCTGACGCAATTGGCATGATCAAGAAGCAAGTGGCACAACTGCAAGCCGTTCAATCACAACCTCTCCCACCTCCTTCCGCTACGCCTCAACAACCGCAGTGGCAAGCTCCGACTCCTGTTGGTCTCCCCTTCCCGCCTCCGCCACCCATTCCTCATGGCTTCGCACCTACCCCGTCAGCTCAGCCACCTGTCGCCCCTCCAGCCTTTGCACCAGGTATCCTTGAGCAGTTGCTAGCATCCACTGCCAATGGTCAGAAGCCCAGCACACCTGTGGTCCAGGCCGCCTTGAACTCAATGCCACCCCCACCCACCACACAATCACCACGGACGGCTGCCGTAACCCCTGCTGGTCCGACTGGCAACCCTCTTCTCGATGCTCTCCGTGCTGCCAATATCCTCCCTGCATCCAATAATGCTACTCCTACACCTGGATTGGCCCCTCCTGTTCCTCCACCAGCAGCTCCTGCCCCCGCTCTTTCTATCCTTCAACAACTCCAAGGTCTTGCACCGAAGCTGCCTACGCCTTTACCACCTCCGGGCACTCCAGCCAAGGTCCGCATTCCTTTGAATGCTGCAGCACTGAAGAGGTATGTCTACATTTAGAAATGTTCATGACTTGTCTAACTTTATCTACAGCTTCCGCCCAGAGGTCGTCCACACGCTGTACGACGCGCAACCAAACCAATGCACTACGTGCGGTCGCCGCTTCTTGTCCACTGACGAGGGTCGCGCTCAAAAGGCCCGCCATCTCGACTGGCACTTCCGCAGCAACCAGCGTATCGCTGACGCAGCCCTTGCTGCCGGCCTAACCCGCAGCTGGTACATCGATGAGATAGAATGGATTCGCCTGCGCGAAGTCGACGCTTCCTCAGCTGCTGCCGACACAAACTCCACCAGCACAACTACCGCCAAACCCATCAGCGTACGCGAAAAGTACATCCCTGCACCTACTGGAGCAGCAGCCAACGCCACCTGCCCAATCTGTCAAGAAAAGTTCGAGCCTGTCTGGCACGATGAAGCTCAAGAATGGGTCTGGATGGATGCCGTCAAGGTCGGCGGTCGCGTGTTCCACGCTTCTTGCCACGATGAGGTCAAGAGAGCTGGTGGTGGTGATAGGGGTAGAAGTACTACTCCTGAGGCTGCAGGCGTGCTCGGGAAGCGAAAGGCCGAGGCTGATCTGGCCAACCTGAAGACGAAGTTGAAGAGAGAAGTTGCTGCATAAGGGAATGGAGCTTTATAGATCTGGTTTTGCTTGTAGCGTGGAAGCATATGCATACATTCTTTCGTCATCAACTTACTTGTCATCGTCACCCGCTCCTATGATATGTCACTGTCATTTTTGTTGTAGTATTCAGGATTCTATAGGACAACTTCAGCTTAAAAGATGCCGTAAAGATGCACGATCTTTTTTTGAGCTCGAGTGCGTTGGCAAGTGAGATGGGTGTTCAAGGAGGCTCTCTAAGGAGTAGTTGCAGAAATCAAACAAAATTGTGCATTTTGACATTCAAGTTCGTCAAGACTTTGTCAACAGGAGCAGCAGATAGCTGCGCGCCCCTGTGTTACTCCCTGCGGACTGTTTCTTGTCTCCAAGCATTTCTCCAGCTTATCAAAATGCAGATCGATTTCCTGCGTCTAGTAATTGTCCACTGAGAGCAGATGTTGATGATATCCCTTTTGGACTTTTCGTGTTCTTGAGTGCTGTTGACATGTATGTCGGAATACAGGATGCGGGTTCAAGATATGGGTTCAAGACATGCATTTGACTCAAGTTTTCAAGCTACAGTCCCAATAATTGGAGCTGAGGCTGTGTATCTGGCTTTGGTTGTGTCAGAAACGGATACTGGAGGATGCTCTGGTCATCGATGTGTGGTCCGAAATCATGGGCATCAAAGATTTCAGTATACAAGGCCGAAGTGAATGCGCAGTAGTAGAGCTTGAGATATGAGACAGTTCTTTTGCACAGGAATTTTGATTCTGGACAGTGACAGGAAGGAACGTGATCAACAGAATGCAACGCTGATAGCTCCTGCCATTGCAAAAAACCCCATCATTCACCTACGCTCTCCATCAATAAATGAAACCCGTGAAAGACATTCACTGTCCTTCAGTTCTCTCCTCAGAGGGCATGTAGTACTTGTCACTTCATTTGCAACGAGATCAGAAGAGAGCATTAGACATTCGATCGGCAACAGAGGATGGAAGTAACGGTAGCATCTGTTGTCACACCTCACTCGGAGCACGAGGAGTCATTCTCACTTGGTGTGTGGATGTATGTAAGGTCTCTCAAGGCTCCATCAACATCCTCTCCTCTACATCAACATCAACCCACACGGTCTTTGCTCGACCAAAGTGGGTTCGCAAGCAACATCTGCTTTCTGTCATCACCACTAATAATTTTCACAGGATGACAGACCTACCAACGTTGATCAAGCAAAGCAGAGATCTTGAGAGAAAGATCAAGAAGATCAAAACTCGCAATGCCAACAGAGATCTAATCGACAAACGCAAGACCCTCGAAGCCCAGATTGATCAGCAGACCGAAAAACTCAACGATATCAATGGCAACATCGAGTCCTCCCAAAAGCAGATGCTGGATGTGTGCGATGAACTCGGAGAAGCTGCACGTCAAGTCAAAAGGCTTTCCAAGTACGACAGGTCGGACCTCGAAGTTGTTCTGGTAAGGAAGATCGTGGACTCCTGTATTCACGGATGTACGCTGATTTTGTAGAAACTCTTGGATGAGAAGGATGAAAAGAAATCCTTTACCGAGTTCAAAAAACTACGCAGAGCAAGAAAACAAGTCATGAGATGGAGAAAATGCTGGACGACTTCAACAAGAAGGTTCAAACGTACCGCAGTCTAACACCCTCCAACGGCTGGATTCTGCACCTCCTGGCCGAAACAATCTTCCTACAGAGTCAGGATAAGTTTGGCTGGCAGGTTGATCTACCACCTACTTTCGAGAACGACAAAGCGGTAGAGATCTTCCAGAGCAAAGTGGCCGAGAAACTGGAGGATATGAAGAAGGCCAAGAAACAGTCTCATCAGCTCACCTAAGAAGAATTTTCTAGACCCATTAACTCTCTCCAACTTTTGAACAATTGAAACACTCTTCCCCCAACACTCTGAGCCATACTAGCATTCCATTCGAGTGAAGTAGCATGGCTTTAAGCGTTAGAACAATGACCATAAGTGAGTCAATCGTAATCTTCGATATATTGGCTTAACAAAATGTCTTTGCCAATGTCGTATAGGATAAGCTGTTATGGTCCAGATGTTCTGCTGGGACGGGTCTGCACATCAATCATGTTTATAGTGTGACAACATAAGCCATTTTCGAAAACGGAAAGAGTTTTCGATAATTAATCACTTTTGTCATTCTCCATCGAGAAGATCTTTCGTTTTCCTCCAGACAGGCTAATGTGTTCCGCCCTATAGCATGTTTGTTGTCTAAATACCAATCAATCTAAAGACATTTCTAGGAAGGTCGTTAGCTTTACCATTTATCAAAGCCTAGGATAACTTAACATTGTCTCGAAGGCCGATAAGCCTGCCTTGTAAACCAGTAAAGTCACGGGTAGTGGCAATTCGTGAATATGTGCCTAGAACAAGAATCGTACGTGAGTAAGATGTTGACGAGACAACAAGAGTACAATTGGAAAACAAGAAAATATATCAATTTTACTACAAGTACATGCTGTTGTTTACAAGGATGAGAATGGTGAGAACAGAAATGGTAGGAACCCACACCTGGGTTCCCAATGCGATGCTTTTCGAGTTTCCTTCAAGCCTCGAGCCAGGAGGCTGTCAAAGGAGTCGTCCATCACAGATGGATCATGATTGTTGAAGTGGGAGCAGCGTAAAGCTCTTGAAAAGGTCAACCAAGGTACCGATTATACTCTTTCCGAGTCGACGGCGTGACCACTGGGGCCAATCGAGGTGTCTGTAAAAGAAATAATTAGCTTGGGTGAGGATCAAGAAACAACAGAAAAGAGACTTACAATCAGCTGTGACGAAGCAACGGTCAACCTCAGTCAATCCCTCGCAGGTGTACTGAATTGTCTCGGCAATGTCGTGAGTGGATGTCAACTTTGACTGTTCACTCAGAATGATGTCGATCTCAACCCAGATGCCATCGCCAGCGTGGTAACTGGTGATGCTCTTGAAACCCTCAACGACAGGCGAGAAACGGTAACAGAGGTATAGCAGCTTCTTCTGCAACTGGTCATCGGCTGCCTGGCCAGAGAGTCTGGTGATGTTCTCGAAGCAGGTGCCTGCCCAGTCGTAGATGATGAAGAGGGAAAGAAGACCGGCACCTGCGGGGTCCAGCCACCATAGGTCTGCCTTGTAGCCAATGAAGGGGAAGAGCAGGGACAATGTGTTGAAGACGACATCAGTCTTGCAGTCCTGTGCCAGAGCTTGGACTTGCGTTGTCTTGATGCGGACGCAGCCCAAGCCGATGATGCCCTTGATGATGATGGTACCAGCCATGGCGCCGATGGCGATAGCAGGAAGTTCCTTGGCCTTGTGTGGAGCGTCAGGCATCAATTTTGTAACCGACTCCTGCAGAATTTGGAGGAAGGAAATGACCATGATGATTGAGAACACGAGGATACCGAGCGGTTCGAGTCTTCGTCTGCCGACCGGGAACTTCTTGTTAAGAGCTTTGAGGCGCCATTGGACCAGTCTGTTTGTGCTCCAGACAATGAGGGTGCACAACAGATCTAAAGCGGAATCGACGAGCGAGGCGATCAGAGAGAGCGAGGATGAGTAGAAGGCGGCAGCAAGCTTAGCAATCAGGAGGATGATGTTGGCGATGACGTTGATGTTGATGGCCCACTTGGCCTTCTTCTCTGCCTTTTGTCTGCTCTCCTTGACATCGTCAGGTAGGAACTCCCAAATGTTTCCTCCAGCGCCCTGGAGTCCACCAGTGCGTTCGATGTGACCGTCGCCATCCGCATCTGGATTGAACGAATCCAAGACATCATCGGCCAATGCCTTGACCAAAGCATCCACTTCGGCCCAGTCATCCAAGCGATTGTTCTGGTCCTCGTAAAACTTTTTGACCTTCTTGTTCTTGATCTCCTTCAGCTCGTCCTCAGACTTGCGGAACTTTTCAATGTCCACATCTTCGACACCAGCCAGGATCTTCTTCTTGAGAGCTTCTCTTCTGCTGTCGTGCAGAGCGGTGTGAGCAGCATCTCTGAAGCGGAACATGTTGGGCTTGTTCCTGCCATTCAAACCGCTCTCGAGGTCGCTCTTGCCACGCTTGGCTGCATCCGGGCGGGTACGGCCATTCGTCTTGTCGTCGGCCAGGGACGCGACGTTTCTTCTGCCAACCATCTTCGAGATGAATTGTTATTCTTGGCTATGTAGATTGGAGTGCCAATGGGTTTTCGTTGCTGTTGACCTGTTGACGACTGGTGTCGAATATGACGTGGGCCGAGTCGATGGGAGATCGATTCCGGGGAGCGTTGATCTGGGGTGCGATCTTGTATTTCGTGCTACCACCTTGTCGCCTTGTCCTGTCGGGCTTGAGAATGCTTGGGGACAAATGCAGGAGGCTTCAACTGTGTATATAAACAGACATGGCTCCAGTTTGAGCAATTCAAGGACAACGAGCTCCACTCGTGGACCCAAAACCGGTTCCGCGTATCCAGGTTTGGCCGCATGACGTCTCCAGCTATTGTTCAGTGCTCGATGCTCGGTGCTCGGTGCTTCGTCCGCCCACTCATGACGACGACGATGATGCCTCGTAGTTGGGGAATAAACGCTCCAAGAACGAGATATACACTCCGAGGAGCCTGTCGTGCATCTCTAGCTTGTCGTAAAACCAGGAACAATCATGACCAGCGTGTATTCTGCCGCGAGTGCTGTCAGCTTTGACGAGCTGCTTGCTCACCTGAAGTCACTCCCCGTGCCGCTCCTTCCGCCAGCAAAAGCCATCGATCCGACTCTAAGCGACAAAATAGCTTCTCTATATTTGCATCCAGCACTTGAAGCCCTGCTACATTTACTCAACCATGACCTACCCTCCGCTCATTTCCTTGTGCGACATATGCAGTCCGATCCTGCATTCGAGGCCATGTATCTTCATGGCATTCTTCATCGTATAGAAGGGGACTTCAACAACACCAGAGCCTGGTACTACGACGTTGCTGAATCTGAGCCATTCGAGTTGGTTTGGGGAAAAGCCACAGAGGATGAGAAGGCTGCTGTTGAGAAGAAAAAGGAAGAAGGCGAAAACAAAATGCCGCCCCAGAAATCTGCTCGAGACTTCGTAGACAGCCTCGAAAAGCTGTCCAAGGGTCAAGGCGATAAGCAAGCTCTCGGGAAGGAGAGCAGGAGAGAGTTCGACACTGTCCTCGATTGGTGCATCAAGAAGTTTGGGACCGGAAAGCACACAGATGCCTCGAAGGCATGGGTCCAACCAAGTCAAGAAATCAGCGAGAAGGGCCAAAGCATGGTTACTGGCAACGATGGTTTTAGGAAGTTCTAGTCATGTAGTATGCAAAAGCTTGAGAACGGTATCAGATTAGTAATTTCAGAGTATGTCATTCTGATGCATCGTCACCAGAACCGAGTGTATGGGAGACTCCAGAGTACGGTGTGCTCACTAACCGAGCTTGACCGTCACAGATGAAAGCTTGGTCTTGAAGTGGTCGCTGTGGTTATGAGTTTATGTTCTGACTGTCACGGTTCTGAATGTCACAATATAAGAACGTATTAGAACTTAAAATAGTGTCTTGAAAACAATTGAACTTTCGCTGCTACGCTTGAAGGGGGGCGCATAATTGGGACACAGAGGAAATAGCAGTTCTTAGTACACACTCTTTGGTATAATCTCCATTCACCTTCTTCCGCCAAAAACGACCCCCTCCTTTTTACAATGTCATCTTTTGATATTCGTCGCGGATATGGTTTTGGAATTTCCCAAAAGAGCTTCTCGTCATTCTCCATCAAGAAGAACTCTAGTTCTTCTCAAGGTCTGCGAGGATCTTCTCACCCTTGGCTCTTGCTGACTCGAGGTCACCAACCATGTAGAAGGCACCTTCGGGAAGGTCATCGGCCTCACCGGCCATGATGGCCTTGAAAGACTTGATGGTGTCCTTGAGGTCGACGAGCTTACCCTCGATACCAGTGAAGACCTGGGCGACGGTGAAGGGCTGCGACAGGAAACGCTGGAGCTTACGGGCACGCTCGACGGTAAGCTTGTCAGCCTCAGACAACTCGTCCATACCAAGAATGGCGATGATGTCCTGGAGCGACTTGTACTCCTGGAGCATCTGCTGGACCTTGGAGGCGGTGTCGTAGTGCTCCTGACCGACGATACGGGGGTCGAGCATACGAGACTTGGAATCCAGGGGGTCGACAGCGGGGTAGATACCCAACTCGGAGATACCACGAGACAAGACAGTGGTGGCGTCCAAATGGGCGAAGGTGGTGGCGGGAGCAGGGTCAGTCAAATCATCAGCGGGGACGTAGACAGCCTGGACCGAGGTAATGGAACCCTTCTGGGTGGTGGTAATACGCTCTTGCATACCACCCATGTCGACGGCGAGGGTGGGCTGGTAACCGACGGCAGAGGGGATACGACCAAGAAGGGCAGACACCTCGGAACCGGCCTGGGTGAAACGGAAAATGTTGTCAATGAAGAGAAGCACTAAAAGGTAGGTTAGTCAAAAGCGCTCGTAGTTTAGCAGTTCATTCAAGCAAACTCACCATCCTGACCCTCCTCGTCACGGAAGTACTCGGCGACGGTAAGACCAGTAAGAGCGACACGGGCACGGGCACCTGGGGGCTCGTTCATCTGACCGAAGACGAGAGCGACCTTGGACTCGCCGTCGAGCTGAATGACACCGGTCTCCTGCATTTCGTGGTACAAATCGTTACCCTCACGAGTACGCTCACCGACACCAGTGAAGACTGAGTAACCACCGTGAGCCTTGGCGATGTTGTTCTGTGGCAATTGTCAGTAAACACGAATTGGACAAGCAGCGGCACAGAAACATACGATGAGCTCCTGAATGAAGACAGTCTTGCCGACACCGGCACCACCGAAAAGACCAATCTTACCACCACGGGCGTAGGGGGCGAGAAGGTCGACAACCTTGATACCGGTGACAAGAATCTCGGCAGAGGTGGACTGGTCAACGAACTCGGGGGCTTCGGCGTGAATGGGGGCGAGCTTGGTGCCCTTGATGGGACCACGCTCGTCAATGGGGTCACCAGTGACGTTCATGATGCGACCGAGACAGCCGGGACCGACGGGAATCATGATGGGGGCGCCAGTGTCGACGACCTTGCGGCCACGGACGAGACCCTCAGTACCGTCCATGGCAATGCAACGGACGACATTCTCACCCAAATGTTGCTAGAGCTTGTTAGATGATGCTTGTGGGTTGCAGGGGTATTGCGGCGAAGCTTACGGCGACCTCGAGAACGAGCTTCTGGCCACCGTTCTCGGTGGTAACGGCGTTGAGAATGGCGGGCAGCTGCTCACCGTCGAACTTGACTGTGAAGAAGCATCAGTATGGGTGCTCTGGAGGCGACTACGACATGCGGTCGGCGACAATGGCGCGGCGGCAGTGGCGCTTGTGCTTCGGCGTCGTGGGGAAAAGGTTTTCTCATACCGTCGACGACGGCACCAATGACCTGGTGGACTCTGCCATCGGTGTTCGAGGCAGTGCTGGCGAAGCGCTGGCTAAGGGCGGGAGCGAATGAAGGCTTGATGGGCTGGAAGGCGCGCTGCAGAGTAGCAGGGCGACGGGCAGAGGCCCTCAACGACCTGGCAATGCCGCTGTGAAGCGCAGTCGGGTCAGTCGGACTGGTCTCGCGAAAGTTGGTGGCGACAGCTTGGAGCGTACCTGCTGAGCATTTTGACGGGTCTCGGGAAGGAATTGATGGGAGTGGAGAGGTGATGGAGATGGAGGTCGGTCTGCTGGGAGGTTGAAGTTCGAAGAGCCACCTCAAGTTCTTGCCGGGCGGGAAAGGACCGAGCTCGAGATTCCGTGACTTTGCAACTTGGCCACAAACAGGCGAGTCCTGCACACAAACTCTCACCGCCCGAGGGGTTTGACCTGCTGCACCATCTCACAGCTTCTTCACTTGATTCTACAGCTTTATGTGTTGTCTATATACTCGAGCCACAGGCAATTGGAGTCGTACCTGCCTCTTCCACGCAGCCTGCTCATTTCTGCGTCGAAAAGTGGCCAGCACTTCTGACCTCCAGATCGCGGCTAAACCAAACCCTTTTGGGAAACTCTCCCGATTTGTTCCTTCCTGTGCTGCGAGACCGGTCTTTGTGTCTATCAAAACATTCGATGCGCCTGCCTTTGATGGGCATTTTCACTCGCGCCTTCCCTCGCCCTCCTACTTCTCAAACATCAGTCGCCTTTGATCGACCATAAACACATCCAGTGGCACACAGGATTCACCCCCTCTTGAATATCTAAATTGGCCTTCCGGCGCACTCATGCTCCTCCGCGTCCGCGCTCATATCTTCTAAGCAAGTCGCTACGCACCCACCACAGAAGCTGCAACATACCTCGACAACTTTGTCACTCCCAAGGCTTTCAGCAAAGGAACGATACCAAAACAACTCTTCCAGAAAGACCGTGCCGTTGCGCACTACATACAATCAGTCGAACCACTTGAGGATGGTTGTTCTCAAGCCATACGTCCCACACCCCGGTGGTATCAGCGTGGACGAGATGCATATCTGCGTCCGAATCTACATGACGGACTGATATCGCAGCAAGCCGCACAATACCTCTGTTCCTTCCAACAAGGAATATTGGGACGTGCTTTGTCTCCGAAAGAGCTGGCCAGGAACGTCTTTGACTCCCTCTGGTGTCAAAGGAGCTAGAACAATGAGACAAAGGCTATTGTTGTGATCTGAGATCGCTGTATAAAAATAGAGGTACATGTGCCAGAGTCTCATCGTTGCGACAAGACATCATCAGGCACCAACAGCACAGGTAAGATCACTACTAACTTATATACTAGCAACACAGAACGAACATAATGCCTTGGGGTATCACAGCTGAAGACATGGCGCGGTTGGCTGCCATCGACACGTCTAATCCGCCTCTACAGCCACTTCCTCAAATTTCTCGCTCGGTCGATAAGGAGACATGGCATACCGATTTCACTCGATGGGCCGAAACCTGTCAAGATCTCGTCGATACTCTTCACGCCAGAGAGCTCAGGCACATCATCGAGGCGGCAAGCCCGAACAATATCGATCACCGTCTTGACATGCTTGCCAGGATCTATCAGCACGTCGACTCTAACCAGGCAACCATCGAGGCTCTTACAGACATGATTGAGGTTTTGGAGACCGAGATCGGATATCTGGAAGAGCACATTGGTAAGTCCATTTCCGAGTTCGTCTTTTCATCCCCCAAACTTGTCGACGAGTACATAACGCTGGAGAGACATGCACGCAATACTACGTCGTCAGCGGCTCATATAGCCGCGATCATGACCTGGTATCACGACTGGCCCGCCGGCTTCGCCTTCTTGCTGCGCATCCACGCTGTTCACATCCGCAGAGTCGATAATCTCAAATCGAAACGTGACCTCATTTCCTCTGGCTGTCTCGACTTCAAGCAATTCCCTAAAGTTTGGTCTGTCCTGCTCTGGGACGACAATGTCTGGCCACATGGCTACGGCTATGAACGCAACCCGAAGTCATGCGGTCTCGCTGACTTTCGCCCACCCAGACTAACCAAGGCCACTTCTGATCAGGCTCTTCAAAATGTTCGATCCTCTGCCATCATCCGCTCCGAGCGTCGTTATTCGGCTCTTGCCCGTCTTGCTATCGGTAGGGCAGGTATCAGCGACTTTCTCGCTCCTAGTTACGTCGACACTTGGTATCACAGTTTCCGCAGGTGGCTGGACCACACTGTACCTCTATTGATTCAATCTGACTCTGCATACGCACAGAGATGGATCGATGTTGGTAAAGATCTTGAAGTGATGCATCATCGCTGGACTGCTGAAGCTGAATACCAAGGTCCGCGTGTCTTGACCACTAAGCATGCCTGCTTCTACTTGTCAAAGGACAAACGTATACTCCGCGAGTTTGGAGAGTTCAACCTTCCCGTCAACCACACTCCCCTCTGTGTTGAGATTGATTGAAGGAGAGGTGAGTTCGTGCTTGTGATTTGTGTTCTGTTGTCCTATTTACTCCGTATCTTTCTTTTTGTCGTAAGGCCTGATGTTGTCTATAATCTTGTTCTCGAATCCAAATTTTCGCTTCTGAAGTACCCGCCACTCCTCTATATTTTTCACCATTATGTGTTCCCAGTAGTCCCTCAGTGTAGTGTTTCATGGTAACCCGCGTGGATTACATGGCGAAAACCGTCCAAATGCATTATCGCCAATGAAATCCTTCAGGTAAGCACAAACGCACCAAGAACTCCTCGAACATATCCAGCAAGCCTCAGAGAACACACCGACTCACCTAAATAGCATTGACGAAGCACACCGTCGCCGACGTAACACTCCAAGGTGAGCGACAGGGTGACACCCTCACCATCCCTATCAGCCTTTCTCACACGGCCTTAACGCCACCAGCAAAAAGAAAAAAAATGCAGCCATCATTAATGAAGCTTATCTCATTAATCAGACGCTCTGCCAATTACACATCACGTGAGCCTGTAATTTCTACAGGTCAGCTTTTAACCTTTTTTTAGCGTGCACAGTCCGGACTTAGTAGCAAAAGGTAGGAAAACACGCTTGCTTATTAGCAGAGCGTCTAAGAGTTTATTATACCCTCCCTACTAAGTAAGTCGTTAACTCGACGCGATTTTAACTACTCTAAGAGGTATACTAGTCTACTACGTACGTTTGCACATTAGCTTTTTAAACCTATAGATTCTACAGACCGAGAACTTTCATTAAATATATATTTTAGATAACGGTAAATGGTGCGCCGCACTTAAAACCTAATATAGAGATATGCGTTTAGCTAGTACGCGTCCTACCAAAATTTCTCGACTACTATCTCTTACCCCTTCGCTAGCCTATAGAATCTATAGGTTAAAAATNTAGTCGCGCGTTAGGGGAGATCTTAGGGTAGTATCTACTAGGTTTGTTCGTCCTTATCCTTAACTTTCCTCTATCATTACTAACTCTATTTAATAGGGCACCCGTACCGGCCCTCGATCGCGATGTCCTATGCCTAGTATAGCTTATACTATGCTAGGTACCGGCCCTCGATCGCGATGTCCTAGTCGGATACCCCTATTTATATGCACCGTAGAGCGAGTCGCTTACATGCCTCCTAGAGTAACTCGCTCTATAGCTACTACGAATAGGGAGGGATACACCCTAGCTTTAACGATCTCTCTAGTTCTTAGGAGGTTTATTACTCTATCTCCTATCTTCTTCCTCTAGCTAACATATTTCGTAGGGTCTAGCACTTTAGCTCTTAATTGCCGGAGGCGTCCTAGTCTATAACTTAGACTAGACTAGACGTCTCCTACCGCCGCATTAAGGAGCTTAAAAGCTAACACCCTCCTAAGGACTAAAGATGTCGCGAATAGGGCCGAGAGATCGTACGTTACGCGCTCCTCTAATGCTTATCTAGAACATCTACTAACCTTTAATGTAGGTACATGTAAGCCTCCTCGTTAATAAGGAGCTATCGTCCGTATCCGTCGTCGTAATCTAATAACGGCGACACGGACGATAACTATCTCTCGGCCTTCTTATCTCTCTTAAAGTAGAAGGAATCCTATTCCGTATGCTAGACAATAATAGCGCCTCTACTTTAAGAGAGACGTCGCCGCATCCTCCGCTAGTATAAGAACTATGCTAGGTAATAGCACCCTCTTCCGCCCTCGTGCCGTCGATACTACCGACGAGGAGATTACTCGACTCCGTATAGAGGGTAGGGAGAGGGTAGTAGCGTCGATAGGAGCAAGTAGAGACCGAGGCCGCTAATAGGGCCGAAACTAGGTTAATAGCTAAGGCTAGAGGTGTATGTTGTCGCTTTACATCCCTTCCTTATTCTTTCGCATACTAACTGTTATATCTAGGGCCTCTCCTTCTCCTATCGACGCTACTACTAATATAGCTAACGCCGCTGCTCTTAACGAGATTACTATACTATAAGGCGTCTTATGATCCTTTACTATTCGGTTAACTAACAGTAAAGGATTATAAGAAAGCCTACGAAGAAGCCGAGTTCTTAAGGCGTCGAAGTTCTATCCTCGAGATTACTACACTATAAGGCGTCTNATCTATTGCCGCCCTCCCTTAGACTCGCTCGGTAATCGCCCGCCGACCCTACCCCGTTACGTCGCTACCTAAACTCGGCCTAAATCTTAACCTATAGATTATATAGGTTAATCGTTTGTTCTTATAACCTCCGCTACATCTCGCTAAACTATATAAGTCGACCCTATTACTAGCCTATAGATTCTATAGGTGTAGTTCCTAATATGCCCTTAAACCTAAGGCGTTAAGTAGGCGGGCGTTTCTAGAAGAGTTAAAAGTCCGGAACACTAAAACAAAAGAAGGATAAGGATAATATAACATAACCCTTAGCTCTAAGGTTATAGCTAGTTTAGAAGAGTACCCGCTTTAGCCGTAAGCAACTTAATGCACTCCTATAGAATCTATAGGCCCCTAAGGGCCGCCGACGAAGCATGTTAGTGTAAGAGGTATAAGCTCTATTTCTCCGTTGCTACGAATCTAGTATTAAACTAGAATAGTAGAAGCTACTTATCCTCCGCGTAATCGGGCAGTTTACTAGCTACATTGTAAAGAAGGAGTAGGTGCAGGCATTATAGCAAATTTGCTTTTTAATAAGTAATACTATCCTTATAGCAAAGACTAGGTTTAGAAAGAGCATTCCTCTTTAGCTATTCTCGCTCATTACTAGTCTTATTACGATCTAGATCGTTCCTCTAAACCGTCTTAGAGCTTAACATAAGAAGGACGTTCTAAAGTACTATAGAAACCCCTATCTTATAACTGCTAAGACGAAGAAGACTCGACTATAGATGCTCTCGGAGATACGGCGTAGTGTTTATATACATATAATCCTTAGTCCGGAGCAAGCAATTAACCCTACGTTCCGTAGTGTCGTCCGCGATAGTCTCCGAGACCGCGTTAGCCTTATTACGATTAATAAGCTCTATTTAGTCTCGAGTTAGAAGGACTTTAGGCCCGACTTTTAGTATATAAAGGACCTCCGTACATGCCTATATGTAAATACGCCCCTCTTCGGCTATACTACTATACTCGACATCGACATAGAGGCTAAGGTAAAGGTCTATGCTAGGTTTCGACCTAATAGTAATAAGCTGTTTATAACCGAGGTAATCCGTACGCTAGTAGATAGACTAGAGATTTAACTAGTCGTTAAAAGAATAGAGCAAAGGGAACTAAAAGGAGAGCGATTAATCTACGCTATCCTCTCGTAAGGACTAGTAAATAGCAAATTTAATGCCGCGAAGATCCTAAAGACTATCGTCTTTATTAACGGGAAGGCCTTAATTGCTAACTAACTATAGCTAGCCCGCGATGCCGTTATTATAGTAGCAAAAGGCTCGGTCGGTGCCGATTAAGCTCGCCGGATTGTCGATTTTTACACTAGTAAAACCCCTAAGTTTAACTAAGAAGAGCTCTATAAGGACTTCGGCGATATAGCAGAGTCTACCTGCCGTATTGTGCTCGCTATAAGTGCACTTAGAACTAGTTTAACGATGCTAGGCCTTAATACGGTAGTATTAATTAGCTTTCTAATCGACGGTTTGCCTATTAAGTTCTAGCAGCGTGTCGGTCGCGTTAGAAGGATAGGTAGACTAGTAACTGCTATTTAGGGTATGCCTTATTAGGCATTTGATGTTCTAGAAAAGACTAACTAAGTGGTTAAGCCTATAACTACGCCGACTAAGGCTAGGAAGGGAAAGGGAAGGAATACCATAAAGTAGAAGGTAGCCTTAAGGCTTAGCTAAGTCTACACGGCCTCTAAAGATCTAGGTATAGTCATTCTACGGCCTGTAGAATCTATAGGTGCGTCCGAACACGGGTCTATATATAACGACGACCGAACAAAGGCAAATACTGTTCCCCGGGGCTAGACGTAGTCTTATATAGATAGTAAACGCCGCGCGGAGCTCTATCTAATATTCTGTTAGATAATTAACGGACCATACGTTCGCTAGCCTATACTCGAGCATCTTAGCTAGCTTCGTATACCGGTAGATTAACGAGGCCCTAGTCTAGGAGGTCGTTATTGTTTAACCTATTATCTAGAGGTGTGCACATTTAATGCCCCTAAGCTACCGAAGCGAGATAAGCCTCTAACGAAGCCTTATAACAATTTAAGATAGGCCTATAGTCTAGAGTACATTATTAAGTAGCTCTAAAAGGCAGTAGGGGACATAGTCCTATTAAGTTAGCGCTATATGCCTATACCGTCCGACTACCTTCTTAATACGGAGGAATAATAGCGCCTCGCTAGAGAATTTAGGGGCCTTAAGGAGGGTAAATGTAACGCTTTTTCGATTTATGAAGAGGGAAAGCTCGACGAGATAGTAGGCCGTAGTTAGCACGGTACGCTAGAGGCCCTTATGTCGTTTCGTAAAGCCTTACGGACTAATGTTAACATTATAATTAGACGATAGCGTAAGGACAATAACGTAGCAAAGAAAAAGAGAGATAAGAATGCGACGGTTGTTAATGATGGTAGGCCTATAGAATCTATAGGCTTAGGTGCACAGCTTTTAGACGACTAGATAGAAGAGCGGAACGCCGCTTAGATAGCCGTCTAGCGGCGATCTAATAGCCTTATGCGTATAGCTACCGATGTAGCCTTCCGTCGACACACTGCTAGTTAACCTATAGAATCTATAGGCTATGCTAGTAGCGTCGAGGTGCTATCCTCGCTACCTCGTAATAGGAACGACAGTTTAGGGGTAATAGGAGGCTCTTAGACTACTATCCTAGACTCGTAGGGGACAGTTCCTAAGACGTAGGTCGTATAGTCGTTATAGACTATAGTCGAATTGTTCTTAGCCGGGCTTAGTNATTCTTAGCCTATAGAATCTCTAGGTAGCTCTAGGAGGTCTAGGAAGCGAGCGCGAGAGGGCAGGTCGATCTCGATTTTAGAAGAGAACTCCCCT